CCTAACCCTAACCCTAACCCTAACCCTAACCCTAACCCTAACCCTAACCCTAACCCTAACCCTAACCCTAACCCTAACCCTAACCCTAACCCTAACCCTAACCCTAACCCTAACCCTAACCCTAACCCTAACCCAAGCAGTTCTTGCTTAAACATGCTGTAGAGTAGTCTCTAAAGAATAGTTTTCTATCTACCCTTATTATTTGTTTCTACTTCTATATTATAGTTAACCCCTTTCCTGCAGTGTAGGGGGAGCTTGTCTGCTTCTTCTTTAAAAAATACTAGGTACAAGTCCTTAAGAAACTAGGGGAGGAGTAGTTATAAGTCTATTAGTAGTTTTTTTTTAAGTGCTTTTTAAATATTAGACATAGAAGCTGCAAATAACTAGATGTCTCTACCCTGTTACTTTCTTTTAGCAAGCAGGCTGTAAGCCGCTGCTAATATTTTAGTAATTCTATTAGAAGGTTGCTTGCCTTTCTAACTCTTTAGTCTTAGTCTTATCTTGTAGAGGTAGATAGACTTCTTCTTTAGGGCTAACGTAATATTATATCTGTTTATTTATAGTCTCCCTAGGATAAGATTGTAGTCTTTCTCTAATTTAGAGACATAGACTTAGTAATTAGTTTTATAACCTTCTAGGTCTAGTTTAAAGGACACAAATTTAGTAACCTACGTTTAAGTACTTTAAATGCTAATTACTTAGCAAGGTTTTAGTAAAGTTCTGCGCGGGAGATTACACTAAGAGGTAAATTAACTAGAAACAAATCTATACGTTAGGCAACTAGTATTAAGTATAGTAAAAGCAAATTTTTCTTAATTAACTAATACGTGTATAGTAATTAGGTTGCCGTCTAGCTATTATTTTCTAAAACTATGCTATTCTTCTAAAGTGTTTTTCTCCCCTTAGCTCCTCTGTCCGCGACAATAGGCAGAAGATGCTAGTTTTCTAACTTTTTTTTGTTTTGCTAGTTGTATTCTTTAAGGTTAATAGTCTTTACTTGTGCCTAAGTTAGCTTTAAGTAGAGAAGGAGGTAGCACTAACGCAACACATGCCCCCTTTTTCTACATTAAAAGCAAAGGTTCTCTTTCTACCTTCTTTTAATCTTGCTAGCGCTTACTTTCTTAGCTTATTTAGCGTTGCGTTTTAAAAGAGTATATAGGGCTGCAGAACGTGCGCTAACTAGAGTGTTAATATCTATTAGATCCCCTTCTACTTCCGCGCGGGAGGGCTAGGATCTTTAAAATCTACAATTCTAGTTAGAACTAGATAATAGCCCTTTTACAAAATTAAATTGTTTCTCTAAAACAACTGCTTTTCTTATAAAAGCGTCTAGGTTATTGTTGTTAGCAATATCTACTAGGGTTAACTTCTCTGCAAGTAACGTTTAAATAGCGCAGAAATACATGTAGATTATAGCTTTTTTGCTCTAAATTTCCCCTAACTTATAAGCTAGTTAGAAAAATTTCCTATTAAACTCTCTAATTGGTTTAGCGCCTTGTCTAGCTTTAAAAAGTTTCTCTCTTATAGTTTTAGCTTAGTTAATAATATAGTAACCTTTTTCTAAAAGCTTTTACAGGTCTAGTAAAGAAGCGTGCAGAGTTCTCTTTATTATAGCTTTAACTTAGTTATAGGGTTCAGCTCAAAGTTGTCTGTATATATAATAGAAGGCGGTTCTTTTGTCTATTTTATTATATTTAATTTTAAATTCTGCTAACCTTTTCTAAGCTGCAAATGCAAAGGCATTGCCTGTAAAGGGTTTAACATTTAAGATCTTTACCCTGCGCAGCTAAAATAACGTAGCCTAGGCTTTAAGCAGAGTATAGAGCCTTACATTTTCTGCTGCTATCTCCTCCTCTTGTAGAGTTGCGCAGGGCTTGTTGCTCTGCGTTTGTGTAAGTATAAGTTATTTAGAGTTTTTAAAGTTTTCTGCAACGCCTTCTTTGTAAGTTTCTTCTGCTTTAGCCTGTAAGGCTAGTAAAAAGGGCACAGCGTTATTACAAAGTAATTGCTCTACTCTAGTTATTACTTGTTCCTCTAACTAGCCTCTCTTAAGGGCTTGCAGGATTATCTGTTGCCTAATTATAGTTAGGCTTGCTCCTGCTTTAACTCTATTATAAAGGGTTCTTAAGAGGTGTTGCTCTGCTTCTGTTAGCAAAAGGTTAGCTTAGTTTATAGACATCTTGCAAAGTCTACTAGTTAGCTTCTTATCCTGTGTTGTTGTAAACAAAATTTAATTATTAGGGTTTTAGCTTAAGAAGAGCTCTGTAGATAGGAAAAACAATTATAAATTTTGTTGCTAAAATATCTATGGAAAATATCCTGCTTAAATATAATTCTCTAGGCTAATTTTAGAGTTCCTATTACTGTTATAGGTTTAGTCTAGGGAGCAGTCTAGACCTAGGTTATATGTCTAGAAGGTAGCCTAGAGATATAGTATTAGAAGCTTATAGGCCTAAGAGCAAAGTAGAATCTATTTTCTAGCGTCTGTTATAAAGGGTAGCTTAGAGATATAGCTTTTAGGCCTCCTAAGCCTAATGTCTGTTCTAAAAGGTAGTTAGAAGATATGGTTCTTAAAGGCTTGTAAGTCTAAAAATAATATAGGGTTTATCCCCTTACACTAGTTACTACTTTATTACTACTTAGCTATACTAGTTACTACTATTTTATTACTACTATTACTACTTATTACTACTTTATTACTACTTAGCTATACTAGTTACTACTATTTTATTATTACTATTATTACTTATTACTACTTAGCTGCGCTAGTTACTACTATTTTATTATTACTATTACTACTTATTACTACTATTTAGTTACTACTTAAAAGAGCTAGTTACTAGTTATTACTACTTATTACTAGCATCTTACACTAAATATATAGTACTACTTTTATATAATATAAAAAAAAAAGGCAACTTTCTAAATGCTATAAAATATATTAAAAGGTTATTTTTAACTTTTTTTTAGTTACTGCTTTTTTATTACTATTTATTACTACTATTTTATTACTACTTGTTACTACTTTTTATAAAAATAGTTTTTTTTCTTTTAATTTTCTTAAAACCTTATGTTTTTTTAAGATTTATTATTATTTTTACAACTTTTATTTTTATTTTTATACTATAATAGCGCGCGCATTTTAAAAATATATATAATAAAAATATATATAAAAAATGCGCATTGCTTTAAAGAAAGTACTATAAAGTTTTTAAAGTTTATTAATAATTATAGCATAAGTAATAGTAGTATAAAGGCAAAAGTTAGCTATTTTAATTTTTACTAAGTTTTACGCTTTCTTACCTAGACCTAGAACTTTCTACCTACTACTAAGTTTAATAAAACTATAAATCTTGCTTTTATAAATTTGTAATATATATTTTTAATTTAGAAATTTTTATTTACTAAATAAAAAGTTATAGTGTAAAAAAATAACTTTTTTATTATTTATAGTTATAGTGTAAAAAAAATAACTTTTTTATTATTTATTTTTAAGTATAATTTTTTTTAAAATGCTTACTAAGCACTAACTATTCTGCTAAAAAGTTAGTGCTTGTTTTTTCTTTTTAAAACTTTAAAAACTACCTTTATAGCTTCTAAATTAAGCTAGTTATAACTATTTATAAAAAGTTAAAAAAAAGCTTATTTATTTTATACTACTCTTCTGTACTTGTATTTTTAAATAATAGTTAGCTTTTACTATTATTACAGCATAGAATATTATATAAGAAAACTTAAACTATAACTTTAACTTAAAAACTTGTTAGAAAAATACTATTAAATATAAATAACAAAAAATATAGTTGTTTTTTACGTAGTTGTATAATTTACTAAGCTTAGCTAGCTACTGGAGTTGAATAAAGAATCTGTTGGCTTATTTAAAGACAACTGTGCCATCCAGTACGCGGCATTCTCATCTAGCTCATCTGGAATTCCAGAATTCAAAATTTCGACTTGGGGCAATGCAGCCTCTGGAGCCTCGACTTTATCCTCTCTGCCTCCAACGAACATTGCAAATTTCCGTGAAGTCAGACCAAGGAGCGGAACCATTTCATGAGGAAGGATACCTGCGTCATCATAATGAGGAACACTGTCAATCTGTTCCAATGGCATTCCAAGCCGTTCGCAGTACCCTCGAATAGCGCGCCAAGAGTTGTAAGAGAGCTTACTCTCCTTATCGTTTGTTTGAAGTCCAATGATTTGTTTCTGAAGACCTTTGGGTCCATCGCGAAGAGAGACAGAGGACGCAAATGGCAGATTGGGCTCATCCGGATGGACCAAGTGAGCCGCGTATTCGCTGCCTTCGACTCCCAAACCGCGGAGCCAAACGTACAGAGACGTTGCAGAGCTGTAGAGGGCGCCGGCGATCCATGCATGATGAGCGCTGGCATGTTCGCCGATGATGAACATACTATTGTTCGACCCCTCCAATGCCTTCAACAGGTGAGGATAGAGATGTGTGAACTGTCCGGGGCCGAAGAGCGCAAAGGCACCCGAGGAGTGTGAATCGTTTTGCCATGAAAATGTGTGCCAGTCAACCACTTGAGAATACAGCCACTCGTACGTGATATCGGGATTCTTCTCATGATACAGTTCCACCAGGTTTCGGAGCACCAACTTCAAAACGTCGGAGTGGTCAGCATTGGAGTCGGCCGTCATGGAACCGATACGGACAGCATCTTGATGCCAAGTATAGGATGCGATCAGAACCGTAGGTTTTTTGGGATCATCCAGCTTGTTTTTAAAGGTGTCTTCACCAATGCCAGCCCAAGGCGGATAGGCAACAACTCGAATAGGCAGGTCAGTTCCAGAGACGCCACCCCGAGAAGCAACTCGACCTTCCTCCAACCACCAAGCTGTCTTGAACTTGATTCCAACCTTGGTGGAACTGTCGTAAGCTAAGGAGCGGATTGCCTCTCGCTGCTCTTTTGATCCAAGTCCGTTCAAATTAATTCGGCTCAAAGCTCCAAGAGTCGTACTGTTAAAAAGAGCTGAATAGGTATCAGTGTGAACCTTGCCAGCTTTGTTGACCCATTCGACCTCGACGAGTTCTTTGTCGCCGTTCTTAACCATTTTGTATCCTTGAACGGTGGAATTTAGCTTCGCTTTGGTTTTAATCTTGCCTTCCATTGCTTCAACCAACTTGATCATGCCGCCTTCGACCCGCCACCATTCTGCACCGTCAGGAAAGTCAGCAGTGTCGAGGACTGTCTCTGTGAAGGACTGATCAAAGAGGCCGGTTCCCCTGTAGTGCGTAAGGTTAATTAGATAGAGCATTTACTATAGCTAGTGTGTGACTTACGTGTTGAAGGTCTCAAGTGTTTGGGACTCCTTGAATTGATAATTCAGTCTTCGGAACACTTCACGCGTGCTCATGTCATCAAATTTCAAGTTAACCAATAAGTCAAACCCAGCGTTAAAATTAATGTTGAGCAGTTCGACGAAGGGGCCGACAACATTATTGAAGTCCTCGTCTGCTTTGGTCTTGTCAATGTTGTAATTGCGGTAGAAGTAGTTGGGAACCTCTGGATTGCTCAAAATGTAATCAGAATGAGGAATGTTCAAAGCTTCGATCACCGCCCGAGTCCTATAAATTCGTCAAGCGCTGAATAGATGCTTTTTTATTTCCACACTTACGGGAGGTTGGAGTCAATAAGCGGGATGCGCATGGCTCCCACATCGTAGTAATTATGCTTACATTCCTCGTCATCTGGGAACTCGTGTGTTTTCACCCTTCCACCAGTGTGGTCACTGGATTCGAGGAGGTCGTATTCGATTCCAAGGTATGTAAGCATCCATGCCATAAAGGTACCAGAGACCCCAGCCCCAACAATGCAAACTTTGCCAAAGGGACTTTTCTCTGGCAGTGGCTTCTTTTTCGCATCCGATGGAAGCTTGATCCCGGGGCGAGGAAGCGTTGCCGCATCTGGACGTAGTTTTTTTGCATGTTCAAGTCTCGACCTGACATAGTTTTTCGTAACCTCTGCCGCATATCGACCGCGGAAAGTGTTCACTTGGACACCCATGTTGAGTGGTCTTGAAGTGCAGACGAATGTTGTTTGAAATGAGGTTTATGTATCCTGTAGGGGACTGGATCGCCTATTTTATAGTTGAGTCACAGTGTCTATCATTTCCAACCTGAACGTCGTGCATAAGTTCAGCTCGCCGTTCCAACTCAGCAGGCTTCTTCTGATACCGTTCATACCTATGCTATTGGCACTGTCGCGCTTGGCTTTAAGCCACTCGGGCCGTAATCTGCCTTAGTCCGTCGATTCAAAACCCCATAATTTCATCCAAATGCGGCCACGAGCTTCTATTATGGGTTTTGTACAAAACTCCACTATGACAGACTGTTAAATGTCAAGTAATATGTTCAGGTGTCGAGATTGACGAGTTATGGACACCAAGAATTGATTCTAATGTATTTGTATGGAAATGATGTGTCCACACGCAAATTCCATTGCATCTGACCATGATGGGTGGTGAGAGAGCCTGGGTACGTGAGCTTGAAGATCTTGCTAATAGACTCAGACAAGATTGGCTAGAGCTGGGGAGTAAAGCCTTGCAGACGGCTGTCCGGAAGGGCCGAGAAATTGCTTGCTTTTTAGAAGCCGCATAATCGAGACTAAGTTAGCACCTCCGCATTACCCACCTATTACGTGGTCCTTCAAGAAAAGTGTAGTGGGTGCTTCTCGTCTACATGCATGGAGCCGATTTAGGTTTTAGTTAGTAAATCTCCGTCCCATGGTTCCATAGAACCATCCACCACCCAACTTCCACCTTCCTCCTTCCATCACTAACCCATGGATTGTCAATTACGTCTATATACGTAGGCAGCAACCCAGCGTGTCTGAACATGGTACTGTACCACGGAAGTGCGCTGGGTTACAAGATTTGTGAATCATGGACGATTCAACACCCTTCGACATATAAAAGGGAGTAGATTTATTTGGTATAGAACGAAACTTCGGGCGAAAGAGTTGAAAGTGTGTTTTCCGTAGGTGTTGTTAATTAAATGGCCTCTGTGCAGCTCCGAAAGATAGATGTAAATTTCTCTGAGGTTGGTGCTCGGCCCCGCCATCAGGACATAAATGCAGTTCGGCTGATCTTGGCTGCAGTCCCCTCTCCCGCCCTACAATTATGGTTTCTCAGTCCGCCACTATCTTCGGGCCACGACTTGGCATCGAATCGCTATCTTATGCATAAGCGTTTGGCTAGTTAAAGGAGCTGTCTTGTGGATGGACTACTTAAGTGTGTGCCAGAGTACACCTTGTAGAATAGAACAAGAGTAACTCAAATCACACACCTCATACCAGCAATACACCTACGAGTGGACATGGCAACCGGGCTCTATGATGTTGTAGTCGTCGGTGGTGGGCCCGTCGGATTGTCGGCCGCCTACGAGGTGGCTAAGACAGGTGCTAAAGTCGTGGTTCTCGAGCAGAATAACTTCTTCAATCAGGCCGGGAGCTCTGGTGACCTAGCTCGCATGTTTCGAACTATGTAAGATGCCTCATCCACTGTGCTATGAGAGGCTCACCTGCTCATAAGCCCCTCAACAGGTACACAGAGGAATTTATGGCGAAGTTGGCCAAGGAGGCCATGGGCCTCTGGGATGCTCTTGAGAAGGACGCCGGGACCTCACTGCGCTGGATGAGCGGCCTCCTCAACTTTGGGGACAAGAACTTTGGCGGGGACACGCCAGAAGGTACGTCACCATGATCGTGTGTTTAGCACTTGAGTGCTAGTCTGCCGCCTATTCACACTCGACAGGGACGTTGATGGGGCCAGTCAAAAACCTGAAGAAACTCGGCATGCACTATGAAGAATGTAGGCAGTGTTCTAGCACAATGCCATATTACATGCTGTAGGATATGCACTGACTTTATGTGCGAGTGACCGCAAAAGAAATCCAAGCCCGGTATCCGTTCAAGAACTTGCCATCTGACTGGATCGGTCTTTATGCGCCTGACAATGGCGTGATCAACGTCCAGCTCCTCCTGAGGACTTTACTTAGCCTTGCCAAAGACTACGGAGCTGAGGCGAAACAGCACACACGCGTGAAAGAAATTCGTAGCTCGGAATTGGATAACGATAGCACCATCTGGGAAGTACAAGCGATCCGACACGATAAGGACGAAATTGTCTACAAAACCAGGAAGATCGTCATCGCATCTGGCGCTTATATCAACCATGTGCTGGAGCCAAGCTTTGGCATCAGGCTCAATCTCCTCATCTGGGAGATGGTGGCTAACTACTTCAACTGCAACGCCGGGCCTGATGGAACCATTTTTCCTAGTACGTATTCTTGCCTACCTTTGCGATCGATATTTGTTTAATCCTATAATCCATACAGCCACTAACTTTACCATAAATTCAGGTATGTGGTTCCAGTTTGCACCCGACAAACAGCGTACCCCCGAAGAGAAGCCCAGGTCCCAGCTTTTCTACGGAATTCCGACAGTACCCTGGGGTTCTCCTAACGTTACCCGTATCGCAGTCGATGCGGCTAATCGGATAATCTCAGACCCTAATGACAGGCTGACGAACGTCGTCGATGCGGACGACATTCGCGACACGCAGGACTTCGTTCGTGAGCACGTTGTCGGCGTCGATGCGACAGTCCCCGCCTTCACGCTGACTTGCTTACAGACAAACGTCTATGGTACGTGTGCAATTTGTCATCCATATCTTCGCTCTAGTGGAGCATTGCTATATGATAAGTCGATCGATTCACACGCTAATTTGCATGTAATACAGATAATATGTTCGTCCTCGACTTTGTCCCCGAGAAGTACCTTCATGGTGGTCCGAAGGACAGCGTGGTAGTTTTCACAGCTGGCTGGGCCATGAAGTTCGTGCCCTTGCTGGGCAAAGCGCTAGCTGAAATGGCTCTCAGCGGGCAGTCCGCCTATGCACGTGAGGAGTTTGCAATTACCCGCGAGAATCCTAAGACGGGCGAAAGTATAATCGCCAAAAAGAACCAGGGCCATGCTTCAAGCCTAAGTTCCTTTGCCTCCACGCAACAGGCATCAGGCTCTTCCATGAGACTTCGTCGAACATGAAGATTGGTAGAAAGGTACTCGAGATTCGAGATGACCTTAACAATCAATATCAGCGAGAACTTCAAACCACTTGAGAGCTTCTATATCATATGTGATAGCGTAGGTCAGGTTCAGAAGTTTTTAACGTTGAATATGAAGCGTAGAGTAACGTTTAAGCTTATTCTTTGTGTTCTGCTTTCAATCCCTCGTAACAGAGCGCTCGCCCCTCTAATTATAGATTTTTTAGGGTCTTATTGTACACTGTCACGCGCCATATGTTAAATGTAGATGAAATGCGCTGATTGCAGTCGTTAAGTAATGTTTAGGCCTCCAAATATTTTCGATATAAAGGGAGAGCGTTAGGCTAGGGGATGCGACCTGTAGCACAGTTGAGACTATCAGAGACAAATAAAGTTCTAAAACAACTTTTTAACTAGAAACAGGGGAAGCAATTATAAAAGTGTGCTACTAGTATAGATTACCTTAATATAGTTCAGCGATATTTGTCTAGCGAACAGCGAGGAGGCAATTTGGCTTCGAATCTTGCTGTCGCGCGAATGAAATGGATAGGTTCTATCAGGACAAGCAATATTGTCCGACTTGAGACAACCGTAGATTCTATTACCTGAACAAGAATGCGAGCAGACCATGTTGGTATGATTGTTGAGGAGGTCATGCTGCATACGCGTAGACAGCCGTAAGCAGCCAAGGAAATCGGGTCATAGTAGAACAAATTGATCCGGGTGATGATAGTAAGCGTGGCATCACCGGAGAGCAGAAGCTCAAACAACTAGGTAGTATAGGGATTAACAGCAGTCAAGGACAAGAAACAGATGCAACGACCAATAGCGCTGACCCATTCTTACTGCCACCTACAAATTAAGTAAGCAAAGCGATGGAGTTCTTAAACTGGCCATCTTTGCGCGGCCGCCCCAACAATCCCTGCAACCCCTGCTGTCATCCCATCGTTTCCGGACATGAACGATATCGCCGACCTGGCACCGAACACGGTAATCCCAACGGGCTGTGCTCTTCACAGGCAAATCATGGGGTTTTTGTACTTGTACCGTCATCGCGCCGGATCCATTGACCGCGATGCTTGCATATTGAACGAACACCAAGAAGCAGGCAACAAATACCATGATGCGACTGTTCGAGGAAGAGGTAGATAGCTAAGCGGCGGGTGCAGGTGTAGCAGTGTGAGGTTCACATATCGAACATGCAAACGACGCGCCCAGCGAGGCTTGCTTCTTAGCTATGCGCAATGTTTTGTGTTTACCCGGATCCCTTTGCATAGGCATCTCGGGAAGATCGGAATTGAAGAAGGCGTAGTTGATGCGAATGCAGGGGTGTTTTGGCCTGCGCTGCTATTCTATTGGGGAGGGAATTCCCCGACGTCGCAACGCATTGCACTCCACATGTCCGTCCCGATGAAACTGCAGTCGCCAAGAGCGGACTGGCTAGCAACACCGACTCGCACGACTACATACCTATTCAATCGCTGCTAAAGAACTACGATGCGCACGGATAGCAGGTATGTCACGCTTCTTGAACCGTACAGAAGTCGATTCAGTCTCGGACCCTGTCTCGCACGACTCTCTGCGCCGAATTACTTCGGACTTATCATCAACTCATCGTACAACAGTAAAATCGAGATAAGCGGGCGGGTAACACGGACCGTCGATCGTGCTGACCAGCCATAGCCGGCTTACGTACCCCACATCCTGCGCTTGTGGCTTGAACAGAGTTATGACATGAGCAACTATTCAACGGGTTAGTAGAAGTAGCCTGGCTCTACTACAGCGCATCGCAGCTATTGCAGTGATTCTTGGAGCTTTGGTGTGGCCATATGCGTTCGCCATAGCATACTGCTAAAAGGCGGGTTGAGCTGAAGTGTGCCCAAACATTCCCATCTTTGCATCGTATTTCCTGTGTACAAAGGGTAGGGGCAGCGATATGGTATTGATGTATTGGAAGTAAGCGATATCCTGTTCGCCCTTCGAATCGTCATTGATATTTGTTGCGCACGAGAGATTACAATAGAGAATTAGGGCGAATGAAGCGAAATTTTGCGAGAACTGCGAGTATTTGTTGAAACACCGTTCACTTGGCGCGGGGTGATGGTCTGATTGGTACGTGTGTTCGGACTCCAGTGGCTATTGCATGAACGCGCATGTCTGAATGTACAGACATCCATATCGTGTTTGGACACCGACGCCCCGCATCGTATAGGCAGTGGCTGAGGTGTTTATTCGTGTAAACATCTACAACTTGTTCTCGCACGGCATGCAGAGCGTATCCAGGACTTCGCCGTTTCAGTGTACGAAGCCATCCGTGTCTATAGTTCTATTTGGGTCCTTCTAGGCTAAGCCACCCCATGTGTTATAGGGACATGGCAGAAGTAGATCAGAGTGATGAAGTATAAAAACCATGGCGAGCTGCCACATCCAAGTTCACTCATCAGCAACTACAACACATTCGTTCATCACATTCGTTTACCACATTCATTCACACATTTATCATTACATTCGTTTCTCAGAATTGCCAGCTCAAAAATCCTGTTTCCCCAGCCTCACACCCGCCTCTAAAGTATCATAACCCTGCCATCAACATGCAGTTCACTATCCAAACAATTGCGGCCGTCGCAGCCTTGCTTTCTGCAGCCAGTGCTGCACCTGCCCCGAACACCTCACCCAATCTCGTGGTTCTACCTGGTACCGTGCACCAGAGCAAGCCAACCCAGCGAAGCGTCGAGGTTGTTGAAAAGCGTGGAGCCACCGACACTTACGGTGACTATACTGGGCAGAAGAGCAGCTATGCAGACGGCTCCGGCACGTACGTCCGCAGCGACGATACCCACCGATACGCTAGTGGCGACAAGTGCTGGACCGATCTCTACTTCGTGAAGTCCTCGTGGAAGAACACGAACTGGAACCGTGCGTCCACTCAGGATTGTCCCGCTGGAGCTACATGCGTGTTGGGCATCAACAACGGGGTTCAGACATGTCAGGAGTGGAGCATCTCCGTCTCGGTCGGCGTCGATGCTACCATCGTCAAGGACGTTCTTGCCATTTCTGGTAGCATTACCAACACGTACGGAGAGTCTAAATGTGACAGTGCGACCACTACCAACACCTGTTCGATGGAGAAGAAAGGAGAGAAGAAGTGCTATGCTATTTGGACTTCCCAGAAGGTCAGGGTTGACCACGGATACATTCGCCGTCGTTGCGATTTCCACGATGGAAAGGGTGACCAAACTGTCTGGAGCAAGGACTACGATCTGACCAATAAGGCTAAGGAGTTGAACATTGGGTGCAACGAGTGCTCCGACACAACATACAAGGAGTAGACAACCCGACGTGTCAACGAGTTAGTATTGTGGGGTACATGTTGATATGTGTACCATTAGATTTCCATTCTCCGGGTTTCTCGGAAACCCGCTTTCTTCACCATTGTCGTTTTTGGGACGGAATAGACACGACAATGTATAGAATAAATTCAAATGTTGTTTTGCTGAGCTTTATCCTTCCCCACGTGGCTTACACGCTTCTGTGAGCCATACATCTGAACTTTTCCAACTCTCATCTAGTGTGAATACAGACTAATCGAGGAATGAAGTCATTTGCATGCTCTGAAATCATATCCATGAGCTGATAGTGCTATCACTAGCGTTTCGATTCTGTCGAAAAAAACTAGACCATCATGCTGGTACTAATTCCATCGGGTCAACTAGACAGCATGAATCCCCAGTTACACATTTCGTGCCAGGTAGTAGGTACTATTGAGGCGATAGTCTATACGACATAAGAGTACGCGTCTGCAACGACCTGTATATGACTGCCTAGGAGATTGGCGCGCTTCGGATACTATTCGATCCCGCACAAAGGAGGAACAAGTACATACCGTATGGAAATGCGAAAATCATGCCACATCGAGCGACAGGCGTCAGATCCTACAGGCAAATAACAGTCATCGCTCAATTGGCTTTACGACACCAGGCTAGTAGAATAAGCTGTTGTTCATATCTATTCACACACGTTAATTCATAATAGATGTAGAAAGAGGATCTATCATCACTTGGGTGCTCGCGTGATAGAATACAAGCCAACATTGAAGCCTAAGCTAAGGGATCGACGCTAGGTGATCGGCGGTGGAGTTCATGCCTCGCTCGGAGAACACGTCCCCCGGCCGAGCTCGTCTCCGAAGCTTCGATACATACATTGCAGCTGCCTACTCCTTCTGGTATAAATATTACCGTTACTTCAACTTATGGATCCACCCACTGTTGAACGCATATTCTCCTTGACCACGCTAATTCTCACATGTTTAACCACCATGTCTCTGCACTCATCTTCTGAGAAGGCACCGTCATACAACGAGTTAAATAAGGAAAGATATAAGGAAAACAAGTACGTCTCCACAGTCTGATGATAAAGCTTTTCCTGAATGATCATACACCTAGCAATAATCACTAACACACTTTCTACACAGCCACATCTGCGATGCACACTCGAGAGCATCGATTCCTTTCATACATGCACAACTTCAACAGCAGCAAGCCAAGGAGGCTATCCGCGCTATCAGCATAGCCTTCGGTAACTTGGCGGATGGTTCTGGCTGCAGTGAATGCATCCTGAGAGAGATTGCGCAGACTGTAACCCTGTGCCTGCGGGAACTCAAAACCGCCAAAAAGAACGGCAAGTGGAGCAAAGAGGAGAAGAAGACGATGAAAAGGGAGGTTAAAGTCGCATTCAAAGACATCAAGCGGGAGGTAAAACAGACATGGAAGAATGGAGATTGATGGTTCGATGGAATTCTCTGAGGGTGGAGAGTCGCCGCTAATGTAGCAAATTTATATGACTCACTCTCCTGTGTAAATAGCCTGATGGAACTCAATCAATCAATTTACATCAGAACTGTGTGGGTTACTATCAGTCGCGATGCTAAAACGTCAATAAACAAAAGAAGAATACGGCGTGGCCGGTGGAGGCCACAAAGCAACGAGAAGATGTCAAGATAGGAACACGAGTTTTATACTCGGACGTAGAAACATGAGGGTTAATGCAATAGTCATCTGAAAGCCTTGCTCCGATGTTACTTCCAAGGATTAAAAAGGGTGAAGATAAAGAGATTGTCAAGATCATGTGATTAGGGATCTGCATTAAAGTGGCTAATACAGAATCTGATCCCCTTCTTGGTTGAATGTTCTTTAGTCACCGATTCAAAATTGTTGTGTTCTCTATGCATCTGGAGTGCGACGAATTCCCTAGCAAGTCTTGCCCGCCGGTTCGGATTATTTAACTGTACATATCCCAGTTGCACGATTCATCTGAATCAGACGTGCAGCTCGTCCCCAATCATCAAGCCTTGATAGGTGAAAATCCATACTTTGAAATTCTGACAAGACCATAAAGAATGCCTGATACCAGTGTACACACACCGCCAAAGGTCCACAGTCCAGCCCAATGAAGATCTCCTGACCTGCCCAGGATTGCACCGGCAATCGGCCCACTAGCAAGAACACCTAACCCAGCTATAGCAAAGCCTTGACCCATCCTGGTGCCAAGTGTAGATTTATCCTGCGTCAGAGCAACTAGACACAGAGGTGGCAACCCGATGAGAGCGCCGCTCATGAACCCTGCAAGCAGAGCAATAACGATGATAGCGCCTTTCGAATGAGCTGCCATCATACACAGCAGCAGCGTACCAGCTATTACAGATGCAGGTGATAGCAAATTCATCGGTCCAGTTTTGTCCGCTAACATGTTTGGAATCGTTCTTCCAAATAAAGACGCAGCGTTGAATACTGGGACCAAGTATGTAGCGAGGGCGTGATCTGTGATTCCATCCGCCTCGGCATAATAAGGCAAATAGAAAAAGATGACGAAGATTCCCAGGTATGCCAATAGTGACACAAGCACGAAGGCCAAATAGTGAAAGTCCAGAAAGTTGGAGACGTCGACGGCCTTCCGGATCTTGGGCGGCTTGACACGCATTCTCATAACGACAATGGGAATCGACAGGGTTGCAAGCGCAATAAACCCCACAACTCGAACAGCCCAGGGAAATCCGATCTTGTCTAGAAGTCGATAGAGCACGATAGGGTAAACGATGCCGCCGAGTGCAGACCCTGAAGCCGCAATCCCAAGCGCTGTACCAAGTCGAGCACTGAAATACTGCGGAACGAGAGCCACGCAGGGCACAAAGAGAACCCCTGCGCCTATCCCAATTACAAGCCCCTGCGCAAGGACCACTTGCCAGTACTCGCGGCAAAGACTAAGCATCATGTGGCCGAACACCACCATAAACGCTCCGAAGCTCAAGATAAGTCGCAAATACCCGCGATCGTAGATGGGTCCCACGATAACACCCATAGCGAGCAATAAGAAGGCTGCGATGGATCCGATCCACGATATATTGGAAGATGAGGTTTCGAACAGCTCGCCCGACTCGTAGTAATTTTGGTATACGCCGAATGCGTTCATGATACCCCATGTATTGAAGTAGAGCATGAACGATCCCAGCACATGCAGCCAAGCTTTAACACCACCATCTGGCGGGGAATCTGGAAACCTGAATGGGCGATCATTTGGATGAGGCTGATCAGAAGTGCCATCTTGCTTAGGTCGTTTGATGCCATTGGTCGTGTGGCTTTTCGAACTTGGGATGTCTTTCTCTTGCATGATGCGCGAATTGGTGCGAGGGAAGGTGGCAACGAAAAGTCTTTGTTTCCTCGTATTTTTCAGCTCGTAGCTGCTATTTCTAATTGGTATTGAAAGCTCGAACAGTGTTGGGAACATAAAGTCGGAGATGTAGGATCGGACCCGGCAATCGGACTTGCAAGCGGCAACTCCGCAAGTCCGATCCACACTACATACCGTCGCATGGGATAGCCAAAACAATCTACAGCTAACTATACGTTCTAATTTCCGAATGTGACTTCATATCACGTATTTTTAAGATCATCTATCTGTAGATTCACATGAGATTTGTTAGGAACGTTCGGATCACCACCGCACGACCTGTGAACAGCTTGAACCACTTTGTCAGTCTACTAGTTCTCGACCACCACCCCACTATACTGCATGATAATTCTCTCTCAGAACTAGTGGAAACAATCAATTGCGATCGGCTTGGGCTTCCGGCAAGCTTGGGTAAGCTGACATTCCGCAGGCTTACTAGGGATAGCCAACCGAATCACAGAGAAGATGAACATTATCTTCACTCAAACTGGGTCAGAATCGTTTTATTGCAACATCTGACTGTCATAGCCTCAATCTCCCAGCAAACTTATGGGTGATCCGCGTCAGCTGATGAGTAGCAACACCCGATACACAATTGAAATTGATGCGGTTTAATTCATTATCGACAGAATGAACCACCTCAGCTTACCTAGCTATGACTTTCGTACTCGAAAATTGTTTGCTATACTATGAAACTCGCCGTGAAGTATTTCCGGCAAACCTAAGTGTTTCATGGTCCATTTTGAGAAACAGGGAGTCCCAAGACATTCGACAGATAATGCAGACCAACTTCCGAACGCATAGTAGTCTATCTTTCTCCCCACCTGTTCGACTCAACTTTTCCGTGTCGTCAATTTTGTCACGTATTTTCTTCAAAAAAGGTTTTATTGGTCTATAATGAGTTAATGTATACAAGAGCGCAGAAGCGTAACCGATTTCTTTACAAGTACAACGCTTAAAAAACATAGATAACCCAGCATCAACATGAAAAGATACAACATACAGTTCCGCTCGATAGAAAATCATGGTTAACCACCCAGACCAAACTCTGCATTGAGAATCGCAAGACAAAAAACATGAGGCGTTCTGATCCACAACCTTCAACATCGCCTACAAGATCAATCCAGTAAGCGATGAGACAGACAGACCGCTATCAGGGCGCCTGACAAATCCATTTGAACACTTGCTTAATCAGGAGATGAAGCAGGCAGAACCAAGCCCCATCAGAGTAACACAAGGCTAAGGCTAGATAGCAGACGCAGAAGGAGATACACCTTGGGAACCTGAAGTTGCCGAGGTTACAAGAGTAGTCGCCACGGCTTGGGACAAGATTTGCGTGAAAGACTCCCTAGATACCACAGAACTGCTGGGGGCATTATCAGGTGCCGTAGATGTCGAGAGTACTGCAGATGTTCCAAAGCTAGCGCCGGTTACAGTAGGTAGATAACACGCGACCCCATCCAATATCTCGCCCAGCTGTTCGGCGCCCCAGATTTCAAAGCAAGGACTAATGGTTGGTGAAGCCGGAGGTTGCGACGAAGTGACGAAAGAACTTTCTGTAGTGGACGAAGCAGTGGAAGTAATAAATGACGATGTAGGGGCTTCGGATCCGCTAGTGCTCGAAATAGGCTCCATGCTAGATTCAACAGCTGTAGTAGTGATAGGCTCCATGCTAGATTCAACAGCTGTAGTAGTAATAGGCTCCATGCTAGATTCAATCGCTGTGGTAGTGATAGGTTCATCGGCGGAATCGGTAGCGCTCGGGATAGGTTCCATGCTAGATTCAACCGCTGTAGTAGTGATAGGTTCATCAACGGAATCGGTAGCGCTTGGGATAGGCTCCATACTAGACTCAACAGCTGTAGTAGAGACGGGTTCATCGGCAGATTCAGTAGCGCTTGGGGTAGGTTCTACGCTAGACACAACAGCTGTAGTCGAGATAGGTTCGTCGGCGGATTCAGTATTGTTCGGAATAGGTTCCATGCTGGATACAACAGCTGTAGTAGAGATAGGTTCCATACTAGAGACAATAGCGGTAGTTGACATGGGTTCTTCGGCGGGTACGCCAGTACTCGAGATAGGCTCCATACTAGACACAACAGCTGTGGTTGACATAGGTTCATTGGTAAGATGGCTGTTGACCAAGGATAAACCTTCTGAGATGGGAAGAACGGCCGTAGGAAAGCTAGATTCATCGTTGGATTCACTAGCGCTTGAAGGTATAGGTTCCGTACTGGACGAGATGGCTGTAGTAGAGCTAGCTCCATTGGTGGATTGGACAGTGCTTGAGGACGTTGTTCCAGTATTAGAGTTGGTCAACGATGTTTTAGTACTGGTTGTGCTTGAAACTAGGGCCCTTGTAGTGGAGATTATAACACTAGAAGTCGTCTTGGTTGACGTAGGAGTGGTCGGAGGAGGGTTGTTGGCTGGGACAGCTGGTGGCACAGGTGGCACAGCTCCAGGGCCCTGATTACTTCCAGAGCCCTGATTAGATCCAGATCCCCCGTTAGATCCATTGTTTCCCTGGTTCGAAGGTCCACGCGGGTGTCTGGCTTGAAGGTTTGCTACGGCGTCCGCATCCAAAAGCGCGGCTTTATTGGGAACGGGAGTTGCCAAAGTATTTCCAAGAAAGACGGCAATCGCAAAGAATGTGTTGTACTTCATTGTGGATATTGAAACTGGGGGTAGTTGGTATGACTATTCGTGCTGGACGGTAAAGACTGAAAATAGAATGAACGAATGTCTGAACGGAAAAGTGAATGTAGGAAAGAATGTATTGAGTTGGGTTACTCTATGATTAATCTGGCCCTGAGCAGAGGGTATCGATGTGCTCTTTATACTGGTAGACCACATACGGGGGTTGCAAACATGCTCGACTGAATTTAGTTAGATGTATCCGAATCAGGTTTACAATCGCTTCTCATAGCGCAACCCAAATCTTATATAAGTCTCGGACATTGAGAAGATCGTCATAGAATACTTTACGAGGCTCTACCACGAACACCGTTGTCGCAATCAATTTTTGACAACATACAATGCGTTGTCTCTCCAGCCACAGAGCTCAGCGACCATCGTACAACCTTGTAGTGCTAGGTGTGCTCTCGTCAGCTTAGGACACCGCAAGGTTTAGCGACTACAACAATACTAGAAATCGCCTATTTCGAGTCTGCCAAACGAAATGGAAACACAATACTAATTATAAGAAATGTACCATCCACTTTTATTGTAGAACTGACGGTAAGACGAGAATAAATGTTATTTTCTTCATAAATGATCAAAAAGTCCGTCCGGTAAGCTGGTACGAAATGTGACCTTATTTGAGATTGCGGATGAACTGTTAATATTCCAAGGAGCTGTATATCGAGAATATCATGTTGCATCTCGGTGCTTGCCCTATGAACTTGCCCCAAATTACCGCCTATCGATCGATACATCCCTTCCCCGTTGCCGGCATATCACATAGGGTGTGGCTCGCACTTTCCTCTCGCTCCGCCTCCCTTTTTGGTGGAATCGTCAGTCGAGCTAAATCCATAAAATGCTTGGGTTTGGTAGGATGGGTGCGCGCAAGTTCGTTCGTGCCGGTGAAACAGTTTTATCACCCAGAATATGAAACACGCGCAAACACGCATATTTCATATCCCGCTCCCAGCACCAGGAAATGCTTCAAACAAGCTCGTATCGTAATCAGTTAGCTGTGGACAATTGAAGGTTGCAATGATTGGATTCAGAGCATCTGTCAATTTCTGGACAGCCGTTTGAACCAGATTGCCGAGAAGGCCACCCCGAAGAATATCGGGGGAAGCTATGCTTACAACCTGGAAGGCAAAACATGCAAGGTTGTTACCCTCGAGAAGCGTCTGGCCATTGAAGACTCCGCCTGTGAGATCAACGACGTCCACACCAGTAAAGGTGTTAGGTTCCCCAGTGTTGCCACCAATGGCAATGATATATGGCTCCGTTGTGATCGCATGAACGGCGTCGAGATTGAGTGAGACTAAGCTGTACTCGTTACCAATAGGACGTCGGTACCACTACCACGCGATCAGCTGTGTCAAAAAACTCGAGGGGACTGCTTACGTTTTCAGGAATCCGCTCACGTCCATGCTCCCACTGGAAGTTTCCTGGCTCTCCTGTGACACCCTCAAAAGATTTGAGTGTTTCTAGGTCAAGGTAACCCTCGCCTGGATGTTCAGCAGACCAATTTCCGAATAGGCGATAGGTGAAAGCGTGCGCTGCAGCGTTGACAGCTAGGTGTGTAAAGGGTCCGGTGAAGAAGTGCCCATTAGTTGCAATCGAGTTATTGAAGGAAGCCCCCCGAAATTTGCTCATAACTGTGAGGTCGTATCCATTCGGACCCTGAGGCATGGCGGCAAGCTGTTCGAATTGTTCCAGATTCAGAGACACTGGATCTCCGCTGAATTTGGTTAACTCTGCTATCTTTGCGGTAGTGCTGATACATACGTCGAGTAAAGGTCTCCTCGAGTGGGCGATGCATCACACTCGAAACGGTTATGTGATGCACTTAAGCCTTGTCCTTCACCAAGAAGACCAAGCGAAGATGTCAAGCCACCTAACAAACTACCACTATTCGCCTTTCCACCTATGGAGAAAGAGGTGATGTCTCCAGCCATAACACCAGAGTAGACTGACAAGAAGGCGGCCAGGTCAAGGCCCATACCAAACACTTTGATTCAGTCAGATCTTAGACTCGATCTAGTAGTAAACCACAAGTTGGATTTGACATGCTTACCTTCGTTAGAAGCTGCGGTTATTGACAAGACCGAGTCTACACCAGTTCGTGAGATGTAGCCATGATTTGCAAGAGCATTGAGCCCTGGGCATGGTCCACGAACGTCGTTTGACCCCGGCGCAATCTGTTGAATGTAAGATTAGTGATTTTACATGAACGTGTGAGTTTGTAAGCATGCGTACATATGCATGGGCTCCAGTCGTGCTGATTCGCTGTGCATCAGCATCGAATGCACGTTTGCTTGAGTCACGCTTCACTTCAGACTGGCGGGCAATCTTGGCTGCCAAAGCGGCATATTCTGCAACCGTATCTTCACTGATATCTCCGTGGTTGCCGGGGAAGGCGAAGCATGACAATGAGAATAAGGTCGCGGGGTAGATTAAAAACGCTTTCATGGTTGCGAAGTGGCTTGGAAAGTACTGAAATCGTTCGAACGGCAAATTCAACGTCGACACTATTCTATATAAACCCCACGTGGTTCACTTTCGCAGTGGAGACCAAGCATATCGTCGGCGAATAAGGGAGATCGCCACCCAAGCAATATATACTACTATTGGCCCACTCTAGTTTACATGACTCTGTGGCAAGGAGATTTCGCGAACTAAGAGCTGCGCAAGGTGGTAATGAGGAAAGCTCACGGGTATGTAGACGTAAACGTCACAGCTGGCATAGGGATCGACAACACAAACAATGGCACTCAAGAGTCTTCAAATCAGACAAGCGGACTCAGGGGGCGCACGTGGGGAGCTTGTACTACGCTTGCTATTATCAGCCATTGAAATTGAATGTTTAAGTAGAAAGGGGTTGGGTGGTGGAGACTGAGAATAGTGACGCAGACGATCAGTTTGTCACAGCAGCCTGCAACCCACAAGACTGCATACTCTTCTACATTCTAAGTGCTGTCAAAAATTTGGTGTGGCTCAAAGGTGCAGTTGGTTTGCCGAAAATCTAGATAGGCTACAGGCTAGATGATCAAGTAGTTTCTCAAGTGCAGTTTTACTATGACCCTGGAATATGTAGCAGGAATGTTGGGCGAGCGATCGGCGAGCTTTGACAGGAAGAACTCGGCTTAGCTCGATACATATAGAGAAATCTTCCTTTCACTCCATCAAGAATAGCCGGGATCCCTAGTTGGGAAAGAGAATCCTCGCCTTGCCACTAATCAGATGCTGATTATCTTTGAGCTTCATGACTCGCTTAGCCGAGCAGCTAGTGGGAATGCACTCTCAATGTGACCCAAGTGTGGGATTGAAAACACCGACATGATTAGTCAATTGCTATCGACAGCGACGAAAGCGCTGAGGCATCGCTCGTTCCCTGACACCGTTTGAGAAGCAGAGGTCGAGCGCATATGCTCCATCTGCCCCTGTCACCCTTTAAAATCCTGTGAACGTTGAGCACACAAACCGCGGTGACAGCTATACTACCGTGATTATGCAAAGAGTACAGAAAGCAGATCGTTTGAAATTCTTGTTCTCTGTCCCTCCAGAGGTCTATGTATGCAATCTGAAGAACCAATCCTCCTCTTCAGGCACTCTCCTGATAGTCCTTATCGAGCATGGCTTTATCAGAGGATGAGTCTCCCCGAACAGGACTTGATACCACGATCTTAACTGGCGATTCTACACCAGCATGACCTTGTGAGTCTCCTGTCTTCCCGTGAGCCGTCTGTGTATTCTTGGTAGCAGAAGGTCCCACTCTACGCATCTCCATAAATTGATCATCACCCAACTCTTCGTGACCTTCTACCTCAAACCTTGAAAACTGCTGTGTTGAGAGCCTGTATTGATCTTTGGACCCTTTCTTGCTCCGTTGCTTTGAAACTGTGAGCGTTTCACCCGAGTAGTTCGACCCATTCTTTGAGTCTTCCAAAGTTTTGTAAGACTTCTTTTTATCGGCGGATCCACGTGAACGACCAGTCTTATCGCTTGACGATGCCTGAGTAAGATTCTTGAAGCCGTTGACAGCGCGTCGTATCAGGGCTTGTACTGTAGGCACTGCGGCACAAAAGTGACCAAGTCCGCTAGCAATGAACGTGCTCATAGACGTGCCGGTGACTGTGTAAGTCTGATCGCTTTGATCTACGACACCTTTCAAAAATGGCACACGCGCAATTGATACTCCGATGATGCTAGAGCAAGTCAGTAAAATCCCAGCAATACTAGAACGATTGCCAACTTACAGCAGTCCCAGACCGAAGAAAACGATGAGTTGAATCTTTTTCGCGGTTGCCATCTGGAGCTTCAGGACAACTGGAACAGGAAGAGCAAACAGGATAATCTCTGCAATAACCTCATAGACGACCGTGAGTTTCAATATAATTAGCCAGTCAAGACATTTAGCAGTCTTTGCAGCCTCAAGATCCCATTGAGCTCGGACAGGATTACATCGAATAGCTGCCGTGAGGAGAAGAGGAACAACCCAACAGAACGTAAATGCCATAAAAGCAAAGCAAGCCCGCTTCAGCCAAACGTGCGGAAAGATACGCAGATATAGGCAGAGGATGCTGTACTTGAGTAACAGCATCTCAACACCCCACAGTATGGTGGCAACATAGGCTATGCGCTGGTCAGTATGATACGCAACTTGTCTCCGCTTTTGATGGCTTACTCCATCGCCCAATCTCAAACACACGGGGATATGTTAAGTCCCATAAATGCTTTCCGATTCCCGCGTCGATGTTGAATTCGAAGACAGCACAGAGTGGAATACACAGGAGGGCTGATGCCAGATGAATCCAGTCGTCCCACCAAAAGCGATTGCCACCTATCCAACGCGAGGCAAAGCGCATAGCAACTGCAACCACGGGTATAATGCCTGTTACATATGCTGTAATCCTCATAGAGGTTGTGAACGAATCGTGTGGTCGGTTGCAAAGTGTTGCCTGCGCTCGGAGTATGTCGAAAGTCTGATCGAGGGTGCATTTTTCCATCAAGCACGGTTGGAGGATCTCGGTCGAATTCTTGGAATTGCATTGGCACTCGGTATCCAGAAGATCGCAGCCGATAAGGGGTAATTTTGTTATGATACATTCGAGCTGTACTGGTTAGCTGAATGCTTTCATGTTTCGAGAAGGATCTTACTCCGCAGGGTGGAATTAGACTCAATGCATCCGTCGAGGCATCCGGTGTTGCATTCACAGTAAAGCTGTATGCACTTGCAAAAAGCGCTACTGAGAATGGGCGCAGCCAAAACATGTCGAGATTGGTGAAAGCGACTTAATGATCGCTATTGAGTCTGCAAAAGATAGCCGCTCGATGAATTGTTCACTGCGAGGCGGGGCTAAATAATCAAAGTACTCAATATGCAGTTTGCCATGGTGCATTGATAAATTAATCGCGAGCCTGTGGCTCCAACTAAGAACGAACGCATTTTACTGGAACCTTTTGAGATTCATACATGTAGGTCTCTATCGTACTAACACGGGTCATGCGGCTCATGCCAACGACTAAGGCTAGCGTACTTGCGGACGCTCGACTCGGGCATCATATTGTCCGATTGATCCAGCCACGCGCCAGATTAACTACACATTTACTATCTATGACACGCTGGTTCTAAGGCGAAATACTGGCGTGCGGATGAAAGCTGCCGCTATGTTGTAAGTGTCGAACCTGGTAGTCTGTACCCAGTGTACCTTGATCTAGGCCATGTTTAGCCTACACTAGACTTCGCGCCGGATAGCGGCAGAAGATCCGTTCGATATAGTCTTACGACCGGATGTTCCGCTATTCCAGTTTCAGGCTCGCTCAGATCGACTCTCTATGAAAGAATATGGGGTACACGATGTTGTGGATGACGTTTTGTCGGCATGCTTCGCAATGTCTCGAGGGCATATGTCATGAGACTGTTTTGGCAGACGTCCGCTGCTACACCTACCAGACCATGTTCTGATTACAAGGATCACCGGGTGTAGTAAAATCTTATATTTTGTCTGCATGGCAGATCCCAGTATGTAAGTTGAAAGTGATCCCCGGATGCAGGCTTCCATGATAATGCAGATCCCCAGTGCGCCACTACCGTGATCGACATATAGACCCGTCCCCTAAACTTAAAGGTCGCCTTAGACTCAATTAGATGATTATGCCCTCATCGCAAATCGAGCGACGACGAGTTCGCCTCCGTCCCTGTCCTCTACGTTATGCAAACGACGCAACCACTTTTTTAGGCTCTTCAGCCGTATCGCAAACGGCATTGAGAAACTTTCACGGCAGCTACTTCCTGTGTGAGAGTAGCAAGTCTCAAGTACCAGCACGAATGATGTACCAATCACTCTCATGGTTTGCAATTGCGGGCCAGGGCGCGGGTGTAATCTTCACGTTCCTGTCAATCGAACCGCGCTCTAGTTTTTCCTGTGTGGTTATACCAAACAAGCAAAATCCCGCAAAGTTTCAGCGCTCCGTGGAACCTGGTCAAAAGACTCCACGAGACGATGCAGACTTAAAGATCTATCTAACTAAACTAGCTTAGTCAAAGGAGACTGTGATTCAACTAGCTTTAGCTAACTTACTCGCCCGAATAGGAATGCGGCAAATAGATGTCCTTCATCTTTCCAGTGGCGAGATCATGGAAATCCGAAGATCACACAATGTACTTGGCTGCGAATTTTGCATCGGGTTACATCCTTCGAGCGGATGCTGACCAGATATTCAACTACCAAGGCTTCACACTAGGAATTGAAAACAGGAGTAGATCCCAGAACGCGCTACTATTGCTGTTGGTTTGGGCGAGGAAATGATCTTTACATACTCTCCCGGGATCACCCACGAGACTTTACTCCTATCTGTGTGAACAGTCCTTGAAGCAAAAAAGTGTTGAGCGAAGCAGATGCCATCGGCGAACTAGCAGCAACATTGATCACAGAGTTAATGAATTTTTGTAAATTTCGAGTGATTGTCGCATACTGTTCCGAGTCAACGCGAGCTGCGGCTTAGGAGTATGGCGACCTGATAAGCTCGGCAGATGCAGAGCACCGCACTTGCTCGGCAGATTTTACTCCGTTGTTTACAAAAAGCTCAAGTAGTCTGTATTCAATGCGCAATGTCCAATTGATAGCTTCGTTTCTGAGACTTAGCTCGAAGGGAAGCTAGACGAACTTTGTCGCGGCGGAGCCACGCACAGCAGATGTATTTTATATCAGACCACATATCGTTAAGCGCATTCGCTACAGCTATCCAGAAATGCATGAATACTTTGCCTAGAGATCATGATTAAATTCATGTGTCACCTTTAATGGGAGGTATCAGCTCTGCACAAGAACTTTCGGGGGATGTTGGCAAGCTGCTCAAGTTTGGCATGTATTAGTACCCAAGTCTTCTCGGAGATTAGAAACACGGTCGTGCTGCACCCATTTTCACAAAAACCTGCAGTCACTTCATTTGACGTACTACTTATTTTGGGTGGCCGCAATCTTGCATGTTGACTCTAGGGTAACACTGGTAAACCTGACGAAGGCGTATCACCGTCCAGTTCGCAAGTAAGAAGCAGATTGAAGTAGAGAGAGCATTGACAGTTATTTAGGGGCAATTAGACAACCAAAACACTGGTGAGGATTGAGATATAACAGTAAATTATACTCCACGAGAATGCATGTAGATTAACAATTGCCGGCGTCAGCAAGATCCCTATCGGGTTTGGTGGACCTTTTGCCACAGTCATTGAGCCTAATATAGCGTCACCCATCGAGCGGAATCCCAGACAATCCACTCGACCATTCTAGAAGTTATCGTGCTTTTAAGCTCACCTTTAGCTGCCCATATGCTCGAGGAGTTGTTACCATCACCCTGGGTAGCGCTCCTGGGACAAGATCTTTGCGCATGCGAATGCTGCATCTACTGGCGATGGTAGTATCTTCATGGATATGGATATTTTGAAGAATACTACTAGCTGTTTGACTATTTCTTGGATAGAGTTACGAACTCCGGTCACTCCATCACTTGACCAGAAGCAGAACCAATCTTTTCCCACTGCTTCCTAGCAAAGAGCCGATATCATGGGTTTCTGGATCCTAGTTAACGTCAAAAGTGGTCGAGTGCAACTTTTCATCCCATTCGCTCGTCCTGTCAAGCAACGATAGGGCTTACATGTCCCCCGCCCCCCTCCAAGGAAAAAAACAACCGATGCCAGTACATCTTCCCTCGCTAACCACTGAGCCGATATTAGGGTCAAAGCCTTGAGCACACTTACAGAATAACGGTGGTTTGAATACGGTTAAAGAAAACTGTCGCCGCGATGTACGCTGAATGACTGAATTCAATGGCACAAACACCCGGATACAATTGTAGATATATAATTATGGACTGAAATGCAAGGTTTTCCTGGCAATAGACGAGATGATATCTGCTGGACCTGAGGTACGGACGTCTGGAGCCCGAGAAGGAGAAGTCGGATCTCAGTAATGTTTGACCTTTGCCCTGTTTTCAGTTCAACCAGAGTCGTGTTCCCGCATATTCTAAGAAAAACAGCGCTGTTCAAAGATGCTCGCGTAGAATCGTATTCCCCTACGCGTGTGTCTCGTACGTTGCGGCCCCATGATGCGAGGCTAGCTGATATAGGTTATATCGTGCCCATATAGATTCGTGGAACTATACAGAAGAAACGAATTATTGGATGCGGCCTAGAAACCAAGGATGACGATTCTCACTTTGCAAATATGATGGATCATTGCATTGACCGCGCATTTGAAGTAGAGACGTATACGACGTCCCAACGATCCAGTGGAGATGTACGGATTTGAAATGTGTGGTGCTGATGGTGTTGCAGAACCATGGCACGCTTGGAGCATTTCATGCTTCCCATTCCATGAAATCTTACTCGATACATCATTACGGATCGCATGAATCTCACTTTGAAAAAGGCATGTTGTTCACCGTCTGTAATTATCGATTGTTGATTTGGAAACATATAAGCTGCAGTCTTCCTCCACATCTCTCGCGCGACGCCATCCAAAACAAGAAACCAACTGGAATACCCTGTGTTCTTTGCATCTACGAATGGTGGTTCGACTGGTGACACCCGTGAAATTGACGGCAATGATTCGTGCAGAAAATTGACCCGCGTCGAACACCCTGGGCCGTGGTTTAATCCGTATTCCAAGGCGGTTTCAGTCGAATACAAGTGACTCCAGATCAATATCCACAATCTCACGCCTTTTAAACCTTATTTGGGTCTCTGGATTGACCGAGAAATCGACTCCGAAATTGACCGGCTCTGAGGTCGATCCAGGGGCCAATTCCCAATCGTATTTTAGCAAGAGATGGCAGAGCGCAATCTTCATCTCATTTGCTGCAAAGAATCGACCAGGGCATGCCTGCGTTCCGTGCCCGAAATGAATGTGTTCGGGGCTTGTAGCGACCAATTGTGCCTTGTTGGCTCCCTGGGGTTGCTCACGCATTCGAAGAAAACGGTAGATATCAAACTTCTCGGGTTCGGGGAAGATAGTAGGGTCTTGCGAAGCACGTGCATCCACCATAGAATTTTCACCTCTGCGGATAGTGAAACCGTTCTGCAGTTTGACATCCTTCGTTGCCACACGGCGCATTGAGACTTGCATTCGATCAGTTCAGTTGATCACATATTTTCAGGGTGATTTATAGACTTACGCAAGCTGTTTGGACGTACTCGCTGTGCTTCCTTGAGCGTGCTATCGAGGAGTTTCATGTTGTACAGTGCGCTCTTCTTCCATCCGTCCTGCTTGAGTACGGTAATCATCTCTTCGCGGAGAGGCTTAAATGAATCAGGATGTTCAGCCAGAAGACCCAAAGTCTTGCATAATAGATCCGAGGTGGTATGAATGGCCGCAAACGCTAGAGTCAGCTGGAAATCAGCCGGGTTGTACTTCATGCCCTTGGTTTCGGTTTCCCCCCAATCGAGAGCGTCATTGAAACTTGGAATCGGCTTCCCCTCCAAACGAGCCTTGTTCTTAAGTGCACGTCGATTCTCTATGACTGGCGTAATGATTTCCCGAGCACGGTTAGCTTTGCGCCGAACCACTTGGCACTTGGAAGAAAACAGAGGAAGGAGGAATTTCAGAAACTGCGGAACAATCGCAAGTTCTACTGCTGCCCTAAATCCATCTACGGTGTATTCTTTTGTTATGGCAAGCCATTCCTCGTCACGACAAAGTTCTTCGCCCAGGAAAACACGGGACGAAAGACGAGCAACTAGGTTCAGAATCGAGTCGGCCAAAGGCGCTTGTTGCCACTCTATGATATTAAGTCAGACTGATATCAATAACACATATCGCTGTTGTAAACCTACCCAAGGAATTACCGAAAATATGATGCACGGCGAACGTAGTTTCCTGGGCAAGGGGTTCCGTCACTGTGTCTGTCAAGTTGCTCTGTCAGACATGCGCCAAGTTGATTGGAGATGAGCGCGTCTTACTCAAGAGCTTGGTAAGCTGCTTTCTAGCAACGTCTTGTACAACATGCGAATTGTGGTCTATAACTGCTATAGGGTCAAATCCGGGCACGTGGGTTGAAAAGTCCTGGAGAATGAGTACGTTAGATATTATCACCGCCCGGATAGTAATGAGCAGATCATACATTTACGATAGCTTTAGCAAAGCTGAGCCCTGTTTCATTGCGTATCATGTTCGCGTATTCGGGCGGAAGAACTGTCAACTCGCCGTTCGTGGTGAGCATGCGAAATGGTTGGCCGAGATACTTGGATCTGCCCCTCTCGAGAATCTTGAGGCCATCTTTGATGAACTCCAACTGCTTCTGGAACTGAAGTGAGGCTATTCCTATCGGATTGACGTGTGGTAATTTGTTTCTCTGGCCTTTCAGAAGTAGCAGTCCGATGGTGACTACGACCAAAATTGAGGCAGTGAGGACGGGTGAGGTCCCCGAGTCCATGGTGGAGATTATGGGTTGAAACATCGATCGAAGTAACAAGATTGCTCGCAAGCTTTTTCAATGATGGTAAAGTAAAATGCAGCAAAGAGATTGCAAAAAGATAGAGGTTGAATCGAAATCTTGAAGAGCAGATCAAATCCTTATTTATTCATCAGCTTTTGTGTCAGACTTCACTGCCGACTGACCTTCTTGGTCAAGGACGAAGACCATCCGACCATCCGTTCAAGCTATGCATACTTAGTCTCAAGGATCTCATAAGACCTTTCCAACGAATACGCTCTATACGCAGGTTGAGGGGTCTGAAGAGCATGAAAAAAAACTGGGCACGGACTCATTCGTACAGATAGCATCGGTCCGTTTAGCAATATGTGAACTAGCGGGCGGGATCACCCTGCGAGTGGGTCGTTTCGCATGTCAGTACCCTGTAAGTTCCTTCAACTATTCAAAGCTCAAGATATAGGTACATACGAGACATGGCAGATAGCCCTGTCACCACTAACGCCTCAGGTTACCGGGTGTAAGCTTCGAATCCTTCCATACCTGACTCAACGAGAATACCTCAATCACGTTATACGAGTTTTGCATTATCAACTTGATATATGGACAAAGGGATAGAGAAACGGTATCCATACACCTCATGGTGGCCTACTACGCTCTGGCGGGAACGAAACTAATGAAATTTGTGGGAAGGGTGTAACCCTCTTCATGTACTCATATGCAGTAATAATAGACATGAATCAAACCATGAAGTCGATCATGACCGTGGCGAGAGTGAGTGGGATTTGATTCTTGAAACGAGTATGACGTTTTGGCTGGCTGTTGGTCTCGCATAGGCGCTGTTCACAAAACACGAATACTTGGTAGAAAAAGGGTCCCGTCCACTACAACCCAACGAAGATGATGGCGCCCAGGAACAGCGGCTCTTGCCCCATGTCGTTATCGTCAGTTTATCTGGAAACGAGAAAAAATCCGGACTAATACTCCTGGACAATCGGGAATTTAAACGCTTGTTGTTCCGATTGGAACACAGATATACGGTATATACGTCGGGTGGCGGACATTGCGCGTTCCGTTCATAAACACTCGCGCCACCGACTGGCGACTGCAGCGGGCCGCACGGAAGGAAAATATACCGTTGGCGAATCGACTAGGTAGTTTTCTAGTGAATGCCATGGAAGAACCCATAAACGCCGATTAATCTGCCAACTGCAAGAATTATCGGCAGATCATCACATGGCTACAGCATATGCATGTGCTCAAATGTTGTGTTGCAGTGGACTAAATTATTGGTACTCTGGGATTGCGAACGGAAATAACTACATAAGTATAGCAATGACGCACACATCCATACTACTACACCTTCCTGAAGATAGGATAAAGGTCTCCAACCTCCATTGGCACAATACCAAAACTAACATACGAGTCAATGTTCTCAGGCTCGAGCGTCACGAAAGCGTGGCCAGCATTCTTCTGCGCAGTGGGAACAAAGAAACTTCCCGCAGGTAATTCGATAGTCTGCGTCAACGTCTCGGTAGTGACTCTGTTAAGAACATGGCCCTCATAGTAGGATCTTCCCAGCGACGACGAGGTGATGTTGTACACTTCGACCTCATCGATAAAGGAGTCCGCCAATGTCTCGATTTCCAGGCCCGCGATTCGCAAGCGCTCGGCCACGTCAGACCATGCGCGGGGGATCACGTAGCCCTCTGGTCTTGTGCGGGTCAAGTTCGCGGTCGCTGGAGTTGTGCTTGCGAATTGGACTGGAATCTGGACAACCTCGCCGGACCGCCTGTCTACCATGGTCCAGGTCCGATCGCTATACTCGGTATAGTCGGTAATCACAATGTCCTCGGAACTCTTAGCGAACTCTTCTATGGCGCTTTCCATGGTGTTGTACACGTCTTCTTTGTGGTCCCGGGCTGTTTCTAGCACACCGAGGACCATCTGCAGGCCAGCGAGGGTTCTTCGCTTAAAGCTCTGGTTCGCGATGCCGATTCCACGAGTTTCAGTAAGGAAGGTGACGCATTGGCTAAGACCCATGGAATTTCTTCCAATCTTCGCATCGGTTCCGGCTTCGTCTAGTTTGACGGGATTGCTCGATGAGGAGGCGGTCATATATGGTTCGCCACGAAGACCTTTGGAAGCCATTGAAGCATTAATGGCAGGCGCAAAGAGAGTTTCGCTAAGTTCCCGGATCTTTGGGTGAATATTGAGGTTCTTTGGCTATTAGCACCCGGCAAAGTTATTATAGGAAGCATTGAAAGCTCACCTTGGCAGCGCTGTACATTCCGTCGGCAGCGTTACTGTAGTTTCCTGCGAAACGACTCGCAGCCCCATATTCATGAAGATCTACGGCAATATGCGGAGAGAAATCGTTAAAAAATTGCTTGATTTCTCTCGTCTGCTGGCGCATCAATTTTGTGTGATCTCTGTTCGGGTCGAAGTTCGTCGCCAACGTGCGCTGAAAGTCTAATTCGCTTGATCAGTCCCCGCGAGCAACCGAGCAGATGAACCAAGCTTACAGTCGTTGCCATCAGGATTGTATCGTGGTAGCACGATGATGTCCATGGCTTCGAGGAAACTCGCCGCCCATTTCTCGTCGGCGTCCAAAGCTCCTAGTAGTGCCATGAGAGCCTCATCACCCGCCGGCTCATTTCCATGTACACTTCCCTGCAGCCATACCCTCAACTTTCCAGATGTCGCATTCTGTGAGCTCGACAGATGGACGTATGGGAAAGGTCGCCCCTCTTCCGAAAGAAATTCCGTATTGCGAAACGACGCCCACGACGGGTTCTTGGTGGCAATCGATTCCAAAAAGGCGCCTAAAAGACTGGTCAGTCACGGATAAAGTCAATTTGCGACTGCAGCGCGTACTCATTGTCGATTGACTGGTAGCGCCATCAGAACCCTCGGTCCATCCAGGAGCGAAACTTGCGTTCGGCAAGAAGGCCGGGCTAAGGAGAGTGACGTTCGGCGCAGGAAAAGCGCCCTGCTCAACCATATCCGAATCCAAGTTGACTCGGACATGGTTTTCGCCGTACTGGGACTGCGCAAGAGCGCTTCCGCTCAATGCAGCGATGACGGCGAGGATACTGGTAGCTGGAGCCATGGCAGCAACAATAGCCCAATTGACAAGCGGTTATCGAGTCGCAATTTCATGATGGGCATCATTTTCTTATAGTGTTTGGGTTTCCGAGAGTTCGGAATAACAGAAAGAAGACGTGTTGCATCATCCAAGACGCTACGACCGTTCCATGCAGCCAAGAGTGGAGGAATTGTCTGGGCACCTGCCACATACGGCATTGGAGCGTCTTTACTATCAGGTTTATCAGTCATCTATTGCGAATCGTAATGCCGACGGAGCAGGCCGAGAGAAACGTTGGTGAGGGACGGCGTGAACGATGTTATATCCTGCCTAGCGAGGCTCGTGAGCGATACTCGGTACAGCAGCGAAATCGCACACGATGAGATCGGGATATCTTCTCCGAGCCTAGTAAAATAGGTCGGATTTATTTTAACCGCATAAATTCTTTGTCTGCAGTCTGTGGACAAGTCGCAGTGTTCTCACACCCGCGTTGTGTTGAGTGTATCGATCGAGATGCTCAAACATTCACTCAAAAACCACATAAAATGTTTCGTTCCACTGGTCATCCCATTGTGGAGATGGGTATCGGAGCAGCTCAAAGATTTCTTCAATTTCAGATCCATGAATGATAAATTTACAGCTACATTGATCGCTAATTGTCTATACCGTAAACTTCCTCTCTCCATTAACGATATTGAAGGTGGCACCGGTAACATCACTGCATGCCAAAACACCCTTTGTCGAAGTCGTCGTACAGGACTCGCCGTCCTTCAGAGGCAGAGAAGGGTCGGAGATACGTGTTCCCGGCTCAAGATTCTGGAAATCTGCTTCGGCCTGGGCTACCGTGACCGTCTGAATCTGACGTTTCTGTCGTTTCCCGTTGACAATGTTGAACGTGCCTCCAGTTCCGTCGTCGCAGCCGAGAACTCCTTTGGTCGACGTTGTCGAGCATGACTCCCCTGCGCGCAAGTTGAGCTTGCCGTCAACAACTGGTGTCCCGGGCTCAATATTGTTGAAGTTCTTGACGGCTTCATCGGCTGAAATTGCTAGGTCGTCGAGGGTCTGCCGCTTTTCCCTCTGGCCGTTGACAATGTTGAAAGTGCCACCGGTGCCATCGTCACATCCCAGAACACCCTTGGTAGATGTCGTCGTGCAAGATTCACCCGGATTCAAGCCAGCGGGGAAAGCAGGTGTTCCAGGCTCAACTGGGAGAGCCGCGGCCTGGACGGTGGCCAAGAGGGCAGAGGTGGCGACGATGCTGAATTTCATGATGAAAGGGTGAAGGGGGGTTTGGGTTTTTGTGAAGAAGGAACGGACCGGCCGAAGATAGAATGTAGACAGAGATAGATGAATAATTCGAAGATAGAGTTCGATGTGTTTATTCGAGGCGCAATTATGGATACTTATATCCTCGGAGTGACCGTACTGTGCGCGAAAAACTGTGATGAATTCAAGCCACCAGATCGTGCTCATTGTGTGGCACGGTTTCAGGACGCTCTGGAGAAAGGAGGGTTATGCTATGGTGTCTGTCTAGCATAGAACTTAGCATGAGCTAATAAGAGATCACGTCGTTAAAACATGAACTCACTTCCATTTATTGTACCAATGAACTGATCATTTTCGGGGCTGTTGAAATGCTCCCCTTTGTTTTACCTTGTCCTGGGTGCGCCCGAGAATGCTGTGACACACGTAGCCGTTTCGATCTTACGTAGTGCGACGTCCGACAGAATCGCGCCGAATTTCGGTGTTTCTCGTTCCAATGCGATATCACATCTTCATTCCAGGAAGTAGGGGCACCTTCCTTCAAGAAACAATCTTTGTCGCCTCCTTCTATCTGTTCATTTATGCCCCACCAATCGTGAAGCTATATCTCTCGCCGATCTGGATGGTTGCGGTAATCATAGTTTCAGTCTTGTTGTTACAACGCATAGCGGAAAAATGGATTCTCCTTGTCTGTTAAGTCCTTGAAAGCAAGGGTCGCTTTCTCGTTCTGATCCAACTCCAGCTGCTTTCTGCGCTGATTCTCCCGATGGAGCAGCACGTACAATACCAAGGCTGAAATTATCGTTACGCAATAGCTGCATTCGCATTAGTTTACCCCTCATCAAGATGCAGAGTGATATCCGAAGATAAAGCCTACCATACGATGAGCCCTGTCCAGAGCTCGGGATAATGATCTGCTTTGGATTCGCTCTTTACTAGTAGAGGCCCAACAATATTCCCAACACAATAAGCGACGAAAACTGCGGACGCCATGAAGCTCTTTTTCGTTTCTCCGGCCACATTCGCTGCTCCAAGAGTCACGGTCAAGGCAACAACTGGACCAAAAAATCCAATAAGGGAGTAACCAGCCACGGGAGTGATGGGACGATTACCCCATTGTGACTTCCAGATCATGACGAACCCAGCGATCACTGGTAGACAACACGCAACCAATAGCTTAATGCGCATGTTGCGGTATCTAGAGCAGATCCAGCCGGTAAGTGGTATACCAACAGCGCATACTGCCCCAAGGGGAAATTGGAAAAGGATGCTTTGCAAACTGGTGTACCCAAAAGTGGATACAATGAGCGGCCCAAAACCAGAAACGGCACCATTCACGGTATATCTATTGGCCTAATTAGAAATAGTCCCATTGGAAAAAGGAGGAGATGCGTTGGCGACTGCGATCTCTGGAGAAGGTAGCACGAGAAATGGCTGACGTACGCTGAAGCCATTATTAAGGCTACAAGCCACACTTTTACATCAAGTGCAGCCTCCCGAATTTGGGGCCATTTGATGTTTTGGTTCCTCACTCCGGTTTGTCCTGCGCGCAGTCGTTCTACCGCCACAATGCGTTCTTCGGGCGTAAGAAACCAGGCATTCAAAGGCGAGTTCGGTAATGCGAAACACCAAAGACCAAACAAAAAAGTCAGACCTCCTGCCAGCACATATATGTACTGCCATGACTTCAGACTTCCACCCGAAATTTGCGCGAACCCGTAGTTCATTGCGCTTCCGATAACGGTGAACCAGCCAGTTCCAGAAAACCACCACGTCTGTCGCAAAGCTTGTTCAGACTGAGTGTAGTATCCACTGACGGTGACCATGAAAGCAGTCGGGATGATGGACTCCGTGAAACCTGCCCGTCGAAGTAAGCATGATATAGATGATAGCAATAAGCGAAGCATCTCACCCAGAAAGAAGCGCTGAACGAGCAGACCTTTCCAGTCTTGAACTCCAGCCGTAGCAGCACATATGATTGCCCATATTAGTACGGCTGGTCCTAAGATGTGATTCGCTTTGAAACGTTGGAGTAGATACGTCATCGGGTAAGAGCCTATAAGCTGACCAAAATAGAAGATCGATGTAGCCCAACTCAACCGCAAGGTGCTAGTAGTCGGAGGCGTGGTGCTCGTGTTCACGACGGACAGTTGCAAGTCCTTGGTCATGCCAAACAGGACTGCGCTGCCCAGTATAGCCTTGTCGTAGTACACGAGTCCGTACCCGCAAACCATGGCGGGCATCAGAAACAAATCGATCTTGCGAACGACACGACGCACTGCATCTTGGTCGATCTCTACCGGGTCGTCACCGAGAAGGTCAGGTGTTGGAACGGATACAGCCTGTAGCTTTGCAAGTTTTTCATGGAGGCCATTTGGATTCGTGGATTCCTCGTTAGGGGCAGGCGACGATGCGTTCATTGGACATGCACAATCACTTGATCACGTATGTTGATGGATTTTTGGTGTATCCAACAGATGGGGGTTCTCTTGGGGAGCGACAAATTTTCGGCGCCATAGGCCAATTTAGCCGTGACGTAATCGTGGTTTATTGGTGGAAACATCATCGCCACTACAGCTTCCCTCGACATCAGATTTACCTGTAAATATCATTTTTCTCTATTGCAGCTGTGCTATGCTTACTTAGTTTTCTGGTTATCTCAAGTTAAATGGTAGGTCAGAGTGATACATCACCTCATAAAAGCCATCGCATCCGGTGGACCATGAAGAAACATCGGTCGCATTAGGGCAAGAAGATGTCATATGGAGGAGTAGCCATTAGGAATCATACCAGATCAATACAATCAATTCATGAGTTGCTCGGGTAATGACTTATCGTAGAGTGTCGCACAAAGTGGAAATAGTTCATCCATTGAGCGAGGGAAGTCGAAGTGCCGAGACAACGATTTAGCAACACACATGAATGGCGGTATGCGTTTCGTAGACCCAGTTGATTACATGCTGCAGTTATGTTTGTCTTCTCCTAATGAAGATCCATGGTCGTTTCGAGCGGTGTGATGAGATTAAAAAGGTAGCAGAAGGATTGACTAGTCAGGGGTCAGGAAAAAACTGGATATTCGGAGCAATGATTTGACCAACGCATCTACTTATATTATGCAATTGCGACTTGCTATAGGCAAGCTCTAACTGCTAGTGAGCTTGTAATGCAAGCCATCGTCGGGAACTACCTACGTGGGGCTAGGTGGACTGAGCGATTGCCTATAAAGAAGTACATCAATCGGTCTGTGATCTTTGCGCAAGAAGATAAGCATCTCCCCAGACATTAGTTGCCCATAAAGGAAAATATCAAGCATGACGTAAGAAACTTGGGAAAGGAGTCTGATTCATGTTGACCATAGGGCTGCATGTCAGCTTTGTCCCCCGGGTCCCATGGAATCTCCACGGGGCATGGGTAGAGTTTTAGGAATGCGAAACCGACAAAACGGGGACCTCTGGGATAGGGGGTAGACTCACGTCAGATACTGGTAGTGCCCGCTGCGACCTTGCGTCGTCCTAGCGCAACCTACATATCCTCTTGAAGATGCGAAGCACGCACTTTGGTAGTCTCGAGTAATATCAGCGGGTCCGGCGGGATGGGTGCTGAACAGGGAAACGGATCACTCGCGTATCATATACACGGGCCGCTCGGGTTCTCTTTTCATCTAATAATAAGTCCGGCGTAACTGCTTGTCGCTGTGAATACGCTTCGAGACACTAAGAATGGTTCGTTCCTCTCGGCATCACAAACCGCGTTTGCTGTCATGATTGGCCTCATCGTTTAATTCAAGCTTAGCTAATAATTTTGGCACCATAAGCAAGTTGCAGATAAACACAAGAACTATCATACTCCGTTGTCTATCCTCTAACCGCGATAGTGGATGGCGGCTTTGGTCGGGCGTATAGGTCGACGAGCCATCGTTCCCCGATGTCAATTCCCGAGTTTTTCGTCCGCGGTCAAAGAAATGAACGACGGCTTGCGACAATCGAATGCCATGTTAGGAAACTAATGTCTGTGGCAGATACACATATCCCTTGCGTAAGACCACCACCTTATGCAGTCTTGTAGGATTTATAGCGTCAGATGTCAAGCCACCGAAACACGACGGTATGAACAGAGAGCCTCGCTCTAGATCGGCTCCGCGTACTCCTGATGAGCAAATCAAGCCAAGGCATGACCCCTGAAACACAACATGCCATCGGCGACTTGGGACGATACGTCACGACACCCTAGACCGCGTAATGCGCTGACTTCCGTTGCCCGTTACCTCACATGTCCTCCATTCCCGCACGTTGGCTAACCCAGCACTCCTCAGCCTCACCCGTAGCATGCAGTCTATCTATTTACTGGAGTGCAATTGGGCAGAATTGAATAGCGGCCTTGGCATCGCGGCGAAGATGCTCAGCCGCAGGCCCACCTCCTAAAGAACGCGCATAAGCGCTAATTTTCGCCTATGCGATTCCCAATTCCACGGTAAAATCCAGGGGATGTGTGAGCTACGAAGCTTCAGTATATATTCAATTGTCTATTCACTCTAGACATCTTGACCGGCTTCGACATATACGGGGATCCCTTCTCTTACCCACCTTACCATTGCAGAAACTGCTCCACAGTGAGGCGTTCTATCTCGACGTTCTCTTTATACCCCTGTCTACATTAGCAAAGATGCCGAGGAAGAACAAAGGCGTGCGCAAATGCCATGTCAAGTCGAGAAACGGGTGTGTTCAATGCAAGCGCAGGAGAGTTAAGGTGAGGCTGTCCTTCAATTGATGCATCAAGTAGTCCGTGGTTGTGTGTCGTTAACCCATGGTAGTGTGATGTCAAACAACCCATATGCTCTTCCTGCTCCCGCCGGGGCGAGGATTGTCAGTATCCCGATATGTTCGGCAATAGCTACTATCAGTCTTTGCAGGCCTCTTGGCCGCAGATGCTATCCGCCAGACCTGCAAATATTCTACATCCAACTTCTCACACCGAGTTCGAAATACTTGAACAAGTTGACGGTCAGCTCACCGCAATACAACCAGCTGCTGGGTACGTGCCTTCATCGACTAGTGAAGATCTACCCCATTGTTCACGCGCTTTGCGTTGCAGAACTAACTTATGTATAGCCCCAAACCAGACTATACGGGTCTCAAGATAATGTCCATAGGAATAATTCGATTGGTCATGGAACGAGCGAACATGCCACCGGGAGAAACAGTACTATGGGCCAATTCCATGGCTGAGATATGCGTAGAGAAAGACTATATTATGCACACTGTCATGAGTCTTGCTTGTGGCCTACAAGATGTGCTGAGTAGACCAGACAAGATGGTTGGAGATAAAGCATACGAGCACAACATCAAGGCATCGTCACTTTTTCGGCAGCAGACCGAGGTAGGTCACCCGATCGATGGTATTCCATCATGACTCGCTGACCCTATGATCAGGTAATCGATTCGAGTAATTGGCTCCCTCCTATCATGTTCCATGTCCTCACTGTCGTATTTCGACTCTACTCGCAAGCCTTTTGTGCACCAGAAGACTTCTCGTTAGTCGATACATTGAGACTATTCAAAAGCGGCATGGCTATTGTACGACAAACAACTGGATTCGTTATGAAATCCCCATTTTGGGAATTTATAGTTGCGCGAACAGGATTGCAAACGTAAGTTTTAGAATAACGCCACCTTCCATCCGTGTCCTTTGGCACCCAATCTTCTCGAATTTGTCTCATACTTATATGAATTATTAGAAAGCTCAATACGGACAACGAACCTTTTCTCTATGAGAGTCTGGGATTCCTAGAAAGCGTTCTCTCAGGGGAAGAAGAGAATCCGTTCGCTACCGAGGAACAGCAATATCAAGCACGTGTTCACCGACAGGGGCTCGGAGCTCTGTACGGGTGGATAGAGCACTGCGACGCGCTGCCTCGATCGTGGCCACATTACTGCGGCTGGCCGAGTCTTTTGTCAGATGAATTCCTAGATCTGGTCGAGCAAAAGAACGAGTTTGCTCTCCTTCTGGTCATACATTGGTGCGGGCTCCTGTATCGCTCGAATAAACCGGGCGTCAAGGCATGGGCTTATCGGGCGGGTCACGATGCTTTATCAGGGATTCAGCACCCAGAGTGGTGGAGTGATGCCCTGGATTGGCCGCTCAAAATGCTACTTCCGTTATGGTGATACCCAAAGTTTAAAAAATAAAAATAAAAGCCACGGTACAATTTTATGTACACATCAAAACACCAGGCGCGAATATCGTTATTTGAAACATGATATCCAATTCACGGCTTCGAAAGGGATACATTCCCAAACTGTGCGCCAGCTCCAAAAGTAGCAACTCCTGTAGTGCCATTAACAAGCGACGCACCCTCCACTGATATCTTTGGTTGGTCAGAATCGCCAACGAAAACACGGATATTTTCCCCAATCGCTTGAATGCAGACTCTGATGTCGACTGTAGTCTCTATTCTCGCGGAAACCGATGTGTAGTTGGTTCGGACTCCAGCCTCAAATGTCTCCAATTTCACGATCCCAGACGGAGCCAGTCCAACATAGTACCCACTGAAACCCGCCACGCCTTTCGTAGCATCTTTGACTTTGAACACCAACCCTGCAGACTCTGTTTCGTTGTTACCAGCTGAGAGCTGTACTGTGGCTTCGAAGGCAACATCCGTAAAGTTTGTGTCTTGTACGGCGAAAGCGGCCGATCCTAATTTCGCATCGACTTGCAGTCTCTTGTCCACTACCTTCCACTCTCCACCATCAGTCTTCCATCCCACGAAATCTCCATCGGCGAAGTTGTCTTTTACCAACATATTTACATTCGCGATCGTTCCGTCTGGATTAAAATACATGCGATCGTAACAAAGCACGCGATGATTGCGGTCCGTCTCAGTGAGCGGCCTCCGATGATAAGTAATATAGTAGATTTCGGTCCCGGGAACGCGGATCACACCGTTATGACCACTTCCCTTCGCAATCGCACTGTCTTGTTGCAAAATCCTTCCTCGCGTATTGAATGGGCCCAGAGGTGAATCCGCGATAGCATAAGCGACTGCGTAATCGGGCCCCGTCCATCCGCCCTCGGACCACATGAAGTAATATTTCCCATTGCGCTTGATCATCTGCGACCCTTCGACATATTTGTCCGGCGTGATTTCTTTGAATGTTGTGTTGTCGCTGAATGTTCCCAGCGATATCATATCTGGGTTCAGTTTCGCTACATTTGCGTGTTCATGGCCGCCGTAGTAGATGTACGCTTGACCATCGTCGTCGATGAAAACATCCTGGTCGATTGGCTGAGCTTTGTTGTGGTATTCTCCGATCAGCGGTTTCCCGATCGCATCGATGTACGGTCCATAGGGATGGTCAGAAACGGCTACACCGATACCGCCTATAAGACCTTTTTCCGGCTCCCCCTCTTGAATGTCGTTTGCGCCAAAATATAGATAGTATTTCCCGTTCACAAAAGCTGGTGCAGGAGCCCACACTGCTTTTTTCGCCCACTTGACGTTGTCGATAGTCAAAATGTTGGGATGTTTGGTCCAGGTGATTAAGTCTGCACTGGAGAACGCATCAAGGAAGGTCTGTTGCTCGTATGGTAAAGAAGAAGTTGGATATATCCAATACAGATCATCGTAGATGGCAGTATCGGGATCGGCGTACCATCCTCCTATGAAAGGGTTACCCGCCTCAGCGGTGGTGTAGTTAAGCTGGAGGTTCGGCTGGAGGGTTTCTAGCTCTTGAACAGGAAAGGAAAATGTTGTGTGAATATGGAGTAGAACGGCTAGGAAGAGATGCTGTGTGATGCTGTGGAGAATATGCATGGTGTTGACATGTATATGATTCTCAACGAGAGGTAGGCTGAGGCTGAGATAAGTACGAGATTCGTGCGAAAAGCAGTGTTGATTCTCTTTTTACAATGACCAACTCCGCACGCTGTTCCCCATACGGAAGCTCGAAAGATGCTACAAAGATACAACACATCATCGTGACTCGCATGCCATGCTACCTTCCCCATACTCAAGTGTCGGCTGAGCGCCTGCGTCTGCCTAACCGCATCGGGTGATGTTTTGCTGCATGTCGGAACATTTGATGCTGTATTGCTCTGAGATTATCGTGCCAAGTAACGGTTGTGGTTGTTGGTAAATAGCTTGTGTAAGACACAATTCACGTTCAGTATGCAGTACTGCATCGAAGTATACTCGAAAGTCGATTACGCTGTGATCGGATTCGACCGTTCCAATCTTGGTACATCGCCGTCATGAACCAGGGATTTGGTACGCTCAGCAGTTCTACCTATGTGGAATATTGGCCCTGTAACGATGGCTTCTGAAGCTAACACATCCGACTGCTTCCTAGTATAAAGACGGGCACATCCAAGTCATAGGGTGAAAAGGATGCTGAAAAGAAGACTGGGGTGTTTAAACACGCACTATCCAGCCTGCAGAGAAAGCCGTAGCCAGAGAGCAAATATAAACAAGACTCTGAAACACAATGGAATGCAACGGGTGCCACATCTCTGTTCCGCGCTCCGGCATAGGAATGATTAATCGGTGTTACACACCTGGAGACTCACAGATGGTTGTCACGTGATGTGTCTTCTGCCTTGGGGTTACAAGGACACTGTGTTTTGGGAGATTCATGAAACCTAAAGGAACTTCAACGACTTGCGAAAAGGTTCTATGCAAATTCTGTGACGTTCAAATGTTCTGAAAAATTCTCACGTAGGGTAGAGGTCAATGACTTGAATGCGAATCATGTGTAATGTCAACATCTGAACTGGTGCTTATCACTGAGTCTCCATGCTTAGACTTAGGGGTTATAGGGGTTGTATGAGTATAAGCTGATAGTTTCAGCACTCTGCTTGTTTGTTCGACATCCTAATTAATGGATAGCCTTGTCAGAACATCGAGCTGCGCGTACTGCAACGCAAGATTCCCACCGTCAACCATGCCCACATGTGCATGTACAATGATGTCAGATCGCCAAGTACCTCTAAGCAGGCGGGCGGGGTGGGCTGTGGTCTTTTCCGCGTCTCTCAGCCACAGTCGTCGATTGCTATGCCCTGTGGACTCATGGATTTCCATCTGGATTATTTGTCGCTTCGCTTTCCATCATTGCGCGATGCGCAGCAACAATCACGAAAATGACGTTTCACGCGGATAGCTCGCGAGACAAGCATTGCCATGGCTACGACTCAAACCATAACAGGAAGCTCCAAGATGTCTGCCAGAACCCGTCAAAATGCCCTCTCTTGGTACAGGAAATCATTCCATCACTTCATGGGCTCGCTTCGTCGTGTCGCAATGGCACTTGCAAGCAGGATGATGTCGTGATTGAAACAGGTGGCTTGGCAGCACATATAATTGCGCGCATCTTGACCTTCACCAGACAGAGGTCAACTTTGCAACTTTGCCCTGCTCAGGATGCAGTTCCTTTCCATTGCATTGTCATTTGCTTCAATCGCGGCGGCCGTCTCCCTCTCCAGCCCGCAGCCCGTCTCATATGATGGCGCCAAAGTATACCGGGTCAAAACAGGCAGACAGCTAGCCTCGGTGAAGGAAAAGTTGTCCGCTTTCAACTACGAGGCCTGGAATCACGATTTGGATCGACACATTGACCTTCTCATCCCCGCCGGAGAGGTCGCGGCATTCGAAGCGCTCAATTTCAATGCGAAAGTTTTGCACGAAGATCTTGGAGCATCGATCAATGCTGAATCTCACGGAAGCTCACTGTGGAAGAGGCAGGGAGGAGTCAACTCGTCGTGGTTCGATTCCTACCACCCATACGACGACCACGTTCAGTTTTGGGAAGATCTGCAGGCATCTTTTCCTAATCAGTCCGAAACCATCTCGTCAGGAACTTCATACGAAGGTCGCGATCTTTTTGGTCTGCACTTTTGGGGGGCGTCTGGGCCAGGAAAGCCTGCTGTACTTTACCATGGACAAGTTCATGCCAGAGAGTGGATTACCGCGCCTGTATGCTTACACGATACTAGTATACCATTACTAGATGTGCTAATGCCTCAAACAGGTCATCGAATATATCGCCACCCAATTAATCGAAGGTTACAAAGCAGGTGATAATCTCACCACTGCATTCCTGAACAATTACGACTTTTTCATCATTCCATTCGTCAATCCAGATGGTGAGCCAGTTGCTTCATTGTTCTACAAATGGATATCTAACAGCGTACAGGATTCGTCTACACTCAAACGACCGAACGGCTCTGGCGAAAGAACAGACAGCCAGGTCCTGGAAACAGTACCTGCTTCGGACGCGACATCAACCGTAACTGGGAATTCGGATGGGATGCCAACGACCGCGGAGCTTCCACCAACCCCTGCTCGCAAACATACAGAGGCGAGGCACCCTCCGACACTCCCGAAAACCAAGGTCTCGACAAACTAGTCCGGGAGCTGCGCGACACGCAAGGCATCAAGCTCTATATCGACTGGCACAGCTATGGCCAATACATCCTTTCACCCTACGGCTCCAACGAGACCAACTATGCGCCTGAGCTTGGCAAGTGGACTAACACGGCGTCGCGAATGAGCGAGGCGATTCGCGACAGCTCGGACGCGCGCACCACGTTCACGTTCGGGCCAAGTGGCGCGACATTGTACACAACGACGGGCGCTGCGCCCGATCATGTGTACATTTTCGGCGAGGCGGAGTTCTCGTACACCATTGAATTGAGAGATACTGGAGACTTCGGCTTTGTGTTGCCGCCAGAGCAGATCTTGCCGACTGCTGAAGAGCAATGGGTAGGACAGCAGGTTCTGCTTAGTCTACTCGACGAGACCTTCTTTGATGGCGAAGGTCCCGCTATCTTCACGTAGACATGTCAGGAATTTGAGTTATTGCTGGAATCAAAATATCAAGCGAATGTTCGCGGAGTCAAATGCAGGTGCAATGCGTTCAAATTGTAGAGAGAAAAAAATTAATTGGTATTGAATAGAAACGGCTGAACACCAATGGCCCAAGAGTAAGCCTCTCCGCATTCTTATCCCTTATTCATTCTAAGAGGAGCAGAATGAACAAAGTTGACTCCCTTGCCATACAACACATCCGGGCTATCTGGTGTCGCCCTATATACGAGTACCTCGTACGTTTTCAGAATTCCTTCTTCTGGCGGCGGAGGATCCCCGATGTCCACGCAATACCCAGCGTAGAAGCGGCGCTGCGGCCAGGACCTTCCGGGGACATTGCTCGGACCATCAGGCTGCAGGTACTCGGTGCCGTAGGCTACCCGAGCTGCATTTTCCTTGTTGCGCTTATGCTCCTTCCATATACCAATCCAGTATTGGAGGCGAAGCATCGCGCGAATTGCTTGCATTTTGTCACGTCTCCGTTGTCGTGGTGTTGGAAATGCTTTGATTGGTGGGTATTGTTCTGGAAACATGCTGTTTTGTGATGTATTTATCATCGTGTGAGGAGCTCAAGTGTGTTGTGGTAATTACTTAGATATATATGTTGGTATACCTTCATTATGAGATTACGTATATAGTGAGTGTGAATAGTGTCTATTCTCTTAGTGTGATGCAGTTGAACAATAGAGACGCCTTTTCAGACGTTGTTAATCAAGAATGAGAGACACGTAGGCTTTTCACTTGCCACTTCAGAGCGATGGAAACACAATGTGGTTTTTCAACACATTGCATTTACTGAAGTGGCATTGATTTGCTCATTGTGAATAACTCTGGCTGGGATAAAATGTGTGATGATCATAAGAGGCATCAGTTCGAGAGATTGGGTGGCATTAAACGTGTTGATGATATACAGGCAGTGTGCTGACATCTCGTGAGTAACAATACTAAGGAGCTACGTTGGGATAATGCACAGGTAAAGAGTTCGCGCAAGTGGTCATATAAATCTGTTCTGAAGGAGAATGTGGCTGAGAGTTGTAAGACATGGTTTCATCGATAGAAAACGAGTGTGCCACAATGTTAGCTATCTGTCACCAAGCAACCCACTCTAAGACACGACATAACCATCCATCTAAACTACCCAAGTCAAACTCCACACAAAGTCTAATCCCAAAACATCAACCCAAAATTTATCCCCAACAAAGGAATCCCGTCATAAGTCATGATCATCGCATTTCGATGCGGCTCACGAAAGAAATAACTGCAGTGAAGTCGCATCATTGCCCGCCCTACAAAATCCCAAAGTACTGCCCATGCCCCAGATGCACCAAATTATAAAGATGATCAAACCGAATAACAAACCCCAACCACACCGGCGCGCCGACCACAAACCTAGCATTCCCACATAAATAATCCGCACACCTTTCAACATGCTGAAAGCTAATCCACGTCGGTTTCATACCGGGCGCGACCATCCTCCGTCGCTCCCGCTGATCCGGTGGAGCAGGTACTTTCCGAGCTCGGTGCGCGAGACCGCATCGTGAACACACGATGCAGAATGGGATCTGCTCTGTTTGAACGAGTGGTTGCGGTATGTCTGGGATCCTGTAGATGTGCGTGGGGTTGTAGTCGAACGGCTCCAAGATTTCGGTGACTGTATGCCGTCTGGTGATGGGTGTGTCGCAGTTGGGATCCATGCAACGCAGACGGTTGAAAGGGTATGGGCCTTTAAGGTAGACTATGGAGGTATGTGCTCTACACCGGTGGCAAATCATCCAGCCGTCGAATCTGGCGTTGGGGTTCTTTTGGTAGGTTTTCCAGTCTATTAGCTCTGGGAGTGGGTGACCTGCTCTTTGTGTGGGACCCATGATTTGCAGTTTGGTCTTCTCCCAGGTTTCATCAATTTGCTCTTTGAATAAGTCCAGTTTGTATTGCAAGTTCGCATAGTGTTCTTTGAATTGGAGTTTTTTCGTGGTGTAGGAATGATGGATGGTGTTGTATGCTTCTTTGAGCTCTCGGCGGAGAACTTTGACACCTCGCTTGATCGGTTTCTTCAAGCTACGCATTTTTGTTGATTGTGGATGGTAGTGTGCACTTCTCTGTGCGGTAGACCTGCTCTTCTGGCTTCTTCTGTCTTAATATACATCTTGTCGAGGTGCCGTATGTCAGGTCGATCATCCATGGTTAAGAAAGACCTGGTAGTCTCAGTGGATGATTGTTGACGACTCTCAAGTTAGCCACCACAAACACGCGGATTCTGAATTTTTGCTAGAATTCTCATTATCTGGGACTTCACGCGAATCAAAAGTGGTCATGGTACGAAGCGCGGGCTTCAAGAGATGGAACATCGCGAAACACTACTCTGGTGGGGGCGGTTTTGACGAGAGATGGCAAAGTCATGTCTCAGTTTACCAGTACGCCACCGCAGACGTCAGGGTGTACTTCTCGCCCGCAAGATACATCTAGCTTGCTATTCGTCAACTTTGAGACAGCGAATGCATTTCCCAGATCGCGAGATGTTCATTGGCAGAATCTACCGACACTTCTCGTACACCCAAACACTGCGATATTGCCAAATGTGGGGCAACCGCCAAAGCAATATATTCGTAGATGGACTCAACACTTCTTACGCAGATGCGGCATACAACCCCACATATACATCGTAATAATCCCACACTTGCACATGAACCTCTAGCGGTCTTTTGTAGACACCACCTTCTTTTCAGATTGTGGAATTCTAACATCTTCAAAGATGCTTACGTCTCGGATCTTCTTCTTGCTCGCGATCAAGAATGTCGCGTCTCAAAGCGGTGTGGATCTCGATGCGCCTATGCTGATCGGAGGGGGTATTCGAGGACCGGGTGCAATGCTGCGATTTGGTTGTTCGCAGGTAGAATTGTTCCAACTAGTACTCCGCAATGGTGGCACTTAACTAAAGTCATGCACAGATTGTTATTGAGCGACTAGACCCGTCGGTCTTCACGTAACCTGCAGATGAAAACTCTCAGTATTGATATATCCTCCAGGCTAGTTAATCCAGGAATGAGCCCATCAACACACATGCATCAGATCGTCGGATCGGTATGTGCATTTCCCAGTGTCATACAGGTACTTGTGAATTATTTGTAACTTGATCATAGGATGCTTTCAACTCCTCCATGCCCTACGCCGATATAGCCAATCTCTCCTCGTGCACTTCATGCCACGTAAGTTAATTCTCATCCTCATCCGGAGTATGTTTAACTACCACACGAATCAAAGTTCACCCAAGACCTCTCCAACTACTGGACCGCAAACCTCTACTTCAAAGCACGAAATAACACCTACAAACGCATCCCGCAAACCGCAAACCAATTCAACGACGGAGACGAAGGCGGGATAACCGTATACTACACTTCCCCCGCACCTAACGCGACTACCGCGTTCAAGCCCGTACGTCTCCTCCAATCTCTTTACACTATTCCCCATGCCTCACACGCGGAGCCGAAACCATAACGGAGGGATGTTTAGGGTTTCCGCATGCTCACGGGCGACGCAATGCGTCGCACCCCCACCAATCTAGGAAAAAACAAACAGCAGTGCTATCGCTGCTACCCGGAGCCGAATTGGGGCGGGAGTCCGTATCCACCGTGTATGGACCCGAAGTGGGATACCGAACACTTGCCGCAGCAGCCGTGTCCGGGGGGAATACGATCGAACATCATCTTTCCTCAGTAAGTCAGCACAATGAATGGCAAGTCGGACGAAAAAAAAGGGATAAGGTTTGGCTGATGGATTGACATGTAGATGCTGGGATGGGAAGAACCTGGATAGTCCGAACCATCAAGATCATGTTGCGCATCCGGTTGGTGGACCAGTTGCGTTTCCGATTGTGAATGGGACGTGTCCTACTTCGCATCCGGTGAGGGTTCCGCAGGTTATGTTTGAGGTACGTGTTTGCGTCTTTCCATGCTGTTTGTTGATTGTTTGGGTTGTTTTGGGTTTTGTATGTTTGTGATTGTGGGGATTAAATGTGAGACAGGTTATGTGGGATACCAGTGGTTTCAACGATAAAGAAGAGTGGCCAGAGGATGGCACACAACCTCTTGTTCTATCAACCGGCGATGGGTAAGTTCGATATATCACCCCAAGAGAAATGTGTAATGCAGCGCTGATGACTGGAAGCACCGGATATGGACAGCACGGTGATTATGTGTTCGGTTGGGAAGGCGATTCGCTGCAGCGATCTATGGACAACCATTGCTATCTGAGGAATTGCACACAGCTTACGGAGCAAGCGCCGCGGATCAAGAATTTGTGCAAGGTGCCCGACACTGTCAATGAAGACGTTGATGGATGTAGGTTAAAATAGAATCGCAAGTTAAAGACGGGCAGTACTAACACCATGGACAGGGATGAGCGAGCTACCTGGAGGTGGCGAAAGCGGCTGATGCTTATGCTTATATTTGCACTCAACGCTCAGTTCGGCCAATTGCGACACATGAAGGCTTGGGACTGTTTGAACTCCAGATCAATTCTTATTATCATCTAGTTCATTATTTACGTCATTATATTACATTAAAGATCCTGGGTATACCGCGAAACACTCCGACATGGGCCGACCTGATGCATAATACAAATCCCTCATAATCCATCTAGACCACACATACAATCACGCAGGAGATTGCACTCAATAACACACCTAAGGAGACCCTATTGTCTACCGCGGCATCCTTCTTCCCGGTTTCACGAGCTCCACCCAAAGCGGTGCTAATAGGACCCTCAGAAGTGGTGTCTGTCGGTGTAGAGGTGAGTCTGGGCAGCACAGTCGTTTGGCCCGCCAGCGTAATGGTCTGTCCCACAGCTGCAGTGATAGATCCGCTAATAATATATACGGGGATCACGGTTATACGACCCAGTATGGATGTTGTGATACTACTCAACACGACGTCAGGGTTTGGCAGGACGACGGATTGTCCATTGATCGTGACGGTCTGCCCGGGAAACGCAGTAGATCCGCCAGAGACGACGTATGCAGGAACTGAAGTTGCGACGCCGTTGATAGTGGTTGGAATGTAGATCAACTTGAGGTCCGCATTCGGTAAAACCGTAGTTTGACCGTTATAAGTAATGGTCTGACCTGGGAAAGCTGTGGATGTACCCGAAACGATGTAGGCGGGAACTGAGGTTACAATGCCATTGATCGTTGTGCGGATCATGGTAAGGTAAGGGGCGGGAGAGCTGAGAACGGTAGAAGCTCCATTGATATCCACAGTTTGTCCAAGTGTAGCAGCTGCTGCGCCGCTGATGATGTACCCCGGAACAGATGTGGCCTGCCCGTTTATGGTTGTGGGAAGCATGGTGAAGAGAGCTGGAGGGGCTGAGAGAACTGTCCGTTGTCCATTCAAAGTCACTGTCTGACCAATGCTTGCGGTACTGGTACCGGCGATAATGTATGCCGGGACAGACGTGGCTACCCCATTAATAGTAGTGGGCACAACAACAAAGGAGGCAGATGGTGGGGCCACAACCGTACGTGTTCCACCCACTGTTATGGTTTGTCCAATGGAGGCGGTCTCGAACGAATCAGGTGGTACAAACACATGGGTCGCCGTAGGCCGTCCATCAATCATCGTCGGTACCAGTATCGAGCCGGTTGGGGGCGCTGTGATTATCGGCGGTGGGGGCGACGTAATTTCAGGCGGATGCTGAATACTAGCGTGGTCAGGAGGATTCTGAGGAGGGCCCTGGGGTGTCTGGGGAGGATCCTGAGGTGGGTTTTGGGGAGGATTTTGAGGAGTCTCCTTTGTGCGATCATCAGTCACAGTCGCAGAGGACGACGGTTCGCTGGTCCCGAAAGCCTTTGAAGTATCTTCGAAGGTTGGTCGAGGAGGCATTGGCGTCCCTGCCCATGTATTTCTGGTCTTGGAGGTGGTCTCGAATCCATCCGTAGAAGGTTGAACATGTATTCCCTCTGTTCCACGCGTGATGGTCGTTGTCGTAGTTTCATATACGAATTTGGGTGCATAGAAATCGTCTCCTGGTATTTTCCCGCTGACCTCCTTACAAGAAGCAAACGCGGGAACTGAAGGAAATGCAGCATCGAACCAATACTTGTCGGGCCGCTCCCAGGATGGTACTCTTATCGCAGTGTATTTTGCACCTACCAGATCATCTTCGTTGGGTGTGGCAGTTTTCGGTTGAGGGTACTGCGGGTGGTCTGTAAGTACTCCAAATGTGAGTTCGGAAGGAGTTTCACAAGCGGATGATGTCGATAGTATACCGCTCCAGTGATACTCGGATGGGTAGTCGAAGAAGGGAGTTGGGTACGCAAGCTGGGTCGATGACTTCCCCTTTAACGAGGACATTGGTAGGTCGATATACGCAGTGCCTGCGTCGTTCGTCGATACCCCTCTCCAAAGATCATATATTGGATCCACGTCATTGGCTATAGTCGTTGTTTGAGGCTCGGATGTTATATTTCCTCTAACTTGAATGATGACGGAAACAGTGACTACGATGGTGGTATAATAGTTTATTTGATCTTCTCGAACCCAGGAAACAGCTTGCAGCTCGGGATAGCGTACTTCGCACTCGGCCTCGCATATCACTGCCGTTGGCTTCGGTGGAAGGCTGGAAATTGTAGCATTGTCGCCTATGGGCCTGATGGTCATTATCGGCATTGGTATTACTATGCGGGAACTGTCAGTATCCTCTCGCTACGCGAACCATCGCATCGTATTCGAGGTCTAATCTAATCACATGCAGCTTGGGCAACAGAGCAGCTAGGCTAATATCGAAGCGACGTGAGGCCCCAAACAGCACAGGAAAGAAGAAATCAACATACTTTGCGGGGCGGCGCACGCCACTGCCGCAAGCGTGGCTGCCACGGCGTAACTTGGGAAGCTCTTCATTTTGGCAGCTTCGCGTTCTCAAGCGCCGAACTGTATCACACACCGATAGGAACGACACGCAGGAAAACGACAGTAGAGCATCAGAGGACGATGAAGCCCCTCAGGCGAAAAGAGGTGTTTTGAGAGAAATCGACGAGAGCCAGTTTCCTCGGTCGACGCGCGCGGTTCCTATCTTGGTCATGACCTCGTATTCCGCCTCAGCTCCATGCAGGTTCCAATATTGGCATGGGGTGGCGCACAGCCGGTCACCACTGTGGTCATGCTGCCAATATTTCCACCTCACCATCGAATAAGAAGGGCGTGAGATTTGATTAGACAGTTCATATGCCTTCTTCTTCAAAGGATTCAGAGATTCTCTGCCCGGATCTGATAGTTTGGAAACATCCAGCGCGCGAGCCTGGAGTAACCATCTGCTATTTTGCTGGCAAGAACTCGGAATTGAGGTCAGCGCCAAACTGAACTGGTCTAGACAACTCCTTTAGGCCGAAAAGGAAGATACTCCTGAACGCGACTGGGGTGATGATAGGTCGAGCGCGCGAGCCCCTACACTCGAATCCGAAAAGGTACGAAGTGGATGGACAGCAATACGGGAAACACGGGCTCGCCGACTGTAGCCAAGATGGAGGAAGATGATCATCGCGGTGCGCAATCGTGGGAAAACAAAAGACGGGTGCGCGAAGATACGTAGGTGGAAAACATGACGTGAAAGATGTTGTCGGGCAGCAGGTGTGGCTGGTGGTGTGGCGGTTGATGTGGCGGGCCTATCACGTGGAAATAAGCGTAGCGCAGCACGTGCGTGCATCCACCCGAGGTTCTAGAACTTCAAACTCTCTCAAGTCCTCCCCACACGTCCCCCACACCTCAATATCGCCCATATTGATCCTCCCTGGCTCCAGGTTCTCAAAAACGAGGCAGTCCTGAAAACCGGGCTCGCACAGGATGATCGTTTAGACACCTCGGCTGGGCGTTCGTCCTCTTAACTGTTGTACCAAGGCCTGGGCGCCCTTGTTCACACCTCATGCGAGGTCAGGCCAGCCGGTCGACGCATGCTCCCTATGGCTCGGGGTATGCCACTGAGATCACTGAATATTCGTTGGGCAGTCATTATCCTACTGATTCACGCGTACAGCCTGGACAATGATTACTGTTCGCGTTGTGAACGAGGGTCATCATGCTAACACTTCAGGGCTTTTCGACGTGTTTCTCAAGCCCACGCAACACCTGGCATCTGCCTGTTTGAAAGTTTAATTTCATTCAGAACTCAAACCCCGTCGCGACAGCGTGGCCGTACTGCAAAAGGCAAGTCGGTTGCGGCAAGCGACCTCTTTCCCTTCTGTACAAGCAATATGGATCAGCACCTCTATTCTTCAGGTTATCCTGCCTTCGGTAACGGCTTAATATCGAGCCTCTGCTATGGGTTCACATGACAGCTGCGAGCAAGTTATTCTGGTCTCCTTATTGTCAAGTTCCGCCAGTCAGAGCATTGCAGATTAATATACAGCATCCCAAAATGGGACCCTTTTACCACACTATGCCAAGACGAGAAAGCTTCTAGAATTCCAGCAAATAATTCTCTCGTGCAGCCTGGGAGTACTCACCTTCGGCGCTTCTTCTCGTCGGCTTGAATCTGAGGAGCTCCACGGGGTATCGTCCCGACTCTCGCCTCCCTTTCCAATATACGTTCCTCCACAACAGCAACAAGGCCCACACAACAAGCAAAATAGATTGCTTCGAAGAAGCATGCGGCCATGAGAATCTCCCGCTATGCCACAAAATAAATATCAAAGCCTCGATGTCATGAAGCTTGTGGGCGGGTTCGCAACTCCGAGCTATATTGATCAATCTAAAGGGCCGGGAACCATCAGTGCAACGAAGAGGCTCTTGGATTAGATCTGAATCTCAAGGCAGTCTCGAGAACTATATAAGATGGCCGATCTGCGTGTTCTTTTACCCTTTCCACTGCAGTCTCGATCAGATTCTTCATCCGCTCAGCATGTTCTCCAAGATTGGTCTTTTGTCTTCCCTCCTCGCCGCTGGCGCTTCGGCCCAGCAGGTCGGTACCTTGACCACAGAAAACCACCCGTCCATGCCCATTCAGTCATGCTCAGCTAGCGGGTGCACGACACTTCAGACCAAGGTCACGCTCGATGCCAACTGGAGATGGCTGCACACGACTTCTGGTAGCACCAACTGCTACGACGGAAACACGTGGAATGCCACTGCCTGCCCTAGTGGCAAGACCTGCGCGGCCAACTGTGCCCTTGATGGAGCAGACTACACCAGCACGTACGGTGTTACAGCTTCTGGCGGGGCTCTTACGCTCAAGTTTGTCACCGAAGGTCCCTACAGCACGAGCGTTGGATCTAGGCTCTATCTAATGGCTTCGGACACAAAGTACCAAATGTTCAAGCTGCTCAACAAGGAGTTTACCTTTGACGTTGACACATCTCAATTGCCCTGCGGCTTGAACGGTGCTCTCTATTTGATCGAAATGGACGAGGATGGTGGCATGTCTAGGTTCCCCACCAACAAGGCCGGTGCCAAATACGGAACTGGATACTGTGATACGCAGTGCCCGCATGACATCAAGTTCATCAACGGCGAGGTGAGTTTTTAATCAATTTGTGTTCAACTCTGCATGATTCTTCCGTACATCCGCTGACTATACTCTCCCAGGCCAACAGCGAAGGCTGGAATCCAAGTGAACAGGATGGCAACGCTGGCTCCGGCAAATATGGCGCTTGCTGCGCCGAAATGGACCTATGGGAGGCCAACTCCATCTCCACAGCCTACACTCCCCACGTATGCTCCGTCAAGTCTGCGACGCGTTGCTCCGGTATCGACTGTGGTGACGGCGATGACCGCTACTCCGGCATCTGCGACAAGGACGGCTGCGACTTCAACAGCTTCCGCATGGGCGAAAAGTCCTTCTACGGCCCTGGCGGCAAGGTCGACTCCAAGAAGAAGCTCACTGTTGTGACCCAGTTCATCACTGCCGACAACACCGACACTGGCAAGCTCACCGAGATCCGCCGCAAGTACGTCCAGAACGGCGTCGTCATCAACAACAGCGTATCCAAGGTCAGCGGTGTCACCGAGTCCGACAAGATCACAGACGCCTACTGCAAAGAGCAGAAGACTGCCTTTGGCGACAAGAACCACTTCGCGCAGTTGGGTGGTCTCGAAAACATGGGCGGCTCCCTCTCCCGCGGCATGGTTCTCGCGCTCTCGGTCTGGGATGACTACGCCGTTAACATGCTCTGGCTCGACTCCACCTTCCCTACTGATGCCGACCCCTCTGCCCCTGGTGTCGCCCGCGGCACATGCAGCGTCGATTCCGGGAAACCCCAGGATCTGGAGAAGAACTCCCCCAACTCGCAGGTCATCTACAGCAACATCAAGTTTGGCGCTATTGGGTCTACGTTTGGCGGTTCCGGCACTACTCCTGGCACCCCGACCACCACCGGCGGATCCCAGCCCCCGACAAGCCCTACATCTGCTCCAGGTGGTTCGTCGCCATTGTATGGACAGTGTGGTGGCAACGGATACCAAGGCCCAACTACCTGCGCGCAGGGCACCTGCAAGAAGCAGAGTGAATGGTACTCTCAGTGCCTTCCGTAGATGGTAGAAGCACTGTAGACGGTGTGGTGAAGAGGGACATAGATACGAAGACAAGATTCAATGTACATAGATTGATATTTCGTTGATAGGAACAATTCACAATTTGTATATACAGGAAAATGCTGTTCTTTTTTTTGTATTACATATTTATCGTTAGAGTTTGCTGTCGTAGAGCATGCATACATGTTATCATGTATGCGGTCTTGCGCGGAACTTTACTCGATCGCTTACATCAAAGAGGGACAAGAAATGACTGACAAGAATTAGAATCTTCACGTCTGCTTTGGTGTTTGGCATATTCCATCACATACCCCCAGTGCGGCGAAACTAGGGTAGTAAATGAGTGTAGTACACCCACGGGTGAGGTAAGGGTAGAGTACTGTCACATACATACCAGGTACCTAGGTATGAATGTCAGTGTGAGGGTGAGGGAAAACATTCGAAAGTAAGGGTAGAGTCACATGATCTGTCGGTGAGGGTAGGGTATAAGGTCCTAATGGGTGCTTATATAAACATTTGAAATACTGCACGTAAGGTACCCTCACCCACAGTCATGTGGCTCTACCCTTACTCTCACCCTCATATGATATGATCGTACCCCATCCTTAGCCTACCCTCACTCATTTACCAATCTAGGCGAAATCACTTGATACGAGAAGTTACGGTGTCTCCTACACTTGAAAAGCAGATAAAAATGATTTGACAAAAATTAGGCAGAAACAAAAAGGTCCATATATGTTTGTACCGCCGTTGCTGCAATGGCACAGTCAAACCAATAAGCCTCACAGGTAAAGAGATCACCACTGCGCCTTCTACCTTCGGCATCAGCTAAACTCACCAAGACGCAGAACAGAGTAAGGCCATCGTATGATCCGTATTAATCACATTAATACAGAAGAACACGAGTTCGAAAACGCACTAACAATACATGATTGGGGGCCCAAATCAAAGTCTAAGCCACACCTGCGTAACATATCAGGCTGAATGTCCCTATGTGCCTTGCCCGTTCTTCATAATCAGTACCACTTGCACACCACACTTCGCCATGCAGGAAACAGCTCTGAAATGGGGGAGACGGGCACGTAATGCCGCCTTGGTATACTCCATGTTTTACGCCACCTGGCCAGCCTTCCTCGCAATCGCTGGCACTCCTGCGGTCGAGGCGGCGTACAAGAATTGGAATAATTCATATCTATACGAGTACCGTCCGCTCAAGAATCCCAAATCGACACTCCGCTTGCTGAAAATTGAGAGGAAAAACGGCAGGGTGACGCGTGAGCTCATCCACATCAATACTGATGAATTACCGGGGACACAATACAGCGCGCTGTCGTATGTGTGGCACATCGAACCCGAAGATCGCCGCCGCAAGTGCAGATACTTGCTTGACGGATCGCCATCAGGCAAAACAGTATGGGTTACACCGAACTTGTTCATATTTCTCAAACAATTTGAGAGGACTGTTGAGCGGGATACCGCCGAACTCATCTATATCGACGGCTTGTGCATCAATCAGGAGTCGCAGTCGGAGAAAGCAGACCAGATTCGCCTGATGCGGCAAGTTTACGGGCGCGCGACGAAAACGATTGTGTGGCTTGGGACCGCTATTAAATACTACGACGGGCGTGATGACTTTTCCGCTGTTGCCGATTCCAAAACACATGATGACTACTCTTCTGAAGACAATTCCTCGGTGGACGATTCCTCTGAGGAGGAAAACGAACTTTACCCACACGATCCCTACCCAGAATACCACTATAGTCTGTGGGAATACATGTACAACAACAAAGAGCCAGAGTATCCGGACTCAGTGTATCGAGCGGTCCTCCGACGGATCTGCGACCACGTATACTGGGAACGACTCTGGATCGTGCAAGAATGCTTGCTAGCTGGCGAAACAGAGATATGGTGCGACTTCCAGTCTCGTTTCAACTGGGACGATATCGACAGAGTGATGAGGGAGATGGGAATTGGGGGCGACGACGTCAAATGGACCGACTACGAGCGAAAGGCTCGGAAGATTTTTGATACGAAACGCGAGCTTTACGATGCTTTCCAGCCGCAGTCGACCGTCCTGACGCCGTATGTGTATGGTTTGGACATGAAAGACGCGCTCTATCGCTTTGGACGGCAGAAATGTTCCGATATGAAGGATAACGTGTATGGGCTACTCGGCATTATCAAGAGGCATGACATTGAGGTTCGGTACGACGCGCAATGGCCCATTGATAAGGTTGTGATTCAGGTGCTGGAGCAGGTGTGGGGCGAGATAGGTGTTGACTCTAAGATTCCGCCTGCGGAGAAGGTGAGGGAGTATAACAGGTTTGTTCATTTTGTGTTGAATAAATGCTTCCGACCGAGTGGGGAGGCTAGAAGGTTGATTTCGTCTGCGGCGTCTCGAATAGCTCTCGCAGATCCGGCCTCGAGTCATAATTGATCTCTTTTCACGCTAACGATTTCCAAATTCCTTGTTCAGATGTCAGTGCTTAATATCACTGAAAAGATGAGAGTGAATGCATCCCTCCTGGAAATGAGACAAATAATTCTCTACGGAAGTGAACTCTAATATGCCATCAAAAGTAGATGTCCTGCTTGCTCAGTCTCCAATGAATCGAACTTGAAAACGATTACTGATGTATTTCACTCTTGGATGAGAACTTTCAATTTCTCACCCAAGTCAGATAGTTCTTACAGTCTTATATCATTTAAGTCTCAATTGTCGACATCTGGAGGAGCGCGTGTATCATCACGTGACCGTGACTGCCCTGCTCAATGACATCTACGCGCCAAGCAAAAGATGTCGACGCTCAATCAATCACCAACTTCCCTCCCTCATTCCCCCCAAAACATAACCCCTCTCCACCCTCTCTTCCACCTCTGACAATGGCGGGCACCGGCTTCAAACTCTCGCTCGCCGGCGCAAAAAAACCAGGAGGAATCAAACCCCCGCCCGCCAAACGCCCGCGCCTGGCCGCGCTCGGCGACGAACCCGAAGACGCAGACAAACAGCAGGAGATTCTTGGCTGGGACACAACAGCCGGCGGCGCGATTGAACTCAATGGCAAAACGAAGAAGGAAGAGGAGGCGGCGAAAGCTGCGCCGCGCGTGATTGCGAGCCAGCCGAATCGCAACTGGCGCGAGGATGCTTTGAAGAAACATTCCGGCAGCGGTGGTAGTGATGGAGCGCCGCCGGGAGCCAACCCCCAACAACAAACACCAGGACGAGAAATGGAAGAGAAACCACAACTCCCCGTGGGTCTCAACCTGTTCCCCAAAAAAGAAGAATCGCAAGACACAGCAAACACGACCTCCGAACCCATGACCCTCGACCCTCCCGCCCCCGAATCCGACGACACCTTGACCCCAGAACAGCGCTTAGAAAAAGATGCTCTCGCCGCCCTCATCACAGGCGAAACCCCAAACCACACCGTAATACCCCTCTCCCGCACCGACCAAGAAGCCTTCGAAGAAGACTACAACGAGGCGCGGCCCGCCCCTACAACGGCAGACTACGACGCCACACCCATCGACGGCTTCGGCGCCGCGCTCCTCCGCGGCATGGGCTGGAAGGACGGCGAAGAACTCGGTCTTCACCGCGGAGACGGAGTCCGCAAGAAAGCAGCGCCACCCAAAGAAGTGAAAGCGCGTCCTGCGCTTCTAGGAATAGGCGCAAAGCCCGAAGCTGCCATGGGCCTCGAGCCGAAAAGCGCAAAGGCGGAAAAGGCAGCGACATGGAAAGCCAAGGAGGCGCTGTATAAACCCGCTACTTTGGCCGTTGCGGTGCGGAATAAGAAGACGGGCGAGATGATGTCGGAGGATGAGTACAACAAGATGCTCGAGAAGCAAAAATTCATCGACGATGGCGGTGGCGGTGGCGCCGATCACGCTTCCTCCTCGAGGAACACCGAGAGAGACGGCAGGAGCAGCAGCTCGAGGAAGATGATCAAATACGCCGGCGAAGACGAGGACGAAGACGAATACAGACGCGCGAAGCGCAGGGATAGAGAGAGGAGGGACCGCGACCGCGATAGGAGAGACGGCGACGTCCTCGACGACAGATACGACAGCGAGCCGCGCAGAAGAGACAAACATCGCGATCGCGACCGCGACCGGTATTCCGAATCACAGTCCCACTCCCACCGCAGCAGCCGCCGCGACGACGACGACGACGACGAATACCGCTCCAGCCACAAATCGAAATCAAAATCCTCGCGCAGCGACAGGGACAGAGACAGAGACTATGAACGACGAGACCGCGACTACGAACGGTCGTCGCGCGGCGGCGGCGGCGGCGACAAAGACAAGAGTCGGAGTAGCTACAGAGACAACGATGACGATAGAGATCGACGGCATCGCCGTCCTCATCATCACCATCGTCGCAGTCCCTCGCGTTCGCGTTCACGTTCTCGCTCCCCGAAACGGCGAGATCGCGACCGCGACCGCGAAAGAGGAGGTTCAGACCGCGATAGGAAGCGCAGAAGAGATGATTGAATGCGAATCGAGCTTGCATCGATCAACACTTTGATTTCGAATTTTTTTGAAAATCATGGAAACTTGTACATTCGCGATTGCCCGTTGCAATAGACTGCATTAATTCTTGTTCGCTGGAGTCTCCATGTAGCGATGCTGGATGGTGTACGCAGTTATAGGATTGTAAGCATCCATGTACACATATATATATGTATATATAGCTAGGTAGGTAGCATTACGGCATATACCATCACTGGCATCATTGGAATAAAAGCATGTCTTTGTCCAAGTACCTTTACTCGCATAACTAACTCATCACTCCACACGCATACATTCAAAAATGCACACGTACATAGATATACACCTAGGTACACAAAGATAAGAAGTTTTTTCAGTTTTCCCTCCTTTTAAGCCATCCAAAAGGTAGAAGAATGAAGAGCGGAGGAGAAAGGGGGGGAAAAAGGGGGGGGGATAAAGAATTGTGTATTTTAAAAAGAAGAAGAAAAAGAAAAAGAAACAACTCCCGCTAAACCTAAACAAATATAAAAAAAGGAGGACAAAAGATAGCAAAAGAAGAACAAGCAAAAACTCCTTTTGCCAGAGTCTCCTCTTGACAAAAAAAAAGGGGGGATCCAGCATCTCCCAATCATTTTCTCCTCTGGTTAAAGACAAATCCCCTGGCAGTGCGTGTACAGTCGTTATCTCATCGTCATCATCATCACACAAGCAACAACAACAACCCAACCCAACCACGCCCACACCAACAAAACCAACCAAACAATCCAAACGAACAAAAACAAAAACACGCAGAAACCCTAAGCCTCCGTCTCAATCCCCCCACCGCCACCCTCGCGATGCCCAAAAGCGCCACTGACCTTATTCTCCCCACGCCTAGCAAGATGTTTGACGTAGGCAAGGGTCCTAGGAGCCTTCCACTGCATGGCGCCGCGGTTCTTGCGATGCAGCTGCTTCTGGTTACTCTTGTACTCGCGCAGCGAGTCAATGGCGCCTCGTTTGCCGTCTTTATCCAGGGAGGACGAGCCGCTGCGTTTGAGGAAGGAAGGGACGAGCGATGTCTTTGAAGAGTTTTTGTTGCTTGTTTGCGAGGAGACGCGGGAATGCGAGTAGGTATCCGAGTCGTAGTCCGAGTCGTCGTCGTCCGAGGAAGAAGAAGAAGAAGAAGAGTCGTTTTCGTCGTCGAAGCTAGCCGACGGGGATTTGGAGGGTTGGTTTGGGATCGAGGCCCCGCCCGTGTCCGAGTCCGAGTCCCAGTCGATGTTCTCGCTGTCGTTGCATACGTCTAGGACTTCCATGACGTCGGCGACGTGGCGGTCCTTTTTCGCGAGCTTGGCGTGGTAGCCAGAGAGGCCGCTCCAGAAGGTGAGGTTGAGCTCGACTTCGCCGACGCGCTCGCCGTACGAGTCGAGGATGTTGTTCTCCGCGCGGTTGAGGTCTCCTTTCCAGATGGGCACGCGGACCGACTGCTCTTCGTTGTCGGAGATGTCTCTGAGCCAGAGCACGCCGAAGGCGGGCGTGCGGTCGGAGAGCGTCGACTCTTTGCGGAATTCGATGACGAGCGGCGAGGCGTAGCGTTTGCGTACCGCGAGACGAATTAGACGGCTCATCTTCTTCGACTTCCAGACCGTGTGGCCATCGTGCTGGTTCAGGTTGTCGTCTTCTGCGCCAGAGTGAAGTTTGGCGCGTTGGATGTTGGTGCGGATCTTCATGCGCATGTTCTTGAGGTCTGAAGGAATGTCTATAGCCTTGACGACAGGGTTGAGCTCTATGGTTCCGTAGTCCCATCCAAGCAGACTCTGCGGCGCTTGCAGTTGTACTGAGCGGAAAACAATCGAAATGCGGGCCCGTCCATACCCGACACCGCCAGACAGGGGGAAGTTGGCGTTGATCTGGCTGCGGTGTTTGAGAACCCGCGCAAGAGGGAGATAGATCATACCGAGCAGCGGGTCTTTCTCGTGCGGACGTGCATCGCGGACGGAAATGTGGACCTCGCTGTTACGGAAGTCGCGAATGAAGCGTTCGCAGCCCGCGTTGTAAAATGGCTTCGCATTCTTTGGCTTGGTTCGCGTCTTGAAAATTTTCTGGTGGTTGAGTATAATCGTGCAATACGCCGAAGGAAGGTCTTCTCCTTCTTCCTCTTCGTCGCTGGCTTGCTCGTTCTTCGACGCCTTGCTTTTGTTGAGTGTTTCGAGCTCGAGACCAGTAATTTGGTGAATTTGAATGCTGAGAATTCCGGATGGATAGTTCTGAGAGGGAGGCGAGGCAATGATGAGTTCATCCTGGCGTTCCTATGTACAGGGTTAGTATAAAAAGCCTGCAATAACAAAGATTACAGTTGTAGCGTACCTTGAAGTCTTGGGTTTTCTGCTGCTCAACCTCAGCGCTCTCATCTTTGCTGGCTTCTCGAAGCTTCTTCTCGCTCTGCTCGAACACTTTCTCTTTCAGCTTATCGATGTCCTTGACATCGGGATCTACTTCTTGGGTAACGAGCTGCTCGTCGGTGATTCTCGTCTTGGAGAAGTAACCGACACTCCACTTCAATTTCCCCGGCATCCCCTCGCCTTTCTTCAATGACTTGAAACCGTCTTCACGCTCACTCATCTTGCCGTTGGAAGCGTTGTCCTTCATGAGGTCCTTGAGACCTAGCTCAATACGGCCCAAGTCATCGTCCGCAGTTGTGCGATCCGAATCCCACAGTTGGAGTCGTAGCCGTTCATCCACGTTCAACTCATCAGTCGAAACGAGCACGAAACACGTTTCTTCCCAGTGTGGTTCCATATTCTTAGTCAGTACGCGGGTGGTGAAGAGCGGCTTTCCGAACTTGGCCCAACCAACGCTGACATATGGGTCCGCAGAGCCCTTCTTGATCGGTCCGATCGAAGCATCACCTTCCTTAAAGTCGAATGCCCGTTTTATGGTAACCATGATGACTCCGCGGGCGCTGGTGTCTTTCTTGAAATCATCACCCATAAGCATGTCCTTGAGATCTAGAGTGAGCGACTTGGGCGCGACGTATTCAGCCATGGCCGCATCCACAGAGGATTGTACGAAGCGCGAGATCAAGGGAAAGTCCATGAGATTGGGACCTTGTTTGATGAGGGGAACACAGGCAATGTCAACTTTGGGTTGGCCGAGGAAAGTAAGCGTGCAGAGAGAGAAGAAAGGCGGATCAGGAGTCAATTGCAAGCGCATTCGCATGACACCGACGAAACCTTGGAGCTCGACCCAAACAGCTACGTGAACAGTTAGTGTTTCTTCTCGAGGCTTTGCGAGGGAATTAGGTCAAAGACTTACGCAACTTGATATTGGAAGGCATGTAGAAGGCCAGGTAAAGGTGGGCGTTCTTAGCACGCTCCTTCATGCCTTTCCGCCCGGTGGATGGCCGATAGGCAAAGGCGACTTCTACATTGACAAAATCGCCCTCCTCGCCCTCCATCCCTTGAGCCATATTCTGATCCTCATCTTCGTCGTTGTCGTCCCCGACATCTCCTCCGTTGGACACAGTCCTATCGCCGGTTTTGGCGTCAGCATTTTTGAGTTTACCGTCCTCATCTACCGATCGCGCAGCTGCACCGGTGGGAAGCCATCGGACACCCAAAATGCGTAGCGATTCGGAGCCTTGACCGAGATCGTCTACGGACACCATGCGGACCATTTTTGGTAAACTGGCCTGCATAACGTCTTCGAGGGTATCTGAGATAGATGTAAAGAGGTCCGGATTGATCAACGGCCACACTGAAGCAAGCAAAGAATTGAGCCATTGCGCACTCTCGGCGGTCCTGCTCTTGGCAAACTTCTTCCCTAGCTGCCTCTCTGCCTGCCACACCTCCGTCTCCCACACTGTGTTGATCTTGTTCTCAGTCCACTGCCGCATGCCCACAACCACGCCAGCGGAAACTCCTACACATACGCCAATCTCCAGCACAGCGAACACAAATCTCGACCAGCCCTGGGCGTAGCGCGTAAACTGGAAAATCGCGACCACAGCAGTCAAACTCAAACCAATTAGTCCTAGTCCCGCAGTCATGGCCTTCCGGTACGCGTCGGTGATGCCTTCGCGGGTCATTTGGAAGTCTGGTGGTGGGAACAAAGACTCCATGGACTCGTGGGCTTCATTTGCAGTGTCAGCTTCGTCAGCGAGTTGCTCGTAGTCCTTCTCCTTTCCTGCGGCGCCTGTAGCAGAGTTGGGCTCCGTCCCCGCGGGTGGGCCATTCTTGGGCGTCATCTTGAGGTCTTTGGTGGTGAAGTCGTGAATCTTGATGGGGAGATGAGTGACAGGATCCGTGACCTGTCGCTCCGTGCCATCTGCGCTCCATTTCTTCATGGACTTGCGCGCCTCCTTCGGATCCTGCGATGCTAGCATGCCCTCGGTGGTATCTTCAGCGGTTTCCGAGTCGAGTTCCTCGTCGTCGTTATCGCCTCCATTCTGTTCGTCGGTGGCTTGATTCGGATCCACCCGCCCGGCGTGATCATCGGCTATCTCATCATCGTTGCCTCCGAAGTTCTTGTTTTCGGCTGTGTATGGCTGCGTTTCCTCGGTAGGGTTCAAGGCTTCCTTCCCATGCCTGAGCGCGGTATACGCATCGCCCAATCGGCCTAGCTTGGTCCTGTCATCTTCCTCGTGACCGGTGTGTCCTGCACCGACGCCATATTGCTCCTCGCGCTGCTTTTTCTCCTCGCGGTAGCCTTGGACGGTTGGAATGGGGTTGTGAGTAGTATACGGTTGCTTATGCTTGACAGTCGAGTTTTGAACGTCATCGACGCCCGACATGGTTGGAGGAGTGGAAGCAAAGGTAAGGGAGTGATTTTTTGAGGATGGAGGAGGGGAGAGGAGAGGAGGGGAAGGGTGGGAAGGAAAGTGGGTGAGCGGCGTGGGTGAATGATGTGGAGGAGGGATACGAAGGTGGTAGGAGCGGCAGACGTAGGTTGCAGGCAGTTAGGCAGATGGGTAGGTAGGTTCTTAGGCGGTAGTAGTAGTAGTAGTAGTAGTAGCCGTAGTAGGTATCCTCTTCTTCTCCTTAGCGAGACGATATTAGAGGTAGACAGGCGGTGGTGGTGTTTGTGTAAAGTCGTCAGTCAGCAGTCATCGGCCGGAGACATCAAGCAAGCATCCAGATCAACAAGACAGCCAGCCAGCCAAGGACGGACGAACGAGAAGCAGCCGTTAGCGAGCGAGTGAGCGAGGATGCAATTGACTAGGTACTGTATTGTATACGTATGTATTGCTGGACGGAGGAAAGCAATCAGAGAGAGAGAGAGAGAGAGAGAGTAACGTTGAATCAAGCAAAAAGGCGATGACGGACGAGGAAGAAGCGAAAAAACGGAATTGACGTAAACGCGCCCGCGCACTGTGTCTCTCTCTCCACACTGTTCTCTTTTCCCCTGTCGACGTGGTTCCTTGAAAGTTTCAAGCAGGATGCGGTCCACAGCTGTTGGACGGTGAATGGGTGCAGAGCGTGCCGTTTGATCCAGACGTGATCCCCCAAGACGCAAATCCCCGCTCCGATGACGTCGGTCAGACAACATCGCGAGACGCCTGATTCGACGTGTCCAAGCGTTTCAGGTCAAGCACAGGTCAGTACTGTATAGAACAATGATCAATATCAACTTCCTTGTATACATTGGATGGTTTCATTCATCGTAACATTAAGACTTATACCCAGCCACCCCTGGTCGCTTTTTTGTTGCCTTTGGAGACCAGATTGACCCAGAACCAACGCCGGCATCCCAAAAAATCCCTCCAAAGAGAAGAGCTATCACAGTGTACGCCATTCCCTTGTATGTTTACATGTATTCCATTTTGCGCCAAAAACAAGACCAGAAAAAAAGGGCTTTCCGCTTATCGGAGCATGCATTCACCGCTGCTGATATAACAGATGCTATATAGAATGTAGTCAAAGTCCGCATTGGAAAGCGGAGGGGGTATCAAAACGCAGCAGAGAGAGAATAGAGACAAGCATAGTCGGCAAGATTGCAGAGCCTACGCAATGTTTCCCGCGAGGCCCAGGAACAATGCTTGGGCGGCCAGTTGCAAGGTCCAAATGCCAACCTTCTTTATGCGCCGCTTCCGCGACACGTTGTCTTCGAGCACATCGCGCGCAAAAGCATCGTACATCTCTCGCGACATGTCATCCATCAGCCCACTGTCGTACAAGGTCCAGCTGCCGTCGAACTCGCCTACCCGCTTCACAACCCGGCAATTGACCGGTATAAATGTCTTCTTGGCGTTGATGTAGGCGACAATCGGCCGCACCAGGGCGTTGTTGACATACGAGATGTCGTTGGTGAAGAGCGGCACGGCAGCGCGCACATCGTTGAGATGCACACGCACGTCCATGATGATGAATCGATTGTCTTCGCTGTGCTCCGCATCACCTTCCCCTTCAGCCAGGTGCTGTGCTCGAGCCTGATCGTCGAAGCCGTGCGCGGCGTGATCCGAGTAGTGACGCGTGGTAGGTGTGTTATTCTGGGTGACGGTAGCTTCTACGCGATCATACATGTCCGACATGACCTTGGCAAGGCTGTCGTCATCGTCGCTAGGAAGCATGATGTCGGCGACAATGTCAACGTTGCCTTCGTAGATCCACGAGAATGGGCCATCGTAGCCCCTGTTGAGATGATCGATGTTGAGACCGTCAATTCGGATGCGGCTCTGCTTCTTCCAGCTGCTCCCATCCTCGGTTTCTCGGCCCTCGCTGAGTTGTGCACCGGTGTAATTGTGCGTTTGCCGAGGGTGGATCGTGAAGAGCGAATTATCAAAAGACCCAGACATCATGTTGGCAGACAAGAAGTCGTAAAACAACCACTGCTTGCGCAGCCTGGGCAGATCGCACGAGTAGATGCTGACGGAGAAGGGACGGAACTTGTCCGGCTGGTAGATGGTCACCAGCACGTCTTCCATCTTGAAAGAGTCGAGCTCAAAGTCTCCCGGGTTATGTTCGTGTTTGTAAGAGCGAGGGTCTACGCCTTCGACAGTGTGCACAGATGTCCGATCGACCACGCCTCGGATGCCTTTGATCTCCACATCCTTCAACAGGCCTTTGCCATTGAACCATTTGGAAAAAGATAGCGTGACGTTGACCGTGGCAATGGAGATGTCGAACTGGGTGTAGTTTGTGTCCTCTTCTTCTTCGGCGATACCACTGGCCAGCTCCTTTTCCTTCTGGGCGATAGCGGCGGCTGCGGCTGCAGCGGACGTTTGCGTGCCCTTGCTGACTTTGGAATGCTCCTGGCCAGGACGGCGAGAGACGTATACGTTTCGAAAGGATATGACGCCATCTTTCCACTTGGGAACGACGGCCGACTCAAAGACGACCTTGATACCCGACGACTGTGTCAGGTAATTGCCAATCCACTGCGCGACGGATTCTTGAGCAAAGACGGTGTTGACCAGGAACACGGTCAGCATGAAGAATGTGGTTGTGCCCAATACGACCCACAGGAAGTGGGCAGCCAGAATCCAGGACAGCAGCGCATAAATCTCGTCGGCGTTGAAGGGGCGGGTGCTCCTGATGGTGAGCCATTTGAAGTGAACTCGGATGCGTGACCAGAAGCCAGACGCGGCATCTAACAGCTCTGCTTTACTGGGACGTTTCAAGTGCGGAAGGTGTGGCAGGTGTGGCAGGTGGCCGAGGAAGTGGGTGCCGGTAGAAGGCGGAGGCACGGGTGGTTCGGGAGGAGTAGTAGGTGAAGACGCTTCGGGCGGCGGTGGAGTAGAGGGGGGTGTGGAGGAGGAAGCGGTGGAAGAGGAGGGCGGTAGCTGGCTCGGGGTGTGCGGTTGAGAGGAAGAGGTGGAAGGCTTGGGTGTGGTATCATCGGGGAGAGAGGTCTTGTTGCGACGGCTTGCGGCATCAATTGTCGTCGACGGCAGGCGCGTGCTTGGTCGGACTGTGCGGCTCCAGGCGGATGCCACAGCGAATGTGACGCTAGGTTTGGTTGGCGATTGGCGGAAGGGGGTGATGGATAGAGCGCGCGAGTGTGAATATGAGACTGATGGCAGGCCGAGTGCCCATGTCGTCGTCTTTGCCTTTGCCTGGTGCTGCCAAATGGGCACCTCACTGAAGCTGGTGTTGGCGAGCGAGCGCCGGAGAAACGCGCCAGTCGCGACGGCTACATTTCTTTGCATTATATTTCTATCCTCCCGGTGACGCTGCTACTTCTCCTGCTGCTGGTGCTATATGCGCGGCGATAGTCTCATGGCTGGCTAACTGGCTGACTCGTGATGTATTTTTCTCACGTGAAGGTTAGAGAGAGCTGGGAGCGACGTGCGTTTGGCGACTTTGGATTTTTTCTTTTCCCTGGTCAATGGTGAGATGACAAAAGAATATCGCGGAGAAGAGCGAGCGGCGGTGGCGGTGGTAAGGTGACAGTGCAGGTGGAATGAGTGATGGATAAGAAAAGGTGGGAGAGGGAGAGGTGGATGACGTCCAAGAGAAACGGATGAACGAACGGACGGACGGAAAAGGGAAGGGAAACAAGCAAACCAGCCAGCTGCCAAGCCTTTTGCTGGGGAACTGACGTCCCGCGTTCCTTCCCTCGTTTGTCGAGTAGGAAAAAAATTAATTCGCCCAACCCGCCCGAGTTTATCGATAACAGCCGTGTACTCGACCACCACCACCACCACCACCAACAATCCTCTACACTCTATACTCTACGCTCTTTGCGCCACCAGGTTTCAAACACCACGAAACACACCTAATCGCATTCGCCTTGAATCAAATACAATCTGGGGAATCATCACCACCCAATCAAATCATCTCCTGCAATACATACCCTGGACTTGGCCACTAGAGAAAAACAACCACACCCCTCTACCGCCAATTACTACTACCCTCACTACCACAAGTCTTCAAACATCATACTCCTCAAACATGCCCGCCCCGACCGCTCTCCAGCGCGCCCCTGACGCCCTGGCCGCCTCCGCCTCCCTCGACGACGCCATCATGGACGAGCCCACCACATCAGCGCCCCTCCTCGACATGTCTGCCCTTCCCCCGTCCTCCAACGACACCACCACCCTCCCCACCAACCAAACTTCCTCCGAAACACTCACCATCGACGAGTCCGGCCGCCCCAAGTTCGCCCCTTCAAAAGACGTCCCTCTGGCCTTCCGCCGCGAGCAGCGCCACGTCCCCGTCCCACCCCACCGCATCACACCGCTCAAAAACTCGTGGGCCAAAATCTACCCTCCGCTCGTCGAGCACCTCAAGCTGCAGGTCCGCTACAACACCAAGAAGCAGAGCGTCGAGCTGCGCACGGGGAGCCAAACCGACGACTCGGGCGCCCTGCAAAAGGGCGAGGACTTTGTCAAGGCCTTTTGCTTGGGCTTTGACATTGACGATGCCATTGCTTTGCTGCGACTTGTACGTTTCCCTATTTCCCCTTGTTTGCAATTCAAGTACTCATACTAACCTCTTTGTCATTTGCAAACAGGACGACCTCTACATCGAAACCTTTGAAATCAAGGACGTCAAAACCCTGCAAGGCGAGCATCTCGGCCGCGCCATTGGCCGCATCGCCGGTAAAGACGGAAAAACAAAATTCGCAATCGAAAACGCCTCCCGCACCCGCGTCGTCCTCGCTGACCAGAAAATTCACATCCTGGGCGGCTTCAAGAATATCCACATTGCTCGTGAGGCCATTGTCAGCCTCATCCTGGGTGCCCAGCCTGGTAAGGTATACGGCAATCTGAGGACTGTCGCGGGGAGGATGAAGGAGAGGTTTTAGTCGAAATCTTCTCTGTTTTCTTACTTGCAAGAGAGGGAATTGGGCTGTTGGTCTTCTTCTGCATTTGAAGCGGCGTTTTTGTTCTTTGGGTTTCTAGGTTCCGAACCCTTTTTTTTCCCTTACGGTTCGTAGGCCCCGTATTCGGAGGGAACAGGCAAGGATGGGAATGGGGAGATGATGAGAAATCTCAAAAAGTTACGGTAGCCAGTGGGTTTTGTTTTTCATGGTTTCCCATATACCTCTTTTTTTTCAATCCTCGGTAGTTAGTCCTCCCATTTTATGGCGGGCATTTCCAGAGACGTCGTGATACTGTTATTTCCACCACCCTATTTTCAAAGCAATCAACATATCAAAAGAAAAAAATATCCTACCCATCATCATCTTACTCTTCTTTCCCCTCCATACCTTGAATAAAACTCATCCAACAAGTCGACAAGCGCAACACAACACAGCACAATCTACATGTATCTATCTCGCTGTAAATACTATATCTTCATTTCGTCCTACATGTACATTGCGATATAAAAACATGTACCATGACCCTAGCCCTAATCCTAGCACGATATTACAAAAAGTTAAAAAAAAAAAAGGACTAATTCTCTTATAATAAATTAAAGAAAATTCTGAATTTGGGGTGTAGGATGATGAGGCTACGCACACACACACAGCAATAGCAGCAACAGGTTTCCTAACAATTAATAAGATGAATAAGAAAAAACGAGCGATTAGCAAAGAATTTCTTAGAATACAGAGGATCTAAATACTCTTAATCCTAAGAAGAAGAAGAACAAGAGGAGGAGGAGGAGGAGGAAGAAAAGGAGGACGAAAACCTGTTCAGCACACAACAAGAAGACACAACCAAGACTCAAAGAAATAACCTGTATTTAACTCTTATTACACAACAGTATATAAATTACTCAAGTGTACGAGGAGAACAAAAAAATGCTTTTAGGATGCTAAACTACAAATTATATACTCTAGTGTGTTCATCATCATCTTGTGATTATTACATACAGGAAGAAAGAGCTGACGAGGATATGCATGAATGCGAATGAATAGCAGCGTTCGTCGAGATAAGATGAATGCATTCTACAAGGAGAAGAAGGGGGAATAACAAAGGTATCAAACAGCAAGAACAAAACAAAAAAGAAAAAGACCCCGCTGCGCCATGCTCACAACCTCATGTCAACGTCGTCGTCGTCGTCGTCGTCGTCGTCGTCGTCGTGAAACCGCGAGACCGCCGTCTCGTTACCAATTTCTCCAAAGAACCGAAACATGCAGCGAAGATCAATATCCAAAGAACATGTTCTAAAAGTTCCGTGAAGGCAGCGGCGCGGGCTCAGGCTTGTACGAAGCAGCGTTGCCACCGCCATTAGCGAGACCGTTGTGCCCATTGGCGTACCCGTTCCCGTTCGCGAAGCCGTTCGTATCGTTTGTGCGGGGCGCGCCTCGGAAATACTGCGTGCCGTCCGCAGCGCCGTCGCCCATACCGCCGCCCTCGGCGCGCGCCATATCCATCTCGGTGGCGTTGCTCTGGTAGTTCTTTGAGCGGATGGCGGGCATGAAGTCGATGAAGAAGCTGAGGACGTAGAAGAAGTAGACAAAGGCGATGGTCCATTCGAGGATGGCGGCAGTGTTGTAGTGCTTCATTCTGGACATGACGCCGAAAGCGATGGCGAGGGCGACCTCGACGAGGATGAAGGCGAGCTTGATCCAGAAGCTGATGCGCAGCACGCTGTGTTCGCGGAAGTGGATGCCGAGGCGCTGGTACTCCCAGCAGATGAAGATGGCGGAGATGACGTAGCCCACGATGAAGACGCCGAGGAACACATTGTGCAGACGGGGGTGTCTGAGGGTGTCGAAGATGGACAGGAGGATGAGGCCGGCAGCACCGGCAATGGCTGCGACAATGGCAATGGTGCTGTATATCTTTTGCCAGATGGACGTGTTGGGCGTCAGTTTGCCGGTGTGACGGAGCCAGCGCTCGAGGATGAAGGCGATGTCAAAGGTCACGACGGTTACAGCCGACATGGCTATGAAGAGGGGCTTGAGTCCGGACGCGCCCACGTCTAGGGTAGATTGTTAGTTGTCTTGCATTGATCTGCTTCCAATTTTTTTTTTCGGAACCTACCTGAAATGTATGCGATGTTCTGATTCGGATCCATACTATCGTAGTGCGGTCGTCCATCGTAGACCCAGACAGTCAACATGGAGATGAGCATGGCTAGCCATACTAATGACGAGAAGATGGGGACCGCCCAGTACGAGATCCCCCACATGGTGATAGAGGAGGTGGGTGGCGTGAAGGTGTCGCGAACAACCGTCGTCAATGTAGTCCTAAACTTTATTCGAGGCAGCTATTGGGGGGGATTGCGTATGCTCGCTGATGTTGTGCAGGTGGGAGCGGCAAGGAGTCGGTGGTGGAAGGGAGGTCGCGCGACACAAGCAAGGAAGCGATGATTGTGGTAGTACAGAGATTGAGAGAGAGAGATGTATGCAGGGGAATCGCGGTGGTCAAAAGGTAATGGAATATAAGCTTTGCACAACCAATGGCAGGAAAGACGCGCATGGGTGGGTGGCCCAGCGCGATGTTTAAAGGACTGGGAAGCTAAAAAGGGAGAAAAAAGAAGAAAAAATGATGATGCTGATAGCGATGAGCAAGAAATGGCGGGATGATGTCACTCCTGGGGATACTAAGTCATGGCCAAGCTCCGCAGGGCTCCGGGCGGACGACTCTGCGGGAGAAGTACATACGAACGACTAGGACTAGAGGGGGAGTTTGTGGACATAAGCGGCCGAGCAACCTTGCTCGCATCAAGGCTTTGCCGTCGACGAATCGAAGAATAGATCTGTTGGGACTCGAGCCAGAGCCAGAGCCAGTGCCGGATGATGTAAAGCGAACAAGCAGGCAGTGAGAGACACCATCTGGCGCCGATCTGTGGAGACGTCGAGGGAGAGAGAACTATCGAGGAAACGACGGTGGCTCAAGCTAGGCTTCGTCAGTGACAACGTAATCAGCCAGTGACACAGCCTTTGGATCGACACTTGTAGGCCTGCGTGTGATGATGATGATGATGGATGAATCAGCTGAGTAGGCAAAAAGTGGTTTTCCTTGTGTACGTCGAGTGAATGGTTGCACTGTTGTTCGTCGATGAGGGTGAGTGCAGACAGAGGTGATCAAGTAGGTACGCCAGACCTCTGGCAGTGAGTGTCAAGGGGGGAAAGCAATCTCGCGTGGAAACCATTCTTCCGTACTAGCCAGTAGTCATGGCCATTTGGGCGAGTCCTTTGGAGTCAGCAGCATCGTGGTTCTGGTCGTGCATCATCCAATTGTTTGTGCGTGGTGGTCCGACATGGCTGCGGTTTGGTGCATACGAACGAACGGACGGGTGAATCTCAAAATGAGTGAATGAGTCTGCGGCTCAACTCGATGACTAATACTCGCCTGACTAAGCCAGCCAACACGTGCTTTCCTTATACCATCAATTGATTGATCGACTGATGTCCTTCACAGTACGCTGTTGACGGTGATGCACAATATCATCGCTGCGAGATGAGAAACCCCATCTCATCACGCTCAAAGAGTCTCACCGCCTGATGCCATGTCGTCGTCGTCTTCAAACGACGCGTAACAGCACTTGAGCTCGATGCAGGGCACTCCGAAACCACGCGACACGATACGTCCTGGCTGCGTTGCTGCACCTCCATCGCATGCGTCTACTCTACTCGCCTCATGGCTTTGCATATGGAAACCGCGTGACTTGGGACGTCAGTTCTCGCCATCTATCAGCGACAGGCTGCAATTCCCAGACAGACACGTCGTAACAGCAATCTTGTCGGTTTCGCATCCCAGGCCCAAACGCCCTCGCTTCCCACCAGCCAGCGGCTCATTGGCGCCAGGCAAGGAACACGGGCTCCACCGAGATGGAGATGCCTGTACCTGGGAATCACAATGCCCGCGGTTGCAGTGCCGAAAGTGGGAGGCAATCACCGCTGCAGCCGCAATCGACAATTGTTCCATCTTTCGCGACAGACCACAGGGCCGTTGGAAATCTCGATCGCGCAAGTCATGGGAAAAAGCAAGATTTCCGTGGGTGGCGGTTGTGGGTCGTTCGGGGATGCTGATGTTGAAAAGCGCATGGTGGACGGAGGGACGAAAGCTTTTGCTGATGGGATTTCCCTGCGCAATGCTGCTGCTGCTACTACTTCCACTACTACTGCTGCTGCCACAACAATAACAACAAGTATCCGTCGTATCAGTCTACCGGAGATGAATCCACATTGCGCGTGTAGGATGCTGCGAGAACCGGTTCTCGCAGTCCTGTACGGCGGTGCCTTGGTTTGGGAGGACTGGATTTATGTAGGCTGCATCTTATGGCAGCGGTGACCTATATCTCGCTCGGATGGCTAGCCCCGATCATGTCAAGCTGGCGAGATTGCAATCTTGACGGTTCCCTGGACGCTGCACTTTGCGTAAAGTGTCGGTCAGGCACATGTAATGTGCGCATCGACGTATGCAGCTGGTTCCCGCGCAGAGGCAGAGCAGAGCAGAGAGATGTCGTCGACGAAGCCGTCTAGATCACCTCTAGGATGTGCAGGAAGACGTGGTTGCGCATCATCCACGCCCGGCGTCTTGAGCCAGCCATTGGATGGATAGCCGGAGACTGGCATCAGGCGTGCATGCCTGGGGGTTTCACTTGTCTGCAATTCCAAGTTTGTTGTTTACTACACTCCCTCCATCGTTCCCTATCAAAGGCACGCCCAGCTCACAGACAGTGGGCCTCGTAATCGAACGGGCAATCCTCCGATGAGTGGACAACCCCATCTTTTTATACATACTTAATACATAGTTGATCCATCCATCCTGTCCTCTTCACCCTCGCAGTCGACGAGTGCTGGTCGACCTGTCTGTCATCGAAACCCACCCCTCATATCTAGCCGCCCCCACCGCGCCTCCGCACCATTGACCCAACTATTCTTCACCTAGCACCCTTAGCCTTTGGTCTACTTCAAATACAGAGGTAGCTACCCCAAAACAAAACGTCCAACAGCACTCTGACCGCTGTTCCACCTTCAGGAGTCTCTCTGCCCTTTTCACCCTACAGCCTCACTCCGTCACTCCCATGCCGGCTTCTTGATTGGCTTCACGGCCCCCGGTAGGCGTGCTTGAAGCTCCAACATCCAACCCATCCACCCATTCGTTCGTTGGCACGCACCATGGGCAACGCTCAGAGCAGTCCCCGTTCGCGTTCCCACAACAAGCTGGCGAAGCCCAGAACCATTTCAAACGTCGTGGTTCGCGGCCAGAAGAACGAATCCCAGCAGAGCTCCCTCGCTTCCCGATATGCAAACCTCAGCGCAAACGACCGCCAGCAAATCAAGTCGCAGCTCCTATCTCCCCTTGAGACGGATTTCGAAAACTCCTCCGCTCTCGGTGACGACTCCAAGCTTCATGTGATTGAAGATGCGACCGCCCCGACTTCGGCCACGTCGGGAGGCATGCAGCGCGGCTTGTCCAATTCCTCGAGGACAAACTCCATGTCCTGCTTTGGCAGCAGAGGTGGTTCGGCTTCCAAGCTCAACAGCGTCGCCGGTTCAAAGGTTTCGCTCCATGACGCTGTAGACGTGGAGACGGCAATGAGGATCCTAGAAGAAGTCAAACGAACCGCATCACCAGAAGACCTGGCCACCCTTCGTGAGTTTCTCAAGTTACGCCTCAATTGCTGTGGAATTGTACTGACTTTTATTTCAAAGAACTAGCTCTGCAGCCTTCTCCGCCTTCTCCTTCTCCTCGTCCCACGTCCACAATCGACCCCGTTATCAATCGTCGAAACTCAATAGCACTCAATCGCTCCTCATCGTCGCTGATCAGACGTCGCTCTTTAGTTACGACCCCCGGCTTAGCCACTCGCGGTTCGCCAGCGACCAAGGACCGCCGGGCATGGAGTTCATGGAAAACACCCAATCTGGACCCGCAGGAGGAGGCAAAATGGCATACGGACAAGCCATTGGCTAATTCACATACAGGGCTGGCTGCCCTCGCGCTGACGGAAGAACAAACTGGTGCTTCGAGTCCCCGCGCGATGACGCCTGGTGACAAAGAATACACGCATTTGGGGTCGCTGCAGCTCGGATCTTTGAGGATAGCAAACGGGGAGCCCTCTCCAGCCCCCCGCGGAGCGCTTCAAAGCCTCTCTAAGGAAGTCGATTATTTTACACCGCCCGACGTAGAAGATGCGCCCATCATGATGAAGCCTACAAAGCGTAGTAAACACGCGAGAAGCATGTCTGCTACCATCCCACCCACTCCTCCACTTTATCGTAAACTGCGTCTTTCCACTGCCAGCAGAAAATCCAAGACCCTGTCCCGGTGTGATAGCCCACAAAAGACGGATGGCTCTTCGAAGCCAGATTCTGTCCCCAAGGCGGAAGACGCCTCTCACCCCCAGTTTATGAACGGTGACGATGAGCCTGAGCCGCTGAGACGCTTGCGAGTGACAAACAGAAGTTCTGAGACTCTTGCGACCATGGCGACTCACTGCCAGGCAAACGCGATGGATGAATGTTCGCATGAACAACTGGATATCGATGAAGGTTTCGTCTCCGACGACGATAAAGCTGAAAAGGAAACTCACACCATACTCAATGGCACTATATTTGGAGAGCCACTCACCACAATTCATTCGTCACCATTAGAAAATTTGTCAACCACACAGCTACCGGCTGTCAGCCCGGCAACATACGAGGACGTTATACCGACAATAGAATTACCTGAGCTAGAAACGAGGAGCGCTCGGCCTCCGCCGACAAAAGCAGACTCGGGGTATTCATCGGTTGGCAGCTTTGTGATGGTTCAGCGTCAAGCCATGAGAGAAGGAAGTCCCACGCTTTTAGAAGAAGACGCGCACCAGAATAGCAGTGGCGATCATGCGAGGGAACCGGACGCGACCGAACATGCTCCCCAGACTCTTCACAGGATACGTTCCAACCAGGAGAATAGAACCACTCGATCAGACTCGTTAGATATTCCACGTAGTGGAAGCCAACCGCAACCAGAGCAAGTGACTGGACCGGAATCTCCGAGATCCCCGATGTCTTTGCAATCCGAGGGGTCTGCCGAAAAGAACACTTCCATGTCTAGGCGACTACAGAAGCGGCGCCCATCACAGCAGGAACTACCCGGCGTCAATCCATTGGTTCATACATATGAGAGTACCATACCTGAAGTGCCATCAGATTTGAGAAGTCAATTCGTGACGCGTACGTCGAAAACATCAGGTATGGAATTCCACAATCAAAACCATCTCGCCAGCGAGCATGTTCAGCAAGGGGAACGCAGATATGAGGCAGGTGTACCTGCTCCTACACAGGCTCCCGAGGAAACCGAGTCACATACAAAGCAGCAAAAACCAGAGAAGGCGGAGAGGAAGCGATGGAGCCTTTTCGAAGACAGCAGGACCGGCGAGATGGCTGAGAACCATGGAAGAACCCACTCGAATTCCGTGCCGGACCGTCCTCAAACACCCTCCCGTGGCCTACGCCGTAGCTTATCGTTATTCCGAAGCAAGTCGAAATCGGAAAAAGACAAGGCCAAATCGGCCCAAGAGTACGTCAATGAGATGCCCATGATGGTAGACTTGGGAGCTATTGGTTCGGCACTCGGGCGATCCCCATACGATGCTGCCATCAACGCAGCTTTCACGCATACAGTGACCTCTCCCACGCACCCCCACCAGATGGGCAATGTCATGCCAATGTCGCGCACAAAGTCCATGGTGAACATGGACGACCGGACCGCAGCGGACTATGCTCGCGCACGCAGCAAGGACCGAGCCCAGGCGCGCCCCGAAATGCCACAACGCCCCAAGAGCTACCACCAAGCCCTCCACCACGGCAACGACGGCGGCCGACCTCGAAGCTTCCACTACGACAACGATATCCCGCCTATCCCCACGCTACACGCGATGCCCCCACGGCCTAGGAGCTGCCATCAGCCCAGCTACGACGGCCGCGCGCGATCTCGAGGATTCTACTACGACAGCGATATCCCCCCCGTTCCCATGCTGCCTCGTTCCAAGACTCCCACTCACACACCCACCGCTCCATCCGCTGCCGATCCCTCACCTGTACAACCCGCCAGACCCGGTCCGCAGATCCGCGCACGGCCGACGGGCAGAGGGCCAACTGTGTCGAAAATCGTAACCCAGTACGATCAATACGGAGACTGGGAGCCCCGGCGTACAGAATGGCAGGTGAAGTCGCACACGCAGCAAGGTCGTCGACGCAACTACACGGTCGGATCGCGGCCGGCTTCTTACCAGGCTTATCAGCCCCAGCTGCAGCAGCAGCAATACCAATCCCATTATGAATACCAGCCACAGTACCAGCAGCAGGAACGACAGCAACGGCCGCGGCAACGGTCTTCGAGCTCATACGGACGGCACTCGTTGCCCTCGCAATCCCCGCACAGAGAGTACCGCCGTTCCTCTGAATATGTGGATTCTGCGCCTGTGCCTGTGCCTGTGCCTGCTATGCCGCTTCATCACCCTCAGCAGACGCAGCAGTTGCAGTCAATGGGGACGCGTCAGTTGCATAGTTACTCGAGCCGCTCCATGGGCTCGCGGCATCACAGCAGCGGGTACTGAGTTTGAGCTGTTTGTATCGAGTTTTTGTTCGCGATTTTTTTTTTCTCTCCCACGATACGATATCTGCTCTCTATTTCTATCTCTCGTCGAGAGAGAGAGAGAGCTTTGATGACTCTATTCCGTCATACTTTTTTTTTTGCTTTGTCGTTAGTTAGTCAGTCAGTCAGTTTATCTGTACTCTTTCCTTTGAGTCTCTCTCTCTCTCTCTCTCTCTCTCTCTCTCTCTCTCTCTCTCTCTCTCTCTCTCTCTCTCTCTTCCTCCCTATTAATCTAGGAGTTGCTTATCCTTGTCTTGTCTTGTCTTGTCTCTACTCCCTTTTTTTGCTTTGTTTTCCTCTTATCCAATTCCATCTACTATCCATTCCATTCCATCTATTCATACATATATACCCCATCGGGAGAGAAATTCCCCCTCTCATTCTTCATTGTTTTCATTGTTTGGCATTTCTGCAGGTCGGATAAGCGTTTCTCTTTTCTCCCTCTCTCTTTTTTTTGGTAGGAGGGGTTCGGGGTTCGGGACTATGCAGATTACACAAACGCATTGGGTTGATTGGATTGATAGCGCACACATACATACATAACATGCTCATATTGAGGCGGAAAAAAGCCGAGGGTTTTCAGGTCACTTCTACGTGTATCCTACATACTTAGTAGCTGTCTGTATATATATTTATATAACTGCACGCAACTGCTATGTATCTAGAGTTGGAATGCAAAGATACGCAATTTCTTTTGAAAAAAACCCAATATTAAAAATATAAAAGAGAAAACAAGGTGTTGTTTAAACATAAAAACGCTTACTAGAAGCTATAAAAACACAGCTGCTACCTAGCTATCTAACAACAGCACATGCACACACATGTACATAAGCATATTTACCTACCTACATAGGTACAATTACCTAACAAACAGTCTTAACAACAAAACCTTGCAAAACAGAAATTAATCTCAGGAATATAAATAATTGTTGTTTAGAGTAAAGAGTGTGGTTTTCTTCCCTCTACCTCCTCAACAATCGACATGGAAGAAGAGTAAAGGAAAGAAATGAAGATACGGTAGTGTACATATATATATATATATGTATGTATCTATGTATGTACACTACTTCAAGCTCTCCTCTACAAACACACCCACACACTCAACCCATATTATCTGTGTAACTAGGTAGGCTCTAGACTCCGCGAATCGCGCTGAGTAAGCGAGACAATAACCTAGGTAGATGGGGATTGTGGGGCTAAAGCGGGATTGTATTTTTTTTTTCCCTTCTAAAGAAAGATAGCGGTGACGTATTGCAAAAAAAAAACCTTGGACGTAGCTAAAACTAGCCAGGCTATAAAAAAATGGGAAAAAATAGAGCGTGAGGGATAAATGGGATCGTGATCGTGATCGATCGATGGGCGGGCGCAGGATTGATTAAAGAGAGAGAAAAGAAAAAAGCAGGTTATTTTCTTACACTTAGCTGCTGCAGCTAGGTATGTAGGGATATGGGATGGGATGGAATTGGGGTAGGGGCGAGCTGGGTTTAAGCGCGGCATTTATTTTTTGGATGGTGGTGAGGGATTTTGGGCGGACGTACATGGAGAGAACAGAAGACAGACGTGTTTTGTTGGGCGCCGGGGAACGTGGAGGATGGTTGAGTGATGGGTGGGTGGATGGCAGGGAGGTGAGGGTAAAGTGCGCGGAAGAAGACGAATGGATCCAGTGCGTCCTTTTTTTGATTCTTCGAGTCTTTTTTCACATGCGCGTGGGATTCGTGTTGGTTTGTTTGTTTGAGGCATATATGCAATCTCTCTTCTGATTGAGCTGAGAATGGGTGAATGGCTGACTGACTGACTGACTGACTGACTGACTGCATGGATGGATGGGTGGGTGGAGTGAAGTGTGCAAGTCCACAGTCAGTCCGCCGGGTAAGGTGTTTGTTCTACTTTTTGCGCGGCATTTTTTTTCTCATTAAGACAGAGAGAGAGAGAGAGAAGTCTTGTACCTATTCGAATTGGAGTAGAGAGACGGTTCGGGGCCTGGGGCTGGGCAGAGAGCGAGTGCTGTCATAATAGTGGACGCACGCACATTGGCATTTCACAAGCCAGTCAAAATTGTTTGCTTTCTCCGCCTCCGCCATTCTCAATCCATCCATCCATACCCACCCACCCCGTCACCCACTTCTTCTTCTTCTTCTTCTTCTCTTCTTCCTCTTCCTCCCCTTCTTCTTCGTCGTCGTCTCTGACAACAAACCACCCAGTCACCTCAACATCGCATTGTCAGCCCATCACTGGCAATTGTCGTCATCACCAGCTAAGAGTTTCTGACCTCATCGAAGCTCTCCTCCACCACTCCACCAAACGCGACTTTGCCTTTGGTCGCTCGCAAAGGCACTCCCACCCATCACGGCTTCGCGCCTGTTCCTCTCCGACCTCCAACTTGTCTCTGTCCGCGCTCCTCGCCACACCCTCAACAACATTCCCCCTCCCGCCCTCGCCGCAAACATTGACGCCTAGACAACTCCTCCTGCGTGCGTTGCTTGGTTCCAACGCCAACGGTCCCCTCGTCCACACCCCCCTTCAGCTGCCGCATAAGAGCCTCTTAGCGGTTCTTCTCCTTCACGGGGAAGAGTCGACGAGACCTCGATCCTCGCAAACAGGCAGAGGTTTCGAACCTTTCCGCCCTCCTTAACCCTCCTACTCCCCCTCCCCACCTTACCTTACCTTACTGTACCCTCCACCCACTATCCAGGGCATGGCACCTTCTGCTATCTCACCCACCACCCAGGATTACAAGCTTTCAATTGAAGACTTGAAGTCCGTTGATCATTCGCTGGGTGCCACGCTCAACAATGGCCCCGGCCTGTCCATCTCCAAGCAGTTGATCGCCCAGGCCCTCAAGACCCGCGTCGACTCGATCGATCCAGACACGTGCGACCTGGGCGACGACGATGCCTTCTTCGTAGCCGACCTGGGCGAGGTCTACCGCCAGCACATGCGCTGGAAGAAGAACCTCGCTCGCGTCAAGCCCCACTATGCCGTCAAGTGCAACCCGGACCCCCGAGTCATCCACCTCATGAAGCAGCTCGGCATGGGCTTCGACTGCGCCTCCATGAACGAGATCGAGACGGTCCTCGGCATGGGCGTCGACCCTTCGCGCATCATCTACGCCCAGCCCGTCAAGACAAAGGCCTACATGCGCTACGCAGCCCGCTCCGGCGTCAAGCAAATGACCTTTGACAACCTCGACGAGCTCTACAAGGTCAAGCAGCTCACCCCAGACGCCGAGCTCTACCTGCGCATCCTCACCGACGACTCGGCCAGCCTGTGCCAGCTGAGCAACAAGTTCGGCGCCTCGACCAACGACACGGGCGACCTCCTCGAACTCGCCCGCAAGCTCGACCTCAACGTCGTCGGCGTCGCCTTCCACGTCGGCTCGGGCGCCTCGGACCCGCAGGCCTTCCTCAAAGCCGTCCAGGACGCGCGCTTCGTCTTCGACCAAGCCGAAGCCCTCGGCTTCACCATGCACACGCTCGACGTCGGCGGCGGCTTCACGGGCGACGCCTCCTTCGAAGCCATGGCCGCCGTCCTCTCCGACGCCCTCGACGCCTACTTCCCCCCGCACGTCCGCATCATCGGCGAGCCGGGCCGCTACTACGTCGCGACCGCCTTCACCATCGCCTGCTCCGTCATCGGCCGCCGCACCGTCAACGACGCCACCCTCGGCACCACCTCGTACATGCTCTACATGAACGACGGCGTCTACGGCAACTTCTCCTGCATCCCCTTTGACCACCAGAAACCCACCCCGCGCGTCCTCAAGTGCGCCGCCGACCCCATCAACTTCCTCTACGACACCCACACCAGCGGCTACGATACCCCCAGCATGACCGAGTACTCCATCTGGGGCCCCACCTGCGACGGCATCGATAAGATCCCGGATACCCATTGCTTCGCCCAGGTCATGAATATCGGGGATTGGCTGTACTTTGAGGACATGGGCGCTTACACAAAGTGCTCTGCCACACCCTTCAATGGGTTCCCCAGCGCTCACGACACCATTTATGTGTGCAGCGAGCCTGGCGCTGCGTCTTTGCTGGAACTCTAGTTTCCTCTCAACCTACCCTTTCCCTCCCTCTCTCTTTCTTTCCTGTTCTGCCGAACCATGGCGGTCGTGCTAGATCTACAATTAACACTCGTTTAGCTTCTGTCGTCTGATCTTTGTTTTTTTGCGTTTAGCATTTCTCCCTGATCTGCTTCTGTGCGTTGTTAATAATCTGTCATTTTTTTTCTTTGGCCAACACAACAGCACCCACACACACACACACACACACACACATGTTTGAGTTTTGTAGCAAGCCCCCTTACCCCCTTATTCATAAAGCATAGAAAAACGCGTTGCTTAATACTCTCGCCCACAACAAATCAAACATGTCTTTTACTCGCCCCTACAGTGACGCGTGTACCGTGCTGTGAATCCATCTCTCATTTAATCAGAGCTACACTTGTGTCGTACCTGTGAAACAAGCACAAACTAACCAACCCTGTTTACCTATCCATTTTTAATTGTCCGCAACAAGTCTTAGCCCTCGTTACAAAACTTCAATCCATCCATTCATTAATTGAATTCATCCACCTTTTTTTTCCCCTCCTATATCCCTATCGCTCATTCTTCCTCTATATCACTCTCTAAAGAAGAAGAAAAGGGCATATAACTTTAAAGTTAAGAAAGAAGAAGAAGAAGAAGATAGGATATCTATAAGTAAACGTAAAAAAATAGGATATTTGTTTTCTAAAAGGATTATCTAGTTATTATGAGAAGAAGAAAAAAGAAAAAGAAAAAGAAAAGAAAAGAGAAAAGTAGAAAAAGGGAAAATAGTAAAAGATTATTATTATTGATCCCTAAAACAAAGAAGAAAAAGAAGGAGAGAGCAAGGAAACGTATGAAATTCAAAAAGAATAGATGATAATAATCGATAATTGCTCCCCCACCCCCCTTTCCGAAATCCAATCCCATCCCATATCCCGCCATACCGAATATCCCGTTGTACATCCCCCCAAATGTCCCTTTTATAACACAACAAACCAACAAACAAGATGAACCCCCTCCCATTCCCAGTCCAGACAATTCAATTCATTTTTCCAAGCGTTGTTGCTTAGGTTGCGTTGTTATATCCCTCTCCCCCCTCGCCGCCGCCTCTAGTTTAGATAGATGCAACAGAGTCCAAACTAGCAAAACAGCCACAGAACGAAACGCCCCCCACGGAACAGCAAAAAAAAACGCCACATGGAAACAATACGCCGAAAGGCGAGGGTAAATAGGGGGGTTTGGTTTGGAAGAGGACGGGGGGGTTGAGTAGGAAATGAAAGGGAGACTGGCGGATGGTGCGAGGACGAGATGGAAGGACGACTGCGTGTGTATGAGGTGTCCTTTTTACTTACTCTCTTGCTCTGTCGGGCGCACTTGCTGGGAAGGCGGAGAAGGGACATCCATGGAAGGTGTTTCTTCGATTCGTCTTTTTTTTTTCTTTTTTTTTACTCTGGTCGTTGTTCTTTCGGTGATTCGTGTTTGGGTTGGGTTGGGTTCCTGGGCTTGATGCTCGTGGGGAAGAGGGACAGAAGATAACTCGCTGAGATGACAACATTGAAGAGTAGGAATAGGCCGTTGGTGGTAATCGACAGAGATCAGAAACGAGACGCTGCATTGCGCAACAACTCACCCACGCAAAGTTGGTGGTTAGGGTGTTGCTGGCATGATGATGTTGGACATGGCGAAACGAAATGCGCGAAGGTTTTTTTTTGTCCCACCTAGAGCAATGGCGATGGGTGATTCAAACTTGTATTCGGGTCCAGTGAGGTTGAATGAATAGCATTTTCATCTAAGGAAGCCAGAAGGAGAGGACGAATTTACTGAGCAGCCTCGCCGTGTATTTGCCCTGGTTGGACGCAGAGACGCTGATGTTCTGACGCTGTTGGAGGTAATCCGCTGCAGCAAGAATCCATGTCAGCCAACACGTCACTCCAGAAACAGAGAAAAGCCAGGAGACGGAAAAAGAAAGACAGGGGGGATGAGAAACTCGACTTACTGTTCTCCTTGACCAACTGTGCAACATTCCTCACAAACAACGCACTACTCTCATCTCCAAACCCGACTTCCTTCTCCCACGCATGATCCGGGTCTTTGAGCGGATTGCACTTGCGGTTATACTTCCAACGGAAGATCTGCGAGACAAAATGCATGCGGTCGTCAATCTCGCGACACGCAAATTCAGCCTGCATCTGCGCTTCGCGGGCGTCCATGTTTTCAGTCGCAGCGCGCGTAGCCATGACCTGGTGGATCGTCTTCTGCTGGTCCTCGTGCGCCATGCACATGCCGACCACGCTTACAAATGCCGCAACCCATTTATCGCAGCCCTTTGAGGATTTGAAGATTTGTTGGAGTTTGTTGAGCACGGTGGAGAGGATGCTGCGTTGGAGTTTTGCGAAGAAGTATTTGAGTTGGCGGTTGGTCATGCGTGGGGATGTGAAGTTTTGCACGTATGTGTCTGGGGAGACGTACGAGTGGAGCTTGCGGAGGGTTTGGTGTTTGGTTTCCTCGGCGATGGTGAGTGTGTGGGACATGATATATGTGGTGACGATGAGGCGGTAGACTTCTCGCAAGAGTTTGGCTTCGTCGTCGCTCTTTGGCTTCACGCGTGTCATGAGCTTGAATAGGCGTGGTGTGAAGTCGTTGTCGTCTTCGGCCCAGCAGATATCCGCAAAGGCGTCGAGGTGGTGGTCGACAATGTCGCAAACGTATCTGTCGTACTTCTTCTCCTCGTTGTGGTTGATGTGTACCATCCCAAGCGGCGGGCTTTCCTTCTTGACTGGAATCCGCTGCTGCGTCTCGGGGTCGGTTCGATACTGTATCTGCTCCAACAACTCCTTGCCTAGCGGCACGAATTCGTACACCTTGACGGGGATGCGTGGCATGCCTTTTTGCGAACATGTTATGTACACGGTAATCTCCTGGTTGTTCCACCGATGGATGAACTGGGACACAAATCGCATAAGGTTCGTATCCTCGTGGATCTGCATAACGAGCGAGGGCAAAAAGTAGTTTGCCAGCTCGATGAGCTTAATGCGCGAGCACCCAAGGCCACAATCGGCATTGGGGCGCTGCGAGCGCTTAAAGCACCGGTCGCAAGTATCACCAGGGCCGCACTTGTCTCGTTGCAGCACACAATGCCAACACGCCACCGTCTTTCGCATGTCGTGTGCGGCTTTGGCAACGCGGGGCTCCAAGTGCGTTCCGAGGGCTCGTCCACCGGGACGGTTGAGCGTCTTGGACTCTCGCGATCGACGGATGGGTCCCGGCATGTGGTGGCGTTCGGGCTCTGGTGATATATCGAACGTAACTTCTGGTATAGGTCTTGGTGAATGCTCTGCCCCCACTGTCGAAGGCGGAGAATGAGATGTGCTAGGATAGCGCTGCCTTTGGGGTGATCCGCCGAGTGTGTTGTCTGGATCTGACTGTGGGTAGTAAGACATGTTGTCAGAGCTCCCAGGGCTTGAAGCTACGGCGAGAGGGCTTGTTACGGGATAGGGGCTCGTGGGCTGCTCAATGGAGGTGATTAATGACAGGCTCGAGTTAGTCTCTGATGGGTATGTTTCCTTGAACGCAGACGAAGACGAGCCGTGGTTGTCTAGATTCTGAGCGGCGGGGGTTGGAGACGCTGTCGTAAGTCTCATTTCAGGATTGTCTCGTCCAGTGTGCATCTGAGCCCCAAGATGATAGTGAGGCAGTTGCGGCGCCATAAAATTCTGGTTTGCTATGTTGAAGACATCTTGAGGGGGTGCTTGGGGGTCATTTGGCGACACGAGATAGTTCGGATCGGTGCTGTTCATTGTCCAAGATCCGATGTCGTTCACGTTGAAGGCAGAATAATCAATCGGTATTACCGTTGGGTCCGTCACCGGGTCAAAGACGGCCACACCTGATCGAGGGATGCTAGAATTGCGCAGAGGAACCTGACCACTCCATGGATCCTGTCTAGATGGCTGGTTTGTATAGTCGTGACCTAGGTATGGTTGATAAGACTGAGAAGCCATGCCAGTCTGCAAAGGTCGTGATTGCATCGTGAATTGTGTCTGCTGAGGATGAAAATGCTGCGGTTGGGATGGCAGTGTAGTGTTCAAAGCATCTTCATCTGGTTAGCAAGTAGCAGAAAGAGACCAAAGACGAGAAAGAAAGGACATGCCTTGGTCAGTAAAGGCATACATGGTCGCGTCCATTGCCGGAATGGTTCCTGGGGCGACATGGGTAGAGGCCATGCCTCCATTCTGATTGTTGTAATAGTCGCGCAACGGCGAGTCGAGCATTTCGACCTCGAACGCTTCGTGGTCCGGCGTCCTTACAGAAGTGGGAGAGTTGGACAAACTGCCAAAAGAATCATCGTAGACCATTTGCTCGGGAGGCTGGTCGGAGAGAGACTCGGGTGCTTGGGATGCGTTGCGACTCAGCGGCGGCGTGCTCAAAGGGCCAGGAGAATATCTAGGGTGGTTGATGAGAGAGGTCGGGGTTTTGGACCGGTGGGCGTCGCCAGGACCATATCCGACAAACACTTCCGGGTTTACTTGGGAGTCCTGATACTGGAACGGCGCGTAGTACTGCGTTTGTTGGTGGTACTGGGGTTGAAACGACATGGTGGGCAAACAGCATTCATCAACAGCAGGCCGGCAAGTATCAAACAAACAGCAAAAGGGCGAGCGTGCGCATCAGTCGCCTTGCAAGATGCCTTGTGAAGTCGACAACCAACAAGACGTAATGATGCTGGTGGCCGCAAGAGCAAGCACAGCACCGCTCAGCACCGCAAAGCTCGTATCCGCCCAGGGTGGGCCTCAAGGAGCGGTAAGCCGAAAGCACACAAGCGACGAATGGGTGCAAGCAGTAGGTAAGAAGGGCAAGGCGCGGTTGATTACTCGAGGGGACGGCGAGATGGAGATGGAAGAAATGTCTCGCACAGCTGAAAGAGAGAAACGGGAAGGATAGATTGATTGATCGGGTGCCAATGTTCAAAATGCGCAGCACAGCGCACATTCTCGTCGCAACCCCGCGAACCGGTGAAGAGAGATGGGTGAGAATGCAACGATTGGCCTAGCTGCATACGGTTCTACAGCGTCCGTCGCACCCCAAACATACACGGCGTCGCGCGCTATCCCACTTGAACTGGCCCTAGCAGGTTAGTATACAAAGGGAGCTTGGTGGAAAAGGGAAACGAATCTGTCCCGGCCAGTCCAAAACAAAATGAACCTTTTTCGCTCCACGATAGTTCTGCTTCTCGAGTCAGAAAAGGCCTGAGAAGAGATGAGGTGAGAAGAGAACGTGCTCAGTCGATGCCTCAGGCTCGACCGTGCGAGATCAATGCACTCCGCCACGTTCGCTAGATGAAGACTGGGGGGCGCATCCCCCAAAGGGACTCAACGGCAGCACACCAGACGAACGAGCGTGGGGGATTGGTTCTGATGCGGCTCTGCTGCATTGACCGGTTCAAGGGAGAGCGACAACTCATTCCAGCTCGACGTCAACAGGTCATGCCTCCCTGGGCGCTCAAGCCAATCGTTTCCCCGGGGAGAGATGCCGAAATCATCACCAAGCCTGAAAGTTCTGCTGGGCTTCGTGATAGGTAATAACCTTCCACAGAATACGAGACAGTAGCACCACGTCCGTCGTACTGAGCCTCGGGCAAACTGCGCAATCGTCTAATGTCATGACAATGGGTTGATGAGACGGGAAGCAAGCCACAGCTTATTTATTTGTACCGCGCGAGGCGGTGCCATTGCGAGAAGTAAGCCGGATAGCGCCGTACATGTATGGATGCCCTGGGATAACGTCTAATCAGGATGGTGATCTGGCACATCTTCGGTAGGCATGCCTGAGGCATCAAGTATCAGTGTATTCGCAACGAGGATAAGATGGTGACGATGATTCTGCCTCGTGCTCCTAAGGGAAAGGCGGATGTTGTAGGCTCAAGGATCAGATTGAACACACCGGTTTTCTAGGCAGCAGCAATCTGGACCAGCTGGTAGCAAACAACCAAGATGAAAACTTGAGATCAAACATGTACGACTGATGGTTGCCACTGCATGTATAATCCATCTTGCGAACATTTGAAGTTGGTGTAGGCAGGAGGACCCGGGGAATATCCGCTCTCACGTGATATTCTGCTGCTTATCATGTGATTAGATGGGTACGATGATTCAAATGTTGCTCGGTGCATTCAGTGTCATCTAGTCATCTTATGAATCTCTTGAAGAGGCACGCAATGCCAGCGATATCTCTCTTTCGAGCTTCCTGCGAACATGGCGCGTCATGTACTAGGACACCTTGAGCTGGTTTTTTACCTATCGTAGCATGATTGTTGTCGCAATTTAATCTTTACTAAATAGAGATTATTGCCCTGCAAAAGATGCTCTATAATTCATATACTACGTATTCAATTATAAACTGCAGTCTCTCTGGAGCGGACCTCATGCCTCTTCTTCTTACTAATTACAATTAAGCGCATTTGACATAGTGACATATACAACGTCCTAACAATCTAGTAAAGATGTATAGATTTGTAGTGTTAAGGTTAGAAACTATAGTTAGCTTGTTGCCCTCTATTATAAGTGAGCAGAGTATTTATAAGGCTTTCTACTTCTATTAACCCCTACCTGCCTTACAATGGCACCCACTTTAACACCCACGCACCACCACGAGCCCTTCGACATACTGATCACGATGATACCCACTATCCATCAAGAAAATATCATATTCTACCCATTGATTGATTTTGAGTTGGAGTTTAAGTGTTCCTATACACAGCGATGGTTTATAACGATAGACGTATAAAAACAAACGAGCGACTACGACGAATTCGAGACGATGAGCCTTATTCTACCCGTTAAGAACCTTTTTGTTACAGCTCGCTTTTTGTCAGCTTACTTTATCAGCTTTTTGACGGTAGGAAACAATTTAACTTCCAATTAGAGAAAATCTACACATTAACAGAATCTGAAGAAAACATCCGCCGAACTATCTTATACGCCCTACGAATTGAATATTTGCGTTTCCCCAATATTCAATAACCCTGTGGTACATTCTCACACACAGTCCGGCAACCAGAACAGTGAATTTAATAGGGTGAGCCAAAGGCCAAAACAGCACTAGCCAATAGCTACTAGCGATAATATACAAATACCCAAAAAGTGTAGCAGCATACCCGAGGATGTTGATGTTGGTGTATCCGGAATTTCCATATAGCAGTGGGCTGGGAATCGGCGGATCGGACGGATTTGGAGACCTCTTGTAGACTGCTTGTTCAGCCATGTACCTGGAACCATGTAGAACTCGAAGCATCGACCGTATGAATCTCTCTTCGACGTCTTCTTGCCATCGTCTTCCACCTTCTTTTTCTATATATTCGTAGGATGTCCGATACACTGTATAGATCGAGCCCATCGAGGTGTCCATCCATACGGACATGATTCCAAGGAAATACCGCTCTAGCCATTCCTCTTGCTCGTAATTGTCTGACGGACTCACGAATTCAGGCCTGGGATAAGGCTCTCTGCATTCATTTCTTTCACATGTTTTGAATATTTCGGTACAAATGAGTGCCGAAACCTCTCGATCGGTGAAGTGTATGAGATCATCCGAGATATGCGCTCGGGATAATGGATCATTCGGTACCCAGATCGGATCCTTATATTCATATAGCGGCCAAGATTCATAAAACCTTTGCGCCGACTTGATAGTAAAAATAAAGCCTTCAAGAACTTCTAGTAGTTCGTATAAGGGCATTAATTCGTGCTTGAAAGATGGGTAGACATATTCCGGTCCTGAGAATGCGACCCATGGTAACACCGCATCTACAGTGGTTTGATACCACGTCGCACCGTCACGGCCTACGTTCTTCAACCGAGTTATTGTTTGCGCATAATTATGCTCCATGTACTCCTTGACCAACTGAGAGTAAGAACCGATTGCATTAGAGGTTCTGAGGATCATACTCCAATGGGTAGTGGGTTTAGGTCCGTCCGGGTTTACCTCGTGTTGTGTTGGTTTTCTGGCCGGTTTGATACAATCGACGTTGAGGTTATAGGTGTCCCCATGTTCGACCACGCTTGGTCTTCCGGAATGATCGAATTTCTTGTAGGTACCATTGGACTTTTTGATGTATGGGTCTAGATCCATTGGTAGGCAGGTCAACTCGTGGAGAATTTTCTTTGCGTCCTTCCTCCTATTGAATGAAATATCTTGAAAGCTAGTGTTCCTACTGACCCTCAATGCCGTAAAGTTCGCGTTTCCATTCTCAAGTAGCAGACGGTACGTCGAATGATTTAGGCGGGGATCCATTAAACTCAGATTTTCAACACGATACAAAGGTAGATTATCACGGATACCCATACAATGCTGAGTATTCTTCCAGCCGATCCGGTACTTTACGCATGTTTTCATGTCCTCTTCAACTTGGGCCCAAACCCGCTCATTATAGATGGCTGACCAACCGGCCTGAAGGTATTCAGAATGGTAGACTTGCAAAGCTTGAACAGCCGCTTGTCCTTGTAGCCCTTCACCCAGAAAAAATGGAATAAGAATTCCCAGTACAAGGAAAGCGGCGGTGCTGATGATAGCGAAAACCCCAAACCGTAGCCCGATGTCGCTGTCTGCTGGCGCCTGGCGATGGTTGCCCTTTATGATGCTTAAGATGATCCGAGTCTTCTCTATGAATCTATTGCTGTGATTCATTCCATCTTCCAGGCTTCGCATCATAAGTCTCAATCTCACCCATAGGGCGTTGATAGCATCCGCTCGTGACAACTTGTTTCGTCTGCTTTCTGGGTCTGGGAGCTGTACTGCAGGCTGGAGGTAGTGGCGAAGAATAGGCCAAGTTGCATCACCAGCAATTGCTCCTAGGATTCCCAGAAGTCCAATCACAATTACGGCTTCCACATTTGTTGTTGTCCAAAGATGTTGTTGGTACCAAGGGGCAGTGAGATCCTGCCACCTGCCTGTACGAATATGCTGAGCTTTGATGTCTGGCAGTAGGGGCATTTTCTCTTTTTCGGAAAAGCTGGATGATTTGAGGGCAGCGAGGGGTTTAGATGCGTGACTTCAGGAGAAATCATAGGCGCCGTTGCAGCTTTTATCACTGGATTGTGCGGAAAATGTCTGATTTGCCTGGGGGCTAAGCGCTGCTTCCGTCCAGTCATTGTTCTTATACGTGGACCCCATCGGACTCAACTTGTGTTGCATGCAGGCAATGCCTCACAATCATGCAAAATCATGGGGCATTGTGGGGGCGCGTTCGGACGTTTCACAGTGTGGCGAAAAATTAGACATGTTGATTCGGGGCCATGGTGATTCATGAGATCTAGCAATATGGTACAACAAGCACAAGAGTGGCAATTCATTTGTACATAGTAGAACCTGCCGCACAGCCACAGTGGCTGTGATGTAGTGTTATTCTAGCCGTTTGTAAGCTGCTCCCGCTAAAAGTAAACACCTGTGGAGTTTTACGTGCTGAGTGAGCAGCACTGTAGTAAAAGATGTTCAGGAAAATGGTGTTTTGAAAAGGCGGGCTTGTGTATGAACAGCTGAATTCCAACTCAAAATAAATAAAATAAGAAGGCGGGCCAACCTGGCTACTAAAAGGACTCGGGTTGGAATTCGCGGCGACAACTGTCATTCCCCTGGGCCGTGATAGGCAACATTTAGTCTTGAGATTCTTCGGCGCCAAATACATTCTATTCTATAGCGATTTCACCTTTCAAAGCCACAAACTTTTCTCACATTGACATCAAAAATGAACGACTGGTGTTGATCACCATATATGAAATGCATTATCTCTAAGAGGCGCACAATCTACAAAGTCAAATTCCAGTTTTCCTAAAAAGATCACCCCAACCCATTCAAATGAGAAAATATCTGGAATGATGGATGTGCGGGTTACTAGTTGGTCTGTCTTGGGGAGAACCTCGTGGTAATTGGTGTTGGGGTACTTCGTGAGGGAGCTGGTTTCTGAGTATTTTCGGGGTTACTCGGCCTGTAAGTGCTATCGAGGTTGCGCCGTTGGAGTCCGCGGGTGGGTTCTGGTCCTTCTTCCTCTGGAAAACCGGGTGTGGGTTCTGGTTCTTCCTCTGGAAAACCTGGAGTGGGATCTGGCTCATCATTTGGATCACCTGGGCCAGGAGTGGGTTCTGGCTCGTCCGGTAGTCCCTCGGTGGGATCTGGCTCGCCTGGATCATTGGGTCTTGAAGTGACGTCTGGATCGCCCGGTAGTCCCTCGGTGGGATCTGGCTCGTTTGGATCGCTCGGCCTTGAAGTGACTTCCGGTAGTCCAGTAGTGGGATCTGGATTGCTAGGTTGAGAAGTGACCTCTGGATCACTTGGCCTCGAGGTGCCGCCCCCAGGACCGTTTCCGACGTCGAAATTCGCATCCAAATCAATCGCCCAATCGACAGAGCCACCAAAGTTGAGCCCTTTCACCCATTGTGATCGTTCTTCGTGCTTCTGCTTCGACATCCATCCCACCCATTCGGTCTCGTCATATACTAGGACCTCGTCGCCTTCTTTCGTCTGCAACTGTTGGACACTCCGGCCGGACGAGATCAGCTCCCGGATTTCAAATTTCGAGATGTAGCCCTTGGTACCAGTGCAGCGACCAGGTGCTGCCGCCGAGTCCTTTCCAACAAATTTGCAGTCTGGGCCTGCACAGCCTGGGGTTGTCATCTTAAAAGATCGTCCATAGATGGGCATACCAACGATGACTTTGTTGGCTGGAACACCCGCTTTTGTTACCATCACCAGCGCAGTTTCGGTCTCGGTTCTGTTAGAGTGGTGACGGAGACAATTTCCAGTAGGGCAGCCGTCTGACGCCCATGCATTATCGTAATCTAAAGGTGAAAAAACCACGTTAGCAAAACTCAAAGAAGAGAGTAATGTGGGCTTAATTACCCCACTGCCCGTGCAAGTCATAGGTCATATAGACGATGTAGTCTACCACACTAGACATCTCCTCTATAGGGAACCCTTTCAGATACCAGAACGACGCCGGAGCGGCAATGCCTATCGTCATCCCCGACGGAAGTCATTTGCGAACTTCCTTCAGAAACTGCAGGTAGTTTTTTCCGTCGTTGGGACTGCCTGGTGGAATGCCCGGCATGTCCGGGGCACCTGTTGATGTCAGAATCAGTTGACCTCAAATCTTTGACAGATGAATACATACCCGGATACTCCCAGTCGAAGTCGAGTCCGTCTATTCCTTCAGAAATAGCGAATTTCACCACATTGTTGGCAAACGTCACTCGTTGTGCGTCTGTGACACCTTCTCGGAAGATAGGAGCCGTATCAGCATCAGTCGAGAACGACCAGCCACCGAATGACAATATCCTTTTGGATCCCCTGATGCTTTTGAATTCATCCCACATGGCTTTCATCTTGCTCATGTCGACCTCAAAGCTTGACGTGATACCACCAAAAGCAAAGTGCTGTATTCACTTGTCAGTGCGGGTCATCTAACAGCTAGAACTGAACTCACCAAATGTGTATAGAAGCTCGTGTCTATGTGTCGTGGGAGCATATGAAGACACGGCCTGTCGAGATTCCACCCTTCAAAATACCCGATCCGCATAAAGCTAGAAGGAGGGGAACCATTGTTCGTGATCTCCAATCCGCAGCTGGAGATGCAGCTATTTGCACCAGGTTTGGTGGTTCCGGGTGCTCCGGTATCCGCGGGATTGCGGATACAGAAATCTTTCGAGATGCCGCAATTACCCCAGACATTGCAGCAGGCTTTGAGCGGGCATGGGTTGAGATCGCTGATCTTAGACATGTCACTTGGTCTTTGAGTACCCGCTACAGTCGGACCACAAACAGCGAGAGGATCAACAGCAGGCATTGGAGGCTCGCCCGTAGAGATGCAGAGCTTCTGGTTGGCCATCAGGAATTGGCAGCCTTGCCAGCCCCAAGTATTCTTGTTGCGTTCTTGTAGTTGCTCAACGGTCAGGGAGTACTTTTCGGCAATAATACCACACAAATCTGTAGAGCCCACCGTATGGGTTTGGCAGGTTTCATCGGGGTTTGGCTGGGGCGTGAAATCAGGCAGGCTACCGGCTGAGCAGCAGTAGTATTTCCCTAGTTGAATGGTGTTGCATAGATTTGCATCGCCATTGTATCGCACAAACTCATCTTGAGTTATTTTGCAGCGGTCCGCAAGCGCCCAGCAACCATCACCAGATTCAGCTCGCGTGTAGCTACAAGTGTTTCCGATTTGTCTTTTGGATAGTGTCTCTCTTCCTGGGTCTATAAGAACTTGTGATCCGGGGATCATGGAGATTGAAGCGTCGGCCCACACGGATTCCGTATCCCATTTGTCGGAAACACACTCAGCTCTATCCCAGCTGGCCAGGGCAGACTGCACCGCCGCAAGGTTACCTGTGGTGTCTACAAAGATTCCTAGTATTTGTGTGCTGAGTGAGTCTTCTTTGCACGATTGAGCCGCGACCTGGCTGATATCCTGTGCTTTGAAATGCTTGGGGAAGTCGTCAAGTATCGCGGCCACACTGCTTTTTTTGACCTGGAGGCCGGAATAGACACCCACGATGGCATTGTCTGACTTGGCAAAAAGAGCGGTCGGTGTACCATCAGCCTCTTTCTGAATATGGTCTCTCAGCGCGAAGATTGCCTCTTCGACGATTGAAGCTTCGGCTTTGCCGCCCCTCTGGAAGATCTGGATGTCGCTATCTCCACGCTCTGCGTCGAACTTGGACGGCGCGGGGTTGCTGCTAGAAGGAACAAAGTTTTGGCGGGATTGTAATTGCACTGGACTTTTCTCGATGAGACACGAGCGGATGCCTGTGGCTGAAGTCTGCGATCCGTTGTTGTTGTAAAGGTTGAGCTGGAGAAGGACTGTTTTATTACAGCTCGAAAGGTCTTCCACACTGCTGTAAAGAGCCCAATTCCCATCTCTGGCACATGAAAAAGGGCATCGAGCTTCAACGGAGAATTGATCGAGTTCAGCTTGTGCGAGAATCAGGGCGGGGAAAAGTAAACAAAGGAAGAAGAATGTACACCGCAAAGGGTTCGTAAACCGAACGCAGTTCATATTGGAAAAAGGCATTTCGAGAAATGAAAGCGACCAGAGCCGCGGTACGTCTAGTGCAATCACTACAAGTACCCGCAAGCTTCATTTGTGAGCCTTGAAACGATAAAGTGAAATCCAATATTACGTACCGATGCTTGGAACCGGGCTTCTTTTATATCTTCAACTGCAGTGTATGGATGTGTCTGCCTGCACAAGGCTTCCGTTCACATATACTACTATAGGCTTAGAGTCTTGAGCAGAACTCGAGTTATAACACCCTGCCTCACTTGTTTTGTTCGAGAATGAATCTATCGAATTCTAAAACGTTGAGCTGTAAGTATATGCAGGGGTCCATGTTCAAGATACCTAATCTTACTATGCGCGCTTGGCCGCTACCACCCACCAAATTAGCCCAGTATTTGGTTTACACGGCTGTGGCTTTGGTACCTTAATTCTTACATGGCTAGCCCTCACGGTGGCACCGCCTCGTGGAAGAGACCTTACCAAGTTTTTTACTTCAGTGCTCACTCAGCACGTAAAAACCGATAGTGGAAGAGACCGTGTGTATTCATGCGCGGCCGAATCCAGTTAGTCCTCACGATGATCTACTACACCCTTCGTAGGATTCACTCGCCAATCCCTACGGCATTCCAAAACTCGAGAACTAAAATTCTCTCCCAATTTCCGTAAAAGATATTGAGACGAAAGCATGTAGTGAGATCCATCCTAACCTCGATTGATTAGGAAAGTTCTAGAGCGTGCGAGGGATATATTCGGATATGCAGGGCATGGAGTAAGCTACAAATCCGCCAGGCATAAGGTATTGGACGAATCATATTAGTTGTCCGGTAGCTTTCTTCTCTTTATACCCCAGAACTTTCAGCCCCATCGAGTCATTAAATTTCTGGGGTACGTGAAGTTTAATACAAATTCAGGCAAATGTACATTCCCGTGATTCTAGCACAGACGATTGCATCAAGAACGGCTTACATGTTGTTGGTTGTGATCATTACATATTCATGCGGCACTGACACTCGTAATACAATTTTAAGGGTGAAGAAAGGAGGGTTTGCAATTCTAGAATCAGGGAATCTGCGCAAAAGTAACAGCCACACATGATTTAGCGTTGGTAAGATGAGCCACCATGGGCATAAACGCGCCACGTTGATATCCTTAGCTAGGCGACTTCTTCTCTTATAACGAAAAAGCGAATGTTAGTACTATTTAGGATACTTCCTTTGCTTCGCCGCCAACAGTTTTGCTTCCTGATTATTCCAATCCTTACGTAGATTAGTTTCTGTCCTTCAATTTCACATACCATCCCTCCACTCTAGCATCAATAACAACAACCAAACCCCGGTATCGTTGCTGTTCGTTCTCACTATTCTCTTGCAAATTTTGTTTTTGCAGAAATGCTATCACCTTAAAACCCTAGCTTGGTTCTCTCACTGCTAAAAACACTCTTGCACAGCTACCCCAGCATTACCAAACATAAGAAATGTACCAACTTTCTAATTCAGTGTGTCTAGAGCCAACTATAACATACCTTAACACGCTACTTTATATCTAGGAAACGCTATATATAACGAAGACTGCGCACATAAAATAAAATAAAACTCAAATTATCATGCCGCACAAATACTTAATATAAATGTACACAATTCAATTGCCTATAGAGCTCTAGGCAGAACACATGTTTACGTAGTCATCATAACAAACACTAATAAACTTCTGTTTAAATAGATGCATGCGGACTAGTTCCCAAGATTCCCCACAAAGCCTTCAACATTATAACTTAACAACTAAAAAAAAAATAAGACTTGCGGTATCGTCCCTGCCTAGCCGCATCTATAATATTGCATAAAGCTGTTAGCAGTTAATGTAGAACAAGATATAGACGTTTCTCTTAGATACTAAAAACAAGAAGCTAATAAACTTTTAGAGATAAATATACCTTAATATTATACTGATAGCAGTGTTTATTTACAAAAGAAAAACATAAGCTTTTGTAAACGTAAGATCTTGTTACTAAAGTATTCCTGCTGTAATTACAAAGCAACAATACTGTTAATAATTAAATAAATATATAACAAACACTGCTTTAATTGAAACTGGATAACGTGAGCGTACAGAACGTGTGATGAGTTTCCTCTTCCTCTTCTTCTTCTTCTTTACCACCCAACCTAATACCCCAGTAACCCTACTACAGAAATCTATAAGCTCCGTCTACACCGTATACCGAGCTGCATCTATCTCAGTTAGAAGAATAATCTATAGCTTTTTTCCACGTGGGAAAAAAAAAAAAAAAATTACATGCTAATATCGCCCGCACGCAGATATCGCAGATAATCGCTGCAGTCATTTCATCAGCATATGTAAATATATGTGTAGTCGCTCGTGTGACTGTTATTGACAAGCTTATACGTGTGACTTACCAGACGTGATGGTGCTGCGTGTGCAGGATTCTTGTTTGTTGCTGGGTGGTGTTCGCATATACATATATATATATATATATAGATGATGTAGAGCCAGATACTAGATACTAGATTCATGCAAGCTTAGTGGTTCTCGTGTTCCTCTGTTCTGTTATATGCGGTGTGGGGGGCGTGGCGGAGGGGCTGGCGTATCTGCATTTGAACGAGCACTGAAGCGGTGTCGGGAGTGAGCGAATCGCCTGATTTAGAAATCCGAGCAGCACCGCGAGATGGAAATACATTCATGGATATGGATAGTTGCTTATCTACGTACGTATTGGGTCTGGACATCCGGAGAAACGAATGGGTCATGTGATCTGTCTATTCACACCCTCATCGAATCTTCTCCGGTGCTCTTTTGCCTATCCATGCATATAACTTGAATAATGGTTGTTTAACTATGTCGTAATCAACCATCGTCCTTTGTCTGTCCTTTTTGGTTACCTATGATCATATATAACGGCTTTTGAACCTGTATATAGACCTGTGGCTAGGTGAATGCGTCAAATGCCCTACTCTGATGGATTGTAAACAGCACTAGTCAGCTTTCGGTTAACTTCGCTACGTACGCTGATAGCCGTGAGCAAACCGCTCCCACAACCTCACCTCCTTCTCTACCGCCACTCTGATTCCAGTTCGAGAACACGATACGTCGATACCGACACTATGGAAGACCTACCTACGGAAATACTCGACATGGTCAGCTGTTGGCTTTCGAAGTTCGAGCCAGATCGAAACAGCATGTGGGCCTTCGCGGCCACCTCGAAAACATGCTACGCCGCCTCGGAGAGACAACGATATTCGCGGATCCGAGTGGAGGTGGAGAGCGACACCCAGCTCAATCGTGACCTGGCGCGCCTAGATCAAGCGTTCGACACGAGCACCAAGAGAGGGTGTGTGCGTCGCTTGACTGTTGGACCTAGGATGGCCACCTACGACGACAACCCTGACACCTTCGCGGAACTGCAACGGGGGTATTCGGCGGAACTCTTTGCCAAATCATCAGCGGAAGTGAAGATCTCGAGGCATACTTGGCAGCTATTCGCCCTCCTCATCTCGAAGCTTCCACTCATTCACGACCTTGTATGGACTGCCCCAGTACGAATCCATGCGTATATACTTCATGTACTTCATGGTCGCAAGCCCCTTTGCCGCTTGCATGTCCACACCTTCTGCCCCCACATCATCCTTGGACATGAGATTAGAACGACCATCGAAAGTTCCGACTGCCTACTGGCAACCTCGCCCTGCTTATACAGTGTCGTGGGCCCATACACATCTCCCGATTTTCGAGGTCGTGTGCTTAATTGCGCGATCGCCATCCAGCAAATGGTCGCGTGGTCCACCCCAAACCTCAAGCACGTTCACGTGTGGCCCCGACCATCAGAAGTGTCTTCAGGATTGGGTCCATGGCTGCTTCGCAATACACTGGTACAACCACACACGGATGAACCACCGAAGGGTCAACTAGAGACTTTGACAATAGAGCCCAATGGCGCAATGAGTACAGAAGCACTTGTAAGATGGAGAGAGTTTACCGACTTCTCGTTTCTTCGTACTCTCAAATTCACGAACCGGATTACAGCGGGGGCGATGGAGATGCTAGCAGATTTTACGGAGAGCGGGGTGCTCAAACACCTTGAAGCTTTGCAGTTACCAACGAGAAGGCATAGAACACGCCATGGGGGAAGATGTAACCAGGCTTTGCATCGGCTCCTCTCATCGTCGCAAGCGTTGAGGTACCTGTCGGTGAAGGGAATGGATGCTGCCTCATTTGACGTCCTTCTCGAAAAACACGCCGCCAGCATACAGCACTTGGATGTCGAAGAGTACTTTCTGGATTACAAGCAGATCGCACGAATCAGCCAATCCTGCACCAACCTTCGCCATTTCCGGTTGGAGATAGTCCGTACCCGGGGCAACGATGGAGAAGTAGCAAGCTACCGCGCTCTCGGCCGAATCCAAAAACTCGAAACGCTCACGGTAACGCTCCATTGCGAAGCTTCCGACGATGTCGAGATTTCCGAAGACCAAGAGGAAGAAGATATGAAATTGGCATTCGAAGAAATCTTCATCAACGCTGCCGTCGACAGGGACCTCGCCCTTGCAATCGTGGGGGAGATGCATGGGCAAGCCAATCCACCATCGAGGCTTTCACGCATCTTGCTGGAAGTGGCTCCCATTTCTTTGATTTACAAGCGAGTATACTTGCCATCCGGCTTCCGGGCCATACATCGTTGGATTGGTCGGTACTGGGAATTCGACTACGATCCGCGGGATACCCACCGCGGCCAATTCCGTGTGACAGAAAAGGGGGAGGCGTATCGAATCAGATTTGGAAATACGCTTCAAGATGACCTCGATGATTTCCTCTACAGCGAGGACTGTGCTGCTGTTTGGGAACAGTTGTGGCCGGGAACAAGAAACAACTGGAAGGATGGGTGGTCGAGCCATCCGCTTGCGGAGAATTTTGTAGAGTAGAAGCCCTCGCGTTCAATAACATTTCAGTGTGATGCTCAAGAGGCCATTGATCAATGGAAAGTGTAGTATCAAATGATTTGTGCACAAGTATGTAAAGCGTCCTTGGCCGATTTCTTACGAGACGTCTGTAGTAGTATTCCGTGAGGTTATGGCTCCGTGAGGGCCGAACATGTATCCGAGCATTCCGAGGCTAGCTGAACACAGGATAGCGCGGACATGTGTCCAATCATCTAACTCTCACCTTCTTCCCTTTTTGATGCTCGGAGTAATTCTCTGTTTCCAGCTCGACGTCTCGCCAGCTCTGATGATACCACGTCTTCACGATCCATCGTGACAACTCCACACCCACGAAGAGTCTTGTATATCGCTCTTACACCACTCCGGCCGTATCTGCGATTGCGAAAGTGCAATCTTTTGGCGCCAAAGTACGTCGCTTCAACCATGATTTCCACTCCGAACTGTCTGCAATCACCAGCTCATTCACCCATTGCACTGATTCTTGCACTTCCTGTTCATCGCTAACATGCATTTTCAATCTCTAGGATGCTGCGAAGAAACGGAAAGCCGAGATCCTGTGAGCCATGTCGGATATCCAAGATTCGGTGCGACCACACAGCACCCGTCTGTGACAAGTGCCAGAAGCGAGGCATCGCGGACCAGTGTTTCTACCATCCCAACCCTATGACGAAGCCTCCCGGAGTTCCACGCAAGAAGCCCGAGCCACGGCGACGTCCCGCAGAAAGACGCTTGTCCAAAGCTCGGGACCTCGAAGCCACATCATCCCCAGTTTCTAATTTGAGCCCCTCGGTACTCCGCATTGAAGTCCCTGTGGCAAGGCCCGCTGAAACCATCAACATGTGGCCTAGTCCGCCCGAGTCGACGCCCAAGACTGCCCCAGGAAACCCCGAGGAAGCTTGTCGTCGAACCTTCTTTCTGGGTTCCACCAGTTACGCCAGTGTCTTTGTAGAAGAGAGACCCCTTCCAGAGTCCATACACGACCAGCCTCCTGAAAGAATCACTGCCACTCCCTCGTTGCCAGCAGACCAGAATGCCACGGGATCCCGCCACTGTCGCATGAGCATAGGCACTACCATTCTCTCCAAGCTCAAGCCCTTCTCCTTCTTCGCGCGTGCCGTGGAAAGGTTCTTCGAAATCAGTCAGGGTGGATCACTGGTCGGGCCTTTGATCATCTCTGCTCTACCCCAGCTATCTCAGGACCTGCAGCGGGTGACCAGCGGGTGCCCTCGTTCATCCACTGCATGTGCTGACATAACCCGTAACACAACCTGCCCTTTCAAGGTACCCTCGGACATGGTGGCATCCGAATTCCACACTCTCTTCACGGGCCCGAATCTGCGCTGGGAGATCCTTGGGCTGATCATGATACTGGCGGCATCTGAAGCCCAGTTCACATCACCAGACGATTCATTTTTCGACTTGGAAGATGGGAGCAGGATTGACAAGGATGCATTCATTGAAGACATGATCCACGCTAGCAACGATTGCATCAACCTCTGCCAGGTCCACGGTTCTGTCAACGATATCATAGTGTGGCTGTTGTACACGAACATGATCGTGAAGAGCAACTTCTACGGCGACAACTGTGCGTATAACCCTAACCGAGATGCTATCTGGTGCTAATAGATGTAGACCATGGAGTATGGCGAGGCATGAGCGAAACCATTTCGTCGCTCTACGCCGAAGGCATACATTGCGAGGAAAGTTTCGACGAGCCCTTCTTTTTCCGCGAAGCTCGGCGAAGAGTTTATGCCTCTGTGTTCCGATCCGACAAGACCCTGGCCAACTTCTTCGGGCGTCCGCCCATGATGAACTGGCGGTATAGCGATCGCCCGCTTCCCCTTGATGTAGACGAGAACCTGCTCATGTGCGACAACCCCGATACAATAAACGCGGCACTGGCCAAGCTTGACAACGAAGGATGGAATGCCGAAGGCAAGATATACTCCATCTCGTGGGTTCGCCTGCGCGCCAAGATGTCCATATCGAGGGAACGCTTTCTGGAAATATCGCTCTCGGGACGGAGGATTACAGATCTGCCCAAAGAGATACAGTGAGTTCAAGATGCAAGGTGCTTATTGAGAAAAGCCATTGATGATTCTAGGGACGTGCAAATGCAGCACCAGCAGTCCTGGGAAGAGCTACCCGCGCACCTTCGCTACGACCTCTACGATGAGGACACGGTCTGGGAACAGCTGGGTTCGCGGGTAACCGTGAAACTGGTGAATTGCTATCTCGAGTTCCTGCACATGGACTTCCAGATACAGCGACTTCTGCGCCGTCAGACCCAGACCGCGCTCCCAGGCCTCCTCGAGATCTGCATGAAGCTCCTTTCGACTATCCTCATCTTCAACAAACGCGGCATCCGCGAGTATACCGTACAGCGCCACTTCGCCACGCTCGTCCTCTTCTACTGCCTCCCCAGTGCCGGTGTCCTTGCGCTCGAACTGCGGAGATGCACTCTGGAGAACGTGCCGCTGCCGAGCACTGTATCGCGCGCCGACATCATCCGCAATCTATCTGTGTTGATATCTTGCATGGACTGGGCCATCCTCCCCGGCGACGGCAATCACAGACTCTGTCGCGAGCTGAACAAGATGTTGTCATTGGTATTAGATGAAGTGCTCAACTACCAGCCCTCAATGAACGGAGCTCAGGGCGATGCTACTGATAGTACTTTGCAAGGCGTCGGCCCAGGCTTCTTCGACATGCCCATGGTTGACGGCATGGAGCCTATCCCCACCGAGAGCGAGGATTTCTTGAACTGGCTGATGGATAATGCCAACTGGAACAACACGGTGAGTACCTCTCTCCAACCAATTTCACATTTAGGAAAGTTTACTGACCATGTGCAACCAGTCTCTCTTCTAATGCTGCACATAACAACCTTTTGAACCCCGCCAGCCCATTTGCGCTGCAAAGAAAAACTCGACACGACCTAACGACCAATTCCATCATCTCTGAAAGCTAGACCTCATGATACCATCATACTTTTCCAATCTATCTCCTACACATCTTCTGTTCTGCTTTCCAATCAATACACATTACCAATCAAGTCCCACGCCCGTGCCATCCTCAATCATGAATAGCGACCCCACACGTGGTCACCCTCACCCAAATGTCAAACCCTTCCCCCCACATAGCCGCAGATCCACCGCACAACAACCACCACCACAACAAAAAACAACCGAGGCATCATCACTGCATCGTGAACACTCCACCCCATCTCTACAAAAAATCCCCGCACCGCAGAACCACCGAAGCTGACAAATTGCATCATCTTCCTTCTCCCTTCTCTCTTGTACGCCTTCGCTTCCCCATGTCCCTCTTAAAAAAGAACCCCATTTAAATAAACATTGGAAACAGCCTCGTTCGACAACGACTCATGTCGCTCCCCTATCCCTAACCCAGACAAAAAAGCTAGAGCGGAACACGAAGAGAAAAAAAAAAGGCTGAGTCATGTGCGCGTCCCGCCCCTCCACTGCTTCTGCTCACCAACATCCTTGCATTTATTGTACATCTTGACTCTTTGCTACAACGTACCTCTGTATGCTAAAGTCGACAGAGCTGCGGGAGGTGTTAGTATCGTTGTTCACCGATGGCGGGTTTGGACTGCGGAGCACGCAAGGATAGATAGGCGCGTTATGACTCGTTGTATTCTTCAGGTTCCGTAGGGCGGGAGGGAGGACGTAAAAAGGGCGGTGGCTTTTTTTTTTTTTCCTTAGAGCTAGCTAGCTATTGCTGTTGCTGTTGTTGCCTAGTAAAGGTATGCATTGGACTAATTAAATCATGCAATAAGTAATAAGTCAAGACGTTGACAGTAAAGAGTTTTTTTGTTTTTTTCTAGACAAAGAGATGCTACGTTATAGAATTGACTTGGGAATGTCTCGTTCGTAAGTATCTTAAAGAAGAAGAAGAAGGATAAGAGCTAGAAGAACGCTCTCCTTCTGTACTCGCTTCTTTTACTTAAGAATAAGGCTTAGGTAACATGCTATAGAGTGACTGATAAACAGATGCATGGCTATTCATTCTTTTACGCATTATCTAAGGATTTAATGTCTTTGGTGTTTTTTGAAGGAACAGAAAAGTAGAAACAAGCTTTGCGTAGATAAATAATCACATTGGAATATAAGCGCGATCCTTTATTGTTCTTTTGAGCGACATTGGATGAATTGAAATGACGCCATCTCAACCTCGTCTACCTCGTCTACCTCAATCTCCAAATTTTTTTTCTCCTTTTCTACACTGGTGATTTTTCTCTGGGATACGATGCGTGATCTTGGAACTGGTTGGGAGAAATTAGAGCAGGGTGTGGTGTCATTGTGGGGTTTTTGGGGTAAGTTAGGTATGCTTAGCAAGCAAAGTCCCAAAAAACCAAGCATTTTTCGCCATCCCAAAAAAAACCCCCCCAAGAGAAACACGAGGAATAACTTGGCGGTGAAGTAGATTGCTGTGTTTGGGTGGAGTTATTTCAAGCAACGCGATATTGATGTTTTGTTTTATTTATTTATTTATTTTCTTGGCTTGGTAATGTTTGCTGATTTGCGCGAGAATCATGTTAGATGCTGTCGGCGAAGCAGGCGTGGTCCGCTTCGGAATTCGCAGAGAAACCGGGATAAGCAAGGAAGCAAGCAACTAAGTCAACATCGGCATTACATGCTCTTGCGTTTGGCGCACCACGAACTCCGGTATATTCAGTCTACCGTTCGTGACAACGGCAGACGGGGTAAGCGCCACAGGCATCCACCGGCCATCACACCGACAGCTGCGGGGGGGTTTGTTTGTGCTGACAAGTTGTATGTACGGTGTTTAGCTTGCGTTGGGGGAAACGGATGACTCCTTCGTCTTCTCCCCTGATTCAGATTCGCATGGCGAGACGCAAACTCATTATGACTCTTTTTCTTTTTCCTTCTTCTTCTTGCATGGTCGGCTGGAACGGTGATTCACAGCCGTGTAAGCGATGCGATTATTCTTTCGTACAGGGACCCTGCATATGACTCTGAGTCTATCTATGATCGGTTGGAGGAAGGGGGCAGGGCTTGGGATCGCTACTTTTCTTTTGACCGCTGGACGAGTAGAGAGTACATATCGCCGAACGCGCATTCGGGGAAAAGACCGAGCAAGCATAACCTATGTTTGCTGCAGTGTATGGATATCTCCGCGATCAGCTTGATCTGCGACAAGAACCTGATCAATTGCTTCGCTAAACCAACTCGGCGTTTTTTTTTTCATCTTTTCTCCTATGATATCTCCTGCGTGAACTCCGAACATGCCTTGCTCATATGCGAATACCGATAGAGAAAAAGAGAAAGATGAGGATAGTGGATATGCAATACCGGTCAATCCCTACTACGTACATACCCAACCTAACAGTATGCATGCATGCATGCATGTACCCATGCCTCTCCTACGCACACGCACCCATCCACCCCACCGGAATCCCTCGAATTCGGAATACCCAGATCTCGGCCCCAACATCAAGGGAAGGAAAAAAAACATGGCAACGAAGAACCAGCGTAAGCAGCAAGCCAAGGCAACGCAATGCAAGACAGTCATCGATGCGAAACCACGGCGGACCATTTCCTTAGCCTAGCTCACCACACTACCCTAGCCTAGCTAATCCCGAATCAACAAAATCAAGTGGAGAAAAAGGGCGGGCGGGCGCTAAACCAAAGAACCGACAACGACGACGATGATGATGACTAGTCGGAATTCGGGGAGGGAGACTATGCAGTGTTGCTGGGACCAAGGAAATCACCGCGTGGCTGAATAATCTGCAGAAGGGGGCATGGGGGTGAGCATGGATATGGGACGGTAGGGATATGACGCGGCTGAGCATGGTTAGTCGGGCTGGGTTTGTAATGGATGGATGGATGGATGGATGGATGGATGGATAGTGAGGGTTTGTGTGATGGTGAGTATACCGGCTCGAGTGTATAAAAGGAGTGTGCCATGTCCATTTTTTGTTCGAGCATCATACTTTCAACTCCACTATCAATCAATCAATCAATCAATCAATCAGTCAATCAACCAATTCTCTCACGCCTTGTCGGAATTCAGATCGAGATATCTATTCTACCCTTCCACATCTACCCTTCCAATCACCCATCCTCATCGAACAACACCATCATCACATCGATCCAGACCTCTCCAACAACAACAACAGCAGCAGCAGCAGCAGCAGCAAATGTCTCTCCAAGCCTCCACACCAACACCACAATCCACAGCAACTCCAACCATGACCTCTACTGCTGCTCCTCATCACACGCCCTCGTCCACTCTGTCTGAAAAACCACGCCTCTCAACCTCCTCCTCCTCTATCTCATCAACATCAACAGACCTAATCAAACCGACTCCCGCAACAACAACAACTCCTCCTCCAGCCAAGCAAAGCAAACACGCAAAAGCGAAAGCAAACATGTCGAGCACGATTAAAAAGATGCTGCATCTGGGCTCGAAAGGTGTGTATCTCTTCTCTTTATCTCTGTAACTATATATCCCCTTCCACTACTGCTCCTCCTTCCTATCCCTCCCTCCTATCCCTCCCTCCCATCCCTCCTCCTTCTCCTTATTCCATCCCTCCAATACACCTACTCACACACACATACCCTCTTCTCCCCCCCTTCCCATTCCCCCCTTAAAAAATCCCCCTCTTAGCTAACAACATCCCCCCCAAATCCAACAGCCTCTTCTTCATCCCCCCACTCTCCCTCTCCTTCTCACACATCGTCATCGTCATCGTCGTCGTCGTCATCGCCAACGCAAAACCCCCCTCATCATCATCATCATCATCCAACAACAACAACAAGCCACAAAAACCCAGAAACAGCAGAGCAGATCATCGCGCAAAAGGAAATCCATGCTCTGGCGTTGAGCACGTATGCTTTGAGTCGATAGTATAGTTATAAAACTCGCAATAAGGGGGCAGGAGAGATGAAGTCTTTTTTTTTTGTGTTTTTGGTTATATAGAGGGGAGAAGAGAGAGAGTGTAGGTAGGACAGATAGGAGATGGACATGAGTATGTATAAGATCTGTCACACCTTGCAGGCAGAAGGTGGTATAAAAGAGAGAAAAGAGAAGATAGGATAAGCTTAGAAAAGAAAATAAGTTGTTTTAATTTTTTTTTTGGTTCCTTTTTTGCTGTTGGAAATAATGAGCTGAACTGAGCTTTGTGTGTAGAGGATTAAACTTAGACTCTTAACTCTAAATACATAAGTGAATATATAAATATCATGTACACACATGTCTATATATATTTATATGTTTTATGCTTATTTTACGAGGTTACAAAGCTAAGTTGAAGTTGTTTTTAATTGTTTTTGAATAATTATTAATTATTTAAAAGTAAGGATGAATAGAGTAAAGACAAGAGAGAGAGAGAGAGAGAGAGAAAGTGTGAGTGAGTGAGTGTGTGTATCAATTCCAAGCAATCAAAGTTTTTAGGTGATGCTACAACACAGAAGTGTATGTGTGCATGTATATATATATATGTGGATATGTGCTATATCCCCCCCTCCCCTAATTCTATCCCACATTACCCATCTCCCTTGCTATCCCCAGCCCACCCGTACCGTTAGCAACGCTCACTCAACACCAAACTGCACCCTCACAAACAAACTACACCCCGCACACCCAAGCACAACCTCCTCGACGTCCGCAGCAACAGCCCTCTCCAACTCGACCTCATCGACTCGGAACCCCGGGTCCGCGCCACACCGATGGCAGCGTCTGCACCATTCGCTTTTAGCTCCACCACCATCATCGTCTTCCTCTTCTTCTTCTTCAGCACTGGCGTTACCATCGGCGTTGTTTTCTGCGTCTGTTGGGTCCCGACGACAGCGATGCCGAGGAAAAGAAGAAGAAGAAGAAGAAGAGATTGTGAAATCGTCGAGGTCGAAGATGTCGAGGGCTTCGAGATCGAACGATGATATTGATGAGTCATGTGCAGCAGCAGCAGCTGCTGCTGCAGCTGCAGAAAAAGAAGAAGAATAACTGTGAGCATGCAGCGATAGGCGGAAAGAAGCATCGTATTCTTTCTTCTGGGCCGGGTTACCGAGGACCGCGTAGGCGAGCTTGATGGCGTCGATGGATGGCTGCTGCGCTTCCGTTTCCGTTTCCGCTCTGCTTATCGCCGTCGTCGTCGTCGATGGTGTACATGGAGACGGAGCAGAGGCAGTGGTGTTGCCGCGCGGATAAGGAGGAGGAACCGGCGGGGCTTTATCGGGATGCGCTTTTAGGAGCGCGGAGCGGTATGCTTTCTTCAGCGCGTCGGGGTGAAGCGGGGTTGGTGGAGCTGCATGTCTTCCTGCTTGTCCGTGTCCGCTTGCTTTTTGGGATGAGGGACGGGCCCATTGGAGACCTAGGACGCTGTAGTGGTCGTTCATTCTGGCGGTATCTCGGTTGCTGGTGCGGTTGGTGGGCTCGGTGGCTGTTCGTCGTGGGGTTGGGGTCATGGGATGCAGGTCCTGCCGGTATCGTTTGTATGTAGGCTTCGTAGATTCGTCCAACTGCCTGGCTGCTTGCTTGCCTGACTGCGTATCCTATCGTCGTCGTCGTCGTTGTTGGTTGTTAAACAAGTCCCTTCTTTTCCCTTTCCCTCTCTCCACTCTTTTCTTTCCTTCCTCCCTTCTTTCTTCTCCCTAAAACCTCTCTTTTCTTATAGAGGAGAAGGGAAAAAGAGGAGTATACTGCTTATATCCTCGTCCACCTAAAAAGAAAAGAGAGACTAATACTCTTCTCCCGTTCCCCTCTAGCTGCCTACGTCTTCTCTATGTCCTTTGCTAAACAGATATATATATATATCTACCAACTCCCTAGTTTAGCTTCCAACAAACCCTTCTTCTCTTTTCTTCCTTCCCTCTTTACAAGACAGCAACTGTTTCCTTTTTTCCTTTCCCTCTCTAAATCTTCCACTCTTATATATAACACAAAAAAAAAAGGCTCTTGTCAGCCAGCCGTCGCAGCGCAGTCCCGTTTCGTTTTCTAGATAAGTTAATTGCCTAACCTTAAAAAGATTAAATCGTTCAAGTCCTTCCTTCTTTTGTTAACTTTTTTTTTTTTGCCTTATTGCTATATCTCTTTCTCTCTTCTTGGTTTAGGGATCGGGGGGTGAATTCTTTGGTACAATGAATGCACAGAGGTCGTTCGGTAGAGAGAAAGAAACAAGTGGGAAAAGACAAGGATAACGCCACGCTAACCTTTTTTCTCCCTCCCTACGCCACACCACAACCACCCCCCCCCCCCTCGCTATCGAATTTTTTCTTTGGTGACATGTGACGACGGGGCAACCCCTCCCCTTCCCTCCAAAAGCCGTTGTTGCCTTATCTTATCATGACGTGTCACGCAAAAACACCCAACAAACATTGCATATGTACACATCGATGTCATGTACTGTACGATACCGTACTCTATGTATCGTAATAGACTCTATCGGCCCAGACATTCAACATGACAACAATCACAGTCACGTTGACAGCATCAGCCAAAAAGGCCGCATTTTGAAATGACAGGTTTTTGAAGCTAGCCTACGAGTTGCAGAGTGCAGTGGTGCCCGGCATAGAGCCTTGTTGCTGTGATTGAAAGAGGCTTCGTGCAGTCCATGGGCAAATGGGAACTCGGAGCCGAACCCAATCTAGTACTCGACGAAACCCCCATGAGCCCAGCCGTCGCCTTCCTGCCCCGCACTCAAACCAGAAACAAGCACGCCTCAAAAACGTGGACACCTATCCGATCCACCAAAGGGGTAAAGGCTAAATGTTCACATGGTGCGATAAAGGGGAAAGGGGGAAACATGAGAGGGAAAGCCCGGGGTAAGCATAGAACCAAGACACAAGCCCCCATCTTCGCAGGTGCTGCGCGCTCGCCCCCACATAGACCATGGAGACGCAGCAGAGGGGGGCGCTGAGAACACCAAACAGCCGGTCCGCCGCAGCGTGCACGTCGAAAGGGGGTTGTGCTGGTTGGGAGAGAGGAAAACACATAAGTCGTAGGGGGGGAATCCGTCCGCTCGCTGAAAATCCGATTTTAAACACACACATACACACTCAACTCCAAAGACGCTCGTTGCCGAGACAGTCGCCTCCTTCTACCCGAAACTTGACGTGGGTGACTAGTGAAGGTACACAAGGCCAGGGGAAGAGGGAAAAGTGTTTAGGCGGCCGCGGGGGCAGCAGGTGTCTCCTCGGCGGGCTCAGCGGGCTTCTCAGCTTCGGCAGCAGGGGCCTTGGCGGGCTCCTCCTTGGATCCAGCGGGGGTGGTGGCGGCGGCACCCTCGCCCGAGGTCTCGGCCTCGGCGCCATCCGACGATGTCCAGAGGGTCAGGTTGTCGCGGAGGAGCTGCATGATCAGAGTCGAGTCGCGGTAGGATTCTTCCGAAAGCGAGTCGAGCTCGGCAATGGCATCGTCAAAGGCCTGCTTGGCGAGGTGGCAAGCACGGTCGGGGGAGTTCAGGATCTCGTAGTAGAAGACCGAGAAGTTCAGGGCCAGACCGAGACGGATGGGGTGCGTGGGAGTGAGCTCGGTCTGGGCGACATCCGTAGCGGACTATGGGTGCAGAGGTTAGCGAGCCGTCCACCGAGGGACCAGAGGTGCTCAGCGGCATACCTTGTAGGCCTCGTGGGCAGCAGTAGCAGCGACCTTGCGCTTCTCACCAGAGGCGAACTCGGCGAGGTAACGGTGGTAGTCACCCTTCCTGTAGGCGGGATGGCACGGTCAGTGGGGCTGCGCGAGGACGGAAGGTGGTCGGGCGACACTCACATCTTGTGGTAGAAGACCTTGGACTCGCCGGACTCGGCCTTGGGGATGAGGGAGTCGTCGAGCACGTTGAGGACATCCTGGCAGACCTGCTCAAGCTCCTCCTCGATCTTCTTACGGTACTCGCGGATGGTGTTGACGTGCTTGTCAGAGCCCTTGGACTCCTCCTTCTGCTCGATGGACGAGATGATGCGCCACGAAGCACGTCGCGTGCCGACTACGTTCTTGTAGGCAACGGAGAGGAGGTTGCGCTCGTCGACGGTCAATTCACCGCCAATCTGCCGAAAAGGTTAGCAGGGGAGCCGAGGGGGCAAGGCAGAGCAGAGCAGAGCAGAGCAGAGCAGAGCAGAGCGCATCGTGGCTGCTAGCGGGGGCGAGCGGGGAAGCGATTGGGGCCATGCAGTCGGTGGATGCACCACGAGCGTGAGTTGGCGTACCTTTGCGACTTCCTGGTCAACAGTTAGCATGCGTGTTTAGTAGCAGGGAATGGGACGACTGACCTTCATGAAAGTGACCATCTCTGTGGAAAAGAAGCAACGTCAGCCCAAGTCACGAGCGAGGAGCGATGGGCATCAGCGGAAGACTTACCATCGTAGCGCTCAGCCTGCTCGCAGAGCCGGGCGAGGAAAGTCTTGCTGTGGGCAACGTCAACAGGGGGATTCTTCTCTCAGGATGCAGCAGCATGACTGCGTGGCGACGGGGTGTGCACGGCGGGGCGGTGCGTAGTAGTGGTGGTAGTGGTTGTAGTGATGGGCAGGTGGATGCATACCTCTCGCGCTGTGATGGTGGTTAGCAAAGGCATGTTTCGTGGAGGGAGAGGTTTTGCAGTAGGCTGGCGGCAGCGAGGCCCGAGAGGGAGGGGAGAGGGGAGAGGACGAGGGCATCCCACCAAGCAAGGCCTGTTGGGAGGGAGACAGAGGGAGAGGGAGAGGGGCAGCGGGACGTACCTCGTTGGCCATTTTGGAAATGGATATGCGGTGTTGGTTGGGATAGGGAGGGAGAAAAGGTAGGTAGGTGGGTGGGTGGGTGGATGGGTCGGTGGTGGTGGTGTTGTGGTTGTTGTTGGTACGAGGTGGGTAGAGGTGAGTGAGTAAGTAAGTAAGTAAGGGTAAAGCGGTAGGCGGGTGGGTGAGTGCGTGCGTGCGTGAGTGCGTGCAGGCAAGAACGGCGGCTGGCGGGCGGGCGGCCAGGCAGGCAGACAGACAGGCAGGACTGGCTCGGGCGGCCCTGATTGGCCGAGCGCTGCACAAAACACGCGCACGCTGGCTGGCTGGTATTTTTTATTTATTTTCCGTGTGTTTTGGAATATTACCTCATCCATCCTCCCTCCTCTCTCTCTCTCTCTCTCTTATGCGCTTCTTGTATGCGTCCTTCTTTCTTCCCTCCATCTCCACCACATTCACATATGCACATCTGTCCATTTCAAAGCCTTTCCCCTTCTTCTCTCTACTGCATCATTCCATCCAACCATGCGCCATCTCGCACGGCGGCCGGCCCCTTGCCATGTTCGTTCGTTCGGCTCCATCTCTTGGCACTAGCACCCCCATCACGTGAGCGGGGACCGCACTAGCCCCTCTAGCGTCTGCCTCACCGTAACTTCAATCGTTGTACTCACTCATCAATCCCTCGCTCACTTACTCGCTCACCATCCAGTTTGGACCTTTTTCCTTCTTCTTCCATGGAATCCAATCACTTCATTTCACCTGGGTCTAGTCTACTGTTGCCAATTCCACCACCAACCATGGTCCCATCACGACCCTGAATCTCTTTATACTTTCGCTAGTTTCGCTGTATACAACTGTCTTTTTTCTTTTTTTAATCTCCATCTTCTCTTCCCGCCGCCAGCTTCCCTGCTTCCGTGTTGATCCAATCAACCCATGGTTACGTGAGAACCCTCTTTCTCTCTCTCTCTCTCTCTCTCTCTCTCTCTCTCTCTGTTCGACCCTTTCTTTCTTCCTTCCTTCCATCCATCCACTTCGTCTCCGAGGGACGCCATGTGGGTCGCGGCCGCCGGTCAATCATCCGTCAAGGTCCTCGGAATGCCCTAGAATTCAAACCCTTGAACAGCAATTATTGGATACATTGCTGCCTGCCTGCCTTTCGGACCTCTGCTGTTCAATCCACCTCTGATTCAATCGCTGCCAACCACGCCTTGACTTGTGCAAAAATGATCGAATCGCGCCATGCTATTGGTTGTGGACTCGCCATTCCCATTCATTTCTCTTCTGTTCGCGTTTCAGACCAATGACCCCCATCGACCATGCTGTTTCGCGTCCACCCTGCCGCACTAGTCGGCGTTGGGGCGGTTGGTTTTCCCTCGTCAAATTACCTCTCACGTGTTGCTCAATGTCACCCGCGTCTGGCCATGGCCATGCACCATGGTCTCTTGCTTATCAAATTACATCGTCGTCCTCTTCGCCCTGGTATCAAACTGCAACGCTGAACTATAGTCAAGCACATCTAATGTACAGCCATCATTCACTCTGCTTGGCATGACCTGAATCAATCCTCTCACACCCGTACTTGTCTTCTCTTCCAAGTCAATGCTGTTGTGTTGCCGTTTATGCCGGGGTGCGCATCTGCTGTGATACCCTCACCGGGCCATATCTATGCCTCTTCCAACCTGTACACCGGACCAATCCAAATAATATACGACTACATGCACTGTCTGTCGTACAACGCCACAGCCGAGATTGCTTCGTTGCTTGTTCTCCAGCTTGTCTTATCTATCCGCCGCACCCAATCCTTCACATCAACAAACGCCAAACACCGAGCATGAGGGCCGCCGTACCCGTGCAAACACCCCTGTCAACATGTTAGCCTCGTTTGTCGCATATCACACCAGGCCTTCCTATCCACATACATCAACCACTGCAGCGTTGTGAACTTGACTGCCTCGAGTCGTTCGCGCAATGTCGCAGTCTCCTGCTCGATCCGCGTCTCCGTCTCCTTCAGCTTCAGCTCCTGCACATTGGCCTCTTCCCGTATGCGGCCCTTCTCCAAGTTAAGGTCCAGTCGCACAGAGGCTTGCGTGCGCTGGATGTCGTCCCGCAGCCGCGAATTCAGCTTGGCAATCTCGTTCGTCAATCGTTCGTGCGATGCGCGCGTCAGTGATGATTCAGTAGAGTCGGCCGTCATGAGCTCTGAGCGCAGTTTGGCAAAGTCAACTTTCTGCGTGTACGTTGCCCTCTCCTGATCTTCACGAAGCACCATGGTTCGCGTGAGGTTCTGGATGCTATCCACGTTGGTCAGAACAGCCCAGACATGGTCCACACATCTTCCTTCTCATAACACCACCGCAGCCTGTCGGGTTGACGCATACCTCTCTTCGATGACATCGCTCAACACTTTCATCATGGCCACCGCCTGCTCCTCCGTGAACCCCTCGTCCTTCAATCGCTGCACAAACTTGAGTGTGTCGAAATGATGGTCTTTGTGTCGCGCAGCAGTCGCGCTGAAGCTTCGCCTCACCGCTGGGTGAGAGGATATACGCGAGCACTGCGTTTGTATGCCATTTTCCCAACGCCGTGTTGAAAGATATGTTCGAGTTGCAGTCGAACAGGGGCGCGCTGGCCGTTCCGATGTCGCTGAATGAAGCCCCCGCGCTCTTGAGGCCACAGCACCTCCAAACGCTGCGTGCTGCGCATGTTTTGCACTCCAGGTGAAATGAGGCTTCATCAAGCGTGGTATTGTCGCTGCAGTATTCGCCATGGTGTAGCCGTGGGTGGTTGGGTGTGAAGATTAGATTTCGCTTTGCCGCGGCCTCGGAATTGACTGACATCAGAATGGATGGATGAAATGGGAGGCCGCGCTGTTGACTAAGCCGACACTTCACTACTTACCACTGGCCTGAGCCAACCTCCACCACCCCCGGCTCGCTCCATTCACACGAGGCTACATCAATATGATCAATAACCAGCGCATGCGGACCTCGTACGAGCTTGTTCTCCTATCGTACATCACCATAATCATGGGCTTTCCTGCGAGATTGTCAAATATTGCTTCATCCACCTCCAATCACAGGCGCTTCACGTACTGCTCACCACACGACACAGCCCTTTTCCTATCACCCCTTCGCATAACCTCTTCAAAGCAGATAAAACAATGTATTAGGAGTCCTTCAACTGTGTAAGCTCGCAGCGATGGCCGCTATGAGCATTGCCTATCATCTCGCTACGTCGCTACTCATAAGGGTAAGTGAGATTGAGCAGCTGGGGGCGCTCAGCCCTGACTTGAGCGTGTTTGTGTAATGCTGCACAATTGGCCCCCCGAGAACAAGTCGCGTTATAGGAGTTGATGCTTTAGTTTAAATTCTTCGATTCGAGAAGAGAAGGCAACATTGGAATATCAGACTACAGTTTTCTATTCTCTGAAACGGAACAAGAACCCGTGACAATTGCAGACTTCCACCATGCCGCCGGTTATCAAAAAAGACTCTGACAGATGCCACAACTCGCCGCCACCACCTTACAGTATCGTTATGCAACAGCAACCGGCCCGCGAGCCTATACAGATCCAGCAACCTCACCTCGAACCTCAGTTAGAGGGAGGATGGACGCATGTTCCTCCCATGAATATGGTGCGGCAGCAACAGTTCCAGCAAATGCCATCACCGCCATCCACAATGAACACTACGTCAAGTCAGTCGAAGAGTCGTGGATTCGGAGGGCCAATGGACGGAGGAGCGTCCCTAGAAGTTCTCTCAGTTCAATACCCGATGATCATGGCGCCACAGCATGAAGAGATTCAAGCAATGTATTCGGCAACCCCTTCTGTGCGGACCGACACAACTATGGAGATGCTGTCGCCTCAGCACAGTGTGATCAACAGTCCGCCTTCACATCTGGTACAGCAGCAACAGTCTCAGCAGATGCTATCCGGCTCGTATCCAACGAACCTCCAGCCGTCGAGTGAGAAAGAGGACGCGGAGAAATCGAGGAAGACAAGGAAGACATCATCGAAACGTGTATCCCAAGACCTCCAAGCACATGACAACCCCAACTTAGCACAGGAAACCAGTAGTGTCCAGCGATTCTTCGGCGACACCATGATAGGCCGCGTAGCCCGATCCTCGATCCAAACCGCAGCCTCCACCATGCGCATGTCAAACACCCTCTCGCCCTGGGGCGACAACAACCCCGTCACCCTCCCCAACATCCGCTACCGCGACGCCGTCCTCTTCACCACCTTCGAACTCGCAGGCGCGCCCCTCACCGACGCCATCTCCGACTCCATATCATCCACATTCGGCGCCGAGCACCTCCTCTCTGAAATCGTAAGCTCCACCGCCTCCGCCATAGCCACATCCCCAGCCGTCAAATTCCCCGTCTTCCAAACCGCCGAGCAAGCCATAGACCGCACAATCCTCGACCCCCTGACCCCAGATGAGCTCAAAATCCTGCAAACCCCCGGCACCACCACCCTCCAAATCAGCATCCGCCACAACCTAATGGGCGTCAACGCAGACCTAACCTTCATCTCCCCCTCCCCTTCCCCAGACCCAAACGCCTGTGCAAAAGCCTGGTTCGCCCCCTACCTCTTCGCCACAGCCCGAACCCCCCTCATCCCCCGCGCAACCCACTTCTCCGTCTGCGAGTTCCGCGGCCCAGCTTTAGCAGCCGACTACGCCCTCGCACCCAAACTGCTCTCGCACTCCCCAACCATCCTCGCGCTCTGCGACCCTTCCTCTCCTTCTTCTTCTTCTTCCCGGCCGTCCATCACCACCACACACAATAACCCCCCCGCGCAGCAGCAGCCCCGCATGGCCATCTTCTTCACAGCCATATCCCCATCCCACGACGGGTCCCCAAAAAAAGAAAAAACATGGAGCTCCTCGCGCCGTCCCGGCGTCGGAACCCTCTCGTTCCACCTCTTCCACAGCTGCCCCGCCCTCGTGGTCCCCGTGTCCCAGCGTGCCCCCGTCCTCGCGTGGTCGGCCTACACCCTCGAGCAAATCCTCTCTTCCTCTCCTTCTTCCTCGTCGCTCCCCGTGTCGTCGTCGTCTACTGGAACAGATACTCGTACCGCGGCGCAACGATATCCAATCGAGGTCCTGCATAAACAGCTCTGCGGATACTTGCTCGGCGAAGCGGGGGTTGATCCTAGTGGTGTTTATCCTGCTGTCGGTGCTAGTGGCGGGTGGAGAGCTGTGCTTGAGAGGTTTGTGTGGGTTCTTGTTTGTGCTGTTGCGAGGGTTGGTGGGAATGATGTTGTTGTGCGAGATGAGATTGATCCGGCGAGAGCGGGGATCGTCATGTTTAGGTTTTAGAGAAGAAGAAAGAGATAGATGAGATGAGGCGAGGAAAACTAAAAGGAAGGGAAGAGATAAGGAGAGGAAGAGGAAGAAGTGTTTGCTAGTTCTCAGGAGGACCTATGGTAAGTAGAGCAATGGGTTCTGTTAGGAGTTTTAGTATATATATATGTGTGTGTGTGTGTGTTTGTCTGGTGCTTGTTATGTTTGTTGGCAGATATCTAGAGTTGATTTTTTTTCTTCTTCTTTTTCCTGATTTTGAGTTGGAGTTTAGGTGTTCCCACACACAGCGATAGTTGATAACAATATAGGTCCAACAAAACAAGCGATTACAACAAATTCGAGACGATAAGCCTTCACGCAAGCTTTTTAAACAAAAGCAGGGATTTAGGGGGGGGGCACCCCTTGGCACTAGTCTGGAACGAGAGATGTCTAGAGTATGTGGTCGATAGAGAGATAGAGAGACGGGTGGGAAAAAGGGGGGTTTTTTTTCTAGTTTAGGTAGATGGGTAGGTATATATGTAGGATAAGACGGTAGCCATGTTGCGGTCAAAAAAAAATCAACCGTTAATCTACTTGGGTGTATGAATAAGACAGTTTCTGGGTAATCGCCTGTTTTTTTTGACGTACATTTATTGTTTGTATACAATTTATAGATTGAGAAAGAGAAGAGAAAAGTTGCAAGGGCTTTGTTTGGTTTAGACTAGAGTTGAACTGTAGCAATGTTAGAGAAGACTAGAAGAAAGAAAAAAAGGCTTTCTTTATTTATTTTTCTCTTTTTTTTTTTTCGCCTTGATGGAAAACCATGCAGACAAAAACATGAGAAAACGCAAGCGGCCGTAAGCACGTTAACAAAAGGGTATATAACTAAAATCCTCTTCACTGTACAGAGAAAGCGTAAAATCATACACACTGGGGGGGGGGGGAAAGGAAAAAGAAGAACCTCGAAGAGCTTTATGTCTGCGAGCGAAAGTTGTCCTGGCCAATCCGCTCCAACAGCTCCGTCGACACGTCCCTCACAAGCCGCACACTAAACACGGCATCATCACCATCAGCACCCGGACGCACAGCTCTCTCGTGCGTCTCGCGCCGCGTGTACTCGGACACCCACTCGGCCGCCGACGCCGTCCTGCCGTACTGGAACCGCTTATTCCACTTCCAGCGGCGCTCGTACTCGTTTGGGTCTACAGTTGGTGCGGCGCTGTTGGGTTGGGTTCGAGACTGGTCCGCGAAGATGCGTTTTGCTTTGTCGACCATGTCTATGTACCATGGTTCGTAGCCCATGTGCAGGACATCGTCATGGTCAGTCGGGGTAGAGGAAGAGGAAGAGCGAGAATTCGAATCCAGCGATAAGAGGTCGTAGTCGAGGACGACGTCGTCGCCCAGGACCACGGGCACGGCGGCGTGTTCGAGGACCTGGAATTCGAGCGGGATGCTGGCGTCGTCGAGATCCATGTTCACGAACACGCGGCCTACAGTGGGCACGCGCTGGTTCGACGGCAAGGAGATCCAGCCGCGGTACTTATCGTTTGTGTGGATTCTGAGGCCGTGGCGGCGCGCCCATGCCAGGCTCATGGCGTTGCAGTTTGAGCCTGTGTCTAGGACGGCTGCGAAGTCGACGTTCGAGTTGAATGTACCGTGGAACCGCTCCTGGTGACGTTCGCCGGATAGAAAGTTCATTGCGAAGGCCGCGGTGAGGCGTGGGAAGATGCACTTTGTGAAGCGGTGTTGGAAGCGTTGCAAGGTGTGGGTGGCTTGGAGGAAGCTGCGGGACAAGAGTATGTCGAATGGGAAGTTTTTGACGACGCGGGCGATGACTTTGGAAGGGGGTGTTTTCTCCCCGGCGAAACCGACGTTGACTTCTGCGTAGGCAGAAGATTGGAGGACCCCGCCGTTGCCCATGGTCATGTTGACTTCGTGGTTGATTGTTCGGAGATTGTGCTTCTTTGCGAAGGCTTCGTCGACGATGGTGTGCGATGATCCTGTGTCTCCGAAACCATCCGTCGCTTTTCCGTTGACCTTCAACTTGAGACCACAGCGACGTTCAATTATGTCACGCGTCCCTGTCCGATTCAGCTGGCGTTCGCGGTGTATATTTGAATATGCACCTGCTGGAGGAGGGGGGATATTATGGAACGAGCCATATTGGGCAGTCATGGTCGGAGGCTTGTGGCGGACAATACTGTCTCGCACAGGGTTCGATGAAGGAACCCGTTCACCAGGATTCTCAGCTCCGTGTTTATTTACTGCAGCGATGTTGAGATCTGTGCTCGCCTTTGTCGTCCAGAGTGATGCAGAACGGAGCGGGCTTTTTTCTTTCGACCGGCTGTCGGAATCAATCAGTGCTAGCGTAGCATATACCCTGAGATAATTTTTGAATATCTTGTCAAGTTTGCCAAATGATGAACTCGGTTTCACAAGAAGTTGGTTGATCTCAGAAACTGGTAAAAAATCTCTGTCGACCATGCCTTCTGCTTCTGATTTACGACTGTGTCCACCGATTAACTGATGCAACGATTGCGTTTGTGTGTTCTAGCGCTTTCTATACAGCTTACTGATGCTCTCATGGCTTGCAATCCTCGGGCGTGGGGGGATGAGGTTCGAAAGGTCCGGGGGCACAAACCTGGTACGAATAGATTCCATTGAACTGCTGCCTCTCAAATGGAAGGGGATGCTCGTTACAAAGATGTGAACAGGTTGAATATGGGGAGGGTTGTCTCTGGAGTCGATGAAAGACGGGTAAGACGTGGCAAGATAAAGCGGGAGTGGGTACGAAGGGATCCTGGCAATACTGCTGAGTTGCGGCAGTGATATGCTGGTCAAGGCTGACAGGTTCATAGCCCAGCGCCATGCTAAAGGCTTGATCAACGAGAGCCAATCTGATCCTTGTTACTTCTGCATCTTCACCGGAACAGTGACGCACCAGCCTATTCCAAGCCCATACTGCCAGCTCTAGTTCACCGGCATGAGCACATTTACTAAAGAAACGGTGGATGGGTTGGATGCTATTGTGACCGGGATTTTCGGTATGTCTTGAACGATGGTTTGCTTCCATTCTAACGAATCCTGATGCACTCGCTGTATGATTCCGGTAGATATGCGACGAGTTTATATGCAACATAAGTTATACGATTCCGCTCACAAGAGTCAGTAGATGCAAAGACGGAAGCTAGATCCATCATCGCACTCCTTCTCATGCTACCCCCAATGACCCCCCAATGCAAACACCCACCCGTCTCCGTGGCATCCCCACACTATCCACCTTCATCGGCAGCGACACGGACGCGTTGATATTCCGCAAATTCAGCGTCCTCGCCGCAAGGAACCTGCTCCACCTCCAAAGCCGCATCAACGAGCTCGAAAGCCAACTCGACGACCTCGACGCCTCCGACGTCGAAGCCGCAAAATCCAACCCTCACGTGAGCGACTGCGCACGAGCATACGATGAACTCCAAGACGCAGCCGCGCAGTTCAGAGAAGGCAAGGTCGTCGAGGGAGAAGAGGAGGCGATGCGGAAATTCTACGAGAACGCTCACGAGCGGGTGCGACTCCATGGTGAGATTTCGTCGGCTCTGCATCGATACCGTACGTCGCAACACACATAACCCCTTTGCTCTCCCCCAATAATGAACCATCGTCTCTTTGCGTTTTACTCGCTCACACTGAATCCTCAAACTCAAAAGGGAAAGCGTTACTGGACGAGCATCGGATCCAAACGCTGCCCTCGCCATCCTCAACAGCGCTATCGACATTCAAGAGGATCTTGCGGCCGGCGAAGCAAACTCCGCTGCTCACGGGGTACGACGGCAAGATCGCGGACCGGACATCTGATCTCGTCGCGCTGGGTCAGCCTGGTGAAGATGACCGTTTAAGCCGCTTCCTCCGCTACACATGCGGATACTGTCTGCGGGTCCGCGTCCCCTTTCCCTCTCTTCCTTCCCTTGTCCCTTCTTTCCACTTGTCGTCAGAAGCTCAAACACTGCCATTCCAACACCACACTCACCTCATCCCCCCAAACAGGACCGCAAACTCACTGCTTCTCGCTCATCCTCCCCAGAAGCAAAGATATATTACTACCCCCCTCGCCGAGTGCAGATGCTGAGTTACAGCGTCAGCGTCATATTCTGCGGGATCCTGTTGGTGGGCGCCATGGCGTGTCTGGGGGCGATTGAGCGGCGGTCGTGGAAGCTGAGGATCGCCATGGTTTCTGTATTTACGGGGCTGTTTGCTGTGGTTGTGGGGCTGTTGAGCGGGGCGAGGAGGGCAGAGGTGTTTGGGGCTACGGCGGCGTATGCGGCTGTGCTTGTTGTTTTTGTTGGGTCGAACGTTGGGGTGGGAAATGGAGGGTAGGGTGTAGATGGCAGCAGTGGTGGGTGAGTTTTGAAATAAGGGGGTGGATGTTGGGTAAGTTGAGTCGAGGGTTTGATGGGTACATCGTGTATCAAGTCTGTGGGGTTTCTTCTATTGAGTTTCCTTTTCTTCCATTTCTTTTCTCTCTCTCTCTCTCTCTATCAGGGCGTATACAATAGAAGTGCGTAGCTCCGTGTAGGTCCAATACCACGACAGTAAAACAAGTAGCCACCGTCTTTCGAGAAGCGTACCAAGCAGCTCAAAGCCATGTACGCCAGAAGAATTCTCATTGCATGATGATTGCTCTCTGCTGTCCTATAAGCTATCTTTATTAGAGTATGAAGGCGTGCAGTGTTAAGGTGTGGAGTCAAGATATGTATCTCACCACTGCATGTATGTGAAGTGCGGCTGGTTTGTGGTAGTCTACCAGACCCCTAGTTTGACGGTTTCCTTCACAACGCAGTAGCGATAGCTGAACCATACATATGTAGATAGATACTTAGGCATGGGAGGCTATTTGAAGGCTCCGGTGCACTCGGGTTCTAATCGATTTCATTGGTTGAATCCGAAGCTGGGCTATGTCATCCAGAGTAGTCGTGGCAAGAATATCGCAGAGGAACTTGACAATGAACAACTCTTCCCAAGTTACTTCTTCCAAGACTGAACCAGCACCGCGCACCGTCATGTCTGTCTTTTATATCTGCCTCAGGACGCAAGGATTGCACGTCTTGAGGTCTATTGCTTAACAAGCTGCCCCTTTGGTTCGCTCACCGATCACTACAGGCACCATTTGTGTTATCGAGGCCATGGGTGTGGTTACACGAGGCGTACGAGCTGGCTCTTCAGCGTAGCCGAGTTCGTATAAGCTGACAGGGCAGGGTAGACATTGCATACAATGCGAATCTCAGCCTTCCTGAAATCTTCTTATCAAAATCCTTCTGCCGTCTCCCAACTTCTTCAGTCTTGCCAATTCATCTTTGCATCCTCGGGATTCAAGGAATTGCTGTTTGCGAGCGACTTCCTCTACGGATAGACAAGTCTACCAAGCGTTGTGTCTTTTACTCTTTCTCAGTCCGACATGTCCTACGTGTACTCAGACCTACCCTCTAGGCGACATATCCGGCTCTTAGTCCTCAAACCGTCTGCAAACCCCGATGCGCCGCTCAAGTTTAACTTCCAGACTAGCAATATCGACGAAGTCGATGATACATATGAAGCCCTCTCTTACACCTGGGGGGCTCCAGTCTTCCCACACGAATTGTACACCAACGAAGACCCCGACTCCTATCTGAAGATTAGTTCAAATCTGAAGGACGCATTAGCGAAGCTGCGAAAAATTGCTCAGGATCGAGTTCTGTGGGTTGATGCTGTTTGTATCAATCAGCAAGACAACGTGGAGAAAAGTTTCCAGATACCCATGATGGGAGATATATATCGTAAAGCGAGGGGTGTGGTGACATGGCTAGGGCAGGGAGAAGCGCTTGTTGAATACGCTATCGACATGCTGGCGAATCTATCTCGAACGACGCCTGAGAAAGGTTTGAAAGTGCATTATCAGCAAGCGTTGAAGCGGATTGTACGTTTGGACTACTTCTCCCGGAGATGGATCATACAGGAGCTTGTCTCGAACCACGAGGTGACGTTCCTCTACGGAAATGCCAGTATTTCCTGGCTTCGCTTTCAGACGGCTTTTAGATCACTGCACAAGGCGACCAAGCCAATCACCACTTCAGCCTCAATCAAAGTAGTGAGCCGGATCATCACTCTGTGGAACTATTGGATGAAGGTTGACATGCTACCGGAACCTGACCCAGACTATTATGACTTCAAGAAGGATAGATCGCTAAGGTTCGTTGCTTCTCGTTTCCCAAATACAGGGGTTTTTGATCTTCTCAAGGTGTTTGACACAAGTGTGTGCGGCGATTCCCGGGATATCCTGTACACGCTACTTGCTCTTGCGCCCGATCTGCGAGCCACTGGAAGCTCTGAGCCGGGTTCCAAAGAGGCTGAGAAAGACACTATTATGATTGCGGTGAGCTACGAGGAAGATGTGGAATCGGTATACACCAAATTCGCGCAAGCAGCCGTATCAGCAAATAAGGGAAACGCTATCCTCGCAGCGCGTCTTGCCCGTCCGCGGTCGCCTGAGTCTTTCAGCGCAAGATTCCCCTCATGGGTCCCAGACTGGCGCATCAAGCCAGACACTCTTGATCATAGGCCATTATTTCAGGGATTCGAGTCTCTCATCCTTGGTAACAGTGGCCCGTCGGTGATGTCCTTTCGTTGTTTCGATACAGTCTACAAGGCTAGCTTCGGACGTCAGCTCGACATGATCTGCGTCCACCACGTGCTTCCTGCACATGGAATCATGCCAAGTGAAATGACGGAAGCCGCAAAGCTAGACATTGTCCAGTCAGTACAGAGCTTTTGGACGCGTAGTGCACACACCAATGGAGGCCAACCATGCACATGAGTGACACCCGCTTCTGAGGCTGAGCTGCAAGGAATCTTTACCGAGGATCTTGAGGATATTCATAACCTCTTTGACGACAAGCCATGGAAGAATGCCGACATGTCCTCTGCGGAAAAGACTGATCGCATTGTCATGTACACACGCCGGCACTCCCTTTGGGCTGCCCAGGCTCAGAAAGGGTGGGTTTTTATGGGTGTCACGAATTCGGCTCCTCGGGATGGAGATGCCATGGTGACAGTAAATCCATGGTTCATACCTGGCGATGCTTTGTTGATTCGTGGTCAGAAGATAGGCTCAGAAAAGTTCTTTCAGCTCGTGGGGAGCTCGACAATACGTGCCTTCGAGTGCTGTTGCACGTCCTCGCAACGGTCCAAGTCTTGTAAATTTACTAAACCTCGTAAGAAGAGGCATTACGAGACTACTTTTGACCTGATTTAATACCAAACTTCTGGCTGAAAGAGCACAGCATCCGTCCATAATACCTCCGAGCTCCTAATATATTATAACAAGCTGGTCAGCAATTCAATTACACACTACCCAATCTATCCACAGTACTGCTAAGGCCTGTAACAAGTGTTCAAATGTTGACATGAATTGATGCCATAGTCGCTCTGCACTAGATGTGGCCGACTACAAGACCCCTTGCTCCACACCCCAATCCTTCGAAAAAAAAATATAGCGGCGACGGGCCGTTCCCCTACCCTACTGTACCCTACCCTACATAACCCTAACCTACATATACACTACTCTGCCTTAGCAGCGATGGACGGCACGTACGCGGACCCTCTAAGCGCCGGCCAAGCGGCGGGTGGATTGTGACGAGTAGGGGGGGAACGGGCGGCTGGAAGATCAAAAAGGTGGCGCGGGAGGGGCTCTAGCCAAAAAGAAAAAAGACGGATTTGGTGTAGCGAAAGGAGAGGGGGAGAGAGAGAGAGAGAGAGAGAAAGGCTGGTAGAGGAGAGGAGGAGAGGAGAGGCATGTGGTGAGGTGGTGGGAGGTGGCGGCGGCTAAATGGGCGAATCAGAGAGCAGAGGAGAGGTTTCGTCCCGTGCATGGTCGAGGTCTGGGTACCTGACATTTGCCGTGAGCAAGCATGTGTGTATGTATGTATGTATGTATGTACATGTACCATTAGATGCATTGCGCAGGGCAGCGGGCAGGGAGGAAAGGATCAAGGGGTGTGGCGGGAGTGGGTACATGTACGTATGTACATATGTATGGAGAGGGAGAGAGAGAGGGAGTGAATGGCCTTGGACTTGGCTATCCACTTATTGCTTGTCCAAGTATGTATGTATACGTACAAGGTATCTAGCTGTGTGCAAATGCCATGCCATGTGCCTTGCTTGTCTCTCCCTCTTTCTCTTTCTTTCTTCCTGCCAGCCTGACTGGCCCAAGTGAGTGAGTGAATGAATGATGGCCTGATTTGATCCATTCGTTGATCGTCGACAGTCTTTCCTCAACCTTCTGCCTTCTCTCTCACACATACATACATACATACATACATACATACACTCCCTCCCCCCCGTTCTTCTGGAACAGCTACTCGTGCATACCCTGCGCCGAATACGAACTTCTCCAGCTGTACCTCTATACATGGATTGATTCAACGAGAAAGACAAGACATCCATCCCATCGTACGTGCCGCCCACCCGCTACCCCGCGAACACCCGCCAACAACGACTCACCCAGACAGCCTACCTACCTGTCTACCTACCTGTCTGCCTACGTACATAGTATACGTACTGCCTGCGCTATCTCGTACTGCGCCTGAGCACTCGAGTATATACCCATATAAACAATCCCAGAGTCGTCGCATTCCCGCCGCCGATCCCAGCTTATCCCCATCAACCACCGTCGTCATCGCCTCCTCCCCCCCACCAACATTGAATCTATACATAGAGAGACGTGCAGCACCACCGCCGCCGCCATGGACGGCCGAAAACAGGGCCGCCCGGACGAGGAGCTCTTCATGCGCCCCGGCGAAACACCAGAGACGCCCGTCGTGGGGCCGCTGAGGATACAGAAGAGAGACTCGGAGGTCAAGAGCCCCCCGCCGCCACGAACAGACTCGGCGGGGAGCCAGCGCTATAATCAACACCAGCAACAGCACCAACAGCAGCAGCACCAGCAGCAGAACCACCCCGTCTTCTCGCGCCCTCCGCCCATGCCCGCTTTCCCCGCCCCGCCCGCCAATCCAACCCACACTCCTCCACCACCCGCAAATCCACTGCCTTACCCCGACGATAGGCCTCCCAGCACCACTTCGGTGGGCCCGAGTCCAGCATCACCCGCCTCGCGCGCACGTTTCGACGCAAACGATCCCAACAGACCCTCGGTCGCAGGCTATGGCGCCGCCCCAGGAAGAGCCCCCGACGGCTCTGTACAACCCTCGAGGCTGGCCGAGCGCAGAGGAACCGCTCCCAAACCGCTGCCAGATTCTCCTGGCCCAGAAACCCCCGACAAGGAAGGCCTATTCCAGCGCCCTCCTCGCAGGCAGGCCAGCACCGATCCCAATCCCTTTCCAGAATATCACCAGCAATACTGGCCTCCTCCGCAGCCAGCTCCGCCAGCTCCAGCTCCAGCTGCCCCCGCCGGTGGGTTGAACATCCCCAACCCTTCGGGCATCAATCGATTGAGCTCCACAGCTTCCACCTCGACCACAAAAGCCCAGCGAGGCTCGCCACCTCCTCCCGAGACTCCCATAATACCTCCCCTGGGAGGCGGCATCGAGGCTCGTTTTGCTGCCGCTGGCATAGCTGGATCGTCCACTCTGTCCAATCTGCAAGCGCAAAACGCTCAGAATGCTGCCGCTGCTCAGCGCAACCAAGTCTACGCCAACCAGCAGCCACGGCCCGACCTCATGTCGCCCTCTTCCAATGGCAACCAGCCTCCGCGTAGACCCTGGACACCCACCGAGCAGCCCGGAAGCCATCCACATGGCCCTCCTGCGGTATACCAAGGCATGAATCCCGTGGGTCCTTCTACCAGCCCTCCTCACGCTCCACTTCCCCAAGTCCCCGCCTCGACCATGTCGCCTCCGCCTTCCAACCCTCACGCGGAACAGTCTTTGTCTCATGACATGGGCCGCATCAACTTGAACGAGGAGCCACCGCCCGCCTATTCGAGCATCCCCCACCAGACCGCTGTCGCGAACCAGGGCTACCCCAACGAGAAGCAACGCCCCCAGGCAGCATCTCCCCAGCCTTCGCAGAGCAGTGCCATGAGCGATCCAAACATCCAACAACACCCTGCCTTTGCAAACGATGCGCGGAACCAGCAGCCCGCTCCCGCTCCGTCTCCCGCCCCGGCTACCCAACCCACGGGTGTCGTGGCACCCACTCCCACCAATGCCTACTTTCCACAACAACAGCAGCAAGCCCAGCAAACAATTCCAACCCAAACCGTCACCACTCCGAGCCCAGCGCCGACTGCACCAGGTCCAGGCCCCGCATCTCCTCCGCCGCTTCCTGAAGGTTGGATAGCACATCTCGATCCCAACTCTGGACAGTACTACTACATTCATCTGCCGACACAGTCCACTCAGTGGGAGTTCCCCAAAGGCCCAACGCCGCTGAATCTGAACGAGCCCATGTCACCCGCGAGCTCGTTTGTGAACCCGTTGAGCTCTCCAGGGTTTGGAAAGACGCCTTTGGCCTCGCCAGGATTTCCTACGCAGACGGCTGCTTATCCAGGCGACATGATGGGAATGGCACCTGTTGCGACTCCCACTGCCGCTGGCTTCACAGGACCTCCTCCGCAAGCTGGAGTCGACATGTACAAGATTGCTCCGACTAACAGTGTGTATTTCGGCCCGTACCTGAGATACACCAACATGGACATTGAACGCGGTCTATGGCTTGGTTCGATTCTTCTCATCACAAACACCCCTCACCCACCCACAATACACATACATCAGAGCGCAGATCTCTCTCCGAATCCCCGCCAGCTCAAGGCGAACCCCATCTACACGCATCAGTCATGGATCTTCTACCGGTACGATGTTGACCTCAAGATGGAGGAGGACCGTGCTGCCAAGTGGACGTATGCCATCACCTCGCATCTGGGCTGCACCCGCTTCGAATTCCTGGTCGCTGGACGGTACGAGACGAGCTGGCGTTTCGTGGCACACTCTGGAAACGATTTCGCGCTCAATGTCAATGCGAATGAGCGGTCCAAGCTCGGTGGGATCGGGTACATGTGGAAAGACATTCTCCAGAAGAACACCGAGTGCGGCGGATTTCACGTGCAGCTTGGGCTGGGAGGGCAGATCTACGCGGATAGGCTGTGGAAGGAGATTCCGCTGTTGAAACAGTGGACGGCGATGAGCGGCAAAGAAAACCGCAAGAATGCGCCGTGGACTGCGAAGCATGAGGAGGAGGTCTGCCATTCGTTCTTCCACTACTATACCAGTCACTTCGACCAGCCGCATCTTCGCGAGGCGTTTGCGCAGATCCCGCATATCCTAGCACTCGATGATCACGACATGTAAGTAGATTCGCGCCACATTCGAGTTTGTATGACTGACATTGCTACTAGCTTTGATGGGTTCGGCTCCTATCCCGAATACATGCAATTCTCCAACATGTTCAAGAACATTGGCAGGGTAGGCATCGAAATGTACCTGCTCTTCCAGCACCACACCACCACGGAGATTCTCCGCAACGTCAACAACGACATGGATCTCTTCACCATTACAGGGACCGGCTGGCACTTCATCAAGTATCTGGGCCCCTGCGTGACTGTCGTCGGCCCGGATTGTCGTTCCGAGCGCAACCCGCACCAGGTCATGGCCGGGCCAACCTACCAAGGCATCTTCCCCAAGATCGCCATGCTGCCACCGAGCGTGCAGCACTGCATCATGATGGTACCCGTGCCAGTCGTGTATCCCCGCTTAGAGTCGGTCGAGCACCTCGCCTCCTCGGTGGCGACGGGAAAGAAGGCAGTGACAGGAACCTTCAACATGCTCGGCAAGATGACGAGTTCGGTGGCTGGTGTTGTAGGCGCAAAGGGTGTCGTCGGCGACGGCTTCAACTCTGTCAAAAAGGCAGTTGGGAAGTCGGGACTCATGAGCGGCGTCCTCAGCCCATTCGGCGACATTGACTTCCTCGACGAACTCCGCGACCAATGGACCCACGATTCAAAAGTAGCCCTCCCCCCTTCCTTGACATACATCTATCAACTCTTGGCTAACCTCTCTTTCTCTACAGGACCTCGAGCGCACCTACCTGATCCGCACGCTCCAAGGCATCGCGCACAACAAATCCATCCGCATCACCTTCTTCAGCGGCGGCGTCGACTGCTGCGGCGCCGGCCTCGTCCACGACCCCTCCAAACCCCAAGACCACAAAACAATGTACCAAATCATCTCCTCGTCCGTCGTCAACGCCCCGCCCTCCAACTACGTCCTCCGCCTCCTCCACAACAACCGCGTCCTCTACATCCCCCAGAACGGTCACCGCTCCACCCACGCCCCCTCCGACACAAAGGAAGATATGATGGAGATCTTCACCCAAGACGTCAATGGCGCCGCCCGCGAGTACAAGAGGCTGATGGGCCGACGGAATTACGTCGCGTGTGTCGTTTATGACCCAGAGGTCGTCAATGGCGGGTTCGGTGGGAGTCCGAATCCGAACGGTGTGCCTGGTGGTGGGGGGAACAAGTTGAGTCTTGCGGTGGATTTCATGGTGCAGAATGAGGGGCCTTATAGCGCGCCGATGAAATATGGCCCTGTTATTGTGCCGAGCTTGGAGTATGGGAGATGATGAGATGTGAGGGATGGTTTGGTTCTTTTTCTTTTTTTTTCTTTTTTTTTTCTTGGGCGGGTTGGTTGGCTTCCTCTGGTGATTTGATGTGTTTTTTTTTGGGGGGGGGGGGGGGGGGGGTTGGGTTTTTTAGGGGCGAGAGTTTGAGCGAATTGAACGAACTTGTCGAGCGAGCGAGCGAGCAACATTACACGAGAATCAGAGTAATTAGCTAATTTCAGCTTTAGTTGATGAGGTGATACTATGGTGGTGATGAATTGCAATTAACTAAAAGAAAGAAGGAAAGAGAGAGAGAGAGAGAGAGAGAGAGAGAAATATACAACATATTGAAATAATATTACAAATTTATTCTAAGTTTTTAAAAGTTTTTAAGTAGTTGATTATAACAGCGTAAGGAGGTTTTTGTATTTTAGCTTTAGAAAAATTATGTTGTAAGAAGATATATTTTTTTAAAAAAAAGAAAAAAGAAAGTAAAGAGTTAAAATAGCAAGGAGTAAGAAAAGAAAAAAGAACTAAGTAAAGCAAGACTAAAGATAACAATAAAATCAAAGATAAACATGAACATGAACATGAAGAGATTTCTATATATATATATATATGTATATCTCTCTTTCCAAGTCCTACTACTACTACAGCTTTGCTTTGATCGAAGAACCCTCCTTAGCCATGGCCACAGCCTCAGCCTTCAACACCCTCCTCAGAATCTTGCCACTCGCCGACTTGGGGATCTCGTCGACGAACCAGACTCCGCCCCTCAACTTCTTGTGGCCCGCTACGCGCGCTGAGATCCATTCCTGGATTTCAGTAGCTACGACGTTCTTGTTGCCGTGACCGGCATGACCATCTTTCCCGCCCAGCTCACCCGGCTTCAACACGACATATGCGCGCGGCAGCTCCGTCGCCGTCTCGCCGTCATACACGCCAATGACAGCGGCGTCGTCGACTTTGGGGTGCGCAACGAGCAGGCCTTCCAGCTCTGCAGGCGGGACCTGAAACCCTTTATACTTGATGAGTTCCTTGATGCGATCGGTGATGTAGAAGTTGCCCTGATCGTCTTGATACCCTACATCTCCCGTTTTGAAGAAGCCGTCGGGGGTGAGGGCGTGGGATGTAGCGAGGGGGTTGTTGAGGTAGCCCTTGAAGACGTTTGGGCCGCGGATCCAGAGCTCGCCGGGGGTGCCGGCGGGGAGCTCCTGCTCGTCGGGGGACATGTATTTTGCTTCTTGGTAAGGGAGCAACGTGCCAACGGAGCCCGGGTGCGTGTTCCAGTGGTCCCAGGGCTGCGTGTGCGTCGTGGGGCTTGTTTCCGAGAGCCCGTAGCCTTGCTTGATGGGGATGCCGAGGCGGCGGTGGACGGCGTCGACGAGGTCCTTGGTTAGAGGCGCCGCGCCCGAGTTCATCATGCGGATTGAAGAGAGGTTGTATTTGTCGATGATGGGGTGTTTGCTTAGAAGGAGGACTACGGGGGGGACTACGTAGGCGAAGGTTACTTTGAAGGTTTCAACGAAGCGGCAGAAGTCCTCGAGGTCGAACCGCGGCATCACGATGAGGGTGAGGCCCGAGTAAAGACTTTGGTGGATCAGGCATGTGAGGCCTACGGAGTCAGAGGTTAGAGATTGGATTGATGTTGTGCGTGGATGGTTTTGGGAGCGGCTACTGACCGTAGATGTGGAAAAAGGGGAGGAAAGCGAGTAACTTGTCGCCTTCGTCGTCTGGTCCGCCTTTCCAGCTCATTTTCCCGCCCTCGCCGGCTCTGATCATCATGGTGTTTGAGACAATGTTTCGGTGCGTCAGCATGACTCCTTTGGGATGTCCCGTGGTACCGGAACTGTAGACTAGAAACGCCAGGTCTTCAGCGGGCTTCGTGGCCTTGGTTCTTCTGTATCTTGACGCGCCAGAGGTATTGCGGATGCTAGTGAAGTGCTTCACCTTGTGACTCGGGTCTCGTTGGTCGCCAATCACAATGACACGATCAAGTGGGATGCCGACTTTGGTTGCAGCCTCCTGGGCATTCTTGATAAACGGCAGCTGCGTTACAAGGCCTCTTGCGCCGCAATCTTTGAGTTGGAAAGCAAGCTCCTCTACGGTATATGCGGGATTGGCCGGGCTCAGAACACCACCAGCCCAATGACACCCCCATGTTATGGCTGGGGTATCAATGCAGTTGGGCGTGTACAAAGCGAGTACGTCGCCTTTTTGCCAGTCCCAGAGAGCCTTGAGACCTTTGCCAAATTCAATGGCGGTGGACTTGACTTGAGCATAGGTGTAGGACCGCTTGGTATAAGGATCGAGGTAGATGACTGTGTTACGCATTACTTTGCATGGCCTGAAAACATCACGATATCACTTCGTCGTACCTTTGTCGTCCGGGAATGCTTTCTCTTTGCGTTCGAACAGAAACCCCCACAAGTCGGTGTCTGGGATGGGAATCGCGGGATAGCTGGACTTGGTAGGCATGTTGTCACTCCAGATAAGCACTTGACAAGTGGGCGCGGATCTCTTTGAGTTTGTCAAGCGGAGAGGTGAGGTGGAGAACAGTGATGGTGGTTGTTAGGACCGCGACAGAACCGTGATGTGAAGCTCTTAGCTTGCATGACGGCCTTGTACTAACAGCCATTCTACGCCGAAAGGATGCGGCTGGCGGCGGCGTTTGGGGGTTTGTGATTGGTATCGATGATGCAGGGCGAGGCGTAACATGGTTCACGGACCGAGGCTTGATCTGTCTGGGGAAGTCTAAGCGCGGGGAAGCAAAGGCAAGGGACCTCGGAACTGGTCCCCCAGTGTTGTCGGCGGCGAGTCTCGGAGTCAACATCGTTGAACGCGACCATCAGTATGTAGCGTTTGTTCCTGGAGACTGCATATTAGACATCGTCGAGTGTTAATTTCCATTTGTTTCCTGAACATACCAACACCGCCTATCATGGCATCCTGGGAGGAAGCAACCGCAGTCCAGCAACTCGACAGCAAGACATATACATGTAACTTCCATGACGATTGGTGTATCGGCACTGGTAAGGCCTCAGTGCAATCGGTAGCTGCAGCGGCATACGCTAACGTGGAATGCCGGCAGTTCCCAACGGTGGGTATGTGACTGGGTGCATTCTCGAGGTGGTTTCAAAGCACTTCCACACTTCACTCGCAAAGCTTCATCAACCTCATACAATCGCCCTCCATGTGGAGTTCCTTCGGAGAACACAAGTTGGCCTGGCAACATTCAAAGTCGAAGACGTAAAGATCGGAAGACAAACGTCCATAGTCCACGTCCACATGTCGCAGGACGGCCGCGAGGAGATCGTGGCCTATGTAACCAATTCCAACATACACACAGAGCAGGGCGTGACTTTCGATACCCACTACGAGCTTCATCCGCAGCGTCCTGCCGTCGACTTCGGCAAGCTGGAGCTGGACACAGATGAGAATTGGAAGCGGATCCGCGAAAACCCTTTCCCCAAATTCCGCAAGGCCCTTTCACGGCTCCATCTTTACTCTCCACGGACCGGTCAAACTGTTGCCCACACAGCTGACCAGTGGGTATGTTTTACAGACGGCAAGAATTTCACGGATAGCTCTGTCGGTTTTGTTGCGGACATGTTCCCTCAGATCCTCGAATGGCATCGTGACCCGGGACAGTATTGGTATCCGACCTTGCTCTTGAATCTCGACGTGAAAAAGACACTGCCGAAAGAGGGTGTCAAGTGGCTGGGAAACCGTGTACAGCTCAAAAAGGTCCATAATGGAAGGATGGATATTGAAGTGCATATATTCGACGATGCTGGCGACATAGTTGCCCTGTCCCACCATGTTGCGTTTGTGCTGGATGCGTCGAGGAATCTCGCAAAGAGGAAAGACCAAGATAGTAAAATATAGATAGATGTACCATATCGTATTTCGACAGGAAAAACAACAAGTACCTCAGGCTGACAGACAGATGTACAGGAACGAGAAGAGACGAAATTTGTTTCCACCGGTTGCCGAATTGATTGATGGTGAAGAATTCAGTCCCAACACTATGTGCCGAGTAATTCTGTGGAGGCCACCAATAGCCATAATCATTTTCCTCGTACAGCAAATTTCGCGCATCTAGACATCTAGGGACAGTAATCAGTATTCTTTGGGTGCTCGAGTAGTTGAGGCGCACATGTGCAGTCGCTGGCGGTCGAAAGCAGCACGTGATCCAGTGGCGCAAAACGGCTTAGTGCATCTTGGCGCGCGCACGACACAACCGAGTGTCCAATATCGAGCGCCAGCCAGATCAACTCCACGAAACCTCCATCGACAACCAGCCGCCAACATGCCCAAGGACGTGAAGCAGAAGTCCGGTATGTTCTAGTCCTGCGATAACATCATCAGCGCGATACTAACAATCATTCACAGGTATCATCGTCGGCCTCAACGCCGGCCACAGTACGTTCCACCCTTCCCACCTCATCCATTAGCCTCGACGAAAAAAAATACGAATTTTGGCATCCGCACGCGCACCGGACTCAGACTGACAGTGATGGAACAGAGGTCACCCCTAGGACCCCCGCCGCTAGGATCTCCCGCAAGAGGGGTCTTCCTTCCAAGCGCACCACCTTCGTGAGGGAAATCACCCGTGAGGTTGCTGGGTACGTCTACCTTCCTAGGAGAGAGCATCAATCGGCTAGGCCTGGAACAAAAGAGGAGGAATGTATGGCAGTTACCGGCTTGTGTTTTAACGAACACTTGAACGATAGCTGCCAGACCGGAGAACAAAGTGCTATGGGAAAATTTCGAAATTGGGAACGGCTTTCCAGAAAGACGAACGATCGCTGACATTTCCGCTCTGCGTGCTTACAGACTTGCCCCCTACGAGAAGCGTGTCATCGAGTTGCTCCGCAATGCCAAGGACAAGCGTGCCCGTCGTCTAGCAAAGAAGAGGGTACGTTGACTACCGCTCCCACCGCAACGCAACAACCCGCTAACCTTCTACCCACAGCTCGGTACCTTTGGCCGCGCCAAGAGAAAGGTCGAGGAGATGACCAACGTCATCCAGGAGTCCAAGCGCACCGGTCACCATTAAACAACTCCTTTCACCAGTGACAAGTCAATTCGTTCATTCGGTACGGCGCAATGTTCAATATCAAAAAATAAAGGAACGGATGGAAACCGGGTTACGATGGCGGAGGGAAGGGCAGGAGACATGAATACCACCTTTTTTTCTCTGACTCGTTCTCTCTCCTGCGAACCAATCAATCAATTCACACATTTCTGTCGTTGGGGTGGGGTGTTGGGTCTTACTCTTTTCTTTCACACGGAAAGCAAACAAACGGGCGGGAATTGAAATGATGCATGCATGAACAAACGGGGGGATCCTGTCAGCCTTTACTCGGAGGTTGCTTCTTCCCCTCACAGACCTTAACGATAAACCTCCCCGAGAAATGTGATTCAATTCACGCCAATGGCTTGTGTTCTTGTGCATGACATGCTGTGCTGTAACATGTGTTCTTGCTGTGTCTGCACATGTGCTGCCTCTGTTTTGAACCATCCAACTCACTCTCAACAATTCACAAGCAGACCAAACACACACACACACACACACACACACACACACACACACACACGAAGAATGTCTGCAATACACATTGTCCATTGTCCATTGTTCATCGCTTATGCATGGAACACACGATGCCGATCTAGCATTATTGACCGTACCCAGCGCTTCTCGAGCACATCAAGGCCAGAGAGAGAGACAGGACACACCAGATCCCCATTATTCCCATGACCATCCATCCATCCATCCATCCATCCATCCATCTATGCCATGTATGGCCCTCCCACCCAACACCGCATGCATGTACGCGCTTGTCAAGTCTAGAAAGAACGAAACAGGATGCAGAGAACTCACACCACTGTAATTACCGCCAAAGAAAGAAGAAAAAAAATTCGTTCCAGTCCAAGTCTTCCACAGCCCAAACAAGCGACACGTCTACTTTTTCTTGCCAAAAATGCCACCCTTGAGGATATTCTTGAGTTTGTTCTCCTTTTCCTCGCTGCTCATCTCCGTCTTTCGCTTTCCCTTGGCATCAGCGCCCGCAGCGCCTTTGCCTCCGGACGCAGCAGCGGGAGCGGGAGCAGCAACCGGATCCTCGACCTTGAGGACCGCCGCTTTGCGCTGCCATTCTGCGCTCAGCACGTTGCGGGTACCCCTCGCCTGCGGACTCGCCGCTTCGTCCCAGCGAAACGTCAGCATTTCTGAATTTCCCAGCCCAGCGTCCGCGAAGAGACGGGTCTTGGGATCGCGCGGGAGCGCTGCTAGACGGACGGGATTGTCGGGGTCACGACGGAGGAGTTGGAACGGTTGAGATGCAAGATTGGGGTCGAGGACGGATGTTGCGATGTCGTAGACGGTGGCGGCGGTATCGAGTTTGGTGATGGTGGATTCGACGAGGGCGCCGTCTGGGAAGCGGAGACGGATCTTGCCACCTTTTTCTTGAGTCTGGGTTTGTTTTTGGGTGCGCTCTTGCGCGAGATCGGCGAGTTCCTTGTCCGAAAGTAGGCGTGTATTGCGTGTACGCGAGTTGAGCGACGCTTGGTGTGATTTGGCGTGCTCGACGGTCGGGACGTAGTCGGCTTCGTTGTAGGATTGGCGGGCAGCTTGTGGAGTGGTGGAGGTTGGAGCGGCGAATACCTGGATGTTGCGGGAATTGGTTGAAGATGGTGGTGGTGGCGAGGATGTTGTTGTCGAGGGTACCGCTTCTGTGGTAGATACAGCATTCGATGTCTCCGCTGAGGGTTCTGCAGGTGCAGAAGCGGCATCTTCAGAAGGCTCGTTGTCCCTGTCCATATCTACATCCAAGGACGACGGGTCAGGTTCATTCAGCCGTGTGGTTTGACCTGCGACGGTGGCTGTGGAGTCCTCGATCCTTGCATCAGGGTTTGGAACGGAAGCTGTCTGTGAAGCAGTCTGCGCATGAGCACCACTTGTTGCTGCAGGTTCCGAGCTCTTGAAGTATTGTGTGATTTGCGTCATGGCCTCTTCGAGAGGTGTGCCGCTATTCTGATAGCTGAGCTTCAGCAACGCCGACCCGCTGTCGAAGCCCAACTGGCTCAGTGTCTTCTGGAGTTCACCAAACGTCGCATATTTCTTGTGATCAGGAAGAACAGTAATGACAGGCATTTCGTAGTTCAGTCGACCTGCGCCGGAGGCTCCGTTGGAGCTCATTTCAGGGACTCCCCGTTGAGTGAAGTTGAAGTTGTGGCCCGGCTGACTCTCGAATTGGCGCAAGATCTCCCATAGTGAGATGTTGTTGGGCAACTTCTTGGTCAAGCGTTGGTCAGGTAGCTGGAGTGCTACTGTGATGACGGTCGGCGAACGAGAGGCCTGAACCAACTCCAGCCGGGCGCCTTGGGCCAGATTGGCGAGACGGATCTGCTGTGATAGCGAAATAGGCTTGTTGTTGTACTTGAGGGTGTAGATGTCCTTGCTCATCCCCAGCTTTTGGCAAGCCTCGTCGCGGACCTCGGTGAGATACTTTGTGGGCGTTGTAGGTATGCGGACGGACTTGGCCGAGGCGTTGAAGACGGTGACGTGCGACATGGTTTATGAAGGTCGGAACAGACGGTAGAGAGTCCAGGCGCTGTAGAAAGCGACGGGGATGTTAGCGACGATGATGAGGCGCGAGGCCAAACAGCCAGGTTTATGGTGTTTGAAGGTCGACTCGCAGCGCTGGAGAGTGAGGAGGAGGTTGACAAGGTGGAGGAGTCGAGCTTCTGGGGTATTGAGGAACAGTGAAGAGCGACCTGCCATGAGCAACGTAAATTAGGCTAGGCTGCACGGTAAGGATTCGAATGGCATCAAGTCAAACAGCAGGGTACTGACTGGTTGATTGACTGGCTGCCGGGAGCCTCGGTGGGTTGAATGTTTGTCTGGTGCAGAGTCGGGACAGGACAAGTATGGTGATGGGTGTAGATATGGGTGCGGGCGGGTGCCTGGGAAAGGATAGAATGGGATAGAATTGAAGAGGTAGGTGTGTATCTTGGGTTGAGTTCTGGAAGCTTCCTCGTCTTCGGCGTTGCTCCGAAGGGCGGAGGGAATTGTGCTTTGTGTACTCGGAGAGCGGGTGGCTGAGAGTGTATGGATGTAGTGTTATGGTACAAAGTGGTTGTGATGACATGAAGAGGTGCGGCGCTTGGAAGGCAAACGCGCCCGCCCGAACCCCCGCCCCCACCAAAAACGCGAACTGGACAACCACTCGTACCCAAGTCAATCCCATAAACACCGCCCGCCCGCCTGTCTGCCTAGAGGTCTCTATATATCCACATACCTAGCTGTTGCTACTGCTGCTGCTCGAGAAATACGGCATTTTCCCCTCCTCATCTTCTCTGTTCTCTTCTCTTCTCCTCTCCCGTCTCAACTCCCCCCACCACCCACCATGTCGGGGTCGGTACAGATCACCTCGCCATCACAGCTAAGCACGCTGCTGTCGTCTTCCCGCATCGTCGTGGTTAACTGTAAGACCCCGCCGCCGCTCGATCCAGTCGCCTTTTGGCCTGCCTGCTGGTCCAGAAACTGATATTCAATCGCTCCATAGTCTACAACGAGTGGAGTCCGGCCTGCAAGACGATAAACCCCGTATACGACCAGCTCGCAAGCTCACTATCACGCCCCGGAAACGTCACTTTTGCCAAAGTCAATGCCGAGCAGCAGGGCCAGATCGCCCAGAGCTACAGCGCCACTAGGTAAGATCCTACCGCTACCTACCGGCTCCTGTTCAGGAACATGGCACTCACTGATGCGTCGACTACAGCCCGCCCGTCTTCATAATCTTCAGAAACGGTCAGCAGGTCTCCAAGACCACCGGCGCCAACCCCACCCAGCTTTCCAATGTCATCAAGCAGCTCGCAGCCGAGGCGGAGGGTCCAGGCGCATCGGGTGGCTTTGGAGAAGCAAGTGGAAGTGGGGGGAGCGGCGGAGGAGGCTGGCGTGGAGCTGGCCTGCCTCGCGGATACACAGATGTCACGGATCAAGTCGACGTGCGTGGACTGGATCTGTTAAATTCAGACGGCGACTTTGGAGGCGTACGGACCCTGTTCGAGACCACGCAACCAAGCACGCTGGCCGCAGGCAAAGGCAAGGCGGCTGCGACCGGATCAGACGCAAAGAAGGACTGGGTCGAGAGCGATGTGGACGAGCAGTTGATGCTCTACGTGCCTTTCACTTCCACGCTCAAGGTCCACACCATTCACATCACATCCAATCCCACCGCGGGTGACGACGAGGACGAGGACGAAGTTCCCTTGCGCCCCAAGACGATCCATCTATACATCAACAAACAACACAACTTGGGCTTCGAGGAGGCCGAGGACATCCAGGCCACTCAATCATTTGAGCTGAAGCCATCGGATTGGGACGACAAGACAGCCACAGCCAAGCTGGAGCTCCGGTTCGTCAAGTTCCAGAACGTCAGCTCGCTGGTTTTGTTCGTTGCAGACGGAGAAGGTGATGGCGAGAAGACACGCATAGATCGCATCAGGATTATTGGCGAGACCGGAGAGAAACGTGACATGGGCAAATTGGAGAAGGTGGGACAAGATGATTGATCTGGAGTCCCTGCGTATGTCTGTTCTTTTGCAGTAGACTTGAGACGACCATCCATAGATAGATGCTATTCCTTTATACCAATGACACGCATGACGGTTCTGTTTTTATTTTTTTGGTCACTAAGCCGGGTGGAATATTGATGCTTCCACATCAACATGCGATGCCCATAGGCTTGGTATGTTCGACCCTTTTCCAGTAATGGCGTCACTCAGAACAGACGCCCTCACAAAGTGTATACGATCGATTATGCAATATGTTTTCTCTGGGAGATCCATGACGCTTGCGCAGCCATTGCTGAAGGTCTGGCAAATAACAGGGGAAACTGTACATTGGATCTCTGCCGCACAAAGAGCAGAAAAGTTTCCCAAGGCCGAAGAGTTTTTATATCCTCGCGGTAGCGGCGCGCAACGTTTTTCCGTCCCGCGCGCTATTCCCTTTCGGGCCCGCCTAGCGAGACGCGAGAGAACATCATCTATCAAACTTTTCCTTCTCTCTGCCTCCCTTTCTTCATAGCCAACGATGAAGACTTTTATATACATGATAGGAAGAGAATGATTCGGCATCATGTCGAAACTGATCTCAACTTACAACTATTCTGAGGCTTGTCTGCACCTGAGCTTTTGTTGATATCCGCGGTCCTGATGCTAGGCTGCTTGCACAACCAACACCCTCTACTGACGGACCATTCAACGCAATGCCATTTCCCAACACGAAGGTAATGGCCGGAAGCCTTCAGATATAGGCTCCGCGCGGAGCAATCTGGATGGAAGCGGGCGGGACCGAGCCTTGCAGATGGAAATGCCATCTCCCGCCTTCTTCGCGTCTTCGATTCTTTCTACAGCGTCTCACCTACGTTTCAGTCTCCACGCTCAACGTCTATCATGCTTGCAATCAGAGAGCTGCAATTAGCATCATCCCACGTGTGCTGCTGTGGGCTGCTTCAACGGCTGCTATTCTGCGCAAGTGACTTTGGGCGAAGAGACTGGTGTGGGGATGACACGAAACTCGATGCTTCGACGTGGTCGTGGTTGAGACCGGAGTAATTACTGCACCACTTTCGGTACGCACAACGAGGATGTCATTCCCGTGTTTGCAACACCGAGATAGAGGCCACAGGCCCACAGCTGATCGAGAACCTCTGCAGTCTGTGAGCGGCCGTTGGACAATGTCGAATTAACAACCCATGTCGCTCCATGTACCATCAAGGCATTCTTCGTGCAGTCGATACTTCCCGCTACTCGCCTTATGCGCCAAGCTCGCTGTGTTCGTTCGCGAGGGAAGATGCCGCAAGCTCTGTCCTCCCACGTATCACCATGCTTCTATTTCAATTTCTGCAACTCACCGTCCTCACCCGTCCCAACACTGCACAGAAGAGAATGCGGGTGGCACACAAAGTTCAAGCCCTGCATTCGAATGCCCCCACGTACATTCACGCGATAATGACACACGTGCGTGTCATGTCGTATACGAAACATGGAATTTACAGACCCCACGGCTTCTATATCGACAACATTATGCGTGGTGCTCTGGGTGTCCATAATTAGGATCAGCAAATGATGGACTTCATGCCGACGATCAACTCGAAGCTTGACGTCGACAACAGCACTATAGCAGCCAGTACAAACCCACGTTACGCACCACGCATGACACCACTAAGTGGTTGGATGCCGTCTTCGAAACATTTTCGTGATTTCGTTTCAACCTGTACATCTATGCGTGCGTCTGTTGGTGGCCAAGCCCGAAATATCGCGCGGGTGGGCCAACCAGGGCACTCCCAGTCCCGAGGAGAGATTAATGCAGCACAAGCATACCCAGTTATTCGAAGCATCTGCCCTACACAATTCTCAGCTGGGGAATACGCCGTTTCTACGGTCCTTCTGTGCTGTTCTTCGTGTCCACAGGGCGTCGGGGGTCGCCCTGATCTACGACATTCATTTCTTGTGGCGGTGCGCATGCGTAGTTGATGGCTGACCCTAGGCAAGCTGGACGGCACTTTCGCCACACCCACACACACACACCCGCTCCGGATGTGGGCCGTAACTTGTCGCCCTCTGCCATTCGGCAAATCAATGCAGAGAATGGACGTAGCCATCGGCGGACGATCCCATCTTGGTCTCTCATTTTGACGATTATGTTCAACGGCAATTGGATGGGATTATTCAATTCCAGAGTTACACTATCATTTGAAACGCGTGATTGCCACTTAGCAAGGCCATCATGCTGACTTTGCGAGGCTGGCGAGCTTGTGCGTGTGGGAATGCGCGACACAGGTCGCGGCTCCAGACGGGCCTCACCGAGGTTCCACTTGCCGTCTCAGTTCAGACGAGACACAGCTCTCTCAGTGGGCCATGGCTTTGCGGCGTCGCCTGCTCTTCCACACGCTACTTTCGAGCGTGGGGTCGTCCCCGGCCGAACAATGCCCACGCATTAGAGTCAAGTTGTAGTCAACACAATATGGAGGGCTCTGATCCAATCTTGCATGATTTTTCAGTCGATGCAGCCATCGTCTTTCTCACGGAAGTTATGAATGTTCATCGAGACCGGGACCAGAGATATGGGTTATACAAGATCCAATGGGATTTCCCAAGCGGGGGGAATGGCACCCAGCAAGATGGCCCATGGCATGAACGTGCGTAGCTAACGCCTCCAAGTACCCGAAAAGCAGTGGTGCCAACACGGAAGCATGAAGACCAATTTCTTTGAATAAGAGGATGCCCAAGCCCAGGGTCTTAGCTTGGAAAACCATGATCAACGGTTTAGCAGACCCTGGCCTGTAGGATTGGGAAGCGAAAGAAGATGTCCCGTGAGCTTCCGTATGGAGTTTGGGGTAGCATGTCGATACTACCCTTTCAGAGGCTGGCGAACAGTTGGATGTTTCATGAAATTGCGCTCGACAGCTGCCAGATGCCCAAAGCTAAACCTCACAGGAGCAAAGCACCGCTGTCAAGCTGGGGGCGATGAGCTTGTCAAACTGCCATCGATCGAGCGACATCGGGCAGGCGGGTCAACCACATTGTGGGAGGACGAGAGGAAGCCAAGATCTGTCTCGTGATGGTGGAGCCCGAAGAACAATGCTCTGCGGCATTTGAAATTCTGTTGCCACCGAATTGCTGCTTGAAGGCAGAGAGTATGAGAGGTCCGCACTGCGACTATTTGACACCAGCTCGGATTGGGAAAGGGTCTGCGAACACGCCATGGACACGAGACACATATGCCTAGTAAATGGTTCTGAATCGCCTCACGATGGGAAGAATTTTTTTCTTTCTTCATGCCTTCAGAAGGTTTGACGCCTGGCGAATGCAGTATCCACATGGTGTAGAGACATGTTCAAGCGTCGCTGGTGGCTTTTGTTAGCATACAGATCTGACTGCATTGCGGCTATTGAGACAAGAGGCAGCGCGCGGGAAGAATACGAGCGAGTCGTGGGCGGACGGCACAGGAAATAATGAGGGAAGATCAGGGTGCAGGTTTTGGACGTTATCTCGAATGATAACGACGATCCAGTGGAGCATTCTACGCAAAAGCGTCAAGACGGGTCGCAAGCCATGGGACGCTGCCGTGGCTTCCCCGGGGCGCACTGCTCGGCGACTGACGAGGCCTGGACGCGGAAGGGTTCAGAGATTCCGCGAGGGCTGCTGTCTGAATCGTGCGGGCGAGCGAGCGAATGTGCCAGAGTCAGCAACAGCCCGCAAAAGGATCCGCTAATGACGTTTCCAGAAGACGACCAAGACGGCTAGAATATCATGCGGAATCAATGGCCAGTCAAGCGAGAGGGTTGTTGCACGCAGCATCACGATGGTAGCCAGCAGAGTATACGGATGAGGGTGTGGCACAGGAAGTTTGGAAGAAGCAGCGGAAAGCTTGGTGGAATGAAAGGGCTGGCCGATTGATAAGATTTTGCAGCATCACGATGGAGGAGGGCTGATGGTTCCGTGGTGTTGAAAGCAACGACGCGACTGTTCCTGCGCCGTACCTGCATTAGAATGGGCCATTCATTTGCCTCAGTTGGGTGGTACCGTACCGTCGCTGTGGGGTGGAGCAAAGGGTAAAGACGAAGTGGAAGCGATTGGGCCAGAGTCGCAGAGCCCTTGTGGTCCTTGTCTGCGCCGTTTGTCGACAGTCTGTCTGTCTGTCCAGACGAGCCCGATGGAGTGCTAAAGCGGCGGTGGACGACTACGCTCGATGGGGACGGCACCGGCAACCGATGTGCAGATGATGAGAGAATGGTGGTGTGCACACCTCAGCATAATTTTGCCGCTAAGGCAATTCTGCCCCCCCAAAATAGCAGCTGCCAATGGCTAGCATGCTTTCGTGGGCACCACCCTACAGCCTATGAGCAGGGCTGGTGAGCACAAATGTATTGGAAGGCTGACGGGTTTATACGAAGGTGTCGAGGTGACGGCATGTATGCACGCTTGCACAAATCCCGGGCGCGCGCGTTGCATGCTCAAAACAAGGAAACGCTTCAATCGCGTCGACGGCGACGACTCGCAGCTATCGCCACATCGGCAGTCTGTTCAGCAGAAGAGTAACGCGGCTTGGTCACAATGGCTGTGGTTGAGTCGCACGCCTAGCATGACTACCTACACAGTATGATGTGGGGGAAGATGACGAGCCGCTTCTCTCTCGCGCGCATCCCATCTCGTTTGCTCCACGTCGGGCTGCGCTATGAATGAAACAGCCGACTGCGTGCCATCATAGTGCTATGGAGAAGGTGCTATGGGGATGGGTACACCTTTGTTCGAATGCTACTATGGATAAGGAAGCAATAGCACACTTTCCAACGAATCGCAATCAACACGACGCAACCAGCAGCATCATGATAAAACACGAACAAGAGAAGATATGTGTGTGTGCAAGTACGGATTGGATGCAGAGCAAGGTTGGAAACATCAGCCTACTGTCGCACCATTGACTGTATAGCCGTCCTATCGCACTTTAGCGATCGTTTCCCCACAGATTGACCTTTCTCTAGGAGACTCCAGCTGGGTGGTCACACTTGGCCCCACCGATAAGAACACCTCTCTGCAGATAGTTGGGTGATGGAGTGGGGGACGTGGAAGAATACTCACCTTCAAAAGGCCACATCTAGTCAATAACCTATGGCCTAGAGTTTCGGCTCTGAGCGTCGACGAAGAAGCACTGGCGTGCGAGACTCTTTTGATTTTTTTCTCCAGCCCGATGGTCCCCACCCAAAAGGTTACACTGAACTACTGCTGGGTAGACTCGACATGACACGTCCAGCATGCAGGTACAACGACGAGACACAGCCTGTAGCCGACTCTAGACTCTGCTTTTACATCCATCACACCCACACACTATCGTTCCTCTGGCGTCGTGCGAGGTCCAATGATAAGATTTCTTCCTCTCTTTTTTACCCTTTGTCGCGCTGTCTCACCTCTGACTCTCGGCAGGATTGAGTGGGAAGGTGTGGATGCGATGCTCTACACACACGCGCGTACGCCGGGCTTCTTGCTCTTCTGCCTGCTGCCTGCTGCCTCTGTTTACCCGTTTGGGGCAGGTGGTAAGTATAGTAAATATACTAACCTTGACATTATCATCCGTCGTCCGTCGCTCATCATCATCATCATCATCTTCGCAGTAGCAGCGGGTCCCTCGTTCTTGACACCAAAATAAGCAGTTGGTCAGCTAGTCTGTTATGCCAGTCACCATGTCAGACTGATGCATTTCTCTATTCTTGCGACAAAACGAGCGAACGGGTGCGGTGCGGGCTACGATGCTGTGCACGGCCAAGGATCGGGATTGTAGATCGGACGAACTCATATCACAAACATGCAGTCAGCAAAGCCAGCAAGCCAGCAAATATTCTCATCACTCGCCATAGACCATCTATAGTTTTCTTTTCTTTCGCATGACCGCATACATGAGCATGTGTGTGAGTGTGTATGCAGCATGCCCAAGTCTGGCTAATTTTGTTTCAGGAAAATGCGGCACCCTGCTTGTTTCCATGTTTCGCGCGTTCTTCTTTCTTGGGGATGCGTTTCTGATGCTCTTATTTCCCTATTCGCTGCTTTCCTGCTGCACGCGAGGTGCTTTGCATGTGCCCCAATCTAGCCCACATGTATGTGCAGAGGATATGGTTGGAAGCCAGGCTGTCTTTTTGGCTGTGGCAGTGTGGCAAGTGGCAGTGAACAAGTGGCCTACACTGCACTGCAGCGCGCTCGCCGAACCGCAAGTCGCATATGCCAATATCCAATAGCCATACCTGGCCAGCATTTAATATTCCCTCGGCTCCTTCTCGTCGAATAATCAATCGAGCAATTAATTCGGTGTGGCACAGTCAGTCAGTCCATCGGAACACGCGAGCGATGGATGAATTGAGTGAATGAAATCAATGAATGAATGCATGCATGCATGCATCGCAAACAAGGCGAAGATTGCGCTCTCTGCGATTCTACACCCCATCCGCAGAAAAGTATCGATTCATGCGTGATGGCAGTCTCGCGCGAACTCTCAGGGAATTTGAAGAAAAGTCAAGGGCAGCAGAGATGCGATCTGGCAACTGCGTGTTTGGAAACAAATTTCTGATTCTGCCCTTCGCTGATTACACAGTATGATGATGATGATGGAGGTCAGCAAGGCCCGCGTCCCGTCAGCGGCAAAGACCAGGGACCTACAGGGTCTCTGATCCAACGGGCACTTATCACTATCGATTGGGCGGTTAGGCTGAAGGGCAAGCCCGAAGAGGTTGGTGGGATTGAATGCTTGTTCTTCTGGTTGGGCAGGCTGAATGGGATGGAGGGTGAAGACAAGAGACGAGTGGGTGTGTGTGTGGTGTGGTACCGGGGCGAAATTCTTCGTCTCTATCTCTGACATGTGTCGAATCGAAGCATACACCAGCCGCCCAAACGATGATTCCATCCAGATTGCAGCCCATCTATTTTACTCTGTCGCCTACTTTAGCTGTTTATGCAACGTCTTTGCGATTTTTGGCTTTTTGGGAAATGGAGCGATGGTTTGTTTCATCGACGACTGAGTGACTGACTGCATTTGCGGCGCACACTCCGATCGAGAGAGAGAACGAAAGAAAGTCTTTAGGGCTCCTCGGTCATCTCCCTCGAGATAGTAGTATACTGTACACGCTTACTCACACACTCTCTCTCTCACACATTCTCACACATAAACACCCCCACTCCACCTCGGGGACGTCTATCGATACGCAATACGCAGGCAGACTACTTGTGATGGGCGAGCACACTGCGATGAGCCAGCGAGCCAACCACGGCGTGAGGTAGATCGGGCATGTCCCGTTGGGAATGGTAACGGCTGTGACACCGATGTGCACGCTTGTGTCGGTCTTCATTTCGCGACCCTCCACGGGTGTGCAGCCATGAACAGGCCAGGCAGTTGGCGACCAAGATTAGTGCATCCTGCAGGCCAGCACAAAAGTTATGCCGCGCGTCTTGCCGCCCTAACAGCACGACTGACAGACAGGCTGTCTGGCTGTCTAGGGATCCCACGAGTCAATCCCCAGTCGCAGAATTGACAGTGCATGAGTCCGTCCTGGGGGGCCTGCGACATGGCCCTCGCAGGCTATCATTGGGCCAAGTGGAGTCCGGTGCTGCGCCTGCTCAGCATCCCGACTCCCCTTCCACACCATGTGGGCTTTTGTAGTTAACCAATTCCGTGCGCCCGCCCGTCTGTTCCTGGTCGTCTTTTCTTCTTCCTAACCTAATCGCTCGCTCGTCTGCTGTTGATCCATCCTACTTATCCACGGACCTGCCCGTCACTCGCTGCATTTCCCTTGTTCCAAGGTTTATCAACCTCTATCGCTTGTCTTTCTCTTCCTTCTTACCCCAGTCTGTCCTCGTTCTTGTCGACAGTCACTTCACTTCTCTTTTTTTTTGTGGGATAAATCTTACTTGACCTTTTTGGCGTCTTCTTATACACGCTGTCTATCCGTCCCTTAGTCGTGTGTACAAGTCGACCCTGTCCTTCCTTTGATCAAGATCATCATTCATCGTCCACGCACGAACCCTATGACATCTTCCTCCACTACAACCTACTTTACCTATTAGTAGACGGCTTCGCTATCGCGGGTCGTTGTCCAGTCATTCCTTGAATAACCTTTCCATCATCCCCAGCTACCGTTGCTCATCAGCTATTGCACGAGCAACCCTAATACATCCACCAAAGCATACTATTTTAGATTACCTTTGGTAAGTTGTCATCCCTCCAGAACATTCCGGAAGAGGAAGAAGAAGAAGAGGAAGAAGAAAAGAAGCAAGAGGCGGAGAAGAACAAAACACTACGAATGTATCCAAGTCGAGAAAACGGACGAGAACAGATGGAGAGATATCCAGACAAGATGACGACAACTAACATTCCACATAAAGATACACCACTATCAACAACAACAACAACAACAACGCAGCAATGGAAGGCTCATATTCCATGCACCCGGCCCAGGCCATGAACTCGCACTTCTTCTACTACAACCCGGATACCGCCAAAGAGAACGCACGCCAACACGGACACTTCACACCTCACCCATCAGGCCAGCAATTGCAAACGATGCAACCGCAAAACATGGTCTTCCAACGACCATCATCAGCCAGCTCGCAGACCTCGTACCCCCAGCAGACGGCCTACGCCAACCAGATGCTCACACCCGTTGCATCGCCGAGGCCCATGTACCAGAAGCCGGCCATCCTCGTGCAGCCCCAGGATTCGCCTTTCCTTCACCCCATTGACACCGACTTCTCCGACATGCGATTCGCGCCGGCCACCCCCCCGCTGTCGTCGTCGGGTAGCAACATCAGCAGCCCGCCGTCCATGTGCGACTTTGTGCCGACGCCCGTCAACGCTTTCTTCGCTGGCGAGGGAATGGAGGGTGTCAAGCAGGGATGCGAAGAGGAGGTGTTTTCCGAGATTCTGTCTGCTGGCGCCGAATGGCGATCGGCGTCTCCCCCAATGACTCCAGGTACGTTTGTAATCCGAGAAGAAGCAAAACAACAAAAGAGAGCATGGCAAGGATGTCACGAAACTGTTTCGTCTGAGCCAATCTCTCGGGTCGAAATATAATGGGCAGGTGTTAATATACAAACAGTTTTCATCCAGCCCCCCGCGACTGGCAGCCAGGGCTCGTACCTTCTGTCCGCGACGTCGTGCCCCTCGCTCTCACCTTCGCCGTCGCCCATGCCCAGGACTCCCTTCGCCGAAACCGAGGCCAACTTCTGCAACCCCCGCGATCTCACCAAATCCGACTCTGCAGGGCCTTGCCTGCCCACCCTCTGCCCCAGCGACGAGGAGCACAAGTTGGTGTTGAAAGGCGAGAGCGCCAAGCCTGAGGCCGCCCAATCACTCGCTTTCGCTGGCCAAATCACCTTCGAGCCCCTGTTCGAGCTCGACCACGAGGACGACTTTGCTGGACTCGTCCAGTTTCCTGCCACCGACAACGCGCAATTTTTGGGTAACAAGCGACAGAGGACCGACTTGGTCTCCTTCACCCCAGAGGAGGACCTTGTCAGCAACGCCAGCTTCACCGACTTTGAGGAGGATCTCTGCAGTCTCCCTCTCACTCCTAGCGTAGAAGACAGCTTCTCCTCCGACGTCATGTCTTTCGAGCCTGTTCCCAAGAAGAGGAGCAAGAAGTCCGTCAAGGTCGACAACATGGATACCGAGGACGTCGATTTCCAGAGCACCCAGCAAGTGTCCGGCGACAACACCACCCAGTCGGAAGCCTCTAGCCAACACGAGGCTGCACACGCATTCGCTACCTCCTCAGACGAGGGTTCGCCTGCGCCTTCGGTCGCTCCCACCAGCCGCCGCGGCCGCAAACAATCTCTCACCGAGGATCCTTCCAAGACATTCGTGTGCGAGCTTTGCAACCGTCGTTTCCGCCGCCAGGAACACCTCAAGCGCCACTATCGCTCTCTCCACACCCACGACAAGCCTTTCGAGTGCAACGACTGCGGCAAGAAGTTCTCTCGTTCAGACAACCTCTCCCAGCACCAGCGTACTCACGGTTCCGGCACCGTCCTCATGGGCGTCCTGGAGCAGAACGAGGTGCAGCAATCCCCGCTTCCGCCGGCGCCTACCGGCTTCGAGCACAGCGATCCTGCCATGCTCGGTCAGATCCTGTACACTGCCACCGCCAACATCTCGAGTTCCAGCTCATCATCAGAGGGCTTCTCTGACGTGGACTCGCCTTCCAAGAAGCGCAAGCGGAATGAGTAGTGATTGTATTCCGCTTCAATCTTCAACTCTTTACGACCCGTCATGACCTTGTTCTCTCTCTCTCCCCTCCGATGGAGTACTTTAATGCCCTACGGTGCTTCCGTCTCCCTTCACGCCGTCACGTAGCGTGCGGTGTGATCCTTATAGACTGGGGCGGAATCGGGGGAGTTTTAATCGACAACCGGGGGCGGTTTCTGGCGACAACAAAAGTACACCTTATCTGCTTTTCTTGCTTACACAACCACCCACACACCAACCGACTTTACAACTCTAAACAATTGACCGTCGATTGCTTCTTGCTGTTCAAAGCCTCTTCCCTTTGTTCACAGATCCTTTTTCTGCGATTGTTTAAATTGTTTGGTCGTCTTACTTTTTTTTTTTTTGCTGTTTTGCCCCCATCTCTTCTGCATCTTTGTACAATCAGCGATCTTTTTTTTCCGGGGAATACCGGGGCGTGTTGGGGATCGGGTTCTTGGTCTGGTTGCGGGTCCGGTCGGGTTGGTCTGGGGTTCATTCTATAAACAAAGGGTGGATATTAGACTTTCTGGTGTTTGTTTTCCTTGCTCTTTTCCATCTCCTTTTCTCTGTGTATTGTTCCGAGGGGAGAGCAAAGGGGATCTTCCCTTCGTACTCCCCTTCCCCCTCAAACACAAATCTCCCTCCACCTCTCTCTCACGACGCTCATGGCCCTTCTTGGTACCGGCCATATATTTACCCGCCGTGTGTTCCCTTACCAGCACCAGATTTGTTTTTTATTCCTCTTGTTTCCTTTGTTCAATTTTCCTTTGCTCTTTTTTTTTTTACTGCAACAGACTCGCACAAACTACACAACGTACTTGAGTTCTCTACGCTCGTTTTAATAAGGAGGTGGGGGGAAAATCGACGTTAGAGCGGGGACTTACATCTTCCCCTCTCTTCCCTTTCCCCCCCTTCCGTTCCATAAAAAAAGGTTTAGAAGTGCCCCCCCCCCCCCCCCTCCTTTCTCCTCATTCTGGGAATGACGAAGAAGGGAGGGAGGGGACGCTTTGCTTGACTACCTTTTTTTGTCCTCCGATTCGTCAAACAAATCTTTCTTCTCTCAAAACTATACAAACCATTTTTCCTCCTTTCTCGTATTTCGTGAAATTAAGAAGAATTTTTTGAATTATAACAGACATATACAACAACAACAAAAAAAAATGTTCAATCTCCCTTTTTTTTTCCACATCGCTTCTAATGATGATGTTTGATTTCCGTGCTTTGAGTGAGTTGAGTGAGTGCTACATATTGTTGAAGCTTTCCCCCCTCTGGGGTTCTTTAGATGGATCAGATGACTGTGTGTTCTGTGTGTATGGTTTACCTTTTGGTAACGATCGAGTTCAAGACATTGAGTTTGGATGCAAACTTTTTTGCTTTTTTTTTTTAATTGTTGCGTAAAGTCGCGTGGGTGCTCTGGTGTAGTAAGTACTGAAAGAGGAAAATAGTCAAGTACCTATATCTATATATATATATAAGTTTTACTCAAAGCTTAGCAAAGCATCTATTTATCCATCTAACGCAATAATAATAACGCGGGACGACACAAAAGCAATATAGAAATAATAATCTGACCTTCTCTTCATTTCGTTTGTATTCCCCATCCGTCATTTATGTACTGTATTAGATGGAAAATAAAGGGATATGTTCCATGTGTATGGCGGCGATTAAATCGTTGGTTTTTTTTTGGTGTTGGAAAAAGAAAGGTTGGCTGGTGTTGAATTGTTGGTTATGGTTGTTCGTTGAGCTAGTGTTGTAGTCTAACTGGCCTGGTTCAACTTCCACCCTGCCCCCCCTCCCCCCTCCACTTCCCCATCACTTGGTAAGAGGTCGTGATTGACTCGGAACCAACACGGCGCCGGAATCGGGTTTTCGTTTTTTTGCTACTTGAGGCTTGTATCGTGAGAGCGCGGGAGTGTTGCTGCGGGGAAAGAGAAGGACAGGAGACGAGAGGAGACGAGGGGGTTGAGATAAATTCTCCCCACGGAACCCTTTCTCTCAATCTCTACAGACAACCAAAAGGCAAAAGGGGAAACCGCAAATCAAAAAAGAGATATCCTAGATTTCGTCGGGGTTTCGGAGAAGGAAATTGAAAAGAGAAGAAGGAAAGAATGCCTCGACTCAACGTCGTGGCCCTCATTTCGGGCGGCAAAGACTCGTTCTTCTCGCTCCTGCATTGTCTCGCCAATGGCCATAACCTCGTTGCGCTCGCAAACTTGCACCCCCCGGACCATGCGCCCGAAGATATGGATAGCTACATGTATCAGACGGTGGGACATCACCTTATCCCGCTGTATGCCGAGGCGCTGGGGGTCCCGCTGTATCGCGGGGTTATCAAAGGTGGGCAGGGGAAAGGAGGCAGGGAGTATGTGTATCGAGGACACTCGGACGACGACGACGACGACGAAACGGAAGATCTGATCCCCCTTCTCCGAGAAGTAATGCGGAATCACAGCGAGGTCGACGCGATATGCACCGGCGCGATCCTATCGACGTACCAACGCACGCGCATCGAGAACATTGCGCTGCGTCTCCGTCTCACGCCTCTGGCGTTCCTCTGGCAGTACCCGTTTCTGCCTCCCTACGACCAAGCCGGGCTCCTACTCGATATGGCGGCCGTGGGCCAGGACTCGCGCATCGTCAAGGTTGCGTCGGCCGGGCTCGACGCGGATAAGTTTCTGTGGCGCAATGTTGCGGATCCCGTGACGGTCGCGAGGATGAAGAACGCTATAAGAAGGTTCTGCGTCAATGGAGATGGTGCTGTGCTTGGGGAGGGCGGCGAGTACGAGACTGTTACGCTGGATGGGCCCGCTGGGGTTTGGAAGGGACGGGTGGTGGTGGATGGGGATGGGGGGTATGTTGTTGATGGAGGGGAGGGGGTGAAGGCGAGGGTTATTATGAAGGATGGTGGGGATGTGGGAGGACGTTGGGTGGAGAGACTGCGGATCCCGTCGATATGGGACGACGAGTTTGCAGCGCTTCTGCGCGACGAGGGATCGGACGACAACGGCAGCGGCGGCGGTGACGATGCGGGAGATGAGAAGCTATCTCCCGAGTCTTCTTCTTCACTTCCTCTACCAGACCACCACACGTTCGCATTTCAAATCCCTACGAATATCTCCTCCCTCGCTGACAACGGTACAATCTTCACTTACGCAAACGCAACCGCGCCTGCGGACTCTCCGGGATCCCCTCAAGCTCAACTCTCAACCATCTTCTCCCGCCTCGACACCGCCTTGGCCGACCACGGCTTCCGCAAATCGCACATCACGCACTGCACGCTCCTCCTACGCTCCATGTCCGACTTCGCCGCCGCAAACAAAACATACGCGTCCTACTTCTCCTTCACGAATCCGCCGGCTCGAGCTACTGTAGCGATTGGAGAGCTTATGCCCGCGCCTGGAGCATCGGTTATGCTCTCCGTTATTGCGCATCGACTCCATCCCTCCTCTTCTTCCGAAGGAAAAGAGAACACGAGACAAGGCCTACACGTCCAGAGCCAAAGCTACTGGGCCCCGGCTAACATCGGACCGTATAGCCAGAGCATCTCAGTCCCGCTTTCTTCTCATTCCATCTCCTCCTCCCCCTCCTCTCCATCGTCCCGCGGCACTCATATCAGAGAAGTCCATATAGCAGGACAGATCCCCTTGGTTCCTGCGTCTATGGAACTCATCTCCTCCACCGCTTCCGCTCCCCACACCCCATCAACAACATCAACAGCAGCAACAGCAAAAGAAGACCCCCAACGCCGAGACGACCCGCAACCCTTCAAACCAAGCGTCCTCCTCTCCCTCCAACACCTAACCCGCATAGCGCGCTGCATGCACGTCTCATGGTGGACGCACGGCGTCGCGCTGATCCCTTATTCCGCCAACCGCGCTGCGCAGCGTCGGCGTGTGCGCCTCATCTACAGCACCTGGGCCGCGTTGCACAACCGTTGTTTCGTCTCCGGGAAACGCTCTGAAGGAGAAACAGCCGATGATGAAGATGTCGATCCCTGGGATGCGCGGAACGCAGGCGCAGGCGTGTTTGAAGAGCGCAGTTGCAGGGCAAATGTCCCCGATCTCGATTGCGCTGCTTACTTTTTCCCTCCTCCTCCTCCTCCTTCTTCTACCGCTTCTTCGGCTGCTGACGAGGGGAATGGAGGTGGCAAACCGGCGGCGGCGGCAACGGCAGCGGTGCGAGCACCGCCATGTTTCGTCGTCGAAGTCGCAGAGTTGCCGCGAGGAGCGCAGATTGAGTGGTGCTGCGGCGGCGTGGGGAGCTCTCGGTCTGGTTCTGCGGGTTCGTCTTCCGCTGCGTTGAGCGTGGAGGTTTTTGTGGGCGGCGAGGAGGAGGAAGAGGACATGGGTACAACGTATACTCGCGTCACTTGTTCTCCTCCTCCTTCTTCTTATGACGAAATCGATGAAGAAGAAGAAGCGGAAACGAAACATGCGGATAGCAATGGCAGCGGCGGCGATGATGCTCACGAGCGGAAAGAAGGAATCTACTTCTCGACTGTGTTTCCTCGCTCGCGCGCCCCGACTCATCGAGATGCATCATCATTCTCATCGTCATCGGAAACAGCAGCATCAGCTGCTGCTGCTGCTGCTGCTGCTGCTGCTACTAGACATATACCGCTACCGCACCGAGAAACCCCCAACAATCCCAGCGACAAAAAGAAGAGACAGAAGAAGGAGAAGAAGAAGAAGGCATACGCGACAATGTACACGTCTGTTCCTTACTCCCCTCCTTCCCGCCCTGCTCCATCTCCTACCGCAGAAGCAGGAGAGGAAGAAAATCTCGCGAGCCAAAAAGGAATTCAATATCTGCCTTGCTACCGTGTCTGGGCCAGCACTCATTCTGCTACCCGTGGAGGATTGGACATGGAAGAAGTAGATGGTGTTCTTGTTGGACGGGTTGTTTGATACTCTCTCTCTCTCTCTCTCTCTCTCTCTGGTTTTGTGTAATATAAAAAAGAAACTATGGGGGGGAATGGGGATACGAGAATCGGCACTATGCATACATGAATTGAATGTTGACGCAAAAGAAAAACAAAAAAGAAAAGATTTCATGTGCCCCAAACACAAGGTTTTTTTAATGTTGCCAATGTGCTACTAGAACCGCGTGTGCAAGTAGAGTAGAAGAAGAAGAAGAAGAAGAAGAAGGAGGGAAGAAAAAAAAAGCGGTACAAGTACAATAACAACACTAAAGTCCCAACCCCCAAAAAAACGCTCAATTCTACCCATTTCCCCATCTTTCCATCACCCCCATACCCTAGCCTTACAATTCCATACACATATATGTATACAAATCCACACATGCCCTCTCTCTCCTCCTATAAACTCACCAAAACCACCCCTTCTTCCTCCTCCCTTCCTCCATCTTAACCTCATCCCCACCCCCAACAACCCCAACCTCCCCCTCCCTACTCTTCCTCCGCCCCTCAACAACAACATCCACAAGCTCGCCCTTCAAGTCATCAATACGATCCAGCACATTCCGTTTTTCCTCTGCGTACTCGAGCTTCAGCCACGCGTAGTACGTGATTTGGTACGTGAAGAGGGCGCCGAGGAAGGCTTTTAGGATCGGGTAGGAGAAGGTGCGGTAGAATGACGCCTAGGACAGAAAATTGGGGGTTAGTTTTTTTGGGGGGAGGGAGAGGGAAGGGGACAGGGAGTGGGGGACGTACGACTCTTGAGGGTTGTTTGGGGGGGGACGGTGGTGGTGGTGGTGGGGTGGTGGTGTAGGTTCTGCGTGGGAGGAGGGAGGCGGGTGTGCGGGTTGGGAGGGGGAGGAGATGGGGGAGGTGGAGGCGGAGAGGTGGCCTTGTTGGGGTCATGGTTGGGGGATGGTTTGAGGCAGGGTGGTGCGTGGTGCGTGTTGCGGTTGCTGGGTGGAGAGACGGTTGGGGATGCGGTTGGGGTCGCGCGTGAGGGGTTGTGCTGGGTCTCTGGTGGCAGAGAAAAGCTGGCGGGGGGGGGGGGTTTTTTTTTCTTTCGAGAGATAGAGGAGATGTTGCGATTGTGTTTGAGACAGTGGGTGTGCGTTGTCGGTGGTTGCGTTGAGTCAATCTCTTCTTCTTCTTCTTTTTTTTTAATCCGTCTGCCTTGCGATGGGGCTTGATGCCGAGGAGCAATGGATGGATGGGTGGATGGATGGATGTTCAGGCCAACGAAGCCTCAGAAGGTCGTGGAAGATGAAGTCGATGAGTCAAATAAACGGCTCGACGTGTCCTCAAGGTCGGGCAATCGAACGTGTATAAAGCGAGGTTGGTCGTGTGCGAGGAAAAGAAGAGGCATCCACTGCACGCTCCCAGCAAAGACACGACCACTGAACAAAGTCGGCAAACCTCCGAGCTCCATCTCCGCACCGAATTCCACTCGACTAGCTACTGACCTAGTCCGTTCCCAAAGTCCCTGCCTGCGCCACTTGTCAGTTAATCAGTCTTCCCTTACCTTGCCTTGCCTTCCCGCCCGGTCCGTGCGGGGCGTTTCGTTTGTAAAGGAACACCTTGCATACTTTCCCTCTTCCCTCTATTCCCGAAATCAATTACATCTCTCTCTCTCTCTCTCTTTCTCTTCTCTTATACAACCACACGGTTGCACACATACATTCTCAACCCGTACTCGAACCCTCTCCCGACACTTTGTTCGCAATGGTAAGCTACCCGCTCCTTTACCAATCACTCCCCTCCCTTCCCCTCTCCACATGCACATCTCTGGACCCTTATATCCATGAAATGTCACGGTCCTCCAATATCCCCACGCCTTCAAACTCTCACATTCCAGCACCGCAACGACCCAAAGACCTCCCAACCATGAATCCAAGCTGACACCACCTCCCTTCCTCCAGGCTCAAACCCCCCAGCAACGCGCAGCCAATGCCAAATTCGCCAAACGCGAAGAGGCAAAGATGGGCCGCCCCTCCGACTTCCGCGCGCGCAAGGAGACCTTCTCAAGCCCAATCAGCAAGGGCTGGGTCAGTAAGTTCTTTCCCATAAACCTGCCCTGCTCCATCCCGCTGCGCAAGCGACCCACGCAACTCTGCATGTGAAGAAGCGGCCAGAAAGCTAATCGCACATGTCTCCTCGCCAATAGTTGTTCTCGTCTTCGCCCTCTGCGGCGGCGTCATCTTCGAAGTCCTCAAACTCTTCTTCTAAACGGGGAAAGAGATTCCGCTTCGCTCGCTCGCGCCTCTTCGTCTTCGACCCCCGACTCGCGCTTCCAGCCCACCGTGCCCCAATCAGTCTAAGATCCTGCACCTCGAACCCTTCCAGCTCATGGACCTCGATACTGGCGTTCCCCGGTTTCGAAAGAAGGGAAAGGGGAGACTATTGCGTATACGACTTTCCCCCCCAATCGCTGCGGTTGATCTGTGGATCTTGAAAGGAACAACATGGGAATGCGAATGCGAATGCGGTTGCGGCGGAGCATATGGATGGATGGTTCTCCCTCTACATTCTCCTTGTCCCCACGTGCCCCTTTCCCTTCCATTTTTTAGCCTCTTTTCCTCATCTGCCCTGCTTTTCTTCTTCTTCTTGTTTATCCCCTTTTCCTTCCCTCGCGAAATGGAATCTAGGGCATCAGGACAGATTTCCTGGCAAAAGGGTCGCAGAATTTCCCTGTTTCTTTGTTTTCCACTGGCGTTTTCTCACATCAGACATGGCGTTTCTTTCCCTTTTTTTTTCTCTCTTTTTACTTTGCTTGTCAACTTGCTTTTGTGTTATTGGATCTTTGTGGCTACTTTTTTCCCCCTTCTCTTCTCTTCCCTTCCCTTCCCTCTCTCTGCCCTTTTTCTCTTCTTAATGTTGTTGGTTTGCAGGGGATGTATGCGCGACTAGAACTTATGTAGTAGCTTTTAAAAAAAAAGGGGGTGGGGAGAGAGAAAGAAAGACAGTCAGAAGGGCGTGACTCTAGGAAATCCCCATAGAGACAAGATGAGCGAATACAGAACAAGAAAAAAAACTTTTAAAAACAAGTACAGAACTCATTCTTCCTGTGTTTTTTGGGGGGGGGGGGGGGGGAGGGGAGTGTGCAGACTACCTGATGTTGCCATTTGTCTACCTCCCTCCCTCTCTCCCTAACTTCAACTCTGTGCTCTGTGCTCTATGCTATGCGCGAAGAAAAGATATGTATGTCTATTACTCGCAGTCGCTGGCTGCTGGAAATTCAAATCACGATGGTACCTTAAAAAACCAAACAAGATAGCCTTCTCTACGCCCACATGTGCTTCTATGTGTGCTCATGTATGTGTGCTCATGTATGTGTATGTATGTGTGTATATACCACGCCGCCAAAGACGAAAACGTCAAGAAGAACCCCACAACGCTTCTATCCAAAAGTCCCGCGACATTAACAAAAAAAAAAGCAAACTTCGACTTAAGCATTTTTCCAACCTCGAGTTCAAATCCTCAGGGGGGGGGGGGGGCAAGCAAGCTAACATGCAGAAATTCCCTCCCTACTAGAATCCCCCGGATTTCCAAATCTAGAGAAAACAAACGGCAACTTGAATCCTCCTTCTCACTCTCTCTGTCTCTCTTTTTTCCCACCTACTCGACTAGTAACAGAAAAAAAAAAAAAAGATAGTGTTATATTCCAGTGCAAAAGAGTAAGCTAGGGGAATATAATGTTGTATTGAGGAATGAGCTGCGCTGAGCTGAGCTGAGCTGTGCACAGAAGAAAACTTTCTCCCTTGTTCCCCTACCCTACCCTACCCTACCGTACCCTGGCCTTCCGCATCTTTATTTATTTTTCCTTTCGTAAGTGCAGTGATTCGAGGACTGCGGCTCCTTCTCCTCGCTTTTTTTGCGTCGCCCTCGCTCGTCTAATCAATCCTGTTTGTCTGTTCTTTTCTCGTACTTGATTGAAGGAATCAAACTTAATTTCATGTGGTTTGTTGCAGGAGGGAGGAAGACATGGGGAAGGGGGGGGAGGGGGGTATTAGAGAAGTGATGATGATGAATAAGATGATGGGATGGATCAAGGGAGTGGGTATATGTGACACGCTTTGACCTAGGTCCATGGTATTTTATTCATTTCATGCGAGGGGAATGAATGGGAGAGACTGATGTTTTTTTTTTCTCTGTTTGCGTGATGCTAGTCTGCCCTGTGTGGAAGAAGAAAAGTATCAGAGGAAGAGAAGGGAGAGAAAGAAAGAAAGAGGGGGGAGGGCCAGGCCCTATATCAATCATCCAACCCAACAACTCTCCTCTTCTTTTTCTTCTTCTTAACCGGCGCAGTCTCAGGCGCTTCCTCGCCTGCATGTCCTTGATCGTCATCTCTCTGATTTTCACCGTCACCGTTGTCGTCCTTCTTGATCTTCTTCTTCTTCTTTTTCTTGACGACGGCTTCCTCGCCGTTGTTGTCCTCTGCCTCTGCAGCAGCAGAGGGACCGACATCACCAGCCATCTTGGGAGCAGCAGCAACTTTCTTCTTCTTCTTCTTCCGACTGACCACGACTTCACCGCCAACAGCTTCGATCCTCTCGCTCGCGCGCTGCATCTCTAGTCTCTTCCGCTCCACCTCCGCAAGCGCTCGCTTCATCTCCGCCTCCTCCATCTCGCGGCGCTCTTGCTCGGCGCGCGTGATATGTCGCGGGAGACGGGTGCTCTGCTCGTCATCGTCATCAACGAGAGACAGGGATCCCAGACCAGAGGAATCGACCTGGAGGAGCTGTTTGCGTGATTTGCCTGAGGGAGGGAGGAGGTGTGCGGGCGTACGGGACGAAGACGAGTCGGAGGGGTCGGAAGAAGCACCACCTAGCGTCTCGTCGGCCATGATCTCGACGCGCCGCCGTGAGGCAGCGGGTTGCTGTGGTTGGCGACGTGGGCTGCGGCTTCGCGCGGCGCTTGAGGAGTCGAGGTGTAGGTCCATGATAGGGATGGAGTCGATGTCGACGTCGGCAGTACTATTGTTTTCGCGCACGATGCGACTCAAGGGTGTTACAGCACCAGATCCGCTGGCGGATTTGTCGGCGCCGTCCGGGTCGATGTAGAAGGGGTCGTCTTTGTAGCGCTCTTTGCGCTCGGCTTTGCGGCGGGCTAGGATATCTGGGTCGAGGTATTCTTCTTCGGCGGCGTTTTGGTAGGATGTTGGTTCTTTGTGTGGCGCGTCTAGACGGTCTGATGCGGAGATGTTGGTTGTTTCTGCGGCGGTGGTGGATGAGGTTAGGGGTTCAGTGTAGGCGGCGTAGACGTCGTCGTCGTCATCGGTCGCGAAACCTTCGAGGTCGGCTTGCGAGAGAAGGTATTGAAGGTTGGGGTTGATTGGGGTGTCGAGGTCGAGGTCCGAGGGTAGAGGGACTTTGTGCTGCGCGCCCGCTGCTACGGGATTAATTTCTGCGCCGATGAAGAGCGCGGGGATGGCTTGGGTAAGGAGAAGTGGCGGGTCGGTGAAGTCGCCATGTTCAGGACCTGTTGTTGTTCCAGAAGCCGCTTCCGAGGCTAAACGCATGAGTTCGAGGTATTCGACTGCACGTTCTTGTACTTCTAGGCTTGGATGAGTAGATAGGGGTTCGAGGAAGTGGATGATACGAGCCATGAGAAGAGACATGAGCGTTTGGCGTTCGGGGGTCCACGACAGCTGGTCGTTGCTTGCGAGCGAAGCAAAGACCTTGGGTAGCGCTTGGAGATAGACTGCAAGGGTTTTTGAAGGCAGTTGGACGGTGGACGAATGTAATATCGAGTTCAACACAGGCTCTGGTTGGGTGAGATAGTTGGCATACTCGCCAACCAGCCATCCGGCGTATTCGAGCACACCGAGACCACCGTTGCCAGAGGAGGGAAACATTTGGTCCCGTCGATCGACAAACACCAGTGATTGAGCGGCTTCGACTGCCTCTGATCTTAAGCTTTTTACCCTGACTGCCACATTCTGCAGTTCTCGTCCGATGCTAGAGCCTACATCATCTGTACTCTCGGTCTCGTCCTCGTCTGTTGTGAGGGTGGCATTGATGGCAGGAGAAACACGGACCAGCTGAATCAAAACGTCAATGTACCATTCAAAGTCAGTGATGTTGCTGTATGTGTCACGCGAGCACATTTCCAAGATCCTCTTGATGACGCTCACACGGTAGTCCTCTGGCAGCGGTGGCGGCTGATTTGAGGTCTGTTCGTGTGGCCGGAGCGACTCTTCAGCGTCCGAATCTTCCTCATCGGCGTACGGGATCACGCCGGTATTGCGTCCCCTATCGTTGTTGGGATCATCGGCAGCAGAAGCTATGGGCGCATTCCGCAGTTGACGCATGAGACGGCCGACAATGGCATTTAGGTTCTCGCTGTTGACCATACCGACTACTAGATCAAGGGCACGCATTCGTATGGAGATGTCAGGATCATCGATGCACTCCAAGATGACGTCTTGCTGTTGCGAGACCAAATACGGATGGGAGCGGACGATCTTATCAAAGGCGAGCAAAGCCACATATTTCACTGTTATGGGGATGAGATTGCGACCAAAGTATCGAGAAGGAATATAGCTTACAGTTGGCGTCGCCCTCAATGACCATCATGCCCCTGAGTTTGCCGACACACAGCCGGGCTACTTCTTCTCCTTCTGTGGTACCTTCGACTGCCTCGAGAATACCCCCCTGAATGATCCCGTTGATGCACTCGTACAATAAAGACATTGCCCCTGTTTCTCGAATAATCTTAGTCAACGGCGGAAGAAGCTTCTTAATTAATCTCGGCTCGATGGGCGTTAGGGTAGCGAACTACGAGGTCAGTACAGCATACCACAGCGATTCGCAATACACTTACAAGTTTAATCAGTTTAATAGCCATCCAGTTGTTGCCTCCTTCTACGAGCAACTCGAAGAGTCGCGGCGCAAGAGGCAGAAAGTCTTGCGGCCTTCTCCACCCCAGCTCGCATACAACATTCACGATGGCGGCGGTGACACTTGGATTCTCATGCTCGTCCTGCAGCCTTTCCCTGATCTTAGGCCAGGCGGGGCGCAAGGTTTCGGGGTATACAAGGGCCAGTCGGTATAAAGTGGCCACGGTCTTCTTCCGGATCGCGGCATGGGAATGCGTCAGTCTGGGCAGCAGATCCGAGAGCACCGAGTTTGCCATGCTCGGGTTGATGACGTGGGGGATGGCAATAAGAGGTAGCGAAATGACTGTGGGTGTGGGGCTCGAAATGTCCTTCTTGAGCTGGTTTTCGGCAAGCATCAAGACTTCGGTGTCGCGTCGAAAGCTCTGTACCGCGGAGAGGTACCCGGTGCGCTTGTGCCTGTATTTCTGCGAGGACATGACTTCGAGGACGTTGAAAGAAGCCCAGGACATATCGTGGCCAAACATCTCGAGGTATGTGAGCTTCATGAGTGCGGTCGACTTGAGATCCATGTCGTTGGAGCGGATTTCCTTGCGGCATTCTTTTATAGAGTCGTTGATGTACTCCTTCTCGCTGCCCTTGTGGTTGCGCATGCCTCGAATGAGGTCATATAGGGATTTTTCGAACCTGAAAACATGTCAGCGCCGGGCGTGTCGATATACAGAAGGATTCATACATGATTGCGGTGTTCAACGGCTTCTAGAGGTGGGAGGAGGGGTAGGTGGACGGAGGTGTCGCGAGCCAGCAAACAAGCATGATCAGCGAAGATGTGCCTGCATAGAGGGTTGGCGAAGTGGTGCGGGGGTCGACGTCGAATATCGAAGGGATTCGGAGGCCATACAGGCGGGCTATAACGGGCCCAGGTGATTGTGGAGGAGGAGGTGGTGATGATGATGTTGATCCAAGTATGCTGCCCGCTAACTGGGGGGAATTAACACACAAGCAGAATAGGTAGATCCCCATGCACACAGCTTGGACCCCCTGCCACTTACTTGGGTCCATCTCATCTACTACATCTACTACTACATCCACTCTCCACCAAACCCCGCCTCCATCCAAAATCCAACGGCTTGTGTCCTTCTCTCACTTCTGATTGCCCATGACCCGTACTCGGAAGGAAATATAATCAAGAGACAGACACCCGGGGAAGCAAGAAGCAACCCCACACATCAATCCGCAATGGCAGCACCGGCCGCAAACCTCCTCTCTCCACCCTCCCAGATCACACCCAATACTGCGCTACAACTCTCCCAGAAAGCTCCCCTCATCCTCTCATCCTCGCCGACTTCCTCGCTGCCTTGGCCGCTGTCGCTACTCTTCAGTCGCGAAACGCCAGAAACATGGACCATCCACGAAAACCTCCTACTTGCAGCTCTCCGCACCGGCGACGATGCCTCGGCCCGCCAAATACTCGATCGCATGACGGAGCGCTTCGGCGAGTCCAATGAGCGCATCATCGCATTGCGCGGAATCTACGAGGAGGCGCTGGCCAAGGACGACAAGGAGCTGGCCAAAGTCCTCGACGGCTACGGCAAGGTCCTTGACACCGACCCCACCAACATGGCCGTGAGGAAGAGGGGCATTGCCGTCATGAAGAACTTGGGCAAGACCGCAGAGGCAATTGCATCCCTGCGGGTGCTTCTAGACAGCAGCCCCACCGACGCCGAAGCCTGGGCGGAAATGAGCGACATGTATGCGAGCATCGGCTCGTGGGGACAGGCCATCTACTGCTTGGAGGAGGTCTTGCTGCTCATGCCCAACGCATGGAGTGTATGTTGTCCCGAGTTTTCTTTTCCCTCTTTCTATGAATCTCTGCTGATCACACGTCCAGGCACACGCTCAAATCGCAACACTTCACTACCTATCCGCCCCTGCTTCCGTACCTGCATTGGCTATGGCACTTAGACACTTTGCGCGCTCTGCCGAGCTCAACGAGTCCTACCTGCGCGGCTACTACGGCCTGAAAATGGTCTCCCAAAAGCTCCTCCCCCTACTCTCCGATACCCCATCAACCTCGAGACGCAACGCCGACGCCGACGACGATGTACCGCCACCAAAGCTACAGACTATAAAGAAGCTCGAGGAGCTCGCTACTAGTAAATTGGCAGAGATTGTCAGGCAATATAAGTCGGGAAGCAAGAAGTGGGCGGCATTCGACGAGGCCGAGGTCATCGCTGCACGAGAACTGCTCAACCGGGACGATACAGCTGAGCGGTAGTGTGATGATGGAGCGATAGGTTATGCTTCAGAGGCATGGCAGGCAAAAGGAGTTATGGAGTATTGTGGCCGGGCTGAATTTACACGAGTCGATGTAGATACCAATTCATGCATTGCTAGCGCAAACTTCAAAGATGTATCTTTTAAGAATTGCCCCCCCATCTTGCCACTATGGGCACTGGGATTCAAAAAGCCTCGGTGAAAAGTGTCTGACCGCTTGTCGACCCTCTCACTTTCTCCGTCGGGTGCGTGGCTCCTTCCTTTGTGCTCGCATCAGACCACACGATGCCGTAGACTCCCCTCTCCATCTGTTCTTTGCTCCAATGTCTTTGCTTTCTCTACACACGCCTATTAATATCGCAGGAAATGCAAGTCATCAAGTCCTTGCTATCCGCAGTCATCGTTTCACAACGGCTGTCAACAGTCTGCCCTCTCCTCCCCGATGAACTATCCGATTCCCATCGAACCACCGTTGCCCCCTACACCCCCCGTTGTTGAAAACGAACCCCCGTACCGCTATCCGCCGGCAGACGGTCTGCTGAACGCTGCCTCACAGCTGAGAAGGGGCCGTGCCGATCACCTTTATGCTAGGCCATCGCATGCGCATATGCCCAGCATTGACAGCGCGGCCAGCAGTTTCATTCGTATGAGTCCTCTTCCGCCTAGCAGGGAGACATTACACACAGAAACAGAGTTTCGCTCTTTACATAGTAGCAATGCCACAGCTCCTGAACACAACGATGCATCGTATACAAACATGCGCTCGACCGATGGGAGACCCTCGTCCCACGACTGCCATTCCTTCCTCAACGATCCAATGTACCAACAGATGCGACGCCAGATCATGGAAGACGTTGCTTTCTTGATCCACAAAGCTCGCTTGGAAACCCAAATGCCGCCTCAGCAGTCATCCCAGCTGCTACCCAAGTTAAGCAGCGCAACCGTGGAATACCTCAGTGACCCCCATTACTACGATCCTACGCGCAGAAAGCATCGCGGCTCTCTCGATACCCGGAACAAAGCAAATAACAGGAGTCATATGAGCCATGAGAGCCAAAAGTGCAACGCGGGTCTCCTTGACAGTGTCAGGGGTTGGTGGACTGGTCAAATACCTGAACAGGGGCCATCTCATTTGGATGGAATCAGAGAAAGTGTTTCCTCGAATTCCAGGCAGGCCATCAGCCTCCACCCTTTGTCTCTCGCCGTCCCCAATGTACACCTCGCCGCCCCCGATTCCAACCTCGCTATCCCCGAATCTTCTCCAATCGCCAGCAACTACATCGACGCCACTGAGACAATGAGTCAGATAGAGGTCAAAGAGACACAGTCCGACTCGGAGTTGCAGCCAGATTCGGAAATGCAATCAGACTCGAGGACGCAAAGCTCGTTCCGTCGCTGCAGAGTCGTGCAGTCCTTGGTAGACTGGAAGCATCGGATCATAAACGTGAGGATCCCCTTCCGAACCAGTCGCCTCCTCTACTTTAGCTTGATCCTCGCCGTCGTGCTGTGCGTCCTTGTCAAATGTGTGCTGGTCTCCTGGGCATGTTTCGATCTCGCAAGAGACCAGAGTTATCGCTACGGAAGCGGCAGCGTGGTCGATCAACGCGAGGCTTCCGATAGTTGGCTGAGGGATTTGAGGGCCCAAGCAGATATCGCCGCTTCGACTCTGCCTTATATTGCTCAGCTGGGATTCATTGTTTTCCCGCCTCTCGTGGCCTGAGCTCCAAGGAATGGCTGTGTATGGTGTTTGAGGATGGCGAATGGCGAGATGATTTTGCTTTGCCTGTTTTGACAGCGGGCTTCCGTGTTGCTTATGTTTCTGTTCGTCTTTCTTTTTTTGGCCTTTTTATGAACATGTGCGGTTTCTCTTTTCTCTTCTTTCCTCCTTGGAGAGAGAGAGAGAGACAGTCAAAAGGAGGGGAGGCGTGGTTTGAAAGTGAACGAGGAGGGGTTTTGGTTAGTCCGATGTACCTACCCTATGTAACTCTAAATGTGCTTCTGCGCACTTCTATCTATTCATTCATACGATTCAGATGGTTTGATGAGCTGCCGGTAGATGGGAGTGCCCTGTATATGTGTGTGTGTGATGTATACATATATTAACTGAGATGCGTAGACTTGCAACGTATGTGCAGTGTGTCTATGGGGGGTTCCAAAATAATGGTTTCGTTATAACTTTTTCAGAAAAAAGAGGTAGGGGGGGAAGGAACTGAACAAAGAGTGATGGGAGAAGCTTGGGCATCACAGAGTCGGTGTTTACGGACTAGACGTGTTTTTATTTTTTTTTGATTTTTTTGATTTTTTTGATTTTTTTGATTTTTTTGATTTTTTTGATTTTTTTGATTTTTTTGATTTTTTTGATTTTTTTGATTTTTTTGATTTTTTTGATTTTTTTGATTTTTTTGATTTTTTTGATTTTTTTGATTTTTTTGATTTTTTTGATTTTTTTGATTTTTTTGATTTTTTTGATTTTTTTGATTTTTTTTGATTTTTTTTTGTGCAGGATACTTTCAAGTTTCGAGACAATTGTTGTTATACAATCAAGCAAACCCCGCTCACCAATGTATTGTTGTGTCCGGGAAGGCAGATTCTTGTATTGTATTATCTTTCTTTCTTCCCTTTTGCGAAGAATGCAAGGAAATGTTGGAGCGTGTATTGATTTTTTCGAATTGGTGTTTGGGTAATGCTATACATACATATATGTAGCCAGGGGTTTACAACGATGAATAGACCCTAGAAAAAAAAATAACGAGCGATGACCAAGAAATTCAAAATGGAATTTTAGAGATGTAGAATTAAGTAGACGCAAGGGATACGTGTGTGTGTGTGCGTGTATGTTAAGTACGGCTTTTCCCATACCCAATCTATACTATTTCTATCTCGTCTCCTACTATATACCTCCCTTTTTCCATCTTATCTTCTTCTTCTTCTTCTTCTTCCTTTTCGTCTCTTGTATTCGTGGTGTATACACAACATCCTCTTCTTTTCCTCGCACCCTGGCTTTCTGCCTCGTGCCCTTTTTTTATACCCGCCGAGCCAACTCTGCCCACGTTCGCTCGCTCAACTCGCGCATCTTCAAGCAACAGCCGCAACCTCGGGAATCTTCTCCGTCCAAACCACAATGGTGAATCCGTGGACTTTAATCCTACCTTGCTCGTCGCGCTCGACGCCCGCATCGGGCGCGCTCATGATGTCTTTGAAGATGGTGTGGGAGGTCTACATAAATTATCCGTTAACTTTCCCCCTTTCTTAAAAGAAAAGAAAAAGAAAAGAAAAGAAAAAGAAAAGAAAAGAAAAAGAAAAGAAAAGAAAAGAAAAGAAAGGAAGGGAAACGCCCTATAGCCCTTAAAACCTCTTCCACAAGCAAAACGTCCAAAAAAAAAACACAGAAGAAAGAACAAAAAGAGAAGCAAGAAAAAAAAGAAGGTAGTTTCATACCTCCAAAGCACCACTATCCAATCCCCTAAAATGCCCCAACGTGCACACCCTCTCCCAAAGCCGGTCCTCACTCAACCACACATCCCACTGTACACTTTTCTCGCCCAACGGTAGCGTGAAGAGCGAGTTGTCGTTGCCCACGAGCGCGGCGGTGAGAGGGGTGGTAGAGACTTGCGATGTAAAGACGTCGCGCCAGGCGTTGTTTCGGAAGCGCGGCTCGTGGTCGGCGGTTTGCGAGGGGAGGGAGAAGATGTGGGTGCGCAGGCGTGTGGACCAGGGGGTTGTTGGGGGGTGCGTTGCGGGGGTGTTGTCTATGTGTGAGGAAAGGGGTGGGTGGGTTAGTTTTTTTTGGGGGGGGGGGGGGGGGGGGAGGGTTAAGGATGAGTGGATGAGGGAAGGGAGGAATGAAGGGATGGATGGATAGATGGATGGATGGGTTGATGAGGGAATTATTTGCGGGTGTTGGGGTGCATGTGTGACTTGGAATCAAGGAAGGAAGTTTGGCTTGTTTATGTGTGTAGGTTTTCGTTGTGGTGATCTTGTTATTCGACTCTGCGGCCTCCTTCCTGGAGAAATGTATGGATGGATTTGGTGGTATATATCGTGGTATGCAACATGGAATCTTTTTTTGTTCCTCTTCTTTCCTTGCTCTCCGTTGAGTCAGAGACTTTTGCCAGTATCCTGGACAGGGTTCTTTTTCTACGAGGAGATAGATGTTGATAATGATGGTGTATATCGGTTTTGTGCATATCATGGTGACTTGGAAACACTTTCATCATCCGATGTCTCCTTTGCTCCATCTCCGCGACTACCCGTCTCGATTCTTCTTCTGAAAACGATCATCTGGGGGTTGTGGGAGGAGGTGGTTGGTTGTTTCAGTCTGGTGACCATACTGATGTGCAGACGCTAATGTAATATGATATTTGCATTACAGTCTTTATGTGGAGCAGCAGATGGATGACACGAAGGGGAGCCAAGAAGCGCTGAAATGATGTTCACGATCGAGATGGATTTCTCATGACTAAATCGTCGACGATCGGTGGTTCTCGAGAGTGATCAAGCTTTGCCTCGGACGGACAGGGGGGTATCCATTGGTACGGGCGAGGAATGACATTTCTGGGGCAGGCGGTTTGTCGATGACAGACGGCACACGAGCGATTTAGAGTTCATCACAGGCAACGGATATCGACCGGACCATGTGTCCATCCATGGAACCGGCAGTGTTGGTTTGTTTGTTTGTTTTTTTGACCCCTCACATTCCGTTCTCTTGGTCATGCATGCACTTGGCTCGCCATGTGATTGTGGAGAACTGGATCCTAAAAGGAAAGGGAAGGGAAGAGGTGAAAAAGCGTTGAGGAAATGCTGTTGATAGTGTGGGCCGCCGCGATAAACATGTGATGATGGTTGAACGGACGATTTGGGAGAGAAAAAAAGAAATGGGGCCATGACGTACAATCTTCAGCATTCCAGATAAGACCCAAAACACCCAGTGGCTTCAAGACTCGGTGTATCTCGTGTAAAGACTCTCTGTTGGCAAACCAATGGAAAGCCTAGAAAAAAAGAGTTTGGGTTAGTGTGGATTTTCCCAAAGGTATGCAGATCATCATGGCCTTGGGGAAGAAACGAGGCTCGCAAAAGGGATCGACGCGTATGTATGCATGGATGCATGGATGCATGCATGGCAAAGCTGCATAGGTGATTACGCGTTCCTGACAAGGAGAGCTTGAGACAGGCACAAGGACAGGACAGCAGACAAGCTGAAAGGGTCCGTCCCGTCGGACGACAAGTGGTTTTTGGACCCGGAAACGGTTGGCGCTCTCGGGAGTGAAACGACTCGAACCAAAGATTTTGCGATGATCAAGAGGGGGGAAAAGAGGAGTCGACGGTGCTTACGTACCTGTGCTACGAAGACGGCGTCGATGGTTTCCGAGGCGGCGGGGATGGCGGTGGAATAACCCTCGGCCACGGTGACGTCGTCGAGGTTCTTGCGGGCCAGCTGCTCACGCATCTGCGCGTGGGGTTCCACGGCGAGCGTCCTGAAGCGTTCGGGCCTGGCAGCGAGCGCCTCTGTGAACTTTCCCGTGCCGGCTGCGAGGTCGACGAGGCTGGCGGCGTCGAGGCCGATGAGCTTGGCAGCCTCGAGCAGCGCCGTCACGGCTTCATCGGGGTACGAGGGGCGATGCTGGTCGTAGAGAGCGGCTTGGGCAAAGCCCTCGACGGCCTTTTGGCTGAGCTGGGGTTCGACCATGTTTCAAAGCAAGCTTCCTTGGATACTTGGGTATGTGTTCGGGGCTGGATAGAGGAAATGGGTGGTGGGTGTGGATGCATCGATGTCCGTCGGTCCGTGTGGAATTATTATCAATTGTCTATCTATTGCCTAGGTAAACTACGCCATCCCAGCCAGCCAGCCAGTCAACGCATGCATGCAGCAATGCTCGACCAGAGCCGCTCCCTAGCGCCCATGGCATGGTATGGCATGGCATGGCAGATCTTCGTCCTTGTGTGCCATGGCAGGCCAGGCCAGGCACGAGCTCCTCCAAGGCAGATGGCCTGCCAGCGCAATCTATATTCCCATTTATATACCGTTTGTTATACAGCGGCGTGCATGGAGCTCGATCAAGATTCAAGGCAACATGGTCACGATCGGGTTTGACTCCGAAGCAAAGTGGTGCCATTATTTTTTCTGCTTTGCTCTCTTTCTAATCGTCCCATTTTACCCCCTGACTGAGACTGGACGACTGGACGAGTTGCGATGCAATCTGGATAGGAATCTGGTCGACCTTGTTTTACCAAGGCATGCCGCCGCTGCTGCTGTTTTATTTTGTTTTGTTTACTCATGCAGTTGCTGGGCGCCCGCTTGTGGCTGATGCTTTGGTTGGGTGCATGGCCCGCTGGCTGGCTGGCTGGCTGCATGACGGTAGCCACTCGCACAAGCACGCGGTGGACGGGAGCATGAGAAAAGAAAAGGAGGAAAAAAAAATGTCCATGTGCTGCCAGCGACGGATTGGTGAGGCTGGGGTTCCGCTGTCAGCCTGTCAGGACGAGAGTGAGATGGCACATAGGCCCGCCGGAGGCACTCCGTTTGAGACACAGCAAAGCACTAGAGCAGTGGTGCAGCGGGCAACCCAAGGGAGGGACAGACATGCCGCTGCTCGTGACAGTCGGTCCCACGATTGCATTGGCAGACGAGCTTCACAGGTAGGCTTGGTCGGAGGGATGATGCATCACCATCTGTCGCAGAGACCCAAAGGGGGCCAGGAGAGCGAGCGAGGGAGAGAGAAAGAGAGATGGAGAGCAAGAGGGGCGTTCCTGACTGCTTGGACAGATATGAGGCGCATCGTTTTTCGTTTTTTTCGGTTTCCCTATTTCTGGAATCACGCTGTCTCTCGACGGTGTGGGCGGGCCCTGGCGTAGAAAGCCCCATTCTTTCCAATCGCTGGCTAAACCCCATCCCACGACCTAGCTGTTAGCTGCGTAGCCGGCTCGTACGGTAGACTATGTTTTTTCTTTCTTCTTCTTGCTGTCTTGCTTGATATTGTTGTTGTTGATGGATGGATGGATGGATGCTGCTGTCCATGCCTAGTCCATTGTGTCAAGTACGGGAGGGATGCATACCTAGGTACTTGGTACATACAATACATGTGCATGCATCACCATCTCAGTATACACACACCGTCAAGTCGATCCAAGGCGAGAGAGCTTTGCTCTAACGACTCTACTGGGCGAACAAGCACCCATCCCCGTCCCTCCGACAAGCAAGCAAGCGACCCTCTTGGTACCTACAGGCCTGCCCCTGGTCAGTCCGCTCCGGCCCTTTCGCCTCCTGAACTTCCTCGTTGAGACCATCTCACCGATGCGTTATAGCAGCTATGTCATGGTTGCTCGCGTTCGTGGCCGATAGATGATGCATGCACAGTAGGTAGAAGAGAGGAACAGCCTCGGGTAGCAGTGAATCGATCGTGACGGTCGACTACCAGTCCGTCTCCGTGGAGCTTTCTTTAGGTTGTTAGTCGGTCCATATTACATACTATGTACTCCAATATATCCGTCCTCCACTTTTTATACAAAGGAAATCAATCAATCGATGCTGGCTCAAGGCTTCAAGGAATCCATCTTGAATTCTGCTTCCCCTCTGGATGATTTCTTGCTTGCTCCAAAACCTTGCCACCACCGCTAACGACTTGCTCCTCTGTACTAACTAATACCCTTTTTATGCTTGGCTCATTGGATTCCGACCAAATCGGTAGATCTATGCAGGCCTTAGGCCATGACCCCCGTCGGACCATCAACCTCCCCCTACATGGGACTGCTCCCATTCGACTGACTGACTCTACCGTCAGTAGTACCCTACCCTTCCCTTCCCGCACCGCAGCAGCAGCCCTCCATTCACTTTCTGAGCGGCCCGTGCGTCCTTTCGTCTCCCTCTCGCTCCGTCACCACCAATTCACCCATCACTCACTCATCCATCCGTCATACTCCTCTCGCCGCCCCGTACCGTACCGTCCGTTGTCGACGTCCACCCTCGCTTTCTCTGATCCACAACCCGTGTTTTGGTAAGTTTGTTCGGCTACACCGCACCTGCACCACTGCCTCCTGCTCCTCCACCGCCGCCGCCCCGTAGTCACCGGCCACGCAACCCCAGCACCCTGGTTGCCCCCCTCACAAGAGGGAAAAAAAAAAGTGCCGCCAGGGAAGGGAAAAAAACATCACCGGAAGTAATTGTTACGACACACAGGCGCTGTCACTCAGTCTGCATTCGCTATCCTCGCTACTTCGCCGCCCGCCCGCTTCTGTTTACCGCCCAATCTCGTTCCACAGCCGCCCGCAGAGAGACAACAACCCTTCTGGTAAGGGATTCCTCCCTCGCAAAACTGGAACCGATGGTTGCCTTGCAAGCCTGGCGAATCTCCCACCGACGATCGACACTTTTGACGTGCTAAAGCCGCAGTCCGAGCACTTGAGACGCCCTTGCACACAACCGCTGCGACGCCGCTCAGCTTGCTCCCTTCTCGACTGCCCACATGTCCGCTCATCTGGAAACACCCTCGTTGTTGCCGGTAGATAGACACTGACAATCTTCCTTCACAGAACCCGTTTTTCAAGGCCAATCGACACTCGTTCTCCCCTCCTTCACAGTCGCTAAGGCATCCCACTCGCCTTCGGACGGAACGCGCACCCCTCGACCGCCGCCGCCGCCGCCCCCAATACCATCACCTCTCCTCCCACACACCGCATGCGCTTTGTCGAGTCTTTTTGCCAGGACTTGCAGTTCTCCCCGCGCCGCGAATACACTTTCGGACGGTGTTGACACCGATTCACGCCCCCCTGTCGCTACCACCGAGGCACTAATACAACATGGTCAAGTCTGGCCTTGGACTGTTTGCGGGTCGCCGCAAATCGCAGAGCAACGTGCTGGAAGATGTCGTCGAGCCTGCGCCCCCAGTCTCCAAACCCTCCCCACCGGCCGATTCGGGCTCGGGAGGAGGGTTCCGAGTCATGACAGCGACCGAAGCAGATGCGCGGAAAAAAGAAGAGAAACGCAGAGCCTCTGAAAAGGCGGCATCCAAATTCCGGCCCTTCAGCGGCTTTGGAAATAATGGGAACAAGGGCCGAAACTCGTCGTTTGACGACATCTCCCCTGGGTCATCTAAGCGGTACGTCCATGTGGATACGCAAAAAATTGGGAGGCATGGACTAACAGGCGCACTAGTGACAGCAAATCGAGTAGCGGAACAGGGGGCTCGCGTCCCTACAATAACGGTCAGTTCGGCTCCACGTCCACTCTGCCCTCTTCCGCCGACACTCATTCCGACGACAACATCTTCGCCGTGCCTCGCCCGCACGTCTCACATCAGCAGAGCGCCCCAGGAGCTCTGTACATGAAGAAACAGCTGCCTGCCGTCCCCAAGGCCGACTCGAGATATTACAACAGCAGCGACCAGCAAGACTCTGCATACGGTGGTCGTGTACGGGCCATGACTTCGTCGAGTTACGCCAGTACCGCGAAGCCACCGACGTTGGACGCCGATCTCAACTTTGGCTCCTCCGGCTTCGATGATATGTTTAGCGGCATCGAACGGAAGGAATCCCCTGAGATGACTAATGATCCGACCGGGGGCCGTTCCCTCCTGCAAGGGAAGCGTCACTTCCAAGCTGAACCTCTCAACATTGACCGCAGGCTGGACGTAGAGCCGCCGCTTACTTCCTGGGATAGTCGTGGCTCCGCTGATAACTTGATGTCCACCGAATCTCTCGACAGAGACGACTCTCCTCCCCCTCCGCCTCCACACAAGTTCTCCCATTCACATCAACAACAATATGCCCCCGTCGCCTCCCACAGTCCCGATCTGAACGGATCCAACGGCTTCGCACACTCCAATCCCCAACCCATCCGCCATCCCGTCATGGCCTCAAAACCACTGCCCCAATCCTCCTCCCCCGAGCCAATTCCTCAAACCGTCTCCTCATCCTCCGCCTCCTCGCTCCAAACTCCCTTGTCATCCCATTCGGGCGACAGCCACACCACCCCCAAAGCTGCTGTGCACCCCTCGTACAGAGAGCATCACGCCGACGACGATAACGATGACGATGAAGACTTATTTACACCTTCCAAACCCAAAGAACAAAAACCCTCGGCGCCCGCTGTCAAGGACACTCGACCGCCGCTTCCCGCAGTTGACGAGTCGGGCCGCCGAATCATGACACAAGCCGAGTTTCGTGCCCAGCAACAACGTGCCACACAACAGCCCCCACAGGATGATTCGGAGGAGGAAGATTACGAGGACGAGGAGGATGCCGAAGAAAGGGCGGCTCAGGAGGCAATAGCCAGGCGCAAGAAGCAGCAGATGGATTTGGCAAGAGACTCTATGCGTCGTTCAACCACTGCACCTACGGGAGCATCGAACCGACCCGACAGCGTAGCAGAATCAATCAACATGGGGTTCCCCTCAGAAGTGTCGCTAAAGGCAGATGAGTGGGAAGATGAGGATATACCGTTAGGCATTCTCGCCCAACATGGCTTCCCAAGCACCGCACGCAACAGGGCACCGGCCCAGCCTCCCAATGCCATTCCCTCTTACTACCGAGATTCTTCGGCCTCATTGGGGCTTCCCGAACGGCCCGCGTCTGCAGGGCCAATGGGCAACCGCGCTTCCGCATTCAGACCTGCATTCGCTCGAAATCTCCCAGAAGACCCCCACGCCACGTTCGTCGGATCTGGTCTGATCCACCAGTCCAACAGAGAATCAATGGGTTTCAACCGAGGTCCTGGCTCTGTGGTGGGAGATCCCATGATGGGCTATCAAGAGCCCCAGCTGTCGGCGCCTTCGCTAGTCGAGCAGATCCACATGCGGGATATGTCGAAACCCAAGTACATGGGCGGCGGATCCAGCAAGCAGAAGCCTCAGGGCGGTCCGTTTACTGGCGCCATGGGCGCCCAGATGAACAGTTCGATGCAAAACGCAGGCTCGACGCGCATGTCCGTGATGAACCCAGGCATGAATGGAATGAACGGCATGGGCATGGGAATGGGTATGGGTATGGGACAGAACGGCATGAACCAGATGAACTCGATGATGGGAATGGGCATGGGCATGATGGGAGCGCCCAATGGCATGCCTATGATGGGTATGAATGGAATGGCGTACCCGACAACACAGCAGGAGTATATGCAGCAGATGCAGCATATGCAACAAATGCAGCAAATGTTAGCCGCACAGCAGATGCAGATGCAGCAGATGGCCATGGGACAGCAACAACAACCATCCTTTGATCCACGCATGTCAATGGCTATGCCCAATGGCTTCCCCGGCGGCAACAACTTTCTCAACCCCAACGGTCCGCTAGGCCAACGTCCCATGTCGATCATGTCCAACAACATGGGACAGCAAACTCAACCGTTTGCTCCTCAGCCGCAGCAGCAACAACCTCCTCCACGCCCTTACTCTTCGGGCGCAAACTTGATGGGCAACATGAGTCCCTTCCCTCCACCCTCCCTAGGCCCCATGCCTGGCTACACTCCCTCGATTGCTCCTTCCGAACGCTCCAACATTGGCCTCTCGGCGCGCTACCGCCCTGTTGCGACCAACAACGACGCCAAATCCACCGTCAGCTCCTCGATGACGCTCCAGGCATCGGGCGGTGCCGCGCAGAACTCGAACCTCGGTCCCCCTGGCGTCGTCAAGGGCATACTGAAGAAGGGACAAGCGCAAAAGCAGCAGACGCTGCAAGAAGAGGAGGACGAGGACGGCTGGGGCAAGATGGCGGCACGCAAGTCCAAATTCGGGTTCGGAGGAGCCAAGAGCGGGTCCTCGAAGCAACCGCAGCAAACCAAAAGTAATAACGATGACGATTTGAGGGATATTGTTAAGGGGCTTGAGGGGCTGTAAGATAGACTTTTTTCTTTTCGCCTGTTATGGTTCTATAAGGCCAGTGAGCGAGGGAGGAAGAATGGGCTGTGTTTGTACTGTTCGCTCATATCTTTTAATTCGTCCTGCGTCATTCTCCATCTTTTCTTTTTCTTTTTCCTTTTCCATCTGTAGTAATTTGCGGACATGGCGAGCGGAGGAAAGGGAAATTCTAGGGTCATCTTCTTTTTCTCTCTCTCTTCAAATGTTAGTATGTTCAACATATGTCTGTTTTCTGCTCTGAAACTAGCGATGGGGTTTTTTTTTGTTATCCATTTATCAACCTCTTATTTTCTTTTACATAGCATTATATGTGCGTCTATGTATGTATGTATCTAAATTTTTCCTAAAGCAAAAAAAAACGGGATTCTCTAAAAGAAAGAAATTAAAGAAGAAAAGTATATTTTTGTTGTTGTTGTTATTATTATCATTATTATTATTATCATCGTTATGCATCGTTCGTTTGTTAGAAATAATTGCTTAGTCCCTCTCTTCTCTCCTATTCTTCTTTTGATTTCTTCTACTTGTTAACAACATCTTTAAATGTCTAATTCTCTCCCCCCCCCCCCCCCCCCCCCCCTCTCTCTCTCTGTATTAGATGATACCCCCCCGTCCCCCTATGTTTGTTTTCCTGTGTATATAGAACAGACAACATTAATCAACATACACACAAACACACACGCCTTACACGTTGACAAGCTATATCAAACACTTCCCACACACTTTCCCTCTAACCCTCTTCTATAATCTATTTTTTAGTAATTGCTTATTATATATTTTTAGTATTTTCCTTCGTTATAACACATCGCTGTGAGTGTTGTGTAGGATCAACACCTAAACTCCAATCTCCAAACAAACAAACTTAACCTCTCTAAATTATACATGCCTAAATAATAAAGGTTAATATAGATAAATAAATAAATAAGAAAATAAAAGGACAGAGAGAGAGGGGATGATACGGCAAGTAGGAAGATGAGGGATAAGTATGTAGATAGGGATGAAGGGAGAAGGAGTTTTAAATAGGGCTTTAAGGGGTTTTGAGGCAAGAAGGAAGGAAGGAAGAAGAAGAAGAAGAGAGGAGGTAGGAGATAGAGTGTAGTTGTTGAATAGCACTTGCTTGGCTGTTATGTGTAGTGGGAAAGAAGAATAGGCAAGGGAGGGGGGAGGAGGGGGAAAGTAGAGTAAAAAAAAGGGCATATTTAGGTAGGGGTATCTGGCTGTTGATCTTGGGTCTACGAACAGAACATGTGCATACACTGTAGTGTATTGTAGGATCAGCTAAACTCCAACTTGGAATTAATAAAATACTGTACTGCACTGTGCTGTACTAATTGAGTGTGGAAGCATGCGCATCACTGCAATGCCTATTCTCGGTTTATGGTTTTGACATGTTTCATTGTTCGTTGATTCGAGTTCGTAAGAAGGGGGAAAACCCTCCTGGTTATTCAAGGGAGAAAGAAAAAAGGCCCGTCCCGACTCGTTTACATGCCCAATCCGACCTTCTCGTCTCCATCTAATAGATTGAAAAGAAAAAGGAAGAAAGGAGAATGATAGGAGGCATGGGGGAAACGTGGCAAGCAGTTCGAAAGCGAACTGAAAAGGGGACGAGAAGAAAAGAAGAAAAGATGAGGGGAGAGACTGCGCAAGAACGCCAGAATCCCATGCGGTGTATAGACCGATGCCTTGCACGCTCCTGAGCTCGCCATCAAACCGCAATGCAATGCAGAGCACAAACACGCTCGTGTCCCATATCCATGATCCATGCATCCATGCTATGCTATGCTTTGCCCATTCATTGCCCGTCCTCGAAAAACAAAATCCGTAAAGGGAAGAAAAGGGTGCACAGAGATAATCCCATCTGCTTGAAAAGAAGCAAGATGATCGGAGGGTGAACTCAAACACCTTCAGCGCTGATAGACCCGAGCGCAATATCCATCGAACTCGCAAGAAGAGAAAGGTCGTTACGCTGACTAGGGGGTCCTGACCCGAGCAATTCTTTGGAGGGCAGTCAAGAGACCTATTCAAAACTGTTAGTCAAGCCATCAATGTGAGGAGATCGGAAACTTACCAGTGGAGCCGTTGGTGACGGTGGCCAAGGCAGACGAGTTGCGGTCACCCACAGTCACAGTGATGACTTCGCGAGCCCACCAATTGTCCTTGATATTCTTGGCCCACTTCAAGACGGTCTCATCGTCACGGTCATTGCCCGCGACAAAGACGAATTCCGGTCGGTCGACCTCGTGGTATTTGCTCCAGATGAACTCTGCAGCTGTGGCCTTGTCAAAGTCGGAAGGCTCGATGATTACCGAGTTCTTGGTAGGGATCGCCTTGACATTTTGAGATTCTGTGCCGTCGTTGATGTGATTGGCACACTCGCCAGCCTGTTGCGATGCGTTATCCTTTGATTTTGGGAGATGGTAAATCATAGAACAACCGTGCTCTTCGATGTAGCTGCCCTCGATGCGTTCAATGTAGTACTGAAGGATCTGCTTGATTGCACTCATCCATCTCGCAGTCTTCTGCTCGTCCGGGAATCGCTTCCATTCGGTGGCTTTAGGCTCCCGGATGAAACATCCATTCTCGGCAATCAGGCCAACACCTGGAACACGATCGAAAAGAAGCTCGAGCTCCTCGACAGTACGGCCGCTCATGATGTAGATGACGTTTTTGTCGTCCAACAAGAGTTCGTTCAGGACGTTGAGAATCCGGTCATTTCCTGTCAAGACTGTTCGTTGAACTGCGCCGTATGAAGCCAGCGTGCCCTCGTAGTCGAGGAGGAAGAGACGGCTCCAAGTTGACTCATATCGGGCAATAGTATCTGAAGTCGACAGACGTGGAATCGTCATGGCGTCACGTGAAAACTGCTCATCAAACACCCGGGTAAGGTGGTCGACCAAGTTCGTCATCCAATAGTCGCCAGTCTGGTAAAGAATGTATTCATTCATCGAGTCCCACCGACGTTTCTTCTCTTCTCCGGTCATCTCCAGCGCTTGTTTGAAACCGTCTGCGATGCCTTGGTAATTCCAAGGGTTGACAGAGATCTCGGCATTTTTGAATATAGCTGCGCTTCCGGTGAACTCACTGAGAATCACAGGCCCATGTTTCTTGGGCCCCATGGCTCCGTCTTGACAGGCAACGAATTCGTGGCAGGTTAGGTTCATCCCCTCTCGAAGACTGGTGATGGCCAAAGCGTCGGCCACTGTCAGGAGCGCAAGGTACTGGGAAAACGGAATGTCTTGGCGAAGAAAGACAAGAGGATTGTGGGTTATGGTCGAGTACGCCGCATCAATGCGTTCAACGATATCCGAAACCGTAGTAGCCAGCTCAAGATCATCGTGCGCCGAGGTAGCTACTTGAATGAGAACGACCTTTTCTATCCATTCTGGGTTCTTCTTCAAGAAGAGTTCAAACGCAAGGAGCTTTTGACGGACACCGCGGATGCTGTCAAGCTTGTCGCGGGCGACGATTAGATGCTTGCCCTTGTAACGCTTCGTCAGGATGTCGATCCACTCTTTGACTTCGGCGTCTTGTCGAGCGTTGTGGAGCAAACGAGGCGCAATGCCGATGGGCGAATCGGATACGTTGACGAATCGATTCTCGAGTTGAACGCCGTCCTCGACTGCCTCGACTCCAAGGATGCGGCTGCAAGTCTGTAGGAAGTGGTGGGCGTACTCGCGAGTCTGGAACGCAACAAGGTTGGCACCAAGCATACCGGTAAGTAGCTCTTTGCGAGCAGCCAAGCAGCGGAAGACTTCGGAGGATGGGAATGCGGTGTGAAGGAAGAAGCCAATCTTTGCATCGGGGAGCGCCTTACGAATCATGTCTGGGACCAGGCATAGGTGGTAGTCGTGGATCCATATGACATCGCCTCGCTTGTAAGCCTTGATGACCTTGTCTGCGAATGCACGGTTGACACTCTCATAATACACCCAGGAATGGTCCAGGAAGGCCTTGCTCTTGGGATGATCGGGAATGACGTAGTGAAAGACGGGCCATAGGATAGTCTTGCAGTAGTGACCATAGTGACCATCCGAGTCTTTGTCACTGATGAAGACAGCCAACGCCTTGTGATCCTCGAGGAGCTTGTCGTGGATTTCGACTTTCTTGTGTTCGACAAGGGCGTCTGTGGAGAATCCGACGGTGCCGACGGTCATGACATCCTTCATTGTGCCGTGCTCAACTGAGGCGTTGATGGCGTTGGACAAGCCACCGTTGCCTTGAACAGCTGGGACGACAGTCCAAGGCTGCTCCCATCTAGGGTCACGCAAGCCACCGGCCTTTCCTCGATACTTGGACTTGGGGGGAGCAGCATGGCTTGCCCGCTCTCGCTCAACCTTGGCCTTTTCTTGGGCTTTGGCAGATTCGAAGATGTTGTTGGGGGGAACAGGGTCGGCCCTTGAGCGTGGCTGGTTGAAAAGAGCACTGCTGCCTCCAAACTCAGCGACATGAGCATCGCTGCGTACGAGGCTTCGGGGATCCGTAGGACGAATGAAATGTGAGGCCGGGTTGGTTGGAGCTGGGGTTATTGGAAAGTAGCTGTCCGTGGCAGCCTGCTCTGGGACCGCGGGCAGGTTGATGTGAGTTGGTCGCTGATCCCTCAGGAGACTGTCCGCGGTTGCTTTTGTCGTGGGAGCATTGGCTGACGAGACATTTTTGCCCGCCTCTGCGAGGAGAGGGGGAATGGCGGATGCCACAGACGTTGGCGCAGAGGGCGCTGGCTGAGCATCTGCAGCAGCAGATGGGGCGGGAGTCTGTTCCGCGTCGGGATCCTGGAAATCTATGGTGTAAGGCAGGAATCTGTGCGATTGTCAGCCAGTGAGCTTTACCGCGCGATCGAGGGTGCACAAGACTTACAGCGACACGACGAAGGTCGTCATGGTGGGCTAGGAGGGCGCCGGGCTGGCCGCAGGGTGTAGAGGGAGCGCAGTTGTTTGCTCAGCACGAGTCGGGAGGCAGGGGAGTGTAAGGATGGGGATGCGGAGTAAGTGGAGGAGGAAGGATGGTAGGTAAGGGACAATGGGGGTGGAGGTGGAGAGAAAGTCGGGGAAGAGTGGTATAAGGTCGGTCGAGTTAGAGAGGGTGGTGTATATGTATAGGAAGGAGGATAGTGTGACAGCAGGCAGGGACGACCAAATATCTTTTTCGGGCGCCGGATCCACCAAAGCAGCAGCTACAAAACGTTGTGTGCTATCCCGCCAGCTATACGGGATCTGGCACTGGGTTAAGACGGGTTTGTTATTTTGACGGCACTGGTAGGGGGATCGTCAGGGAAGGGTGATGCTTGATTGCTCGACTATATGATTTTTTTTTCTCTGCTCTGATAGCTACACCCTGGCCCCCCCGCGATGACGTCGGGCCTCAAACACACAGACGGGCAGTCGGTGAGAGAGTGAGCAAGCTCGGGCTCAGGCAATTTCGTTTCGCGGTGAGACGAAGGCCGTCCCAGCTCGACAGTGAGCAGGCAATCAGTCAACGTTCCATCATGTTGACGCAGGCCCTGAAAAACAACGAGTGCAAACGCAAAAGAAAAAAAAACCTGCCTGGCAATCCATCTGCATATGCATGCAAACATCCCAACGCTTACCTACCTTGCTGGCTGGCTGACAGCCCGGTGCCGGGGCCGCGTCTCCCGTTTAACAAGGCCACGACAGGCCCGCAGTGAGAGACGAGCAGCGGCACGCCAATCACACCCTTCATTCACCCTTTGGCGACCTGGCGGAGTCAGCTTGGCGCTGCCCCATGGGAGACTGTCCTGAAGCCCCCACGTGGTGCTCCGGAGTAGCAGCAGCAGCAGGCAGGCAGGTTTCTGTCGGTTCACCTCCGATACGGTCGCTGCGTGATGGCATTCTGTCGAAATCCATGGTAATTGTGCACAATTCCATCTTCTACACCCGGGTTAGTGCCCCGGCGCTGGCCCCTTGCCTCCTCTGATTTGGCCATCAGGTGCTGCGCGACTTTTGAGCTCGTCCGAGAATACCATGCTCTTCCTGCGGGTCTCTCCTAGTTGGCTGGCTTCGTGCGGTTCGAGACATGTACATCGCGATGTCCCAAGGCCAGCGCATGCCGGCGTGGTGGTGGAGCTGTGCGGATTCGCGGCATGCCCTGAGTCGCCCATCATCGATCACGATGCCTTTTTTTTTCTCTTTTGTTCTTATCAATGCCTAGAAACCACTACGGTGGCGGGAACAGAGTTGGTATTACGCATTTAGCACGTTTCAGTCGCTGTAAGTGTGCCAAACCGACTGGTTCTTGACATCCAACTACCGCTGTGTTCCTCGTATGAGGATACCGTATGGAAGCCAGCAACCTCTTCCGCAAAAGCACAAACACGGCCAGTGACACTCCAACCTTCTGATAAACCCCATGTTGCGCAAACACCTTCTCCAAAGGCTATTGTACACTAAAGCGTTGAAATATAGGACCTGCTGCAGGCCGGCTTTTGTCGCCGAGTCGATCCATGCCACTGCCCACTAACTCCCCCCTCCCCCCCGCAATACGAGCCAGTCTGCACACCATTGACGACCGCAGGATCGCGACTTTGGCCCTGCCCAACGTCTTTTGCTCGATGCTTCGATCTCGACGCACTTTTCTCTCCACCAGCTCCACAAGCATCCAGCAGAAACAAGCTCTGAATTTTCACCTGATTCCTGCAAAGCCATCTCATTCGTGCCCCCTTGGCCCGGCATCGCCCGCACATCCTTGTACCGACGCCTCCCGTGAAATCGTCTACACCACCGCCCGTCTAGACTCGCCATCAACTAAACCCATGCCGCAATCCAACATTACCCATTACCCTCATCCCTCCGAACATGCCAATTCAGGCAAATCATCCAAAAAGCCATCTATGGCTGTGGCAATTGAACCCCACCAATCGAGTTTTGCATCTACGCGGAATGCTCTTCCCTCTCACCCCATTAGCACATGCGTACCGCACGTGCAGTTACGTATCTAGCCAGAGGAGGGCGGGATATGGCCGTCTTCCAATCACGATGGCGTTTGATGGCGTGTGAGCTAGCTCATTCGCCGATGAAGTAAACCTGAGCGGGTGAATTGATTGCGGCTGAGGATTCGTCGCTTGATTGATGGATTGATTGACTGATGGACGGACGGGTGGGAAATACTCGGAGAACTGATGGCGTTTGCTCTGCACAAAGTGAACGCAGCTGGCCAAGTACCTGCATGGGAAATGCTGTACTTCCATCATTACCCATACCCAGAAAACAGCCCAAAAGAAAAAAGGCAAACTCAATATGCCAGCCGAGACACAAGCAGAGAAGATGCCGGCTCCAAGGTGAGCGAACGTCTGTCTTCAATGAGAGTGAAAGCGAGGGAGTCAGAAACATACACAAGAACAGAACAAACCCCTCATATCTTCCACCCCTCAAATCCTTCGACTAGGGGCTCCCCTCGCTCGTTCGCACGTTACCTGCCGCACTTCGGAACTTTTCCAGACAGACGCATGCTCTCGACTAACCTCCTTTTCCTACCGGTAAACCCTTGCCTCGCCTTAGCTCCGTGTTCGTCCGCCTAAATCTACTCTCCCCCTCCCCCACATCCAAACAAACCCCAGAACGAGGCTGTTTGGATGCAAACACGAGCACAAAAGACGAGTTACTTGTTCGACTCGGGACGACGATTTCCTTGCGCAACACACATACACGCACAATCACACACGCGCGTGCGCTCGCTGCAGCTGTTACAGGCCTTCCTCCGATCCGGACCAAGACAAGACAAGGAAAAAAAAAGAAAGCTTAAACCAGAAATTGTCCGGGGGAGAACGCAACACAGCAAGAAAAAGAGAGAGAGAGGCGTTGGACGATAGCTATATTCTTACCCGTTTGTGCATAACGCCATTTTCACTCATTTTTTCGAATCACTATTTCTATCGTACCATTTTTTCCACGAAAACAAGAAGAGAAGGAGACCTCAACCCCGCTGAAACAAGAAAAAAACGAGGAGCAAGGGACATATACATCCTCGAGTTGTCGGTAATAAAGTCAAAGTTACACGCCGCCAAAAAAAAAAAAAGACACAGGATCCAACACAACATATACACACGCACCGATTCCCATGTCGCTCCCATAATACAAAACGACACACACACAAAACGCCACAACAGTACCCGTACCGTTACCCGTAACACACACAAAAACAACACCATCCTCCCACAACATACATAAACCCCACCCTCCCTAATCGAAAAAAAATGGCAGTCCCCCTACCCCCAATCCCCCTCCCCTACACCCTCCTCCTAACCTACCTAGAGCCCCTAATGGCCCTCAACGGCGCAGCCCTCTGCTACCTGCATCCAGCAAGCTACCTATCGACCTTCTCGGCGACGCTCCCCTACACGCCCTCGTCGCAGCTCATCTACGAGCAGCTCGGCGCAACCTACATATTCCTCGCGTTCGTCGAAGCCGTGGTGCTGCGGTGCACGGGCGACGTCGGCGTCTGGAGGGCCGTCGTGTGCGGCCTGTTGGTCAGCGATGTCCTGCATGCGGTTGCTGGGTGGAGGGTTATGAGGGGGGAGGAGAATCTGAGGGTCGTGAGGTGGAGGCCCGTCGATTGGGTTGCTGTGGTGAGTTTGGCGGTGCCGGCGGGCGTGAGGGTTGCGTTTTTGTGTGGGGTTGGCATGGCGAGGGTCGAGGGGTGATGTGATGGGTGACATGTTTGCTTTGGGCGGCATCTGAGTTGTTGTTGGATTTTTCGATTGGTCGCTGATACCCCCTCGTACTGTTGAAATTGTTCCGTTGGATTAAAGGAGGAGAGAGTTGGTGTAGAGGGAGATGTCATTCGAATATAGAGATATTTATCGTGGGCCAGTGAGGTTGGATATACATGTAGAGGACTGTACCACCAACGTTTGCCCCAAGAGCAATATTCTCGAAGAATCGGTTAATTGGACCGTAGTAACTAGAAATTCCACCATGTTGACTAGACTAGAGATAGAAAAGAGAAAAACAGATGATACTCAACACAAGCTTCCGTCGCTCTTACCGTCAACAGCACCCATAATCAGACTCCACCACTCCCTTGTAGATTCGTCCAACGACACCACTCCATCCCGGGAGTCACTTTCATCTCCATCCTCCAGCAGCATCCCGCGAATTGCAACCGCCATACTCGTCACCTGACTACCTTTCCCATCACTCTCGATTGCCAGATATATCGTGCCGTCGTCTTTTAGCCCCACCACGTACTCGCTATCCATACTGGCAAAGGTACCAGCTTCCCAAGGTCCACCGAAGAGAAACCTTGGAAGTTTCGATGTCAGTTAATGCCCATAGTATCGGGTAGGGTAGGGTTAGGGTTAGGGTAGTTGGGGAGTGGGCTGCAAAATGGGAGAGCGGGAACTGCAAGGCGTTGGCTCAGTTTCACTCACCTCCTTGCAGCCGCCGTGTTTGCGAGATGCAGATTCTTATATGTCTCCAAGTATCTTGGTTCCAGGGTCGATCCATCGGTGTCCACGGTCTCGTAGAGTTCGAATACGACAAACGGGTTAGGGTGCAGCGTTGTTTCGGCCGTGACGTTGCGATCCAGCGATTTGCGGAGCACCCTGCGGATTCGTTCCGGCCAGGTGGATATCAGTTCGGGTATCATCAAGCTCAGGCCTGTGTATTCATGGTCTTGGTATAGTATTTGGGGCGACATCGTGGCAGGGGAGGATGGGGGAGGAGGATTGCGGTCGCAGTGACCCTGACTGAAGTGGGCAGATACGGGTGGTTGTATTTTCAATTGCGTGGTTATTTGGGTGCGCAGTTGGGTTTGATGAGTTAGTGCGTGGTGCAGTATGACCGTTTGTACGTGGTTTGCTCGCTGGGGGTCGTTTGAGTGAAGTGAGACGCTATCATCATCATCGTCATCGTCGTTGTATATGCGTGAGTATACGTGTTAGCCGCCGAGCCGTCACAGCCGTTTCTCTACAACTTTTCCTTCGGCCATGGATGTATGTATGTATGATCGGGGCGTGATGCTTCCAGCGTCAGCGGTCATCGAGTGGCCGACGGCCAGCTGTCGCAATCGTCAGTGCCGGTGAAGACGACACTGTCACAGAGTGGTGCACCTTGGCATTGTATTCCAAAACATGGACTTGCTGTATCTTCATAGAGAATGGGTCATCCTGGAATGGGCGGCATGTCGTGGCGAGTACGTTGGGTACTAAATTGCTTTCGAGACAGCCATTACAACGGTACGGCGATATTCTTTCGGCAAGCCTGGTGATAAACGGTGAGGCAATTCGAAATCGAATGTCATTATGCGGCAGTGTGGGTGTACGGTCTTGACCCGGCCGTATGACCTACCTGGCAACCCATCTTGCCAGTTTCTTCGTCTTACGGTCTACCTGACAATCCCTCTGGCTAGTTCTTCCATCTTGTGATTTACCGAACGAAGTGTGCTAACGTTGGTGGTGTTTCCAAATATCTCGCAACCTCTTGTGTATACCATAACCCACGGCTTCGGACAGGTTCGGAGGGATCTTCTTATAGGGGAGTCTTCCAGGCGGCGCAGCTTCAACGGCCCATTGCTCGTAAGCAGCACGTGCTGGAAGGCGGAGGGGGGAGCGGTGAAAGGGAGCATAAGTCGGCTACACTCGTGTAGATCATGCCACGGAAGCAGGGCGTGTGTATTGTGCGATCAGAAGTGTGGAGAGATTGCGCGTGCGCAGAAGGGACGCGTATCGGCATGGTGGGAGCGAGGACTCTGGCGTTTGCAATAAAGTACCCAGGTCGAGTAGTAATGGGTCCAGTCGTGGAAGCCGATATGGGGGAGAAGAGATATGAATGGGTTTGCGAGTACTACCTCGAGCTGCTGACGGCGGGGATGTAGTTTGGCGGTCAAAGAAGAATAAGCGTGAGTGAAGAAGTCAAGGCAAGCGTAGTGGTGCTTGCCGTTTTGGTGTCACGCGTGCTAGGTACGTGAAGTCGCCGGGCCAGCCAATCCTCTCTTCCCGCAGACGGGAAGGCTACTCTTGATCCCTATGGATTACTTGCTTCTGTTTATTCATTAATATCTCTGGCTTGTAGTCTCAATGCTCAATCTCATTAGACTGATGCACTTTGCATAACGCGGAAGTAGATCTGTAGTGAGCACTTTTCACCGTGTAGTTGAACGTAGAATATGTGTGCTAGTCGCCATTTTACGTCTCAGGAATTGGTCGAATGCAATCAATACGTTAAATTCATCATCACGATTACCAAATTAGATCAATATAGCCATATGACCTTACCTGTTCAGTCAGTGTACCTTCCTTCACTTTGCCTCACCCCTGTAGTCCCTGCCCATTGCACCACTCCCATCAATCTGTGTGACTACTCTCTTACCTATCACCTTCGCCTCGGATTTCTCGAGTACTATATCAGTTGATTATCCGCCAATACTCCCATCAACAAAAAGAGACTCGAGCGCTCATAAACATACAGATGGATCGTTAGTACAGTAAGTGGTCTCCATGTGTCTGATCTAGCCAGTCATTCACTTCCCTTGCCCTTTCTTCCCTTTGAGTTCCGGTGTGAAGTACGAGATGAGGCGTGAGTTCGACTCACCGATCATGCGAGCATGGTCAAAGATTTCTTTTTTTTTGCGTTTTTTTATTTTCTTTTTTTGGCTGGGGTAAATGGGATGGAATCAGATTTATTTTACTGGTGTGCTGTCTATAATTTATGGTGTGGAGAAGTGACTTAAAGATGAAATGCATGCAGATCATCAACTGCAGGAGAAGCTCAGGGCTCGTGGTAGAAATGCTGCGGAAGGATATCTACGCCCAATACATAAATCTATACATACCAGTTGACTACACGTGGGCATGTAGTCACTCACGATCGTGATGTGTACTTGTACTTCAACAAGAGTCCAAAGAAATCTCCGGAATCAATAGCAACATACAGAAAAAGAAAACCCTCCCATTATCTGCTTTCATGGCCACACCAATCCCATAGCCTTGTGGATGCAATACTGCAGTCCTTCTCGTGCCAAGGGTTGGACTGGTAGCGAATTTGGATCCCAGTTTCCCGCTACAAGCACTGTCAACCTCTCCCTCTTCTCTCCTCAAAGCTTCACGCCACCCCTGAAAGTATTCACACCAGAAATAGATGCGACATGCTTTCAAGTCAGAGACCCAACAAATTTGTCGACGATCCGCAGTCATTGACAGCCAGCGGTTATGGCCGAAGATGCGGGCACTCCCACAACGTTGAGCCACGCGGCGCACCATTTCAGCCCTGCCGTACAGACAGGCGTTCTCCTCGTGCTAATGACACAGACCTGATACGGTACCATTTTTAGTCGGTGCAGCTTGATCTGCGATTAGTGAGCTCATACTCCACGATGCATCCTGCAACACTACATGCACTTTGCCGCAATCGCACATACAAGTGCCGGAATCCTTCTCGCTGCAAGCAAGGCGCATGCACATCACTTCTCCTCTACAAATACCCAAGGAGCGGATCCCATTGCTCAAGAGCGCCTTGCTCGAAATGGCGCTTAGTCGCAATCGCTACAGACCGCGCCAGATGAGGCTTGAAAGGACGGCGGAGCCATCTTCCCCAGTGTGTGGCTCATGAAGGCAACACACACGACTTCGATAACCGCCAAGGAGGCATGGCTGCCAGCGATCCAAGCCGGTTGAGCAAGGCTGTACTGGAGATCTCGAATGGAGATAGGCGCGGTATCAGTTGTCTGAGAGGGGTTAGAAGCACGCTGTACGGGTGTCATCATTGGTGCGCTGGTAGCAAGAGAGGTGGAAACTCTTATCACCCGCGCGTTTCCTCCATACATAGGTATATCTACGATTGACCTGGATAGTTGATTCAGATCCACCAGAGAGCGGCACAGTGGCATTTTAACCAACTCATCTATTCCATCATTCTCACTGAGCATGCCAAGTGCGCGGGCGCTACCAGCCCAAGTGTGCCGCCAGTGCAGTAATAGCTTTCGGAGCTTTTCGCTCGTCAACACCCCCGCACGCTCCACTCCGTCCATATCCCTGGTACAGAGAGCATTCTGGACGCCGACTCGAAGGTTGACTTCACTTCTTTGAGGGTCGCTTGCTTTCGGCCGCCTTGATATATAATCGACCATCTTTTCCTATGGCTTGTAGGGCGGTAGTTTGAACAAAGTCCTGCGTTCCAGTACAGGCAACTCAACGTTAGCTAGGATGCCTCGACCTAAGAAACCGGGAGCTGGCGAGCCCAAAAGACGCTCACGCAATGGATGTTGGTAAGTACAACTGCAGTCACTTGAAACGGACCAACTGTTGGTCGGGTTCCTTTTGAGCAAATCTGTTTCATTTGTAATTAAAAGGCTGACTGAGTGTTCAAGGCCATGCAAGTCACGGAAGATAAAATGGTAAATCTCCAACGTACCGCGTCAACATACACGTACTAACAATTTCGCAGCGGGGAAGAAAAGCCGAACTGTGTCAACTGCGATCGACAAGGCGACACTTGTGATTATAGCATACGATTGTCATGGGGAGGTCGTACCAAGCGAAGCCTGGACGAGTTCATGTCTCCATCCGATGCACCCAACGATTCTCTTAGTTCACATATCAAGTCTGCATCTTTCGAGGAGAAGTCGCCTTCCACATCTGGTTCCCATAATCTGCCAGAGCCCTCACCCAAGAGGAAGGTTGCGCGACACACTCGCTCACAATCCGCTGCTTCTGCTCCATCAAATATATCAGCAATTGACCCCAAACTCATACGCATGGATTCAGCCGAGTCACTTCCACACTTGGCTCCAGAAGACTCTTTTCAACCCACTTTCCAAGAAGCAGAAATCCGGACACAGACAACATTCATGCCTACCAATCCCCGGAATTTACATCCGACCATTGACTACCCATCCCCAAGTACGTCCAGCTTTGAAAGCCCTATTGTTAGCGCGGGAAGCTGTATTTCGTTTTATACGGACTCGCCATCATCTATGCCGCCGCCATCGCGTGGCACACCTCTCCCTACAATTCTGGATCAATTGGACGCAGGATTACTGAGTCGGGCCCACCGAAATCGACATCAACGTAGCTACTCTGCGGAATCATCAGCCGTAGCTACATCACACTCCCCTATAACAGGCGTGCATATGCGCCACATGTCTTACATGTCTACGCCGCTGACGCCAAACTCGCCAGCGGGCTTTGAAGACTCCAGAGCTCGAGGTACACCAAGCCAGCCGCACGAAACATTTGCAGACCCACGCCATTTACCAGTGCCTTCGCTTCTACATACAGCTAGCGAAACCTCCCATAGTCCACAACGAGTTCGGCGATACCCCATTGAGCGAGAGGAATATACTGTATATGGCTATGATCTTGGACTGCCTGATATTGATACCCCAAGAAACGATGATCTAGGGGCCATAACAAGTTTCAGTCCACCCGTCGGCGTTGTTGGGCTTGACAATCAAACGCAAAACGATACTGTTCGTGTCAAGGAAAAGGACATAGCTTTCGAGCGTCATGGGTATTATGCCAAACCTGTGCCTATCAGAATTGCAAAGTCTCTCGAACCATTGCCGGCATTGTTGCTGGAAAACCCAATGAATTTGCTTTACTTTCACCATTTCATCAATCACACGGCACGTATCCTTGTGCCACACGATTGCGAGCGAAATCCATTTCGCAACATTTTACCAGAGAGTGAGTCGAGCAGAAGCATTCTCTGAATTGTTCTGCTATTCTATTTCCTTGATCGTAACAGCAACTAACACTTCCAGTGGCCATAAAAAACGACAACATCCTCTCCCTCCTCTTAGCTTACTCTGCTTCCCACCGCGCATGCATGCTCAACCACCCCGAACCTGTCAACCGGATCGCGCTTTGGGTACGCGACGTATTTCCCAGACTTCGCGAATCCATTGCCGCCGCCACAGACCCGTCCGCAATCACCAACAGTACACTGGCCCCGGCCATTATGATGGCTTCCTTGGAAATTATATCCCCCAACACCTTCGAAGTCCCCATATCCTGGCAGAACCACCTCACCATGGCACGCCAGATGATCATTGCCCGCGGCGGACCCCGAAGTATGGATCGAAGCGATCATGTCGCCTACTTTCTGTCCCGCTGGTTCGCCTACCTCGATGTCTTGGGCTCCCTGAGCGGCAACAAGAACGACCAGCCACTAGGCTCTTTCTACTGGAACTCGGAAAACGCCTCCGCAGACGAAGACTTTCAAATCGACTGTCTCACGGGCTTCACAAACCGCTGCGTAGGCAGTCTCGCGCGCATCTCTGAACTCGCGAAGCGCGTAGAACCATTCCGCATCGGCAGCGACGGCAACGTCCTCGAGGACTTCCAACCCAGCGCCGACATCATCGCACAAGCCGACCGCATCCGCCGCGACCTCCAAGAAGGCCTTACAAGCGGCTTAGTGTTCAAAGGCTGCAACCACCGTGCTTCCTCGTCCTCATCATCGACCTCCTCCCCTACTACCTCAGAAGGCGCCTGGGATGCCACGGAGATCTACGCCACCAACGAAATGTTCCACTGGGCCGGCCTTATCCATCTCTACCGCCGCGTTCTCAACTATCCATCCACACACCCCTCTGTGCAAGGTGCTGTCCGCGAGATCGTCGGCCTCTTGTACAAAGTGCGTCGAGGCAGCACTGCCGAGGCGTGTTTGCTGTTTCCCATGTTTGCGGCGGGCTGCGATGCGCAGGATGTAGGTCAACGCGAGAAGATTGCCGAACGGTTAAAGAGCGTCGAGGGGTTTGGTATGACGCAGGTTGGGAGGGCGAGGGGGTTGATGCAGAGAGTTTGGGAGACGGGGAAGGCGTGGGAGAGTTTAGTCGAGGGAGAGTTCTTCGGGTGAGTCTTTGGGTGAGTATTTCTTCGTAGGTTGAATCGTAATTTCTCCTGGGATCACGGAGCTGCCCAAGCATGCATGGTGTACGATTGTCGAAAGGTACTTGTAGTATTCTTACATCTTTATCCCCCCTTGCGCTTATAGCTGCTCGTCCATCTATCGTACAAAACGTATGGTTCCAATACGTATCCTCCATCTCTGTATCCTCCAGTCCCCCCGCCATCTACGTGCCGTATATACAAGCTTGTACGGCAACGCAACGCTCAGTCTCGACGCCCCAGAGGCACAGAAGGCACCCCCCGACACGCCAGCTCGACGAGCTCACTTCTTCTCGCCCTCCTGAGGCGGAGGTGGTGGGCCCAGCGGCTTGCGAACGCCGGTGGTGTCGTACCCACCACGACGACCCAAGCCGTTTGCGGCAGTGTTGCCCTATCCAACTGCGTTAGCAATCACATATATACACAAGAGGCCAAGAGGCCAAGGGAACGGCTCTCTGGGAACTTACACCAGAAGACGATGTGGCGGAAGGTGGTGGTGGTGGTGGTGGAGCGGGCGATTCGGACATGCCCGAGGTGTCATAGCCGGCACGACCCATTGTATCGAGAGTCTTTTCTTTCGCGGGGTCAAGTTAGCAAAGACATGTTCATACGAGGGTATGCAAGTGAGAGAAAGCAAGCTGCTCTTCCGCAAACGCTGGGGGGAGGCTTACGGTCGTGACGGGCTGCGAGGAAGGAGGTGCAGGTGGTGTGTCCTTGTGTTTCGAAGCGGGAGCCCGGTTGCTGGACGAGCCGATGTCCCTCGTCTGTAGATGAGTGTCCACCGTGGGACGCAGAGAGATCTGTGGGCGTGGTGGCCGTGTTGTTGGCGTTGGGTGTTGTGGGTGTTGTGGTGAGGGCTTCAGAGTTGAAGGGAGGGTGGTGGTTGGTGCGGAGGTAAGGACGGGGAGGGAAGGACGGGGAGGGCGATTGTCGAGGTGAGCGGGACTTTCTCTGTCTGTCTTTCCGCTTCTATGTTTGCTAGGCTCCGCACTGCCAGGTAGTAGAGCGTCGAGAGGGATTTCGATAGCTGACGAGCTGGCCAGAGTGTGGGATTGTATATATCTATTCACTTGAACTGCGCATATAGCATCGTAGGAAGCAAACATGACACCGCATCGTAGAAGCAGAGCCATCTTCGCATACATAGATACATAGACCACCTTCTCCTACCTAATTAAGCCACCCCAGGCCAAAGTAAACACAAACACAGCGGAGCAGTAGCTCACTGCCCTCGCCCCCCCTCCCCTAGGCACCGACGTCAGTGCCCACGTTTCCCCCTCACCTCTACCCACCCACACAGAGGCTCCTCCCTCACTTTTCTGGTGTTCTATATAATCTCGTTAACGCCACCTCACTTTCACTAACAAACAGGAACACGATAGTCTAGTGGATAAAAGCGAAGGAGAGAAGTGAGGAAAGCAGGTAAGTATCCCTACCTTGCCTTCCCCACCGGGGCTGCAAATGTCCCGGCAAGCACTAGAATCATGGAAACCATTAAGTTGGTTTGCGTAACCGAGAGGTTTGCTTTTGCTTCCCTAGAATACATGAGGGTATTTTTTTGGTGGTGGTGGTGGTGGTGGTGGTGGTGAGGAGGGCAGGGGTTCGAGTTCGAGTCCTGAGGTTGACAGACTTGGAGTTGGTCTTTTTGGGTCTTTTTGCAGCTGGGGGGAAGGGTATGGGGAATTGCGGGGTATCGGAATTTGGGGAATTGTAAAGCTCTTGTGTATGGCTTTCGACCAGACGAGATATGCTTCAAGGTCGTTGCTTGCATTGACCTCTCCTTTGCTGTGGAGCTTTTATGTAGGGCGCTGGCCTGCGGCATGGACACTGGCAGTTTAATAAATGTAAATATAGCGCAACGCGAGTGTATACCGTAAGGCAAAGCATATCTGCATACTTTGTTTTACTATGTGAGACTTTCGCGGCGAGAGATGCTCGGCACGCCATACGAATTGGACCCAATGCAACCAAGCCCCAGACTAATTAGATTGTGACTGGAGTGATCAATAAAACAATCAAAAGCTAAAGGCTTGCGAGGTATCTATCTGACGCGTTAAGGCTGTGATTTTCGGTATTAGCTATGTTGTTTATGGAGGCGAGATAAGACCCAATGGAGCATTTCAGAATGTTTATTGACATGACATCTAATCCCGCAACTCAATCGTTGAAATTCACTCTGGAAGTGTAGCACTGTTCTTTTGCGTTGCGAGGAATATACATTAACAGTTTTTCGCGCGATTTCCTGTACTCCTCTCATGGCAGAATTTGAGTAGGACATAATAACAACATATATGCTATCTGTCTTAAATGCGAACACGATACACTTACATTTCTCTTGATTCTCGCTGCGCTTCGGCGACATGAGATACAAGCATTCCAGATTCTACAACTCGATGTTTCAAATGCGGGTTTGAGCATCAAAACTGTGTAGTAAAGAATGTATTCCTACCCTTGTCATGGGGGCCTGATGAGTTCCAAATCAATCAAGCATTCGATCTCGTACGGGTAGAAATTCAGCTGCGGTCAGAAAGTTGGGGGCCGAAATCGACATATGCTTTTTCTCCGCAAACACCGTCAACACCATCGCTGACACTGTTCTTTTGAAATGCCCCCCACGACCTATGCTCCTACCAGCTACACAGCCGAAACCAGTGACTACGAATCTGATGATGATTTGATACTTAAAATCGACTTAAACAATGCTGCGTCCCATCAAGCCATCTACACTGCTAAGCGGGCCACGACCAATTTTCGACGGAGAGACGAGTACCGGCAGGAGAGTTTGGGGATTGTGGCTTCTACGTTGTACCGCGATGACGATGGAATGAGCCTGCGTGTCATAACAAGTCCAAAGAAATCGGATCCAGACGAGCAGACATCAACGCGTGAGCGCTGGGTGTAAGAGGCCAGGCTTGTAAACACACGTCCACAAGGCTGACGCGCAGATGCAGGCACTTACAGACGGAAGGTATTGACTTTGAACGTTATGAGGTACCAAGAAAAGCTCGCAACTTCATCTCCGCAGCTACTAATCAATACTGATAGCATTTTGTGATGAACATACTCCTTCAGCATAATGCTGAGCTCATTCCCGTGGTGTTGTATCTGTTGCGAAAAATACGACACGAATACGAGGAAAGCTCTGCGTATGGCTGTTATATTAAACCTGGAACAACGCTTCGGTGCGACGGAATGGACCAAAGCAAACGCGACAAGCCAGATTTGTCTGCCATTTTCATGTCGGTCCCGTATTTCGACATTGGAAAATGGAAGCCGCCGAATGCACCGGATGAATCCTTGCACTTACCCCGCGGGTTGTTCCAGAGCTGGTACACACAGGAAGCTGCGATGGACCGAGATGGCGATCAGATGTTCCGTAAGTTCAAGGGCGTAAAAGCCCACGAGTATCTTCGTGTTCCGCAGCTCTGGGCTCTTGTGTTGAATTCAGAGATCATCATTACCTGTGGGCCTTCAGCGTTGTCCGATACTTTCAAGGAGCACATTGATTTTGTCGAAGAGGCATCGCTTCTTTCCAATGGGCCTAGTCTGGTGCAGATCACAGATTATCAGAGACGGGTTACATACTTGCCAATCGCGCGGTGCAAAACTTTTCTCAACTTGCGTCAGAGTATCAAAGAGTGCCTTGAAGATTCGGGAATTGATCTTGATGACGTTTTGCTGCACTTGGGCGATACCACTGATGAAATCAAAGGGAAAGAGTGGCCAGCCATTATCAAAGCCGAGACGTCCGTCATCGTACGTGTGCGGATCAGGCTTAGAAACACCCCGGCTATCGTGTCTTTGGATGACAGCCGTCTTATTGAGACTGCAGGTTTAAGCTCAGAAGATGAAGATGAAGCTTCCGAGAATAAGATGGCTCTGATCATTCGGGATCCAAGGTACGCAACAAAACCCCTAACAAAGTCCCAGTGACCTGACAAGCACATTAGCAAGGAATGGCCTCACTCCGCAACCCAATACGCGGCTCGCGTACAAAAAGCAGATGCTGCTCTGAAACGGCTTGCAACAGAAGGTTATATAGTCAATCAAACAGCTTCCTTGGCACCTGGTAACGATGAGATTGGGGCGAAACAACCGACAGTATTTAAACGTCCATCCAAAGTGGGATCAAATTCATCTGTGGAAACGGACTCGGAGAAGCCAGATGATAAAGAAGAGCACTCTCGACCGATAGATGTTGACACGGTATCGGCATCATATTCAGATATTACTGGACTGATCGCCGGAACTCAGAGCTCACATTCAAGAGATGAATCCTTAGATGAAGGCAAGCTAGATAGCGTACCTGGCGTGCTACACGGCGACGACAATAACGACGACCTGAGCGGCGAAGAGCGCCGCCCAAGTACAACCTCTGAAGACCAAGAGTCTTCGAGGCTAAATAGGGCTGAGACTTTCCAGCCAACTGTGGAATCGGATGCTGAGGGTTCACAGAAACATTCAAGCATACATGCGTGGATTGACTCCCTCCCAGAGGAAAAGCCCAAGGAGTCTTCTAACAGGAGAAGCGAATCTGTGGCTAGCAAGAAGACGACACTACCTAGTGTATCAAACACCAACGAAGACAAGATATCTCGAGACAATTCAGAAGTGGAAGTTACAGTAGGAGACTCCGAGAAAGGGCTGAGGCAAGTGGTAAAAGAGGAAATCACGGCCGCTCTGAAACGAGATGAAGATCAAAAGCGCACTGAGGAGGAGAAGCTTGATGCCTTGATGCGAGAAAGGCTAGCACGGTTTGGTTTCCAAGAGAATCAGATCCAGGCCATGGTGGACCCGACAAAGCATATCTCTGAACCTGGGAGGACTCCTGCCAACCCACTGCGCTTGAATCAACCACCTACATACACGAGGATACAAAAGAAATACCTGGACATAGAAACCTTGAAATACTATGATCTACCATATGAGATCAACGTTGACGACGGCTACATCACTATTCTTCGAGAGATGAGTCAGAAGGAGAGTGAGATTTTATTCGAGCACACACGTCGTCTGCGCGAGAGGAGAGGTGGCTTCGACAAACTGTTGATCGAGGAGAATGCGAATACAAGAAGTTCATCAGCTCCGTGGAGGAATCTGCGCACTGCTAAAAAGTTCTCGTCTAGGAAAAAGGCGGCAAAACGGTTCGATGAAGACTTCTACTTGGCAGATAGAAGTAAATCGATCTGGGAACCAGAGTCCGGGAAGAATTGGAGTGATGACCAGGGGTTGGAACACAATAAAGACACCGTCCCACCAACAGAAAACACAGACCTCAAAGCCAATCCCGAGGTTCCACCTTTCCTTGCGTGGCCTACCACATTCTCAGACGAAACAGATGAATCCGTAAGTACATATGTTTTTTCGTTTAGTTAGCAATCTCTCTCTCAAGACTTGAGTTGAGGACTGCAGCGAGCATTGCGGAACTTGTAGAATGAATAATGAATCTCTGCTAACTACATCGAGCATTTAGACTGCAAGCAAAAACAATGCTCTTCGTCGAAACAATGAAGAAGACCTGACCCAACTCACGCTAGCGGCCATCAATAAACACATTACCAAGACTAGGAGCGACGGCAGTGACATTCCTATTAGTACACATCATCCCTTTCTAGCTGTTTATAAATCGGGTGTGGCGTTCATCGATGTTCCGGAGCTCACGTTCATCAGCATGTCATCTAAGATGGGCCCTATCAATGATTTGGCACAAGAGAAAGAGCAGCACAAGACAACATTATTGGAGATGGGCGATGAGTTCGACTTCTTTCAAACACTGATACGACGGGATGGTGGTGGTGAACAGGTCAACACGGCCAGCGATGTGCCTGGAGTGTCTAAAGGCAAGCTGAAAGTTTCAGCAAAAGCGCCGCGTCGTCGTGTTGTGCAATGGCAATTATCCGCACTGGTGTCAGAGCGTGACTCGTTCACATCAACTTTGCAACAATTGATCGATCAATTTGTCCCGAGTTATTATCCCCATCCGCTTCTGCGAAGGTGTTGGGGTTCATTAGACGCAATCAAGGAGGTAAGAATATATATTTTCGGTGATACAACAATAAAACACAGCACTGATCGGGATCAGGAAATTGAGGGCCTCTTCGCCGAAAACGAAGCTCATCGCCGCAAGGAGATGAATGATGACTCCGCACTCATTTATGTTGTAAGAGACATACCATTCAAAGACTACTTCAGCAAAAACCAGTTGGAAGGATTGTTGGTCGATGTCGATAAATGCCCGACATGTGTTCGAGGAACTCAGCACGCAGACATCGATGATGCGTACCAACATCTACATCAATCCCATGCCAAGGGAACAGGCCCTGTAACGGATTCACGAAGGATTCGATTGGGTCATTGGTTAGTCTCCACCGCTGGCATGGAACTTGAAAGACTAAACACCGAGATGCTCCAGCTCATCCAGTCGCTGCATAATCGCGCTCTCAAGCTACTAACCAAATCTATCGATATTCGCAACAGTGTGGTTGGCGAGAACAACGAGAAGGACCGCAAGTTCTTGCTTCCGGCTGCATTGGTGAAGGCTGCAGAGAGGATCTTCCAGTTCATATACACCGCGCTCTACACTGTTCGGTTTTTGCGGCAACAGAAACAGGGTACAGCAGCGTTGACGGGGGGACCTTCGATTCAGACACAGGACAATCTCGCGCTTGCAGACCATTACGGTGCTGCAGCTGACAATCAACTCTCCAAAGCGCAGAATGAATTGATGTTGATGGCGTACACGGGGTCTACTGACGGGACGTCGGTTGTGCATTATATCACTAGCACCCCGGAAACGACAATCTTGATTGGCATCTTGCATCTCCTCACAAGGGATGTATATGGGGACAGCCAAATCCAAGATCTCTACAGAAGCCATCTGTCATCCCTGGTGAGTCTGTACGCTTTGCCCTGCGATCACTTAGCTAAACTACCGCAGCGATACGGCGCCATTAAAAACCCCTCGAAACGCATCTTCCGCGAGCTTTTTCTCATGGAAGAAGAGTTGGAAATCGTCGAGTCGGTGCTCACCCAGCAACTCAACGCAATGCAAGGCTTGCAGCGCCTACTCAACAACAGAAGCTACCGCATCACAGACCGCATGCGCGTCAACAACTTTGAACGACTCGAACAGGCCGCGTTCCGAGCCTACGAGGTCGAGCACAGAGATGTGGGGAGAGACATCAAGAAGATCCAGAGCCAGATCACCAAGACGGCCCAAGTCCTCCGGTATAACCTGGAGATTGCCGAAGAGGGACAGTCCAAAGCCATTCTCGTATTCACGCTCGTCACTATCATCTTCCTCCCATTATCGTTCGTCGCGGGTTTGTTCGGTATGAATACAAGGGATATCCGAGATCTCGATTACGATCAGTCTTTGTTCTGGGCAGTGGCTCTGCCGCTCACAGCGTTGATTGGAGGAATATCTCTGCTCGTTGCTTATGGCCGGCTGGACGAGCGTTTTGAGGAGCTAAGTCAATCTCTGCGAGAGAAGAAGGGGCATCGGTCTCATCTGCCTGATCTGTCGATCATTCGAAGGAGTCGGGACGAGGAAGATGTGGATATGATGGAGTCGAAGGCGCTCTCGTCCGCGGGGGCTGCGAGAAGTCGTAAGACGGCGCGGCGATCGACAATTGTGGTGAAACCGGCGAAGAAGAGACTGCCGAAGCCGAGCAGGCGGTGATGACTTAGAAAGAGAGTTCATAGGGTATCATGCTGGATTGCGTAGCGCCTAGTGCAATGACGTTCTGGGGAGGTCAAGGCCAGCGCAGATAAGCTCCCTGCGAAGACGGGTGATCACATTCTCAGGGACACAGGGCTGACAAATCGATGTGCATAAACAACATATATCAATTATTCGTTGTCATCTAAAATCCCCAGACGGACTGACTGACATGGCAGACTAATCAAGACTCGTCCTGTTGTTCCAATAAGCTTGAATCCTGGTCATAATAAAAACTCCGTCGCCATTGCGCAGCCACACAATTCGGCATATTCGTATCGCGCTAACACAAGCAACACCAGAGTAAAGACTTTTCTCCCTCTACATGGTGTGATGATCATATCCCAACAGGAAGCGTTGGAAGCAAGGTATAAGAGGCTCAAGGCAGATTCAAGTCCGCAATAGCTCACTTGACAATCTTGCAGACAAGGTCGCCAGAATCGACAGAGTCGCCCTCGCGGACGGACAAGTTGCCGATCTTTCCAGAGTGGGGTGCAGAGATGACCATTTCCTGTGACAAAATTTAGCAATCGATTCTGACATACTGCACGATAATTCCCAGAACTTACCATCTTCATGGCGCTGAGAACAGCAATGGGGTCACCCTTGAGGACATCGCCACCGTCCTTGGCGCGGACCTCAACAAGCACACCAGACATGGGCGAGCCGACCTGGCTGGTATCGGTGGGGTCGGCCTTGGGCCTCCGAACGTTTTCGATGGCAGCGTGCTTGTCCTCGACGGTAACAGCACGAGTCTCACCATTGACCTCGTAAAAGACCTCACGAAGACCAGTCTGCTCAGAGAGAGGACCAACGGCAAGAAGCTTCAAGATGAGCACCTTACCCTTCTCGAGCTCGACGTGGAACTCCTCGCCAATCTCGGGACGGGAGAGGAAGTAGCGCGTAGGCAGAACGGAAAGATCGCCGTACTTGCTGGTGAACTTCTTGTAGTCTTCGAAGACCTTGGCGTACATGGTGTGGGAGGCGACGTCACACTCAGTGGCATCTCCCCACCTGGCCTTGAGGTCCGACTTGATCTTGGTCAAGTCGACAGGCTCGAGGTAAAGACCGGGACGCTTGTCCATCTTGCGACGGTCGCGGAGGGCGTGTGAGCGGAGAGGCTCGGGGAATCCGCCGTAGGGCTGGCCCATGAGTCCCTCGAAGAATTCCAACACCGAGGATGGGAAGTCGAGCTGCTCGGCCTTCTTGAGCACATCATCGTAAGACAGGTTGTTAGACACCATGAATTGAGCCAAGTCACCAACAACCTTGGAGGTAGGAGTAACCTTGACAATGTCGCCCAGCAAATCGTTGGCGTGTTCGTAGGCCTTCTTAGTTTGAGCCCACTGCTCACCAAGACCCTGTTGAGAGGCCTGGAAGATGAGGTTGGTGAGCTGTCCACCAGGAATCTCGTGCTCGTAAACCTCGGGGTCGGGACCAGTAAGACCAGCCTCGAAAGGAGAGTACAGCAGACGGAGTTGAGCCCAGTAGGCGTCGAGGTGACGGATCATGTGAGCATCAAGACCGGCATCGTAATCGGTGCCTTCGATCGACGCCAAAATGGCACCAATGCTAGGTTGGGAAGTCATTCCAGACATGCTGTCGGTAGCGGCGTCAACAGCATCAGCTCCCGCCGCGGCACAGGCGGCCATGGAAGCTACACCCGTGCCGGCAGAGTCGTGGGTGTGAACGTGAATAGGAAGATCGGGGTACTTCTTGCGAATGGCACCAACAAGGAGGGTAGCAGCCTTGGGCTTCAACACACCAGCCACTAAAGTTCGGGGTCAGCAAAACTTCACACTGTGCGAGTTATGTCCACAGGGTTTACTAACTGTCCTTTATCCCGAGCACGTGAGCGCCCATGCCGACAATCTTGTCCACCACAGAGAGGTAGTACTCAAGATTGTACTTCTTCTTAGGGTTGAGTAGACTAAAATTTTGTTAGCGTATATGATATGCTGAGGTGCTGTATTCAGTGATGACCTACTCTCCTGAGATACACACGGTACCTTCAGCTACACCACCGGCCTTCAAGACAGCCTGGACACCAACTTCGAGTTGGTCGACATCGTTCAGGGCATCGAAGACACGGAAGATATCGACACCGTTTTTCTTCGCCTGCTCCACAAAGTGGAAGATGGCGTTGTCGGGAAGGGAAGAGTAAGCCACACCGTTGGCTCCACGGAGAAGCATTTGGAAGGGAATGTTGGGTACAAGCTTCCTCATCTTCCTCAACCTGTCCCAAGGATCCTCATAGAGGAAACGCATGGCCACATCAAAGGTTGCTCCACCCCAGCACTCGAGAGCCCAAGCGTTGGAGTAAGCATGGCTAGTCTCCTTGGCAATGTTGAGCAGATCAACTGTTCGAACACGAGTGGCAAGGAGAGACTGGTGGGCGTCACGCCAGGTAGTGTCCATGATGAGACAGCCCTTGTTGGCGCGGACTGCCTTGGCAAAGCCCTCGGGACCATCCTTGAGAATGACGTTCCGCCATCCTTTGGTGGCAGGAGCAGATGTGTCGACCTTGTTGCCGTTCGAGTCGTGGAGAACGGGAATCTTGATCTCGCCCTTAAACTTGGGCTCACCGACCTGGCCCTTGATGGAGCTACCGTTGACGGCAAGCTCACCGAGGTAGGCAAGCAGCTTCTGGGCACGATTCTGAGAACCAATCAGGTCGAACAGAGAAGGGGTGTCGTCAATGAAGGTAGTCCAGCACTTGCCGTCAATAAAGGTATCGTGTGTGAGGAGCTTGAGGAGGAAAGGAATATTGGTCTTGACGCCACGGATACGGAACTCGACAAGAGCACGGAGCATCTTTCGTCGCACAATCTCGTATGTGGATCCACGGCATGAGCACTTCACCAACATGGAATCATAGTGGGGGGTGATGATGGCACCAGCGAAACCATTACCACCATCGAGACGGACACCGTTGCCGCCTGCGGAACGGTACACCTCGATCTTTCCGGTGTCAGGTGCGAAGCCCGCTGCCGGGTCTTCGGTTGTGATACGACATTGGAAGGCAAAGCCTCGTGTGGAAATGTGATCTTGTGTGAGGCCCAATTGCTCGAGGGAGGCACCGGCGGCAATCTGGATCTGCGCTGCAACAATATCGATGCCCGTGACTTCTTCGGTAATGGTGTGCTCGACTTGAATTCGGGGGTTGATTTCTGCAGATGGTCAGCTGAGTTGTCCTCGAGTGATTCGTGGGATATTCTGTGCGACTCAAGAAATCTCTTGGACGACGTCTTGGGATCTCGTATACGCAGTGGGTAGACATACCAATGAAGTAAAAGCCTTAATGAAACAAAAGTCAGTCTCAATTGCCTTGACGATCGGGATGCAATGCAACATTGCATGTAGAGTGGGTCACATACCTTTCTCGTCTACCAAGAACTCGGCGGTACCGGCATTGCGGTAGTTGACCGACTGGGCAAGCCGGACAGCGCAATCAAGAATCTCGTCGCGCATCTTAACCGGCAGATCCTTGGCTGGAGCAATCTCAACGACCTTTTGGTGACGACGCTGGACACTGCAGTCACGCTCGTACAGGTGGACTACGTTGCCATAGTTATCACCGAGAAGCTGGACCTCGATATGCTTGGGCTTGTCGAGGAAGCGCTCAACGAAAACGGTACCGTTTCCGAAGGCGGACTTGGCCTCGGACACTGCACGCTCAAAGTTTTCCTGGAGAGTGGCTTGCTCGCGAACCACACGCATACCACGGCCACCACCACCAAAGGCTGCCTTGATGATGATGGGGAATCCGTACTGGTCGGTGAATTCCTTGACCTCTTCGAACTTCTCGACGGGGTTTTCCGTGCCGGGGACGACGGGGACCTTGCACTTGATGGCAAGTTTTCGAGCAGACACTTTGTCACCAAGAGCATTGATGGTCTGGTGTGTTGGGCCGATCCACTGTAGGAGGAAGATCATTTAGCACCCACTCTGCAGCAAGCAGGAAACAAGGAGTCACTTACGATCAAACCAGCCTCCTCTACTTTGCGGGCGAATTCCTCGTTCTCAGACAAGAAACCGTAACCCGGGTGAATCATGTTCACCTGAACACAGAATCAGCAAACTGGCAGCGGAATTGCTTTGAAGTGCTATTAGCTCAACTCACATCGTGCTCTTTGGCGATCTTGATAATCTCGTCGCCGGCCAGGTAGGCACCGACGGGCGTGTACTGGCCCCGAGCGCCAATCTCGTAGGCCTCATCGGCCTTTTGCCTGTGCATGCTAAGACGGTCCTCATGACTGTAAACAGCCACAGTGTGCAACGACAGCTCGTGAGCCGTCCTGAAGATTCGGATGGGGATTTCTCCGCGATTGGCCACTGCGCATCAATATGTGTCAGTCTGTGTTGCGATTTCCACATGCATGGATTGATTGGATGCATGGCATGGCAAGGCATGGCATAGCGGCCCAGCAATTGCGAAATATCCGAAGCCTGAGCGCTGTCCGTGTGATCCAATGACGTACCCAGAATCTTCTTCAGCTGCATGATTGAGCTGTTGGCTCGCAGACGGTGGTGGACCGAGTTGCGGTGGGGGTGGTGTTCGCCGTGCTCCTCGTCATACTCGTTGTCGTCAATGGCCGACGAGTTGGCCGCGGCATTCTTATCTATCGCAAGGGTCGTCATTCTGAATGGCTGCTGCTCGCAAGTTAGCTGTACCGTTCCGTGTGTGGGAAAAGTGCGGGATTCTCGGGAAAGGCTTCAATGTTGCAATCAGAACTCCACGATAAGCGGGTTTTGATGTGTGACGTATGAAGCCGACGCCCGGGGGAGCTCACTGTGTATGCACGCCTGCACTTTCTGGCAGAATGCGTATGAAGGGCGTAAACTGAGGGGATGAGAGGGGTGGAGGAGGGGAGAGAGATAGAGTCAGAGCTGGTGCAGTTTGGGCGAGGCAGGTGAACCTGGAGCACCTCGGATTCCAAGCTAGAAGCGGCGTCACGTGAAAGAGGGGCCGCACAAGCCGCCTAGGAGAGTGCGGGACAGGTAGGTTGGATGATAGGGTAGTTGGGTTATATGGTTTTGTTGTTGAGGGAGAGGGTGGGATGGTGGAGAGTCTTTATACATGTGTTGTATCATTACATAACAGGGGTGCTGAAGTATGGGCATAAAGAAGCTATTCGTGCACACCCACCACACGCTACGCTACGCTACCCTACCCTACGCCATAGATGCAGCGGTAGGCTGTGGTTTATATCCCAAGGGCAAACCATTGGGCGGGATTCAGATGTGCGAGTGAGCATCACGCTTCGTGGTGTGTTGTTGAATGTTCAATGGCAGCATGTTTGCGAGTACCCGTCTACCTATCTCGAGCTACCTATACCGAGGGTGTTGACAGTCCGCCAGACCTACCACTTTCACGTTTCCACGGTTCACACAAACGCGGGCGCGGGTTGCTTCGGTTTGGACATTTCTCGGCTTTCATGTTCAATCACCCATCCATCCATCCATCCAAGCCGCCATCCATCGACCGGAGTCATTCGTCACAGGCAACTTACTCTCCCTCTCCCTCGCCCGCTCGGTGTCAGAATCACCGATTGTATCAGAACCAATACCAAGGCAGAGGGTGACGCTGATGTCGTCGCTGTTCCCCCCTCTGCGGGCGGCGTCAACAAGCAACGTAATGGCAGCGGAGAGCTTCTGGAGGGGCAGGGGACAAGGGTGACTCGGGCCAGATGAGGGCTAGAGCTCCCTTTTTGCTGCCGGTGGCTCGGTGGCTTGCCCCTCGTTGAGTGGAGTCTGAGTGGGAGTAAGCTATCATCCATCACGTCGGGGAGCGTGTGAATCGTGGACGAGCCGATAAGGGAAACGCAGTTGCTGTTGGTCAATTGCATGATACACAGCTTCATGTGGTGTTGCTCTGCGTGCCAATTGCCTACAGGACGAGTCTGTGGAGCCCGCCAATGCCTGCATCCGCTCTCCACCGGGTCAAAATAGAGTATGTAGATGGTGTATACTCGTCAATCTCTGTACACCATCTCGTCTCCCAAGATAAGATCGGCCTCTTTCCTGTGCCCTTCAAACGCACAAGATCCCAAAGCAGACGCTTCAACCACGGTCAAGTCCCACGGCTATCTGCATGCATGCACATGTATGCAACGCATGGACTCCCTTTTTTCTTTCCCTTCTTCCAACAAGCCCGCCGCCTGGTCTTGGCCCCAAACTCAAGGAAGGGAAGGAAAACATCCCGCGCCGCGAAAGGACATGTGTCTGACATTTGTTGTGACTTGTGTGTGGGGAAACCACGTTTTACCTTTGGACAGTCAATTCGTTGAATCGCCCGCCTGCCCGCCCGCTCGCCAACCACTCTTTTTGGTGTTGTGTTTTGGGCCCCGGCGGGCGGGCAGAGCAGAGCAGACTGAGCGCGGGCGGCGGCGGCAGCGGGGACCATCGTAACACTGATCAAACACTTTCGCTATCCACTCTTCCCTCGTCTTGACATATGGGCTACGGAGGCGCCTGTGGAGGTACCCATTATGCGAATCAATTATGATGCACGCGCCGGGCCCGCCAGGAAATCAAACAAAGGAAGAAAACAACAGACCCGCCAGGCCGTCCCGTCCCCCGAGGACAAAAAAAAAGGTAAAAGCAAAATATCCCCACGCAGATCGTCCTGGGGCTGCCAGGGATGGCCTTGCTCCATGCTTCGTGCATGTATGCATGCATCTGAAGGGTAAATCAAAAAAGAAGAGTGTGACTCGTGAGACCGACATGGAGGGGTGACGTGAGCTTACTTTTGGATGCAGTATCACGGTGGCCTTTTTTTTATTATCATGAGGACGATTGCGTAGTTGTCTGGTTTGCTCTCAACATGTCAATCTCCGAGTAGAGAACCTCTTTCGCTTATCTTTCTCTCCTACTGAGAAAAACAAATCGACAGTGCATGTGACAATGACGATAATTCCAACCGGCATTTACTACAGTATGGATGTGTATGTCTATGTATGCAGCTACCCCGGACCGCAGGACGCAGCAGCAGCAGCGCAGCCCCCAATATCACCAACGCCCTCAACAACAACCGATTCTCACACCAGGCACACACCATCATCCCCCCACAGCGAAATCATCCTCGCGTACCTTTTTTTCCCTTCACGTCGCGCGACCACTCCAATACTTCCGCCATCCGTTCACCCGCCGCCTATCGAGAGAAAAAATCTGTTTGCTCATTCCGTGTACCCATCCACGTGCCTGAAGACCCGGGATAGCTGCATCTACACATTCTCGTTCCCTCACCGCCTTGCTTCTCTACCTTCCCGCTCGCTGTTGCTAGCTACCTACCTCCCTAGTCCTTACCAACATTTACTCACTCACTCACCCAAAACATCTCCTCATCCTTCCCGCCATCCCTACAATGGAACATCCAACGGGTTTAGCGAAGCAGTAGTCCATAAAATAGTGTAGATACTACTCAGCCAACCCCCTCTCTCTCCTTTCTTCTTTTATACAGCTCCGAGGTTTTTTTGGCGTCAACCGAGGGTATTACACCACCGCATGCGTGCCTCTACACAACGACGGTTCCGGATACTTTAATCCCAAGCCTTCGGTTTGTTTATTGTATATACACTCGGCAGAAAATTATCCCTTTAGAGAGATGGAGAAAGAGAGAAGAGGGCAAGGTAATTATGGAGGAACGAAATAACGGAACACGTCTTCCACCATTTATCCGCTCGAGAATCCCCTCCCTCCGGACGTATGTTCTTTCTTCTTTTTGGTGGGGGAGAATTCAAATAGTTTAGTTGTTCTTGCTACTCACTGCCTTGGGTGCAGTCTTTCGGTTTACTTCGGCTCTCCTCTTCTACGTATCATCATCTTTGTTTTCCGCATCACATTTGAGACTGAGTACATATTCTAAGCTCGGATGAGTCTCGGCTTTTATTGATTTTTTCCCCTCCTAGATGGTGGGAGAAGTAGCAAAAGCGGGATGGTTGGTTAGGGCTATTGGTTTCCCTTGGTGGGCTATGCTTATTCCGAGTAGACTAACGAGGTTATTCTTTCTCTCATAGCCTCGTCAACATCTCCATCCACCCACCCTCCTCTTCCAAATCAAAAGGAGAAAAAATAGTGAACCACGTAAACAAACCACCCCTCAGCCATGTAAACAAGGCAAGGCATGAAAAACAGATTAGACTTTCCGCCGCGCGGCGCGGCGGAGAGAGATGGAGCGCGCCAAGAAAGTCCAGCCGCCTCCAAGGGAGGGTTCATGAATAAGATTTCAAAAAGATGGCTCAAACTCAAAACAAAAACTCATCACCCAAGTCTAGATGCCAAGGAAGGTGGGAACGGAGGTGTAAGAGATTAAAGAGGGTTGAAACCGAGTAGCGTCAGATTAGAGAGTGAGAGAAAGAGAGAAATTCCAGAATTGTACAATACAGAGTGAGAAGAACAAAACCACGGTGATTTTTTCAGTACAAGAAAGTCTTCATCGACGTTGGAGGCTATCCTTTGGAGAATCGGAATTCCGAAACCATCCCTCTACAATTAGCAGCAGAGAGCAAATCAAGACCAAAGAATCGAAGAATCATCGGAAACCCCCACAACCGTTCAAACGCCTTTATGAGGTAGAGTACACATGCACCCACGCACCCGTATCGCTTTGCCAAGAACCAATCCAGCTTTGATATGCAGCCCCGTTCCCGCAATAAAAGTCTCGCAGCACGCGCGACTCACTTTTTGACTTTCGCTTGCCAAACCCCCGCTAAACCTAATGTCAACTGTACATGGGAGAGAGAAACATCATTAGAAACCCCGGTATCCAGTCGGCTGCGGAGCAATGCCGTTTGGCTGCTGATACGGACCAGGCGACGGTGCCGAGCCCACGGGCCCCTGCGTGAGCATGAGGCGCGATCCAAGGATCGGTGTGTCATCCTCCTTCTTCTGCTGCGACGCCTCGCGGGTCTTGCGCTCCTCATTGTCCTTCTTGAGCGCCTCAATCGTAGCGGCTTGCTGCGACAAGAAGTTGATCATGTACGGCTGTGTACGAGTCAGTATTGCGTCTATTGTTAGGTTGTGGAAAGTACGTACCATGGTGAAGTCGTGGAGACCGTTGCGCCATGACATCTCCAAGATGACATCGGGACGGATGAGATCGTAGCATGCATAGAGCATACCGACGTAGCACTCGCGGCTGCCAATGTCCACGAACTAATCGACAGTCAGCACTATCATTAACACCAGGATCAACTATACTTACGTAGCGGAGCAACTCCTCGACAACGTTTGGCTTGGCAGAGATGGCGGCAGTCTCGATCGCGTCTTTGAACAGCTTGTCCTGCTTGGACAGCGCAATTGACTTATCCCATCGCTTGTTCTTGCGGTAGATGTTGGCCGCGATCTGGCGGAAGAAGACCAGATCGTGTTTCTCGAGTCGCTGGGCCAGGTCCATGGCATCGTAGTTGTCGTAGTTGGTGACCGAGTCGCGTAGCGTCTTGTAATCCTCCTCTTCAATCAGAAGATCGTTGAGAGCACTGTTGACCTCGCGCTTGTTCTGGGACTGAACGCTGAGAAGGAAGGGCTTGATAAGAGGGATATTATCCGACTTCAAGAACATCCGGACTACACGGTTCACGTCGATCCTAGGGGTGAGCACCTGCAACAAGTCGGTGAGAAGAGTAGGCTGCTCCTCCAGGTAGAAGTTCAAAGCACGGTAGTAGATCTCGACGTTGGAGGCCTTGATGATGGTGTCCTTGAAAGATTGATGTTCCCATGCATCGGCGGCGCGCTCCATCATAGCGAGAGCAGCCTGGTACTAGTTAGCACAATGTCATACTGGCGGGAATGGTAGCTAATACATTATCGAATTCGTCATAGTGGATGTACAGGAAGATGAGCTCGGGCCATAAGTGACCTTCCTCGCAGGCGCGAATCATTTTTGGAATATTCAGCCGGGCTTTACAAAGTTAGTTAAACCGCGATCATTCGAGGGTCCATAAGTGACACGGAGTGTGACTCGAGTTACTTTTGGATAAGGGATATACGTACACCAGAAGAGACGAAGATGCTCCATGACACGCTCGGGGTGATACTTGGTGAGGGCAATGCCAAGTTCCGTGAACATTCCTATGCCTTGTCAGTATTGCTGTGAAAGTCCATCACGGTGATGCAGGATGACTTACCCATATGAGCACGCTCAAGACCAAGACCAGCCTCCAAAAGACCAATGAGTTCGTCGAAGTAGCCCTCGCGCTCGTACTGCTTGACCAGATCGGCGAGTTCTTCGGCGTGCACAATGAGGTTAAGACCGCAAATTTGAGCAAGGCGGAATTCCTTCTTTTCAACACAGGCCTCGTTGACCTGTCGCCACACCTTGATGCTGTTAGCCTTGCGGGCGCACTCGACAGCCGCTTGGTAGTCCTCGAGGTGGACAAGCGTAGTAGCAAGCTTGGCCCAGTTGGAGATGCTCGTGAAGAAGATTTTGGCAGCCTCGTGGAGACCCTCCTCGTACGCCTTGTCACCAGAAGCCTCGACGTCGGCAACGTTGGTAGCGCGCAAGAAATCCTCGAGCTCGGGAAGCTGGTTGGTGCGAGCATAGCAGAAGGCGAGAGCGGTATCGACCGGCACCTCGCGAGTGGTCTTGCGGGCCATGCGCAAGAACTTGATCAAATCCTCATCCTTGCCGGCGTGGGTGGCGATCTCAATGATTTCAAGGAAGTTCGATGGGTCAGCGGCACGAATGTATGATTCGATAGAATCGGTGACACGAAGACCGTCGAGCTGGGCCTTGGCGACTCTGCTCCAGACTTCCGGCAGGTCGACGCGTTCAGCATATTCTTGAGCACGGTCAATGCTGCCAACGTGATCGACGAGCACGTTGACGGCCTCGACGTGGGTCTCGTGCTTCTTGTAGATTTCGAAAGCCTCTTCGTGCATACCAACCTCAATACATTGCTGAGCAATATCCTCTGGGGTGTAGTGCTCCAATTGATGAATGTAGCCCATCATGCGGCCACGGTCCGACTTGGCAGCCGTGAGCATGAGCAGGTTCTGAAGGGATGGGTTGTCACTGAACGTGGTGGGCTCGATAATAATCTTCTCCAAAAGGTCGATAAGCTCCGCGGGCATGTCACCAGTAATGAATGCCTTGACGGCCACGGAAACCTTGTCTGGATCGGTCGATTCTATTCAAACAGTTAGTATACATGACACATCCAGAATGACGAGAATGCATTATTAGTACGTACCTGGCACGGCAGTCGAGGTGACCTGATCGACCAAAGATCGGCGGTGCATGTTGTTGGGGTTGAGCACAAAGTCCCAAATCTCGCTATCGGCACGGTCGAGGAGGTAACGAGCCTGGGCCTTGAACATGGAGTTCTCGTTGGTAACGTTGATCAACTCGAGGTCATTCTGGCCCTTGCTATAGGCGATGAAGGCAAGGTTGGGGTCACGCTTCTCGCAGTACTTTCCGACGGTCAGGGTGTCGTATTGGTCGTTCTCCTTGAGGAACTTCTCGGGGTTGTTGTTGGAGTCGATGTAAATTTTGGCCAGAGCATTGAAAACTGCCTGTTGCTGGTTGCCAGCAGCGAGAGTTTGCTCCAAGAATGGCAGCAGCAATTTGAGGCGGTTGCGCGATTCGACCTCTGCGACAAGCTCGTCGATGGGGATGGAGGAAGGAGTGACTGATCCCAACAAGCCCTTGATAATGCTCTCATCGCAATCAACGTCGAGCAGACCGCCGATGACGGCAGGTGTCCTAGCTGGGTTCACGCGCTGGACGTAAACTTCGATGGACTTGAACTGCTGCTTCTTGTAGAGGTGGAGAACCAAGTCGTGGACAAAGTTGAATCGATCACAGACGATGATCAAAGGCAGCTGCTCAGTAAGGTTGGCCTCCTTGAGGAAATTCTTCACCTTCTCGGCGTTGTAGAAGTTGGACTCTCGGCAGATACGCTCGACCTCGTTCAATTGGCCAACAGTGGTTGCGGCCTCAATGTACTTGAAGTGGACATCGGGATCTTCGCTGACGTTGACAATGGATCCGAGGAAGAAGAAGAGACCCTCAGCAGTGCGGTGCTTCTCCAGAAGGTCAATGATCCTAGTGGCACCGAGCAAATCAGAGTATTTTTGGGCGATCCGGATGACGGCTTGGAGGTTCTGGCGGATGTTGGTGGTGAGCATGTGGTCCAAGCAGTCGAGTGAGAGCTCGACAGTGAGCTGTCCAAAGTAGTTGATCATCCACTCTTCGGGGAGCTTGTCGGTCTGAACAATCATGCGTTTAATTGCGCTAGTATCGTCGGTGTGCTCCAAGGCACGGGTAAGAAGTCCAGCGTTCTCGCACAGTGAGGCAATGCGAGGCTTGTCGTAATGCGAGAACATCTCGTTTCCAAGTATAGCATCCGCGACTTGAGGAGCATTGAGCAAATTCATCTCGAGAAGTTTGGTCTGTAGAGGGCCTTCCTCGGGCAAGTTGTTTGCGAGGACATCCAACAGGAAAGCAGTTGCCTGCTGAACCATACCCTGAGACTGGAAAATATCGACCACGCGATCGAGGCTGATCAATGGACCTCCGGAGTGCTTTGCGAGCGCCGTTGCGAACTCTACAGCCTTCTCTGGGTTGACACGAGCTAGGTTAATGTTAGTATTCAGTCATTCTCTGCTTAACTCTTCGATTTTTCAATCACTCACCAATATGCTGCAGCAGGACATTGTAGTCGGGCGTGTATCCAGCCGATTCGCAGTATGGCACGATCAATTCGAAAAGACCAAGCTCTGCGAGGCAAGCAACCACTTTCTGGGGTACATTGGCTGCCTTGTAAATAGAGAGCGCGAGATTAAGGTCGTGAGGTTTTGCAAGATCTCCAAGCTCTTCGGAGCAGAACAGCTTCTCTTCCTTTTGCCACTTTTCAATTAGGTGTTTGCGGCCCTGAGCGAAGACGGGGCGTGCCAGCTCGAGAGTCTCTTCCTTGTTCAATCCACCCTTATCGAGCAGTTGACCAAAGTATTGCAGGAGAATCGTGATTTGACCAGGTTGGGCGGGGATCTGGCGCAGCCTGTTGATTGTCTGAGCTGTGCGAAGGAATCCACGGGGTGAGTTGGCAGCGACCTTTGCGGCCTCGCTGAAATTCGACTGTTGCATCAAGTTCTCGAAGCGCGTAGCGTACAGCTGATCGGCTCCAGGAAGGCCACCCTTAGAAGCCAACTTGTAGGCAATTTCTGCGCAAGCGGGGTTCTCCATAATGTACGGGATAAGAGCATCCTCCTTGATTGTGGTATGGAGGACCTGTCCACGCTTGTTGATCACGACAACACCCTTTCCGTCGTCGTCGCGTGTGGTGGTGAATACTGTCTCCTCCGATATCCGGTTCAAAAACAGAGCGGTACCAGTCTCGAGGTCGTGGAGGTGGATGAAGCCGAACTTGGTGATGACGACCAAGATGCCATACTTGTGAGCAATGTGAATGCCAAGGGGGAAATCGCCGTTGCTCTCAGCAGGCCAGTGGATAGGAATCAATCGCTTGGGGAAGGCAGGGTTGGACGGGTTGTGGTCGACCTCGACAATGTTGATCTTGGCCTCGCCGGAGGTAGATTTGACGGCGAAAGCAAAGATCTTGGTATCGGTGGAAGCACCGTCGAGACGGATGGTTCCAAAGGTGGCTGCATGACCCTCGAGAGGCTGGCTGACATTGCGCGCCTTGGAGAAGAGCTGCATGTTGCCGCGGATGCCTCCTGCGGGGTTGGACGCTATCCCCACCAAACATGACCAGCTCTCGTCATCGTTAGTGACGTAGTTGATGATTTGGTTGTTCTGCAAATCTATAGTCAGCCAATGCAGCGATGCCTCCGCAAAAGAACTCGACCTACCTCCAACTGCTCCTGACGGTCAAAGACCTTGCGCGGAGAAGGCGGGCTGTTTCCATCCAGGACATCCCAGTGGAAGACGGACTTGACGCTGACAAGAGCGAGCGTGGTTTGGCTGATCCATCGCCAGAACTGGATGTCTTCGGTGTGGGTATACGTCTGCAGGCGCTGCTTTGTCTCGAGGTTGAAAAGCTGGAGCGTCTTGCCCTGGGCTTTAAGGGCGATGATGGGCTCCGTCAAATGCATGATGGCGCTATCAGCGCGAATTGGCCGCCGGATGATGTTGTTTGTGTTCTTGAGGTCGACAATCACTGTCTCGGCGGGCGTGTTGCCCTCGCTCTGTTGGCGCACGCAGACAAACTTGTCCGACTCCAATGTCTGGGTATATGGTCAGCTCCCACGTCCAAAGCGAATATTGAGATGCGGTCATCACTTACGCAGTTCTGCCATGATATCGATGCCGGCTGCATTGTTTGTTAGCTGATGATGTCGTGGTTCGGTGGAACGACGCTGGAGCCTCGGGGGAGCGGTAGCACGGGGGTGAACGTACGAGGATGTTCAAGTTCGTGAGCTATTCAATTCGTTGTCAGCAGGATGTTCGAATGATGGCAGAGAGGAGCGGAACATACCAGCGTCGGCTGCGTGACGGACAAGGGGATTTGTCGCTGGGCCATGTTTGCGCCAGTGCAGCTCCGAGCTCACCGGGAGAGAGGGACAGGCTGAAGGCGATGGCAAGGGGAGGTGGGGGTATCGTAAAGAAGAAAGTCAGAATTAGACCCAGAAGGTAAAACGCCAGAAGCGCGCAGTAGGAAATGAGAGAATGTGGAGGAAGAGCGGATGGGGGGAGAATGCGGAGATGATGGTGTTGCTGCTGTTGGTTTTCTGGAAGTTAAAGGAGCTCGATTCCACCTGTCCTGGAACTGAGCCGTAAGCTGGCGCTAGCCCGATTCGGCGGGGGTTTGGTAATGGCACGTGATGAGCCCGACCGCGTCTCTCACCTCGAAGCAACTTGAAGTCACGCAGATAGACTCGGTGTTGTTACATTTGATTTTGGAGAATGCAAGTCTTTGATGCCGCTTCGAGCCTCCGGACACCTTGAATGTTTGATTTATACATGCTTTCACTGCAGCACTGCAGCGCGCGCAACTACAACATAAGCCTTACTCGAGTATCAATATTGTAGATATGAAATATATTGAGTATGCGGTTTTCCTTCTCGCTGCTGTCTAGATGTACTTTGGTTTGCAATATTCGCATGTCGAGTACATGATAGTCACGAACTATTGAATACCTATGTATCTTTAACACAAGTCACAGTTATCGACATTTGAACCTGGTATAAACATGGCAACGGCAACAATAACCACAGCGGGGTACCACAACACCCACCAACACTCGAATGAGTCACAGAGGTCGTTTATCAGGATTAATCATGTGTTAGCGGCTTCACAGAGTGGATTCATCGATCCATCAGGCCAAGAAGAAACTGGATTTGTAGCTCGTTGGGCATTCAAGACGTCGGAATTCGGAATGGCCGTTCCTATTGTCGTTGATCCGCATGTCTTGTGTATGTACGTACCTCCACACGTCATCGGGAAGAACGTTGTTACAATTAATCGCCTCAATAAACGATAATATCAACTGAAGTCGTCCAAGTACATACATATCAAGTCTGTCAAGGTGAAGCTGGACGTGGCTCTCCGATTGGGCCGCAACGAGGCCACCGGAAAGCAGGAGTCGACAATAGCAAAGACGGTCCATAGGCGCGGAGACGAGAAAACAAGGCAGCCTGGCCTGAGACATGTATGTGTGTATGAGGTACATGAATATACAATGCGGAAGAATTATGTACAAACACAAAAGAGAGCCCAACCACGTGCACTCATTGTCCTGTCGAGGTCGCGTTTGCAACGTGGTAGTCCATGTAGTCAGTGGCTCTAGTACTTATTCATTTAATTTCCTGCCTGCCTACCTCGCAGTTGCCCTTTCACCCACACACCCACCCACACACTTAAAACCTTCAACCGCCCCAAAATTACCCGCGCCTCGACAGCACCACTCTTCACTCTCCCTCCTTCTACCACGCACAATATAAATATACAGATACACTCCTCTGTCGCCCCCTCGCTCTTCTCCACCACACGCTCTCCGTGCCCCGCATTCCGAAAACACACTTTTGCTTGCCCCTCAACCGCAGAAAATGGCTCCTGGTAAATGGGGTACGTCATATCCTTGTCCCTCCCTCCCTGTTCATCCGTCTGCCTGCACTCCCGCTTTGCGCCGGACGGCCTCTGCCCGCAGTCGCAGCAGCAGACCTCACTTGTGCCATGGCATTACGTTCGCATGCTGACCGTCGCCGCTACAGATGAAGAAGAGGAGAGCACTCCTCCCTCTTCCCCTCCAACAACCGTCGCCCGCCGCGGCAAGTTTGACGATGAAGAAGAGGACAGCGATGTACGTCAACCTCGGACTCCACGACTCGGTGAAGCCGTTCCACACAAATCACACATACTAATCTACGGTGCATAGGTCCTAGAATCGTGGGATGCCGCCGAAGACTCCGAGGTCGAGCGGGAAAAGGCAAAGAAGGCGGCAGAAGCAAAAGAAAAGGCCGACGCCGAAGCAAAGGCCAACCACAAGAGCAAGTCTCAGCGTATTGCAGAGCGCCGGGAGGAGAACATGCGCCGTAGAATGGCAGACCTTGATGTATCGGACGACGAGGAGGAGGACGAGGCCGAACGCCGCGCCCGTTTGAGGAAAACGGAGCAGGACGCCGACCTCGCCCACGCCGAGGATCTCTTTGGCGGTGCTGCCAGCGGTCCTAAGCGTACTGCCGGCAAAGCTGTCACTCTATCTGATGCCAGCCAGCCAGACCAGGTCATCGACTTGAGCTCGCTGCACCTCTTCAACCCCAACACCAAGGGCGACTTCACCAAACTGCGCGAGACTCTTGTGCCCCTGATCAACGCCAACGCGAAGAAGGCCCAATACGCTCTGTTCCTGCAGGAGTTTGCCAAACAGATTGCAAAGGATCTCCCCAGCGACCAGATCAAGAAGGTTGCCAGCGGGCTCACGACGCTCAGCAACGAGAAGATGAAGGAGGAGAAGGCGGCAGAGAAGGGCGGCAAGAAATCCAAGGCGGCAAAGACAAAGACCAGCCTCAACGCTACGAGAGACGTCGCTTACAAGGCGGACACTGCAGCATATGAGGACGACTTTGGCGAGTAAGTGGCTCGGTTGCATCCTGTAACAGGTCGGGAACACGAAATGCTAACGGTGGTACAGTGACGATTTCATGTGAAAGGGCTGACGAGTACTTTGCCTGAGACTTGCCCCCCGTCCTCTCCACTTTGCCCTCCCTCATTCGGCTGAGATTGACCATGAACCACGGCGTCGCCTGCAACCGGCCGCCACTCTTGCCCGAGATGGCTTCCACGGTTGGTTAGTTAGCAGCAGAGCACCGTTTCCCTGGACTCGGAGCTCCCTTTTTTTCCAAAAGATGTCTACCATGCCTTTAGTGTGCGGCGTTGCGGCTGTTTTGCATTCTTTCGGGTTTTCATCTGACTAGTCGTGTGGAGCCGTTTGTGGCTTGGCCGCCTGTTGTCTGTCTGTGGCGCCCTTTCTCTTTTTTTTTCTCTTTTCTTACATTAGCATCTTCTTCCTTTCCGAGTATGTAATGGGGCGAAACAAGTTTTGCATGGGGGCGGTATTTGTCAAGTCTGGATGGATGGATGGGGTGGCGATGCGCAATGTCGGTTGGCAAACGGCGACCAGTAGCGAGGAATTGATAGACGGTCCAAGATCACGAACAAGAAACAAGCGACATTAGCGAGCTATAGCGATAGACAACGAACACATGGAGAAAAAAGGGGTTACAACGCGCAAGATTTTAGTGGGGTATAGGAGACGATCAATCAATTCGATTAACAGCAGGAATTTCCCAAAAACTCGATGTTCTGTGCCACGCGAAGTTTGAAGTTTGAAGATTAGCGAGGCGGCGGCAAGGAAGCATAGTTTGAAACCGCTTTGCCACCACACCCGCCGCAACGCACGTTTTCCTCTTTCCCTTTTCCTTTCTTCTCCGGTATCGGGTTTGATGATCTCGGGGATAGGTAGGTAAAGTGCATTGCCTATGTGGGGAGTTGCGTGCGCGTACCTGTCGATCCATTGTCGGTTGAACAGTTTCACATCTTGATCAATTCATTCATTCGAAGACGGCGGCGGTTAGGTTAGCACGCACCGTCTTGGAGCAAGCAACCAAGGACACAGCCACTCGTCTCCGACTCCGTAAAAAAAGCCGAAGATTAGCCCGGGTAGAGCTGGATCAGCCACACATATACACAGAGAGAGTAGAGAGAGGAATAGAGAGAGTTTGGTATGACATGACATGACAGGACATGACGGCATACCGCAATCATCGTTGATCAGAGCCGGGAAGACGCAGACAGGCAGGCATTCTCGTGGCTTTAATTTTCGGTGACGCCACACTTACTCCTACTCCACCGCCATCTCTTGCCTTGCTCGGTCTTCTCTTTCTCTCGCGTCACCTATATACTACTGTGTATAGCTTTTTTTAGAGGGGGTCCGCGTAGTTGAGACTTGCTACTGCGGGAGGATGTAACCGTGACAAGGCAAGCTTTTCAAGTCGAGAAATAAGAAAAAAGATGGGCAAAGTTGCAAGGGTGCTGGGAAGAACGGATCGTTCGGCGCGCGCGCGTACGTAGCTGTACAGAAGGCCGGTGAGAATGGACGGCGGTAAGGTAGGGTCTAGTTTTGCTAATGCGCCACAGGGTTTTGCCGGATTGGTTGGAGACGTTGTTGGAGCGAGATGATGATGAAGGGGAAGAAAGAATGGTTTGTTGACTTCTTCTCTCTCGGTAGACCTGTTATGCCTGTTTGGGTTTTCGATACTTACAATGCCGATGGTTGATCTGTCTCTCTCTCTTTCTTGATGCCCGGTTGGTTGGTCGGTCGGTTGGCTGCCCGTTTTTTTTTTCCTGCTTTGCACAGCCTCCTTGGGCTAGACCTGTTTCCGACGTGCGGCTGTGAGAGGGGTATTATCATTTTTCTGGCTCCGGCTCTGGCTCTGGAACGACCGATGGAAATGCGATGGGGTTACATGCATTCTGGAATTCGACAAGGGAGTTTAACGTCCAGCTCCCAACAAGCAGAAGGGAACGAAACGAAGGAAAGGAAAGGAAAGGGAGTGGCGCGTAAAAAAAAATGGTTGATGGGATGAGATGAGATGGGGGTTGCTTTGCCACAGTTTCACGACATTTGAGCGTGCAGCGTGGTTTTGCCTCGACTGGCTGGAGGTAGCTGATCATCAGCCTTTTGTGTGTGTGTGTGTGTGTGTGTGTGTGTGTGTGTGTGTGTGTGGATGTGTGTTGTCGGTGGCATCATCCCAGGAGGACGATCCATTCTTCTTTTCTTCGATCATTCCTTCCTTCCTGTGAGAGCATCAGTCCATCGACTGGTAGTATGTAGGTACAGTCAGTCTGGAGGTGCGTGCGTGCGCAAATGGCGCATCATGGCGTCGTCGAGCGGGCGGGCGAGCTTCGGTTGCTGGCATCCCGGCGACGGCGGCGGCCGCAGCGGGTTACTTTTTTTTCTCTTCTCTGCTCAGCTTGACGCTGGCTGTGGCTGCTACCGTGTACTATTAGGTGGGTTTGTCAAGTATAATACAAGTCTGGGTTATAGCGTCGTATAGTGTAGAGAGTATAATGGGCTTTGTCGTCATTTGTTGGCTAGGCCGCCGGAAAGATCCAGCCACAGTCAGTCAGTCAGACTCTTTGATCAATCAATTGATCAATGGCTGCTTGCTTGCTCGTTTAGCCACTGCCTGCCTACCTACCGCCTATACATACCTGCATGGATGCATCCATACCGTACAGTACCGCTGCAGCATTCGCTCTCGTCGTCATCACCATCACCATCATCCATCCATTCGGCTCCCACCATATCCGGCCCTCGTTCCTCCACCGATGATCCAATCCTTTCTTTGAATTGATTGATTGATTGATTGATTCAGGGAGTACACGCAAAAAGGAACATCCGGGTCCCAAGCCACTTCTCCTCCTCCTCTTTCTCCTTGTCGTCGTCTCGTCTCGTCTCGTCTCGTGTCTGCCAAGCCCAGCCTGATCGCTGCTTACTCATCTCACCACCACCACCACACACCCCGGCACCTTCCATCTCGACAGCCACACCTGCTCTTCTGCTCCTCCAAGCACACACGCACCCACCGATACATACACGACCTCTTTTTTTTCACTTTCTCATTCATCATCGAGTATCCTCTCTCTCTCTCTCTGTGTGTCTCAACTCTACCCCCGCCATCTCCGAATTGCGCATTCCAAACCCGTCCCGAGGCGCCCGCGTGTGTGTCTGTGGCTCTCCCGTCTCGTCTCCGCCAATCCGCGCTAGACCGCCCGCTTCAGCTCACAGCCTCACTGCCACGCCCGCCTGCCCTGCTCTGCTGCTCTGCTGCCCTGCCCTGCCACTCCTCCACCGCAGCCAACCAACCTCCCATCTCATCCCAACCCGGTCCGACGCCCGCTCTCCCTCCCTCTCTCTCGCTCCGCTCCTCCATCGTGCCTCGCCGTCGTAGTCGCATCGCATCGCGACATCACTCTCTGCCTCGACTGCTTTCCTGCCCGCATCCCGCACCACCCTCGACCTGAAGCACCTGTCGCATTGCCTTGCATTGCCTGGCGCGCATCCTACCCACCTGCTCCGACCACCACCACCACCATCACCTCCACCATAACCGCTTGCTGCTCATCAATCCCATGAGAATAGCCACCCGCGTGCCACGTCGTCATCGTCACTCCACCCTCTCATAATATCCCAAAAGGTATGTTTCTTGCTCCAATGCGTCCCCTCCGACCCCCCGATTGCCCAGCATTGCAGTCGTAAACAACAATCATTTCGCCTCTCTCTCTCTCTCTCTGCCGCCCTTTGCCAACCCCATCGCAGCACATGCTAACGCGATCAACCCCAGACAATCAGCGTGTTTCGACCCGCTCCACATCCATCAGATGGCTGCGTCGGCTCGAGCCATTACGCCTACCCACACAGGCCCGTTTCCTGCGCCGAATAGAGCCACCACCCCGAATCCGCACACGGGCGCGACCTTCGGCGCTCACCTCACCAAGTCCCCGCGCGGTCTCTCACCCAGGCAGTCGCCCCAACCCTTCACAGGTGCCGCTGCCCTTGAAGACGAACGCCAGAGGCATCAGCAGCTCTCGCGCCAGACCACGCCCAATCCGGCCATCGCCGTCGTTCAGAGCCTCATTGGCGCCACCGCCCAATCCTCCGCCGCCAAACCCCAGAACGCGCCGGCAGAGCCCTCGCAGATGAGTGCACCCTTGGAACAGGTCGCCAGGGCCTTGGTCATCCCCGAGCAGACGGCTGTCACTGGAGATGCCATGCATACGAGTCCCGTCAGCCTCTCCAGCTATGGCTCGGCCGATTCCACCACCGCACCCACCGCGACCGCCATGCAGGCAACCACCACCGGTCCCGCGCCTATGCTACCAAACGGCCAGGAAGTCGCGCCTCAACCACCTCAACCGCCCCAACAGCAGCAACATCAACCTTCGCCTCAGCCTCCACAACAGCCGCCGCAACCTCAACAGCAGCAGCAAAATCAACCACATCCACCGCCGCTTGCTCCGCAGATGCAGCACCAGCCCATTGCCCCGAATCCTGGCGAGAGTCCGGGCAGCCGCGCCTTTACGTTCCCTGGACCGCTCCCCCCAGAGCACGATCCCCGCGCTCCGACCCGCCAGATGAGCTTGCCCGGCTACCAGAACAGCCCCAAGTCTCCCTCCACCAAGCGCCACAAGTGCCCTTACTGTTCCACCGACTTCACTCGACACCACAACCTCAAGAGTCATCTGTTGACACACAGCCAAGAAAAGCCTTATGAATGCCCTACGTGCCAAGCCCGCTTCCGTCGTTTGCACGATCTGAAACGGCATACCAAGTTGCACACGGGCGAGCGCCCGCACACGTGCCCCAAGTGCGGCCGTAAGTTTGCACGCGGAGATGCTCTTGCCCGTCACAACAAAGGCCAAGGTGGTTGTGCCGGCCGTCGTTCCAGCTTCGGCTTGGACGATGACATGGGCGAGGTGCGGGGTGATGATGGCATGGAGGGGTTGGTCTACCACAACGAGCACGACGGCGAGGGTGACGAAGACGAGGAAGGAGGTCGACGTGTGAGTGAACCAGCGCGTAAGAGGCAAAATACCGGAAACTCTACGCAAGGTCCGTATCGCCAGCACTCCAGCACATACCCACCCCTTGCTGTCAATCGATCACAATTGGGTCAGTCTGATTTTCAATCGCCATACCACGCCCCCTCCGGACCCTACGGTCCCTCCATCAACCACCCGACTAACACGTCGCCAAAACTAGCCCCCAGCAGCATCTCCAATTTGCACTATACCGCCAATCAAGCAAACATGTTTAGCCAGGGTGGCATGACCGAGAGCCCCAAACCCATTTCTCCCGGCCAGCAAGATCAGCATCGCCTGGGATCCGATGCCAGCATGCCGCGATCGCCCAACATGCACGCGAATTTTGCTCGTGGCATTGGCCGCGGTTCGTCCCCCATGGCCATGGCACCCCCTCTGGCGAATGCTCCTCAGCTGCCCACGCTTCCAGGCCTCAACCCCGCCATGGTGTCCAAGCAAGGTTCTCAGGGCGGCAAGGCGAATGGTCCTAGCATGCTCCAGCACCAGCAAGTGCCGGGTTCCGGAACCCCGTCGCAGCCCGGCAGCATGTCAAGTCACGGAGGCGGCAGTGGTGGCAGTATGCGCGAAATCATGGGTCAAGGCCCCGACATGTGGCAATATGTTCGCGACGTCGAGGCCCGCATGGCCCGCATGGAAAAGGAACACGAGACAAAGATGACGACACTTCAAAATGAGGTCACCACTCTCCGCGCCCAGCTGGCCACACAACATGCGCACAACACTCAGCAATGACGCGAGGCCTATCCGCTGCCCGAGCGCGGACGGTCGTGATTAGCTTGGGTTTATGTATCCATATGAGCATGCGGGTTCCGAACATGATGCTTCACGCGGTGGATATCTGATTTTCCTTTCATGTTCTTTTTTTTTTCTCGTTAACAAATGATACCTCGGTATGGAAACCAGCCATATCATCCGTTGTGTGGGAAGCAAAAACAGGGCTCAGACGTTTTTCTGATTGTCTCTCACAAAGTCACTGCATCACAGCGATACGGAGTCAGGGTTTTGGTGGGGGCGTTGGCATCGATCATTCTTGTAGAAGAAGAGTGCTGTAGTCCCTCTCTCTTTCTTCTATAGGGAGGATTTGGGCGGCGGACTCTTTTGTCTGGTTTTTTACATGTTCTTTTTTTATTTCCTGGACGTTCGTTTCTTCCCCTTCCATCAAGAGGATATCCGAACAAGAGGTGGGGGGATGTCCTTGCTATTTTACAAAATTGGTGTTATTGATTTGTTTGTTTCTCTTCTCTTATCATGGGGATATGGGGGGATCCGAGGGATCATACAGCAGAGAGGAAAGAAGGATGCTGGAATAAAGGGATGACGGGAGGCAACACTGGTCTTCTTCAACGTGCGTTGTTCCCGTCTGTGCTGGTTTGGGGGAGGGTTTTGGGTCTTGTTCTTTATTTGCTCATCTTGATATCTAACCTTGTTCTTTTTTACCTCTTTCTCTATTTTGCTATTGCTATGGTTTCCCTGGTTTCTTGATCTAACATGGGTAAAGAGATGGGATAGTATATGACCAGAGGGGCAGGAAAGAGATAGCGTGCGTGTGTGTGTGTGGGAATAAACGGGGGTGGGGGCAACAATTTTGATATCTTTGATTTAATCGGTGAATCTTTACCTACCTAACCTATCTTATCCCATCTATCTACCCATCTTTCCATTTTTTCTTCTATTCAAGAATCAAAACGCAGAGACTGACTAATTCAAATACGTTGAAACATTTTATAGTTTTCTCTTTTTTTTCTTCTCGCTAACAGTTGATCAAGTTGGTTGGGTTCGCGTGCTTCGTTCTTGTCCTTGTAGCCTAGCCTCCTCCTCCCTAGATCCAACGAATCATCCAAAAAGGTCTTGTAGTTCCCATAACAACAACAACGAAATAAACTCTATATACGAATGCATATTCATGCATCACGACAAAGAGCCTTCTATATTAGTTATTTATTTGGTTTGGGTACTCAGCATACATGCATTTATAACCTTCCTTGTATATGCAAACTCCACAAATGATCTTTGACACCGTTTGACTAAGTAAGCAAGGCGCGAGAAATATAGTAAAGCTGTCTTTAAGGGTAACGCGCATAGAGATGAAAAAGTAAATAGGATTTACGTGGAGCAGAACAGAATAGAATACAAAGAGAAATAGAAAGTTAGATAAACGCAAAATATACTAGCATTCTTATCTATACGTACGTACGTATGCGTATGGTGTATGCATATCTCTACATCTACAATAACTCCTTCTTCTTACTACTATCATCTACCTTCTTTGTTCTTAGGGGTTTGAACTATTCTATTTAAACACGCCTGCAAAGTCATTTCTTAAATATCTGTATTCTATGCATACATGCACATATTCGCCTAAACATCTCTTCGCCCTTCTTATCTTGCTCTTTTATTAAATACCTCGAGCGAAAACCTACCTGCAGAAATTAAGTGTTGGAGTTTAATACCAGAGATTCGGTCCTGCGCTACTTTGTGTGTATGTGTGTAGATGGGAAACAGGGAAGTATTCTGAATAACGGGGTTATGGTTTATCACGTCCCATAGTTTCGTAGTGGGTAGGTTAAATAAATGGGTGAATATGCACCGTGAGCGTGAGCGTGAGCGAAGAGTTGTTGTTCTTGTGCGTGTGTGTGTGTGTAGGAGATAGGATTGGTGTAGTGGTATGAATTAGGGGCATTGATGTCTTGTGTTGTTCGATGTCAGCTTATTTTGGCGTTTGTTTGATTGTTTGCCTGCCTGCTTGATTGCAATGCTGTTGTATAGAAGGGAACTCTGAGGCAAGCAAGATGGATAAGGGAAGACGGAGTTTAGGGGGACCAAGACTCGAGGAATGCCGAGCTACGTTGGGCGCTTTGGGTGCGGCAAGTACTTAGAGCGTTTTTCCTGGTGTAATTGGAATTGGGGTTTCTGTTGGTGTGTGAGGGGTTATTCGTCAAGGTGTAGGATTGAGTTGGGTGTGTTGCTGCACGGGGCTAGCACGTGTGATGGGTGTCGTGATGTTGGGGTTCCTGCCCACCTGGGCAGGTGTATTCAGGTCGCCAACACATGTACGTAGCAAAGTGCATACACTCGAGGGAATCAAAAACATGTGAACAGCTGAAGTTCTACTCGAGACTACATTGTGGGTGTGCCATGCCCAAGAACATACTTGTATGTATATAAAAGCTTAGTTGGGTAGTCGGGAGCTCACTCACAGGCCACTCACCTAACTACCCTCGACGTACTTTACTCATCAGGCAAACAAACAAAAAAAGCCCACCACAAGCATAAAAACAAACTGGACAGCTCGCAACTCGAACCCACGACCTCTCCCCACCACCCCTACACATATAATATGAGAACATCCTACCTTAATAAAAAATGCAAAAAAGCCAGCTACTGCCGAAGCAGTAGCCCAAGCTGAAACCCGCTGAGTGCAATGCGGATTTTAAACCTTGTAATGATGTGCTGGAATGTGCTGGCAGATGAAAGGAAAGGTTGTCACTTACATTCTTCTTCTCTCTCGTAACTACGACCGAAGTCGTAGGCAGGCACTGGCCCGCTGGACCAGCTGTGTAGGTTCCTATTTGGATGGGAATGATTGCCGATATTTGGGTATATATAGAACCTCAGAGAACCCGTGGGATAGGTGAGATTGCAGTAAAAAGGTGGCTGCCTTGAGCTTGGACTTTAAGATTGGATAGGTAGGTAGGACCGTGACGTCGGGTCTGGCTGTGAGAGACAGGGAAGGAAGGCAGGCAAGACAGTTGCGAGCAAACAAACACTCCGCAGCTACTTGGGCAAATCAGTACGCATGGCCCAATAGCACGGTTTCCTCCGCCCTCACCAATTTCACGCGTCTGCCCTGATGATCTACTCAATTGGGCGACTTGCTCTACGTTACTTGCCACTGACTGTCCATGTCCTCATGTGGACAGCGAGCTCTCTACCCTTGACACTACACCCAGCCGAGCATGATGCCATACCCCGAAAGATCTTCCTTTGATACTCAGGCAGACCGCAGAACTTCCAATCATGCCGTCTGCTGTCTGCCGCAAGCGCGACTCACTACCTCCCTCTCCCCCCCACGACCCTTCACCTACGCTGACTCGAAGAGCAATCGCTCCGGCTTTGAATACGACCAGTCGACCATACTACCAAGCATAACACAGCCGTAGATCTCGCTTTGCGACTCAGTCCTCAAAGCTTCCTTTTATAGTCTCTTTCGCAAAGGCAGACGCACTTCCTCCTTCCCTCACGATTCTTCACCTGCGCTGCCATCAACTGACAAAGAAGCTCCCTGCCCTCGAGATTGTCTGCGACCGAGCATACTCCCGCCCGTCAGATAGCCAACGGCCATTTATTTCGACTAAGATAGACCGCTGCATGATGTGCAGAGCTTCCAGTCACATCCTCTCCCGCAGACGCAATGTAAGCCCTCCTCCTTCTTCCTCACGACCCTTCGCCCGAGCCTCAGATAGCCAGAGACCTTTTGCTTCGTCACTTCCAGATCTCAGAGCTCCCGATCGTGACCTCTCTATGCATGCAAATGCGAGCCCTCCTTTTTCTTCCTCAGACTGCAGAGCTCCCAATGATAGCCTCTCCGGCAGACAGTTCCCTCTTCCTTCTTTACGAGCAGTCTTCCGCGACCGCGCTTCATGGCTGGCTCCCTTGCCCCGATCCTGCCCGCCGTACGAGCGCCGTCTATGTTGAAGTGGCGAAACCTCTTCGCAACAGTATACTCATACCCTCGATCTTTTGAGCTTGGAGATAGTACATAATGTAGGCAAGCGCTGAGATAGGCTGGCATTTGTACAAAGGAGGGGAAGCGCCGCCACGGAAATTCTTGCAAAGAAGGTAAACCGCTGTCACTAAGAGATTGAGTCTTCATGCGCTTGACCTCTCCTCCTTTATTCGTTCTCGTTGCGCCGAATCCTGGTCCAGTCAAAGCAGGGGGGAGCAGCTGATGAGCGACAAGGAGGGTAGCGATGTTACTTGCTTCCTTGCTTTGTATCAACGGCTACATTGAATAGTCTCAAGTCCTAAACCCGAATCAGTTCCCCAAGGTCCCATATTCATGCTTTGATACCGCGTTAACATTGTTCTTCTCGTATAATCACCTTTGATAGTCAGTGAGATTCGTGACATGCTTGGTACTGGTAGCTACCGTAGTGTTCCGCAAGTGACAAGTACGCATGTCAATAGGATAACTAACTAGATGAATGGTAGACACTGTAAGTTTTCAGTGGCTACTATCAGGAAGTATAGTCACCAAGTAGTATTTCAAAGCTTACCAAAAAAATAGAATTACTCGTTGTATGGCGGTGGGTTTTTGGTAATCGCCTATCCTTTGGTCCCTGTATAAGGACAACATCGCTTTGTGTATGATCACCCAAACTCCAACTTACAATTCGCAATTCACAATCCGCGTGACATTAGTATCTGAGACGCCGTGAGCCTGTTATCTGCGCAACTTTCCGGTATTTCATCACAATCAATTGAGTAGAGAGATGGAGTTGTGATATGATATTTCACGTTTTTTATAGAGAGCAGAGGATGATCCTAATTCCCAATTCCGATTCCGATACATATGACATGTTTGAAAAGGAAAACCGAATAATTGAGTATATAAGTATACACGTGAGAGTTTTACAATGCTGAGGAGGGAGGGGGAGATTTGGTTCTGCCGTTATTTTACTTCCTTTGTCCTTGATCCAGGTAATAAGAAAGAAAAGAGAAGGAGGATCCTCCTTCGATTCCATTTCGCCTTCATACATTCTCCGGCATGCACAAAAGAAAAAAAAAAGAAAAGAACACGGTAGAGAGGGGTGGGCTACGTGGGATGAGCCCGAATCGAACAAATAAAAAGACCCAGTCAGGCGGGCTGGCAGGGACACCCATCACACTGCAGCAGTTGTACATTTTTCTTCCTCCTCCTCGAACTCGTCGTCGTCTTCCTCATTGCTTCCTCCTTTCATTTGCCTTTTCTCCCCTCATCATCTCCAATCCATTCCCATAGTGCAGTCCAGTCTAAACCCCTCCATCGCAAATCCATCTCAAGGAATCCCATCGTATCCGTAGGTGTATGTGTAGGCGTATGCGGTACGTCTACTTGCTAGGCACATAAGCGCCCCGCTTGAGCTTGAACGCGCGCTGATCCTTGAGCCAGCGTCGGTAATCGGCCAAGCTGCCAATCTTCTCGCCGTAGTAGTCGGGGACGGGGTTGTTCATGGACGAGGAAGTGGGGTCGACGCGGTGCGATTTGATGCGGTTGAAGAACTCGCGCTCTTTCTGTGGTTGGGTTTGTCAGTTACGTACTCTTTTAATTTTTTTTGGAAGAAATCCAAATGTGACGTTAACGATTCTCGCAGAGTAGCTTGACGACAGCGCCGGAAAAAGAAAAGCTAGAGCAAGACAAATAACAACAACAACAACAGGAAAAAGGAAGTGCACAACTACAACAAAAAAGAAAAGAGAAACTCACGTCCATAATCTCCCCCCTAATGCCGCGATACCGCATATTGAACACAGCGCCCCCAAACACCGGTCCCAAAAGCCATCCCGCAGCCAGCATGGCGAAACTAGAGATGCCCGTCACCATGAGCGGATCGATGCCCACAGACGCAGACAGCGTCGCGTCCCAGCCTTGCTCGATGAAGACACGGAGGCCACTGTACAGCGTCGCCACAGAGGTAAAGCCAGAAGCCACGACATTGATCTTGCGGCGCGTGCGCCGGAGCGCGAGGAAGTCGTTCCATGTGAGTTTTGTGGGCGTGTTTCCGCCGGCGGCGGGGGAGGGCGAGGACGAGGGTTGGGATGTTGTTGAGGCGGCGCGGAGGAGCGCGGGTTGGAAGAGAGCGTTGGAGAGGGGTGCTGGGCGTGTGGCGGGTTTCGCGGGAGTCCGTGGTGAGGTCGTCGGTGAGGAGGTAGTGGAGAACGGAGCTGCGGTGGTGGTGGAGGGAACTGCTAGGATGGCCGGATTGAAGCGCGTGGTGAAGGCCCTTGCAGGACGGAGACACGAAGGTGCGAACATTGTGGGTGCGAGCGTTGTATATCAGCGGGTTGGATGGTTGGTGGTGGTGGTGGAGTGGAGGTTGCGGGTGGGTGGACGTTGGAAAGACTAGTTAGCTGGGGAGCTAGAGCTAGCTGTCTGTCTGTCTCTGTGTGCAGGGCAAAGTTTCGTGTCAGAGGTCAAAGTTTGGGGGTTTAACCTTGGCACAAACGAGTGCGGAGGTGTTCGGTGCCACTCTTCGAGAACCACACTGAGCGAAATAAAGTCTGGAATGAAGCCAATCGGTTTCCTGTTCTGACGCCTCGAATTGGTTGGAATTGACAATGATTGTAGCCCCTTGACCATGAAGAAGGAGCCGAGTGTGGACCACAGCAAGCTCTCGTCAAACGTCATCATAGTCCCGTCGCGCCTGGGGCATTTTGCTTATGTCATAGCCCAGCGAGCATCGTTATGAAAAAAAGAAATGGAGGGCACCCGAGACAAAGATCAACTAAAAGTACTATTGATCGTGTGTTATAATCGCTGGGAATTACACATGTCACGCTCTCACATCCTCATTCAGTGACACCCAATCAGCAGGCACATTCCTACAATGTAACATAGCATAGAGAAATCGGCAAACCAATGGCAAGAAAGTTGGTATCGAACAGAAAGAAGGGGGTATCCATATGAATCTGCATACGACTACGAAACGAAAAGTGAAGAAGATAAAAAAGAAAGCAGCAAAGGAAAAGTAATAAAAAGCCCAGGTATGCGACCTCCCATGCAGCCATTTGCTAGCCATTATCAATCATATCATATCAAATCATTCGCTCCATCATTCGTCCATTGGCCAATCGCCTTTTGATATCGCTGAAGAAAGAACCCAGCATCGACTGACTCAAAGAATAACCCGGATGAAACATGACCACAACAGCTCCTTTAACACGAGTTTAGTACTTTCTTCTCACCCTCTCTGCCAAGCTGCTCCCAGCGCCAGCCTGCCCCTCGTCCACCTCCTCGACCCTTTCAGGCGCCGGCGTACGTCGCTCCCTCGCCCGATGACCCCTCCTCTTGCGATTGTGACTGACATTGCTCGCGCTGTCATCGGGCCCAATCTCACTCCTGAGATCATCGAGTCCCTCATCTGCATCCCCACGCATCGAGGCCGGTGTACCGGTCCTGACCTCGATGCCGCCCGCGTGAACGCCCCCACGGGCCTGCGCAACCATGGAGAGAGCTGCGCCGCGCTCACGAAGCCGCCGTCGCACGTTTTCGGCTGCTAGGTGCAACGCTTCGAACGCATCCTCCATCGCTTCCATGCCTAGGTAGATCTCACGCTCCACTTCAGCAAGAACTGCCACCTCGGTATCTTCGTCAATTTGCACGGGCGCGGGGCCACCTGGTGGCCGTGTAGAACCGGGTCGTGTGGAGCCGGGACGGGCCGAGCCTGGACGTGGAGATGGGCCTGGGCTGAAGGGGGAGAATGGGGTTTGCGCGCTGAAAGGAGAGGCGAACCGTTGGGGTCCGTCAGTGGGCGGGATCTCACCAAGTGCTGTCTCCGCGCCGGACCAGAGGAACCCGTCGAAACGGCCTGAGACGAGAATTTCCCATTCGTGTTTCGTTACAGCAGACAGAGTGGCCAGAGTGTTGTGCATGTCGGGATTCCTGATGAGGTACATGACAACGAGCTGGTTGCGGGGAGGTGAGTAAAGGCGATAGAGTCGCTGGAGGGCAAGTCCTGCTTTGGCTAGATAAGGTGGTGTCGCTGTGTTCTCAGGCTTGGTTCGAGGATTAGGGAGTTCTTCCAAACCATACAGAATTGCATAGAACAGCGGTCTTTGATGTTGCTCGAGCCGGGTAAGCATAGCGAACGTGAGGGTCTCGTCATCAGCATCCTCGGGCACGCCTTCTTGCTGGCTCGATAGCCAAGATTGAACGGCAACCTTGGTTTTCCGTGACTGCTGGGCATAGTGCTCACGGTATTGTTCTGGTACGTCGACGTCGATGCGCTGGCAGGGATCCTCCAGAGAAGAGCCTATGCCCAGCCCTTTTGCACCTTCATCGACGGGTGGCCAGTTGGGCAGATCGCATCGCCCCGATACCAGTTCCAGAATCTCACCCCAGTTTACACCCGCGGCATCTTCGTGAATGGGTTGATCTAGACACATGAGACATCCACAGTATTCTGAAGAGATGTTGCGAGCGAAGACGGCCTCTAGTCGATCAAGTAGACGGCGTGCAACGGATCGGTAACCGGTAGCAACTGCCAATGAGCCATTGGTATCGATCACAGCATTGTAGTCATCGAGCAACTTTTGTAGAGGGTTAAAGAAGGCGCGAGCATCGTGCGATTGAGGTCCTGAAACTCGTGGTGACATGTACTGACTGTAACCGGTCACGGGCGTGCCCTCCATGGCAGCCAACAGTGTGCGTGGCACCGGCCGTGTTAGACCTCCATTTTGCAGGAGATAATCAACCCTCGGTGGATCTACAAGACCAAGCGCAGGGGGAGGTGGGGGTGGCGGAGGAGTAGAGGATTGCTGGGTATACGCCGAGTCTGTAGACTGAGCACGAGACAGAGGATCTGATACGATTTCCACTGTGGGCGGTCTGGGCACCTTTTGTGCCGATATCACGGATGGAAGGACAGAGTGCTGGGTAGGAGTTCGAGGAGAGGAATCGATGATGGATGCGGGCGAGACTTCGGAATTGGTGGGCGAAGTGTCGACTACCTTGCGCGAGGGCTGATACTGTGGCGGGACGGAGGTTGCGTCAGAACCAGTCGACTGTGTGACTACAGACGCCTGTCGTGACTTGACTTTTACAGGTGTCGACCGTCTCGAGGTTCGCACGCTCGAGGTACCGGCGCTCTTCGTCTTGGTGGGCGCAACCTTTGGAGACTTTGCGCGTATAGTGCTGGGCTGACTACTGGTGGTCGAAGTCATGTCTGTGCCGTCCACCTCTCCATCTCTTACACTGGATCGTGATAGTCCTCGAGGCTCTGGAGTCAACCTCGTTCCACTCTCGACGCTCCGCCTGCCTGCCTCCATCTCTTTCTGAATAGTCTCAGGGTTGTTCCGTCTCATGCTGTTGGCACTGGCCGTCTTGCGCAAGTCCGCGCCGTTGGTAGCGGTGAGGGGTGGACTGGGCGGCGCTCGTGTAGGAGCCGGGGGGGATGTCTTCTCCTTCTCGTTATCGTTGGTGTCGTCGCCAGCGTCAGTCGCATTTGGTGTGAATGGCGAACGCTTCCTCTCAACCGGATCTGCTGCTGTGGCAGCGCGTGAATATATATTCTCCTTGGCGTGCGTCTTCGAAAGGGTGGGGTACGAAAGACTGGAGCGGGAACCGTTCGCAGAACCCATCCCCAGCGACCCTCTTCTATCCATCTCTGGTACGACCGACAGATTCTTGGGGACCGAAGTGGTCGACGATGTGCGCTCTCGTGATGCGGCGTCCCGGGTACGGTCACGTTCGGTGTCGTCGTCCTTGGAGGTGGAAGAGCGAGTCTTGCGCGCAGTGCCCGAGGAGCGAGACGACTTGCTGCTCTTGTGGCGATCTCTGTCACGATCCTTGTCTTTTGACTTGGGACTAGAGCGCTCTCTGTCCGGGTCCTTGTCCTTTTTGCTGCGGCGACGACTCTCCGACGTTGAGCCCAGCATCGTAACGTCGGGCAGCAGTGGTCCCCTAGTAACGGAAACCAACCGAGCGGCGCAGTCTGTATAGCGTAGGGGTGGAAGGTGTGGGTAGTAGCGGCGGCGGCGGCGGGAACCGTGGGCGGTGGTAAGCTACGCGGGCAAGCGGCAGGCAGCCGATCGATCAATCAAGCAATAGAGCAAGATGAGAGAACGAATGCAATGCAAGGCAGGTCAAGGCAAAGGCAAAGCGGGACTCGAGTTGCAACCGCTTCAACCTTGCACAAGCGCGGCTACCAGGACGTGCGATTGGATGTCGGCCTTCATGTGCTGGATGAAGAGTGAGGGGAAGGGTACAACGGATCGAAGGGCCTATCAGCGTGGCAGACGGCTATCCATCTGGACACTGAAGAAGGGACTGTCGCTAGGATGTGATGGAGCACAGCACCGTGTGGGTGTGGTGGAGTATGGTAGCGCGGGAGTATACTCTGCTGCTGGCTGGGTACCTGGAAGGGACGTATGTAGGTAGGTAGGAAGAAGGATAGCTGAAGTTTGGTAGCCTTGGACAGCGGTCGAGGCAGCGGAGAACGGTGCGAAAAGGGTTGAGCGTTGTGCGTAGTGGTGTGATGCGGTGAATGCGCTGGTCGTTGCGAGTGGGCTGTGTGAGGGAGCGAGAGTGGGTGGGTGGATGTAATGGATCAAATGGATGCGTTGTGGATGTCGGCTGGTTGGGTCGCTTTCTTCTTCAGGCACGTTGACGTGGACTTCTCCTCCACTCCTCCCATGTGATATCCTTCATCCTTAGTAGTAGCTACCCGGTCGACCAATCGTCCATACTCTGTTTGCTATACACCAAGTATCCTTGTATGCCTACAGTGAACCATACTCACTCGACTACTCTGCTCGCTATTTCATCTTGATTCTTGCCACTCCATTCACCGTCTCACCGCCAAGTCTCCACCCAGCGAACTAGCAAAGGAGCGAATCCACACTTCTGTCTATTCCAAACGTAAATCCAAGAAGACGCTGGACTGTAGCCATACACCGCAAGATGGACTCACAAGTTTTCTTGGTATGACCTCGCTGTGTAGAGAAGACAGTGGTAGACTAGCCACCAATGACTCGCGTCATCCATGCAACAGTAATCCTTTTAAAGTAGTATCGTTCTATGAATAAAACGAAATCAACATATATTATATATTTAAGCATTATATGTGCTTGGCCTTTGAATGTCCCTTCCCTTCAAATTATCATGACATTCGTTGCGCCTCATTTTGAGTGCTTCAATTAATCCTACGTATTGCGTCCAGGCCCAGTTCCGTGATCGTTCCTTGGATCAAATTAAGAAGAAACCAAATCAAACCCGATTCCCTGTCCCCTAAACGTGATTATACAAAATGACAACTCGCAATAAATCAAATGAAAAAATCGTCGTTACTCTTCGTACATGACCGTATCGAGTGGTGGACTACCAATCCCATTACAATGCTTCAATGAACTTGGAATCCCGATTCGGACTACCTCTCCTAGAACTAGCATCCGACGTAAAAGTAGGTGGCGGCGCAAGACTTTCATTGAATGTGTCCCTCGCCTCCTCGTACTCTGAGCCGTGCGACATGGGGACAGGGCTATCCATCCCCGACGTAGTCGTGCGTTTGTGTGAGCGGCCTCGAACGCTGCTAGCTTCGCTATCTGCCGACAGCGATGAGACGTCCGAGTAGCGGCGATTTGACGTCGTGTGCTGTGCAAGGGCTGAACCGCCTGTGCCGCTGTTGATGCTGGCTGGAGTGGAATTGCGGCGGGAGTGCGATTCTGAGTTGCGAAGTGCAACACCGCCGATGAAGCCTTGTTTGTCTGCTTCAGTTGTTGGTGATGCAGATGGGTTTGATTGCTTGGAGCGCCGCTTGAGCTTGCTGAAGAGGGACTTGATGCCTTTTGAGTCGCTTTTGGCAGATTGGGGAGACGTTGGGCTCGTCACTTCGGGCTCTGATCTGGGTTCGACGGCGGTTAACTCGTGGGAAGCTCTACCTTCATGAGTCGCAGCTTCTGTGTCGGTTGGAGCTGTTCTCGAGGCCTCTTTGCTCTTTCGCTTTTCTTCTTTTGCGAGTCGTTTCTCCTCTGCCTTCTTCTCCTTCTCCGCTTCTTTCTCCTGTCTGGCGAGCGCCTTGTCTGCTTCAGCCTTTGACTTTAATACTTTCTTTTCCTCCTCTGGAACTGTGTTAGCAAAGCTCTTCTTCAGACGAGTCTACGGAGCCAATCCACTTACCTCTTCCGCGGCGCTCATCTGCTTTGAGATCATCAGCGCGTTCTTTCTCAATCTGAGCCTGGCGTTTTCTTTCGGCTTCTTCCAATCGCTGTTCCTCCTCTTCAGCACGCCTCTTCTCCGTCTTCTCGGTGATTTCGTCGAGCGTAGGCTGGATTCTGGCCTGAGCCACGGCGTCAATCTCGGATTGATCCATGTATTTTCCATGCCCAATGTGTACCCTGCCGTGATTCTCCATGCGAGCCTCACTATAGGCCGCAGCTTTTGCTCGAGCCTTTGCGTCCCACTCGTCCATCATCGCCGGCGACATCTTGCCCGTCTCATCGAATATCTTCTTATCTATGCCCATCATCTGAGCTTGTACCTTCCGCTCTGCCGCGGCTATTAGATGCTTCCGATCCTGCTCTTGTTTCCTCTTGTCCACTTCCGCAAGCGATTTATTGAACTGAGACATTTGAGAGCGAATGCGTCGAGATTGTAGTTCATCGTCGTCCGAGTCCACTGGCTCGGGGTTGCTGGAAGCTCGGTTTCGTCCGCGTCGAATCGAGAGCCGGGAGCGGCCGGTCTTTTCATAGCCATAGTAACTTCGATACATTGCGTTCTCGTCCATCCCGATCTTGGCAAGCCGTTCCGAGGCCAGCTTCTGAGCTGCTTCTTGAATCCCGATATAACGCATTGCTTGTTGTTTGATATCGTCCTCGGTGGCGTGCGGTTTCTGGCCATGTGCTGCGGTGGCTCCAGTTTGTGCGTGCGATTGACGACTCGAGCTGGGCTGCTGCTGCACGTCATACATCTTTTTCGCCATGGAAACTGCTGACGCTCGGAGAGCATCTTGGCGTTTCTTTTCCTCCACCTCCAGAGCCACAGGAGGGCGCTCCGTGTACATTTCTCGGGACACCTTGGAATGCTGAATGCGTGCGGCCTGCATGGCTGGAGATCCGAGCTGGTTGGAGTCCGTGACTGGGGAATTTGTCGACCTCACGGACGGATTGTGTGCCATGGTGGCAGCACTGAGGGCATTTCTCGCCGAGTTGGCGGAATCGGGATACAGCGGCGGTGGCTCTGGGGTAGACTGTGCTCGTTTGCGGCCGGAAGAGGAGACAGCGCCAGTAGCAGCAAGCAGTGCTTTTCTCTTCTGGTCTTCGTTGCTACCGAGCACGACGTTGGGGGAGAGGTCTTTCTTGCCCATGGCGATGGTTGCCGCAGAATTTCCTTCGGCGCTGGCCTGGGGCGTCCAAAGATCCAACTTGCCGCCGTCTCTGTGAGCGAGTAGTGCGGCTTTTGAGCCAGCGGCGCTGGCTTCCGGTTTCCACAGCGGCTGCATTTTGTAGTCGTTGGCTAGCAAGGCAGCCTTGCCCGCGGCACTCGAGAGCTCAGGCTTCCACCACTCAGGACTTTTTGTATTTGTGTTTGCGAGGTTGGCTGCCGTCCCAGCCGAAGTTCGAGCGTCGATCCCGACGACAGGGAAACTCGGGAGGGTGTGGGCCTGGGCGTGCTTAAGGCTTGTTGCAGCGCCTGCGATGTCAGGGTTGCTGCGAGAGAGAAGTGAAGTGGAAACGAAACAAACTCACTTGCGGAGGAGAGCTTCCCGTCAGGACCTAGTACGTTGGGTTTGTTTGCTTCGTGCGAGTGTGTGCTATACAAGGCTGCTGCCGAGGCCTGGTTCTGCAGTGCAGACTCCTTTGTCTTGCTGCTGTGTGCAGAGGGATCTGGGCAGGGCGGCGGTGCAGACGCGTCCAGCTTACTACTATCGCCAAAAGTCACCGAGTGACTGTTCTTGTCATGCGGAGCCGCCTCTGTTTGCGTAGCCATGACTGACTGGTTGGCTCAACTTGATGTTGCTACTAACGCTATGATGGGAAGGACTGGATCAGCCCAAGATTGTGAATGTGATTGTGACAATATCTCGGAGAGTATTGCAAAGGATACAGGCGACAGCTTCAGCATCCCCTCTCGTCGAGGGCGACACGGCTGGCTAATAATGATGGCGGCGTTGGTATAGAGAACTGTATGGCCCCCATGACATCACCCTGCCGCCTAGTGGCACATCCGACGAATCTGGACAAAGTCGGTGATCGACATGGAGATCGTGCACACCAGATTCAGCTCTGGAATCACTCAAACCCCTGCCATTGGGTGTGAATCGGGAGGCTGGGGGACTCTCGTGCATTTTTATGCATCCTGGATGTGGACATGTTCACCATGTGTTCACCCGAAACTGGGATCAAGAGCATCAGGCCCTGTTCATGAAGCAAGATGCCGGGGCCTTCCCCAACCGTGGGTACATGTAGTGACCCTTGCGCATGGATACATGTACGTATTGGTAGCATCATCAAAATCCAATCTGCACCTGTGACAATGCAATGTTCTTTGGAGCGGCATTGCAGATTCCTGACAGGAACTTTCAAATGTTAGCTTCCAGTCATTTCCTGTTTGGGCATGACGTCAGGGGTGAACACATTCGAGTCAAACCTTGGCGGCTAGTTGACTGACACTCTTGTGATCTTCACCAAAGCATTGTCAGACTGTAGAACAACATTGAACGCATGCAACATGCAGCCACAAAATTCACCTCTGCAGTCGATACCCAACTTTCGAGATGTTGGCGAGTTCATCAACAAGACGACGGGCTCACAGTACTTACCCACTTCTCTTCACAGTAGCATGGAATGGCTCGGGGCGCTAATCGAGGGACAGACAATTAAGAATCGGTCGTCTGTACCGCGGCGCTCGGCCAGGTACAGAATACGTTAAAGACTGTCAACACATTTTCTGACCGCGACAGATGAGGCGTCGTACCTGGACAGGCAAAAGTTGCTCAAAGACTATAGATTGAAAAGCATAATCGACCTGCGAACAAAGTATGTAGCCAAACAGTGACCCATTGTCCGGCCTGCATCGCTCATTGCAACTGCAGAACCGAACACATTGAGCAAGCCCAAAAACGAGATGCCAGAATCAATGCATCTGCTGCTGTTCCGCAGTCCAATGAAGACGTGACAGAGCCCTTGAAGATCCCAGACATTACGTATCACGAGATAAATTTTAACGGCTCGGCCTTCTCGCGCATGCTCATCTCAAAGCTGACGTGGATGGAGTTCTTCCGACTCGCGGGCTTGATGATTTTTGGATATCGCCTCGATGCAATCAAGATACTTGCTCCTCACATGGAGGAGATGGGTCTTGTCGGACTCGCGACCGAGTCTCTAGATGTGTGCACCAAGGAAGTCAAGCAGGTGTTTGACGTGCTGGCCGACGAGAGGAATTGGCCGGTCATGGTGCATTGTACGCAAGGAAAAGACCGCACAGGATTGGTTGTTATGCTTCTGCTGTTTCTGCTCAAAGTAGACGTGGCTGCCATCGACAAGGACTACATGATCTCGGAGTCTGAGCTCGAGGCAGAAAAACCGGCACGGGTCAAAGAGATTGCCGCCATTGGATTGTCGGAACGCTTTGCGTGCTGCGCTCCAGAAACCGTCAGAAGCGTACAAAAGCACCTCGACATGAAATATGGGGGCGTGGACAAGTATCTGCTGTCAACGGGAGTCACGGATGAGGTGCTGGTCCGAGTTAGGCAAATTCTCCAGGCTGATGATAGGGTGTGAATATGCAGAAGCCAGTCGTCATGTCATGTGCACTTTATATTGCGCCTCGTATTAATGGCAGCCGTTGGTCCCTTGCTTTTTCTTATTTCTTCTTCTTTTCTTTTTATATCTTCGTCATCAATATACCCTCAGCCCTCATATCCTCACTGTTCGCCTTCTCTTGACCTCCTCAACAAGCACAACCAAACAACAATGCTGGACACGTAAACACTACTTATCGCTATCTAAGAGAGGGGCGCCGAGACAATGTCCAATTAGATGTAGCTGCTTTCGCTACGTGTCCGTGCTGCTTTCCCTGCGCTACACCGTTCCCTCTTGGCAAGGGCAGGAAATCCACCCACGTTTCCAACATCCCCTTCGCCCAAAATTCTCTCACCACAGACGAGCAAAAATGAGCAGCTCAACTACGTCGGAAGAGAATTTCGAGTGGATCGAGACGCCTCCGGCGCCCTCGCCAACAACCCCAAAGGTCGATTGCGGGGTTAAGACGACTGCGGTATGTTTCATGTTCCCCCCCTCATTCGTCTGCCTCAGGGCGAAGCTATCCACCAACAAAATGCCCCGCCAGCCATTGAGCCCTCTAACAACGAGACCGCGTGCTGATTCTTCTCTCCAAACAGTATCCGGCCATTGCCAACGCCCCATTGCCCGCTGATGGTCCCAGTGCCGAGCACTTCAACAATACTCTTCTGATCTCGCTCCTCACCCTCGTCCCAGGATACATCACCTGGAGCTTCGGCGGAGGCTTCAAGACATGGGTCTTCTTCGCCCTCATTGTCGATCTCCCCATCCTCGCCGCCTTCTGGATCATAACCTCTGAGATTGCCCCCCGCAAGAATGACAAGGCCAAGCTGCCCGGCAAGCCCATTGAGTACTACCTCAAGTTCAACAAGGCCGAGGACCGCGACAGCTACTATGGAAAGAACAAGATCCCTCTAGAGACCTTCCAGGAGATGTACTTTGACGGCGATGTCGAGTTCAAGGGCGACTGCCTCGAGGTTCTTGAGATGCGTCACGACTGGGCCAAGTTCCGCTTCACGTTCGGTCTGATCAAACATTTCTTGCTTGGCATGATTCCCGAAATGATCATGCACACGCGCTCCCAGGGTGAGTTATCCATATCTTCTTGTGCCTGAACGCAACTGACAACGCATAGATGAGGAGCAGGTTCGCGACCACTACGACCGCGGCGATGACTTTTACGCTTGGTTCCTCGGCCCACGCATGATCTACACCTCCGGTATCATCTCTGACATCAACGTCGAGGAGTCTCTTGAACAGCTCCAGGACAACAAGCTGGCTATTGTCTGCGAGAAGATCGGCCTACAGAAGGGCGAGAAGATGCTCGATATCGGCTGCGGATGGGGCACTTTGACCAAATTTGCCTCAGTCAAGCACGGTGCCCACGTTACCGGTGTCACTCTCGGCCGCAACCAGACTGCTTGGGGAAACAGCGGTCTCCGCAGGAACGGCATTGGCGAGGATCAGTCCAACATTCTCTGCATGGATTACCGCGACATCCCCGTGCCCGCAGGTGGCTATAACAAAATCACTTGCCTCGAGATGGCTGAGCACGTCGGTGTCCGTCACTTCCCTGGCTTTGCCCGTCAAGTCTACGAAATGCTTGATGACGATGGTGTCTTCTTCCTCCAGATTGCTGGTCTCCGCAAAGCATGGCAATTCGAGGATTTGACCTGGGGTCTGTTCATGAACAAGTATGTTTTCCCCGGTGCCGATGCCTCCACCCCTCTTGGATGGGTCGTCGACAAGCTTGAAGGCGCTGGTTTCGAAATCAAGGGCATCGATACCGTTGGTGTACACTACTCTGCGACGCTCTGGAAGTGGTACCGCAACTGGGTCGGCAACAAGGAGAAGGTCATTGCCAAGTATGGCGACCGCTGGTACCGCATCTGGGAATACTTCCTCGCCATTTCCACGATTGCCTCGCGCCAGGGCACTGCCACTTGCTTCCAAATTGTCATGGTCAAGAATCTGAACTCGACCCACCGTGTTGAGGGTATCCACACTCAATTCGGTCTGTCTGCTGCTTTGGAATCCGCTAAGAAGAAGGGCATCACCGGCTTGTAAGCACAAAGTACCCGAATCGGCCTCTTGTTGAAATCACGGATCCCACCAATCCCAACCGCACCCCCTGGATGCTTCCCTGCGAGGAGAAGCTCATACCAGACCCCCTCTAAAGGCCCTGCCTTGGATCAGCGCCTTGCACGTCTATATATCTGCATGATGTGTGATATACCATGGCGGAACGTTTCTGACATTGCATCATCTTAATAATGACGGTTTTGAGTCCATAGTATGAATTATGTCCTTTTCGAATTTGGTCTTGCTTGTGACTTGGATCTTTCAGTTTTGCGAGCACATGTGTTTCCTCGCTTATCCAACTACTCGGGTCTAATATCGTGAGATTCCTGTGATAAAGAGCAGACTAGACGTAGATGCTATTGGTTACATAGGCATATACATATATCTTGGATAGCCCGGAGCTATGGTTTTTCCGGTTTGATCACGTGACGCTGTCACATGTCGTACTTTCCCGATTCGGCTAGGTATCCGAGCTGTACCCCACGTGTAACAACATAGTCGGTGAACCCCTGCTTCTGCGCTGTGTGCCCCTCCAAAAGACCCTCGATCCGTCTGCCACCATCGTCTTACTTGCCAGCTCCTCTTTTCTGCAACCAACCTTCCTGTACGCCTTGGAACTAACTCTACGCTTTTCTAGGCTCGTCAATTGACCTTCTTTTGGAACCCCATTTGCCAGTAATCAAGATGGCTGCCGCTGCTGCGATTTACCCCCCATTGAGGGATCGCCCAATCAAGAACACCGTGGTGCTCTTCGATGTTGACGAGACGCTCACCAAGGCCCGCAAGGTATGTACAAACTCTGCACGCTCTTGTTCTGTTGCGAAAGCTGACAAGTAATTCCACAGTTCGTCAAGCCCGAAATGCTCCAGCTCCTCTCCGAGCTCCGTCACAAAGTCGCCATTGGATTCGTTGGTGGCTCCAACCTCGTGAAGCAGCAGGAACAGCTCGGAGGCAACGTCGAAGTTACTTCCCTTTTCGATTTTTGCTTCTCGGAGAACGGCTTGACAGCATACAGGTTGGGCAAGGAGCTCGCCAGCACAAGTTTCATTGGATGGATCGGTGAGGAGAAGTACAAGGAGCTTTCGAGATGGTACGTGTTCTCTTCACGTCTAATACGAAAGACAGATCTAACAGAGCTCTCAGGATCCTCCACTACATCGCGGACCTCGACATTCCCATCAAGCGCGGCACCTTCATCGAGTTCCGAAACGGCATGATCAACGTGTCGCCCATTGGTCGTAATGCCTCCTCGCAGGAACGCAACGACTACGAGGCGTACGACAAGCAGCACAACATCCGCCACACCATGATTGCTAAGCTCAAGGAAGCATTCCCGGACATTGGCTTGACCTACAGTGTCGGTGGACAAATCTCTTTCGATGTGTTCCCTACAGGCTGGGACAAGACGTACTGCCTGCGCCACATCGAAGCGGACAAGGATCTCGAGGACGGTGTCGAGTACAAGACCATCCACTTTTTCGGCGACAAGACATTCGAGGGCGGCAACGACAGGGAGATTTACGTCGATGAGAGGACCGAGGGCCACTCGGTCAAGGATCCAGATGACACGTACAACCAGCTGAAGGCGCTGTTCTTCTCTTGAGTGCATTGGATCTGAATATAGATGAGCGCAACCTCGAGACAAAAAGTCCAAAAAAAAAAGAACCCCGCATAATGATTTTGAGCGCATGAGCGTACGCAAACACGGGCGAGGCGCTTCATACCCTCTACAAATGGCCAGAAAAAAGCACATTAATACGAATACGATAGATTTGCTTCATCCATCCATCGTGCCAGTCGCGACTTGCATTACCATTCTCCCTGAACCCCGAGACACGTTCGTAGTTTGTTTGGTTGAAGTTGCTCAGGTCTTACTTTCTTTCTAGGCGGCTTGTTGGTCTTTGATTTTGCCATTGTGCAATGTCAGCGAATCATCCCGTCAGCCACAGGCGAAGGCGAAACAAGAGCTAGTTCACCCCTCCAACTCCACCACCCCCCACCAAACCCCATATCTTGGATGGAGTTTGGGCAACAATGCGATTGTGCTCGTGGGATTGAGCCCGTTCTTTTGAATGATCATAGCACTCGGATGTACTCTAGACAGCAATAGACAGAGAACACGAGAATGTTGATGACAAAAACAGGCCCCTTGCCGGATGTACAGACACGAACACACCAGTTGGGCAAGAAAGCGACAGCGTAAACAGCCCGTGCGTTGTTGTTCTCGGGCCATGACCCCAGCTTTGAATCCCTCCTCCGGTTGGCTGCCTGGGCTGATTGAATTTATTGATATTGGTTTTCTTGCGAGTCTGCCATTCGCTGCTTGTGTAGTGTATGCAATCAATGTACATGTATATATGAAGGAATGAGTCGTGTTTGTTGTTGTTGTTGATGTTGATTAGCACGGCGACTATTAATTTACCACGGCTTATTATGACGGACTGGCGGACAGAGGCGCGAAAGACGAAACCCCTCCCCTTCCCCAACTCATAACATCCCGGTACATAACAATCAGATGCTGGAGTTGGTGAACTAACTAATCGGATCCTCGGGGGGGATCTTACGCCATACCAGTCATCATATACCTACTTGTCTGCGCGTGCGTCCCCAGCCAAGTGGTTGCTCCCGCAATCTTTTGTTTACAATTACGCACAACACCACCACCACCCACCCACCTCCGACGACGACGACGACGACGACGACGACAAACATCCGCCCGTTCCTTTTCGACTGACGATTCCACACTCGCGCTTCAGATTCTCTGCTGCGTTCCGGATCGAGAATTCCCTTTTTTTTTCCACGTCCCTAGTGCATTTTGCTGGGCGCAGAACGACCGGGGGAAAAGAAAGTGGATCGCAGGTCTTACTCATTCACCCCGCGGGAGTCTGCTTGAAGAGGTACAGTGAGTTACACGGTTTGCTTCGAGTGGGGTGCAGTGCACTTGGCCAGGGTTGCTAACTTCGTCTGTGAGCAGTGACATCGTTGCCTGCGGCCTCTCACTCGATTTCTGTGCCTATATATTTCCACGACCACGACCGACCGCGTCCCTTCGACCCAACTGGTCTTTCTCTCACCCACGTCGCGCTCCATTCGTGTCTTCCACCCGCCCAATTTACTATATACCAACCTCCAATTGTGGCTAGCAATCACCTACCTGCCTACTTCGATACTACCGCAAGCGCCCGAGCTCGTCGCACACAAATATACTCGCCTCGACCTACTCTCGCTTCCGATTCGACCTCACATAGAGCTCACGACCCTGAGCTATGGCAGAAGGATTCGGGGTCAGCGGGTCGGTGGATCCAACCACACTATACACCAAACAACAATGCATAGGCGGAGGTAGTTTCGGCAAGGTCTACAAAGGGTACGTATATGCATGCGTACAGATACGAGACGAAAAGAAAATGCTAATGCGCTGCATGCAGGATCGACCGAAAAACTGGCCACATGGTAGCTATCAAGGTCATCGATGTGGAAAACGCTGAAGATGAGGTCGACGACATCATCACCGAGATCGCTATCCTCTCCGGCATGGACTCGCCTTACGTCACAAAGTACTATGGCTCATATTTGCACGGCTCGGATCTGTGGATCGTCATGGAGTACTGCTCTGGCGGAAGCTGTGCGGACCTCATGAAGCCTGGTCCTGTCGGCGAGAGCGAGATTGCGGTTATGCTCAAGGAGCTGCTCATGGGCTTGGTGTATCTGCATGATGATCACAAACTGCACCGGGACATCAAAGGTACGCTTCCTCTCTTTCTCCAGAGGGGGTTAGTATGCTAATTTGTGTAGCTGCGAATATCCTCGTTGGCGCAAATGGCCAGGTCAAACTCGCAGACTTCGGCGTATCCGGTCAGCTGTCAGCAACAATGACGAAGAAGAACACGTTCGTTGGCACACCGTTCTGGATGGCACCCGAGGTCATCAAACAGTCAGGATACGACCACAAGGCTGATATCTGGTCGCTCGGGATCACGGCCCTGGAACTGGCGACTGGCGAACCCCCATATGCCGACATCCATCCCATGAAGGTCCTTTTCCTCATCCCGAAGAACCCTTCACCACAGCTCACCGGCAACTTCTCGCGGCAGTTCAAAGAGTTTGTCGAGCTGTGTCTACAAAAGGATCCTCGTCAACGCCCGTCCGCAAAGCAACTTCTCCAGACGGATTTCATCCGGAAAGCCGGCAAGCCTGCGCGTCTACAAGAGCTCATTGTGAGGTTTCAGGAGTGGCAGCTGCGGCATCCCAAGGAGCAAGACGATTCAGAGGATGATACAACACCTCAAAAGAAGCGGGCGCCCGTCAACGAGGAGCTGTGGGATTTTGGCACTGTCCGGCCGGTGAACAATCAACGCGCTCCAGCGTTGAGGCCCATGAACGAAGCCGGTGCGAATGCGCGGAACGCCTCGCCACAGCGCAAACAGGTTCCTAGCCAACTCAAAGGAACGAGCGATGAGAATGGTGTGGGAGAAGATACAATTCGGGTTACCAGCCCACCAGCGTCACCCACGAAACGCCTCGCCAAGCTGGATATCCCCAACTCGCCCATGGGCTCACTGAAAACGGCAGCAAGGGTACCCCTTCCCCCTTCCCCAGACAAGAAGTCGATCCCTCCGCTGGCTCCACCATCACAAGAGCCGATCCGAAAGTCACCAGTGCCCGCCGTCTTCAATCCCCATCCTGCTAGTCGTGGGATGGTAACGCCCACAAAGCCGGTTCAGCAGCAACCGCGTAGGCAGACGCCGCTGGCTCGGGATTACGATGAGTATCTGCAACGCTCAATCGCGGCAGATATGGCTGGTTTGGAGTTGACGCCGCAGCGTAACCCAACTCCCACTCGATTGTCTGTGCTTCCAGCCATGACCATCCCAGAGATACCCCCTTTCCGAGGGGCTTCTGCTAATATACAAAGCAGCAGCGCTTCGGTGGCTACTCCCCAGCCAAATCCGCTTGGAAGCCCGATCCGAACACACCACAACCCCCAGACCAACACCTCACATCAAGCCCCGCAACTCCAGAAACCCCTTCCTTCGCTGGTCTCTTCGCAACCGCCGCTGCCTGCCACACAGCAACCTCTTCCCACCTTCAATCCGACATCAGCACAACGGCCGGACTCTTCTTCTTCGAACGACCCCTTTGCTTCCCCTCTCGTGAAAGACTGGTCTTCGCCCTCACGAAACCCACCAGCACCAACGACCCCCTTCTCCCACTCCGCCGCCATAGCCACAACACCAAACCGCCCCTCACCCCTCGTAGGCCGCGGCTCCTTCGGCCGTCCTAAACCCTCGCCAAACCCGAGCGGCACTCCCGGCTCTCCATCACAAAGCGGCGAGATAACAGCCTTGACAGGCGTAGTAGTCCCCGCTCTCGAAGCTGCGCTGAGCCGTCGCCAATACCATCTCACGCTCCGCAACAAGCAGGACACGAACAACGCGGCAGCTCTCCGTGACCCTGCTCGTGCCCTCGAGCGCCGCAAACAGCGTATCGAGTGCCATGAGCAGGTCAAGCGATTAGTCGGTGAACTGAGCGAGCGGTTCAAGGAGCTGGACGAGTGGGATGAGAGGGGCGAAGTGGGCATGGGTGGGGAGGTTGCAGGGTTCCTAGAGGGATTTTTGGAAGAGGTACTTGTGAGGGTTGAGCCGGCTGATGACTAGGCTGGTGGAGATGAGATGTGCTTGCTGATGGATGAATGAATGAATTTCGGTAAAAGGGCGTATGTGATTATGGTGTTTACGGTGTGTGTGTGAGTGTGATGCGAGACGGACTCGATGGGTTTTTTCTCGAGGGAATAGAGAGAAGAGATGGAGACATGGGGAGGATTGTTTTCTTCTTCTTTCCTTTCTCTAGACTTTTATGTTGTTCTCTTCTTTTCTTTTTTTCTACATCTCTCTCTTTCTCTCTCTGTATGTGTGCGTCTGCTTTGTCGTCTTTATCCCATCTTCTTTTCATGCTTTTTTTCCCCTTTCCTTTTCTTTCTCACACATGCAGAGACTAGACAGCCAGCCAGCCAGGCAGATATACGTACGTGCTTCATGCGCGGGATACGCAATGATTTTCATGACCCCTTGATCTCGTCTTCACTTATTTTCCTTTGGTATTCCCTTTGCTGGCTCATCTTTTTTCCCCCTGATCTCACGTCGCTAACTGAGTGTTTGATGGTATAAAGATAGACGGATCAGCGTGTAAGCAAGCGATGAAAAGTTTATCTGTGTTCTATGTACTACGGATTGATGTGTGTGTTATCTAATAGCGTGTTCAGAGGGTTTGAGAGATGTGATAGATACACTTAATACATCTATGCCCTTTTTCTTCTTCCTTGGTCTTCTTCTTTTGAGTAGCGAATCTCGGTGATACTTCCGTGGACAAATCACAGTAGATATTTGCCCTATCAGCAAGCTGCACGTCTATGGCAATCCGACGAACTTTAATACTCGTGACGCTCGTAGTGGTATCTTAGTCTATCAGACTATGTTTATCACTGCAATTTCTAGCCCGGAGGAGGCATTCAGATCCAAAGTATTGTGATGTGATTCGTTCCTAGGCTAGGGCTGCAGAGTTGGGAGGAGGCTGTGTGCATGGTTTTCTGCATGTAGTTCACCGGATGGGATGGTCAGTGCGTGTTTGCACTGCAATCTTTAGCCCAGACGAAGAGTTGAAGGTGGGAATTTGAGGCGCAGCGAATGTCAGACGGTGAACTACTTAGCCTTGCTCGTGGTTTACATTTGGGAGCGTGGCTGTTTCACGGTAATATATAGCCCGGGAGAGGAGTTAAAGGCTAAAGGTAGTGGAACACCCTGAGCTCTGCCTAGAATGCAAGGAAGTTGAATTTGACAGTACGTATGTCTAGTTCGGGCATGTTGAACCCTTCACTGTAGTCTTTAGCCAGGACGCATCTTTCTTATAAGAACGATAGGGGTTTACAAGCCAATCTACGGAGAATTTATGCGCTCAGGACTTGTGCACTGACTCCTGGGTGCCCTAGGCGTTTTCACTGCAATATCTAGCCTGGAGGAGGTGTGTAATTTTGAGGTAATTAGGACAGGATGATCCGTCAGACAATATCGCTCTTTTGCTGTGCCTGCATCGTTTCCGGTGTGGCATGCACTGCAATCTTTAGCCCCCGCGAGCAGTCCAGTGAGGCTTTAGCCTATCCAATCACAAGAACATGCTGGCTTGATAAAAAGGGTACGTCTGTTATACCTCAACGTCTTCCAGCCTGCGTTCTAATATAGGGATATGCCAGTATCTCATGTATCTCGTTCCTTGGCCTTTTTCCAAGCCGTCGAGTTAGAGATGCTGCTTCTGCCCCGCTGCGTTGAAGTCTTCAGTCCATTTGTCCATGGAAACGGGTGGGAACGATGATGAGGCTGTGCTTTTCCAGAGTGGTCATGCATGTTTTACTGCAATCTCGGGCCCGGGGAGAAGATTTGTAGAACCCTGATCCTACCCAATTATCAGAATGACTGTAGTGATTCACACACACAGAACATAGACATAGCAATAGCCTCAGGACATTCCAAAACAATTCTCAGCCCGGGAGAGGAGTTTTGGGGGATCCCGTCACTGGATAGAGAATTCCAATACCGAGTATACTTCCACTGTAGACTCCTGAGTCCCCGAGAAAAGTCTGAAGATTTGCAACCATCCGGCTATCACAATCAAGCAGAACTTGGTCAGTGGACCTCCATTCCATCCAAAGCAGCGTGTTTCCTTTTGCGGCCGCAAATGAGAATCAGAGAGGCAGTGATGTTTGGCTTTTCACTGCCATTCCCGTCCTGAGGAAAGAGCTGTTGCTCTCCTCATATTGTCTGCGAGGCCAGGTAGGTGGAGTAGATCATGGTGGTATGTTGTTGTTTCCTGTTTTGATGGATTGCACTGCTATATTTGGCCCAGGGAAGGAGCAATGGTTCCCATGTGGTCTGCCATGTGCCTGAGAAACTTGGGTCGCTTCACCTCGCTAGCCGTTAGGGAAGGAACCGTGAAAGACCCCACCGGGAAGTAGGGTGTTGATGATGAAAAGATTGTGAATGACCGAAATGATAAGTACCATGCTGTAGAGCGCCGCTGCGAGGTTGGCAAATTGAAACGAGTGGGTAATATCCGAGCGTCGACGAGGGATTAGGGAGATGGAGTGGAAGATGGAGATGCGGCGTGAGGTGGACAAAACTCTTCACTACTGCATCTCACAAATTTCACAAGACATTCCCAAGGAGTGGCCTGCTTCGTTGGAGCGATACAGCCTATGTCCATGGCATACGATAGAATGATTTCCTGGTGGTTTTGACGATCCGATTCGACAGGAATGAGGTGCCGTTTCGCTGCGATCTTGAATGCAAGAGCATCGACAAGAACTGACGTCTATCGGTGACTGCTCGATCGAAAGTCACGTTCACGGCTATGACGGCGATGACTTATGAGGAGTCACTCTTGGTCAGCGGTGCAAACGATGTCTTGTTGGTACTGGGAATGGCTTGGTACTTCACGATCTGCTGATTGATTGCCGAACGCCCCGGAAGTGTATGTTGCCCATTCATATTCAATGGACGTCTGAAAGTCTGGAAGCCACTCCCATCCTCTCTCTCGAATTTCAAGTGTTCATGCTTGACCTATTCGATGATCATATTTCACATCTGCTCGCAAGTCGGATCGACTCATACACAGATGTCGTTGAAACTTTATGATTCCGAGATTATTGTACTTCACCTAATTCTTGCTGATCATCACGAACGGTAGTCCACACATCTACATCGGGACAATAATAGAAACTCAAAACGACTCGAGGTTCTTTCATGGCAAGGGCACTCGCTTCGCGATTCATGACGCCGATGCCCTCTGTTTGGGGGCCGAAACTATACAGGAGTACCCCGAGTACATGGCGTTGCCGAATATACCGAGCCTCAACTCAAAAGCACCTGATCCGCCGTGCATTCGAAACCTTTTCCAACAACGCCTGACCAGACAAAAGACCTGAAATGTCCGTCGGTGACGACAGAGGTCTAATAGGAAACCAGTCTTCCTGTTTCCAAGAAACACAGAGTACAGGAAAACCGGCAGTGCTGTCTCATGATATAGCAACGAGAAATTCCAGCATCTCCGTGACAAAACGCTCTAGACTTATAGGGGTATACGATTGCGTGCAGGTACCATGAGCCCCTTGTATCCCCAGGACTCGGGACATTTTCGTCGAAGACAAAAAATAGGTCAAGATCTTCCTCATCGGACCGTTTGGCAGTTGAGCACTCTGTTTTGCACTGCCGCAGACCGAAACAATAGGTCTTGTCTCAACTCAATTATTTACTACAGTTGCCTCGACATCGTTGTCCGTCAACTATCCCCATCGGGATATCTATCGCCACCGTCAAGCCTCGTTTGTAGCTACGTGCAGTACAAGAATCCTCTTTGAGGATATTTCGGAATGCATGTTGAGTTTCAGCCCTGATGTTCCAGACGATCTACTACAAGATTAGGTCGAAACTTGTTCTTATGCCTGCGTAGATCATAAAATTCAGCCTCACACAATGGGGTCGGGGGACTTGGCACTGCATTGTATACGGGCCCCGAGTTATTAAGCTCAGCACTAATTTTAAGAGTCCGGAATTCTGGCAATGCAGCTTCGAGATGTTGTTTGGTGTGCAATTTCATTAGGACTTCAGATCCTGCGTACTAACTGTTACGGCACGACGAAATGAGGGAATGTTGTTGGCATCATGAAGTTTGGAGACAATTATGCTGACATCACTTTCACAGAGATGCATTTGAATCATGTATGCGTTGACTTGTCCTATCCGACAACACGCGTAAGACAACACAACGCTTTGCATAGACCAATTCACCGACTAGAGAATACACACCACAATCCCCATCGTGAGTCTAGCACACGGACTTCCCCCTAATGATTACTTTCATCATTACTCCACTATCACTCCACAATCGCTCATCCCATCACTTTTCTACTAACCCCGAAGGACCGGAGTACACCCTCGCAATGCTGTAGTCATGCCTCGTAATCTGATACTCCCGTCCTCCAATGCTTGGCTCAAGGCATCGCCATCCGAACGCAGGGCGCAGCTAATCATTTTCGACTGCAATTGACTGCTGCATTAGGGATTGCAGTTCTCCCTATACCCATCCTGGGCGTAGTGGCGCAAGTATATAAACAAAAGTCGAACCCTCCCGTTTCGTTTCCAATCCCATCCATTCAAGTTCTTTGTGCCAAGTTCCTTGTCATTCTTTTTTTCAAGTGTTGTTCTTTTCACTCTAGAAGAGAGAAACACTCACACATTCGTTTACTAAGCTTCTTGTACAAGCCATTCCATTCATTTCTTGGTCGAACACTATCAAACCCAACTATCAACGTCCCAAACAATTATCAGCAGCATGCCTTCGCTCCGAAGCATCCTTCTCTACGGCTTGTCCACCCTCTCTGTCGCATCCGCGGCGATCGGTGATGCCTCCGAGTGCGATGTCAAGTCGCACGGCATGGCTGTGACCGACTCCAAGACGACTGGTCGATCTGATGGAGAGGCGTTCTGCACATCCAAGATCAAGCAGGGCAAGGTTATCAATGGAATGGAGTGCTGTAAGGATATTGAACACGAATAAGTGAGGTAGACTGGAGCTAATGAGATTCGTTAGGGGCCGACAAGGACTCGGTCCGAGGACTCAAGTTCTATTACACTGATGAGAGCGAAATGATGATTGGAAAGAAGGACAACTTGAACGGAAGAGTTGTGAACAGTAAGTGTACATTCCCTTCGTGGCGGCCGAATACCGGTTTGCGGACACATCAAAAATCCATCAAAAATCCATCAATGCATCAGGTTCTCAACTAACGCGTCTCTCTCCCTCCAGTGAAAGCACGATGGAATCCTACAGCCGACAGGTTCGAGCACCTCCAGCTCTGGGACAACGGTTGGGGCGGTATGATCGGCCGCATTGACGCAAAATGGTCCAACGGCCAGGCCATCAACTGCGGCAGGGAGGCCCAATGGGGTGGCCCCACCTACGAAGCTGATCGTGGCGCTGGAGGCATGTTGATCGGCGCCGACGGTGGTGTTGGCGATGGTATCGACAACATCCGCTTCTACTTCACTGCTACTGCCCCCTCTCGCGTCACTCTCAGGGACCTTGTTATCCCCGGCCTCAACACGTAAGTTTACGCCTTGAGAATTCTGAAATATGCTTATAATAACAATCTTCGCGCACAGTAACGATGGATTGAAGCAAATCTCGCTCAAGACCCTGCGCATCATCAACCGCTTCGAGAACGACACGCTCAAGACCAAGGACTTTGACTGGAGGGAGAAGGTCGAGAGGAAGAGGCTGTTCAACTTCCAAGAGACCAAGACTTTCGGTTTCGACCAGACTTTCGGTATCCAAGCTGGCCTCCCCAAGGGAGCTTCCATCGAGTCGACGACTTCATTCAAGTGGGAGACCTCGGAGCAGACTACCAAGGAGAACATTGACAACATGGAAGACGAGCAGTCTTGGGGTATTCAGCCTTTGTAAGTAGCCTTTCCAAGGGATCTTCGACAAGCGTATGAACTAACAGTGTACTACAGGACCATCAATCCCGGCAAGGCTAAGGTGATCGAAATCAAGGCCATCAAGGGTACCCTCGAGAACCAGGCCTACACAGCCAAGATGGAAGTTACATTCAAAGACTCCTCCAAATTCACATACCAGACCAAGGCCTCGTTCGGATTGGTCCAGTACACCTCCATGGACGCCATTTTCTCCGATGAGGATGCCGACGTTGCCATCGATGCCATCGGTGGAAACAATGTCGAGGTCGACACAAGCGGACGCGTCATGACTAAGAACGAGTCTCAGAGAGCAAACGATGCGGCCAAGACGAAGCCAAAGACGGCTAAGGTTGCGCGCGACGACAACAAAGTCCCGGGTGGCGAGCCTTGCAACAACTGCAGCAAGCCCGGAAGGCGATCTATTAGGTACAGCGCTTAAGTGGAATCTGGGATGGAGATGATGGTTTTCCGCCTCGAGTGATGATGTTTTGACCTTTTTTCATTTACGTTGCTGTATATGATATCTTTCTGGTCTTTATAGACCCGCTCATCCTGGGACATTTAGTTCTTGGAAATTTTTAGAATACAAATTATTTGATGGATTTCCCTATATTTCTCGTTATTACTGTATATGTTGTGAGAGCCATGATACCGAATTTTGATTAGATGTGAATCGATTCTCTGATCTTTTGGTCGAATAGTCGCAAGTCATTATGACCCGGACAAGGCAAGGGAGTAAGTAGTATGATGATCAACCGCAGGCTAGCGTTGATACTTCCACCGGGCTATGGAGTGCAATGAAATATACGTTTCTATTGTTGTATTTGTATGGGTAGTTCTCCTTGTTGCACTGCAATCTCTAGCTTAGAAGAAGACTTCATACCCCTCAGTCTCACCTAAGCCAGTCTTAACGTAGCACAACTTCATCGTCCAATAGAAAACTCAGCCCCCCCCCCTGCATGATGAGAAAATCAGTGTTGGTAGAGTCTTACACCTTGGGAATTAAACAAGAGGGGTAGGGAAGCCACGTCAAAATCGTTTGACACGACCGTAATTACCGAGTTATATTCCGAAGATGAGCAAGATTACTTTGAGCCCTACGCTCCATTGGCATTTTGTTTATTCTTTATTCTGAGTTGGATTTCAGGTGATCCCACACACAGCGAAGGGTTTACAGCAATAATAGATCAAAAAAACGAGCGATAACCAAAAAGACAATCCATTGACATTCTTTGAGAATGAGAGTACCGAGATTAATTAGAACGACCTTCTGGGACAGCTCTGTTCGCGAGTCGCCAGCGCTTCATGCGTTCTATAGGGGCTTCCATCATTCTACTCCAAATGTTTGATGTAGGTAGAAGAGAACTGATTCTTTGGAGCCTGTACACAGTCCAAGGATTACGACAAGTGAAGTGACGAAAGAGTGCGCGATGGTATTGAAGGTGTAAAAACAGCACAATTAAAATAGTTTAGTTGGACTAGCAGAAAGAGCCGCATGCACTGCAGTGACAAGAGCCGCATTAGTTTGTTCATCACTTAAAACAGCAAAAAGAGCCTCTATAGCACTGCAATTTTTAGCCCCCAAGAGCAGTTCTATTTTGCTAGGCAGCAGTATAATCAGCGTCTCTGATAGGCAGTCAGGCATTGGAGTATGGAGCCGCATTTGACAAGGCTTGGTTTCACCGCAATCTTCAGCCTTAGGGAAGTAGTCTGTAGGCAGCAGTAAATCTAGCGTTCAATTGCCTAAAATTTTCACTGAAATATTAAGCCCCGTAGAAAAGTTCGTGCCTACTATCAAGACCTGAGTTGTTAAGGGAGAGGAAGGGAAGAAATTTTTTCTCACATCTACGTAGCAGTCATATAAACATCTGATAAGAATCTCTGTTCTATACAGCCTGCAATATGTGTTAGAACGCCTATGCACCAGAACAATTCCATATTCATTTTCGGGTGAATCAAGACGTTTCTTCGCGAACTCTTCCTTTGGGCTAAGTGCTGCAGGCAAAATTAGCGATTTTGTATCGACCGGTGGAACCGTTATAGCTGATTCGCACGAGAGTTGCACTGCAATCTCTAGCCTGGGGGAGGATTTCTTTAGCCTGGAGTCAAAACCGGTGAAGTGGTAGGAACCCTCCTAAGCTGAGCTATGCAGGAGGGCGCATGAAGGACCATCATCCGGGAGAACGCCTTGTACTAACGCCTCGCTTTTTTCACTGCAATGTCTAGCCTGGGGGAGGGGATCTCTCTTCCTAAGGTCATCAAAAACATGGAGAGGTCAGCACCGTTTCACTGCAATTCCTAGCCCGCAGGACGCAAGACAAGATATCCTAGTGTGGGTGACATGTTCACTGACGTGCATGAATTGTACAAATTCGTCCACCGGTTTCACTGCAATTTTAAGCTCAGCGGAGAAGTTCTCGGACCCAATGCCGGGATAGCAGAGCCGCAAAGTTCGCCTAGAAAGGATATTGGCGAGATAGTAGCCCCAGAAAACAGAGTCACGCCCACAGACAGATGGATAAGCAAAGGATAAAGACGAGGTGTAGGTGGTAAAACATTGAAGTTTTGATTGAATTTCTCGATACTAGAGAGGGACTTGGACGCCAGACGCCGAAGCATGATGCCAGTGATTCTCCCAAGTCCAGTGTCTAGGTAAGTAAGAAGAAAAAGAAGGCGCTTGGAAAATACAGATATAGTGTACAAGGTTATTTTCCGCCCACCTATTCTTGAATCAGAAAGTCGTAGCATGTCATAATCGCATATACTGACAGGATTTCATATCCACGGCAGCGAAGAAAGGACGTGACAATCTACGCCCCGAAATTCAGCTTCCTCGCCACCTTATCAGTCCTTCCCGTCTCGACCTCACCACCCCTCCTCTTCAAGTCCTCGCCCATCTTCTTCTCAGGATTGCCGCCCTGCTGGGGCAGATTCTCCTTCTTCGTGGGGCGCGGGAGGTTTGTCCAATACGGGTGCTTGAGCACGTCTCTAGCATTCAGACGTTTCGCCGGATCCATAGTCATCATAGCGCGGAGCAGATCAATTCCGTCGTCGCCCATGAGCGGGAGACGCTGGCGCCAGTGGCTGAGTGGTTGTGGGCGTTTAGGGGCGGCGCCCTTGAAGCTGACTTCCCAGTGCCGCAGCTTGGAGATGCCGGGCCAATCTGCTTCGGTGGGGATTCCGAAGAGGTCAGTGATGACTGTGAGTTGCTGGAGATCTGTCTCAGAAGGGAGGAAGAAGGCGCGGGTGGCGAGCTCGGCAATGACGCAGGCAGTGCTCCAGACGTCGACGCAGCCGCCGTAGTGCGAGGCGCCTAGTAAGAGTTCAGGCGGGCGGTAGAAGCGCGTAATGACATTGCAGGTCATGGGGCGGCCGGGCTCCGAGAAGCTGCGGGCGAGACCGAAATCGGCAAGCTTGAGGGTATTGTCGGCGGCGATGAGGACGTTGTTGCCTTTGATGTCGCGATGAAGGACGTGGTTTTCGTGGCAGAACCAGACGGCCTGGCAGAGCATGGCGGACCAAGCTTTTATGTCTTCGCGCGTGTACGAGGTCTTGGAGTCCTTCCATAGACCCTCGAGGTCGCCTTTGGGCAGGTGTTCGAGGACGAGGTTGATGTTTTGGTCCTTGGAGGTGAAGACGGCGTGTAGGCGGATGATGTTCGGGTGGGTGGTGAGTTCTTGGAGGTACTTCATCTCGCGGTACGAGTCCATGGTGATACCGTCCCTGTAATCGACGTTGACCTTCATCTTCTTGATGGCGACGAGTTTGGAGGGGTCATGGCGGAAATGGCCGCGGTAGACAATGGCGTAGGTTCCTTCACCGAGACGGGCGCCCGACACGAATTGCTCACGCACGTCGTTGTTCATCATTTCAGCCAAATCGGCAGTACCATCACCTGGTGTGGTTGCCCTGCTAAGGCCATCGGGAGTGGGTATAGAGCGGCTGTTGTTGAGGATGGCGAGCGTCTTTGCCTTGACGGAGGCATTGGGTGGAGCTTTTGCGCCGGGAACCGCAAGGTGCGGGCTGACGGCGGGAGAGACGCCCATTCTGGCGGTCGTACACGTTTGTTTGCAGGGGAAGGTTGTGTAATCGTTGCGATCGCGGGAGGAGGAGGTTTGGAGCAAACTATCGGGTTGCGCCTCGAGGCGTGATGTGGTTGGTGAGGGGGGCGGTGGTGGTGAGTAAAAGGCGCTCTTTCATGCTGCGATGAGATTGGGTTTAGTGCATCCTTGGCTGTATTCCTGCTTTTACTCGGCTGATTGAGGTTGCAATAGGAGGCTTGATTATGTAGTGAACGAGTGTTGTCAAGTGTATAGGAAGAACAATGAAGATGCCGTTGGTAGATCTACCCGTCTAAGCATTTGGGTACTAGAAAGCTATCCGGGATCCATGTCAGCGCACGGGCCTTCGCCCAAGCTAAGCTTTCTGCGGGGAACTTTTGAACTTCCATCGCCAACTACTTCATCATCAACACCACAACGTCCGGTTCCTCCACCACTCTTTTCCTCCAATCTCGCGACTCCCAAAAAAAACAATAATGGCTGCGGAGCAACCGCCACCTCCCGGTGTTGCTGCCAAACCAGCGACCTTGCCTCCCAATCGCACGTGCGTCCTATTCCAATCTTTTGCAACGAGTGGTATTTTTTTCCATACTGACGATCCCACAGACTTTACGTCCGCAATATCTACACCAGAATCCCGAAAGATGACACTAAACGCTCCCTCTACATGCTCTTCGCCACATATGGCGTAGTCCTCGACGTGGTTGCTCTCAAGACGCACCAGATGAGGGGCCAGGCACACGTCGTATTCCGTGACATGGACGCGGCAACCCAGGCCATGCGCGCCTTGAACGACTTTGAATTCTTCGGCAGAAAAATAGTACGTTGCATTGGATCTCCACGTCGCTGAACCTCCAAACTCATTCGCAAATAGGAAGTCCAGTACGCAAAGGGCCAGTCCAACATCATTCCCAAACTCAAGGGTATCATCCCCGGCGCCGAAAAGGCTGCCGCTGCTGCCGCTGCCGAAGCCGCCGAAAAACAGAACGCTTCTACCACAGGGTTCGGCGCAGCCCCCGCGAAAGCCGTCCCGGTCAACGAACAAGACCGCGCCCAAGGCGTCAAGCGGGCCCGCGAAGATGACGACGAGGAAGACGCGAAACCGACGCAGAAGCAGCCGAATAACGACGAGTCCGATGAGGAGGAGGCTGAGATGGACATGTCGAGTAGTGATGAGGACGATTAGCCGCGATACCCCATTTGGAGACGGACAAGCAGAAAAGACTGGAAAGGGCACCAACCCTCGCGCGATGGGAATACGGCTGCGGCAAGATGTTTGAATGAGGGAGCGAATGAAAATGAGATATCGCACGGCCTTGATTTTCCAACATTTACACCCAGGATATATATACTGTCTGTGGCCCGCGTCTCTGTGCGGCAACAAGGAGCTCGTGGCTGACTTTTTCGACAGGGATCTGATCACCGCTATAGACCGACATGCTCATTGTCCAAGCCGCGACTTCACAGCGGGATTCCGCGGGCTCTGCGGCGTGTAGTTGCACTGCCGTTGGAAGAGCTGCCTATGAACAGTATCAGTCACAGTCAGATTGTGCTCCAATTAGTTGTCAGAAGAAATCAGAAAGATCCTATCTGGAATTCAAATGTTCTCGTCCCTTCGTTTTTCGTCTTTGTTCTCTTTCAATTCGCGTGATATGCAGTCCGGCTTAGGCCTCAGCACTTTATTCATCGTTTTTGACATGGACTCACACCCACTCTTTTGACCCGCCGCGTGTTGCGCCGGAGAATGTCAACCAACCGGTTATTACAAGGACTTGGATGGATTGAAAAACACGTGCGCCGCTACCCCGTTCCATGGTTGACACCGTGTAGGAAGGGCGACGATATGTCGCCTCCAATCAATCGCCATTCTCCTACAACCTATGCATAATATCTCGTCACTCTCCCATTCTCATATGCCCGAGAATCAACATTCCATCCCTCTTCCGTCTACCTCCTTATCTCCTTTTCCTTCCCCCACCAATTCTTTCAGTCTCTTAGGCAAACCAGTCAGCTAGCCACCCACTTGGTTAGCTATTCTCAAACTCGAGCCGAAAGTCGAAATCATTGCTTTTGTCGATGTGTGGGAGAATATTCCAACACTCTATTGCTCGGCCACGGGTGTTACGGGAAGGCGGATTGGTGTTTGCCTTTGCGATTTTGTTGGAGCCATCGAGCTCTCGAGCCTGCAAGCTTTCGTGTCCAAGTATAAGCGAGCAATAAGGCTATGTGGCAGCGCTATCTTCATGAGAATCTTTTCACATTGTAGTGTTCGTTTGCCGTTTTTTATTCTCTTCGGTCGTGTTTCGAGGGAAAAAGCAACGTCTGATGAATCGATCGTTTATCTGCTCGTGTGGTGGGGCGAGAGTGGCTGCCTTCGTGGTTTTGCAGATCCGTATATCTATGTCTTTGCTTATTTATCAAGAAAACTCCGCGATGTCTTCATTACCTCGTTTTTCATTTCCTCCGCGTTCTTATTTGTCCTCGCCTCCCGCCGAAGCAGAATTGTTTTCCCAGGAAGCTCATGGCCTACTCGAACTGTTTGCTTGCGTGGTAGGGTATCAGGTAGGGGTTGTGTTGACGTTTTTGTGTCTTGAGTTATCGTGGTTCTCGCGACTAGGAAGTGCAGATCGGGAACGTTGGAGAGGAATTCAGCGGGTAAGTAGCTGAGTACGTGGGCCTGGCTGTTCGTGTCTTGCGTGCGCGTACGCGCTTCAGAAGGAGAAAATGGGTCGAGGACTCGATGTCAAAGGGCTGCTTCTTATCTTCTTCTGCCTGCGGGGCTTTGGGTGCCTTTGAGCCGGTTTTTAGACTGGGTGTGTCTTGGAAAGTTCTCGAAGTTGAACACTCGTAGCCCTCCTAGCGCGTGCCTAAGTCCCAGTGCCCATATGCCCGTCCTCGTGTCCGCCTTGGACATGTGAAAAGACCGTAAACGCGTAAAGTAGATGTCTTATTTCTTGATATATGTCTGCGTAGCTGCGTGCCTCTACGCTCGTCCCCCCACCATAACAGTCTCCCTCTCCAAGTAAACAGCCCCAAGTAAAACTACCCTCACCTCGCCCAAAAATAGCAAAAAATCAATCCCCCAAACCAACGCTACCGCAGTTCGAACTCTTCTCTTTTATGTATCTCAACATGACAAAAAAATTGCAAAAAAGAAGGGAAGGGGTAATACTTACTATACCATTGATTTTGTTGTTGTCGTATGTCGAGTCGTGTTTCGACAAGGGAAATCGCCGGCAACTGGTTTATATAGTGAGTCTGAAAAGGTCTCTCAGTATATAGTGAGATGGGATTGCTGCGGACTTAGCGAGATTAGGTGAGGTGGGTGGTGTTGCGGGCGAGGGAGAGGGAAGTGAGGAAGGGCTTGTCTGCCCGCAGCTCTCTCCTCTTCAGCTTGCTCTATGGCAACCATGCGTAGCCAAGGTTCGGATATACGGGCAATCCAATGCTTATATCAAGTCCACGTCCTTTTGCGGCCATCCTTGTATTTACGTACATGTCACCAGCCAACCTTGAGAGAACGGATTTCCAGAATGGAGATCAAAAACGTTCTATCTCCCAATGTGCACCTTCTACATGCAATGGCCGAAGCAAGTGTCTCACCCGCGATGCCATCGGCTGTGTATAGAATATATGGAAGATATTTGGCATATACTGCACATAGATACTGACTCGATTCTCGTCCTTTTGCGCAGTGCGACTTGATACTTCGAAATCTTTCTGGTTTGTTTGCCACCTAGGCGCGGTAGTATCAGCAGCTTCATGCGTGTGATCTCTTTGTCTGAGCGTCAATCTCGGTGCCATCGTTTTTGGGTAAAGCAGCGTATATGCACTTGGTTGACGCGCACGTGTGTGTATGCTCGAAAGGGAGTCGAGAGACAGCAATACACACGGCAACGGCAATTAGCGAAATGCCGTTCAGTATTGAATTTCACAAGAATAGTACTCGTACCGTTTCTGATGCGCTCATCACCCGTCGTATTGACATGCTTCGCATAGTCGTTTAGCGTTGGCATGCTTGCTCAAGTTCAATTCGACCGTTCTGTTTTCTCCCCGTATAGTTGAATTGAGGGACAGCGGCGGTTGAATGAGAATGGCGGCAGTAGTCAAATTGGGATTGCGGCAAGCATCTGGATTGGGAAGCAGCAGAATTGGTAAGACAGCAACATCCAAATCGTGATTTAGGAGGCGGCAGCAATTGTATTGGGAGACGGCAACATCTGTATTGGAACTGCGGCAGATTCGGGATCGTGGCAACATCTGATTTGAGATAGCAACTGGACTTGAATAGGGGGCGGCAACATCCATCTCAATTCAAGGCAATAGAGGTGATTTGCATCTCTTCCTTTTAATAGCGGCCAAGTTTATACCTGCCTTCGCAAAGTTGGTGGCAGAACTCGATATGTACAGATGTAGTCACGGCACAACATTCTAGGCAAGGTACCTAGGTAGTTGCGGTCAATTTTTGGCGGCAGACTGTTTTGGTGGCGGCAAAAGTTCAGCAGCGGCAAACCATCTGGTAAACATTTGAACCCTTGCGGCTAACCTCCAATCTCATCCTTACCATCCTGACTATTGCTATCTTTGAATTAACAATGCTAGTAACAGCTTTACTCATCCTTCCCTGCACAAGAGTGAAGAGAGTCTTCCACTTGCATGGCGCAACACGGCAATCTCTCTGCCTGTCTTCCTGACACGATGCGGCAAACTGGCATGGCGGCAAAAATCATCCCTTCAATACATTGCGGCGCAATCATCTCTCCACATTTCCAGCTTGATGCAGTGACATAATTATCCATATCAAATTGGCTGCGCAGTGTTTCCTCCCTCCGCGGCTAATCGTGGCGTCAACCGCCTTTCCCAGTATAATCCTCCTGTGTGTTGCATCTCATCAATCGCGCTGCCCTGACGCCTACAGATCTTGTTCCCTGACGATGCATATTCGCGTAATTACGATTGGAAAAGTAAGGCGAAGAGCTGCGATGACATAAAATATTCAAGGATGGCAAATAGAAGCCAAATGTACGCCCTCCCAGTGTCGTGATTACCTTCTCCCTGCGTGGCAGCAATATAATCTTCCAGCCACGCATCTCTCGCTACCTCGCATAGGGTGTGTTCCTCCAACTGCCTGCGCGTATACGTATGTGTCTGTGCTTCATACTTGTCAAGAAACGGCAAAAGGTGCTCCGCATAGTATCCCCATGCATGCAAGCCAGCGTAACAGCCCGTTTGCCTGTCTTGCACCGTGTGCCTGCGAATAGCTCCACCTCCCCCAGTCTCTGCGTATGCCTCCGGCTGCACCGAAACATTATGATTTCCAACCTCCTTGTGTAGCTCATCGAGCTTTGCAATAGAATTTGGGCAATTTCTGAGTTGTAGAACCAGCTCGAGACTCTTCAGTAGCTGATGCTTTGCATGCATGCATGGTCCCTTCCACCCAAGTATATGTCCTTGGGCCGCCGTGCCCTCGTTCGTTTGTATGAGTTCTCACGTGCTCGTGTACTATTCGATCTCGCGCTGCGTGCGTAGCCGGTGCAGGAGGTGTGTGTGTGAACATCTGTCAGTGTAAGTTCATACCTGTTTCCAAATCGGAAAGGCTGAGTGGTCATGGAGCAAGAGTCTGCCTATAACACACCACTAATTTCGAGTATTCTGGATCAATGCCAGACGGAAGCACCCGGTTCAGCTCTGCCAATGGTCCTTGCTCTAGCCTTTCTCTGTTTGTGTATCCGTGGGATCGTGCCGTTAAGAGTTTGTGTGTTTTTCGTGCGTGCCCGTGAACTGGCTTGTCTGGCGCCGCGTACGTATTGAGCGCTGGGCGCTTGGGGTGAGCCCGAAGGTATGTCTATTTTTCTCTGTGTATGCATTAGCAGGCGTATGTCCGGTCGACCGGGCTACCATGAAGCAGGTGATTGGGGGCATACCTCGACGTGAACAGAAGAAGCGGATCAGAGCTGTCTGCTCCCGCATAATACGACACTCTGGCCAGTGGCTTCGCTGTCATGGACTGTTAGCATGCATGGGTAGTCGTCCTACACAAGTGCTTGTCAATTCCCCTCAATGCGTGGCAGCTCCATACCTGTTTTACACCGCATATTTTGGGTTTCTGCAAAGCGCTCCTAGCGACTCGACAGTCTGCGTATTCATACCTGCCAAGGTCGAGCAGGTTGTGTCTGCCTCGCCGTTTCTCGTTATATGAGCCTCGTCCTCTCTCCGTGTTTGTGCATCTTGTCCTGTCTGTCCAGAGCAAGCCGCTCTAGCTTGAGTCCTCGCGGGACCAGTGAAGTTTAGCTAGCGAAGCGTTTCCTTCTTCTGTGTGCTATGCTTTCTTCGTGCGAATTTGCAGCGTAAGGGGTCTGGATGCCCTCTTTGTCTCTTGGTGCTTGTCTGCGTCTCTTGGTGTCTGCCTGCGTCGCACCGTGAGTACCTGCGTACGCGTACGTGCAAGTCTTGTGGCCATTCGTCTCGTGCTATGGATGTGTGTGCACATGTAGGTACGCGTGGGTGCCCGTAGGCTCGGGTGTGGTGGGTGATTGCGTGGGCCTGTACGTGCCTGCCTCTTTGACTTGGGTGTCCATATCTGTCCTCAAGTCCCCCAATCAATCACGAGGTAGAGGCCCTGGAGCCACCCACCCTGAAAGAGTAGCAGAAAGTACCAAAAGCTGCGCTGTGCCTGCTGCCGATTTTGAAAGAAATGGAGAGAAGAAAGTGGGTGGCGAGCCTAATCCACTGCCTGAACTTGCCTGTGTACTATTGCTAGCCGCGCCGCGAGTATAACTGAGTGCGAATTGTGTCTGAATGCAAGCAGCCGTAGATTAGCCACATATGCGTGGGAGAGTGCAGAACTGGCCGTTCCATTAAATCCTACCTCGCACCATCGTGATTTGCTCCCCATCTTTGCTGGATGTGTGCGTGGGTATCTTTGCTTTTACGTGCGTATGTATCGAGCCGCGTGCATCGTATATCTGAGAGTCCAAGTTCGTGTCTCCCTCTGAGTTCTTTCTTGTGTGTGTGCATCTAAGTGAGAAGGTCAACGACAAAACTCACACCCAACTCAAACGCTACAAAGGGAAAGCCCCAGCTCGATGTCGCTCCACCATGTTGATTTTTGTGCCTGCTCGTTGCCTTCCCGTATGTCTTTGAGCCACTATATCCTCAGCCGGAGTGGGGATTGGGGCATTTGTTTGAATTGGATGCGTGCCGTGCAATCCCCGTCTTTTTCTCTCGTGAGGATACGCATGTGCGTGTGTGTCCAAGTCTTCATATAGCCTACATGTTTGTATCATGAGTATTCCAAGCGAGTAGACATGAAGAATCAGGAAAAAGGCAGGGAGTTGATATAGGCGTATGTCCTCGTCCTCGCATCTCCCCCAGCTCCCTTCCCAAGTAAGAACACACTCCCCTCTTTTGAAATAAAGCAAAAAAACAAAAAAAAGGCAAACAAAGGCCCAGACTCGAACTCCTCACCCCAGCTCTCCCCAATACATAAAAAGTGCAAAAAAGAAGGGAAGGGGAAATACTTACTATACTATTTCTTGTTGTCGAGTTTTGTGTCGAATGTCGAGTCGTGTTTCGACGAGGAGAATTGCGGTGACGAGACTTATATAGTGAGTTTGAAAAAAAGATAATCAGTAAGGTGAGGGAGATTGGTGGTGGCGAGGGCAGGAGACTCGGGTGAGGAAGATTGAGGTGACGTAGGTAAAAGTAAACAACGCAGAGGTCGAGTTATGGGCGTAGACGAGGGCATTGGGCGATGGGCAGCGGGCGTAATGCACAAACAGGCCTGCGGTATGATTCGGGCTGCAGCATTGCATGGGAACTGTTATCTTAGCTACGGGGTGCAGAGCGGGCTCTATTTCGTGATGGCTATGTACGGTCGTTCTGTAGGTGACATTTTTGCCGGGCTGGCTGCGTGCACATGGTAATCAGAGTGCTTCGTGTGCGTCTGGAAACGTATGAGCGCTTTTTCGCATAAATTCGTGATGGATATATACTAGCATGGGTAATTCTAGTCAAGAAATGCACAAGGGAGATTGTAAAGACTGTAGAGAAGAAGAAGGGGAGAGAAGACGACAAGGAAAACATGAGCAGGCCGTCGAAAGAAGACATGAGAACAGAAAAGGTATCGAACAGAACAGAATAGAAGATAACAAGGAAAGATCGCCAACACAGCACCTGGAATATGCAGGATGAAGAGCAGAGAAAGAAGAAAATAGGAAACCAAGCCATCACACGGTGCAGTGTGCCTGGGCCTTCACTGCAGAAAGCCGTTCACGTCCTTGAAGACTCGCCCTAACTCGCTGGGACCTATGAGCCCGCAGACTTGGCCGGCTGACTCTTCGCAAGTTCCTCAGGCGTTTTGAGATGCTCCTCCGTGATATGATCCCCAGTCAATAGCATCTGCACCGGCCTCAACTTCGTAGGATCCTCCTCTGCAGGGTTCTCCGTCAAATCTCCCTTCTTATCAACCATCATCCCCTTCTGCTTCAACATGGCCAAGACCAATGGATGCAGCTCATCAAACGACTCCACAAATGGCACATGATGACGCTCACAAACAAGCCTCACATTAGTCGACCTCCAATAGTTGGGATGGCAGCAGACCACAATCTTCTTACTCTGGGCCCACAAGCCGAGCTCGCACATTGTGACGGGGCTAGTGGTATTGTGGTCGAAGAAGAAACAGATGACGCTGGCTTCCTCCATGGCGGACATTTCCCATTCAACCTGCACCCTGACCTTCTTGTCAACTTCTTCTTTCGAGCCGGCTGTCTTCCAAGCGCCGCGACGAGGGTTATACACGCCCACGGGGAGATGTTGAAGTAGTTTGACTATGCGTTTTTGCCAGAGGATAGCGCGACCCATTTCGATGCTGCCGGCGGTGAAGATTGTGAATTTCTGCTTGATGAAGGCGTCGGGTGGGTTGTTCTCGCGGAATTCCCTGTGGGGTTCTCCGATGTCGGTGGGTTCTGGGCCAAGTTGGTTGTAAATGTCTGCGACTGGGCCGTCGATTGTGCTATTGCCGTCGGTGGGTTTGGGCTTCTCTTCGATGATGCGCTTGTGGCAGTGGGGGCAGTCTGGGAGCTGTCGGCATAGTATGCAGGGTTTTGATTCCTTTTCCTCTTTTTCCTTGGGGTCCGTGGACTCAGATTCGGCGACTGTGTCATCGCTGGGCGTAGGAGTTGGTGTAGCCGTGCTTGCGTCGATTTGGGGTTGTTGCATTGTGCTTGCACCGGAAGGCTGTCCGTCTTTTGTGGTGGGCTGGCTGATGGGGGTCTTTTTGTTTGGGGAGGATTGCCGGTTGCCGGGGATCTGAGTGCTGCTGAGGGAAGATTGCTGTCCAGCGCGAGCCTGGCTACTGTTGGTGGGCGTTGATTTCGGTGGCATGGTGGTGGTGGATGTTTGATGAGCACGTGTATCTTCCTCGCCCTGGTGCGCGGTACAAGTAGTGTTGCTTCGGGAAAGACGGCCGCACAGCTGATGAACCTGCTCAACGGCGGACTTCACACTCTCAAAGGTCGAGCTCCGCGACAACGAAGAAGTCGAATTGTGTAGAGAGAATGGGAGAGTTCTGTATAGTGTGCGTTGTTAGTGAGCTGTGGTGTTGCGTGGGGAGTGTAGTGGCTGCAGGAGATCGACGTACACAGACATGATCTATAGTGGGTTAGTATGACTGGTAGGGCTGCTGGCACGGACGTTTGATGGAAGCGGGTCGATTTTGCGAGCGAGTCAAGGGCACAAACTGCGGGGCGAGCTGGACTGCCAATGTATGACGGATCTGTGAAACTGAGGGTGATGGGAATTCACAATCAGGTACTTTCGCGTGCTATATATACGAAATGGAACATGTCTTCAATCGAGGCAGCATTCTAGGCAGGCTTTCTCGTGGTTGGGGGCGCAGTTCACCTCAGGCAGAGACGCCTGGGGCTCATCACTTGTTGTGGCTGATGCAGGATCGTTGCTACGCATTTTTGATTCGCTCTCCATCTACTAGAGTACACCGACACTCCACATCTAATCATGCTTTGAAGATAATCATACTCGTACATGTAAAGTCTCTCGGTACCTGCCGATGTGGCTGGTACTCACATAGTAATCCCCCCATTAGTCAGGGCGGCTGTATAAGACACAAAGGGCGGTACAAGGATGACTGAATAGTAAAACCATGTCCCGTGGGTATCATCCTCCACCGCCATCATTGTATCCCCATCCGTCTATTCGTTAGGCACATGGGGCCTGGAAATAGTATGAAATGTTATCATGGTAAGAAATATTTTGCCCCATCGCCCTTTCCATATTGTGCCATAAATCGTCATTCGTATGTAAGTAATTGCGGAGATGGTCGCGGAAGGCCCGTTGGGGGCGAGTTCCTCACCACCCTCATCGTCGTCGTACTAGTGCACTGTTTTGGTCATTCATTAGCAAGCCTGAAACCAGGTATGTCAACGTGCTTTCCGTGGGTACTCACTTCTAGTTTGGTGCCAGTTGCGGCGCTCCTCGACAACCTCATCGGGGCTGATCGGATTGCTACGCAGCGGATTGACGTGCTTTACGCCCTTTGCGAGCGAAAGCAAAGACTTGCCGTGGCCGAATGCCTTGAGCTCGGGAGTGGTGGACCACCAGTGTTTCTTGGTCAACGGGCTGTCAGGTTGAACTTGGGCACGCTTCGTAGGAGGGCCGTCGACTTGGAAGCAAAGGGACTGGTTATCAAGCTCCTGACCGCAGTTGCAATCGAAGCCCGTGACGTTGACGGTCGCAAACTCAGCTTCCTTCGGCTTGCTCTGGCCCGGAGGAGTGATCAAGCGCTTGCCAGTGAGGGCCAGCTGAGACCGCACTCTACGCAACTTTCCGTTGACCTTTTCACAGGCACCAAGACGCTTCTGGTGATGCTGCGCCATGGAGAAACTCGGCATTTTGGTGAGCAACTTGGACTGCCTACGCTGTTCTTTGGCACGCCAGGAAAGGCCACAGCAGCGACAGATGACGCCGTACCAGATCTCGTTGTTCTCGGCGCTCACTGGGACGATGCAAGGCTCCTCGTCGGGCTGGAATACCTTGACAATACCGGATACAGTGCAGTTGACGCAAGGCCTGTGCTGGCAGGCGCAATAGACGTAGCCAAGGATGTGCTCGCCATTGAAGGTGTGGATGTCACGGTTACGGCCGCACTTGCAACAGTGCAGCGCAGCCCGCTCATCCTCTGGGATTCCACAGCGCTCACTATCGGAATTGGTGCCGGGCGCGAATACATGATAGATGGGCCGGGACGAATGGCCGGGCGTATCTGCTTCATGGCTAAGTAGCGGCTGGCTGGTTGGGGGAGTAGGATTCGTGAATAGTGAAGCCGTTGGAGGTGCTCGCAATGGACCCAGGGAACCCAGATTCAGGTCTGGCTCACTGAAAGACAAAGAGATAGGAGACACTGTCAATTGAGGCATATTCAATCGAGGCACCGTCGATTGACGCATCGTCGGAGGAGGCACCACCAGTGAAGGAGCCGTTAGGGGGGGCATGGTACTTGAGCTTGAACCAGGCTGGCTAAAGGCCGAGGAGTACAGAGACATAGGGTACTGTGGTGGACCGGCCGCGTGAAATCCAGGATCACTGAGGAGCTGGGAAGTCGGAAATACCGGTGAAACAGTGGGCACGCTCGAGCGTGGCTGTTCCTCGTTCAAGATGGAGTAGCCTGGAGGTGCCGGAAATCGGGGCAGAGCGATTGAGCGAGGCTCATAGTCCCTGGACAGAGAAGAAGCCGGAGTCGCTGGGAAAACGGCAGAAGGGCTGGATGGCATGTCCTGCTGGCCGAAGACCGGAGACATGGAGGGCATTGGCAGGCGCGGCACATCACCTGAGGGTGGATCGGGCCTGTCCACAGGCTTGATGATGGGCTTCGGGGGTGGTGAAGTCAGAGACTCCGTGGCCTGGCCGATGCCAGCCTGGCGAGAAGACTCTGGAGCGTCTTCGCTACCCGTCTGCGAAGTCGAAGACATTTCAAGTCGAGCCAAAGCAGTCATGCGAGGATCGGGGTCTTCAGATGACAGCTCACTGGACGCATATGATGAGCCAGGCGAGTACTGTCCGGGACTGAACAAGGGGAAGCCGCCATATATGGCGTAGCGATGGGTGGGGTCGCGGGCAGGGCGAGGGTCTCGCATCTGTTGCGCCATGCTGAGCGAGGTTGAAGTGGATGGTTGTGGTGTTTTTGAGGTGAGAGGAGGAGACGCGTTTGCTAGGTCGTCGCGTGGGTGGTCACGTTGACCGCAATTTTACTGTGGACTGTTTACTCCCACCACCAGCAACAGCAGGAGCTCCGAGTCACGCGCTTGGGCTATGTAAACGCTTCAATCTTCCTGGCTGCACCACGTGCACTCTGTCGTTATCAGTGCGATTGCAATGCCCTGCACCATGTGGAGGACGTCGCGCCGTAGTCACACCTTGTGATGAAGTGTACCGTGAGTGCCTCTTTGCTTTGGTACCCGGAAAAACGCTGACAGAAGCTGGAGATGTGTCATTGGATGTCCATTGGCACTCTCCATGATGCAGTCAATGTCATGCTACGCAATATCTCCCGAAAAAGTATGCCCCTTTGCTGCCCCTGCGTCCACAGCCATAGACGAGCTCACTACCTGGGGCCCACACGATAACCCGAACAACAGTGCACGGCGAAGATTGGCTGAAGACTCGGGGGAGGCTAATTTGTTCATACGTACAGTGTGCCGCTATCTTTGAGTGTACGGCTCATATCCAGATTAAGCAGTGCAGAGCTGGACCGCAAGAGTCACGTCAGGCTATGAGCACTGTTATTCTACAGTCATTCAAATGTTTAATTCAAGTATCAAAGCCCCTAGTCTTCTCCATAAGATAGAGGCCGTGATATCTAGTCTTCTGCTGAGAAAATCTGTAGAACCCCCAGGATTCTCCCAAAAACATTACCATGAGAACGCCAAAGGCCCATACCTACTCCTCGTCGACCTGATTCTACTTTGCCTATTCCACACCACCATGCAGATCTAGATATGCCTCACCCGTAATAGCATCACCACCATATTTCTTGCCACAGAAATTGGCCATTCTATTGATCGTACCAGACGAAAAGACCATTCCATATCGCCGCCGCTTCCTCCTCTCCTTCTCACGTAACTGTTGGACACTCTCGCTTTCCTGTGCTTCGCTGTACTCGTCAATCGGTACGGCGGGCCTCATAATTAGCTCTACATCCCTCAGAGCCTTCATACCGTTGCCTTCCCAGACTTCAGCATTGACTGGAAAGCACATCTCGTCTGCGAACTTCATATATGTGGAATCGTTGCGAGGATTGGGGAACATAACACCCTTAGTTTTGCCATCATTCTTCGAGCTCGTCATTTGTGGCTGTTGAAGGTGTTGTTTCTGGGTGGGGTTTGCCCTGCTGGATACAGTCTTCTTGATATCAATGAGCTTTGGGTTGACCACCCGTGCCACCTGGGCCTCGTGGATAGTGCAATTGCAATACATGTCGTGGAACTATTCTCGATTGATATGTTCTTCTGGAAGCTATGTTATGGCCGCCAAGAGCTTGATGAGGATAGAATCTAATTGTTTGGACCAGATATTAAGTACATCTTTTGCATAGTGGCCTTACAATGCTGTTGCTTTATGAAGTGCTGGGTATTATTTAGACTCTACATTATTTACACGATCGACGATAGAGCTACAGCTAGCATGCCTGTGAATGCAAGTCCGCCTAAACTTTTAAAGCATAGATGATTGCACTGGTTTTCATCACTGATCTTTCATACGGGGAAGATAGTCCCTTGAAACAAAAGATTTCAATCAACACAAAGACGTCTGTCTCACGAATTATTCTGGAGGTTGGAGGGAAGTTAACGCCAGACCCGGCTAGATAATTGCCGCACACCATCTGCACAACACTCAATAAGGTGTACACAGAAATTAACAATGTCAACGCATTGTGTGTGCACACTGTTATTATGTGCCGCTCCAGACCAGCTGGATGTACTTAAGCTCTCTGACTGCAAATTTTAACTCTTCTTTGTATGCTTCAAACAACTAAACCAGAGAAAGTCAATCGGCTCTAATAAGCTCTAATTCCCAGAGAAAAAAGAAAAAAAAAAAGACAGAGAAAATCAAAGAAAAAAAAAGATCTACTGAGTGCAGCCGTAAGCAATCAATTTTCGAATCATCCAAGCAAAATGTTCAGAAAATACCTCAAAAAGCTCTCCAAAGCCCTTCGTGGCCGGAAACGTCGCCCCGAAACCCAAGGATACCAACCTCTCACGAATCTCCCCGACCGTGAACCGACTATCCCTGAACGCTTCGATCGCTTGGTCCAGATGCGAGCTGAGCATTATGCCGCCGCCGCAGCACGTGCAGCATCTCAAGCAGCAGATAAGCGATTAAGGCGTTCCAAACTTTCCAAGATCCCCATCCCAAGCCCTGTTCCTTATATTGTAGTTACTCCTCCTACTCCAACAGAGGAGCAGAACGAGAGGGGTATTTTTCGGGACGATATTATCTTGGAACAGTGTGACAATGCTCTATATGGTTATTGTCCTGATGATGCGTCCAGGGGAGGAATGCTTCCCATGAATTCGAAATCTACGCGCCTTCACTCTCAGTATCGCGGTCACTACTGATGGCAGAGCAGTGGATGATGCGTCCTCGAGTTCAGACACGTTTTTGTCTAGTAAATCTCTGTGACAAGAGCCTTACATGATACTATAAGAATGTGTGCTGCGCTTTGTTGATTATGATGCAACGATTCAGCTCCCAGTGCGGTGTCTGAGTGACAGACCAATTACAGTGCCTTTGTACACTGAATGTTTGTGTCGTACCTGGTGTAAGACAAAACATTACAATCATTAAATGAAGCCTTATATAACTTTGAGATTCCCGCCACTTCGTATTCATCGGATTTACATCATTTGAAAACGTCAAGAACTAATCGGGATCAGCCTGTGCGTCAACATAGGGCAAGATCTTACTTCAATGCAGACTTTCTCTTTAGATGGGGATCTGTTCTCTTCTTCAAACTTGATATTCAGCTGGCCTGCATATCACACCAGACGAAATGATACTTTTACGCCCATCTCATCAGCATTGTTTATGAAGAATGTCCGCAACGTTTAGCTATAATACAGACAGAATTGAAAAGTAACTAAGTCTATATACATCCCTAATCCTCAACAATAGTCCTCCACCACTGACATACACGAAACCTTTTCAACATAAAGAGATAGGGTCTTCACACTTTACAAACGAAATTCCGAGATGTCTTCCCCTGAAGCATCTCGAATAAATTCCACAAGCTCTTCCCGAGCCTCAAACCAAACCGCCGCGACCTGGGGATGCTGTGGTGAAGTCCACACATTTCCCAAGAGTGATGGGCGGCATCCTTTCGGACGCATTAAGTGTCCCGAATGTGGTGCGTGCCCCGACATCCAGCCCGATCGTCCTGGAGACAGTCTTACTGCAGAAGGCTTCACAAGTCTGCAAGGTACGAAGTTCAAGATCTCCGTCCCCCTATCAACCGATGACCCACCGGATTCGCGCTTCTGTTGGATCTGCTGCTGGTGTGGTCTCTCACACAAGCAATGGCCAGAGAAGCTTCTTCCCTCGATCCCTCCCCCAGAAACTTTCCCGGTCCCACTCAAGCGTTCTAAGACACTGCGTGGCCGCGTTGAGTCTCTCCGCTCTTCCGTGCTTCACAGGGAGACGTGGAAAAAGCAACGCGAGCAGGAGGAGCAAAACATTCGCGAGTGGCAGGCGCGGTGTCTTATAAAAGATCTTGAAAGTGAGCGAAAAATTTATACACACACTTTTGGGGGTGAGTGCACGAAAACCTGCACTCATCGCTTTTGTGAGAACTGCTTCCGTGGTGTCTGGAAAGGAGACGGGGAATGGGTTCTGAAGGACCAGACTGAGCAGGATCTGTCGCTCGTGGGCCTCGAGAGTAGGAGAAAGAAGGCCGTGGAGGCGAGGGAGAAGGACAAGCGGGAGAAGCGTAGGAGCTGGTAGATTATTCTGATTTACCTTGAAATCGATCCGCTTCACATCGGCTGATCCTTCCCCTCTCTTGCTATTCTGACTACATGTCTCCACTTATCTCCTACAAGTCTCGATGCCTAATGCTGTCTTTCAACTCCTTCTTGTCTCTGAAGCAGGCAAAACCCGATAGTTTGTCTAATTTGATCATTCTCTTCCAATTGTTTGCTTTCTCCCACTTTCCGTGAAACTTGTTCACATTGATGTTTCATATTGATGTCTTAACGCATGGATAATGACGCCGCAGTTCAAATATATATTTTGTGAAAAAATATCTGTTCAAACAAACATCCCAACGTCCAAGCAGAGAATATTAATTTCCTTTCCGGCGCGTGTCACGGCCATGTAAAATGATGAATGCATTGTTAATCTACATCTTCTACACTATATATCTGCATGATGCTGCACATATTGTCGTGGGTTTTATATATATCATGAGTTCTCCAGTGGTATAGCCAATCTGTGTACCACAGTATTACAACTTGAAGTAAGAAGCATGAAACCCTTTAAATCATTGAAGAAACTTATACAAGGCATATACAAGGCAGCATCACCTTCAAGACATATATATCCACCTCAAAAACCACCCCAGAATATAAAACGCTCCCAAAACATGCTCCAGATTCTCCGGATGATCAAATTGGGAAGCTCAAAGCGCTTGATGGAGTGTGGTTCTGCTGTCAAAGGCATCACAACCCCATCGAACACTGGGGTGGGACACGCCCATTTGCACCTCTGGTATGCAGTGTCTGCGAGCACATCTTGTGTACCAAATGTAACACCACGGCTATTATCAAGTTCGTCAACCGGGAAACTTACGAACGTAAAGTCATCGATCGTATCAGGTCCCTTCCCGGTCTGTACGAAGGCAACGCACGCCAAATCTGGGGCAGCTTTCGATACGGAGTTATGTGCTCGTTCTGCGGGAGAACATACTGTGCGAACTCTGTCCGCTCTGCTTTCGCCAACACGGAGTCTTTCGACGCAAAGTCGGCACAGCAAACATGTACATGCGGGGCAGGCATCATAAATAGATGGCTGCAATACAAGGTCGGGTCCGCTCGTGAGTATCGAGAGGATCCGGGGCAGGCTTTTCAACAGCTAATTCTAGAGAGAGCTCCAAAACGTAAAACGAGCCCGATAACGTAAAGCTGGCAAGCGTTTGAGCCACCTGAGTGGCAAGTTAGATATTCCTGTCATTGTAAGTTATTCAAATTCATACCTTATATCAACTATGAATTATAGATGTACGGCTGGAAAGCACTTGTGATACTATCGACAAGCTAAATAGACACTGACAAGTCCCATGGCATTTGAACAGTCAGCAGGTATCAACGTATCAACGCACTTAGGTTCGATAAAGAGACACGTGCCCTCATTGGCATTGTTTGTCCACGTTTCGCGTAAGTCTGCAGCTATATACAATCACAGAGTCGCTACACACGTGTATATAGAGATCTTCCTAAACAACACTCTCCGATCATCGTTAACTTCAACACAACATCGCAGAACCAAAGTACAAACAAGCACCCACAACTACGACCGAAACTACAACAAAAACACCACAAGCTCACGATGAAGTCCCTAAAAGACTTCAAAAATCTCTTCAAAGGCGTCCGCGCTTTTGACAACAAAGACACTCACCAACCTCAAAAAGTGGAGGCTTACACCCCTCCCCCTCCTCTGCCACCCCCAAAGACCGCCGATGGCATCTGGAATTGCTGCTCGCATCACACGAATAAGCTCTTCCTCCGTGACGGCACATCGCCTTTTGACCCTCTGGTCTGCGACACCTGTGGTCACAACTTCTGTATACGATGCAACGTCACGGGTATCATGAATCTCATCACCCGCCAGGCCTGCGTGAACGCGCTCGCCACGACCACCACCGTTAAGCGCGCATATCAGGTTCCTTTTGGTCTGTGTTGCACCAAGTGTGGCCATACCTACCGCCCAGACTTTATCAGGGCAGGTATGGCTGATCCATGGGGTTGGGAAGCCCAATTCGTGCGCCAGGCTTGCGAGTGCGGGAATGATATCGATGGGCGATGGATATTTTTCCGAGTTGGATGCCCTGAAGGGTATCACAGGGACCCAGAGGGGACTGCCAGTGAGCTCGATGTGAGGAGGAGGGTTGGAGAGCCTGGCATCCTGAGGAACTGACACTTCCTCAAGACCGGAGGTCAGAAAGGTCAGGAACAAGAAGTACGAGGGATGATTGGAGAAGAAACACCCCACTTACCGGTCTGGAACAATGTGAACCACAAGAAGGAGTTAGAAAAGAGAATCTATTGTAGAGACATCTAAGATTCTAGTGTGTACCTTGTATGCTAGTACTTTCTATAGCTATCGCATGTATCATCTGCAGATCCTGGAATACTGGAGAATTCCAGTAACACTAGCTGCGATGAAAGCCAGACACATATTCCACCCGGGTGTATACCCCAAGACAATAAGTGTACGGGGATGGGACCTAACCGGAAATCAACCCGACCAAAAGATTTGCTTGTAGCCATCGGAAGTACCGTTGTAGATCACGAAAGTGATGTTGCTGCCCAAGTAAAGCTCCTTGCTGCTCTCGAAAGTAGTGAATTTGAACTTGTAGACAGGGCCATCGTCAATCTGGCCCAGAGCGGCAGTGCAGAAGCCTAGAAAATGAGTTAGTTTGATATGGAAAGACGCGCCGAAAAAGATAGGAGTCACATACCGAACTTTTCAGGGTCGCAGGAAGAGTGATCCTTGTGAGTGTGGGCAGTGGAGTTGCAAGCGGTGTTCCAGCTCTAAGGACACAGAGTCAGTATGTTTAGCTTCGTGTAACCGTGTTATACTTAGGGCCTACTTACACCCTTGTAATGATCGCAGAACACGTGGTTCATGGTCATATAGCACTTGCCATTGTTATCCGCCCAGACGCCACCGCGCCTGAAGCAGTCCTTGCTATCGAGACCATAGACCTGGCCGTCGAACGAGTAGGAGCCGCCGGAGACCTTGGCAGGGGCAGTATTAGGAGAACCTAGGAAAATCAGCAACATCCTAGGTGAAGACACAAGAGCAAACAGAGAAGAATCGTACCTAGCGAGCATTCAACGCCCGCGGTCTCCTTGCAGAGATGAACACCCATCTTGTTCGACGTGCAGGGTTATTGGGAAGATGAAGTAGAAGGAAATTTTCTGAATACCGACCGAGGGTTATGAGCCCGTGAGATGGCGGTATCGAGTGTCGTGGAGGTGAGTGGTAGAGATGGATGGGGGGTAGGAGGTGAGAAATATATATACGAGTGCCAAGCGCGCGGTGGGGCGCGAGATGGCCTCAAGGAGCACACAATCCAATAGCAGAAGTCCACGATGCTTACTTATAGTGATCAAACGAAGCATCCGTACCATACTAGTTCTAGGGAAAAGTCTAGAAGCTATCGAGGCGTTGTTACACAGGCCGTGCGCCACTATCAATCTAAAGTGAATGAGAGCCGACTGAGCATATGACATTCAAGAATCAAATAGGCAAGAGCTAGTGTTGAATTGAGACTAGATTCTTGACAAAATCAGAGGACCCCGGGCATTGATTATGTACGTCCTTGATTCCTACAACAGTTCAACCCCCGAGTGCCCCGATCATCGTCCTTCTCGCCCGTTTAAAGTCGCCGAGTCGAAGGCGTAGCGTCCTGTACAGCTATGGATACTCAAGACACCTCTGCGTCTCCCGCTTACGCCTAATATCCAGGAAAGTCAGTAATCCTAACTGCTTGCATTTCACGACCATTCTCACCGGTTCGAAGAAGCAGAATCCCGCACGAAAGCCCGTCACCTTGCCGTTCTTCCCTACGTCGTGAATGCTAGACACTCCCCACCAACCACTGGCAATTTATCAGTCCAGCGGCCGCTTAAACAAGCAGAATCGGAACGATGGCCTCTCAAGTCGAACCGCCCACATCGTCAGTCCGTTAAAAGTATTTGAACAATGACAACCTCGTCCAAGAAGACACCAGCTCCTTTCCGAATACCACATCGCCATCAACCAGCTTTTTACCACCTCTTGCCAATCCCTGGATCGCATTCCCGGCTTTCAATTCGGCGTATCGCCTGGAAAATCTTGCCAATACTGTGGCTTGAACAGTCGACTTCGTACTGTCTGAACAGAAAGCCACCATCCCCTATCTTTCGCTCCTCATCACCATCCTTCGCAGCAACAAAATTACAAACATCAATACCCGAGAAAACCTCCCACCTATAATTCCAACCTCGGACCCAAATCGAAACCACTCATTCGATACAACGACTTTCCCATATCATCCGAAATATCCAGTCCCAGACATAAATCCCAAACATAAGTCCCAACACCCCACCAACAGTGGCTACAATCTTCCTCCCCACAACCTTTCCGAACTTCCCACACACACCCTCATAAGCCGCAACAACTGTCGTAACAAATTTATCCAACGATCCCAACAACACGTCCCTAGCAACAAACTTAACAACCACGATAACAATGTAGAGAAGCATAGACGCGGAGAAATCCAGTATGAAGAGCAGAAAGGCGAGGAATTCGCGGAGGGAGGATACAATAGAGTAGACAGTTGGGAAAGGAAATGAAAAGATGGAGAGAATGATGTGAACGTAATTTCTGAAAGCTCTCCGTGGACGGCTACGTCGTTTACTGCGCCCCCCGCTGCTTCGACGACGACGAGGACGACGTGAACTTATGACATATTGTTTGCGGTTGGGGTCGTACATGAACGAGGTCTTCTCTGCGTTACTGGTGCTTCCACCTCGGGTTTTGCTTCTGCTTCTGCTGGGGTTCCTGGAGCTGCGGTGGGGAAGATGGTCGCCGCTGACGGAGAGCGATTTATGAGAGTTTGGATCGGACATGATGGATAGTTACTGTCGTATCTACGATCGAGACCAGTAAAACAATTAGCAAGAGATGGGGTGAAATGTATTAGTTCAAGTCATAAGACCGAGCGTGTCAAGTTTGGAGTTCTTCAACATTGATTTCTTTGTTTGGGTTTTGTACGAATGCTTGCCCTAGCAAATCCCCTTCCGGCTTGGTGTTCCAACTGCGGCATCTCTGATGCTTCCGCATCGAGACGGACAAAGGGTGTTAATAGTGGGTAGACAGGATGTAGACAAAAACAACGCATAATGTGGAGCACTTGAACCTGGTGCTCACAGGTAAGTAAGCACCCAGGGTCAGAACTCTGTCCGTATAGCTTCAAATCTCAAGGCCTGTTCTTCAACGCATAGGCTGTTTGCCCTTCCTGATAGCAATCCTCCTTTTATAGTCAACCAGGACCTCCTTTGCGCCTCCCAAATCCTTTTCCTCCAGCCAATCGCTGTTCTCGTACCCCTGCCATTTGACCAGGTAATATTTCAGGCCGCTCTCAAAGTTGTGGTCAAGAATCTCCTCCACGACGTACTCTTCAGCGCCTTCATCTTCATCATCGTCGGTGTCATCGTCTTCATCTACATTGTCGTTGGCGCTTTCTTCCTCCTCATCCTCATCCTCATCCTCGTGGTGGTCCAGGGTCACGCCTCGCTCTGCATCATCATCGTAATCGTCATCCTCGTCGTCCATGTCATTTTCCATGTATTTATACAGATCTCGCGAACGTTCTGGCTTAGACTGGTGGAATATCGAAATAGCTCTGCTATGTCTGCTCTTGGAGCTGCGTGCAGGCTGACTGCTGTTGTAGCGATGTGTGGACGGAACCCTGCTACCTCCATACTGTGAGTCGCGTGCCGGACCAGAAGGAGTTCTTCCACCCCGAGTGGGCCTGTGCTTCGGTTTACGTGCTGGCACATGCACTGTGATGACGTCTTGAGAGGATTCGCTAGATTCCGACTCAGAATCTGATTCACTGGAAGACTCTGACGATTCAACGACTTGTACCTTGCTCTTCGTGGGCATGGCGGGACGGCGACGACGAGGATCCTCCTTGCTGGCGGGCGCATGTCGAGAAATTTCAATCCTGGAGTTGGAACGCGCTGGAACCGCAGTCTTCTTGTAGGCGGATGGAGGAGCTGGACGAGAGGATGTAGCGCTGCCGGTTCTCTGCTTCTTCGCAAGATGACCCCGATGATAATCCCGATCCGGAATGACGTGCTCATCTTCGTGTGTTAGTTGACGCCGTTCGCGCCTCTCAAAATGCAACTGCTCAGCCGCGCTTGACATGGACCGAGGCCGATTGTCTGACAGTGCATCCTCGTCCAACATCTCTCGCATAGCCTCCACTGGCCTGGAATTATGATGGGGCGCAACTGGGGAGACAGGCAGGGCGCTGTTGGCGACGAAAGATGAACGCGCAAGGTCGGGTGACGCCAGCTTCGCGGGGTCGTTTTCTAGTGATTCCTCCTCGGATTCTGCGATGGTGCGTTGGATAATATCGGCCTCATTCTCGCTCATTTCGTCATCAACAGGAGTCACAGGATCAACAGCCTCAATCTCCTCTTCCGCAGCGATTTGTACAGGTGTTGCAAAACCTCCTCTTCCGCGCCTGCTGGCCCGGCCTCTGGGTCGTCCCCTACCACGGTGTCCTCTTGTGCTACTTTGCGATTCATCGCCGGGATCCACGCCGATTCCTTGCAAGATCCTGCCCCCGCGGCCTCTGCCTTTTCCAGACGCGCGCGCGTTCTTCTCAAGCCGCCGCCGCTTTTGTTCCTCAGCCTCAGCACGCCGTACAGCAGCTTCTGCCTGCGTTTCAGCGCGAGATTCCCCATTTTCATATCGCTCTAGTTCACGGGGTGACACGTATTGGTCGATTTGGTCGACAAGCACCTCCAATACTTCCACCTCATCTTCTTCTCCTTTGCGCGCATTACTGCTTGACACGTTGTGCCTGACCTCCACAACATAGTAGTGCCGGCGGTATCCATCGTCGGTTTGGCCGCGCCTTAGGATTCGTGATTGTGCGTTCGGGATAGGACAGTCGCTCGATAAGGTGTGTACGACGGTGGGCGGAGCTCTTCGGATGTGGTATAAGGAATTGTAGACGTTCTCGTCGGGTTTGTAAACCTCATATTCCCACTGGCATCCAATTAGCGATCAGGGCTGCAGAACAACACTCTCCGTACGCGGGATCATACCGTCATTGTCCCTCCACGGCCACGTCCTCGTCCACGACCCGCGCCGCGACCGCGACTGGATTTTCCTCTCTCCGACATGGTGTGTCCAGATCACGCCATGTGCAATGAGCACGGAAACACCGGAAAGGAAAAAGCCGGGGCGGTTGAACAGGCGGAGGCGTCATAGTGAGAGACGTCAAATGATACGTTTAGGTAGCAAACTAAATGTGAATCCCGAAACGAAAGTCCTGGGGATGCTTACATAATTGCGCTTTCCCTATCCACGTGCGATTGGCACCTGCGATCAGGTGCTCCTGCTCTACATGAAAATCCGTGCACGACATCAAGTTCATTTTCACGATAGTTCATATGTACATATGTAGTTGTATATTGCATTCGCATCTATTTGGGTATCATACTTCATGCTGTCCTGCCTCCTGAAATCAATCACGCAAATCCTTCAGTGTGTATCTCAACACCCGTTTCCCTCCTCCCCTTCGCAAACTCCATATTCATCATCGCAACACTCCTGCTCGCTTGCTCTACGATCCCCCGGTTCGAGCATACAGCCACCATCGTTTTCGCTGCGTATGACTGAGGGACTGCCACTCCTAGAATCGAGCCGACGTCCGGCCGCATTCCATATGACCTCGTGATGAAATACGGCAAGTTTTGTTTTCTCTCTTTTCGCTCCTGTATTCGCAGCATTGCGCAGGAGCAACTTTGCTTGTGATCGGCTGATTTGCGGTGGAATTGCGGTCGCGGAAATCGCAGCGATGGCAAGCGTGACCACCAAGACGAATCCAGCTCTTCCGCAGTAGACTCCAAGTCTGAGAACAAAGACGCGCCATCATCCTCTTCTTCGTCGTCGATGAGTGTCGAAGACACGTACGTCTCACAGCTAGACCGGCTATGCATCTCGCTGACGCGCGGCTCCACTTGTTTGAGGTCCACCTCATGAACTTCGTCTTCGTGCTCATGCTCGTGTTCTTCCATCCACTCCTTTGGGTTATCAGGGTTGCGAATCCGGAGTGGTCGGCGACTAGCAAAGTACTTTTGCTGTCTTGGCTGTCGTAGATGCGCAAACGGGTCGAACTCGCGCATCTCTTGAGCCGTGACTGAGTCTCTTGAGGAAGAGCAAGTCGTGTAGAATTCAACCTCCAACTTGACGTTCGATTCCCTCAGCAGCGTGCTGTGCTTGAGAAGAAGCTCTTTCACCATGACTTCCAACTGCGGCTCGATATGACGATTGGACCAGATGAAACGAATATGCTCTGTACGCAGGTTCTTGTGCCCATCGAAACACAGCTGCTCTAGATAATCAAGGACTGATAGAATGAATGAGACTCCAGTCGACGTCGCCATCAAGACGAGGTTCTCGTACGACTCCCAAGCTGGTGGGTTGCCGTATGGGCCATCAATATAGGCAGTAAGGGATGATGACTCTTTGCTGGCGTTGGGGCACGGTGTCGAAAGCCACTCAGAATGATAGTCTTTGAGACGCTTGGTAAGACCCGAGTGTGCTTTGATCATAAGCACCATGTCGTTTGCGGGAGGGATGTAGTCACGGCCGAGGAGGCCATCGAATTCCACATCGCTAGTCTTACCGGGTGGTGGCGGGGTACAGGATAGATCGGCGCAGGTGGCAGGTGTGAAAGGATGCGGTTCGAGTCCTCCAAGCTTTGGCAGGAGCAGTCTGATATGCTGTCCCGCCTTCCACGAGAATGGGAGGTTCGTGAGACGAATAATGGTGGTCGATTCGTGGGTCGTGACACTGCCAATGACAGGCGTCGTCATCTTGATCGAGTGTCCCATTGCAAGCACTTGCTGACTTGACCCTTGTCTCAAGTTGAAGTTCTTCCTCTTCACCGTCCGGATGCTGATGTTGTTGATGATCAGCTTGTACCCCGACAGAAGCTTGTCTACGGCCACGAGGACGAATGAAGCATGTATAGGTAGACGCGCATACGCAGGCACGTGCTTTGCCGCGACGACCAGAAAGACCAGCGTACTCAGCCAGTGATTGAGGTAGAACAGCCGATAGCTGAATCTCCTCAGCGGCAGTATACTCGACACCACAATCCACGCAAGAGTGCCATAAGCGCCCATCCCGTACCGCACGACCGTCATACCCTTCTCATGCGAGTCGACGAGGTCGCCAATGGAAATGGAAGACATCATGATGGCCATGTGAGCCGTCGCACTTATGAAGAGAGTCCGCCCGACCCATCTGTGTAGCCAGTTGATCCTTTCGTAGCTCATTCCGGTCAAGAGTTGGAGCGGACCACGCTTGGTCGCTAGGAAATATACGAGAGGAATCTGGGTAAGGGTGATCCAGGCCGCGCGAAACGCCACATCGTCGGCGAAGTGCTCGCTCAATGTAGGCGCATCGACAGACAGCAGCAGCGAAGCAATTGTACCGACGTACGCGCACACAATAAGGGCACGCCCCCCGGAAACGCTGAAGGAGCCCCAGGACAGTCGCACTGCTGAAACGACCTTCAGATACGCAGCCCAGCGCACAGCGCGGGTCGCAGAATGCGCATACTCCAGTTCAGTCCATCCTTTACTGTCTCTGCATCACAATTAGCATCCATTCGCGATCCCACAAAGCAAATGCACAAACCTTCGCCTCGTCCAGTATCCGTACAGTCGCTGAATCACTCTCGTGACAACAATGGTCCCTATCGCACACCACAGCAGCTCCGCAAGATGATAGTTCAGCCGTCCTCGATGCCTTAAATGGTGCTCCCACCGTACGTCTTCCAATGCCTCGCCCTGTGACATTATGTCTTTCCAAACTTTTGATTTTAACCCGAACGCGAAGTGTCCTTCTCTTTCAACAAGCCGGGGATGCGCGTACTCTCCATAGAGGGTATCCGCGTAGGGAGAAAGGAAAATGCAACAGTGAAAAACGAACGGAACTCGAATCGGGGACGGACGCGCAATTTGAAATATATTGATTTGTTGGAGGATTCCCCGAAGGAATGGCTGGGCTATGCCTCGGAGAGTAAACGCGTCGCCCCGCCCCTTGCAAACCTTCGAGGGCGGTGCGCGCATACATTGTTGGAAACTTATGCCTGGTGTGTCAGGTTGTGGTCTCAGGATAAATGTGGAACGCGCGCGGGTCGATGGTGGAGATGCTGCCAATTCATGGTTTGACACTTCTGAGGCACGGCCTGGGGTCGTGGCGTCTGGGCTATCTTTTGGGGGGCAAGGGTAGTTGTAGCCGATTCCTCCCCAAAATAGACACAACAGCTGCGTAATGATATGTTGCAAGGATTAAGACCGTTGCAGGGGTAAGCTTCCGGACGCAGTCTTTCTTCGAACGACATGTTTTTGCTCTGTTGTTGTTTGATAATGCCACCACGCAGCCTCCCGATTCAAGTATTCCTATCTGATATTTTGTACTTTCGATTTATCTGTTTCGTGATGGTGGTTCTATATCCTCGCCACCGATACATCTTAAGTGGGTCTTTATCGTTGGGCAGATGGCTGCCGAAACGCATGGTTTCATCAACCGAGTTGCAGCTTTGCTGGGCGATGGGGAGTGACACATTATGCGATTGTAGCTATAATATCATGGAAAACGGGATTCGGCAATTGAATTGACGATTGTGCGATTGCTGATCGTGGGAGAGTTTTGATGGGTCGCGGTGGAGCGACAGTTGGGGATAGATCTATGACGTGAATCAACTCAGTCTATTTTCCATCGTATCTGCCAATGCGAAACACAATTGAACGTGATGCACTCAGATGAGAGACTCTTTGAGAATCTTTTGAGAGTTGGTCAAAGAAACAGCGTCCGCAAACCAGTACAAAGTTGTTCTTTATGCGATAAAATTACAAAATAAGTATACAAGAAACTCCGAATCCTACTTCGAGAATAGAGACAGAAAGAAGCTAAGAACGCCTCGACAACTCCACATTCACCGACCTCCTTCCCCATCCCCTCCCTTCCCAGAACTGCCTCCATGTAGTCCTCAACATAACCGCACTCCCCGCCAGCATTCCAATCCCCAGCTCAAACAGCGAGCAGAAGAACAATCCCGCCCTCTGCCCAGGCCCCGACCTGCCCACGCCAGGCAGAAACGGAATCCGCGCAACATTGGCCACGATAGCGGCGCCGCCCATCGCCAGCAACAGAATCAATCCCCTTCGCTCAGCCCTGTCGCGCTGGAGGTTGTACAGCATCAGATACGGCATTACCACAATCACGATGTCCTCGACCGCCGATGTCGCAGAGAAGATAAACACCATAGTGCGGAGCGCGTCGGATCTAGAACGCGGTCTAGTCCCGCTGTCGAACTGCTTCTGGATGTGTGAAGTCGATGCGGCGAGGGTGGCGGCGGTAGCTAGAGCCGTTACGCTCATTAAGGCTATTGTGCCGTAGAGGATCGCTTGGTGCCACTTCTTGCGGGCGATGCGGAGAAGGGCCAGTGCAATGCTAGTCCGTGTGCAGACAATTGCGAGCGTGTATGTGAGTTGTGCGAGGTAGTAGAAGAGCCCTGCTTTGCGGCGCTCGTCGCTTGTCCAGTTGGGGTGGTCGGAGGGAGAGAAAATGAAGTTGTCGATTGCGCAGAAGACGAAGACGGCGAAGAGGGTGAAGAAGAACTGGAGGTTAAGTCAATTTAGGCTTTGGGCTTTGGGGTTCGAGGGGGTTGGGGGCTTACGAGACTGACGAGCATCAAAGTGTCGTCTTTTCCGTATTTGTGACCGCTGTGGCGGATGGTGATGCGTGCGCCAATGGTGGCCCAGCTCAAGAAGAGGATAATTGCGTTCATGACGGCGAGGGCGTAGCCTGCGGGACTGACTTTCTCTTCGGCCATGGTGTCGCTGGGGAGGAGATGAGAATGGTGTAGAAGCGGGAAGAAAGATGTGGAGACGAGGAGGATATCTGCGGAGCTTGCAATTGATATGCAGCGCGCGAAAGAAGCCACGCAGGGAGAAAGACGTGAAGCCGAGACGAAGGATTAGGACGAATGAGCTTTGAAGTAGGTGATGCGAGCTAAGCAGGGAGAAGAGATGTCGGATCGAGATGTAGAGGCAGGGTTATTCGATATGGCTGACGTGCAGTGGGTGACAGAGACTTCGCAGGAAGGAAGACGTAGAGCCGGGAAGTATCGGTAGGACGCAGCTGGTGTTCAGTGGGCGGCCGGATCTCAAGCAAACTTTCCATCGTGAAGAAAATGCGGCCCTTAGTAAGCACAGGTATATACTGTGTCAATTGGTGAAGCTATCGTCTTCGCCAAATGTAATAGAAACATTCGTTAGCCCGCGCTGGAAATGGAATGGGTACAACGCCATTCTCCTTACAAAGACGAACGTAGCAGCCAGATACAGTTTAGAGTGAATAGTGAAATGATTAAGGGGAATCACATTAGTGATGTTGCCTTGCAACTGGCGTGCGCAACTTGTACGTCTTGATTCGCAAGCTTTCCGTTTTCTCGAAGTCTCAAAATTCACACTTAGCCAACACGGCTTGCGACGTGTGCCATCATAACGTAGGCGAAAAAGATAAATTTACCTCATAAGACTGATTTATGTTCACATTATAGTAAAACTCGCATGTACATTGCAAAGAATCTGCCAGGTGTAGTTGTTGCAGGCCAACTTTGCATAGCCAGAAGGCTGCGTCCTTCAGCGTAGCTACGATATGGAAAAGCATGTCTCCCACGTAGAACAGTTTCTTTATCAAATCAAGTGCCGTCTCGCTGCCCCGCATACTCAATCGCCAGCCCCGCGTAGCTGTTGTTGCTGTTGTTGTTGTTGTTGTTGTTGTTGTGTTGTTCTCATAAACCTCCTTTGCCACAGATTAACTGACGTCAACACTGCAATTTCCCTCACCCACAACAACAGCTACGCGACCTCCTCACATCACCAGCAGTTTTTGGGAGTACTATATAACCTGCTTCCACGGAGTTCTCATTGTCTTAGGTACTGAAGGCCTAAGACGCAGCGTGGTGGAATGGTTATTAATACAAGGTAAGTCCCGCCCCTTTCCTTTTTTTGTTTTTTTTTGGGGTGTTGGGGGGTGAGGTGTTCGAATCTCGCGATGGGAGATTTGCAGTGTTGACTTTTGCTATCTTTTGACGCTGATGGGGGTGTTATTTGTTGGGTGTTGCGCTGGCTTTTGCTATCTACGTGGCTGTCTCTCTGCACGAATACGTGCGATATCGTGGCGACAAAGTCTTGAGAGAAACACACACGTACTCATTTCTATTAATTGTCTGAATTAACCTGTTGGCTTGCAGATTATGACTGCTACGCATTCCAATTGGAGTCAACGTGTGCCTTTTCTGCCTATGTTGCTGCTTAGAAGATTGTGACAGTCTGCCACTTTCCAAAGTCCCCACTTCTTCACGCCTAGATGTATCGATATTAAGAATTTGTTCTTAGGAATTTCCCGTTGTCACAGAACTTGAATACATAGCATACTATCATGCGTATTAGCAAAAATCCTTTGCGGCCTTAGTTATTCAAAAAATATTGGTATTGCGGCGCGCGATTTTCGCGTCACAGGAAAAAAGTGCAAAGCAAAACATCTATGTCACATACATGCATGTGTAGCTTTAGCACCTTGAATTTTCCGACTAGCATAGCTTATAAGTCTCGCGGCTTGCTCGAAATTTTGTCATTGGGCACTTGGAGTGATGGAAAAGAAAACCACGTTGGCAAGACACGGTGCGGCTGAACATCACATAGTGTACAAGATTGCTCACGTCAAAGCAAGCGACATCAAAAGTCCGAACCAAACAATTTATTCGCACGAGTATATACAGAGGCTACAGCAAGTAACGAGTGATATGCCCAACAGCCAAGTCAATATCCACACTCCCTTCAGACCCTGGTCTCTATGCTCCGAACGCACTGGCGTACATTTTCGTCTGCCCATTTAACCAAAGGTAGAGTTGATAGGACCAACCTTGATGTTGGAGTAAATGACGGAAGCGCCAGGGCTGTTCTTCTCAACATCAGCGGGAACACCGGATGTGGTTTCGCATTCACCACGGCCGATACCGGGAGTGGAAGCGTCCTTGTCAGTGGGGTAGGAAGAGTCGAGCCACAGCATGTTGGCCGCGTGGTCGTCCCAGAGCGACATAACCAAGACCATACCACCAGTAAGAGCCTTGGACATGCCTGCATGTCCACCCTTCTCCTTGTAAGAGTGACGGTCTCCAAAGGCCTGCTTCTGGGCATCACAGAAGTCGGTGGTGATGGAATTTCCGGTAACGCCCTCGATCTGGGACTGGGAGTTGCCAATGACCTTGCCACCCTGAACGTAGAAGCGCTTGATGTCGAGGCTGTCACCTGAGCCGACGAACTGGGTGACGACGGTGAACTTCTTCGAAGTATCGACAGTCTTTCCCTTTCCGTAGAAGCTCTTGTCACCCATACGGAAGGAGTTGAAGTCGCAACCATCGGCGTCGCACACACCGCTGTAACGGTCGCTGGAGTAAGTTCCACCGCAGGAATCGCCTTCGCATCGGCTTTGCCCAATTTCGGTGCAAGCGTGGGGAGTGTAGGCAGTGGATACCGAGTTGGCCTCCCAGACTGTGAACACGTTAGTGTTGGAGCGTTCGAAGATTGGAATCAATTAGGCATTGCTTACTATCCATCTCTGAGCAGCAGGATCCGTACTTTCCAAGTCCGGCATTCTGGTCATTGTCCGAAGGCTGCCATCCCTCGATATTACCCTGCATCTTGAGTCAGTTTACATATCAAACTGGACACCGCAGCGGCTACTTACTTCACCGTTGATGAACTTGAGATCACGTGGGCACTGGGCGTCGCAGTATCCAGTTCCGTACTTGGCGCCAGCCTTGTTTGTGGAGTACTTCTTCACGCCACCGTCTGCGTCCATAGACACAAAGTACAACGCGCCGTTAAGACCACAAGGAAGGTTGGAAACGTCAACGTCAAAGGTGAACTCTCGGTTGGGAGCCAGCGTGAACATCTCGTATGATGAGTCGTCCTTCATGAGGTATGTTCGCGAGCCAATGTTGGTCGAGTAAGATCCCTTGGTGACAAACTTCAATGTCAAAGCATTCCCGCTAGCACTGATGCCGTAGGTGCCGCTGTAATCTGCGCCATCAAGAGCGCACTTGGAAGCGCAATCTTTGTTATCCTTGCATTGCGACGTCCACTTGTTTCCGTCGTAGCAGTTATCCGTGCCCTTAAGAGAGTGAAGCCAACGCCAGTTGGAGTCGAGGACAATCTTTCCGCTCTTGGACGAACAGCTTCCCTTGGCCGTGCATTGTTGCCATGTCATGCCAGGGTGAGTCTCGGTTGTTTGGGTACCGACCTGCTGGCCGTGGGCCAAAGCAAGGAGAGAAGAGGCAATTGCAAGTGCTCGATACATGGCGAAATCTGAAGGACGAGTTGGGTGGCCTTCAAGCACATCATCTCGATGCCCGCGACTTTATACTCCAAAACTTCCATCGAGCGGTGAATGCCGGACCTGCTTCCATTTCCAGCGCGGCGACAGCCAAGTCAATCGGAGCAGGGTTTCCTAAATGGTTCTATGGAACGGCGGGAAGCAGAATGTAACTTTCATTGGGGCAAATTCAAAGCCAATACGATATCAAGCTTGAAGCGGGGGCGAGTTAATTCCAAAGTGATATCAGATTGTAGATGTTTAACATAAAGATAATATGCGTAGAAGCCTTAGCGCCAAAGAGTCCTGGGCGTGTCCAATCGTTCGAGGATCCAGAAATGAAGCAAGAGGTTAAGAGAAAAAGATCAGACAGATCATCCGGGGTTGATGCAGCGAGGTGCCGACGCGCATTTGCGGGAGTTTATGCTGTGTGTATGTGCGAGCGGTATGATTGGAGTACGTGAGATGTTGACATGGAGCGTATATTATCCGAAGGTGGAGAGGGAGCCTCAGATCCACCAAATATCGCTCTCTGAGCAGACAAAACGGCCTCGTGATAACTTATTACATGATGCATATGGCATAGCCACTGAAACAGGCTAAGACGAGAACCGTGATTGGAAGCGCGCATCGTAATGTACTCGTGAACACCTGCTAGTGGCCTTCGCGCATCTTCTTAAGCCATGAGGCTTTCTTCTAGGCTTGGCCACCATCCGGCATAGCCCTTCGGCATCTAGCTGAGTTGGAAGTCCTTGGTACGTTCCGATAGAATATTCTTCGCGCACGGTGGTCTACATGACTTCCGAAAAGAGTTCGCTGTGATCTGGAGGTCGAAGGTCGCGCGTGCCAGAGCCTGTCGGGCATTGAGAGCTATCGGCGAATAGATTTGACGGCGTGGGAAACGTTCTGGAAGCTTTCGTAAATTAGATGAAACTATTTAATCATAAGCGTGGCTCTGTTTGGTTGTGTAATAAGTTGGAAGGTGAGCAGTTGGCCTGGATAGGTGGTCGAGGAGGTTTGGAAGACCATAGAAGCAATTCGGCTAATATGTATAGATGAAAATGGGTCATATAAACTCACCTTACCCCACAATCGCGGGGATTAAGTCCTCCCCACATTCCTCATACGGCGTATGGCTGTAGGTAACGGGTTTCGAATAGTTACACGAATGATCGGGGCATTTTGATTCAGTGACGCAGTACCCACACAACTCCTGTCGTGTGGATTGGCCGAGGGTACCTGATTGGCGAACAGGTTTCCTGGAGTAGAAAATCCACCAAAAGCAATTGTACAGGCAGAATGCGATTCCAGATTGAGTCCTTGTGGTTCGGCGTGAGACCAGGGGCTTTCTTCGTTCGCGGGGTTGTAGATGTGGGCTCAATGTAGGGAGTAACGCGTGCCAGGCCGAGCCATTTCGGCGGTAGAAGTTGGCCAACCACGGCGAGAGGTGGTCTAGATTGAGATCTCGAAATCGAAAGGTGCCAGCATAATTGGTAAGACCGGGTGCTGAAGACCTGTTGTCAATGGTGATGAACCTGAAGCATGTGCGTGATGCCGTAAATCACCCTGGCTGGTAGTCTAGAGAGGTTGCAGCTGCGAAGCCTGGTTTTTCCCACCGTATCGGATCTCGATGGGAAAGAAGGAGGAGGCTCAAGGAGGCTCCAAGATCTCGCGGCGGGCAGGGAGGAGCAGCGAGGTATCTTAAGTAGAAACCACCACAAAGCTGCCACATACAAACCTTGGCTTTTCTACCTACAAAGAGCGGGTAAAGCTGAGTCAAGAGAAGATCAAGCAGCGTCCGCGTTTTTGCATTGACATTCCAAGCCTTTAGAAGCTTGAACATCGTTCGTAGAGTGTGCAGAGTACATGAAGCTAAGTACAGGTGGAGCCCTATATGAGCAGTGTGTACCACATTGATAGTTACGGCCCGGCGTAACCCTGCAAAACATTCGACGCGGCTCGATATGGTGTGTTGACAAAACGCGGTATGAGCGTCCATCTTGGGGGAGTAGATATTCAATTCAAGCTTACGCGGTAATCTATAGAGCCTGGGAGAGGGGAGAATCGCGCAGCAGCAGCTGGATAACGCCGCGTTTGGGAACATTCGTAAGCAGTCTGTACAAAATCCCATATACATCGAGCTGATCTGCAAGCAGTGAGCCAGATATGACAAGCGCGCAATATGAACTTGATCAGCGATCTGCAACGTACGACCTGGGAGAGCAGAGTGATAGTCCTGGTGCCGGTGCTTGAATACCAGGACTGTGTCCTCAGAGCTACACATGACGAGACTGTGAGAGCGGGTCAGGGGAGATCAGAGGTCTGAGTCGCAGGCCGAGAGGCTGGGCGAGGTTTGGCATCATCGTTGTCTTTAGAAAGAGTGGAAAAACACTTTGTGAGTGAAAGCGCCCAGCGCACGCCGGGTAAAGTGGTTGCATGTCATATGGCGAGCGGGCCGACTATCAATTAGCTGGGGCGTTGATATTGTTCGCAGCGCTCTTTGCGCACGCTCGACGAAAGATTAACGAGGAGTCGATTCAACATGGCGTTCGAGTGAAGAGCGTCTTTCGAGAAGACCCCGGTTGATGCGAGTGAACGCGTCTTCGGCTACTAGTCTTAGACGAGGAAGGCGCGAGTGACTGAGCAGAGCTCACGTGTTCTGATTCTGAACTCACAAGTCTAAAGTTTGAGAAGGTGAAAAAGCATCGTATTCATGAGAGATTGGATGCCAGATTAGTCATCTCAATCAGTCACAGAATACTGCTCATTTGTGGGGAACAATCGGGAGGATATTTCGTTTTCGTGTGCAGGAGTTGAGTTGACCTGATTGACCAATCGGACGCCTACCGTCTAGCTCCGATGCGATTCCTTTTCCACAGGAACCTAATTCCCATGCCAGACATCTTCAGCACTTCAAATGTAGTATCATTCATCCCGATGAAGATACAAAAACAATTCCATGCAGGTAAAAACGTAGACTCGTACCTGCCAATGTTGTTCTGTGCAATCGCCCGAATAGGCACAGCGCTGACAAACACTCGGACTTGCCGCGTTGACCCGTCAACTCCGACATGCCAGAGAGCTCTCCCTACCTCGACGCGATTCTTACATACATCTCCATTGCCATCTCCGCTTTGTCCGATCAAGGTCCTGCAATCCCCTTGCCATCATGTCTACCAGGAGCGCCGAATCTCGCGACAATTCCCCCGATGGAGCCGACGGCTCGGATAAGCGCGCGAGCAAGAAGCGGAAGGTGTTGTCCTGCTATGCCTGTCGCAGTCGAAAGATGAAATGCGACCGCATCTTTCCAGTTTGCGGTCGGTGTCAAAAAACAGGAAGGGCGGATCAGTGCACGTACGACCCAAGGCTGATTGAAGAGACGGCGGTACAAGGTGATGGGCACGTGGATAGTGTTCCAGCATATGGGCCTTTGGATCACACTAACGTTACTAATCTGCCAACCGACACACTGCAGTGGAGACTGCGAGTCCAAGAGCGGCGCGTGCAAGCACTTGAAAAGAAGCTGGCCTCGATTGAAGGAACCAAATCCAACTTTTCGGACGTCTCAGTGCTTCAAATCGATGATTCCTTGGAGGAGACGCCCTTGGTAGAAGAAATAATGTTTCGCGGGAAATCCTTCAAGACCCAATTCACGGGAACAACAAGCCATCTCAGTGCAGCCGGTCAGGTACAGTTCACCTGTCGTTTGTTCAAAGCCACTGTGCGTTAGTAACCGTGGAGCAGTTTCCCGAATTGCAAGCTTTTACGCGAGAAAGCTTGACCATGGATGGAGGCAACATGCATCGAATACGGAATGATTTCAAATCTTTCAGAGAACGCAAAAAGATCATCCATCGAGAACGAACCCAAGTAATGAACGGTCTGGACGAAGAGATATTCAATATCCTCCCTGCCAAAACCGTCATCGACCAGCATGTGACCAAGTACTTCCAAACGTGGGAGACTTCCTACCGCATCTTACATGAGCCATCGTTCTGGAAAGACTATCAAGCCTTCTGGGAGCGACAGTCCAACAATAAATCCTCCACCAGTTTTGCAGCTATTCTGCTGTACATTGTGGCTATCACAAAGTGCAGTAGTCCGAACGACATGAATGTCTTTGTTGGGGACAGCTCCGCTGATCGGGATGACGCCTTGAACATTGTGAATCCATGCGACACATGGCTTGCACGCCAGTCTAGAAAGCAGCTTTCGCTTCACTTCTTCCAGCTGCAGTGCTTGTCTTTTCTGGCCAAGCGTGTGAACTGTCTCAAGCTCAAACAAGATTGGGTCAATGTTGGCGAGGTCATGCGCCTTGCTTTGGCTGCCGGTCTGCACCGTAATCCGGCTCTGTTGTCATGCGGCAGGATTTCTGAGTACGAGAAGGAGATGCGTCGAAGACTATGGGTCACAATTGCCGAGTTGGAGATGCAATCTTGTGTCGACTCTGGCATGCAATCCTCATTATCTGGCCTATACTTTGATGTCCAGCCTCCCTCGAACTTACCGGATGACGTTTTCATGCCCGAAATGTTACAGGTCCCTGCTGAACGACCTACAGAGCACTTCACGTCAGCTTCGTATCTTGTTGCTAGCCTGAAGTCTCTTCCTCTGCGTGTTCATCTATTGCAGTTGCTCAACAATCCTACCAACAACCTACAATACTCTGATGTGCTGGACTTCGACAAACAGATCAACTCTTTGCTGTCGTCAATCCCTGAATGGGAAGATACGCGTTCGTTGGTGGCTTCTTCGCTGTTGAAATTCCAGCTCCGGCAATTTCTGCTCATCCTACATCGTCCGTACGCGAGGCTTGCTGCTAGAAACCAACGTTACAGCTACTCTTTTACAGCATGTGTGGATTCTTCCAGCGCATTGATCTCCGCATACGAAACTCTGAAATCAAAAGGGCTTCTATCACTCAGCCATGTCCGGAACGATATACTTAGGGTCGGCATCACTCTTTCTCAAATTGTGTACTACAACTGCACCCTACACTCTGCATCCCCGGATCCAGAGTCTCACCGCCCGCTCCACCCGATGGATCTTGGTAGTGCGGCTATGGGAAAGACCAAAATTATCACAAAGGTTGAAGTCAAGGTTGCCAACCTTCCCAAAGATAACTATTTTGCCACCATTCTGTGCATCACCGCTCTGGAGCTTCTCGAAAAGGTCCGTCAGCTCTTCGAAGCGAAGTTGCTACGTTTGGGGACTGGGTATGTAGAATATTGGGTACTCTGCGCTGCTATTGCTTTCATGCCACCCTCAAACCAATCAACAACTTCTATCCCTTCCCTCGCCGACACTGCTCCCGGCGATCTTCGTTCGCGCGCTCGAAGCGCTCTGGAGCGCGTTACCTCGCTCTGCTTCCGGATCCTCGCTTTACAAAAAGATCCTCAGAATGGGTTCGCAACTGCTCTACGCAGCGCTGTAGTTACGCCTGCACCTTCAGTCCAGGAATCAACGCCGCCTACGAGCTATACGACGACGGGTAATGACAATTCCATGCCCCCAAGCATTCCCGGTGCGTCAGGTATAGTGGACGCACTTGCAGATGATCAGAACTCTGGTGCCTTCTTCATGAACTTTCAGGATATGCCGTTCGATCCATCAGGGTGGGAGTTTTCAAACTTTTGGGACTTTGATATGGACGGGAGTTATTGAGGATTTATGGATATTCACGCGGGAAATCTACTTTTGCAATTTCGCTCAATCGGTAAAGCTGTGTAACAATACTCTGTTTACTCTGAAAACTCTCTCCCTCTCATTTATGCACCCCCGTCTCATTATGCGCATTTTTCAATCCACTACAATCTGTGCAATTCGTGCAGCTATGTGCCTCACGTTAGTACATTTTCTCTGCATGCTCCTTACAGTCAAATTACATACTCAATGCAATCAGTACACCCCGTGCAATTCTGACAACCGTCGCAATCGGTGCAATTCGTGCCTAAATCAACCCCGAAGTCAACAGTATGCTCTCGAACGGACCAGGCCAGGCCCGAGGAGTGGGGGGATATTCACAGTTCTGGCACCCTGAACATGATGTACAAGATTCGCAGTTCTGGCAGTTATTGCAATCTTTTGTTTGTGTTTCGGTATTAGCGATACCCGTATTCGATGGGCTTATTTGTTCTCAAAAGGTAGGAATCGTGTCGAAGTACCTTTGCAATTACTACAGTTTTGGCAATCTGCATTGTCCGGTTAGCGAATAAGCAAAAGAAGTTCGGGAAGGGGTGCAGCAAACCTTTGCAGTTCTCGCAATTCGAGTTATTTTGATTCCCGGATCCAGGCTCCGTGGAAGAGGATTTGGATATTTCGCAGCCCATGATGTTTGCTATATTCACGTCGAGTTGGTCCGATGCAGCTATCGAAAAGATTCCTGTAGACGCGTAAAGGCAATCGAAAACGACAACGACGACGTCGATGCCTCATATCCGTTCTCATACGACTTGAACACAACCTGGAAAGCCAACAATATTGATATGCAAGGGACAGTACGTCATAGTCTGCCTTATCGCTTTACAAAACGGGGTATGGGGCCGAAAACGTTTGAACCAATTGTTTGGTGTTGATGCAGAGTTGGCAGAGGGAGGCCTGGTGTTTTAGCGCTGGGGCTATTCTTGACCGACGAGGGTTTGTTGTTGGAGGCTGGCGCGCGAGCGCTTATTGGTGAGGCATTGAAGTCTGTATGTTGGGATGTTGATAACGAGGTCTTTAGACGCTGAGGGGATTTTCGAAGATTGGTGAATCGATTGTTCGCGGGGGAGTTAGATGGACCGCGAGGAGGAATGATCTTTCGAATTCTCTGTTATCATCATCTATTGGATTCTCTGTATGGCAGACACACAAACGCTACCACCCAAAAAGCGGATAGGAGTATGCGCGTCTTCCAGGTATTGGTGCAGCCGTTATGACCGATTATCGCGAACGGATCGCCGCCACAAAGCTTCGCGAGTGTACCTAGAAAGGCCTGGGCAGATGTATGGCCCCAACCAATTCCAACTACAACCAGTGCATTCTTTCTTCTTGTATCTTCTTCTTGTTGAGCCCGGTGCTGTCGGTATTCGGGGGAGAAACGTGCTGCGACACAAACGGCTTACGTATTCGACAGGATTGGTAAGGAGGATTGAGGACTTGAAAGGTAGCATAGACGTCGATGCAAATGATGTATCGGTCAGTTTGGAACGACCGGCGTGCGAGGAACGGACATGTATCAGTGAGATGTTATCGGGAAGTCACTGTGGGCGTCAGTGGATGGAATGATGACAGTGCTTGCGTAGGTCCCTGGCGCTGGTGTTTAGTTGGCTCGTATCGTCTTGCGATAATCGCTTGATGATGTGCGAGGATTGCGATCAATAGATTCAGCAGAACGCGTGGTCATGGCAAAAGGCAAAGTAGAGGTGCTTAGGGCAAGAGTCAATGTTGCTTGCGGGACACAGCACTTCGTCTATGACATGAGCGAGCCCCACTTTTCAGAGTGAGCTTGTTTACTTCTTTTGAGGACATCAATCATCTCAAATGAGCCAAGGGAACCGGACAGTTGGTCAATGATTCGAATTCGCAAAGACATCGCATATTTCCTTTATAGGCTGTTGATACCATTAATCAGTTGAATTTGACGTGAAAACAGCATGAATTCGAATGAACAGCAAAAGTGTGTACAAGAAATTCCTACAACTTCATGAACTCCTCAAAATCGTTCTCCGCGCCTGTAATAGTGAGATACCATGATCTCGCAGTGTCCAAGACCTGATCTCTCAGTGCCGTCTCTTCCTTGACCGCAAATCCTTCACTCAGATATTTGAGCGCACGTACAGTCTCAACATTGATCATCCCAACATTGTTAACAACCGAAAACTTATCATCCTCCACAGAGACAATAATGCCGAAGTTCCGCAGTAACTTGTACGCACAGTCCATCATTCTATCGTAGTTCTTCACGCCACGCCATGCCTCCGTGAGGAACAAGGTGGGGTGGACGAGCGCTAGACGAGGAAACTTCGCATAAGGATCTGGTTCGCCTTCGCCGGTTGGTGTATACAAAGCCTCTAGCTCTCGCACCCCGCGAGCGATTTTTTTGATAGAGGTTACGGTCGTACCCTTTTCTCCGAGCTTCATCACCATGCTTTTGAGCTCTTCAAAATGCCGTAGCCTCGCTTCCTTGGTGTCCTTGCCCAGCTTACCCTCGAGTGTGCATAGCTCGCAAGTGCATTCGAATCCCCAGGTGTTGCGGAACTTCTCTTGCCGGGCATCGATGTCGATGTCTGGAGAAACGTATTGGGTTGTAATTTCCTCTCCAGCCTCGATGTCTCGTGTGGCGCGCATGAAACGGATGTCGCCCATGAAAGTGCGGATGGCGTTTGGGAGACAGGAGTGGTTACTGTACGAGGAATGGGTCCAGAAGCCGTTGCGTAGCTCAGGGTTCGCGTTGGGTGGTTGATTAAGGAGATCGGCGGATCGAGTTGGGGCGGAAAACGAGTTGTAACGGCGAATGAACTCTACACGAAAGCTAATGGCAAGTCAGTCTAACGTGCGTAGACGAAGGAGTAAATGATGATAATCTCATCGGAAGTATCGAGAAAGCAAACTCACACGTCAACTGGAACATCTTCGTCCTCGGCAATTTCCCAACCGCATTCCTTCCAATACCCCCCATCGTCCAAGCTGAAGAACTCCTTTCGAAGACTTGGGTTCCACCTCAGCTTTTGGACCAGTTCTTTGAAAAGCCACGCACCGGGTCGTGGCGCCGCAGTCTCATCATGCAAGCTGTATAGCAGACAGTCACTTCCTTTGTCTTGCATAAAGTATCCTGGTAACACGAAAGCCTTTTCGGCGCTGATTATGTCGTTGGCTCGGAATGACTTCTTCGCGTACAGCCCCCTACCTTGGGATGCGGTGTCTCTGACTTCGGTGTCGCATGTGTAATTGGCTACATCGACGTGGAGGGATAGAGGCCCAACGTAGGATGAGATGAGGGGTATGTCGTAGACTGGACTCGACTGTTCGATGCCGAGATCGAACTTCACTCGCGTAGCAAGCTCCTTGAGCGCCCGAGGGACCTTCGAGGCGATTTCCAGAGGATCTTCCGTACTACGATTGTTGAGCCATGAGTGAATGGTAGACTGATCAGCGAGCTGGGAAGATGAAAGGTCCGGGGATGATTTTGCGTGGATAGATATCGCCTTCGAGAGGTCATTCGCGGCATCGTCTAACCGAAGGAGGACAATGTTGACTCCGCAGCGTTTACGGTAAAGGTCAATTTCAGCCGTTGGATCTGAGGCGTCCGATAATACTCTCAGTCCTTTGTTATACCTAGATCGTGTGAGCTCGTTGGAACACGGCCGATCATAAGAGAGACTTACAGCTTAAGTGCTTTGCGAAACTTCTTCTTTAGAAACATCATATCCCCTTCTTTCTTCCATTGTGCTGCATCTTTAGTCGCGATACCTCCCTCCTTCTGTCTCCAAGTCTTGGGGATTAGGCGGTTGCCAGGCTCGAGGAGCACCAGATCCGAGGGATGATCCACCCGAATATGATAATTTGACTCGCCTAGCCGACTCCAACATGGTTGTTTGACTACAAAAGTAGCGTTTTCCGTCACGATTGGGTCAACCGGACTGTCTTCAAGATTTCCTACAGTGAGCTTCGCCACGTGACCCTCTTCGTCTTCTATCACAGTAGTTGTCGAAGAATAGACATAGGGAGCCGTCACAGCCCGAAATATGCCAATAGCTTTGGGCTTTCTCTCGTCGATCCTCACATGCTTGAGCAGTACCTAGACAGAGGGTAAGCCATGTGCTGCAACATGGTAGATTGGGAGACCCACCTTTTCGAATGCGGAATCTTCTAGGTTCACGCGGGACGGTGGATAAGGCCGAGGCAGAATGATGTTCCTGATTGGGACGTTGCCTTCGGCTAGAAGCTTCAAGTTCTGCTCATGTGTCTTGACGAGGGTCTCCCTCGACGGAAGCCGATCGGGAGTCTGACCAGCCTTGTTGGGTCCATTTTTGATGATTTTCACCAACTGATCTGCGGCAACTTCGTATGTGTTCTCCGTGGCTTTTGGAATCATCATACTGGGATCTGAGCGGTCGGTTCTGTGGTGGCTGGATCTTGTTTCGACTGATCGACAGGGGAGTGCAGTAATGTTGGCACCACGGCAATTGTCGCAGGATCGTTACATGTACAACTGTGGCTCAGACGATAACGAATTGTGTATGCCGAAATGGTGCAATCGAAGCCGTTCTGGAATGATAACGATTTTGTGGCCTTCGGTTGCGATCTGGAAAGGTGGCCTCGAACGGCTAAATTGATCCTGAATGTGTTGCCCACGTGGAGTATGCGCAGCAATGGAGATTTACCCCAGTGACCCCCGCAATCAATGGATTCCTGTCGGAAAAAAATACAAAGACCCGAAAGGCCGACTGGACTGTCCTAGGCATACCATATTGGGTCTGATATCCACTTTGTTCATGTTGAGGGTGCTGCAGCGGCTCGAGGGTTGTAGCCCATCGCAAGCACTATCGAGATACGGGCTTCGTTCTATCGAGCCAGGAAAGAAATGGGATATGGGTAGGGATATCTTGCATTATTGCATCTCGAAAAACACCCATATAACGTCTACGAGCTCGAGACCTTTGACGATCGGTAAACGTAACTTTGGATCCAGGAACAGACCAAGATCAAGACATTCCATTCTGTAGAGTCGTGCCCAGTGGATGACCTCTCCCCGAGAGGAAATTCGACGGCCATATTCAACTGAGCTTTTGAATACGGAGGATGATTTGAGCAAGCTCCGAGGGCCGACGGACGGAATAGCGATGTCAGGCTACCGGGGGAGGAATGCGAACACGCGATACAACATTAGAATAGAGCCGTAGGGTAATGTCGCGATGATTTTTGAGGCCTGCTCAACTTGTCCTCGTGCTCTGTATGGCTAGTCTTAACAACGCGGGCGTACATCGTGGAAGCGCGACGGTCACAGAGCTCGTGACAGATCAAATATGGGAGTTGGGTGGAGATTTAATATCAGATATATGACACGGTCTGATGAAAACCGGGCAATGGATGACCGGTCCGTAGATGAGGAGGATGTTATCCTGGGTAGACACGCCCGAACCACCCTCTCGCGTGGACCCTCGCGACCAGGCTAACCGTGCCAAGCCCCCGGTTTGGCATCTGAACTCAAATCAAACGTCACTTCGCTTCATCCAACGCACCCTCGCGTGGCTGTCTCTCTACCCACACCACAAACAGCCACTAAAAATAACATGCGCATTCTCGAGTCCAGAACATTACTGCATCTGACGGCCCCGTATTTCACGAATCCACCAACCGGTAGATCACCCTCAGGGTAATATCTGGCAGTCCTACAGAATAGGACTTCGGTTTTCCAGAAGCGTCTAGCTATCTCTTGAAATGGGCTGAAGGAGGCAAAATGCGAGGCGAAAGGAGTATTGCGGACTGAAGTCTTGCGCGGACGAAGGGGTTTTGTCGTCAAGTGAAAAGTCGCCAAGTATAAAGAGTTCATCAAGCGTCGCAATGAAACGGACGCAACAGATCATTGCTCTATTCTTTGGCACTCAGTCACCATGATTGCTCACTCCTTTACCCTCCTTCTTGCTGCCACTAGCGCATTGGCTGGTCCTCTCCAGTAAGTTCCAATCTTCCAGAAGTACTATACTCATACTGATCTCCCTTTCAGACGTCGCGCCGATGGGTTGAACACTCGCGCTAAGAATAACGGGAAGCTATACTTTGGCACCGCTGTCGACAGTAGCGGACAGTCCGATTCCAACTACATGAACATCTTGAGCAACAGCGATGATTTTGGCCAAATCACTCCAGCCAACGCAATGAAGGTATGTATCCCCCCGGCTGTTGTCTATCACGGCTCCTGACGTTATCAGTGGGACACCGTCGAAAGGTCGCGAAATTCTTTCAACTTTGGTCCAGGAGATGCTGTTGCGAATATCGCAGCCAGGAACGGCCAGTTCCTCAGGTGCCACGCTCTGGTCTGGCACTCCCAATTGCCCAGCTGGGTCGGAAGCAGTGGCTTCAACAATGCCACCCTTATCCAAGTGATGAAGAACCACATCACACAGACGGTGACTCATTGGAAGGGCAAATGCGGCCATTGGGACGTCGTCAATGAAGCTCTAAACGAAGACGGCTCCTACCGCTCGAGTCCATTTTACAACGTTATTGGCGAAGCCTTCCTCCCCATTGCCTTCGCTGCTGCCGCCGCCGCCGATCCCGATGTGAAGCTCTACTACAACGATTACAACATTGAGACACCTGGCGCTAAGGCATCCGGCGCGCAGCGAATTGTGCGACTCATCAAGTCGTACGGTGTCAAGATTGACGGTGTCGGACAGCAGGCCCATTTAATTGTCGGTCAATCGCCCTCAGTCGCCACCTGGACCTCCAACATCAACGCATTCACCTCCCTCGGTGTTGATGTCGCCATCACCGAGCTTGACATCCGTACCAAAACCCCCGCTTCCTCATCCGCTGTCGCTCAACAAGCCATCGACTACGCCAACAGCGTCAAAGGATGCTTATCCAACACACGCTGCGTCGGCATCACCATCTGGGATTTCACCGACAAGTATTCATGGATTCCCTCCGTCTTCCCTGGAGAAGGCTCCGCCCTTCCATGGGACAGCAATCTTCAGAAGAAGCAACAAGTCTACAACGGCATCCTCAGTGGTTGGGGATCCGGCACCCCCACAGCCACGCCGACAGCTACACCTACGGCGACTCCTACGGAGACTCCTACGTCCAGCCCGACTAGTTCCTCGACTACGACTCCTACTGCTACCCCCACATCATCCCCGGGCGAGACCGTTCCTAAATGGCAACAGTGCGGTGGAACCGGCTACGAGGGCCCGACTCAGTGCGTGAGCGGAACTACATGTACGATGTTGAACCAATGGTACTATCAGTGCTTGTAAATTTCCTGGGAATGGGAATAAAGTGGTGGATACAATGACTACCCGTTATATAGTTGGATATCGTTCAAATTGAGATTCCTTTTTGCCATTCAAGTTGTGCTTGGTGCAGTCGTAATATTAACACTGAATCTTGTAAAAGTTGACATGGCTGCAGGGCAAGTGGATCCAAAAGGTTCTAGGCAGCTGGTGTTATAACTCTCGTCGATTCTGAGCGGACGCAGCCCGAAAGCTCCGAGTTCGAGGATACTGTCATGCGCATGTTCCCAAAGTCCCCCTTTCGTAAGACAAAGGCCACACAAAGCGATGACGGCCACATAGCCAAACAACCTTACGCTGAGAGTGGTGCAGTCCACCACGCTCTGTAAAGTCTCCCTGACGCACCCATATCTTCAAGGTGAGCGCAGCAGCACCACCTGAAGGAGGCCCAAGCACCGTGACGTAGCCTATCTCCCTCGCCTCCCTCACCCACAACAGCAATCTCGTCTAAGTCCCCTCGCCTCACTTGATCGCTACCCACCTCTTTTCCGGGTCTCTATATAACCTGAATAATTGGAGATTTCTTCCTTCAACAGGTAACCAGGCCTGTTGGCGGAGTGGGAGGAAATAAGATCTCTCAGGTAAGTTGTCCCTTTTTTTGGATTTTTTTTTCTACGGGGGAGGGAGGTACAGAGTTCGATTCACGCGGCAGCTCAGTAATAAGGCACGTAGAGGCCTTTTTTTGTTGATTTTCGCTAGTATGCATTGAAGTATTGGGAAGTGGTGGGTTGATACACAGTCATTATTGCTATGAAAAGTGCCTTGTACTGGCCCCGTGTGTAGCGAGCTGCCTCATCAAAGACCTGGGGTGTGAGTATTAGATCCATTAAATATCTATGTATATTATGTTTTGTCTGAGAGAACCGCACTTTGACTTAGTGGTGCGGCGTTTTGGCTGGATTTGGGCGCATTGCGCTTCGTCATCCGGCCTTTCAGTCGTGGACAGCTTGGACTTGGCGGGTTTCTGCATGATTCACAAATTTCCAAATCGCCAGATCGCAAACTCATTCGGATTCACATTGGCAAGACATCTATCGAGAAAACATATCTATTGAATTGCGGTATATTCTCAAAGTCTTTGCAGAACATGGCTGCGTAGTCCACGCCCCAGTCCCCCGTTATTCATGGTTTGAAATAGCATGTATCTCTGGATAGTCTCAGTATTTCATGCCATGGAAATCAATTCAATGCGTGACTTGTCGGGATTGAGATTTTCTTTCTTACTGGACGTGATTCATTGGGTCTTAGACGCGGCACTTGAGCTTGGAGTACAACAAACAATCACAATGAGCGGAGATTAAGAGCTCTACAATGTTAAAGAACATTCAGGCACGTATGGCTGGCGGCTATATGTTGTATCATAATCAAATCGTGGTATGTGAGGCCATTGAGATCAATGAGTTTCGGTATGGCACAGGCACCGCAACACAATGATCCACATAATCAATGAGAAACAACACACACTCGGAACGCCAAATTCAAAGTGAACTGCCCCACATGCCCGAAAATTTGTCTTCGCGAGTGTATTGAATTTAGCGCAATCATCACGTTTCGGAATTCAAGGGTTCTGCGTTGAACGCAATTGACATTGAATCATTTATGATCATAAAAACCCCCTATCCCTACGGGATGATGGTCTCCGACTGTATTCATAGGCAAAGCCTGCATTGAAAGAAAGAGAGGAATCCCATGTCGACATGAGCTGGCCATATAAGAGGAAAGAGGGCGGCTTGCACGGCGAAAAAGCAGAAAAAGAGAACCCCAAAGCTGACTTGCATCAGCTATGAACATCCGCAATCAGAACTGAAAAGCCAGCGCGCATTGTTTGAGAAGTCCCGAGTCCTCCGCTTGTTCTCAACTTAGTCATCGGACTCGTTGCCCTCGAGCTTGGCCTCGACGGATTTGTCGACATTGGAGCGCTCGCGGATAGCTTTCTTGGTGGTGGCCTGTCGTTCGCGTTAGCTGACCTGTCTTTGTGCGCAACGATGTGTCCAATCGATGACGTACCTGCTTGACGGCAAGGAGAATGGCCATCTCCTCGAGGAGCTTCACGCGAGTCATCTCACGCGAAAGACCGAGACCGGTGGCGATATACTGGAGCATTGGGGGGTGACCGATGAAGCTCGCCTTGGTGTCGCGCTGGAGATTGAGGTGGAACTCCCTAGGGGTGGTGTGTTCAGAACCGGTGCCCACCCAGCGAGTCTGGAGAGCTTCAAGTTCTTGGCCCTCGCGAAGTTTGTCCATCGTGACTCGTTGTTGGATGTTGGTATCAGTCGTAGGTGAAGTGAAGCGAGTGGTGCTATGGCGCGATTTGATGTGTAGCGGGGACGCGTAGAGGTTGGTTTGCAAGTTCGGGGGTGGAGTGATGCGGAAGAGGTGGTTTGGGCAAGGTGATCGTGAGCAGGTGAGCGGGTGAGGGACTAGAAGATTCTAGGTGACGCTCGTCGGCTTGTAGCTCACGGACCGTGTTCAAATGTTTGTTTACGTCCAGGTTTGGAAGTCGCCCGTCAGTTTGTTTACAGTGCGTATGAGCCGGCACTTTGGAAATTTGCATCGGCCATTACCAGCGTATTAATGGTTGTAGAGTCAAAGGCATCGGCGCCCGTGGAGACTGATCACATTTTGACGCGCAGCCTTGACAAGACCATCCATATTTCGGACAGACAGAGTAATCGCGACAAGATGTGGACTGCGTGTGCCGAGCTGAGCTTTCTTGCATTCAATGTTGAGTACGGGAACCGTATAAGGCGGGTCTGCTTCATTTGAAGCAGTGCCATGAAAAGCTGGATTAGCACTGTGGGAGCTTCACGACCGCAAATGTGTGCCATATTGTAGTGAAATGTTTGTAGAGTAGTCATCCAGGAATCCAAACAGCGGCGTGAAGTACATGAAGCATCTCGCTCCCCTTGCAAGCCAGTCAACTCCAGCATGAGTAGGCTCCGCTGAAGGAACTCATCTCTGATCTATCCGACTCTTGATTGCCTGTGATGTCTTTCTCACGGGCTTGCGCGCCTGTCTGCGCGGTTGCTCGTGTTCGAGCCAGATTTCGGACGCGCATGCCCACACGCCCCCCTCCTTGAACTTTGTGGTTGCAGCTTCTCCAATGATTCCGTAGGCTGGCCCAAAGCCTTATATTTGTGGTACTATACATGGGCTGTCTTGGACGAGCAGAATGGACGAGCCAGAAAATGTGCTGTGCCGAGCTGCAGCGCTATGGTGCTCACGTCTCTTGCTATGGATTTGGGATCTGGAATCAGCGAGTCCAGGTCGATTTCCACTCGAAATGAGCCAGCATATCGCGGCTGCGGGTTCATTGCGCTCCGTACACATAATAAGCTTCGATTCGTACCTAAGTGTGCCTACACCAGTCGCTGCGACTGCGGCAGATCAAGGGCAGCTGCGGCAACACGTATAAGATCATGAAGTAGAGACGCTGGGGTGATTGTCAGCTAGGCAGGAACATGGAATCACCATAGGTAACATCACAGCCTCACACATGAAGCAAGCAATCACAACACGAACTATACAGAAGAACATCACAGGTTATGCATTGACAATACTTGCTAGACTGAAACACTACATATGTTGGTGTGATAAAATGTCCCTGAATCTATTACTTGAGGCAATACAATATGAATCTCAATCATATAGCCTGGTGCTCTTTCGGGTGGCTCATAGTGAGTCTTTGTTGATCTAGGACTGGAATCTAGCCCTGTGTGCAGCAACACTGAACAGTTGGACACACGGGATTGCTAGGCAGACCGTAGTATTGAATGTGAAATGGGGGAAGGGGAAGGGGGAATGGGGAATGGGCAATGGCAGTGGAAGGAAGGGGTTTTCTTACTGGAGAGGAAAGGAAAAGAGAAGAGGAGAAGGGAGGGAGGGAGAGGGGTTTAAATACTTCGGCCTCGCGGCTTGTGCGACGCTAGCACGTGATTTGCAATGAAAGTTTTCCGGCCAATGGTTGTCCACGACGCTTCGGCTCGGAGGAACAGGTCGGAGGATTGACTCTAAATGAATTCGTTATGTGTCATGCTATTGTCCAATTGGAGATGGGTATTAAATTGATGGTGTTCCTTGTTGAGTTTGAGACCAGAAGGACGTACATGGCTCCGAGTTTCACTGCTTCGAAAACACGGCTGGTGGAATGATATGCCTCAACCTTGTCATTAGGAAAGGAAGAAAATCATATGTTCAATCCTTTGGGCACGTTTTCGAGAGTCCTGGCTTTGTCACCCGTGCTTGTCAAGAGCTTTAGGCCATGGCGATCGACGTGATCTGGCATAACACGGTACACAAGGCACGCTTTCTTACGCGTACGCCTATCGTACCTTCATTTTCCGACTTTTTGAAGCAGCTATACAAGCCTCAAACGTTGTCTTTTCCGCGAGACTATTTCAAACACAGAGTAACGCCGTCCGGAAGTCCCGGGCCTCTCCGCCAAAGGCAAGCCTTACATCAAAAACTCATACGAGTACACATACCCAAGGGGCCGCTCTGTTCAACGTTCTGTGGTGGCGGGGGTGGAAGAATAGAGAACTGCAGTTATGATTCGGGGGCGCGACACGTACACAAGTGCTTGGGGGGGTAGAGTCGACGACTCGTCGTTGGAAGAATGTCTGCTCAACAACTGAATGAAAGACCTTGCATTTTCATATGACTAAAACCTGATGGAGATACAAGTGGCCTGATGTGCTCATCATAGTATAAAGACCGGTGTGGTGACGAGTATGGACTCTGCTCAGAAGGCTAACAAAGTAACAACGAACTGTGAACGAGGGCGTTGACATCCTACATTGCGGAATCCATCGCCGGCCACACGCCCCTTCGTACGCCAAATTGTTTCGCTAGACCAACTGACAGTCCGATCTCCTAGCAGAAGACCTCATTGCCGTTTCACTGAGGTAAACAAACAGGCCGCAACGTCCCTCGCAACCTGTCACCCTAGTCAAGAACCCGAACAATCATGCGTTATTTTCACGAATAGAGCCCCCACAACGGCTTCTTGCGCCTTCACTGTCAGTTCACAAACTTTGTTCATACCCACATTGCCAGCGATTGCTCCATCCTGTCAGGCTTGCCGCAAGCCTCGACCTGCGCGCCCAATCAATCAGTCAAGACTTGCGACCTAGAAATCTCTCGCACGTCAAATCCTCACATTCCGTAGCTTTTCATGGCGATCCGAAGCCGCCGATTTATTCTACCTGCCACCGTCCCCAATCGCTGTCTTGCGCCGCCCTTTCCGCACGCCCCGCCGCTGCCGCCCTCGTTTATGTTGCCGCCGCCGTTGACAGAAAGACAGCCCACAGAAGTCGACGAACCTCAATGTTTGAAATGACACCCGGCCACGTACCTCACACTCCCATTCGCAGCGCACATAACATGTAAAGCCACGGCAGTACTTCGCCCCCGAACCGCCGCAAGTCTCGCAACCAGCTATTGAAATTGAGACAAAGGACAGGACCACGTACTTGCAGAGGGGCTGGCTGCGGTGGACATGGAAGCTGGCCCGAAAGAGAGCGTTTTTTGGTAGCAACCGAAACGCTGCTCTGGATTTTTACACAGTCGTTACGTGACGACCTCGTCAGGACCGAAGCTCCGCCGCATACTTGGGAAATAAAAGACACGCCGGGCTTAGGGGCATACCCAAGCAAATTTAAGTCACGGTAAAGTCACGGCGGCATGCCAGACCCACAGATCTTTTAGCTTCGCTCCATACAAGGCTGCATGCCGGAGATTAGTGAACAGGAGTGCCTTGGTGGAAAAGGCAGACCATTAGACCTGCTCAGAAGTATAGCAAGTGGGAGGAACTTGATTAGAACGTAATCGCACAGATTCTCTCGTTCGAATGCATTTACTTCAAGACAGTCATCCTGGGGCTTCCATGTATCACCATTCCCTCGAAGTGATCTGCCTTTCTGTCAAAGCATCATTGTCGCTGGGACTTGAGCCAGTATGAGGCCATTGCGATCGGTAATGTCTGGCACGAAACAGTACAAATAACGCAGTGGATTCCCCAGGAACTCGGGCGTTATACTAGGCGCATTATCGAATAATTACATCTCCAAGCAGCACACTCGAGCAGTAAACATCCATATCATTTGCACCGGCGTCCGTTTTAATCTTCTTACTATGAGTTTCCAGCTTCCTGGAATTTTTTATGGAGATCTTCTGGTGTTACTACTCATAAATCATAGACTTAGTTACGTCCGAAATGTCTCTTTGGTCGCTACTTGTCGTAATTCCTCGAGAATTGTCCGGACTTGAGAGGAATACCAGATCAGATCGTGCCAGTTGAACTTCACGTAAAGATATCGTAGACCATAATGGATATGTAGCCATTGGGGGTGACTGAGATAAAGCTCAGATTTCGATCTCGCGAGGTATTGATGATACTGAGGCCAGCAACTTCTCCGAGTGGCCAACAAGCCAAACTCATTTTTGTGATACGAAGTAGCAACAGTAAAAATAATGCAAAGTCCACAAATCGAACTGCTGCCCTTTCGCCCTTTCGTTTTTGCATGTAAATAACCGTGTATATATTCAAAATGTATCTTGCAAAGAAGAATGGCAAAAGCAAACCTCATGGGTTACGCAAACCAACTTAATGGTTTCCATAATTTAGGGCAGGATGTGCTGGGGATGGCAGGGGAAGAGAGGGTACTTACTTACTTTCTCTTGCCCACTGGGCTATATGTTCCTGTTTGTAATGATGACTCATCAGTTTCGTGAACCACGGAACATGTGTCCTGCTTGGAGCTCAAAGGCAGATTTATCGTGTTTTCAATACCCAGTGTTTGTGCCGCATGGAAATGCGATGAATCACTATTACGCTTAGTTCCTGTTTGTTAGTGATATAACGTCCATCTCACTTAACATATATACACCAAAAAGAGCTGCCCTCCGGCCACCTCTTACTTAGGTGGATAACAAGGCGTAAACTTGAGCCGAGTAATATTCTGCAGCATATCTGGGCTCCGGCCGCACCATTTAATGATTAGTACCCGTGAGTACATGCTATACGTAGATGTATTTGATGTGATTTATATTCAGCGAGCGCGTTTAATGAACAGCTCGAAGTTTGTGAAGCAATAGCTCGCAGTTCTTCCCTCCTTTTACACTATCACGTCGCGTACAGATACGATAAATCTCCAATCTCTTCACCTCTCAACACTCAATTGGAACAATGACCTTTGAAGTCCGAGTATCATTGTGTATGAAGCTGCTGTCTACGGATATCCCCTACGCCAACACCAGAATGCCACCGGATAATACCAGTCGTGTTTCCTTCCCGTATTCGTCACTAAAAAGAATCACTGTTTCTCTGCCTACTTCAAGTGTTCGCAACTGATCATTCTCAGCGCTGAACTTATGGACATTCAGCGTAATTTCGTCGGATCGGGTCAAAACACTCGGCATCACACCTCTGAATTTCAATGATGATATACGCAATACCGGTGGATCCATCAGTGACGTCGGTAACCTGGGAACTCAAAACGGGAAATATTTGCCTTGATCACGGTTATGTCACATCAAAAAAATCACGTAGATTTCCAAGGATGGCAAAAAGAAAGCAGGCTGCGAGATAATCAGTACAGTAAAGTGCACAACATTTATCAAGAATGAAAACCTATGAAAGAAACATTCGCGTGCTTGTCAGAACACAAAGACGCGGCATTAATTCGAATCGATCTGATGATGAAAGCTTCCATTGAATGATGATTGCCATGCAGACACTGCCATACAGAAAGACTGCATGACTGAACTGCTCAGTGGCTCCGTGCTGGGCGTTGGTTTGATGGCTCTTTGACCATAAGAAGCCTCAAGGACATCATTAAAGAATCTTACTTTTGCTTGGTCACTGGTGTACAGAACAGCACGGCTTTTAAGGATGGCAGCGTCCGTAGCAGGAGCTGGCACAACGGTAGTAGGAGCTAGGATAGGAGCAATGTCGGAAGTTGTTTGTGAGAATTCCCGAACAATACTACACCGCACGTGTCAAACTCAAAGCTAGGCTGGGAATTATTGCGCAGTCGTCTGCCTGGAATAAAGTCAAGCTCTAGCAGTGGATGTTCTCACCCGTTACATTCTTAGTAAGGCGAAAGCGTATATACTCTACATTTGCATCCTAACTAGCGCGCAGGGTTCAAATTCTACTAATGAACACTACGCTTTCCACTGTCTACATTATGTGATAATCATTCCAGTTTTCAGCAGAAGTAGCTCCGACGGCGCCTGAGCAACCGAGCGCAAGATTTGTAAAGACTTCGAGACCACGATTAAACTGGCACATGAGCGCAGATAGTTCTGATCGTATGCAAATCTCTGGGTCGATTACAAGGTATACCGGAATTGTGGATTCTTTCTGTCCGTAAGATCGTCGTCGTAGGCATTCTCAAAACCCTCCATAGTGCCAGTTCGATCACGTTTGCGGTTGTCCCAGATGCACACATAGCGGTATACAACTGAAAGCAGCGCCGCGATGATCGCGGTGATCAGCACTGCAATGAACCCTGGGGCGTAAACAGGGGCATCCTCGGGCTTGAACAGAAGTGGGCCGACGAAGTTGCCTGTTTGAAAGATATAAGCCAAATGTCTGTAAATGCTCGTTTGCAACACTCACCCAAACAATAGCCTACAAATATCCCTGAAGAGGTCACTGATCGCTTGGTATAGCCCGCGGTGTTCGCAATTTGAAGACCCATCAGAACAGCATAGCCGCCACCGAATGAAGCGAGAATGTAGCATCCGAATAATAAGCCGCCTTTTGACTCCCGTGGAAGTTGCCAAAGCAAGATAGAAGCAGTAATTGTCCCAAGCTGACAGACCGCAACAACCCAAGTCCTTATGTTTGGTATGCGAAAGGCAAGATACGGCGCGGCTAGTTCGATCGACCCTATGACAACTCCGGCAGGGAGAGTGAGGAGCAGGGAATTGAGGCGATTGAAACCAAACCCGGAGATGATGATGGGGATGAAGGAGGATACTGGTCCGTTTGCAATCATCATCAAGAAAGCCGTCGCAAATATAAGCCAGAACTTGATGTCGAACAACGACTCCCAAACCTGTTCCGCCTTGAAGTGGGTATTGCGGACACCGGAGTTGTTTTCTCGCATCCGAGCAACAGCGATGTAACGTTCACGGCTATTGAACCCTTTTGCTCGGATGGGATCCGGAGGCATGAAGAACAATATGACCAGCGCCCATAGAATTGTAATGATGCCAGCGACCAGATACATGTACTGCCAGCTGTTGAGGCCGCCGCCAGAGATGTGACCTAGGCCATAGTTTATCAAGGGGGCAATCGCAGACACATATCCGGTGGCAGAATACCAGATACCCATTCGGAGTGCCTGCTCACGCTTCTTGTACCAGCCACCCACAACGAGCATGAACATAGGGCTTATGCCTGACTCTAAGAAGCCAAGAAAGAAGCGTTGTGCATAGAAACCTTGCCAATTGTGACACGCAGCTGAGCACATCAAGCACACCCCCCATATAGCGACGATACAGGCTGCCACTCGTTCGATGGGCCAGCGCTGAGCCATAAGCACAGCAGGATATGATCCGACAATGAAGCCCAAGTAGAATATACTAGCGGAGAATGAGTATCGGTTGCCCACATTCAGCTCAAGATCTTCGCGCAGTCCAAAAAGTGCCTCGGTCTGTCAGAATCGAGCCGCGGAGTGTTTGCATCAAGACTCACTGCTTGACTAAGCATAGCTTTGTCATAATACTGAAGACCGTATGTAATGGTGAGAAGAGAAATGAGTTTTCGATCAATTCTTCGCGTGAGTCGCTTCTCTTCTTGGGGGGTCCATTCACGATCACCATCGTAATTCTGCATGACCTTCAGAGCCTCATCTTGATGTACCGTGTCGATCGTAGATGTATGCCGCAACTCCTCCAACATTTGTGGCCCATCTTCCGTCTTTTTCTCGGTATCGGACATGTTCTCACTAGCGGGTGCACTTAACAGGGGATGGAATATGAATATCGCAATATCATGGGAGACTTGAGCATTGCGCAAGGGAGGAGGACATTATTTGACTGCCGACATAGATACATTATACCCTAATACAATTGCTGGGTAAGCATTTCGAAGCCCATAGCGCTCCAAAGCCAAGATTTAGCGCATGGTAAGATGCGGGGGATTTCGACACCTTTTTCGGTTTCTGGCCGTTTTTCTCTGCGTACCTATGTACCGACAAGCGTCAGGGCGGGGGAGCTATGAGTTGCGATGCGCGACTCGCCATACTACTGGCTATCATCGAGCCGAAAAGCGCGACAGTCACGAATAGGGTGGCGAGCTGAGAAATGATGGCGAGGATAAATGCGTCGAGTTTCAAACAAAGCGTCGAGCAGCTGCGCAGAACTGTGGCTGAATGTAGGTCGTCTGCGCCTTGAAGCATTCAAAGGGTGCTTTTGACGTAAGCTTATCGACTGGATGTACCTAGGCATTAGCAAGTCCAGACCCGTAAGCAGATAAGATGGATGAAGAGTAAAAAAGACATCAATTGATGGAGCCCATCGACTACGTGGGTGTTGGTGTCGGTGACGTGGTAACAGAACTCCCGAGAGAGCCGAGAAATCGCCGAGACGCTTCAACATTCTAGGCTATCAATTGAGAACGAACAAATCTTCCACTGCGACCATCCAGCATCATCCCCAAGAAATCAAATCATTCAGCAGCCCACTGGCAGCGCGGCCCCACCGCTCTGTCTAGCAAGCGCAATTTCGGCACTCCTACGCCTTGTAAGTCCGGGCAAGACTTGCCCGCCCGCCTTATTCCACTTGGGAAGCTCTTCTTCGATAACCGTCAACTCATCCTCTCCGGCATTCATTCGTCGAAGCAATGTCGAGCTTGCAAAATTGGCGTTTCCGACGTTGAAGGAGAAGGACACGAGAGCGCCGTATTGATTCTCATTGAGAACAACCCCAGAATTGGTAGTAAGGGTAACGCCTTGCTGGAAAGACTAATGCACAATTAGCAGTGAGTGCGTAGAGTGTTGATGGATATTTAGCTTACTATGACATCGCTCAAGAGCAAGCTGGTTGCTGAAGCTTCAGTGAGTGGGAACGAGTACGGCACCTCCCCGCATCCTGAAGTTTGGCAAAGATGCCCGTAGCCGACGGTTGGAAGACCGATAGGATCAGGAGCAGGTGATGCGACGAAGCCCTCGAATTCCTTGATGAGGGCGATGGTGGCGGCGTTGATATTTGGACCAGTACAAGCACGCTGCTCGACTGGCGCAGAGGATACCAAAGACACGGCCGTCAGGCCCAAGACTAGCAGCTTGTTATACATGATGAGTGCGTGGTGGAAACAGTGTGGCTTTTGCAAAGAATTTTGTCGGTGTATTGATGCAAGTACGTATGGATTGAACTTGGGAGGCTGCGTGTGGTCAGTGGTATAAACCCTTCCTCTCGAGTTCTTATATACTGACCTCTTCAGCCCTCCCTTACAATCTGTGCACTCCATCCGTATTACTCCAGCTTCTACATTGCGATCCTCTCCATGTCGATCATCAGTTTTCTCACCAATTCCCCAACCATTGCGCACCTCCTTCTTTCGCCTCCTTGACGACGCCAAGCGCAGATAAACATAAACGTGGGTGCTAGTCGAAGTTATTCCCGCCGGTTTATAATCCACTTCGGGCTATGTCGTATGTGCACAACGTGGAGCTCGTGTTCGACGGATCTAAAGGCCAATACCACGGAAGCATTAAGCGACTCGGTAACCAGGAACGTTTCAACAACCGTAAAAATTTCGTATTCAAGCTCTATTACGCACGCGATCGACGTAGCCACAGCAGCTTCCCCACTGAGTAAGATCAACAGATATAGAGTCAGACTGTCATTGGTATGGGGATGGTCAAGTACCGAGTCTTAATGCTATTCGGCATACACGTGGGCTTTGTTTCCTAATCTGTCGACGCTAAGGCTGTCGATCATGTTCTGGTATTAGGCCATAACGATAAACCATCCTGATCATGTAGTAATGTGTCGATGTGGGTGTGCTCGAAAGTGTGCTCGAAAGTATCCCTGTTAACAACTCCTTCCTTAGATTCGTTGAGTGTGCGTATGGTTGACCCATTTCGCATCATGATCACTAAACCGAATCTCTCCCGTGTCAGACACTTCCTGGTTTTGTCCAAATGCCGGCCTGGCAGCTTGTATGCATCGTGTGGATGATAGAGCAGTTTCGCAACTTCCAAATTAGGGGCTTCGTGCTAGAAGCGATGCCATCCAGGGTTAGGGTGTGAGGTTAGTCAGAAGCCCAGTAGATGTTTACGATAGTCGCGAATTGCAGCAAATAGTAGCGAGAGTTGCTGATAGCCAGTACCCTTAGTGAAAGAGAATCAGCAGTAGCGGATTCAATATAAAATTGGAAACAAAGGCATAAAAAACGAGACAGAAAACCAGGTACACGGTGTTTCGAACGCGCGCAGTTCCATGGCAGTGTATAGATACTACAAAAAGAAAGCCATGCACCTGCCCGTTGGACCAGCAAAACTAACGACATACCCGCAGGATATTAAGACCGCTGTGCGGTCACCTGAGCGTATGCCGTTAGTGGGAGTATTTCCGGTAAATGGAATTAAATAAGACCCTGTAAATGTTCGATTTCGGCAAGACCAAGAAGCAATTGTGTCTTCGCAATGCCAACCGCTCCCTACTTCCTCTTCTTAGTCATTATCAGTGGATAATGAGAATCGAAGCTCAAAACAGAACGGATTCTGCACTGAGAAGGTCCAGAAATCCCCCCCAATACTCATTGTCAACCTTCGGTGCGGTGGAGCTGTCTTCTTCAGTCGAGGCTACCTGGCCTTGGCAAAGCGTGTCTGCTCCCTCGATCCGACAACATTGCCAGCTCCTACTGCCGACCAAATCTCCGAACCCCTCGACGGGCTGTTTGTTTGTGGAAAGCGCTGATGAATAGTAAGTACATATGTTTTCCCTAATCGACTGCCCCGTAAGTACACGCGTAGCTTCATTGCGATTACCATTAACAGGGCAGCCTTTGCATACCGAACGCCAGGCTCTTCGCGTGCTCTTCCCAGCAACCCCGACCACCTGCATAACACCCGCGAAGCTACCTATAGTTGTATCAAAGACAGGGCTGAGTGGTTGCTCGAGTAGCGCCCTCCAGAACCTTTTGCATCATCGAACGCGCATTCCATCCCGACACCGTGTACAGCATAAAGATCGACCAAAATACTTCGCGAGGAGTACTTGCGTTTAAACGATTTGAGCAGAATCATCGAGTGCACAAAGGTTATGATTCCAATTGAGAGTGCGCTGGATGTGTAATTAACCCTCACAATGCTCGCGATAGAATGCACACAGGGGACTTTTCTATAATTATTATGCCCTAAGGAAGGAAAATGCACACGCTTCGGTAGATAAGTGCAGAAGCAGAAATAAAGAGACAGCGACAACGACGCAGCAAGTCGATCCATATCCTTGGTGTTGTCATCGCTTCGTTGCGGCGTAGCCCCAGGATCAGGAAAACCAAACCCGCAAGAGCTCCGTATTATCAAAAATGGATGTTGCTGTCCGGTTTACTACGCCGCCAGCAGCTTATTGGCTGGCCGCCCCCAATCCAAGAGACATGTCCTTCACTACGCCGCGCTTCGCCCTCCGGCACCGTTGAAACTACGCCGTTCACTTATTTCCATTTTGCCCCTATATCGTACTATCTACTGATGGGAGGGACAACACGAGCTCTAACAGCGACTACGGCTCGCACGTCTCGTCGCATTGAAATTTCCAAATGATATTCCTTGGTCATTGGGATGTTGAAGTATGTATTCGTATAGTGAGTACTTTGGACTACAGGAAATATTGATATACACTGAGATGCTTCCACACAGATCTTGGCTTAATCCCCGAATCAGGATTTTGCCAAGTAGGTCTGAGGTGAGACGGTCGAGAACACCACGTAAGAACCTCCAAAACTCATTCCATGAGTGTGGCACAGGGCTGTGTATTTTTGGTTCGTAAGATTGAGGGCTACGGCACAGTGTTTCTCTTGATTTATATTGCCAGTCCCTCGCCCCTGGAGGAAATCATCATATCAGTCAATCCAATTCACTTCTATTCAGTTCACTTCTTCAAGACTTTACACTCGCTTATCTTCATACACTCATTTACATTCATTTTTACGTTCTTGGATATTCAAGATGAAGACTTCTTTGTTCCTTACTTTATTGCCTGCTCTGGCCTCCGCTGCAGCCCTGTATGACCACCGCGCTCTCAAAGTCCGAGAGGAAGATATCAAAGCCCGAGAATACAAATGCAAGGCCAACGTTTTGCCTGACAAGGACCTCGAGGACGCCAAGAATAAACTGGTCAAAGAGCTTGGTGAAGGTTGGGTAGAGCCAGGAAAATGGGCTGAGGTAAGCTACATGATCCAGTACGGCGCTCACCGGAACAGGAGGGAAGATTAATATCGTGTAGGCCGTTTCTGGAAAGGCCAAGGTCTACGTGTGTAACTACAGCGACCAGAAGATCAAATTCGACCAGGCCCGTATTGATTCGCAAATGGCGAAATTGACATCTGTATGCGGCCGAGGCACTGAAGCTGGCTTGATCAGAGAAGTAGCGGAGTTTGGAAATATTGGACGCGATGTCTGGGATTTCAAGTACTGCAAGACTCTCCGTGGCATAGAAGATGACGAGGGAGAGGGAGAAGGGGGTGAGGGTGAAGGTGGAGAGGGTGAGGGTGGAGAGGGCGAAGGAGAGGGAGAGGGAGAGGGCACAGACGAGTGAGAGACTGAGTGAGGCACAGAGTAGAGTTCGGCAAAGAGCAACTGATTCTAAAAGCTTTTGGCCTATCTCATGGCTCTGATGCCAGCAGTCATCCGTTTCTCTATAATCAACGAGCAGCTCGAATGTCACTGGACAGTAGTGTTCTCGGCAAGTCCTTCCGCCCACCAAATCTTTACTGGTCATATTTTCCCTTACTCGATATTGATATATTGTTTGCAAACATTTGTACTCAGATCTCCCACGTCTCTGTGGATCCCGCTGTCACGGACAAAGCTTCTACATTTATCCATTGAGCTACATCGCGATCAAGTGATCGAAATAAACTTCGAAACGACCTGGATAGATGTGCAGAGACTAAAGAAAGCCCTTACCATGTATCCAAGACATAAAATTGCGAATTATTGTTTGACAGGTCACGGTGTTGCCATTCATCCGGATTCGTCAGTCCCCTGTGTCGCGTCCATCCCATCGTTACTGATAGCTGAATCTACACCATGCACCATAACAGCACACGTGAAAGATGGCCAAGTTCAAAGCGCATTTCACTCATAAGACGCTGGCCCCGTCAACACAGGTTTCGGCACCACTCCCCAATGCCGAAGCCAACCAATCACTCGAAACAATGGTATTCTAGCCTTTACTACCACTGTCAACCATGGTAGTTGGGAGCGCGCTTCATTTTCGAGCCCGGGCCAGAACCCTCGTTTGATGTCATCGAACGCAATTCACATCCAGTTTCCATGGGTCCCCACGGTAATTTCGTCGCATTGTGTATTTACGGTTTGGCGAATTTACTGTGTTGTCGATGCGCACCTCTCAGGAAACACGGTACAATGTAGACCAAACTGTCTATCAATTCTGCCCTGCTTGGAAAGCGATGAAATCAAATTAGAGAATTGTTTAACTCCTTCTTATCTGTATTTCTACTAACCGCAATGCCACGCTGGAAATGGCTTTTCAAGTCGAAGAACCGATCCGCATCTCCGTCACAGGCTGATGGAAGTCAATCTTCCGGCCCGCCTTCCGGCTTCTCTCTCCCCACAAACGTAAAGGACGTCAGGCCGCAAGAGACCGAGGTCTCTCAACTTCCGAAACGAGACACTGATGCAAATAGCACCCGATTTTTTCTTTACGATGTGCTGTGCTTCAAAGGACATAACATCGTTCAAAGATGGCCACAATGGATTCTCGAAACGGTAGCGTCGTGGAAAGGCACGGGTGGAGACTTGCGGGATCTCAACGGAGATTTTGAGAGCTTTTGCCCCACAGCCGCGGGATATGCTCGACTGGATGGGAGCTTCAAGAAGACAATGCGGCCTGATGGTGATTGCCGACGCCAGATTGGCCGGGCTATCGAGTCGACAGTGAAGAGACTGAAAGCCAAGGAAGAAAGCGAGAGAGTAGCGCATCGCAATTGGCAACATTTGAAAGCTGGCAGCGCATTCTTACCACCGGAGCCTTCTCGTAAGCGAACCTCAGTTGATGTCGCAAGACGAAACTCAAATACCATGGGGCAACCAAGTGCATCATCTGCATATGCCCCTACTTCGAATTTGCGAACATCGTTCCATACAGATGCTCCAGGACCTTATGCAGACGACTACAGCACCAAACGTCGATACTCGTTGGCTGGTCCCTGTACATCGACAGCGACTAGTTCTTCGTTCCCCAACCAAAGAAGGGCTGTCGCATCGAATTATGTAGCAACTCGTGAAGCGCCTGGAAGCCGACAAAGTGACGCGGGTCTGTCCCGCCATACATTTTCTACAGCTAGAACCTCAAATTCTGGCTCTATGTACAGTCGGAGGCATCCGTCCATGTACCCTCAGTATAAAGCTGATGTTATGCCGCTAACACGCGAAAACCTGTTGCAGGCGACCTTGTGTACGCAGATGTATGGCCAATGCTCAACCTCGTCAACACCGGGAAAGATGACTTGGGAAGAAAGCCGAGCCCGCACATGCTCGACGCACAGTACTGCATATGATACCGCTGCGGAAAGTCTAAGCTCGCCTTCTGCCACCTCTGGACTGAGGCGTAGTCAATGGAATTACAGAGACCTGCAACGATCAGCTGGAGGACAACGTTCGAATTCCATGGGAAATACAAGCTACTCGAATTATGCCTTTAGCACAAACTCGAGTGCTTTTAGACAGCATCCGACCGAAAGATCCACACCGCCATCACGATATCGTCCAGCTTCAACGAGGTACAATCCCCGTCAGGAAATACCACCGGAGGCCTGCCGAAAGATCATGTCTAGCGATAACCCAAGCAATCGAAAGCGATCAGGAAGCTTGGGTATGCAGACCGCATCGCCGCCAAACACTATACCGCCACACGAGCAGAGACCGGATTCCTCGAAGGCCGTTGGAGGGTTACATACACCCTTGAACAGGCATCACATACATTCCTTCGCTAGTCGATCCCGCTCAGCCAAGACAGCTGCCGCCGACAAAGCCGCATTCGAAAAAGCAGAATATATTGGATTCAGCTACCAGCCCACTAAAGAAAGGCATGAAGTAGGATTGCGCGAGGTCGAACGCATGCATGGTATGGCCCAACAGTTCCGTCGCGATAGTCATGTCCCGCAAGGACCGAGTATGAGGCATATCAATCCAGAAACTGGAAGGCCGTTTGCAACGCTGGTGGAGACGATTCAAGTGACGGAGGCTTTGAGGAGGAGTTCTTGATGAGGAGGCAGGTAGCGATTAATGTGTTGTGTTGGGAAAGCGCCGTTGTAGATGTAGTTTGTTTGGAGACAGGCTGGCAAAATGTGCGATCGCAAACCCGAACCTAGTTTTTTATGGGTCGAATGCAACATCTTCTTTTACAGTTTCTAATCGAACCCTGTTAGTCGTTCACTGGTAGTGATGAGACTCTCAAGAACGCGCTGATTTGCCTCAACACCTGCGTATGTCCTAGAAACCGGTCAACAAAGTAGTCAGACTCAAGCTCTCACTGAACCCTGCCAACAGCGTGTCAGCGCACATAAAGGGCTGATCATGAGTCATTGAGTCGTTGAAGTTCATCCCATCATGATCAGTCAGCAATTCCGAACTCCGAAAGGAAGAACAACCTTCGATTTTTTGCATATGCAGGGCCATGGCGCATATGTCGCCTATCCAGTAGTGTGGATCCAGATAGGTACCGCCTGAAATAGTAAATAGAAAGGGCGGCATGCATTCGCAGATGGAGAATAACAAGTAGAAGGGCTGAAAAACAGAACCAACAGCAATCCCGGTCCTCGTCATTATCTAACTGCCTTTGCGTTAGTATCATGTGAACCAACCACATGCGTAGGGTCTACGGATCTCGCCCCACGCGAATACCGCGATGGTACTTTTGGTGCCTATATAATAGTTGCCTACTGGCGCCGCGCGTTACCAGTTTACTCTTGCAACAACACTCAACTCAATTCACATAACCTAGAAGTCAGAGATTGACCGCGACCCGCCAAGATGCCTCTCGAAATCCGCCCCATCACCGAAGCAGACCTGCGCGAGTTCATCGACATCACAGCCAAAGCCTTTGCGGGAACCCTGGTCTCATTGCTAAATCCACAGCTGTCGGAAGAAGGTATCCAGCGACAAATCGCCAAAAACACAAAAAGCATGCGTGAGGAACCCGATTGCCACTTACTCAAAGTCGTCGATACCGAACTCGACGATAAGATTGTCGCGTGTGCGAAATGGCGTATCAATGAGAAGGAGCGGACAGAAGAACAGATCCAGAACATGCTGCCGCAGCCAAACCGGGAGACGGACTCAGCAGTGTCAATTGAGCTGCAGGAGTATTTGTCCAGGATGAGGATGAAGTACATGGGTACGAAGCCGTTCGTGTTCTTGCATCTGCTCGTCGTGCACCCGGAGCATCAGCGGCGCGGCGCGGGAGCTATGCTGCTTCAGTGGGGCGTTGATAAAGCGGACGAACTCAAGTTGCCGGCTTTCTTGGAATCGTCGGATGCAGGGAAGGCACTGTATACCAAGTTTGGATTTGAGGCGCATGAAGTAACTTCATGGGATAATACCAAGTATGTTTTCATCATTTGCGCTTATATTTTTTGACTAGCATTTTTGCTAACTCTAGATCAGGTACGGACTCGAAGGTGTCACTACCAACTCGGCGATGCTGCGATCACCTCGTGCATAGTACCACTTGCACTCTGGGTCAATGAAGGGTTTCCAGGCGATATGCATGCAGATTGCTCGAGCTACATGGGATTCGGTGTGCCGTGCATTGCAAGACTCTGACTCAGACCACCGACTCTGAGAATCTTGACCTCAACATTCTCCTTCTCCAGCTCTTTCAAGAAAGGCATCTTTTCCGAGAGATCAACGTCGGCACATTCAGCATAGCGGGGCGCCTCAATTAACTTCATAATTGTGATACTCTTGAGTGCCTTCATGGCAACCAGTCGCTCTCCCAGCGGCGTTGCCTGCACCACGAATGTCAGAATCAGCATAGAACTTTAGAGCAGGAAGGTGAAAAATGCATTCAAATAAACACTCTCCGACCTACCACGGCTTGATCGATAGAAGTACCTTCCCCAATCCCGAGCAATTTGACCTTCGTGATGAGCTCTTCTCCATATTTTCCCGCCCAGCCCAGGAAGTGAAGCGCCGTCGCGAAGTCGGAGAATTCGAACAGTTTTGTCTTGAAAAGCCGGATCATGGCTTCTTTTCGAATGCATGCCGAAAGACGGAAGATTGGCGATTTGAGCACTGTGGAGACTACGTCTTTGGGGGCGGTGCAATGGTAGATGGCGACGTAATCATGGTGCGGGAACATGGCTTGATCATAAATTTCGTAGCGAATTTCGGCGGGGAGAGACATAAAATTGGCCATTGTGAAGGCCGTGAATGTTGTTTGGAATTGTGTGTTGGAGGAGTTGCGGTGATCAAGAAGGTGGAATTGCTGAGGTAGAAGGCAGGAGCAGCAACGCGCTAAGCCGGATTCGCCGCTAGTATCGTCTTTCCATGAATGTGAGGTTTGTGATGTACCAAACAGCCCACGAATGTGGAAAAAAAAGTTGAATTATCGAAAACATACAATTGCGTCTGACTATGAATCAATAATATATGTTTCAGGCCAATGTGTAACGTATCCAGATAGAATACAATAATCGTGTGTTGAAATTTGATAAGGTGGAGAATGAGTTCTCGGACGTTTTCGTGATCAGTAGCTCGTAGATGCTCACTGAAACTGGTATGAGAGGTGAACTCCAAGAAACTTTCAAGGCATCTACAGGTATTGGGGATCCTCAAGAGAAGGGGAGAAGCTCATATACTTATCTCTCATGTCACTGCACATAGTCACGAAGCTCAACATCGAAAACCATGATATAATATACAAGATAGTTACACTCTATTCTACAAATACAAATATAAATACAAGTCTGGGCCATGTGAACCCCCCCAGAAACCCCAAAGAAAACCGCCCAAACGCCAGATCATCATCGTCGTCATCGTCATCGTCATCGTCATCATCGTCGTCGTCGTCGTCGTCCTCTCCTCCTCATCCCAGTCCCCACCTCCTCTTCTTCTCCTTCTTCTTCTCCTTCTCCACCCCCTCCACGACGGCATCGCGCTTCCTGGAAGCACGCAACAACTCCTCCATGACCACCACGAGGGTGAGCTCCTTGCCCTTCTTCGACGGGCCCTTCTCCAGCTTCTCCAACCAACGCGCCGTGAGCTCCGGGTAGAACATCTCGACGCCGAAGGCGAAGTGGATGATGTGCGCGGGCTCACGCATGTTGTAGCCCAATCCGCTCAGCTCGCCGACGTAGGCGTTGAAGCGGTCCAAATACTCGGCGGTGTTAGCACAGTCCGCCATCTTGAGGGCGTACAGCATACGCCAGGTTTCGTGGGAGTGGGGGGTGTTGGTGGGCATTTTGAGTTGGTGGAGGCTTTGTGTGGGCGGGTGTTGGTTGGTGGTGGTGGTGTTTTGGGGTTTGTGGATGGTGTTGGTGGTGATGGGATTTTGCTGCTGCTTCTGCTGCAGTTGATGGTGGTGTTTGTGGTTTTGAGGGTGTGAGCTGCTGTAGCTACTGATGTGGTGGTGGTGAGGGTGATGGTGGTGTTGCTGTCGCTGTTGCAGTTGCTGGTGGTATTGCTGGTGATGTTGCTGTTGCAGCTACTGGTGGAGTGTGGTTGTGGATAGAGGACGCGAAGAGAGAAAGAGAAAGAGAGATTGTGGGTGCGGAGGGTATAAGCTTGGGGAGACGGGAGCGTCACACAAAAGAGTTTGAGAAAAAGCGAAGTCACTGTGGAAATTGCTAGACAGGATAGCTACTATGAGGTCAGAGGGCGAGCTCGAAGCAAACAGAGCCAAGCCAATCCACAGGTCCTCAATTTCCTCTTGCCAGACAATTGCTATTCACCTTGGATTGATAGAGGAACGCATAGCGAGAAGCTCACGATTGCGGCACAAACAATCGATCAATATCAGGCCCCCACCCGCCATTCACCCCGCTAAATGTAATGGTATTGGCACCGGCCTTCAGATCGACGTGTAGAGAGCTGCTGGACGGCTCATTTCCACTCACAGGCAGAAACGCGATAGTTTGAGCGGGCCCCCCATTCACGCTGACTGAGGCAAAGCGCTGGGAGCTATCGCCATTAAGGTACTTGATGCGGATTGTGCTGCGTGTTGTAGCTGACGATTGTACGTTGGAGAAAGTGACCACACCAGCGTTTGTACCGCCAATGTAACCAGCAGCCTTGGAACCAGAGCAGCCGCTGCATGAGACTGTTTTGGCTCCACTAGAAAGCGCTGCGGTCTCGCCTTCATATTTATTTTCGCTGGGACCGGGTGTCTATCGCGCTGGTCAGTGAAGTGCCACATTCAAGAGTCACAAGATGTGGTGCACGGGGAAATGAACGCCTACCATCGACCCTGAGTTTGCATCTGGCACCCAATTCACTGTGTTCTTCATCGACGCCGTCGTTCCGCTGAGTTGCAACGGCAACCATATATATGTGCTCCTCATCAGATTGCTGCTCACCCATCGATCTCCCAGATACATTGCATTGTCCCCCACCGGCAAGATGAAGGTCGTTTGAGAAGCATACGTATTACTGCCCGAATCTGCGAACGTTTTCCACCCACTCCACGGGCCAGATATACTTGTTGCGGTACTATACACATTGTCATTGGGATCCCAGCCAGTCAGCTTGGACCCGAACATAAAGTAGACACCGTTCTTCTTCACGATGGCTGGCGATTCGATGGACTCCTTCCAGAGATAGGTCGATTGCCTGACGCTGAGATAGTCGTCGGAAAGCAAGTCGATGCGGAGACCGTTCTTCCGGTCTTCGGTGAGAAGATATCCTTTATTGTCATCGTCTACGAAAAGGCCCTGGTCTCTGCTTTCGAAGCCCAGAGGCTGGAAGCTGCCTCTGTACTGGAATTGGCCGCAGACAGTATCGCCAGTGGCAACTCCGACTTTGGCCTCGCCATAGTTGCTGCTGTCGATGTGCAGGTAGAGCACATACTTGTTGGTGGCTTTGTTGAATACGACTTTTGGTCGCTCAATGACACGGTTCGGACCTAGGTCTCCGGACGAAGTGCGCGAAAGAAGGGCGCCTTCGTATTTCCACTCGACCAGGTTGTTGCTGGAGTAGCAATTGATGTTTTGGAAGGCCGAACCGTCGGTTTTGTCTTCTCCGACCCTGTCCAGATGATCAGAAAACTGCTATGCGATGGTCGAGTGTGGAGTGTGAAAGTGCGCATACCAGTAGTATGTGCCACCAACCTTCAATACTCCTCCTCCGTGAGCTTGGATGTGCTTGCCCGTGTTTGTCTGGTGAATGGTCAGTCTTCGCTCGAACATCCCACCCATGATGATTCATCTCACAGCAGTCCACGTCCCACCAGGAATGATCTGAAGCGTCGCATTCACTACACCAACCAGCAGCCCCAGCGCCGCAAAATTTCCAAAAGCACGCATTGCTGATAATTACACGACCGAGAAAATGTGTTCCACATCAGACATCAGACTAGGGAAGTCGCCCACCATATGTATGAAATGCGCGCAATCAACGGTTCGCGGAAAAAATCCGTACATGTGACTTGTTGACACGGAAGTAGAGACGGTATGGGTTAGATGCTTATAATATAACCGTCATATCGATAGATGTGCAAGGTGGGGATGGAGCGGTTTATATTGGAATGGCAGGGTTAGGGGTGGTTTCTCCACACGGAAATCCGGGGTAATGTACGGCGATCACGGAGGTAATGTTCTGATGTGGATGGTGAGGACCATGTTTGTCCATGGGTCGAATAGTAGCACCTGGTTTGTACACATCTACGCTACACTATTTGTGAACGTTCATTTGACAAATTCAGATTTTGACGACATAGTTGGTGGCTGCATATATCTTTGGGAAGAAAGAGTTGAAGTTACTTTATGGTGGGTAGACGGGATGATTGGAGACGGCGCTAGCCACATTAGCCACATCTGCACCGCCACGCAAGACCGTCTCATGTCTCAGGAAATGCCCGATCCCTGCTTTTCCTTACTTCAATAAGCTTGTGTGAAGGCCGCATCATTTGAATTTCTGGTAATCGCTCGTTTTTTGGTTCTTTTACCGTTGTAACTATAGCTGTGCGTAAAATCACCCAAACTCCAACTCAGAATTGATTAGTTCGGGGAAATATTCCTAGTTGCAACACGATCTCCATTTAGATATCAAGCCAGAGAGTTCCTACCTCTCAATTGTAATTGGAAGCAGCCATTCTTATATGCCCGCTATTTAGTCCACGAACAATGACAAATTGGGGGATTTGGGGACAATGATTTCTTCCATGTCCTCATAAACAGCTACAAACTATAGTTTGCTATGCAATTCGCGTATTTCTCTTTCCGGTGAGATCTCAGCAAGCTCCCATCTTCTTTGCCGCGTTTCTTGAATCGGGTGGAAATTGCTGCAAATCTCAGCCTTTTCCCCGGTTGCGCCTGATTCCCCATGTGCACCTGTGTGAATTGCGCAAGACACGTATTTTTCCCTCCCTATTGTTTTCAAATGCGCCCATTCGTGGTTTCCGGTAAAATGCTTGCTGTTCCGAAGTAGCCCTCCTTGTCTAAATCGTGATGTCCTTTGAGGCTGCTTGTTCCTCGCCCGCCCGCTGTAAGCAGGATATCTCAAACAAACGCGCAAGGGGCTGCCAACCCCTCATAGTTTGAATTGCTTCTCCGGAGATGCCTGTCGCTCGTAAAAGCATCGTGGGACCTCGCGTAGGTATTCGGGCAAGGTTTTGGGGCATAGAAGATTCGTCGAGGAACGCTCACGCGCGATGTAGGGGAGACGCCGCGACCTCCGCGGAAGCCGGGGGACGCGTCTATCGCGATAGGGGTACGATATGGAGATGCTCTTGATCGTGAAGCTCCGCTGATGCTCGCTGCCGCATTCCCGTGGGTGTGTGATGTCAAGGTGGGGGTGGTGGAGGGGGGCTCGCCGCTGTCCAAGGCAAATCGCTGCGGCTCTCCAACTAAACGCCAAGCCGCATTTGCGGAGGCTCGGTCTCCACCACCACCACCCCTTTTGCGGTCTTTTGAAATGCGCCGGGGATAATTTGAGGGTGAAGAAGGCGATAGAGCTTGTCCGAACTCGATATCTCCATGCGGCGTGGTGTTGTGGGCTGGCGAGGGTAGAATCTCAATCTCATTGCGCACCGCACGGGCCTCAACACCAAAGGCGCCCCCGCCACAGCATCGTGATATCACCCAGCCTACACCCATCTCCCGCAACCACGTCGCCTTTATCCAGCAATTCTATTGACAGGATGAGGATGATGAAGCCTTCCTCATCTCCAGCATTGCTTTTGCGATGTCGTCCGAGGTTTGTGGCGGTGGTGATAGACGCCCGAGCATCGGCGAGTCTCCCCACCTCCATCTTTCCCTACTCCCCACACCAGACTCCACCGACACTACAGACACCTGAGGGGCTTCTTTCACCTCTCCACACTCTCCGCATCGAGTAGAAGCTCCTCCTCGATGTGGTCATCGTCGGTAATCCCGCTCAGAGCAGTCGGGGGCTGCCTCAAACCCGTGGCGGCGTCTTTCACCACGGCGGGCTGCCCAGCAGACTCACCCCGAGCGACACACATGCATGATACAGCTTGTGGTGAGCTCCGCCGGGTTTGAATGCCAGCAGCTGGCCGTGAGCAGGCTTCTCGCGGATGGCAAATGTTTTCGCCTTCCCACATTACGAAGACTCAACAGCTGGCTCGCACATTCGTACAGCATGAGGGGCAGATGCACCGAGATTGGGCTCCATACAGTGGTAGTGACCCCTCTGGACGTATTCCCAGTGAAATTCGGAATACCTGTGTCCGCAAAGGCAATGATGCACGGCCTTCACTCGTAGGTTTGCGTCTTTTTACAAGCCATTGCTTTTGGTGAGTTGCCAGCTGACATCGTCTCCAGGAATTTCGATTGTCCCGCTGCATGCCGCACGCCGCAGGTCAGATACTACCCCTCTCGAAGAGAGTAGCCCGTTGCTGTCACCGAATACCGACCGATTCCTCGCATCGAATTCCAAACAAGCTTCGCCGCAGTTGCTTCCGTCTTCAGCTCTTCGATGCCGAGATATACAATTGATAATAAGGAACGCCATCATACTGAGAAGGAATTGAGACACACACACATCAGACCTTAGCCTCCTTTGGGGGTTCGGGATGAAAGGCAAATCTCGATATATCGTCCAGGGAAGGGAAACCTATGTCTCTTGAATCTGACACATGAACTTCATCCGGAACGGTGGACACGTCGGTGCGAACTAGAAGCCATTGTCATAACAACTTGTTTGAAGCGCTTGGGCATTCATGACCTCTCTCCATCCTCTGCGATATCTCTTTAAGGGATTTTTCGTATGTTCGAGAGTCGTCGTGGTGCTTCTGCGTGGACGACGAGGTCTCACCTGAGATGGGCAAGTATTTTCGACTCCTTTCCAACCTCTGCAATATTCCTTCGAGAAATCTTTTGTAAGTCTGAAAGTGATTGAAGTACTTTCCCATCAACGGTGGGGCTTGCGACGACATTCTTGAAGTAGGCAGCCATTGCTCAATGTTCCTCTTCCTCTACGATATCTCTACTAGGGATCTTTCGTATGTCCGGGAAAAGAGTCGCGCTTGCCTATGGATGGCGCCTGAAGTGCACGAATATTCTCCGCCGCTTCTCATTCTGCGTGGCCTTCCCAGAGATTTTTCGTATGGCCGGGATGCGCGGCAGTACTTTGGTATGAACGGTGCTGGAAGTGCGCAAGTGCTCTCAACATTCCTCATCCTCTGCGATATCCTCTTCGAGGATTTTTCGTATGTTCGGGAGTCGAGGCTGTATTTGCGCATGAATGGCACTCGAATTACACAAGTATTTGCTCAGTTACCCTCACCCTCTGCGATATCTCGAGATAGCCATCGTTTTTTTGGGGAACAAGCGTTGAACTCGTTCATGGATGGCAGGGTTTGCGCATCGGCATCTGTCCAGGAAGTATGTCCGTCATTTTCGACAGGCATTTCCTCGAATCCACATTTGCGAAATCATATCAGCCTTCAGCGTCCCAACTCCATTAACCCTTGATTGATAATCTCGAGCCCAGATAGGCACCTACGAGGCAATCCGCCGCGCACTATTGACAGGACAGCATACTCGTGGGCGGTCCGCGTAGGGGGTGATTCCCCATGTATACAAGCGGACTGGATCAGCTTCGGCTGGTCGTTGGTCACGATTTTCGTGATTGATTCAGAGTATGTCTGATACCGGATAGTGTGGCAGGTTTCGGGTTCCCGTGAATACTCAGCTGATGGGGGTTGGAATCTTGCCTTGGTGGGGCTCTGGTTCGCTGGAGTGTCTGATATGATGTAGTTGGTGTGAGATTCACCGTTCCAGTCGTCGTACATGGCGGATCTGGGCATTCTAGGTTCTTCCACCCCAAACACACGGCGAACATGTTGTTTTCATGACCCAGTCCATGAGACTTCCAACTCTTCGGTCTTCGTTCCTTCCATCCGATCCATCCGGTCTTCTCTCACTTCTCTTTCTCTGCAATTCACAACGCCATCCAATCTTTCCGTGCGGTTATCCAGTGGTCCGTCCAGTATCCCGGTGGTCCATCCAATATTTCGGTGGTATATCCAGTTACCCAGTGGTCCATCCAGTATACCAGTAATCGGTCCGGTCTCCAGTATTGTCGTCGATATATCCCATTCAACATCTAGTTCTGAGGTGGTCTCCACACACCACCCAATCTCCAATGGCCATCTTCAAGAGCATAACGCCCAGTATTCCAAAAGTTGAAATGCGGACAACCGTACGTAACACATCCATCACCAACAACCTTTTTACCTCACTAACATTCTTCAAGCTCTGATCTTCGACTCGACATGACCGGCTTCCCATGATCTCCGATCACATAATACAGCGAACATCGATTCAGTTCTCGACAGCTCGTACAGCTTGCAACCCTAGCTTGGACTGGAATAATATTCAGGTCTCTGTCCCTTCCTTCTTGATGCATGTACTGACTTAGTGCAGATCGTCGTTTGCAAATAGCTCGAACAGGAGTCAAGGCCCATCACTCGTCATCAATCCAGTCGTCCGATGAAGTTCAAATGCTTTGCGGATCGTTGTCGCCATTGCCGAGTCTTTCGTAGGCGCAAGCTACCTAAGCATCGCAAGCGGCTCGACAAAATACTCTTGGAATGACCCGAGACGAATCGATGCGCAAGGCTGCCCCGATAAGTGCTCCGCACCCCACGTACCCGAAAAGTAACTATTAATGGCTGCAGATAATTGTGTGGAATCATATCCGGGTAAAGTGCGTAACGAACGAGATCGTTCTCACATTTCCACAAATTCGCCGAGAATGCCTTCTCTCTTGGTATAGGAGGCGACCAAAACCATTCCGCCGCTGTGTCTTGTATCGAATCCGATTGATTGCGATGGCTTCGAATCATCAGGTCGCTGTTATCACGGTTGGTCTTGTTGCCAGCTCTAATAATAAAGAGCGCGGCTGTATCCGACATGCCGATGTCTCGCAATTACTGTCAGGCACGTCTGACAGTGTTTTGGCCAGCCGAGGATTGGACATGGGCTTCGCATGTTGCATCTCTCCATCTCTGACAGGCTTTCGTTCTTACTCTGTGGTTGCAGCCTCATTGTGTTCAGTCGAACCTCGGGTGCTTTACTTCAACACATGTCGATTCGCCCCAGTTGACAGCCCCTGTTCTTGTCGCCATCCATGCGGAAAGCACGGACTACTCGGGTTAAAGTCCTCCGCGTTGCTATACAATGATTGTGCCATGACCAACACCGTGCTTGGTATTCTGCATTTGGTCATCCTCCACGAGGAAAGATATGCCTCGTCGATGGCGAGATCCGCAATGATTCGATTACACAGGACCGGAACCTGCATTCTGGAGCGCCTGGCGTGGCTGGTACGGTTCGTAATACTGTCGCGAATGCCCCCCCCCCGCAAATCTACCCAGTCGTGAACGCCGTTTGCAAGAACACAACAGCATATTGGCATAAAGACCGGGAATCCAACAGCGCATGTAATCGCCACCATAGGGATGATATTTCCATGTGGTCCCATTCCAAGTGTTTGAATCACATCCGCGAATACGCGTGTCCGTGCGATTGTCATACGCGCAGCCCTCGTCCAGCTGTGACCAAGCACAGGCGACTCAACAGTTGTGCGGGATTTTTGAAATATTCGAACGAAAGGAGTGTAAGTTCCGAGACTCCAGAGCCTTGGTATAATTTTTGATCGTTCCATGGACCCGGACATCTTTGTATCGGACTTCTTGCGGTTCGACACCGGGGTAAGCTGGTGAACCATGGATATTGTCGACACTGAATGGTGGCCAAGAGTCCAGCCGGAAGCCACATGATCAGGATGCCGGAATATCCTCTCATGAACGATCGATCAACACAGTCTCCTTCATGCACGTTTGCCAATGCAGTATGACGTGAGTCTTCCATGGAAAGTGTGCTACCTCCATAGGCTGGCCCGCGGATCTCCATCTTCCACAATCCCTCTTGATTGTGACATGTGTGTTCTATCCCAGAACTGTCCGCCTCTTTGCATTGCTTATGTCGGCCGGGTGGCACAGGTCATGACGCGGTTCGAACGGTCGATGCGATGTTTAGATGCGGCGGAACGGTGCGGATAAGCGAAATGTTCTACGGTCTCTGCTTATAGTCAGCATTCAATACAGCAGCATCGTCTTGTTGATATGCGAGAAGTGTCGCATGGCAACAGACCTCGCGCTGTCTACCATGCTTCCATCCAACACCGTGGGAGACCTGGCAAGAGCTGTTATAGGTTATGTTGAGGCAGGGTCACCTTGTGTGACATCTGGTATGCGATGCATAATGACAATGCCCAGGAGAGAAAACATTGATGCTTCGGTCTTGATATGGTAGGATCCGAAGACCTTCTCCGGACGGCCGCGAGGTTGCTGTTCCCGTTCGATGTTGGGTCGAACACGCATCAAGCTTCTCAGCTGACGACGTCAACCCCTCCAAAAGCATACGCCGGCGATGGACGTTTCGACCGCTAGACACTCCATCGAACTTCATCGTCTGCAATATGATCGCTCGCACGGCTTGTCGCATGTCTTCTTCATGGCTTTCATATAACGAGGGAATGTCCGACCTGGGCATTTCCTAGCCGGCATGACTCGCTGTATATAAACAGGCTTCGCGCATGGCGCTTAACCGCCATGGTGTGATCAAGAGTCCGAGAGGTTATGCCAGGCTTCTCCGATTCTCCCCCCAATATTTGTGTCCGCGAGAATGACATTCAGTCTCCGACAGCTTCAATCCATAACTGCCCAGCACTTCTTGTCCTTGGGGATGAAGGGGCGAACGAGAAGGTCTTAACTGGGAATGGAGCGGACTGGACAGACGTATCGCATCCGCATGTGACGACATACACGCAAGATGCCTGCAAGATGCCTGCAAGCTAAACTCCGGAGATCACGTTATGAACGCGTCTTTGGTGAGCGGGAGTAATAACTATTGGGCCTATTGGATATAACGTTTCTGTTCGCTACGCGGATGGCTGGTCGGTCTCGTTGAACACCTGTTGGGCGGTTGAATGCTTTTTTTTCTTTTTGATGAACGAGAAAGGGCATATCTTCGAGTATTGCTTCGAGTATGGCTTTCGAAGGGAGCGATTCATCAGCATGCTCGTTCAAAGTCTTTGCGAGCCGCGGTCTATCGTCACTTCCTTGGAATTTTCACTTTGAGTCAGGCTGCACCTCCCCTCGGCCTGTCAAAATCGGAAAACTGCCTGCCGCCGCTCGCACAAAACTTCGACCGAATATTTGACACGAGGTCGCATCGATTGATTATACAATCCGCTGTTCACTGCCTTTCAAAGGTAGACGTTCCTAGGGGAGTTAATGATCCTGTGGATGATTTTCGTCAAATCTCACCCCGGCGTTGACATCGTTGGCTCTCACCCCCAAAGCTGGGTAGTCTTTGGGGTGACATCTGCTCCTCGCCTTCACTATTTGCGCTGCTCGTGAGTTCGATGGATGCTATACCCTATATGGCAATGGTCTGCAACTGTGGAAACAGTATTTCTTTATTGCTGTCCGACAATGAAGACCTCGGATCTCGGTGGGGTGAGATAGGGTCCGTGTCTTCGCGTACCAGATGGCTCTGCCCAACCCGCTACGCCGTGTGGTCGGTCAAAAGAGGATCCAGTTTTGTTGCTTCTCGATTTCACCTGATCCACCCAGTGAGGTAAAACTCTCAATCAGTCGTCCACCCGCTCGGTTTCTTCGATCCGCAATCCGGGTCGGTGGACATGGTGAGGGTAAGGGTGATTTCGTGATACGAGCTGTGCCGATCCAGGTCTCTGCTTGTCCAAAGTCCTTCTCTGGGTATCCGACCCATCAGCTGTGACCTTTTTGCTTCCGCTCTTTCGTATGCTGTCTCTTTCACCGGGGGGCGTGTTGTGTCGTCGGCATTGCCCAGGGTTTTATCACCTCGCACTCTCGCCATCCTCACGTGCTTTTCACACCGCACTCGAGGGCCACAAGATTGCCACGCTCTTACCCTTACAAGCTTCAAAAACACGCAAAACACAGAGGACAAGGGGAAATTGGTAGATGGCAGATCTGGAGGTGGCGACCAACCAGTTTTGCAGGAGAGTATATTTACCTTGTGTCAAGAAAACTCTTCACGGAGTCCTCGGGGTGATTGGTGAGCGTCACGAAGGAGTTTTACCTCCTACGCGCGACTTCAAGGAGCGATCCCGATCAAATCATCGTGATTGACCCATATGTGATCATATCCAATGCCCTAGGCCTGGGATTGACCATGGCGGCTTTGCGGTCACCGAGTGAAAGGCCGAAGTGTCGGACACCCCAGCTGCGGCGGCGGATGCGGGGTCGACATGGTGAGTCAGTTGTCGTCGACAGCAGTCAAGGCGAGCATTGCACTTGATAGCAAGGGTCAAGCAACACTCAGACAAGAACGCGCGGATGTGCGTTGTGCAATCGTGATGCGGTGGATGTGGTGGAGTCTACTGCTTGACCGAGTTTCCGCGGCGTTGTTTGGGTCAGAAGCTGCACCGTGCACGGTCCAGCCAAGACAGTGAATCGCGGGGCCCCATTTGTGATCTTTTCGGAGCAATGGGGCTGTCACGATGTCTAGCAGCATATTTTTCTTGTGCAGAAAAATCTGGAAGGTCAAAGCAGTAGTGAGCTCTCCCCACAGTCTTTCTGGCTGAGGAATCGAGCTTACATTGTGTGGACGCGTCAAACGCAAAGCATGCTGCACTCGCCAACAGCGCGTTGCATGTGTGCGCCTTGCCCTTCAAAGCAATCAAATTCTCGAAAATCGCCGCCTCAAACTTTCTATCGCCGCCTGAGGCTCGAGTCTACACTGTCTACTTCGAGTCGCTTCCTTGAACGCATGAAACCCTTCTTTGCTCTAATCGAACTCGATCATGCCATGCTAGCGACCGTTCGCGTTTTTCGTGCAGAATATCAGCTTTCTCCCCGCGTACGAAAGGCGGAGAGGCTTGTTGAACCGAATGGCCCAACCCGCCCGAATCGCTTTTGTTTTTCACTCCAGCAAATTTCGGTTCCCCACAACATCTCAATGAACGCAGCTTCCACGAAGAAACCCTCACGATCGGATATGCTGTACTACTCTCGCCATGTCAATATCAGAGTCCTGCCCAGGCTCAAGCGATCCTAGTACCTGCCCCAAAATCTACAGCTTGTCTTGAACTCACAGTCGCGATCAATCCCAAGCTATACTTCCCCCCACATAATACCGAAACCGTGGACGTGATATGTCGAAAAACTTGATAATCTCGAAGGCTACGAGTTTCAATGTGGAAATCAGCATCCTGCGTGAGGCCGGCGGATCAAAATACCCAACAAACGTCATCGATTCCACCCTGAAGGATCTCAAGCTCCACACAATCACCTCAGAGTGGCTGCATGTCATCTTTCACGATGAGAACTCGAAATTGTATGTTCACCCAAAGATACCCGATACTTCCCCGATCAGCTTCCCGTTCCATTCACGAACAGCTTCCCCAAGCCGCTGCAGCTGGAAAGAAACAATGTTTTTTTTTCTAGGACGATGCACGATACTCGCTAGTGTTGAGAAGGGCAGCGTGTGATTCACAAAGAGGTCGTGAACGGTGCTGGCGTTGGGATCCTGTGGCTGCCGATTACGATCCCTAGGCTGGTCGGCATCCAGGTTCATGACTTCGCCTCCACAAGATCGAGTATGCGCCAAAAGTCTATTGTGGATGCCTCCTGCAAAAGGCCAACAGTTTCGCCCCCCTCGAACATACCATGGCAGCTTGGGTGGAAAGGCGCATAAGGAATTGTGGGTGTGAGGGGATCGCGATCAATACGTCCGACACAAGCGGACAAAGGATAGTTGCACTTTTGGAAACTTCGGCCAGCTGGCCATGCTACTAACGAGAAGTAGGCTTTCCCTGATGTCTGAGTACTAACAGCTTGCCTCGTTTGAATGCGGGATCATCTGCAGCTAACTACTTGATTGGCCTCTGACCAAGTTGTCGATTTTGCATTCCGCACGCCAACCTATACTAACGATTGCCTTCTTCTTCACAGTCGCCTTCTCAAAATCATCAGCATCTCTGGTTTACGGACTGTCAATATGCACAGCACATGCGGCAAAGTCTATTCTGTATAAAGTGATGTGTTGATGCGATCTGCTTGCTTCCCCCAGCTTCTAATCATCTAGTACGGAAAAAAAATGACTCAAAACAGCTATATCTATGTGAAGCGAAAAATAGGGAAAGATTGAAAAGAGACTTGGTACGTTTAGCAATGAATCAAAGACTCGCTGTGAAATCCATCCGGTGTGGCGATCAGGACGACCTCGAATCCGAAGCCGACAGTTGTGCCATTGCCTATTCGATCTGAAGAGGCTCCGCTGACCTCTTCTTCTTGTCTTCTCCACGGAGATCTCCGCAGTACACATAGTCCCTGTGATCCCGTCCAATATTTCCAAACTGCGGCGCTTCCTGGATCCATCCAGATTCAGAAGGGTGCTCACAAGCAGCACTCAGTCTAGCCAATTGCTTGACGATGCGATCTCTATCGTATTTGATTCCGGCCGCCCCGTTGTAATTGCAGATGTAGATCTTGGTGTCCTCGTAGATTCCCTGCACAAAGATCAATTTTCATCGTCTAATGGCTACATTCGATGTTGAGCTTACCTCGGCGGATACAAAATCTCCATTGAGCCAACCATCTGCCGAACCGATGTCCTTCACAAGCTCATCGATAGCTTTCTCGAGATGACCCACATCCAAGTTGTTACCCTTGCAATGAAACTCCCTGGCTTCGGTGCCTCTGGCTTCCAAAGCGCGTGTGCTGACCCGTGCTGCAGAGGCCAGGAGAGGAGTAAGAGCGAGAATGAAGGAAGCTTTCATCTTGAAAAATTTCTTGAAAAGAGTGTGAGTTGGAAGAAATGTAATGTGAAGACTGTTTATTCGCTGCTGTGATGCGTGTTGTTGATTGTTGATGGTCCTTTTTTTTCGCGGTCAACGGCCATCTTTATATACACATGCATCACTACGCCGTGCGCTTCTATGCTATTTCAAGGGAATACACAGTCGGCCTCGTAGGATGAGGCTTTGGCATTTCGAGTGGTATGCCCATCCGTTCCAGTTTCGATGCGCCTGGCGAAGTCGCGAAACGAGGCCTGGACCCTGGGCTCTAACCCCTGTCCGCGAGGAGGACTCTCAGCACCCCATAGGATTCTCACCGCTACGGGTTCTTCCACCAGATCGTTACTCGGCGCGAGTAAACTTGGATCCCCAGACTTATACAATTCTTTTCATTTTTTCTTTTTTTTTTGTTTATTTACTTATTTCATGAAGGGTTCATGAAATCTATATCGTCCCCCGAATGATTCCACGAAAAGTCACTGCTACTGGTCCGAAGACATCTCCTCTGTGAGCAAGATGGTTTGAATCCTATTAGCTGGCAGATAGTCGACTAAAAAAGTCAGCTATGAGCCACAGCCTACGGACAATCCAGGGTAAAGCGCAATAGTCATATTGTGTGTGAGTATGCTGACTCACTGTTTTACTGTGCCGCGTCTTCTCGTAAGAAGTACACCTAAGCCACTCCTTCAATCGCATAAGACAAGGCTAAGAGACGGAGCTTTAATGGTGTTGTGCCGCATTGCACCTCTTAAATAAATCAAGAATCCGAGCATGGCTGCGCAATTGAGGCGTAGCTGCAACGTTATCTGACCAGATCGGGCTGACCCTCATCAGGAACATCTCACCGGGTGATCTTCTTCTCATCAACTATTGGCCCGACTCAGCGAGTCCTTCTGTCTCTCCTATCTCTTCACGACTTTAAATTCACTTTCTTAATCTCCGCCAAGGACTTTGGCATGCGTGCTGACTGAAAGCCTTGCGACAGTGGAAGTGAATGCATTTGGTAGTTTGACAGAACTCATTGACATTTCACCGTGTTTCATCCTCAGGCTTTTTGTGCTGCACCTAGTTTGTAACAAGTAATTTCTGATATCAGCTGAACGCGAGGCAGCAGAGTTCTCGACTCTGATACCTTCTTCCCTTTCGCACATTGAGTGAAAGTCGAGCGCCGCACCCAATGCGGCACTGTCTGGTATGCCAAGTCGAGTCTTGATGTTTACAGTGACTAATCTAGGCTAATATGTATTTTCGTGAGATTGACTTCTGCTGTTGATGTGTTCATAGTGACATTCAATGGCTGTCGTCATTTTCCAACTTTGTATCGCATCTTACAATTCGCCTCGAAGCAAGTGAACTTTAATGAGTTATGGTGTTTTGTCGGAGTCAGCACTGTACCATTGTTTCCTGCTTTTAAAAGCTCATTCGAGGTGTATACAATACCGAAGACGGGCAAACAATCGGCCAGCGGCATACCTTCATTCCACCCCGTTTGTATGTCAAAGAATGTCCTCCACTCGACGACTTCCATGTCTCATCTTCTTTCCCAAATCGTCACATTGGACAAAGGAAAGGCTATACACTATTGTATTCCTTCCGCACTGACTTCAGCTCTCATACAGAAAACGATCAATTTATTTCCTACTTAACAAGTATAAGTACGCCCATCGCCCCAGCCCTTCCATCACGGCTATTGTCCTGAACCCGCTGATTTACTTCTCCCTCCTAGCTCTTTGGTGTTCTTGCGACGAATGTGCCACTCAGAGCAACGTTTCAATAGGTGTGCTAGTTCTATCGTCCACGGATGTCACGATGTCTGGGGAAGTATGCGAATATGTGTAGAAGCTAACAAGGAGCTCTGTTCACGACCTTGCGGTCGAAAGACGGGAAAGGGATCGTGTCGTTGTCTGCAGTTGCAGGGCGCTCGATAGGGGCGATAGAAAGGGTTGAAAAAATGGTTGGATATTTGTAGGTCCTTGAATAACCATGGTATGTTCCTGGGTCTTCTCCTTCTGAGATCGATCGGTTTCTTGGTCTCAGATGTGACCCCACCCCAGTTTAGAACCTTCCTCTTGAAGCCCTTCGCAGAATGTTGATTATTTACATGCTCTACTTCTTCTTCGCCAGTATGCGGGATCGATATCAAAGCAGCCATTCTTGATTTAGCGGTGTGCTTGTACAAGATAGAGGAGCGGGGGGCTGTGCGTAAGCGGCATCATAGGGTGGAAATGGAACTGTAGTGGTAGGACGCTTCCTATCAAGTAGACCGCGTGGGTTGAAGCAGATAGAGAGGGCCGAGAACATGCGATGAAATTCTGTAGGTGCTTCTATGACACGGGCGTGACCTTGTTCTCCAGATCTGAATGGCATGAAATTCGAACGAGAAAGCGGGAGTCTAAACTTCGGCGATGGTCAGCTGGGTGAAGATTTCAATCCACGGAGTAGACGAGGCACACATTTTCTGAGTTCTCCCCGGCCCACTTAGCGACTCTCCCGCGTGACGGATTTAAGTCAGGTCTGCAATTTGCGGCCGCCAGGCTCCACCGACGGACTTGCTTGCGGCGGACGAAGAGAATGTCCAAGTGGCGTATGCGCTTGAGCTGACTGATGTGTGTGATGCGCAGTGCATTGAAACGATGGATACAAAGACGCGAGAAGCTTTGGAAGAAGTCATAGCACTCAGCAACCCGTCAGTAATTGTACCACCACAGAAGCTACTAGAATGTGGCCTGCAAAGAACAGCGTGAAGGGCTACACCACACAGCTGCGGACGAACAGTCACTGCCTGATGGCAGATCGCTATAGAAGTGGGCAAGAGGCATGTCGACGCCAAGAGTGGCATTGGTCTTGTCGAAAGACAATTGAAGTTGGGGTGTACGCGAGACTGGAGGCGAGGAGGAGGAGGGGGAGAAGAAATCTGTCCCCAATCGAGTGGATTGGTAGGCAGTCCACTAAATGAGACATTAAACGTGGCGTCGTGCTCCTTCTTCATGTGACTGCGTGTTTGCTTGAGCTCATTTCCTGTGTTTTATGCCACACTCGACTGCTGCCTTAGTATTCTACGACTTTACGTTTCACTATATATACAGATTAACCGACAGTTTCTTCCGTCAAGTACAGGCCTTGACAAGACGTGGTGGAGTTGGTTCAAAAGAGGTATGTATTACACCGTCACCCGACCCCGGGGTGGCGGCGTTTTTTTGGGGGGGGAAGGGGGGCAGAGATCTCCATGTTCGAACCGTCGTCTCATCAGTTTGGAAATCGTGTCTCTTTTTTTGCAATTTATCCCTCTCTGCGTGTAATTTCCAAATGAGCAGCATGAAGCACTGCCTTCTGAATTCGCGATATTACTTACCGATGGCGCCAGTAGACTTGCAAATCCATAGGACTCAATCTGATCCATATCTTTATCTTTAACACCACCTGTGATGCTCTATTTGACATAGAAGCATGTGCTTGATTGTTCTTAGTGGCCGCCAGACATACATAAATTTGGGAAACTCCCACTTAACCGCTGGGGGCACGACTGGCTCAGGCAGAAAATATTGCTTGAGCCAAGTCACAAGAACCTCAAATCATGAAAATTTCAAGCCAGCGATAGCAATGTGTGAGTACCTTTGTACGAGATAGACAATTCTGCTATGCACAATCATAGCCGCTGCTTTTTACGAGAATGAGATGAGAAGATACGGAACAACTGAAATGAATGAAATGAGGAAGTTAGGCAGATTAAGACTCTTGAACAGCCATTTGGATAACTTATGAATTGTTCCAAGCCATACCAATCTCAATCTTCTTCCCATTGGTGATTGAAGTCGAGATTATCGTTGGTAGACTATCAAGTTAGTGTCACGAGCTTCATGATGTTGCCTTCAACATCGCCCCCAACGCCATCCAACTTGGATAAAAATCGCGCGCCGACTCTGTCGTATTCTACGAATAATAGCCTGACCTGGGGCCATCTTCCTGAAGCTTCCAGCAGTTGAGAAGCAAGAATGCGAAACAGACTAGGAATTGTGTGCAGTGGGCGTGTAGGCACATGATTTGCCTGGAGCTCGAAGGCAGATAGATAGATCGTTTTTTTTCAACCAAGTGTTTGTGCCGCATAGCAATGCGATGATCAAATTATAGACTTAGTAGGCACATGATCACGCGTGTGGTTTGAAGCCTAGCAAGCCTTTAATAATACATGAATCTCTTGCGTAGATTAAAATAGGTTGTCTTGTCAAGTCAAGAATTTACATTTCTGTAAAAAGGGTGGAGGTGGAACTCGGGCGATATGTCATGACTAAGCAGAATGACGCGTTGTTTGCCCTGTTGGCTTTCTGACTAAATTTGTTTCCTCACGCTTCTCAGACATCCACCATCACTTGCACCAACCGCCCACGATGCTGAAGATGAAAGCCTACGTCCCCTCACGCATGCTCCTTCGTGCTCTGTCCCGCCCTTCGCCTCCGAAATGCCATCTCATGCGCGTTGTCCCCTTACAGTATCGCACCGCCCATACCAAAGCGTCGAAAACCTCCGCAAAATCCAAGTCTGCCCCGAAAGCCGTAGCGCACACAAAGCCAACTCCGCCAGGATACAAACAATACGGCGATGAGTTTATCAAATTCAACAAAGATTCCATCGACGTAAGCATTCCAGGCGAGGACAAATATTCGATTGACACATCGGAAAAGTCAATTTCCGACGAGGAGCTCGAGAGGGACATGACCGACGAGGAACTCATGGACCCAGACTTGCCGGAGATAACATTTTACGAGCGAGATCTAGACAGAGGTGGGCCCGATCTCCTCGTCAAGCGCATTGCTACACCCCAAGATCGAGCCAGGCAGCGTGACATGTTCAAAATGTTGAAAGAGGACCAGACCAACCCGGACTATGACGATGCTGACCTTCGACGCGCCCTGGTTGATGACATGCTGGTGGATCCAAGATACAAGGAATTCGCGGACGTGCTAAAGGGCATGAAGGAGCGCATCATGTCCAAGGAGGAGATGGCGCTAGCATTGAGGGAACAAGAGGAAGAGGAAGCGCGGGAGGCTCTGGAATTTGAAGCCTCGCTCAAAATCGGCGGTGCTGCTGCGAGAGTGGAGGAGCTCCTCAAAGATTCTCGCCTCCAGGACTTTCGACCTCACTTCCTCGAATTCCAAAAAAGGCTTGAGAAGTTTGACAATGACATCAGACACCCCCAGGTTAAAGAGATCATGGACAATATTGAACAAGAATTATCCAAACGTCCGGACCTATTTGATGAGGAGAACTCCATTGAGGATTACTCCATTAAGGATGACATGGAGATCTCGGAGAAGGGAGAAGCCGGTGGACCAAAAACAGAAGCCAAAGAACAAGTTGAAAATGACGACCAGCTTCTACTCAAGATGAAGGATGTGATGGCGGCTATGGGTGGGAATGAGAGTGTGGAAACAGAGATAGATGAATTGCTGAACGAAAAAGTCGATCCGGATGAGTTGGAAGAAGAACCTGAAGAAGAAATGCCAGAGTTCAATTTTGAAACTCTTTCGGCTGAAATAAGCAGGCTGAACAATGAGTCAAAGCTTACCAGCCCGTCTGGAGAGCAGATAGACCCCGAGCTCCAAGCGAAAATCGACGATATCTTAGCCGATCCGAACCTGTTGCAGAAGCTCTCGCACCTCCAAAAGTTGATGGAGACTGCAAAGAAGCGAAAAGCGGCAGGTATTACCACAGCTCCCCACGGGATGGCTCCCGATCCAGAGCAGCTCCCTGCGGATCGCACTACAGGCTTGCAGCAAAGAATGGAAATGGCACGTAATGATCCCGAACACGTGGCTGCCCTCACAAGTCTGCACGTCGACCTCCCTCCTCCATTTCATATGTCGCCTGCTCTAAAATCGTTCAATCAAGCCATCGAGCTCGCTTATCTAGGCGCGAATGACGATATCCGCCGCATTCTCTGGCGCGCGTATGTGAAGGTGCGAACCTTACCTACATTCCTCCATAATGTATCAGATGATACGTGGGATTTGATGTATTACTCCCAAGCAGTGACTTGGGCAAGCAATCAGAATCGACAGGCCCATTTGACCTTGCTGCTGCAGGATCTGGCCAGTGTTGGAAAAAATGGACCACCTACTCACCCCAGCACGTTTGTTAAGGATTAGCAGTGTAGTGATAATTGTAGATGTAGTGTACAATATAACGAGATACCCATATGCGAGGCGAACGTCCCGCCGTGCCAATCTACTCACTATGCATTCCTCTCAGCCAGCACGCCACACATTCCCGCCCGCCACACCAGCCTCCGCGAACCGCGCACCTGTCAACGGTTTTTGGCATTCGTAAAAATGCTGATATACGATGTAGTTCCGCTGCCAGCAGGCACACTACCTCACCTGATGCTTTTAGGCAGCAGAGTGCACACGCACGCCGACCCAACATGCGCTTACTCTTCACACACCCATCCGAGCCAGCCGCACTAGCCCTTGGAAGACTTCTCGCTGCCGAAGGGCATGCCATACATGCTGTGGAAGACGAATATATTTGGGGCACTGCTCCAGCTCGGTATTGCAGGTCTTATACGCGCTTCCATCGTCTCAACCCGACCACAAGCCTGACTGACCTCTGGAAAACTCTGAAACACCACATCGACGTCATCATACTGTTCGGGAGCATCTCACGATATGATAGGCAGATTCTGGGAGCGGAAGGAACAAGGATCATCGGCGACGATTTATTTAATAATGAACACGAATTCCAAAGTTTTTTGCGGATCAAAGTTATCGGCGCCCTCGAGCGAACCACCAACGCGGTCAAGGTACCGTCCGTTTTCGAGATACATTCACGCGCATGCATTGCCGAGATTCTGGGTCACTACCCTTCGACTGCATTTAGGCTCTATCGCGCGCCAAATCAGATACGTGACGAGGAGGAGGGGGACGATGAAGACGCTAAGACTCTCGTGGACGTCGAAACGCACTCTGCTAGCATATCATTCGAACTGTGCAGCAACGGCGAGCCCCTCGTTTTTTCATATGATACTTTAGACGACGATGTGGTTAAAGAGATCAAATGTCTCCCAATATCCGAAGAGTGTCCCTACCGGCTTGTAGAGGCTGTGGAGGGCGGAACTCTATATTTTTCTCATGTACTAGTCATTGATGGCGAGGTACGCACCTTTACAGTGACCACAGGCCTAGCGAACCGCCCCGAAATCATTTCAATATCCTCGTCACAGCTTATATTCCGCGCGCTTTTCCGATTTACGTTGGATACTATCGATGCGCTAGTGCGCTGGCGAAGAGACGATGCGACAATCGAAGAAACAGCTTTTAAACATAAATTTGGTTTTTCGACACATTTGAGCATATCTTTCCGAGTCAAAGACGAAATACGGCCTGATGGCCACCTCGTCCGTAAGATCACAGCTGTTAGCTGTTCTACTAAACCACACACAAGCCTTATACTACCGTGCAATGCAGCCTCGCTGCGGCATCGCCTTGCTCACATTTACATCCACCCGAGCGGATACAACGATAGCACGAAAATACTCATGTTACCGACTTCGAACACCTTATTGGGAATTTACTCCTTTCACTCCACATTCCGCATTCTCCGCCAGATCATAGTGTCTTTCCAACCCAGTAGGTTTATCTACTGGACTCGACTTGCACGTTGGATATTGCTGATTTTGGTCTGGGCATTGTGCTTCCAAGAAGAGATATGGAGCTGGTCAGACCCGGGCCCCGCGATGTGCTTGTGGCTTAAAACTGGGTTGGGATGGCTTGGGTAATCATCACCGTGTGATAGGGTTGGGATGGGGACCAACGTCATTGGCAGAGTCATTCGGTGATCTGAGTTGATGTTCTGGAGACTTTACATTACTTTTATTCGCGACATGTATGGTTGAAACACTCGAAATCCAGTCACTCGAATTCCGATAATTAGTTACATGAGATCATGACTAGAGTAGTAGCCCTGCTAAATCATCTATTGGGCGCCAGTATGTCAACTCGACCTGCAGATTCCCAATACCTTTAAAAGACCCTCCACTTCTATTGATTTATAGTTTACTTCAAGAAATTCCTCACCCCCTACCGTGTCTTACAAGCCTTCAGATTGCATCGCAATTCTACCAACATGCCTGTAAGCAATCCTGATCGTCGTCGACGCACGGCATCCTCGCGAGGCAATCTCGCGAGAAACACAACTCCACAAAATGGTGTCAGTGCCAGTAGGCATGCAGTACGTCACTAGTCTTCCTCTACATCCACGAATCCCAGTACTGACCATCTAAAGCAAATCCAGCGCAACTACGAAGAGGAGCAGGACGACCTTGGCATATCGTCTTTCGGGTCTTTCAATATAGGCCACGAGTACACCCTAGGGAGATCAGACTCTACCAAAAGTGCGCCTGGGAGACTTTGCACGACTCCAGTTGAGCGGAGCGAGCCATCACGTGGTGGAAACGCCATCAATCGTGATCAAGAAATTGCCGTTATCAGAGTTCTCGTATCTCCTCTGAACTCTCATCGCATCTCTTTCTCCTCTGATCAATATATCCATTCACCTCCACGATCCAGCAGTCCAGATTCCGCATCTTCGCCTGCCAGCGGCGATGAAGAGGATTCTCCCACTGGCCATCAGGACTCAATGACCGGATATCCAGATCTCGCACGTAACGGGAGTATCCGGAGATCCAACGGCCGCCGCGAACAGATGGATCTTGCCACAATTTCCTCACCCGATGAAGATGTAACCCGCGAGACGACTCCCGCGGCGAAGGTTCTGGATGAGGAGACGGTCCCACTTGATGAATCACCGCAAGACGCAGTTATGGGAAGTCCCGTTGTGAGAGATCTGTGCCCTGATATGTATCATGGGCTTTTGGAGCAAAGAGGTCCTCTTCGAATAACTAACGTGGGTTCTTGTGATTTGTCTTCATCAAGCGAAGATGAAGAAAGCGAAGGCGAAGACGAGGATAATGACGCCGATGATAGTAATGATAGCGATGATGATAGTCTCTCGGGAATTACCCTAGTTAACGATGATGAGGATTTGGGGGACGATGAGACCGTGGATGTGGCTTCAAATCGCGAGGCCAGTACTCCGATTGTAGGGGAAGAAGGGGTTGAAGCTGAGGAGTCGCCCTACGCCCGACCACTTTCCACTCTAGCGTTGTTTGCAATTGGAAGGGTGTTGATAGGGACCTTGCATGCAGGGACCATAGTGGTTTGGAGGATTCTTCTCACTGCGACTTATATTTTGAGGTGCGTGCGGCTCATGGTCGAGTCTCGGCAGTATTTGCTACTTTGTTTATATCTGCAAGGCATTATTCTAACTTTACTTGATGAGTTCTGAGGCACAGCGAGATACATAATGAATGGGATATTGGGCACTCAAATAGTTGGGAGTTTGGTTTTGGATTCAAGTACACGGCATTGAGGTTACGCAGCTGGTGTACGCATGATACGACAATGCGTTGAATCATCCCTCTAACCTTTATACTCATGTCTTCTCATAATGAATGTCTTTCACGATCAAGATATCTTCAAATTGTTTATATCATCTCACAGTTCTATCACAACTCGGCAGTAGAGTGGGAGATCTTGACGTTTCCAATCTTTGAAAACACATCACGCTGCTCTGTTGCATGCTTCTGTGATTGTTAAAGTGGGTAGTCTTGCTGTGAGATGAATGGTGTGGACTCTGGAGCGAGAGGATTGATGGAGTAGGTTGAATTGCGATGCTGGACTGAGTGAAGCGACGAGGATGGTCAGACACTGATTGGGAGCAGTACGGATGTATACGAATGACGCGAGAAGGGCTGTAAGCAAAGTCTTTTTATTTTGGATGAGTGGCAACAGATTCGGCATTTATCTCATTGCTGTTATCGGGGAAGATGTTAGAGTGGGAGAATCGAGAGAGAAGGATAGCTGAAAGTCACAGATATATAAATGGAAACACGTGTGAAGTGGAAAACCGGCTGCTGCATAGTTTGATGCACTGCAGCTTTTTCTTATTGGGTATCATACATTAACGCCAGAAAAGGAAGAAGAAGAACTGAGACATAGCTCGAACAGCTGTCTGCCTGGTCCGGCGCGAAGCGTACATAGCTTTGAACCCTCAGACTCAATGATCCTTGCGCAAGTTCTTGCTCATGATCATGTATTTGTACCTCCTCGCGACACGGTTTCGCAGTTTCAGTCCCTCGGCGGGGGAAGATCCGTCGACGACATAAAACAACTTTCGGTACAACCTGATGGCCGACGCGTTGCTCCTGAATACCGTCAACATGGTTTTGTAGACCCCAACTTCGCGTGCCATGTTCTCGGCGATCCAAAGTAAGAACCTGCCGATGCCCTTGCCACGGTATGCCTTCCCGACATGCAGCTCGAATACGTAGACAACAGTCCTCTCGTCATTTGGGGGGTCGTCGTAATCCAGTTTGAACGAGACGAAGGCGAGGATGTCGGTGTTGACGGTTGGTGAAAAATGTTCTTCGGGGTCGACGGCGCGGAGGATGGCGAATACCATATTGGGATCTTGAAGCTCGTCCAACTTGACGTTCTTGCGCCAACCTTCACTAGTTCTGGCGTAGTCCCTGTAGGAAGTCTCGTACACAATGTTATAGCAAGCCTTGAGGTCGGCCTCGGGCAGATCGGCGCTCTTGTAGAGCTCGATTAGGGCTTCTGGAAAGTTTTCGCAGTCTTCAATAAAGGCTTCTTCGATGGCTCTCTTGTCTGTGCCCAAAAGGCGATCCGCAGAATGGTCGTCCTTCTTCCTTCGCTCCGCCTTCTCCTCCTCCTCTCGCTCTTCCTCCTTTTGGAGTGTCATCTCCTTCTCCCACGCAGTCTTTTTCCTGCTATCGAAGTACTCGGCCAATTGTTTCGGAGATTTGGGATCTGCTCCACCAAAGTCTTAAGCAGGAATAGGATATTAGTATGTTTCCTCGAGAAGGTTTGCAACAACAACAAAAACAGAAATCCAAATCATAAGCAGGCTGTCATAGTCGGCTCAATACGCCTTACCCATCGTATAAGCTCGAGCAGACATTTTAGCGGTTCCTGGTAGCGGTTACTGGTTTTGACTGTAGAGCTGTGTTTGTCGCGTCGCGGTGGGGTTGAGAGACGCGGCGTTGCTAGCTCGCTAAGGGATTATGTCAGCCTAGCCGGGCGAGGATCGCAGAGCAGAGCCTCACGATTCGTCTCCTATCTCATCAGCTCAGCCAATCAACCAACTCTATCATTGTATTGTAGAAGGCCATAATGAAGCCTCAGATGCTAAAATCCGGCATGTTTCGATGCTATGCTACCGTGTCCACCCCATCGAGATCGCGGCTGCGTGGCAAGAATCCACTCGGCCTCGATCACTTCGTCCAAAGACAACGAGCTTTGGCACTCTGGAAAGACATCTTGCGAAGCACCGCCTCAATACCAGATGCGGCGACAAAGAAAGACATGCGTGACTTTGCACGCGCAGAGTTTTTGCAGCATCGGAATGTGACAGACCTGGCGCACATCCGCTACCTCATCTCTGTACGTTTTCACGCGGTTCTCAATCAACGAAATATCTTCTAACGAGTACCTTCACAGTTAGGCAAGACCCAGTATGATAACATGAAGAGTTCCCTGTTCAATTCGGGGATTCTCTCATAAGCATTACCATCACGTCATGATTCGTAGTAACGGCAATTCCAATGTTTGCCGCTTCGACGCCGTCTTCGCAATACAATCTCAATTGCCCCGTTTGTAGGGGATCATCTGTTCTCTACCTCTCTATCGAGTGTCTTGCATCGACGTCTTGTGTCCACTTGTACGCGTCGCGGCTAGGCGACGGTTGATTGGTCTGTTTGGCGAGCTCCACTCTGGGTGAGTACGCGCATTAGTCCGAGATGCCAGCTCTCGTCACCCGGCACCTCATCTTCCACCGTCCCGCAACTGCCTCGATCCATCTTGTGTTCCAGAAACGAATCACAAGAGAGGAAACGCCTGTCAACACACATCTTCCTCTCTCTTTGTCGTTGTCCCCTTGCTAAATGGCTAGCGACCATCCAACCAACTCAATCTCCGGGTAGAGGTATATCTGATAACTCATCTAATTCACCTGAGATCCATCACCGCGGATTTCTGGAATCCACCCGGGACTGCTGCGAAATCGGGTATGAACCCGAGTCTGACCGACACCACCACGCCACTGAGATAAGATGGCCAAGTCGGTTGCCGTCATTGGAGGAGGTCCTGCTGGCCTTGTTGCTGCCAAAACCTTGCTTCAACATGCAGGCAGCTCCAAATTTAACGTCACTGTCTTTGAAGCAGCTGAGCGAGTGGGTGGTATGTGGAGAGGCATGCCTGGCGAGATGGGCAATTACTGCAGCCCTGAGATGCGGACAAACCTGAGCCGCTACGCGGTATCCTTCTCAGATCTGTCATGGTCGTCAGTAGACTTATCCGATCCTTCCACTGGCTCAAAGAATTCTGGATCGCCCCCGATGTTCCCCAAGGCCTGGCAGGTTGGCCGCTACCTAGAAGAATATGTCAGGAAGTTCTCGTTGAGCAACATTATCAGGTTGAACAGACGTGTCACCGCTGCAGATCTTGTTGGCGACCCTGGAACATGGAGAGTAACCTCAATTGATAGCCTGACACAAGTGGAGTCGACCGAGTCTTTCGATTATCTGATCGTTGCCAGTGGTTTCTTCGATCGGCCTGCACAGCCTATTCTCCGCACTCAATCGACCAGCTCGGAACCTCCCACCACCACTATACAGCACTCGTCGCAATTCCGGGACGTTTCATCCCTTACAGACAAGCCTGGTAAGATCTTAGTCATTGGTGGTGGAATCAGCGGTGCGGAGGCCGCAGCTACTGCAGCTCTCCAGCTATCGAGCGCGAGGTATAGTCCCGGCAAGGACAAGCCCTCGTGGGCCGGCAGTGTAATTCATCATGTCATGAGTCGGCCATTCTATTGTCTTCCCCGTTATCTTCCTCGGAATCCATACAACCCGGCCATTCAGGGACACAATCTCTCGCCTTACTTTCTGCCTTTAGACCTCATCGTGTACAATCTAAGTGGGAGAGGTGATGGCCCAATACATCCTTCCAACGGCCTGATGCCGCCTGACAAGGCACAAAAGGCTCATGAGGCTATTCGGTTTCTGCTCGGCGGCGATCAGCGTGACTCAGGTCGTGAGGAACTTGTTTGCAAGCCCCACGTTACGCAGTACCCTGTTTTCACAGCCATATCTGATACCTACATGGGCTATGTCAGGTCTGGACTCATTGTACCGATCAAAGGTCGAGTGGAATCTATAACACAGCATGCCGATCAGTCATCCCTCGGCGAGCGTTACATTGCTACAATCATCTCCGAGGGTATCTTTGCGGATGAGACAAAGGTGGGTTAAATTCATTTCCTTCTACTGCTTCGTAACTAATTCCCGTAGAATCGCAGTACTGTGGACAATGTTGTCGGTGTTATTGAAGCTACCGGCTACCAAGTGCATCTCGACTATCTTTCGAACCGGGTAAAAGAGAGGCTGGACTACGACCCCGAATGCTCCCGCGTGCCGTTTTTGCTCTCTTCCGGCTCCATATTCAATCCCAACGTCACTGGCATGGCTTTTGTTGGGTTCTACGAGGGGCCATATTGGGAGGTGATGGAAACGCAGGCTCGCATTGTTGCACAGGCATGGGCTGATACATCGGCGCGTGAGACAAAAGCGCCAGACATGGACATGTCTCAATCTCGTTCTGTGCGAGAAGCTGTAAAGCGTGGTGCTCCAGAGGTTCCCCAATTCTGGATGGCAGACTACGTTGGCCTAGTAGAGGAATTCGCAAGGATCGCAGGTGTGGTACGACACGATCTGAGCTTCGACGGTCGGCGGGAAGGTCCGGCTTTCCCAGCACGGTATTGTGCTACGGACAATGAAGAAGCTCTGAGCGTGGTTCGCGAGGTTGCAGACACCCTTCAAGCATCGGAGCACAATGCGCGTTTCATCGCCGCGGCTGCTTTTCGAGCCATGCAGGGTGAATGGGTTCTACGAAGAAAAATTGACTCCCGTCACGCCGCGATGCCAGGCGGCACTTTCAAAGGCAAAGCACACCTGCATCCCCGAGTCCCTACAGCGGACGCATACACAGCCGAATACCTGTACATAGAGGAAGGCAATCTGACGATGGACAATGGGCTGTCTTTCGCTGCTTCGAGACGCTATGTCTACCGATATCGGGAAAGTACAGATACGATTACGGCCTGGTTTGTTGAAGAAGATGGCTTGACCACAAGCACGCTCTTCAATACCTGGGAGTTCTACGCCCCGGAGGATACACAAAAAGGTTGGTTGGCGAAGGGGCACCACTGGTGTACCCCAGACACATACAAGAACAATTGCGAGTTCCGCTTCCAAGGTGTCAATCTGGAATCTTTTGGAATTACCTACGAGGTTTCCGGGCCGAAGAAGGATTACTCACATGAGAGTTGGTACAGCCGGTCCCCGTTGGCTAGCGTATAAAATGCAGCGTGAGATATGGGTAGAGAGGTACGGGCGCAGTATAGGGGCAACCATGGATTGCAATTTCAAGCTATCACACTTGTCAAGGTTTTCAATGTGTTTCTTATGTGGCTCCCGCTCCCAAGTTCTAATCTTTGGCTTCCTTTTCTTGGAGAAACCGGTACGACTTCCACGTCTGCCTTCGTTCATAATGTGCTCCTTCATCCTCAGCCATGCCATCGTGAGGTAGGTAGGGTAAGGTGGGTAGGACAGGATTGATGGATGTAGAAAGCCTTTTAAGAACTCTGCTGTAGCTTTCTTTTTTATAGCAGAGGGCGATAAGCGTACTATAGTTCCTAACCTCAACACAACAAATCTGTACATCTCCACTGGATCGTTAGGACGTTGTATACGACACTACGTCGAATGCGCAGTCGAAATAGCAAGCTTCATCCGGCGAGTACAGTCTGATCACATATTTACCCTTTAGGCCACTAGATGCACCCCTCGTTCGATTTGCGAGGACTGTCTCGCGATGTGTTGTTTCAAATAAGATGCTCGCCAAATCTGATCAAACGATTGACTCACTGGTGCGGTGCATCTACTGTATTCTCCACCGCTTTCTCAGTACTAGCGCTACCTGAGCAATCCATTCAAGCGGCTGATGTCTTTTGGCATTCCTCATACGTTCATCATGCGTCCGACTATTCTATCCTCTTATCCGTCGTTTATGAGTTTGCCATACACATCTCAAGGAGCGGCGGAAAGAGGGTGGCATAATCAGGAGCGCAGTATCCCACGCAGACTACTGTCTCCCAGGCGTGGGCAGAGTCTCAACTATGTTGCATTGCTACAACAACTCGTTACAGTTTTATCACATCTCGCTTCCAGCGCAAGTGTAACGACTAGATGTAACTAACCGAATGATCAACGACTCCTTACTGATTGAACTGCCCCGCCAACTTGGAAGCCTGGCACATGGTTCATGTCATGATGAAGTTGTGAGGTTGGCAGTCACGTGTAGATCAGCCTGGAATGCAACACTGATGTCGACAACAGAAGCGAGATTGCTATGTAGAGCTGCCAAAATGAACGGCAGCATGTCGATCTTATCATGTCTAACGCACATGTGTCTCAGCTGACGGCAATCTTAAAGCAGTTCGGGCAAAATGTGGTCGCCAGGTACAGCAGTAGCCGTCACAACATAAACCTGCTCTCGACAAATTATGATCCAAAAAAATCACCATGCATACATGCGGTTCCAAAACAGTTCAGGAATGTAGATCGAAATAGTTCTGCTATGAACAGCTCTTCTTGGCCGCTTCTCCATTAGATGGAATGTGACTGGTGCAGTCGAGTTCAGAATACGAGCTTTGCCTGTATCACGTCTCCCCAGCGACCATCTTGCCCACACCGCCTTGACATCTGCCCATCCATCATTTCCGAAAGCAGATGTAGGTTCAAGAAAATATCCCGGCATTGCAGCTCAGCAGCGTCGGCACAGGCGAAGTTTTAGATCTCTATTGCCAATGTTCGCTACGTCGTAACTGCAAAACCCTCAATCTGCTCATCAAACAATCAATCCCATTTTATCATGATTCGACAAGTAGAATGGCTTAATTTATCGTCCACCTTGTTGCCGTTTGGACTGCGGAGGTAACAAACATTTAAGACAAGGGCTGTGCCAGCCATCACTTCCACATCTGCTCTCTCTCGATCTCCAGCAACCTCTCGATATTTAAAATATCAGTCATAGATAAGTATATCTTTTGGGACCGCTCCTTTGAACGGCCCCACATCGTTTCCACGTTCTAGTCCTGCCTTATCAATACCTGGAATTGATACTAGGCTAGGCCTCGATCAACGCCACATCACTTCACCACTATCATGGCTCTTGCAACAGTGAGATATAACCTCATTGTGCTGGTTAGTTTTACCATAAGCACCCTAGCTACCCCAGTAGTCAGAAGGGAATGCGGGGAAACATGCTTCAACAGCACGAACGAGTGTGGTGCTGCCTTTGGTGGGTATGTACAACCATGTCGACTCCACACATCTATTTCCTAACCCTATACCCGTGAGAACTGATCTTTGAACAGATGTTGGGATGATTGCGTTCAACAGCGCCCAACTTTCACAGCGCCTCTCTGTCCAGCCTCCATAGCAGAAACAACTTCACCCGCCACCCCAACACCGGGAATGACCATCGCCATTACCTCTGCCCATCCATTGATCACACCTGGTCCAGACCCCAATTCTGCTGCACCAACATCAGGCTGTGTCTCTGGCACTACGCTTTGCCTAGATCTTCTGCTCGAGTGCCAGGGAAGAAATATCATGTATGGCGGGTAAGTTTCTCCACTCCTCTTTCCCGGTCCACCTCCACACCACGACACAGGTTTGAACATAACCGACTGATGTGATACTGCAGCTGCGACGACATTTGCAGTTCCAAAACATACGCCGCCCCGCCTTGTTCCGTAACGCCTGTCCCTACGCTGTGGCCAGGCAACGAAACTGAAGCTCTACCCACAAAGGCGAAGGGGAAGGTAAACAGACCGCCTACTACGCGCACGCCTTGTAACCCAGACAAGCCGAGGTGGATGTGTGCGCCGCTCGATTGGTAAAGAAAGGATTGCCGTGGTTTGGCGCTTGTACGTTGCGGTAACGGTGGATGTCGATGTCCAATGGCTTCTGGCCTCACAGGCTATGATCTGGTTAACTTCGGCTCTGTTTTGATTTGGGGGTGTTAGCAACATATTCTCTCCTATTTGTCTTAGTTTTTGTTAAAGAGGGAGCTACGGAAATAAGGGGAGGTTTTTTAAGCTTTTTGCGTTTCTTTCTGTTCCGGTGTGGAGGGAGAATGTATACTTGAGCTTACACTGCTGCGACCGAGTCCCCGAGACTTCGAGGATATTCTGATGAACACACACGTAGAGACACAGGCACCACAACACACGATGAACTGGTTCAATAGGTTTCAAAACTTTATTCTTCATCTTCAATACTCTTTTCCCAGATAAATTCAATCTTCACTCTCCGCCCCTAGGCTCCTATAAGAAGCGTATTGACTGCGTATGTGACGTAGTGACGTATACCACGTCTCAAAGATCCAGTAGAGATGTACGGATTTGAAATGTGTGGTGTAAAGAGTGTTGAAGAACTATGTTACGCTCGTCGCCCAGTTCTCACAAGGCTTTCCACTTCTATCAACCCTCACTATGGTATCCACCCTCACACCGACGCCGCGCGATGGCATAGAGCTATTCCACATCAACGCCGATACGATAAGAAGCGTAGTCGTAGTTTTTCAACGGGTATATGCCTTTGTTCGTCGAGCCCCACCGCGATTCTTGCTTAACTCCTGATCTCTGGACATGTCTTATGTTGGGAGATACTGTGTATGGATGAGCGTTGTACCTGATGTACTGTTTAAAGATGTGGGGGGCCTACTGTGAGGTTGGAGGGGTTCTCTTTCTGTTCGGTGGCTTGTTCTTTTTCCGGTCGCGTGGTGATTGCTATGTTGGCTCAATTAGCTATGTATCATCTTTTTATGGCAATGAGAGACATTACCTTGATTTTCATCTGCTTTCCGGAACGTTGTTTGTTGCGGATTTTCCAGACCTTTCCGAATCAAGAAACAGCGCGGCAGCGCCTGACAGCCAGGCCTTGACGCATGGCATGTCAGTTATGATCTTAGCCGTTGGTGAGGCGGGAGTACTTACAGTCATGGGGAAACCATGGGCTATATAACCCTAGTAATGGTTAGTGACATGTCGGCTTGCTGACAAGCAGTGAATCTGAGGTACTTACCACGTGGACTTTGAGCCGTCAAAACTGATATGGTCCTGTGGAAGGAGGTAAGGTGGACAAAGAAGGTGAGGGGAAACTGTTGTGGGCAAAGCTGTGCCTGTACGCTAGCGTGCTTGGCATATATCATGCTCCCGACGTCACTGGGCGATTGTGGAAGCTGGAAGCCTCTAGAAGGCCAATTGCCTTGTGAGAAGTGAGGTCACCTTCGTTTACTGGGGCTTTTGTCTGTCTCATGCCGCGCGCATCATTCTGCTCGCTGATCAGTTTGCCTGGGCGCATCAGGCCGACGCATGTTTGCTGTACGATTCGAATTGATATATAAGACACTCCAATGTAAGCCCCGAACTTTTTAGTAGCATCCAATTGATCAATCAATTTCAATTGAAAGCTACGAGCTGGCGCTACCATGAAAATCTCCTATCTGGATTGGTTAGCGTCTGCGAAGTTGAATCAGCCAACAGTGGCTCCTTCTTCACTGGAAGCTGGAAATAAACATATGATGAACTTTTCTGACGTTACGCATCGCACATTTGATGCGGAAGAGCACTTGAAATACCGTATTTCAGTATAAAGCTACCCATAAGCTTCATCGGGACGCATATCTTCCTGTGGTGGCAGGGTGCTTATTGAAACGCATTATGGCTCGATGTAGACCGGTAAAAACGCCTATCGGGCTTCCTTTGTAAATTTCCATGGATCAAAAAACTCGTATCTCTCTGCCTTGCCCTTGCCGGTCACCTTCTCAAGCAGTCATGAGCAGAAGATGCCCCCGTAGCTCACAACGGCACTCACCTTTCTTCGTCTTCACTTCACATATATGCCTCATGATCGAGGCTAAGCAGGGGTCGGGTCTGAATACTATCATATTCGAAGGTAAAACTGAGTTCTTCAACCAAACAGATCGCACAAAAAGCCATGGTGAAGTGCCCATTCACTGGCGTAGACAGGGGTGGAGGGTGGTACAATATTACCTTCTAGCTTCCACCCGTTTGCAAGAGTGTTTGCTCGGGGTCCACCGTATCTATAAAAACCCCCTCCACACCGCGTATACCATTCTCTCTTCCTATATACCCACACTGCAACCATACCATCATCTATCTATATAACCAAGCACCTCCAATTCCAAGATGTCTTCCGCTTCCAATGCAAGCAGCACCGACGATGGCGCAAGCGTCTCCGTCTCGAGCCAGGTACGTGTCAACCAAGAACCTTTTCAAGTGCTACAACTGACAAGCTTGCACAGGGAGCCTCGCTGGCTTCAGATGCCGGCGGCAGCAGCGAGCAGTCGGGATCATCGACGTCAACCGCCGAGTTCCAGACGACCTTCCCGCCTGTTCAGCCTCCCCCGGATCTCACCCTCGCTGAGCTGGTACAGCGCCTGATGAACCCGCCTGAACCCGCCCGTCTCTACAGCGCCGATCGCTCGGAGGTCACCCTCCACACCTGGTGGGCGTACGGGGTCATCGGCATCGAGAACTTCGAGGGGTCTGGCCCAGGTCGACGTTTCCTGAGGACAGATACGGACTTGTATCTGCGAGGAGAAGAGCATGGTCTTTCCTCGGAGATGAGGGCCTGGTTGAGCTCGGGCGGTGAGGAGGTCACCCTCCCTACTAGCCACTTCGGATAGGTTGGGATGGAGGAAAGGAATTCAGGAAGGGGCTGGGTTGGACTGAAAAAACGGGTCTTCTGGCGTTCTATGGATATACCCCTCTGATGTTCCTCGTGTTTGTTTCCGGCAAGACTTTCTCACTAGAATAGAAAATCTTATTTCATCCCATTTGACTGAGTTACTACGTGAATATAACACTTTGCGCAGTGAGCTGACGTGCGTTTGGTTCTGCAGTTGACTCCCCTACACAGTGCTCTACCAGGGCCTTGTGCTTTTAAGACCAGATGAAAGTAACCAGAGCAGTTGCAAGCTATCATCTCATCATGAGCCACAATATATTGAGATCTATTTGCAATCTCAGTACTTCTTTGATGGATATCCCGACAGTAGGGTCTAATATAGAATCCGAGCATCGACAGATAGTTATCAGCCGTTTGTTTGTATCCAGGAAAAAGGACGTTTGGTCCCACCGTATGAGTAGTGTTTTTAGGGTACAACTTTTGCTCAGTGTAGGAACAGCGACGACAACAGCAGCACCAAATCAAGTTTCTGTCGATTAAATACTTTGATAGATGAAGTAATGTACTATCGTACATAGTACATGATGAGATTAATCACAAACAATAATAGCTGAAGTCATCACACGGCAGTGGCACATGGATCATAAAACAAACAATTCAAATTTTCAAAATCCCGTACCGAAAACACCACATTATAGGGCCATTCCAGGTCCCCAATCCCTCATAAAAAGTAACGATTTAAGCGTGGCTGAGCAGATCGTCTTTAGAACAAGGAAAGGAAACCTGACATCCACCCACCATCAACCAGAAAACCTATCGTAGAGAGAAGCTAGGTCCCCCAACCCATCCTTACAAGATAGCAGACGAATTTGGATTGAGAGGATCGTTGTCAGGACAGGGAGGTGGAGCTTGGCAATCTACCTGCCCGCCCCAGGAACTCGAGATGGCAATCGAGGATGGGGAGAGAACTTTCCTTTGCAGAACCCGCCGCCCCCCTTCGCGCAGATGGTTCAGCGATCGTGGCCGAAGAACGAAATTTTTTTGGTGGTAGAGATCTTTGTGTTGTTACCAGCAGACGTTGATGTCATTGTGTTTGTAATCGTTGGGTGCAAACGGACAGAAAGATTGGTGGTGATAAAAAGAGGAGTGGGAGAAGTGGGCTGGGGGAAGGAGGTGGGCGGTCATGTTCACAAGCAGACGACATCAATCAATTCACAGGCCAGACAGCCGGTTCGATAGAATGTGTGAGAAAGAAAGGTGGAGGGGGGGAGAAAACTTGGAGGCGTATGGGAAAGTCGATGTGACCACTTCCCAATCAGCGACTGTAAATGTAGAAAGAGCAGTTATATGACTCAAGTATTCAAAGCTTTGTGGATTCAAACACTGAAAAAATCAGACTGGAACAGAGAAGTATTGTACAGGAAGTAGCTATGGGGAAAGGTAAACACCACCGGAGAAAAGAGACATTGTGAGAGTTGATGACATCTTGATTTATACAGTACATACAACCGAGGGCTTCATTGATCATTGCGATCAATCTGATTAAACAATACAAAGTAGCCGCTTGTCATCTTTGAGCATCTAGGAATCTAATGGGTATTATGAACGCCGTCTAACCGAGGTGGTCTTGAAAAAAAGGAAACCATATCTCCCAAGACGAGTCTTACCCAATACTCCCCCAATTGCCGCCCCCTCAGTTTATCCGCGTCTAAGGTGTAGACTGAGCTGCTGAAGCAGCTGCAGCCGACTGAGCTTCCTCAGCAAGTCGAGTGGTCATAGTTCTGTAGCATCCCTTCAGAACACTCTTGGGAATCTTGATGATCTTGTCGGTGATGGCTCCACCCAGCCAGCGCAGGTATAACTGAGGCATGCCGAGCTGAGGTCCACGAACCAGGAGACGAGAATCCTTCTTGACTACCGGACGGCCATGAGTGTGGCTGTACTCCAGGTTGTCGTCGTCGGCAACACCCATGCAGGCCGCGACGAAAGCCATATCCAGGGTCGCCATGCCGCCGGTGGGAAGTGAAGTCGGAGAAGTGGCGAAGCCTGGAGCGAGGAGGTACCCGATGATGTTGTCCACGGTACACAGAGTCGGTGAAAGTGGCCAAGGTCGAAAGAATTCTGGGATCAGCGGATCCTTGGTGTCGACGAGGAGGATCGCGTGGGCCACATTCTCTTTGATGTACCCAATCCGAGAAGTCGCAGTTAAGGGCCCCTGAGAAGGGTAGCCGATCCATGCAGCCCTAGCCCTCGCCTCAGCTGTATTGGGATCTTGAGGGGTCTGCAGGAAAAGAACCGGGAACTGTCCAGGTTAGAGCACGGCAACTACAGGGACAGGGAGATTACTTACGCCAGCAATGACTTCTGGTGCTTGCTGGCCTTGATAGTCAGCCGCATACTGCGGCAAGGTGTCCTTTGCAGCATCGACGGCTAACATGATGCTCCGGTCGATCAAGGGCGCACCGTCGATGATATAGTGGGGCTAATCCTCGTTGTTGTTCTGAGCCATCTCAGTAATTGAAGAGGTAGTGAGCCGTGGTATTGATGGTAGCGTGGTCGTGGTAGAGATGTGGTTTGGGTAGAGAATTTTGAGGAGAAATCTATATAGTAAGGTTGAGTGCGACAAACGGAGCTGATGAAGCGATTGGCCAACACAATCTGAGAGAAGCTGGATCGCGCCGTTGAAGCGTTTGCTCACTGCCCTCTTACTTCACTCAATTTCTTATCGTGGTCTCGTTAGCGTGGGGAACAAGCTGCTCAGCCCCTCACCAAGCTCTTGATGTGAATGCCATACTAGTAATTGACCAGGGGACGGAGCTGACAGCACCATTCAAGTTTGAGTAGGATATATGAGGTGGAGAGAACCCAAAAACTGGTAGAAGGAATGCGCACTGATAAATTCCTACACGGGGGTTGAAAAGGTAGCAGTAGATGCCGTTGTATCATCGAGAACTATATATATGATGCTCATTCAAGCACAGCTTATATTGTGAGAGAATATGGTCAGTTTCGGGTAGCACACATACGGCGTTGTTCTTGTGATAGAGTGAGACGCGAATGTCTGGAGAATGTTCACATCCCCACATTGAAGTGTCTTACGGGATGATGAAACGAGTATTTCGTACACTTGTAACGGTGAAGTGGAGCAGTTTTAAGATAATTCTTTTATTCTTAGAAATTTCGACTTTTTGCCTGGTTCTATCATGCGCGAGGGTCTCAACCAACATGAGAAATCAAAACAAAGCAAGTGAACTATATACCCGCTAAAAAGGAAGTGGAGTCTGATGTGTGGTGTTCGTTCCCCAAATGCCAGTGGTATCCGGGTTCCAGTTGAAATTGACTTTGAAATCGGGCTTGAAGTATCCGAGCTGGTTGCACTCGTAGTCTCCGCATATGGCGGTCCATACCCACATTGGAAAGGTCTTTTCTCCTTTCCAAAGAGAAATCACCACCTCCGGTTCACCGCAAGCGGTCTCAGCTGCAAGATCCTTCTCTTCCTGCGTTGCGAACATTGGTGCTTGTTGAACCTTAATTCGAGCCAATTGCTTCCCGATGGCATGAGGAAGACGGTTCCTGAGAAGAGATGTCGGGGGGAGTATCCTTTCGCCATCGACGGCTCCGCCAAGCCATTTCATAACAACGTTGGGACATCCCAACTCGTATCCGGATTCCAGAAGCATCGAATCGTCAGCAAGCACTGCACGCCGAATGCGGTGGTTGTAAACGAAATGGTCCTCTCCTCCGTCACCCATGATATCAAAAACGACTTGGAGTGGGATGACGGTCATGCCCCTGCGATCGAAGCCATCGATGGGCGGTGCATCAACACGCCTCAGGATCTCCATGATGATCTGGGCACATGGCTTATCTTTCTCAATCCACTTTTGCTCTTCAGCAGGCAACGAAAGATCGACCCACACTCGTTGAACCATGATGGGTGATGAGAGGGGTGGCGGCACGGTAGATTCCTCTTGGGAATCTCGAGGTTGCTCAGTCTGCATGGTGAAGATCATGAAGCGCTGAGGAGTGCTGGATTGAGCACGCTCGTCCGGAGTGGCGTCCCAGTTCGCTGAGACCATGGCGATTGGTGTCTGATACTGTTAGCTAGGCTGTTTGTATCATAGAGAGGAAGCTTGATTGTAACGTACCCTGCCATCTAGATTGCCAGTCAACCGGGGGCGGCCACACACCGACAGGTTAGGATATGTAACCGGCATCCACCGGCCATCGATCTGCACAGACACCTTGAGAAAGGTGTGCGGCACAGGAGTGGATCCAGCCGCATCAATTGCGTCCAAGACGTCAGCGTTGATGAGGTTTATCTCCTCGAACTTCATGACGGGGCCATCTAGCGCGTCAAGAAGCGGCTCTTGAGGAAGATCTTGTGCGGGCTGCTGCGAAGGAAGTACCGCGGGAACAACGGGCCCGTTCCAAGGGGGAGGTGGAAAGAACCCAAAAGAGGACCGAGGTGGTAGACCTCCGGGAGGATTCCATGGAGAAGGGGGCCAGTGGGACGGGATGGGCTGTTGAGTAGCCGCTTGTGAGGAGACATGGGGTGCAGCGTGTATCGCTGGTTGAGAAGCGCCTTGAAGCCCTTCATGAGCCCCAAGCGGGGCGGCAGCCGCAGAAGCACCCCCCTGCCTGGCGCCCTGAGAAGAAGGGCCAGCATCAGAGTTGTGGGAGCTCATTTCTCGAATACTGATGCGCGGGAGAGGGTGGAGTCGTATAGAGTAGAGAGTAGATAAGAGTTGGAGGAGGTAAAGAATGAGAAGTGAACGGTGAGCCTGAACTCGGGATGTCTGGGTAGTGTGTGCTGTGGAGTGCGGCTGGGGAAGAAAGGTGAGAGCAATTATAGCTGAGAGAAATTTATATATTAGTGGCTGTGTGCGGTTGTTGCGTTTGCTTCCGTGGTCCAGGCCCCATGGGTAGGAGTTTGTGTAACCTGCGCCTGATATCACGTTTGCAAACACTCGTTATACGCTAGCATGACTCTTTCACTGTTGAATGCTGGTCCTTCAAAGTGTATACTACTGATAAGGCCCAACAGATCAGTATCGCTGTATGTTGCCGGGTTGTATTGGCTCACTGTCTCTAGGTCATCGTATCCCGTGGTCTCGCCATGTTTATGCAACGAAGTGCCTCCGTAGATAATACCTATCCTACGTCTTGATTTCGATCGCGACACCGCTCGACCAGGTGCCCACGTAGAAGCAGCTTCTCAAATACGCTCCTCGCTCGGACCCCCTTGTGTTTCCAGCTGCTTTGGCGGCAGCAAGAGGATGTGAAGACATAGCGTCTCCGTCGAATTCGGTCAACAGCAGAATAAACAAGACACTGTTATGTTTAGGCCTCAAACACCAAACCGGCGCCACATACTTCCATTCCGAAAGAGCCTTTTGAAACGATGGGCAGAATGTTCATATCTCTACCATTGATGCCATGGTCATGGCTCAAGATCTTTCTCAAGCTGGATACACGCAGGTTTATATAATTCTGGTCCGGCTTCCGGCGCACCAGCTGAGTAGATCACGTATCGAAATGGGAGTGCTACACATGACCCCTGAATCCCAGGTGCTCTTGCACACGAGGTTAGAATTGTCCCCGAGTAAAGATCACTGGCTGGGTACGACTCTTTTGCATCCTCACTCTAGATCATGGGCCGCTGACAGGATGATGGTGATCATTTGAATCAAAGGGGAAACTTGGAAACGTTGACAGCTAGCAGTCTTGTTGAGATTTGAGGCCATGGCGATCGATGAGACCTGGCGCAACACAGGACAAAGGGTACCCACAGGCTACGAAAACGGGAACAGGATCGTAACGCGAGCGGGCTGCGGGCATGCACAACGACCTGCAGGATCACCTAAGTGACTACGATACTCGATACAAGAATTTTCCGCCAGACCCTTCTCATAATTCCTACGACTTTGACGGGGTACACCATACGCAGTCTTTCAATGTCACGATTCGATTGAGAGAACGATGACCTTCGCATGTGAGAAGTTTCGCCGATTTGGACGCACTGCAGGTCACGAGCTAGGAGACACACGATGGCACATGTTCGCGCGATTGGGAATGATTGTGGAGGGAGATCCAGCTCATTCACGATACTATCTATCGTGGGAAGGTATTGGGCTGATGACTCCGGGCTGGGTCTCGTGATCCGGGCGGAAGCCACGAAAGTCGTATCACGCAGGCATTACAACGGACACTAGGAGAAAGGAGATGTTGCAGATAGACAGTCGGTGTGTCTTATGGACTTTTGATGAAAATGGAACGTTACGTATCGCACATACCCTTTCAGTCAGCGTAAATCGTAACGTGCCTGTATTGTACCGTTACATGGGTCACTGTCGATCTGTGATCACGACTGCATCAGAACAGTGACAACACATATCTTTGTTTTGGGCGAAGCATACGGACATCTGGAGTCATAGGATGATCTACATGTTGAGAGTTGGACAGATCGACCCAGAATGGAGCGAGTGAAGTAAATAAGGTCATCATGGTTCACCAGGCAACAAGCAAACTGAGAATCTTCATTGTTTGTCAGGGTTAATACATACCAAGTGGATAGATTTGGGAAAAGCTTCACTTTTCGCCACCTTTCGTTCTTTTTGGCTGGCTCTCTACCTAGGTACTCAGCGATATTTGTACACACGGTTACTACTGAGAATATGCGCCGAATGACACGCAATTCACTACACCTGAATGCTGCCATCTGCAGCAATCCAGAAAGATGACGTGATAAGCACACTGCCGCAATAAATGTATTTGTATGCGCCCAGAGTTCGTCCAATCAATACCGCTTTTGTATTCTCTTGGGAATACCCCCTAGAAGGATGAGACGAGAGAGCGGGAGATTTGTTATGGACCAATGAGATTACATCGACTCGCGCAGTTCCCACAACCCGGTAGACGAAAGTGATCGATGATGATATACTCACGTGATGGCACCATTCTCCTTTTGGAGACATTCGCGAAGGCGAGATGAATATCGGCGTCGGGACTAGCCACCAGAGCCGAAAAATTGGAACCAAGCACAAAGAGCCACAGAAACGTGGAGTATCCGTGTCTCGGGAGTGCATGTGGCAGGTGGCAGGCGTTACTAAGGCCGCAACGGTCGTAGGCAACGCGGTTAGCCCCCCGTATCCGTCCCTCCGTCATAGACACGCCGTATCGAGGGCTAGGGAGACAACGACAAGACGACAAGACCTCGGCGCTCCATATAGTACGCGGCCTACGTTGCAACCGATGCCATGCCAATTCTTTTGCTGCTTCCAACTGCGCCCCCGCGCCTCTCGCCCTTATATGTGCTCTCCCGGGCTTCACTGTCTGTTCTGGTCATTCTCAAGAGTCTCCGATTCTGAGTTTTGACACCGGGGATAGGCGCTTTTCGTCCGGAACGTAAAACCACCGAGGCTTCGCGATAGCGCAATCGACGACCCAACAACCGAATACTTTGTCTACGAGAAATCGACAGCAACAGCAACAGCAGTACTTTCTCCGTCGTCTCGCGAGCCCATCCGGGGTTGATTCGCCGCCATGGCCATCTTCTCGCAAACATGGACCCTCACCAAGAAGACGCTGCTTGTCGTCTTCGTCCGCCACTGGTTCTTTACCAGCGTTCGCGCATTCTGGGCTCCGATTATTTTCGTGAGTATTCTCTCCTTACTCTCCCTTCTGTGCACTGCAAACTGACAATGTGCAATCTAGATGTTTTTCATTACGTATGCTAAGAACTTCTTCGTACCCCCGTCGGAATTCGGCATTGGCGCGCCCCATGCCATCCGAAGCTTCGAAAATGCACTCGGCGCTGCGACCGGCAACCGCGATACCGTCGTTTTTGTGAATAATGGTCATACTGGTGGAGATATTGAGAAGGTCATTGGTACACTCTCAGACACAGTCAGGGGAGCCGGGAAGATTGCGAGGACCGTGGGGCAAGACGTCGATCTCTTGAGCGAGTGCCAAAGTTCGCTGCGTGGCGCAAGTACTTGCTATGGAGCCATCAGCTTCCACTCGTCTCCTTCCGAGGGCGACGGGAATCTATGGAACTATACAATGAGGGGTGATGGTGTGTTTGGCTCCCAGATCTATGTTAATCAAGACGACAACGACGTTCAGATCTACATCTTCCCGTTTCAGCGCGCCGTAAACCAAGCCATCGCCTCTTTGAACGAAACGATCAACGCCCCGCAGACCATCGATGAATACCCGTTCACGGACAAGACGCAAGAAGAAAGGGAGGACAATATCCGTAGGCTCTACATGGGTGCCTTGATCGATATCATGGGTGTCGCCATCTACATCGGCGTTTGCGGTGTCACGTACCAGCTCACCGGTCAAATGGCTTCGGAAAGAGAGATGGGTATTTCACAGCTCGTTGAAGCCATGTCGCCCGCAAAGAAACCCTGGCACACCCAAGCCGCTCGTCTTCTGTCCAACCACATCGCTTTCGACATCATCTACCTTCCAGGCTGGATCATCATGGGAATCATTATCCGCCAGCTCGCTTTCCTGCATACCAACGTCGGAATCCTCATCATTTTCCACATCTTGGCCGGCCTTGCCCTCACTAGTTTCTCCATCTTTGGTGCAGCCTTCTTTCGCAAAGCTCAGCTGTCTGGTATTACTATCGTCATTCTTCCCATCCTTCTTGCCATCATTGTACAGGTCGCAGGGCCTTTCAACAACGCTGCCGTAGCTGTTCTCAGCTTGATCTTCCCTTCCATGAACTACGTTTGGTTCATCGTCTACGTCGCTCGTTTTGAACGCGTCTTCGAGCCCACAAACCTCGTCAACGCAGCGCCTGTCTATGAGAATCATGACTGGGCCCTCCCTGGCATCGTGTTATGGGTCTTCTTGATCATTCAGACTCTCGTATACCCTGTCCTCGGAGCGCTTGTCGAACGTTGGCTCTACGGTACCGTCTCCAAGGATCGCAAGACCACCGTGTCTTCCCCCGATCACTCCATCATTCTTTCCTCCTTCTCCAAGCATTGGACACCAAGCTGGCTGCGAGCCAAGGTCCTTCCTAAGATCGGCATCAAGCCCCCAGAGACTGTCCTGGCCGTCAACGACTTCAGCATTAAAGCCCGCAAAGGGCAGATTATGGTGTTGCTGGGAGCGAATGGCAGTGGTAAATCAACAACTCTAGATGCCATCTCCGGGTTGAACACCGTCACCAGTGGTTCTATCGAAGTCGATGGCACCGGTGGTCTTGGTCTCTGCCCCCAAAAGAACGTCATGTGGGACGAGCTTACCGTGTTTGAGCATGTGCAGATCTTCAACCGCCTCAAGTCGACTGGTACTGGAACCAAAGATGACAAGGATACCATTGCAGACCTCATTCGAGCTTGCGATTTGGGACACAAACTCAAATCAAAGTCTTCAACATTGTCAGGTGGTCAAAAGCGAAAGCTTCAGTTGGCAATGATGTTCACTGGTGGTAGCAAGGTCTGCTGTGTCGATGAGGTCTCCTCGGGTCTTGACCCCCTATCTCGACGTAAGATCTGGGAGATCCTCCTCTCTGAGCGAGGTGATCGCACTTTCCTTCTCACCACTCACTTCTTGGATGAAGCGGACGTGCTTGCCGACTACATCGCCATCCTCTCTCGTGGCAACCTCAAAACGAAGGGTACGTCAGTGCAACTCAAGCACGAAGTCGGCGCGGGTTATCACGTCACTTACCCAAAGAATGTGCCTTTTACGCCGACTACTGGAGTCCGCAAACCTGCCCCGTCTGAAGCTATGACTACTCTCTGGTTCCCTGATGCCATTGGTGCAACCAAATTCGTGGGCGAGCTGCGCGAACACGGTGTCAAGGATTACGATATCGTCGGCCCTACCCTAGAAGATGTTTTCCTAGCTTTGTCTGAAGAGGTCAAAGAGCACCGCCTCGACACCGACGAGGACACCTCAACTCATGTCACGCGTAAGGATGCGGATGTAACCCTCGCACCTACTGATACACCTTCCGACTCCGACAAACCACTAGGCTCCAAGGGCCGAGGCACATCAATGCCTCAGCAGACATTCATCTTGGTTCGAAAACGGTTCACCATCTTACGTCGCAACTACTGGCCATATGTGTGCGCTGTCTTGATTCCCATCGTTGCAGCTGGTCTCGTTACCCTGTTCTTGAAGGACTACCGCCGAACTGGCTGCAGCCCCGGTGATTCAGCGAATGACCCCGATGTTTTCTCAGTTTCGAACCTGGGTAAGGATGTTGTCCCTCTCATCCCTATAGGGCCGTCCAGTCGTGTCAATGCTAGAGCCCTAGCCGCACGTACCGGCATCGATCAATCGGCATTCCAGATGATGAACAGCCTTGAGGAGTTCAACAACTTCATTCAAAACCGCTTCCACAATGTCACCCCAGGAGGCTTCTTTCTACCAGAGAATGGTCCCCCGGTCATGGCTTACAAAGGAAATGCTGGCACCGTTCCAGGTCTGGTCACACTGAATGCGCTGACAGATTCCTCTACCGGTCTTCCCATTTCAACACAATATCAGCAATTTGCTGTGCCTTTTGCTCCAGGGATGGGCAAAACCCTCCAGTTGATTCTTTATTTTGGTCTTGCCATGTGTATCTATCCTGCCTTCTTCGCATTATACCCCACCGTTGAGCGTCTGCGCAAGGTTAGAGCGTTGCATTACAGTAACGGTATTCGCGCTGCACCCCTGTGGATGGCCTACTTAATCTTTGACTTTTCTTTTGTGGTTCTAATTTCTGCCGTTGTCACTGGTATCTTTGTCGGGGTAAGTCGATCCGTTTCTTCCAGTTGCCCGATTCTATACTAACATGCTATGCAGGCGTCCTCTGAATGGTACAATCCGGGTTACCTCTTTGTCATTTTTATGCTCTATGGCTTGACATCCATCCTTTTCTGCTACATCATTTCGATCGTTGTGGTTTCGCAACTGGCTACTTTTGCTTTCGCGGCCGGCAGTCAAGCATCGACCTTCTTGATTTATTTTATTGGCTACATGGCCATCCTGACATATGCACCGGCTTATCAGATCGACAGCGACATCAACATTTTCCATTTCGCTTTCGCTACCGTTACACCCACTGGCAACTTGCTGCGGACAATGCTGCTTTCGTTGAACTCTTTCTCCCTGCTGTGCGAAGGCGATCAGGTCGCAAGTTATCCGGGCGGTATCAAGGTATACGGTGGTCCGATTCTGTACCTCATTCTACAAGCTATTGTTCTTTTTATTGTACTGGTCTGGTGGGATTCTGGGTACAGACCCGCGATTTTCAACAAGTCCAAGTCACCTTCCAAGCATGCCGAAGAACAAATCGATACCCTCGACCCCGCTGTTGCTGCTGAGATTGCGCGCGCAGAGCAAAGCAACGACAGCCTCCGTGCGCTTCACCTGCAAAAGCAGTTCGGACAGAACCACGCTGTCAACGACATCACCTTCGGTATCCCCCGCGGCCAAGTATTCTCCCTCCTAGGCCCCAACGGCGCTGGAAAATCCACCACAATTTCACTAATCCGCGGCGACGAACACCCGACAACAAGCATTAACGGCGGCGGCGACGTTCTCATCGAAGACATCTCCATCGTAACCAAACGCGCCGCCGCGCGCGGCCATCTAGGCGTGTGCCCGCAATTCGACGCAATGGACACCATGACAGTAACCGAACACCTTTACTTCTACGCACGCGCGCGCGGCGTACCCAACCCCGAATCTTCCGTCACCTCCATCCTCAACGCCACAGGCCTTTCCCGTTTCCAAACTCGCCTCGCCTCAAAACTCTCCGGCGGCAACAAACGAAAGCTCAGTCTTGGCATCGCCCTCATGGGCGATCCTTCCGTCCTCCTCCTCGACGAACCATCCTCCGGCATGGATGCAGCCGCCAAACGAGTCATGTGGCGTACCCTTCTCGGTGTCGCGGCACCCGGTCGCGCACTTCTCATCACCACCCACTCGATGGAGGAAGCTGATAAACTTGCCACTCGCGTTGGCATTATGAAGCGCAAGATGCTTGCTCTCGGCACTGTCGCGCAACTCGGCGAAAAGTACGGCGATGCTTGGGTTGTTCAACTCGTGCTCAAATCTGCCCCCGCTACAACACGCGAAGAGATGGATCACGTGAAGGATTGGGTCATGAACATGATTCCCGGCGTGCAAATGGATAAATGGGGAAGTAGGGATGGTGGGCATGGACAGCTCCGCTTCAAGGTCCTCAAGTCCGCGAAGGACACTACGTCTTCTCTTCCGCCGTCTGAAAAGATCGTCGATGCCGATAGCCAGGAAGATATCGTCACTGACCACCCTCAGCAACTGCAGCAGAGGCAGGGCGATGCGCCTGTTGGTGAGGTCGATGGTATTCCTGGCTTGATCCAGTTGCTGGAAGCTAGTCGCGAGGAGATTGGCTTGGAGTATTATAGTGTTTCTCCCACCACGCTCGATGAGGTTTTCTTGCGTGTTGTTGGGGAGGAAGAGGAAGAGACGGGTGGTCAGAAGAAGAGGACTTGGCCGCAAACTGTGAGGTTTTGGGCTACGCTGGGTTGTTTCCCGTGAGGATGATGAATCGGAAAGGAGGCAGGAGGTGGTCGTAATGCGTTATTTCCTTTGTATACTTCTTTCTTTTCTTCTTATCCTTGAGATTGGCTTGGTTGATTGATTGGTAGATCCTCTGCATATACATACATACTTAAGCAATGATACCCAAACTTTTGCATTGATTGATTGCATGGAGAAGCGGGGATCTTCCTCGCCGTCCTTCCCGCACACTGTTCCCTTTGCGAGTCTCAATTCACATCCCCTTGAATAATTCATGTCGGACTCGTGAGTTGTATAGTGTGCCTGCCCGCCGCCACCTCCTGCTCCTCCTACACTGTGTATTTGCCTGGGCCCCATCCCGATCTAGTATACACAAATGATCAGATTTCTTCATCGCAAGGAGTTGACCTCAGCGACGACAGTGATGTGGGTCTCTAAGGGCGAGAGGTCTTAAGTCCAACGCTTCTTTGCCGACAGAAGCTATCTAACCGCCCGAGGATATCGATGCTATGTCTGCACGATGGGAAGGAAGGCGGGGAGGATGACGTGGGTTATTCGGTGGCGGTGCTGGTCTGGCATGCAGGGAGATTTGTTCTTCCTCTGTTTTCGAGATTCATCGGTTGCTGGTATCTGAGCGGAGATCAGCGTAGACTAAGCCAAATCACGGTTTTGGAATCTTGGGGCTTCTTTGTTGGTATGGGTGTTGTCTAGTGGTAGGGGGATAATCGGCTAGGTGTTGACATCGTGGTGTGAGGGAGGATTCAGGACGAACGGGGAGGAAGAAGAGGGATCGGTTTTCTTTGCTCGGGACTAGTCGACGCGACGCGATCACGCTGGTGTTGTATATTGTCTTAGAATCCAGCAATTCTTTGTCGCTGCGGTTGTTTGGTGGCTTGGACCTGTGAACGTCGTGGCTATGTTCGAGGAAGGTGAGAAAAGATGTTTGTGGTTCTTATTATTGGTTTGCCACTGCAATGGGGGATTCTTGAGTGACTTTCGTCGTTTGTTGTTGACTTTGACATGCGTAGGTACCCGGCTTTCCGTTTGCAAAGATCTCAGGAGCGGAAAGTCCCACCTCATGATCAAAGTCAGACGCAAGGGCTGCGAAAAAGGGTGATCAAGCCCGCGTCTGTTCACGGGCGTATCTTGCAGTCTCGCAGTAATGGGGGTGCGGGATGATGTTGGTTTTTGCAGGACTCTCGTAATGTCCTGCAGCTGTCGCCGCTCGTCTGCGCAACCCTGTCTGTTTACCTCGAATCTTGGTCTGGGGATTTGATGCCTTCGTGCGAGCCTGTGAGCGGCACGCCATATTGTGTGGCAATTAATGGCGTAGATATCGTTGAATTGCGCCCTATGCCGTGAAGTTGGCGTGATTGGGGGAACTGGGTCGGATGTGGGTGCAATGCGTTGAGTAGATCAACTTGCAGTCAGACAAGGGGATGCATCAAACTTTACTCCTCAAATGAAAGACGAGCGTGTCGTGCTGTCTTTGTTTCTGTCTTGGGTTAAGGCGGGGTGTCAAGTCCTGAGTCCCCAGTCTCAGCGACCCCTTGTTGGTAATACGTGCCATGGAGGATATCTTGCAAGCAAACGTTTGGTTATTTTGAAACTGACATCTTCTTACAGATTCAAGGGTCTCTCGGGCGTTTATCAACTCATTGGGTAGTCCCCAGCTGCGTTTTGCCACTCACTTTTGTTTGCTGTCGCTGCATTAGTCAGGGCAACTCAGTTATAGTTGGCTGCGTTTTGCAAGAGTAATTTAACGACAATCTCTCTCTCACTATCCCTCTGACATGACGAAGTTTTTTTGTATTACTATATATACAGGGTTGTCAAGAACCCTTGCACCTGAAATGTCACTGACACACAAGTCACCTTCGGGTGCTATACACCTTGGTGCAGTGGCAGGAAAGGGACCCTCCCGGTGGAGGAAGACTTGCTCAGAGAACAGTGGTGTGTCTCGAAGGCTGCGAGTTCGACCCTGGCCCCTGTGCGAGTATTTTTTCTTATTTCCTTTTTTCTTTTTGCAAAATCTCCCATTCTATTTTGAATCGAAAACGCCCACACGAGGTGAGCAACATCTGCTTACCTGGGCTATCATAATCTCAGTTCAAGCTATGAGGTCGGTATTCTCTGCGGTTGCGCTGCACTTTGCTTCAACGTTAGTGCTGTGTGGTATAGGGCTGCGACTACGTGCAGAGATGGAGAGCCCCAATATCTACTCCTACTGGTGGGGCAGACGCTCTGTGGGAGAACTTTTCTTGTTTAGATATAACGAACGCTTTTGAGAGTGTTATTTATGTGGAACGATATCATCACTTCAACTGTGCGTATTAAAATAATGGATGCATCAAGCTGAAATGAGCAATTAGGCACCGCCAGAATGCTCCTAATGTGTTCCGTGAGAACATATATCATCTCAAGTCCTGTCGTCAACTTAGTGTTGAACATCACGCCCAGGAAATCTGGTATGAAAGTGAATGGTTTATATTATACATCTTGTATAAACATTTTCGTTATTGCTATATCATGCGACATTGCTACTCGTTACCATCATCGACTATTTGGTGCCGGATACGCAACTCCTTCCGCTATCTATACCGGCATCTTCGTTACTAGCGTGTATTGTTTCTGGCGATTCGTCCAAGTTGGCATATGGACGTATGCTCAGCCCACGTAATTACGGTCTCGTTCGTCAGCAAGGCATTTGCCATCTGGGGTGGCGACTGTTGCCCTCGTGGTGATTAGCGCGCAGAATGAGCTTCCGGTCACTGCAGCCACGGGAAAGTCAAGCGTAACACTCCGACGATGGCTTGTTTCGACTTACTGAACAATGAATCTGTACCTCGGGATAAGTCAATTAATTGAATTGGAACGGGTTTTCCAATCATGTGTTTCTTCCGGGGTGTTTCTCCCCAACAGACCTCAGCAAGTGTTCTTTTCCAGGACCATTCTATGTTGAATTGATTAGTTACAGTCTGATTCAACTTCCTTCGCATGAAGCTTATTCGGGAAAACCACCCTGATCTTTCATGGCATTGGAATCCTTACGACCACCATCTCTTCGTCTCCTATGGCGTGACTTTTGCTCTTTGAGACGGGTTAGTCCAGAATGAGCAGTTCTTTAGCGCATGCTCTTGCCTTTGACAGAGTTTTCCATGCGACAGACCGAAGATTATCGCCATGTTTCCATTCCCCAACACATATTCGAATGCTTATGAGGGCCAGTTGTCGAGGGATACGATTGATCTTTACGAAGCTTTAGAAATTTAAGAAAGCTGTGCGATCATTCAAATTTGGGAGGTTTGTCAATTGTGGGTCGGAAGAGGGTATGGAATGGTCTTCGTCTAATAAATAGGACACGGAGAATTCCGCGGAGCTGCGTCTTTTCCTGTTCTTGTTCAAACAGTAGGGGCTCCATTGTCAGGGAGAACTTCGAGGTAGAGGGGTCTTCCACAAATGGAGAGGCTATACTGGTCCGGTCAGTGTTAGTGAGTTCTTGTAATGCGGTTGTCCGGGGGAGACCGTATGGAGGCGACTGCTGTGCATTATGTGAAAACAAACACCTCGAGAGCATTCCACCTGGATGGGACTCTGAGATGGCTTGACCGTGACTCTTGGGCCTGGGCATGCATGCAAGATCGGAGGGGTGAAGATGAGCTTGTAGCTGCGAAAAAAAAAAATTCCCATCAAAATGAATGAAATGAAATCCATCCGGGCGCATCATACATCGCAAACAGCAGAAGTGAAGTAGGCAAGGGACGCTACGACACATTAAAACTGTGGCCAATGACGTAAGCGCGGCTCAGAGTGTTACTGTTCTATCTTTCTCGGCTACTGGTCATAAGGCATTTCCCATTCACCTTGAGACTCCCCCATCCTGCCGAGTCCGGCACTAGCAACTGCAGTTCTCGTCCTGTTTATTTGTAACTCCACTCAGACCCAGGATTTCATAATCTTTACCCACGCTATCTGCGCGCATATCATCACTCCCTTCTTCGAACACACATAATCTGTAGCGATGTTTGTTCGGCTCCAAGAAATCTCATATTCTGTTGAGACTATTCAGCAGGCGCGGGGCCTGTATCGCAACTTCGCACAACGAAGTACAACAGCAAGATCTTTCCCAGCCACCGTCACAAAACGAGCCCACTGTGCGGGGAAGTGCTTGCAATGTGAGTAGCACTGCTCTCGGACACGATTAATGCTAACAAGGATTTGAAATCCAGATTCTCTGCACGAGCCTTAAGTCTCTATTTTCACTGTGAAATGTCAAGGCAACCCGGCTTTTGCGACATCCTGACAGTGCGGCACGATACAAGTTCCAGCATATAAAGGTCTCTCAACATTTGCGGGGAGTGTACATAGAACTCGAGAAAGCAGCTGGCTCGGGGACATCCGCGGTACCTTACGACGACAGGTCCAGGAATCTCAGCAGTTCCCCACGACGACAGGGCTGGGAATCTCGGCAGTTCCCCACGACGATGACTGCTAGCACATGAAATTGGTAATCAACATTTACGGAAAATGTACATGGCGCTTGATTGGTAGTATGGCCAGTCATTCCGGCAGCTGCAGCGCTCGGGCGTAGTCCTCCATGGTTTTTCCAAGCCTTTGCGGGGAATATGCATAACGCCTGAACAAAGCTGCTTATCCTGCGCTTCTAGCCGTATTACATCACGATGATTTCCTGGAGTTGAAATCGATTATCAAAGATCATCTGCGGAAACCGTACACAGGTAAGCAAAATAATTCCAGATTCCGCATTGCAGACTCAACCTTTACAATTGTTAGGGACCATCTGTCGACATTACCCCGCTGCTTCGCAGATTCAACCTACACCGCCATATTTTGGTATACCTCCGCATGGAAATGCGATGATTGAATCATGTGCTTAGTTGCGTCTCTACACTCTCGAGGATCTTCCGTGTCCATAAGCTGTACTGCATCCCTGGTCAGCCGCCGGCAAACAGCTAGGTCTTTTCAAGACAATAGCTAGCGACAAGTTCAGTGAGGAAGAGAGCATTCGCTGAAGATAGCCTGCGGAAGTTACTCTCGATTTTTAGTGGGTGGCGGGGGATAAAAATTGGGGAGCAGGGCACGCTGGCACGAGTGTGTCAGGGACGACCGTTTTCAGGTCTATGGGATCAAATAGAATAAGCCTGTGTTCTATGTGATATAAAAACGCATATTTGAGGGTTACATCCATTTGTTTTATGGAATCGATAATCCTCAATAATAAAATTGGCTCATGATTGGGTTGGTGGACACAATTCGTGGTGTATTAATTTTGATGGCGTGAACGTCTGTGTGTTTTCAATGTGTATACAATCTCCTCAATAGTTAGGAAGGCCTATCCTTTTTTGCTATCTCATCACTTTGGGCAGTATAAGCAGTGCGGTCCAGAGTTTCTGTAGTCACAACGTATTCAATCAGTATGAGTTTCAATCTTACCCGTCGAATACCAGTATTTCAATCCCAAAATACTCGATACAGACTATTTTATACCAGCTGTGTGCTTTTCTACCGACCGCCCTACTCATCGGTATCGAAATCGTTCGATGATATTGCTCAGTAGGTGTTAACGCAAGCGCTCGTGATCCCGGAACAAACCAGGATCGTGGTGATTTAGCCTTGGGATCTTCAGGCATAAGGTAACATGAGAATCGATGACACCAACCAGGACTACTTATACGCAACATCTAATACGCAGTCACTTGTCTGGAAGATCTTTTTAACGGCAGTGCTACCCAACAATCCCAAATGCGATTCCCGAAAACAACTATTCTGATCCTCGTGTACAGTCTCCAGCTCTTCAATGTCACCATCGAGCCTTCAATCGAACTTTGGATCTCAGATAGGAGTACAGCAAACTGGAAGCCAGCTTTTGCTGCGTATGAGATCCGAAAGCCCACCATCACGTTTGGCAAACTGCCCATCTTATCTCATCAACCGCCATGGCCTCAAACTCTCCACAAGAAACTCCCCGAAAAAACTATGGTAGAAAAAAAAGCCAACCCAATGTTGTTGGCAGTCAAACCACCCCTTCTTCGCCCCCAAATGCTCACCTGAGTCACCTCCTATGTCCAATCAACCTCTTGCAATCCCCAGTAGCCCGGATTTTCAATTGCCACTCGATTTGTGCGTCCACGTCGATATAAGCGAGCTTGATCCAACTCCAGGCAGCAGCCCTCCCAGCTTCGTGACCCCATTGGTGCCTCATTGATTTCTCGGGGATACTTTCTACCGCCCCCGGGGGACCGAGCGCCCCAGGCGGCATATATAAACCCCTCCCCCCTCCTTCTCCTCTCCTCTTCTCTTCTTTCCCCCCATAAACGTGCCACTACATCGCACGGCGTAGTGAGCAACTGACTCAGGTTATGCCAAAACCTGTCGGTCTAATTTTTGCTGGCGAACAATGCCTTTACATACTTTTCATTGAGTCTCATAGCTTTTGCTGTGTTCTTGAGGAAGATGTCGTATAGAAATAAGTGAGATAGTGTGATGAATGAGTCACTCCAAGCTGTGTATTCTTGTGAACTATGTTGCACAATGGGACGTGTATTGATCAGTGTGGCTGCCTTAAGTTAGAACTGCTGTCAAGCTGCCTTGCTGCAGTACAAATTGTCTGCTCTTGCATGTTGATTGCAATAATCGTATAGCTTCTTCCGTTGCAGAGCTCGCGGATCTTACTCGGCAGTTGGTTTTCTGGGGGATAACAGTTCCTGTAGGTGAATGGTGGAAGCAAACGTGTCATCGAGGAGTCTATCTCGACAGTGACTCTACTTTACAACGATACTCATATACTTTGCAGTTGTGTATCTCCTGCCTTACGCTCAGGATATTTATCCTCGAATGATTGGCATGCAGTCTCATTTGCGTGTCTCTGTCGCCGCCCACCTCATTTGCTATCGAGACGCGTTTGTTTGTATACCATGGACCCCACTAAACGACGAGAATTGCGAAAACAAGTCCACCCCATCGTCAAGTCGCGCTACCTTGTTTTCTTTGCAGCCATGATCTCTCCGTCATAATACCATCTCCAGTGTCACTTCGCCGTCCTCTCCACCAACGCCCTCCCTCTCCCGCTCTACCTCTCCACCGTCGCTCGACGCCGTGCTAAGCACCTCGAACTACGACCGCCCACTGCCCCGCTACGGTTACCTTCAACATCAAGCCGAGAACCTACGTGTCTTGGCCTCAATACGATGACTAGTCGGCAATTCGTGTGCCCATCACATACACATTATGACAGATACTTCGGTCTAGTAAACGGAAGGCCTTCAAGAGGTCGTACAACTGGTAAAACATAAGTTTCCCACACTTGTGGCCACACAGGAGGCAATACACGAAAAAAAGCCATAGTCTATGCTTCTAGTCACATCGCGTCACAAGTGATTGTTGATCCCGCAATAGGTCATACCCGATGCCGGACGTTCGATCGCTTTCTAGCCCCGAGGTTCCTTTTGAATCAGACACGCAAGTTTTCCCTACTCGATTTCCTGGCTGCGCAACACCGGCACCAGTATAATGTGCGATAATGAGCAGAAATAGACAATATGAACAGTTCATCATGATTCCAAGATGCAGCTATACATAAGAATTGACCTAGGGTACGGAAAAGCGCGCACGGCACGACTCGGTACTGAATTGAGCTTGTAGTCTTCCGATTTTCAACAGTACGACTTCGCATCAAATGAACCCATTAACATTTGGGTACCTATGTATCTGCAGCATTGAAGACAAGGATCTTTCATGAGGAGTGTGTGTGAATCACTCATAGGAACGTCAGGAAGTGGTGAATCCCGGTCGTCTGTAATTGCTTCGATGAGGATGCATAGAAAAAAAGCCGACGAAGGGCAATCAATGATTATATGAAAGTTTATTTCATCTAGACATATCGACCGCTCGCAGCTAACGGACCTCAGCAGAATATTGGCTCGATCCAATCATTTACTTCGCATCACCTGGCCGGCCCTGACACCAATGGCAATAGACGCTGCCTCGATGGCGAAAAACAAATCCCCTGGGCTTTACGTACCTGGAAGCCATTCTAGAACATCCCCTCAGCGGTTACCGGCTCGCTAGCTAGAATCATTCCAACTTTATCCCAATCCGGGAGACAGGAGGGAACAGGTGGATATTTCGTACTGCACAATCAAGTCAAAGATCTTTACAAATCGCCCAACAATCGCCCCTTTTGTGATCATCTGGCCGAAATAGAGCGATATTATGCAGCAATAGACAAAGAAGCGGAATTTACCGCTTCGAAGGTATGTGCAGATTGGGAACGGTACTGTAGAACCAAATTAGGGTTGATCTTTGAATCAGAGACCGAGGTGTGGCGCTGCCACGACTGACTACAGGTGGTTGTTTCATCTGCTTTGAACGTACGAGTCGGGAAGGGCGCTATTGTTTTCTTCCGAATCGAGATGTTTGACTGATTCAGTGCGTGGAGGGACATCTCCACTTTGAAAGTCAAAAGTTGAGTGAATTGTCGTGGATAGCCGCGACTCGAGGAAGTGCCGCAGGTGGCCGCGAAAGAATCTTGAGATAACCATGCTCAACTCAGCTCGTCCATCATCAATTCGCACTCTGCTCGTAGTGAGCACATCGTCACTAGGATGTTTGTACATGCACATCTAGAGATGTAGTGCTGTTTACCCCTGTTTTAGAGTGAACATTTTAGTCCCGACTCAGCTAGCCAGGAACCAAATCAGGAAACGAAACATCGCAGCAGCCAATCCGATCTACACTCAGCACGTGCGTTTCCCCACAGCCATCCATCCACATCAAACATCGTCAAACCACTCTTCTGGGTTCCCTCAGGGGGAAAACCCTCTCTCTGTGAATCGCGCAAGCATCTTCCTCTACATAATCGAAAAAATATGCATGAAACATTGGTCCGATAAAGCTAAATTTGGTGTTTGTTTGTTTTGGGTAATTGGCGAATACGATGGCGCGATCCGCTAGAACCACATCGCGCTGATCTTTTGGGATCATGGAGGTTGATGTGAGTCAGGGTTCACCTGCTAGTTGACCCCGATTTGGGTATCGAGCGTCCAAATCTGTACTATGCTGGAACGACCATCTTCTTGATTCTTGGGTTACCCAGGGAAAAAGTCGGACGGTGAGAGTGCGCCAATGGCATCAGAAATCATGAATGCAGAGAATACTTGTGTTTCTTGGGTTCATTGGTAACATTGCGATCATCAAGCTGCGGCGCAAGATCTGAAGCACTGCTATCATTTTTCTACCAGTGCAGTTTGTATGGTTGCTATTGAGAAACAACGTCTTGCTGTTGTCAAGCTTAGAGTACATCACCAGTCCATTCGAAGTAATTATTGTGTTTGTACAATTGTTGTTTCCGGTGTGTTCAGTAGGGTACTCGAGCTTGGGACGAGGTTATACAGGGTCATGCTTAGCTCAATAGGAGTAAATGAATAGTGGCGGATACTGCGGATAGCTAACGCCAGACTAAATTATTCGAGTAGAGTTGATTAGTGAGGCTAGTATGTGGATGGCGTGGTTTCATGGTCGTGGAGTAGTCGAGTAGACACCGAGTGCCATACAGAACTGTGTACAACTTATTCGTGTCGCCAAACCTCCAACACCGTATATAAAGGCCTCGTAGAACTGCACATTAGAGAAATCATCAGTTCAGTCTTTCGCTTCTTTTCCTTACCACTACTACTCAAAAGCCTTTGGTCTTTTTCCACTTCGTTCGCTACAACGCACTCGTTAATACAACACAACTTTACATTCGCTCAAACACACACATCCACAAACATCTCATTATCTTCAATTATCAACCGTAAACATGCGTTTCGCCAACATTGCTGTTTACTCCACCTTCGCGGCTTCTACGCTCGCTGCCCCCGCTCCCAACACCCGCGTTGAGTTGACCCGCCGCACTTGGGGCTCCGGCGGTCACCGTTGGGGAAGCGGCTTGAAGGGCTTGGTCGGTCTCGGTGGACAAGGCGGTGTAGGAGGCTCTGCCTCTGGCCAAGTGGGCGGCTCTGCTGGTCTTGGAGCTGGTCTTGGAGGTTCTGCCGGCGGTCTTTTTGGTCTCGGTGGCCATGGTGGTGCTGGAGCTGGTGTTGGAGGCTCAGCAGGCGCCGGTGGTGAGGGAGAGGGCTATGCCGATGGCGAGGGAGAGGGTTATGCCGATGGAGAAGGAGAAGGAGAGGGCTATGCCGATGGTGAAGGAGAGGGCTACGCTGGTGGCGAGGGAGAAGCCGAAGGCGAAGCTGGAGCCGGCGTTGGCGGAGAAGCTGGTGCTGGACTTGGCGGCTCTGTCGGAGGTGGAATCGGTGGATCAGTCGGCGGAGAGGCTGGTCTCGGCGGATCCGTTGGCGGCGAGGCCGGTGCTGGTGAGTTATCCTCCCAAAGACGTCTACATCTTGTTACACTTCACTAACTTCTTATCTTCAATAGGCGGAGAAGCTGGAGCTGGTGTCGGTGGAGAAGCTGGCGCTGGTGTCGGCGGAGAAGCTGGCGCTGGTGTCGGCGGAGAAGCTGGCGCTGGTGTCGGCGGAGAAGCTGGCGCTGGTGTCGGTGGAGAAGCTGGTGCTGGACTTGGTGGCTCAGTCGGAGGTGGAATCGGCGGATCCGTTGGCGGAGAGGCTGGTGCTGGTGAGTTTTCCTCAATATCGTGATCAATCGTCAAGCCACCAGTTAGCATGGTGGATTGGACATTGAATCGCTACCCACTCGAATTGTCTTCGGACTTGACTGACATGCGCTCGATACAGGCGCCGGTGGCGATGTTGATGCTGGAATCGGAGGCGAGGGCGAGGGTGAAGCCGGTGCTGGTGTTGGTGGTGAGGCTGGTGTTGGCGGCTCCGTTGGAGGTGGTGTCGGCGGCGAAGCTGGTGCGGGTGGTGAGCTATACCCCATTCACTGATTTCTGGCCCTTCAGATTGAACATTGCTGACTTTTTCACGATAGTTGGTGCAGGCATTGGTGGCGACGCCGCTGTCGGTGTCGACGCTATAGTCTCGTCTCTCAACGGCTGCATTGAGGGAGTCAAGGGACACACAGCCAACATTAACGCTACCATCTCCGGTGATCTCTCCAACCAAGCCGAGGTCGTTGCTGCTGTCAAAGCCGAGTTCGTTGCCATCATTGAGCTCGTCGGTTCCATCTCTGGTCAAGTCTCCGCCGGTCTCTCTGGTTCTATCGGTGCCGGTATCAGCGGTGATGTCAAGGGCCAACTCGCCGGTCTCTGCTTCACTCTCTTTGCTGAAATTCTTTTCACCCTCAAGTTCGCTCTCGGTGCTCTCAAGATCTGTATGTGCTCCTCAGTCGCTCATCTCCTATTCATTCCATTGGCCCACATTGCTAACAACACTTGTAGCCGCTTTCGAACTCCTCGGCAGCTCTATCTTCCTTCTCCTTTCTGTCTGCTTCAACCTCGTCGCTGCTTTCAACGTTTTCGCGGATGGAACTCTCTCCCTTGTTTTCGGTCTCCTTGGCGGTGTCGAGGGCGTCTTGAGCGGTGTCCTCGGTGGCTTGTTCGGAAACCTCAAGGTTATCCTCGGTGGTAGCTTCAACCTCCTCGGTGGTGTTCTCGGCTGCCTCTTTTAAGCAAAGAATTTGCTTCAACGATTAGTCATCTTGCGGGGGATTCGAACAATGGGGCGAAACCGTGTGAGCGGTGATCATGGGGGGGATGTTTTTTTTCAGCATGATGCATTTAGAGATCGCAGGTTTGCGCTCTATCAGTGTTATGATTAGCCTTGTTGATTTCGATATATGCTGTCATGCCAGTCACTCTTTCATCATCAGTAACGTAACTACGTACAAATTAATATTCATAATATTTCTTTACTTTTGAAGCTCCCAGTAACTCTGGCTTTGACTTTCTTCCATCTACTGATTCGTAACGACCACATGTTCTCTCACTTCATTCCTCAATCGTTTCGGTACGATGCACCCCAGCGTACCTGCTTCTTCTCTAGTGACACTCGGCCCAGTTGATATTAATCAGGCATATGTGTCATCATTTACGTTGTTTTCAGTCTATACTGACTTTACTTGGGCATGATAGTTATAGGCATATTGATTCACAGGTAGACTACATCACCACATCTTTCACTGTGCTCCAAGGATGCTTGTTCATCCTAGATCATGGAGCGATTTATGAACTTGTTTATTGAATCGAGTTTGTCAAATTGAGTACTGATTTGAGATCCTAGTCAATCTTGTAGTCTGCACCAGTTTCTCTCGTAGATGGGGCTGTATTTCAAGAATGAAAGCAGTATGTATCGATACAAACATCTATCCTCCGGTTGAGTGAGTAATCAGCTCGACGGTTTTCAGTTAAAGAAATCCCCGCAACCCTCGAGCCTAGCACTTGATGTGAGGGTATTGTTTGCAGACACCAGGCACACCAGCTCAAGAATAACACATCACCAATGCCTTGACATGAATTGTATTAATATATTTCTGCTTCAGAAACTCCTCGGGCAGGGGTTGGAATTTCGCGTTTGCTGTTAACCCATTGGCACTGAGTCCGAATTCGCGATTATTAAGATCAATCGATGACTTAGATGATGATGGAGACTTATTCATGCTTACTATCCTTTGGGTGCCTTCTGTGCGTGATGTCATAGCTGCCATGAACTCGAATCACTTTCGCTATTATGTTTGTGCGTTGACGTGCGATTCCCCCCAGCTGCCTACTCAGAGTAACTTACTTGCTGTTTACCCTCCTCACCTTGGCCCATCACCCACTACGCTCTGGTCTACAGATCCGCCATCGAGCTGCACTCGATTCTATCTGAGCTTCATGATATATCAGGAGCAGTACACTTTGTCCGTGCTGCACGAACAATCTCTCTTTTTGCAGGTAAGCTCAACTTCGCTGTCGACGACGCTCACTTGCTTTTGTTTGCTGCCCCGCTCCCCACCCCACCTTCACCCCCAGACTGACGACCTTATGATTTGCATCTTGATCATATGTTGATTCGCAACAGACACTCCGGCAGCTCTTCTGGACAAAAAAGCGATGCTCGTGGCACTCATCTCGCAGTTGCCGTCCGACCGTAGACAGCCATGCTAGCCTGTCTGTCGTTCTGTGCAGCAGGCTTTTCGAAGATTTGTTTCATTTGGCGGAAAGAGAAGCCATTCAACTATCTCATCTTTGGCAGCGCTCAGCAATTCTCGTGGTTGACTCGTGGCGGTAACGGCCGCAAGCGCAAAGTAAAGGAGGACGTCAAGGAAAGCCCAAAAAAAGTCAAGCCGAAGATCAAGGAGCACGAGTACGATCCGTGGTATGCCAGAGCTCCCTCCCATGTGAGCCTTCCTCTGCGGCTCAGCAGTAAATCAGACTACTTATCAGTGCGACATTCTTCTATTGCAGTTAAACCGGGTCACTACATCAAGTCGCTATCCAACACCACACATATTTCAAATCCGTACATCTCCACTGGTTCATTGGGACGTCACGTACATCATTACGTCAAAGACGCAGTCAAGTCACTATCCAAATTGAGATCCCTCGAGCGATTGGAGGCGCGGTTGATGTTGGTCATGGACGATCTCCAACGATCTCCAACGATCTCCAACTTCCAAGTCAATGGCTCAATATCATGGTACCCGGTCAGTCTACTATTGCCTTCCAAGATTTCCCTTTCTTATTTACGACTTCTAACAGATGATTAGGTGCTCCACCACAGTTTATCTCTGTTCGTCCGATGTTTTGAGTTCGAGATGCTGCTCCCCCCCCTCCTCCCCGTACTTCTTCAGCCAACGAGCGACGAGAGCAAGACATTGTCGGGAAGACACAAATGGTCAATTTGTGAGGAATCGGAAGCCGTGGACACTTGGCTTTGCTTGGAGCTGTATGGAACTTGCCTCCTTTTGATGGCGATTCGCGGTCGTGCCCACTGGCCAGTCAACGCCCAGCGGCCAGCCAAGAAATCGAGCGAAAAGGCCGCAGTCAGCAATGTGGGCGCCAGCCTAAAAGAGAAGGATTGTATCCTGGATTCCTACACATTTCGATAGTGTGGACCGCATGGACAATAAATGGCCAGCAAGAACAGGGTGTGATTTGCAACATTCAAAAAGTCTGGCTCACCATGAATTTCACTCCGCCCTCCCTTCTTATGGGAGGGTAAGTGCCAAAGCTGTGGTTCAGTCGCAGAAGGGTCTACCAAAACCTACTTCAAACATGCTGGTGGCGAGGCCGGTGAGCCGTCAATTCCGGGTGTCGCAGTTGGTGGCATGGTGGATATATTGTACACCACATCGACATCAACTTATGAGTGTTGGGTTAATGTCTATTTGCGCACTGTAAGCTGCACAAGGAACTGTCTGTGGGAGAATGGAAGGTAGTGGATAGGAAAAGATGAACTGTGAAGAGAAGTTGTCGATGTTATGCACCTCAGGATTAAATATAAAACCCAATCTTTCTTTATGAAAGAAACACTTCGAAAAGTTGATTGCTTCAGATACAGTGAGTGCCACTCGATCAAGAAAGCAAGGCTTATCGTTTGCTCTTGTCAAAACGACAGCAAATTTGAGTGAGATGTTGATGTTATATACGTTTTGTTTCATTCAAATATATGTGTGCATAATGTTTATACGTGTTTCTCGCGTATGCTCAGGATACCCATATGCATGTGCCCCAGCCCAGTCGATAGCAGGGCATCCAATTTCCTTTCCCATTTTGCCCTTGTATACCAAACTCCGCATTTCAAAGACCACTATCTCACCGATCTACCAGATCCAGAATATCTTCCTCCGTAAAAAGGCTGTCTTCTTTAACCGTAGGAAGCACGAAAGTCTCACTATCCAAAACACCACCTTCCTTTCCCAAGCCCGTATATCCAAGACTGGAAACGGGAACAGGAATAGATAACTCGACAAATTCCTCCATCAAACAAGCCTTTTCCCAATCCTCGCCAGAACTCCGATTACTATTGAGGGTGTACCAACTTTCTCCCTCCTCTTCCTTCCATTCTTCCTCTCCAGCAAACACACGATCTTGGCCATCACCTCCTTCTACCGCATCTTCTCCAGAGACGTCCGATGCGCCTTCCCAGAGGTCTTGTTCCACCCCACTCAAGAACTCCCAAACAGTCGCCAACACCTCCTCGAGCGGTAAAAAGTAGAGTAGAGATTCGTGGTCGAGACCGGATGCGTCGCCCCAGGCTTCTAAAATTTCGAGGGCGGGAAAGTGCGTTGTTAGTGGGGTTGCGTGGGTGTGAACGAGAGATTCTTCGAGGGTGGGTGACGGGATGGACGGAGAACTCGTGGGTAGGATGTCGGAGGAGAAGGTCGTGGGTGAGATTGGTGAGTGAGGCGGCGAAGACGAGGAAATGGCAGTTGTGTACGTGTGCGTCGTAGATGTCGTAGGTGCGAGAGCGGTGACAGGACGAGAGAGTGCTAAATGTGTTAGTTTGGGAAAGAGCGCAGTAGTTGCCCTAGATTCAGCTTCGAGAAGCGTGAGTTCTTTGACTGCGTCGTGATGGTCGGTGTCTGCTGGTTGATCTGGCAGAGTATCCAAGGTTATAGCAGAGGCCGGCAAAGCAGGCAGCTGACACACAAATTTGAGCCTTAGAACTTCTAGTTCGGGACAATGACTTGACAAGCTTGAAAGTGCCATTGTCTCGAGAGCCGTTGCTGTCGTAGGCTGCAGTCTGAGATTCAAACTCCTCAATCTCGGCAAATGTCTACAGAACTCGTCGAATTCCACAGCCGAGATGTCGGAGCCATCGATTGTAGAGGACTCGATCGTAAAGACACTAAGGTCGTATAGATTTGGACACGCGGTCGCGAATTTGACTAGACTTCGGCCAGACAGTTTTGGGTACGACGACATGGAAGGGAAGTCTTCTGCCAGGAGACCGATGGCGATCTTGACGACGCGGAGGTTGGGGCAATGCGTGAGCTCTTCAAGCAGATGATTGAATATCTCCATGTCGGATGCTTGAGCGGGCTGGTTGGGTATGCGTGCGATGTCTACCTTGAAATGCTCGAGGAGATGGAGGTGAGTCGGCAAAGCTAATGCAACTTCGGGATAGCACATGAGCTCGAGTCGTTTCAGTGAAGCGAAAGGCGAGGGCAGTGCATCCGGACCCGAAAGCAAAGATACTAGATCCGATCCTGGATCCAAATCAATCTCGAGATTTTGCAGACCAGGGCGTTGGCTGAGCCGTGTGAAAAGCGCGTCTTTGCCCACGAAGTTGGCGTCCTTGATTTCGATACTGTTCAATGCCGGAAGAGTATCCAAAAGCTGGTAAAGAACGTTGACGTGAACTGGGTCATCATCCGCGATGACATCAGGCCCAATGCGTATACTTTTCAGGCCACTACAAGAATTCTAGCACGGTCAGCTTTTCACAACAATCACCCGGTATCAGCTTTGGAGTCAGCTAGCTTACAAAGAGCTCCGGAAGAACGATGCCAGAGATGTAGGTTGAATCGCCACTTTGCATCCCCAACAACTCCAACCTCTCCAACCCGCCATGCAACATATCCGCAAAAACCCCGCCATGCCGCAAAAAATCCACTTCGAATTCCAAGCTCTTGAGATTAGGCCACCGCAAGCCCTTCAAGTAGTCCAAATCGCTCGCAGAGTCATCAGGTGGACTCATCACAAAGACCTGCTGCACCTTATCGGCGTAGTACTGCCTCCGCTCCGGGGATACCCATCGCAACGCTGGGAGATGGGGATAGCGTCGCCACAGGATACCGGTTCCCTCGTCTGCCCAGAGCCGGTTCACTAAGATGGATGGGACGAGTGTGGGGCGGAATTCCAGAAATTCTACCGGTTCGTCGGGTCCATTTTGCCTCCGATCTCTGTATTTCATGTCTGAGAGGTGATGGAGAATCGTGGAGACGACATGGGGGTTTGCTAGAGCTGTTGCGACTGCCATGTTAGGCCACCGTGTTGCAGCAGCAGCAGTTAGGTAAACAATGGCACTCGAAGCGGAAGAATCGGTTTTACGGCATGCGCATTGAGAAAAGGTATGTGGATTCGATCAATCGGAGCGGGGATCGATCGGAAAAGAAGGAAAGGTAGAAAAGGAGAAATGAGCGATATGGAAGTGCGAACGTAAGTGTAAAAGAAGGGGAGATGCCATTTGCTTGGGGCCGGCCTCGATCTGCTCTTGTTCAGTCAACGTACGCAATGCGCGCAGGGTTTGAGTGGCGGGCGGGCAGCAAAGCAGGAAGTGGATCACCGGCCAGGGGTGCGGATTGAGCCTGTAGAGCCGACCGACCATCCATTGTTCTCGCCAAACCAGAAGCCTTTGAAACCGCAGGGGCAACGGTCGAGACGTGATCGTCTGTGGGAAGCATTGGGGAGGATGGCGGATGATTGGTGTTGAGCTGTTGCAAGCGCACAGGAGCCAACCATGTCGCGCCGAGACCTCTTTTTTCCTAACAAAAATAGATGAATAAGGGAACTTTTGGGATTCCAACGGCTTGGCTTGAGCTTTTCAGCCCTCTTTGCTTCGCTTTCCCAGATAGCGGCACAAAAGCTGCCATCCTTGTAAGGCGGACGACGCGCGGGGATTTTCCCGCTCGGTAGCTAAGAGTTTAAGGGCTTAACGCCGAATCTGACGCCAGCCAGCCAGCGCGTGAGATGATGTTTTGGTCCGACTGCACACATTGAAGCTCGTCAGCTGTTTATAAAGAATGCGAATTGGAGCATACTGGTAATTGAATTTGCCTTGGGATTCAATTGTCACGACAGAAATACTCGAGAACAACAGCCACAATGGTCCATCTCATTCTCACCGGCGCGACAGGCCTAGTGGGCTCCGCTGTGCTCCACCACATGCTCGCAGACACAACTGTATCGCGCGTTTCAATCCTCAGCCGCCGCCCCGTTGAAATGGCAAACGGGCATTCCGACAAAGTCAAAGTCATCATCCACAAAGACTTCAAAAACTACGATCAAGCGCTCCTCGACGAGCTCAGGGATGCGCAAGGATGTGTATGGGCGCTAGGCGTGTCACAAAACGACGTCGATAAAAAGTATGCATGAACACCAGGTTTGATCCAGACCCACAAAAATGCTGCACGCCCGGAGAAAGAAAGGGTCGAATTACAAAATCGCGAAAGGGAACTGATATCTTTTTGATGGAATTATAGGAAATATGTTGAAATCACGCAAGATTACACCCTCGCAGCTGCAAACGCCTTCGCATCCCTCCACCCCGAAGAACCATTCGCCTTCGTCTACGTATCCGGCGAAGGCGCAACGCAAACCCCCGGGTTCATGACGCCTATCTTTGGTCGAGTCAAGGGGCAGACGGAGCAAGCTCTCTATGATTTTGGGGAAACCAAGGGTGGCTTGTTCAATGTGTATAATGTACGACCGGGAGGAGTGGATTGGCGGCAGCATCCCGAGATTCATGCTTTCATACCCAGTCAGCCTATATGGAAGAAGGCGTTGATGGCGCCTCTGAATTTTGCGCATAAAGGAATGATGACGCCAACGGCACCTATGGGGAGGATATTTACGGAATTGGCTTTGAGTAAAGGGAAACCGTTGGAAGGGGGAGATTTGCAGATGGGCGGTCGTGTTGTGCCGAACGTAGCGTTGAGGAGGTTGGCTGGATTGTAAATTTGATATCCGGCTCAATGGGCATATGCATTCAGAATCGACTTCGACAGTAAGCTGTTGGTGCGCGAGTGTTGCATTGCGATTCAAGTGACGCGTCCATTCATGAACATTTTCCCTACGTCCCTCGATACAATGTCAGTCAGCACCGGAGTCCGCGAAACCAGCTTCCTCCAGCGTAACTTACTCAAAGGAAGCTCCATCGACGGGTGTGACATCGATCTTAATCACTTCCTTCTCTTCTTTGAGACGAGCTGTCGATCGAGCTGCAGCAGATTGACTCGTCGCTCAAGACAATCTAGGCAGCTTAGATGTCACAGTGAGCCTTTCGACTTTGCTCATTCGTTTGGACATTTGGTAGAATAAGAAAGTATTACACTTGTTGCTCAGTTACCGTACGATTAGTCCTATTGCGAGCCAGCTCACCTTTCCGTGTCAGATCGAGAGCGCCATGTGATGGTACTCGAGGCAGTAGCAAGGGCTTCCGCAAGGTCTATGCAGGTAGATCTAGTGGTTCTATAGGGTATTCTGCACTCCACTTGTTGCGATTTGAGGCCATGGTGGTGGATGAGGTCTGGCACAATACTGCAGTTCGGGGCAGGGGTTTGGAGCTTCCGATCTCGACGTCTACCGCAAGCTTGAGAAGAAGCGGAAGATCTTGGTTCGATAAACTTTCATGATAGTTCTGGCATACATGAAGGCGTTTCTGAATTATTTCCGCACTGGCGCTTTTGATAATGGGGATCGAAAATGGGGGGTTCCAACGAAATTGGAGGTTGTATTATCTGTCCTCGATGAGCTGATTGGGGGTGATTTCGATCTGTAGGCATCTCTCTTTTTTTGGTCCTGTCCCGTCCGTTGGTGATTGTACGCATTATTATAGGCTCATAATTGGTCCACTTGCTTAATTTCAAGTCGGCTCGCACTGTGTTTTTGATTGCGTAGAGTGCGCAGCCCCGCTTGGCCAAGTCCTTGAGCTCTTCCAGCGTATGTTGGAGTAAGGCCCGTAGACTATCCAGAGTAGCAGCCATGGAGGTGTAAGCTTCACTGTCTTTGGGTAATTCCTAATATGACATTCGATTGTGTGCAATCTGTGGCAAACTTCTGGATATCTGCTTCTTGAGGAAACGCCGCATTCTGATTATGAGCACTGTACCTTTCGGGTAGGCATTTGTCGGCTTTCACGGAGAAATCGGTGGAAATAACAATGATCAAATTTTGGGTTAGGGTTAGGGTTTGTATTACGATAGAGGAAACGCGCGAGATGTAGCAAGTTCTTCGTCAGGTTCTGAGAGGCTTCATATTGAGATGGGTGTTGATGCAGTGCCTTCAAGGCTTAGCAACCAGCTGCTTGGCTGCGTCTAGGGGTGGATAAACGAGGATATACTGAAAGGAAGAACGATCGAGTGACGGAGAGAAAGTGATTGGGCAGACTTGAGATACTCCAATGAGTTCAAAGTAGAAAGAGAAGAAGGAGAAATCAACGGAAGCAACCCACGTGATGGCGTTCACAATAGCCAACGTGCACACGTGCTTATGCACGATGACATACCCCCGATGGATGTTCCGGGGCCCCTGGATGGTTCGGCAGTGCGAGTTAGTGGGGGAGATCGCGTCGCCGAACGCGTCTTCGTATCCTTCGGCTGGCCTCCGAATTACCAACATCATCATCCTTTCCATCTCCATCTATTCATTTTCCTCTATTTCTAGTTTTCCCCTTCACCTCATTTTCAATTGATCGTCTGTGCGCTCACTGCCCATTCTAGCGGTCACTGCTGCCTGCTCCAGCCATGGAAGACGACCTCGACCTCCCCCTCCCCCCACGGGTGACGACAAACGCCCATATCCCAAGCTCACCTCCCCCATTCACTTCATTCACACCCCTTCACTCACGATACCGCGACACTTCCCCTACCTCAAGCGAACCTGCGCTGTTCTCGAGCGACGGTCCCTTGGACTCGGACGTGACCAACTATGAGTCTCCGCGCGAGAAAAAGAAGCGCGCCGGTCCGTGGTATAAGAGCGATCCATACCGCCGACCCTTTGCGCGCACAAAAAAGGCTAAAATCTCCCGCAACTTCGACAGCGGGGTGTATATGCTGAGCAGCGACAGCATCGACACGAGTGACTTGCTATCCGACCCACCTCTGCCACCCCCCGCGTTAAAGCCCGAGACTGCCGTAGTCCAGTCAGAGCCCACTGCCGTAGATCACCTCTACCACCGTATACACCAAACACTCGAGAAGATGGACAGACACCCGAGCATTGTGCTTGAGGGGCTTGGCCTCACTGGTACGTACATTATGAGCACAAAGTCATACACAAGCCGGAGCATCATTGCATGGAATATGATTACTGACTCTCAACTTTAGATGCAGATCTCAAGCCCATCAGCGCTCTCAAGCAGATCATACACCATCCCCCGGACGCCAGTGTTGAAGTGCCCGTCGAAGGCCAATATAGATCTTTCCTGCCCGAGCTTTACCTCTCTCTCGCTCGCAATTCATTGAGAAGTTTGGCACCGTGTCTCTTCGAAGTGGACCAAATCACCACCCTGATCCTCCGCGAGAACAACATTACCTCTCTACCTCCACAAATCGCAAAGCTTCCGAACCTCCGCACACTCGACGTGTCTCATAACCGTTTGACCTACCTGCCTGTAGAACTCTTAGCGCCCTACCAGAATCGCCGACAATTCTCTCTCGTCCGATTCGGCAATCCCTTGGTCTATCCGCGCCTGAAAGAGTTCCATACGCAGCGAAATATGTTCTCGCTCTACCATGACGGAATCAAATCCGCCCAACCTTCCAATCGTCAGAAGTTGTTGAACAGGCTAACGCCAGTTGAAAAGTTCGAGGTGGCTTGTTTTTGCAGGAACTGGGAGCTTCTGTCTTCACGGGGGGATCTCCTTCATCATTTGCATTGTCCGGGGGCCCCTCTACATACTGGTCGTAGGGTGTGGGTTAGATCTGGTCTAAGAACCGCCGAGTCATCGCGCTTCAACGACACTCAAAACCATCCGTTATTGGCGGCATATAGCGCCCCAACCTACTTCGACCAGAACGGCAATGCGCTCAAAGGGTCGGTCCTGTCGACCCCCAAACAACCTGACCCAGCCTACATCCCCGCCATCGTACCCGCAACGCAACTGGGCACATACGGTGTCCGCGCAGACTGGTTCTCCCGCCCCTCCTCCAACAAGGTCAGGTCTCTTCTGGACACGACCCTCATCAAGGCGCTGCACGAGGCCCCCGTGGCCGACATCAAGACCTGGCTCGGCGACGAGATTGGCCCGACCATCGAGAAGCACCTCGGCAACGCCGAACAGAACCTCGACACCATCTGGTCCCCTTTCCGGCAGTGCCACTGCTGCGGCAAGGACTACGTCATGGTCCGCGCCGAGTGGTACGAGTTCTGGAACGAGCTCGGCAGCAATCCCTTTCCCGTCAAGCTGATGGTTTGCTCTTGGGCATGCGTGCCAAACATCATCGCCAACCGCCCACAAAACCTCATGGACATGAACGGAGAGGACTTCATCTAATGAAGTCCTCGTCGGACTTCCTGGCACCTTTTCTTTCTTTCTATTTTCCTATAATTTGCATCTGCTGGGCGTATTTGGTGGAGGGTTTTCGGGGGCATCTTTTCATACTGTGCATGGCCTCGGCGTGACTTGCCAATGAGATTCTTTCCTGGTATCATCACAAGCTATACAATCTCGTGATTTGAAGTGAATTCTCTTGCCACCATTCTCATACTAACGTCTACAACGCCTTAACCCTCTCATGTTGCCTATTTCTCCACGCACTCAACTTCAGACGAGACGAGTGGTTTACTTATCAATGCCCTTGAAATGAACGCACATTCATGGGGCGTGCCGTGATATTTAACAAATCTCGCTGTAGATGACTGTGTACGTGCATACATTTGCATAATGTGTGAGCATTACGATCAAGAGATCCGACATAACACTAGTCCGATGATTTTCAAGCATTCATGTCCACTCGTGTGCCTACTGTCGAAAGCCGTATGGGTGGGGATGTTTCGCTGAGACTGCCGTTTCGCTGATGTTATTCTACTGAAGTTTCGTGCTATTGGAGTAATCGCTCGTGTCTCCGCTGTCGTGAAGCATAGTAGCCGGGGTTAGCTTGCTGAAGCTCTATGATATCGAGATGCTCGCTCATCTGTGCTTTTTCGAGAGCTTCATGGTTGGGTAGTATCCGGGTATGATCGCCTCGTTGATGTCCTCCCTCTCTCGTGTGAACTATTGGCTTTGGGGGAGCGAGTTCGTGTGCTGATACCCAAGAAGATGTGCGATCGGGATTGTCTCGATGCGGTTGCGTTGCCGGCGTGCTCGGCGACATGTCTGCTGAAGAGTAAGAGTGTCGTTTGGATCGTTTTATAAGGTCTTATGTTGTCTCGCTCGTGTGTGCGCTCTTGCGAAGTAGCACAGTCGGTGTCGTGCCATGGAGGCCGTCTCGCTGAGGTCGTGTGTCTTCATGGCGCTTACCCGTGAGCATGTTAGTTGTTGACAGGCAGCTGATTTGGCTCATTTCGCTAAGCTCGTGACCCTTTGTTTTGGATTGCACTCCCAAGTCGTATACGTGCTGCAATCAAGGTATGGCAAAGGATGGGGTACCGTGGAGTACACTGCGTAGATACTCTGGAGCCGTCCTTCTTGAAGAACCTACCTCTCTCAGCTGCAAGTCCTGTCTATGCTGTTCCAAATATGTAGGCAGCTGCCTTCAGTGCCGTGTGCCCCTGCTCTGCGTACCTACTTAGGCGGCAAATAGTAAAGTCCCCAAACAGTGCCTCGCCCTACCTACGTCACCCCACTAAGTCTCTCCCTCACCCTCCACCTATCTCTATACTGACCTTCTCCTCTGTACCATATATACCAAATAGCCGGAGATACTTTCGTCTTTCGAGACCGGCGAACGGCGCGGTGGATCAGTGGAAGATGAAAAGAAAGTAAGTTGGCCCCTTTCCTTTTTTTGCATTTTTTTGGTCTTGAGGGAGAAGTATCATGGGTTCGAGTTCTGGTCTCAGCGGTAATATAAAAGCCTTTGTTTGGCTTTTTTGCGTTGTTTTGGCGAGGGTGTTTTGGGGGAACTTGGAAATTGGGGAATGTGTGTGTTTTGCAGAAGGTCCGAGAAGGGCTGCAGCGCCAGCTCTTCGCCCTGACGAGCATGTGTGATCATTGAAATGACTCAAAAGACTATGGTTGATACTGGGATGTCGTGCAGTAGACTAATTGGAACATTGTTGGAGTAAATTGTCCTCACTGCGCGCATAACCACGTTGGGGAGGGACTTGGTGTTGCATTCGGGGGAAAATGAACTTGGTCAAAAGCAAAAGTATCGATTTCGACATGCTCACACAGTACTGCACTGTATAAAACCTACATGATAGCCACATCCTTGACAATATTTCTCAAATAAATAGCGTGCTGCACTGCCAGCTCAATCTTGCCTAAGTGGCCTTTGCGCTGCTTTCGAAATCTCCCAAGTGCGGCCGCCTCAAATTGATAACTTGGCGGACTGCAAGTCAGTGGTTCAAAGTATTTACGCCATTGCACACCACGGCATCGAAGAAGTGTCTGCCGTCCCTCTTTGGCATTTGAATGAAAGCATGGTAATCGACTGAATAAATGCGGCACAAACACTTGAAGTTCAAAGAAAACCGAAACTTACACGTAGTCTGTCAATCCTAACACCTCGAATTTATCAAAAGACATCACCATATATCTTTTAAGTTTGAAATTGCTAACCATTGCATCGACAACTGCATTGAGAAACATATATAAAAAGGAGCGCAACACTTACTTGATGGAGGGCATCGTGATCGTGAAAATCCGGCACTAACACTTAGCACGAAGAATACAGCGAGCAAGAAGTGCGACACTATCTTCGCTTTAAGTGCTCTGCCGTATATGATTTGCAATTAGAGCATATTTTGATTGAGGAATTTCGGTACAAATTCGAAGTAGTAAGTACGAGAAACACAGTGATGATCCGTTGTACAAGGGCTAAACGCTTCCGCTATATGTGACGACTCATCACCATGTCCACATATGGCAGCTCACTATGCTAAACGCTACAAGTCCAGACAATGAACGAGTCCGACGCCAGCTTAGAGATTTTCCAGTGTTTGCTTGAACTCTTACTTTCCTCTTCCTCTATTCCCATCGATTTCTTTGCTTTGTTGTTCAATCCTCGGAGGATTCAGCTCTCTTCTATTTCAAGCGCTCGAAGGAAATTGCAAGAGCGAGCTCTACATTTCGTGCCTGAGTCTGTAGCTGCATTGATGTTCCAGTTGCTTTACTGGTCAAGGTAACCCACGGTATGCATGAACACGCTATCGAGTGGACCAATAGTTCGGTGCATATCACAAAATTGAACTATGTGTAGCCGTTGAACTATGTCGTGGTAGTGGAGCTGCCATGAACCATGGAATACTAATTTTATGGGAATTTCGGATTCATTTTCTTGTTGCGGGGAAAGTCCACGTCTATTGAACTCGCATCGTGCTATGTCGACATCCAACTATGTGTGAAAACGAACTTCTATCTCCTCTGAATAGACAGGCCGCTATGGTTTGGAAAACTAGAGATTGATTTGTGTAACCGAAGTATAATGATTTCCCTGACGGAAGTCCGATACCCACAACCCTGGCAGGATACGACACAGATTTTATGTCTACTGCAAGAGGTCTAGAACCGAAAATATCTGCAAAAGCCTCATTTCGTTCACTACCCATGTCTGGCCTCATCCTACTCGTGTAGGTATGTGCTGTGGTTGCGGACCATCGGTCACCATCCGTTTGTGTGCCCACGAAACATGCGCTCCTCGACTTTATTGCAATGCGAAGCTTCCTTCAGCTATTCATCTTTCGACGATCGCACCTGTGCCCGCGATTACCATTTCATAATAAAGGTTCGCAAGGGCCAGTAGCCTTCCCATGCCGGCATTTCCCTAGCGATTTCGTCACAGGCCTCGTGATAGCAGGCGCCGCCTTGCTGTATACTGTTCGATTATCGGGTATTGGAGAGGAGCATCCTTCAGCCACTCGGGGCTGTTTCGGCGATCGACGCGTGGTGGCTCTGCAGGAAGGCTACGGCTGGGGCGGTTCATCGATCCGCTCGAGATGGTCATACGAGGAATCGTAGGAGTTGCGGCGGTAGTTCTTTACGGGAATCTCGAGGGCCTGTAACTTAAGGTAAGCCGGATGTGTCTCAGAAAGGCATGAGCCAATATGAATGTATGGCAAAGGTCATGTTCAACCAAACAGCTTGGCTCACTACTTGTGGCCCGCCGCCACAACATCATTTCTCCCAGTCAACTAGTAACAGTAATAGTCTTCACAGCCCTCGACCACCGCTAAGGGCATCTCGTTCTTGATCAAGCTTACAGGACATGCCTGTCATAGAGCTCGACCTCAGTCTCCAAAGTTGCTGTACAGTGACTAACGGTACGTACTGGTGATACGGCGACTCGGCAATCTTTGTTGTTTCGCCATTGTCCTTGTATTTAGCATTGTAGTCTCTACTGGCACTTTGTATAAAACCGATTATGCAAGCGAGACACCATCAAATGGCATGTCAATTCCTATCCTATTTTCGATGGATTAGGGAGGGCGATAAAGACACAGACAAATTGGAGTCTATAGGACCGATCGACGCATTAGCAATGATGATGACCACGCAACAAGAGTCCGCCAGTCTGAACAGCCAAATAAGATGCGAGCCATGACCTACAAGAAGCGATTTCTTGGACTAACCTTCCATTTGTATTATCGTATTCCCCGCTCATGGCGTCGGTATGGATTGAGCGTCTTCCACTTCCTCGAAGCCTAAGCAGTGAATGATGCAATAAACTAATAAAACGTAGTGTATCTCTGAATTTTCATATGCTGCATTGAATCGCGATGACTGAGAATAATGCGAAAAATGGTGCTCTTGTGCCCCAATTGCCACCTCGACTCGGCCAGCACGTCGCGGCGCCAGCTTGCCTCTCCGTGCGTAGAGCAACATGAGGAACTTCAACAGGTTTTTGCTTCTTGCCATTGATATCGTAGGCTCATCATTAACGGGTTCGTTTTTTCGGCGCGGGATATGCACAGTTGCCGGAAGGTACGCATGCCGGTCAAGTGCCTGGCGGACTGGGTATAATTCTCAAGCGTCGGTCACCCACAGGTATGTTTCGGGGAAGACAAGCGGAAATCTTCGTCTGGGGTATATAATCGCAGCTGGAGAGCTTTCTTGTTCGGTTCGGCTCGGCTTGATACGTGCGAGGTCTGGGGAATTGCTCAGCCTCGATGAGCGGCGAGGGTTTCGAGGTGGGAAAACGGTGCGAGGAGAAAACAAGGTACAACGACGGCTACTATTGCGCACACAGATAAAGTTGGGTTATCAATGTCAATATATGTTCCCTTCAAGAGCAGCGTGGTATACTTTTGTATGCTTGTTCGCGCTGTCTCTCTCGCATTTTTGGTTGTTGGCAGTGCCACGCCACTCGGAGCCATGCCCAGGCCAGGGCCTTACCGCGTCTTGTTTGTGCACTTCGTGAGTCTTTAAAATCGACAAAAAATAGCCAGGGTCGTTTATGTAGTAGCTGATGGCTTCAGCGAGCGGATAGAGGAGCAGTATGGGGAGGCAAGGTCGCCGGCATGATGATGGACGTGCCCGAGTATCTCGCATATTCTGACAAGTAAAGCACGGCGAAGTAGGTATGCTGTTTCCGTGTTCTGTTCCAGCGGCCGCTTTTGATAAGCGAGGCAGAGGTAGTGGGTGGGTTTTTCGACGCGGCGTTTGCATGAGGCGGTTGCTTGTAGTTCTCGAGGTGTCTTGCTGCCTGCACCGGATGCAGATGATTGGAATGGGATACTATGGAGCATTGAAGGTCTCTGGATGATGAATCTCTTTTCGCGTAGTGTCTTGTAGCTCATTTTGCAGCGAATCGCAGGGCGGTGCGTAGGAAGGCAGCAGCCAGTTGGGCCACGCAACGTTCACGATGGTATGCTTTCCAGTCAAGAAGACAGGGCGCGTCGGGACAAGCTTCAAGACGCATCTGTTCCAAGTTCTACGGTTGTCTCTTTGAATGGCTCTCCAAGCAGCTCGTAAAGCAGGCTCGTCCGAGGGTTTGGCGGTGCAGCATCTTGTCCATCTCGCGGAATCCATCAACAGCACGAGGCGCACCGGCGTCTTTCGGGTCATAATGGACATTTTGATATGGAATATAGTTTTGAATTGGGTTCTGTATACATGTGTCTATCATAATGCAAAGAGATGGCCAGTGGAAGCCAGATGCAGATGCGGATGCTCCTGCCGTTCAACGTCAGGAAGGCACAGCTGGGACTGCCCGCGATAATACTACCCACCACAAATCCACGGCTCTCAACACCGTCATATCACTTCCAATAGATCAATTATTACTGATTTTTTATGAAATGAGAGACTCGAAACTGTGATATATGCCCATCTCCCCGAGTCCTGCGATGCCCATCTCCCCGAGTCCTGCGATGCCCATCCCAAACGCTCACCACCATCCACTCCCTCCCTCCCGTCCAACCCAACCCAGCCCAGCCACACCTGCCCTAGCCTGCCCCCAGATTCTCTCACCTTCCACCTGGAACGCCCCCTCCGTCCAATCAGAGCTTCGCTCGCGAAGTCACATGAGCGATAGCGCACTGGCCACATGCCCAAGTATTTAAACCCCCCTCTCCCCCCTCAACCCTCTTCTTTTCTTCTCCATCCCGGTGCAAGGGCATTACATCTAGCAGTGAAGATTTATCTGAGCTGATGTTTTTGCTGATTGAAAACTACAATCATGACCGCTCTTGTTGGTCTTCGGATCAGCAAGGAATTTTTGGCAACCTTATAATCTTTTGATTCTTTTTTTTTTTCGTTGAGTCTCTTGAACTGAGTGTTCGAGAGCTTGAAGAAGAAAATCTTGTTGTTGCTTATGTGGTAGTTGATAGTGAGGATGTTCGGCTTTAGGATGTCGTTACGTGTGAAAGCCTGAGAGGCCTTGAGGCTGGCAGCTGGGCTCGATCTCTCTGTATGTGCATCGTTACTATTTGGTATGAGCAGCCGCTGAAATAAAGCAGAACCATGTATTGATAGGTATAGTTCCCTTGATAGAGCATCCACGACGCGGCGGGCAAAAAGAACATCCAACTTGGCAATAATGCCCGGATCGCATTCAACGCGACTTTAATCTGATATGACCCCATTTGAGATATCATCTACCCAGAAAGCGCCATAAAGAAAGAGACGAAAGAAGTCGCGAGAGAGCCTATCGTCATTGCAGACGTGGTGTTGACAGTCACGCTGCCAAACAGCTGTCTGGCAGTAATGAGGTCACCAGCCAATCTCGCCGCGAATCACGCTCAGAAAGACCAACCAAGTCCAAACATGTATGCTAGTAAAGCTATTCATTCCGTAAGATGCTAAATAACACCGCATCTCCTTTCTGGTCGGGATGTTCGCGCCGCCGCTCAAAGCTGCCTTTGACGCCAGTGACACCACCGCAAGGTATACCACATGGACATACGAATGCAGCAGTAGCGACACAACCCAGTGAAATCTTCCACTGGAGGCCGCGCGTGGGGACCTATTCTCTTTTCGAGCGAATCCGCGTGCATGAAAAGTCAAGCACCCACTCACCGTCCATCTAAATCCACGCTGCCATTTCCTCTCGCCTGGCACGCACGCATAGAACCCAGATCCGCACAGTCGTCTGCAGAAATCACATCATCTTGGAGTTCACGAGCTGCTTGTATGACGGTCGAGCTCGCAAGCCGTCCGTCACGATCAGCTGCGGCCGCGCAGCACACCGCTCCCCTCCTACACCCACGGCCCGTCGATGCTTCGATTGACTGAAACGAGCAGAGCATGACCGCAATCTTCCGCATCAAGCATTTCGCTCCCATAAAACCGCTATATCCACTGTCCAGCGCGGCCACAGCCAGCTTCTCCAAGAATTTCCGTTCTCCTGCCGTCCAGCATCAGTCAGCTACCCTCCGCTCACGCCCCTACGAAACCCCGCCATACACGATAGTACGATACTGCAAGCTTTTGCACGATACACCCCCAGTCGGCCTGGAATTTACATGTCTACTTCTACGCTGAAGCTGGTGACGAGAAATACTACCTCCTTGCCGCTACGGCGCCGAGCAGCGCGACTAACTTTCCTACATTTTTTGCTACACAATGCTCGGGTGGTAGAGAAATATTTAGCGGTTTACTTTATCCTTAGAAGATAGCTTCGATCCCGCCTTCCCGCAAGCAGAGATTCGTCGCAAGAAACGAGCCGCATGCCCTCAGAAATCCCTCCAGTCTCACCGGTAAGCTCACATGGGCCAAATATCCAACCCGCTTCCAGCTTCCTCGCTGCCGTCCCGCCTTTCGAACATTGTACAAGCGTCAGGTTTCCGAACCTGCTACCCTGCAGCAAGCCCCGCCCCAAGATCTCGAGTCTTGATCAGTTGGTGGAGGCGACGACTATGAATGAAATCTGGCCTAACAAAGTACCAGCAAACAACCATTAGTCCAAAGGCTCCAGAATACCGAGCCTTCGTGGCGATTTTCGCGGAGGGGGTTATACAAAAATTCTGCTAGCCCAGCGTCGCATTGTTCGTATGAGCCGGACAAAGAACTGTGACAAACTCGCGCGACCGCAACGCCTCTACCCCTCGATGGAAGCAAGAAAGCTGTTGACCAACTTCGACATATTCAGATGAGGATTTTGCGGGGCATCACTTGATCTTGGACACGTGTTTAGCAAAGATGGCACACAGTTCTACTCATATCTACCGAGGTCGCTAGGAAACAACGACAGATTTCGTCTAGTGCCCATAGTGCTCTGATGGAATTACTCAGAAGATACCAAGAAGAAGTAGGCGAAATCCATCAGCCAAGTCCTTGTTATGGACGTGATTCATCGCAAGTTCCTGGATGCAAAACAACAGTTGCCAACTTTCGAACCAACAAGTAAGACCTCATAACTATCTCTGTTGCTTTTAGATTGAGTGCAGGACAAGGCGCTTTATTTGATACATGAGGAGATACGAGTTCATCACTAACGTGTACACAAGCCTGACGAAGCGCCGATCTCCAACATGCTTTGAAACACTCCGAACCTCGTGTTCAATCCCGCCCTCATTCCCTCTTCCCTGTCGCTTTCTTCATCGCTCATTTCTTCTTCCTCGAGCCCCCGTGACCTACTCCTGTCACTCCCAGCCCAGGCCTCGATCTTACACAGAGGATCTGCAACAGCTTTCCCGGAACCTTCCGAGTCATCCCCTGCGCCGAAAGATATACTTAATAAGTTCAGGTTTAGTCGGATAATCTCGGTCGAGGGTATCGCGTCTGCGGTTATATATCGGCGGAGAAGCCCAACATATATGGAGTCTGTGTGACTGGGTGATCCGGCAGAAGGATGTATATCTCGAAGAGGATCAGCTTGAGAGGACACATTGCTTTCGAGTGGTAGGCAAACCAAATCTAGTCCCCATCGAAGTAGTGATACATGGATATTGCGCAACCCCCGCCGCGCAGAGTACTTCAGTTGGGAGGCTGAACCTCAATGTTCTTGCTCTCGGAGGATAGTCTGCCAACGGAAGACTTGGTATGTCGTTGATGAAGTGGCGTAGGTCGCCGTTGTATCTGGGAACAGATGTAGTACTTTGTGCGTTAGCCGTGCACGGCTGTACTATTTGAGTGCAGTCCACTCCCACAGGTGAGTTTTCGCATCCATACTCCGTGTCTGGAAGAGTTTCGGATAGGACGTAATGAATGTAACTTGTTTGAGCAGAAACTAACTCGAGGATATGAAAGAGACTACACGAGTCAACAGATGGCTGCTTGAAAAGTAACGGAAGAGCTCACACGCTGGGAGCATAAGGTTCTGAGCACCAATCGAGCGAGCCAACTTCCACCTTCTCGACCTCCGCAGAAATCTCATCTTGTCCATCTGCCATACAAGTACATACTCCCACAAACTGCGATCTCGTCGGCGAGTTGTAGGAAGCAGGCGTGGGAGTTTTGCATGTGGTACAAGTGTTCATGTTTCGAGATGGGAACTACACGAACTGTCGCAAAGGATGGAATCGCAACAGATGAAGTGATGGAAGCAGGTACGATTGACCGGAAAGAAATGTGGGTTTCAATCGAGACAAATATTCTTAGCTTTGCGCTGCTACTCATCCTTCTGCCAACTAAATGCTTACTTTTCCAAGATCTTGAAAGGAAGCGCCTTGCAAGAGTGGTTCACCAAAATAGCCCTCCCCCTTCTGCTTGACGCCATATCTTCCCTCTCCATTTCCCTCGTGCGAAATCGCAACCAGGCCGGTTTCCAATCGCCTTGATCGAGCAACTCTTTCCAGCTCATCCAGGCTACCCATCAATTTGAACCATCGCATTTGCTTTCCCCTCGACGTCTCAATCGCAACTCTCGTAATCCTTCGGTATGATCCGGTAACCTAAGATGGTTTAGCTTTGCCCGGTCAGAGTAGACCCCGCATTTCCCATGGGGGGTGAAATTGCCGAATCGGTCGCAGGGGTCCGGATGGGGAACAAGCTATGATTCATTGGTGGTTTGTTAGTGGTGAAAGCAAGGTCACGCCTTAATACGATTTGTGGATGACATGTATCATAGTGTTGGTCGATTTTTATTACTGTTCTCAATACCATATTATTATCCCCACTCTCTGTCGATGGTTTGAAGCTCGTACAGCCGCCACTATACAGAATTTCAAAACACCACTAGGGCAACTACATCTTTCATATCCACTCCACACTCCCTTCCTCCCGAATCATTGCTGGCGATGGGGCCTAGTCCCTTAGGATTGATTATCGGCCCGTAAGAGGGCTGGTCGTACTGGAGATTTCGGGTTGAAGATAATGAAGCTCTTGAAGTAAATGACAGCCATTGGTGGATTCGTGACTTTGAAGGTGCTGGAGTGAAGTGTGAGGATTGAGGGGTTATACTTAACTGGCTTGCCCTTTATACTTTTTCTTGCCAGCCAGCAGTCAATCATAAGATGCCTATAGTTGTTGGGTTGTCGAAACGGTTGGGATGGCTTTCTCGAGCTGTACCATGGCTCACCCAGTAATTTTATATCAGTACCTAGCGTTCTTTTGAAAAATTCGGTTGGCCCGACTTCTTTTCAAACAACACTATTTTATACGCGTATTGTACTGTCGTGCGCCGCACGTAAAAGTCGTCAGTGGCTTCGGTTTAGGAGGCTCTCCAGAGGTGGGCAATTGATCGCGCAGAGAGAGCTCTTAGTTGAATGCTCAATTATGTACAAGATGACATTGGAGATTTTGACCTCGTCACGGATCGGGTATGCGAAATTAAGCATAACATCCGTCAGTTCTTAGCCACGAGCCTGCGAATCGGTCTCGATGCCGGCAATGCGCTGTTTTTTTTTTATAATGTACAGAACAACAACGATTTGCAGAAGACGATAACTCAAGGCGATCAAATATCCCGGGTCATTGAAATCTCCTTCCACTAGAACAAGCAAAGTGTCCAAGAACATGTACGAGTCATTTCCGCCTCCATAAATGTAGAGCTTGAGAGATGTTGAAACCAGATGAGAGGGCAAGTGTGTTGTCTGCCAAGCACCAACGGTGGTGGCTTAGGTTTCTTGCCGCACGAGCGCTGCGCAGGCTCACTAACTACTTTCAACACTTTACAGGCATTGCAGTGTGCAGATAACCATCCACCATCTGACTGGCTAATTGGCAATGCAGCCAAACTCTATCCAAACTACCTGATGCGAGCCACCAGCCTTGAGCTGATTTGCGAAGAGCGCGACAAATCGAGCAAATTGGGAACGAGCCACGCAGGCCATCAGCATAACAAAGCATGACTGAAAGATCGACGTACACATCTCGAAAGACATAAGAACCCGTGCTCATCATCGCATCGCACCGTATACTCCATGATGACATTACGACCGCGAACTAGATCACGCAGCCTCAGATCCCTGCCTGAAGATGCTAATCCCGACTTGTCGCTCATACCACTTCTCGGGTTGTCAGCTTATCTAGAATGCAGACGTCCGAATGCGAAGCGATACATCTGTGGAAGGTGGGATGACCAGCTATCTGTGAGAGCGGCTGAGAAGATAAACTGATAAGGTTGCGCTGAAGCTATGGTGGTGGCTGCTGCAGTGCGTTCGCGTGCTCTACAGGGGAGCTCTGTTGCACCTCGGCCGTGCTCTGCATACAAAAGATCTCGCAGACCTTGCTCCGTGAAGCTTTCCGTTTTCTCTGGCTCGTCCTAAGCCTTTATTTGCTTGGCCTCACAGCGCACACACAACAAGATGGAGAACAAGCAGGGCCCTATTGAGCCGGTGGTCAGCACTGGATCGGACCATGGAGGCCACAATTATGGCGACGAGAAGGTCTCCACCGGTCATCGCAGAAGCAGCGTCAACGCCGAAGTGCTGCAAGGCGAGATATTTGATGAACGCTATGAGACGACGCACAGAGGGCTGAAATCGAGGTAAGACACATTGGTATCAAGTCCTTTCTTCTATGCTAACAGTACTCAGGCATGCGCAAATGATTGCCCTCGGAGGTACCATCGGTACTGGACTATTCGTAGGATCCGGTCAAACCCTCGCGCGCGGTGGCCCAGCATTCATTCTCGGCAGCTACTGCTTCATGTCCTTTCTCATCTTCTGCGTCGTCTCGGGTATTGTCGAAGTCGCGGCCTACCTGCCCACTCCCGGTTCGTCGATGAACTTGTTTGGTTACCGCTACGTCTCCAAGTCGCTAGGGTTCGCTATGGGTTGGCTATACTTCTATTCTCTTGGTATACTGGTGCCTTACGAAATCACAGCAGCGGGTTTGGTCATTGAGTATTGGAATCCCCCTGTCAACATTGCAGTGTGGATCACAATCATGATTGTTGTTATTGTCGGGCTCAATGTTTTGCCTGTTAAGTTCTACGGTGAAACTGAGGTACATTGCGACTATACATCTTGTGATTGGAAGGAATGCTAACCAAAATTGTGACACAGTTCTGGTTTGCCGGTACAAAAGTTATCATGATGACAGCTCTGCTTATTTTGTCTTTCATCCTTTTCTGGGGAGGAGGCCCCGACCGCGACAGACTCGGCTTTCGATACTGGAAAGATCCCGGGGCAGCAAACACATATCTCGCAAGTGGCGACACTGGGCGCTTCCTAGCTTTACTATCGACCTTTGTGCTTTCAGCTTTCCCGTTCACGTTCGCTCCAGAGCTGCTGATCGCTACGGGAGGAGAAATGCAGTCCCCGAGACGTAACCTGCCTATTGCTGCTCGACGATACATCTACCGACTGATATTCTTCTACATTGGCAGTGTCCTTGCCATTTCCGTGACTTGTCCATCCAACGATCCCGCGCTTACATCGGGCGACAAAGGCGCTGGAGCGTCAGCCTTCGTCGTAGGTATCAAAAACGCCGGCATTCCCGTCCTCGACTCCATCATCAACGCCGGTATCATCCTCTCGGCCTGGTCCTCCGGAAACTCGTTCCTATACCTATCATCCCGCTCGCTCTACTCCCTGGCCCTCTCCGGCAACGCACCTAAAATATTCAAAACATGCTCAAAGAGCGGAGTGCCCTACTGGGCCGTCGCAGCATCCTCACTCTTCTGCGCCCTCGCATACCTCAACGTCGCATCCTCGGGCGCCATCGTCTTCAACTGGTTCGTCAACCTCACAAACACATCTGGCTTCATATCGTGGATCTGCTGCGGGATCGTATATCTGCGCTTCCGCAAAGCGCGAGAGGCACAACAAATCCCTTTATCCTCTTTACCCTACAAGAACAAATTTGGTCGCGCGGGCGCCATTATCTCCATCACCGGCTTCGTATTTCTTCTCCTCATCAACGGGTTCAACGTCTTCTGGCCGCAAAATTGGAACGCGTCGAGTTTCTTGACCGCGTATGTTGGGATTCCGATTTTCTTGGTGATATACTTTGGGCATCGGGTTTATTCATGGAGCGAGCCGTGGATGTATCCTCCTTTGGAGGTAGATTTGCAGACAGGGATGGATAGGGTTTTGGAGGAGGAGACGCCGCCGAAGAGTACGGACGGGGAAGCTTGGTATATGAAGGTTAAACGAGTTTGGTCGTAGAAAGGCACATTCACTCGAGGATTATTGCCAAGATTTGAAGACGGCGCATCACATAGCATTCAATATTGGAAGGTGGTGCAGGTAATGAAGACAATTATGATGAGAAGGAAAATCAATCCGAGTATTCAATTTCCCTTCTCGTTTTCTCTTGACTGAAACCTGATGCCCATCTGTAGTTATCTTCCGATATCCCCCAGATATTACAAAAAAAAAGACTTGTTTATACAAGCCCATATTGACCTAGATCATCCCTCTTTAGTTCTCCATCTTCACATCCCCATCCCCATCCGTCTTTCCCTCCTGATCAACCTTCATATTATCCTGCTTCTGGTACTCCCTGAACGCAGGCATATACTGACCAACGCCCTCGTATTTGCTCTTGATCGGTGGGTACTTGGTCAAAGGCCTAGGGGGAGATGCCTTTTCGCGATCAGCTTGGGCGGTGTTGGCATCGGCAGTGGAAGGATGGGCGAGTGCCTGAGGATTCTTGGGTTGAATAGGCAGGGTGATGAGGCTTGGAGAAGGAGAAGCGGGTGCGGGAGCGGGAGCGGCGCCGTTCTTGAGGTGGAAGGGCAGGTTGAAGGTGTTCGACATTGTGTTTTGGTTGTAGGTTCTCGTTTTGAGAAGTGAGTTGTTGATGTTCTGGCTTTGTTGCTGCTACTTTGTAGTGGTAGTGAAGTTGGTGGTGGTTTTGGTAGTTTCCGAGAGTGAGGTTGAGGTTGAGCGAAGATATGGTATGAGTGAGAATGTAATCAGCAGAGGTATTTGTAGTAGTGGTGGTGGTTTTGGTCGTTCTCTAGTATGAGGTTAAGATCAAGTACAGTTGAGTGCGTGTGAGACCAAACCTTTATGCCAAGAGCTTGCGGCGAGAGGGTCACTGCTTTGAACTTGCAAACATATTCACCTTGAATTGAACTTTTCACTCTCCTTATCTAGCCCTTTGCGCGCACGCAGTGATCCGGTCTCTATACATTGTGCATACGACTTCAACCTCCGCACAACTACCTACAACTCGTCGTGAAGCTGTGGCTTCCTACTCGTTTCGCAGGACATATGACCCCGCATTTGCTGTGATTGTAATTTATCGATGCTGTAGATTGTTTTTAGCGTAGCGTTTTCAGAAGTTGTGTCTTATGTACATCAACAATAGTCGCCCGCGGCCCTTATGTACTGTTCAAGTCTATGCAAATAAACAATGCCGCACCGCATTCAGTCAATGGTCCTACAGATAGCAATGTCAATATAGCCGTCTGGATCTGATGTCTTATTCCCTCTCTACAAGTCTGCAGTCCGATTCCCAAATACGCTGCAGTATGTTCGTGCCTCACCCTATGACCTCACCCACTTAGCCCTCCTTCTGTATTCCTCCATCTCCCTCGCTAAGTCCACCCCACCATAACAGGACTCATATTAGACTACTGACTGCCCTTTCAATTCGACTATATAACCACAATAATTGGGATCCTCTTCTGTCAAGTACAGGCCTTGACAAGACGCGGAGGACGGGAGTGACCAAGGTAAGTGGTCCCCTTTCTTTTTTTGATTTTTTTTCGTGTATGGGGGAAAAGGTGAGGAGTACGAGTCTTGGTGTTGGCGTTTCTTTTTTTGTTCATTTGCTACTTTTTGGTGTTGTTGAGGGAGAGGGGACGGGGTCTTGAGCTAGTCTTTTGATAATTCTATCTGCTACCGCTATGATGGCGAAGATCTTCGATCCATGTTATCACCACATCACGAAAGAATATATATTGAAATTGATATCGATTATTGTGTTGGGCTCGAGCTACCCTAGATGTCAATATAGTCGACTGTTGGAAGAAAGGTGTTGACGATTCCCAGGGCAATGATACCCCGGAAGCTTTTTACCCACCTCCCGTCATTCAGAACTAGGAGCGGCTCATCTAGATACAAAGGCAATCTGAAAAAAATGAAAACATTGTTGAAAATAAGTGGATTCAGGGTAGTGCGGTAAGTTTGGATAGGACATAGAGAGCATAGATATAGGCCCTATTGATTGCTCACGAGCTGGTTGTTGACAATTCGATAATTGCTCTTCATAAACATGAACCCACACAACTCAGGCAGAGCAAACAGCACGCTTTAAACAACTTTATTTCGTGTGGAAGGGGTAGGTTTTCCCTTGTTCGTGGTAGCTGACATACTGCGTGGTGGCCCTTCTGCCTTGCCAGCTCTATAATGTTTTCTTCCGCACGGCTATGTCCCACATCACGCACTTACACATTGTCTAAGTCTGTACCCATCGCAGAACACTCCGAAGAGCAACCCAAACCCAAGCCTGAACACCATTCGGATCATGAAATAACCCGCTGCAACTCATGGCGCGGGGAGCCTACTTCGCCAGTCCAAACTTTGCCCTTGGTCTCGCGGCTATGTCCCCCTCCCAACGCACGCACGCACTTAGCTATTGCCTAAGTCCTTACACTAACAACAAAGGCAGCGAAGCAGAACACCACAACACACACCCCAAGTCCAAGCCCAAGCATAAGCATAAACACCGTCCATACCACCAGATAATTCGCTGCATGCTGAATCGCAGTTTGGCTACCTCGCCATTCCCATCTTACTCGCTCACGGCTATGTCCAACTTCCTGCCCTCGCACGCACGTCCTTACGCATTACCTACTCTTAAGTCTGCACAAAACAGTAGCGACGAAGATGACGACGCGACGACGCGAAACAACATCCAAACCGCTCGATTCCACGCACAGGCGGAAGTCTAAACAACCTCGAAGTTTCGAGATAAACGACTACATTGGCGGAGGATCAAGCAAGTTGCAACGGCTTCGAATTAATGCAAGTACACAACATGAAATACCGATCCGTCTCTCCCGCTGGAACACACATGGGCAAATATTGGTGCACGCACAGGCAGGCAGGCAGGCAGGCAGGCCCGGCTCCAAAAGATGCGGAGATTCTACCGTTGCACATAGAGAACGATATATCGATCTCCCGCGCGGAAGCCCTCGCCCAACGAATACGTCTTCTGCTGAATCAATTCAACAAGTCGCTCGAGGAGGAGGTAAAGGAATCTACACCACCACTTTAAGTAAACAGACAACATCACGAGGGAAAAATACCGCACGAGGAGAAAAGAAAAGTAGGACAAAAACCCAACAATGTCTACGTCTATCTATGCATCTATGACTTACTTAACTGACCACAGCAGAATAAGGAAGAAAGAAAGGGTATAAAATCAAGTCCATGTTCTAAAAACGCAAAATCCACACCCACACACCCAAAAAAGAAACAGGTGCCAGGAAACATCTATAACGACGACCCTACACCACACCGAATTTCTCGCAAATCCCTTTCCACCGCCCACTCCTCAGCGCAGCCGGCATACTCTTCACCAAATCCTTCAACCTATCTTCCTCATACACCAAGCGCTCAAGGCTGATAGCTTGCAAGATGTAATTTGCTACGGTGCTCTGTGCGAGCGGGGGGTCACGCAGGTGGTGAGCGATAGCCTCGAGGGAGACGTTCTGGATGTGCCAGAGATGATAGGCGCGGAGGTGGGGAATGGTAGCGCGAATGCGGGATGTTTGGGGTGAGGGGATGGTAGAAGGAATGGTGGAGTTCAGGTAGTGTTGCGCCCAGTTCGTTGCTATGGTGTACGGGGTGGGATGAGATGGTTCGTCTGTGGCGGTGGTTGTGGGATATAGGTCGAGTTCAGAGCCGGAATCAGTAGTATCAACGCTCGTTGGTGGCTGGTTTACTAGAGCTTCTGGCAGGGCTTCTTGTGGGTCTGTCTGAGTCAATCCCTTTTCAATGTCTATGTATTGCAATGCTTCTTCTAGTTCGGGGTCGCTGAATTCACCGGACTCTTCGTCGTGTACAGCTTTGAGGGGATTGGACTGGGCCGCATCCCTCTGTGGCGCATCTTGCTGGATCTGATGCTCTGGAATGCTGGAAATCGGCTGCTCATCAGACACATTGGCTTCCTCTGGCGACAGCGTGGGAAGCGATGGGTACCCTGGATCGGCTTCCTGTAGTTTCGACAGGTTGAGGCGACCGATAAAGCGTGTACGAACAGGTGAAATCTGATCAGCATCTACTGGAGCATCCTGGGCGCTGGCTATTTCGCTTTTCCGTGGAATGTATTCGCCGTCAGGATCATCATTTCCGTCAGCCTCTTCCCACTCTTCACTTTCTATATCCTCCTTGTTTTGGGCCTCGAGCTCCTCCGCTGCAGTCTCGTATTCTTGCGTGTCTTCCTCCTCGGCTTCCTCAGGCGACATCCCCACCAGCGCTTCTGCGACGATCTCAGCCTTATTATTTTTCAGGGGTTTCTTTGCGCGCGATTTTTTAGTGACACCTGATGGCTTGGGTCTCGATGGTGGATCGTCGTCACAAAGTCGAGGTAAAGGCCGAATGGGATCGAATTGCTTTCGCTTCGCCTCCAAGACGTCATACAAGCAGACGCCAGCATACGCATCGGCGGCAGCATAGCGTATTTGATGATAGTCCAGCATCTTGCTCCAATCGCTGGTGCGAACGCTTTGCCTTTTGAGCCATTCTACTCTTTCTTTTTCGTTTTCGGGCTCTGGATCATCTGTCAAGGCTTCCCCTTTGTACAGGGGTAGTCCGAGATGCCGCCGGACTTGTGTTGCCAAAGTTACGAGCTTATAGTCGGCTTTGCTAGGGTCTTCGGCTTCCACGAGATTGTGCGTGCGACTGAGTTCCATCACGAATCTGGAATGAATGTCCAAATATGTTCTCAAGCGAGTGAAATCACCCTTGACAGCAACGCCTACTTTGAGAATATCTGGAGATTCGAGTATCTTCTTCAAAGTAGGAGGAACAAGGTGCTCGAGCTTGTAACCAGGGAAAAGCGCAATATGAAACAAAGCAATCCGACTCTCTGACGCGATTTGAATGAGGGACGCGTTCTCCTTCCTGCTAGACCGCAACGCATGGATTTTCCATTCAATATCGAAGCCCAGCACCTTCTCTCCCAGAAAATGCTTGGCCGCAAGCTCAGAGACTTGTATGTTTGTGCAATAGTGAGTAACGACTTCTTCGCCGTTGGGGCCTCGATACATCCTATGACTCCAATAGCTAGCTTTGGACCCTTCCGGAGCTTCCTGTGCGGCGACCATGATGTCTGGGGGTATCTGGTAGGAGAAGGGGATGTGTTCTTCTTCGGCAGGCTGCATCTCAGGCTGAGATTCGGTAGGGACGTCGGAAATGTTTATTTGCGCGATGTTGTTGGCGAGGGAGATAGCGGCTCCTTCATTCCAATCTGTGTTCCCTGTTCCTTGAAGGTGGTTATTGAATGGCTGAGGCGACACGGTATCCTCGTGTGAAGAGGTCGTTGAAGGTTGCATCTGTAATCGAGGGGATGGATGGAATGGCAGTCGAGAGGCGTCATGTCCCACGCTACCAAGTGTGCTTCCTGCACCAGGCCCAGCAGTACCAATATATCCCCAGCGCTCAGACGTGGAGCGGGTCTGCCCGTTCGGTGATGGCTTTCTGTGTAGTTCATAGTCGTCGCGGTGGGTGCGGAGCTGGGTTTTGCGGCCAAAATGCTCCAAGGGCAGCGGGGAATCTCGATCTGAAATCATTTCGTCGTGTTTTATAGGGTCGGGGGACGAGGAGTACGGTGTTGGCGTGAGTTTCGACATCATTCGCGTTCTCGGTGGTGGTGGTGGCGGGGTGAGACTGGGAATGTTTAATTGACTACGCTTCTCCAATTATATGAAGCTGGGGGAAGTACCTAAGCACACGCCATGCGAGTCTAGAGGCAAGCATTCGCCTTTTCACAAATGCAATCGTCGTGAGTCGTGGTGAAAGAGCGTGGTATCGAGCTGCGGCACGAAACGCGCGCTGCCGACGAATGAAAGGCTTCATGGACCTCCATGGTCTGGCTGCGATAGGCACCAGGCGTCGCAGGTCACAGGGTCGGAATGAATGCAGCTTGTTTGTTTGGACGAGAGGACGTCTGCCTGTTGCTAATGCATGGATTTTAGGTAGTCAAGTAGCGGAGGCATCAATAAATCAATCCCCGAGTCGCTTCGTTGTCGACAGAAGGGCAAACGCGACTAAACCCGCTTGGGCACGCGTCGCGGGCGGCTGCTGCTTGCTGCGGCTGCAAGTCGAGGGTATTTGGCCAAGCCTTTCACATCAATTGCGGCTCCAACATCAACACCACCACCCAGACGATCAACCCGTTCAACCTCATTCCAACCGGTCACTTAGATTAGCCCGTTGTATAAGCGGAGTCACTGCAGCTATGGCGTTGGAAAACCTTCTCCCCCTCGGTGAGACGGCCTGTCGCACCGTTTTTTATTCGAGGCGAAAGAGCTAATTTCGGCGACAGAACTCATCGACAAATGTGTGGGCTCGAAAATCTGGGTCATCATGAATGGCGGCAAAGGTATACCATTTTTCCATTCTGGACCAAGCAGCTCGGACGGATTGGGCTCACGATGGACAGAATTCGTTGGCAAACTCATCGGTTTCGATGACTACGTTAGTAAGTCACACACACATTGTGCATCCGCCGTTCACGACCGAGTTCTTTCAACTAACTTCCTTTCCTCCTAATGTTAGACATGGTCCTTGAAGATGTCACCGAAATGTGAGTCCAAGGGTTGAAAAATACATCTAGCATTTGCGTCTAATGTAGAAACAGCGATGCTATGGAGGGCAAATCCCAGCTACCCAAGATTCTTTTGAATGGCAACAACATCTGCATGGTAAATTTCGCCCGTGTTCATTCGTTACCATCCTACCAGAGGCTAATTTGAATAAAAAAAGATGGTGCCGGGAGGAGACGGGGAGATCGTCATGGATGAGGAGTAGGAGTCGATGCGACGCGATCAAACCCCGACAAAAAAGCACGACGACATGATGAAAGGGAAACTGCGCTGATCAGACTTCATACATATGACGCTGAGTACAGGTGGGGATGCGTTCGTCTGTGAGAGCATCTGGTCTCTGTGGATTGCATGCCTGTGGATTGCACAGCTGTTTTTGAACAGCTGCGCAAGGACTCGTGCTATGTGCGGCATCTCGACGAGCAAGTATCTCAGGCTTCGATACGGGTGGATTCACAATGCAAGAAGCAATGCCACCAAAATAGCAGCAGTTGATTAGCTGCCTGAAAGAATCTGATAACAACATTCAAAACCATGATCCCCACAATAGGTATCCACGTTAACACGCCGGTCAGACGTGTGTCCACAGACATGCACATGTGAGCTGAACATTGAAACGTTCAAAATCGATGGTTCGAAAAGCTCCACTTCCGTTCAAATGTTTGCACATGCGGACCCTTTCCCATGCACGTGACCGGGCGCTCGAGCCGAGAGACAGACAGCAACTGCCAGCACGCACTGCAAACGCAAATGCAAACGCAAAAATAAAGCAATCACGATGGTTAACAGTGGGCCAGGGTTTTAGTGATTCCACATGGGCATCGAGGACGCGAGTGACATCGGGAATTCAAATCCCATGACGACCGTTTTCGGCCAGGCGGAGTGCGGCACCGAAGCGCGCAAGACCATGACGATGTTGCGCATCACTATGCGCTCAGATGCAAAAGCCAGAAATGCGGAGGCTGACCCGACAAATTGCCATGTCAGATTGTACGGCAAGTGGTGAGATCCCCATGAACCACAGTGGCGTTTTTGCAATATCTGAATGGGCACAAGACAGGAAGTTGATGATCGTCGACACGACCATGGTGTGAGGGGGAAGGGGTCGCGATCTAAGATGGCTAACAGCATCGAAATGCTGCATCCGAATTGTACATATGGGTCGATCCACATGCATGCCATTCTGAAAAGTCGACCGACCGATGGATGCTTCACCAAAGTTTGCCACTGTTGGGCGCTTGAGCTAGGGTCTGATTAGGATCAACCGACCGCCACACTGCCAGCGCCTGTTCCCCCCATGCTGTACTTGCTCTCCGCTCCGCTTGACGTCTGATGTCGCTATCAGTTTATCGACGTGCTTACAATTCATGATTGGTTCAGACGACCGGGCAGCGGAAAGAGAGAGGGGGACTCTCGCCCAGACCTCCTCCCCACCTACACGCACCCTGTCCACCCCCTCTCGGAGGCTTCAAACTGGAGCTCTAGACTCGTACCGTCCTTTGGGCCGTCTTGCTCGGATCGACCGTGATCGTCTCGCGGGCAGGCCTCTAGCAATCCACTCTGGCATGCCAGGGGGGCGGTAGTTCGTCAACCAACAAAGGAAAATCAGGAGCAGAGAGGTCGCACGTTGTCGTGGGCCGCCGCTACTCGCTTGGTTGCCTCGAAGGAGCGTGGATCTCGATGTTGATGGTTTCCACATTGCGCATATCGAAGATCTCTACGCTCCCCCCCCTGAGTCCTCGCTTAGGTCCCAGTGCAGTTATACATGCTAGGCATGTACGCTATATACATGGCTGTGATCACAATACTATTAGTTCGCAATTGAGGGAATCTGCTGTGCAACTCGTGTCATTTACTGGGTAAATGCATGAAGTGAGGTGGTGGGAGGGACTCGTCATGAAATGAAGTGCTAGACCAAGACGTGGCGCGATGATAGAAAGAAGACGGTCTTTGGTGAAGGGTGTTTTGATTTTCTTCGACAGCCACAGCAGCAGCTGCAGATGCAGGCGCATCACAACGTCAACCCACTTCAACTCGCATCCAAAAGGCGTGCGTGCGTGCGTGCGTGCGTGCGTGCGTGCGTGTAGCGGTAGTCTGGTCGGAGCAAATGTCAGGCGGAGTCAGCGCTTCTTGTGCCAATGCCATCACTGGCTGACCGGACAGCGAGAAAAAGGGCGTTAGCAGAAGCAGACGGGGTTTATGAGCAGGACTTGTATGGTTCAGTTCCTTGCCCGGCTGCCTGCCTGGTTTCTTTCCATGCTCAGTGGTTCCATTATTATTATTGTGCCGGCACCAGCAACTCCCTCCCCTCCGCCATTCCCAATGTGTTGTCGTTGGCTCGTTTCGCGAGTGTCCCTGTAAACACGCGACTTGGTCGATTCACATTCTAATTCTCGATCGTCAAGTCGTCTTGGCCATCGGATCAGCCCTTGTTGTCCACCCAACGTCGTCTTTTATCGGCCCTGAAGCTTTCCCGCGCCTGTCCCACGCTCGCTTTCTGACTGCAGTTCGCTCGCCCGGTACGTAAAGCGTGTGTACTGACTGCGCCTTGGCCTCGTCCCTACAAGCTTCCTCCCCTGCCGCCCGTCCTGTCCTAACCTGTACTGCACTGCTCTCTGCTCATGCTGCCCTCATCAAATCGTCAATACCCCCTCTCCCTTCTCGGCGCTTGCCGATCATTTTGACTGTTCTGACCTCACAGGGTGTCGTCTTCCAACTTGCTAGACCTCCCTCTGCCGGGCTGCCTTTCCAACCCCAAAATTTTCTGCTTCCCTCCCACCATGTTCCTTACTTGCACACCACCATTGCAGCTCTGACACAACCAGATCATCTTACCCATTCTGCCCGTCATGGTCACGCCACATGCCCTTTGCTGAGAGCCTATTCGCGTCTTCCAATCCCCGCACACTGCCTGCCGCTCTCGCTGCTCTTGCTCTGCGCTGCTACATTCTGATCCGCTCTGCCCCATTGATTGCTGCTTGCTCTGCCTCGCCGCACTCTCTGCTGCCTGGCTGCTGGATTTTCCCGTTCCACACTGCCAGACCCTCCGTCACATCGTCCCTTTGCCCGACTCCCCGTTGGTTGGCGAATGGTCGATATCCGGTCCCACGTGTGTGTCCTTCCAAGGACGCGCCCAATGCCATTCGGTTCTCATCTATATCCTGCTGGCCGCTGTCCGGGTCGTGCCTGCGTTAGGAAACCGACTTCGAATCCAGATCCCATCCATCAACCTACTCCCTGTTGGGCGCACCGTTGCTCGTAAAGCGCAGCGCACCCGCCTTTGGCCGCACATTGCTGCAATCTTAGCCTTCTAGCACGAATCGGTCCGGGGACCCACACCTCCTACATCCCAAGTCACGTTGCCGTACGTACGTACCTACCTATGGACCAGGAGTAGAATCCCGACCACACAACAACACTTACTCTTCTTGCGCTTTTGCGCCCTGCAACACTTCGACACACTACTCTTATTTCGTATACTGTATTTCCCTTCTCTTCGGGCCAAGCCTCCAATCGGCTTTCCGCGCCAATCATATCTCCATCGACACAAAAAGTCCATTTCCTAATTCGATATTTTTTTTTTGTTTACTTACCACTACTGCTACACACTACTGGCCCTATATTGGCCACAGCCCACCACCGTCGCCACACCCACAATACCCTATCTATACCTACCCTGGTCGTCACCTCTCTCACCCCACCTCTCGCCGCAACATCAGACGCCAGGCTTGTCTACACCTCAATCTCACCCTGGCCGTCGTGAACAAACTTCACTTTACCTGGTCCTGCCCCAAAAACATCCTCGCCAGATCACCTACATGAGTGATCTTGGGGAGCGGTTGGAGCGAGTGGGCCTGCCCCAATACTTGGACGCATTCGTGGCAGAAGGGTTTGATACTTGGGAAACGGTGCTGGACATAACCGAATCGGATTTGTAAGTCTTGGCAGTTCATCCTTCTTCTTTCGTGATCATTGCTTACAGTCATATAGAAGTTCCCTCAACGTCAAACTTGGTCATCGAAGGGTAAGATGCATCCAGCCTTTTGTTCTTGCTAAAGCTTCAAATGTTGTTTTTGCATCCAGCTTCTAACTCGATCCCACAGAAACTCCAACGTGCCATCGCAGAGTATCGGGGTCAATCCTATGACCGTCCATTGCCAATAGGTTTGAACAAAGGCACAAGTGTCGATGGATCCTACCGAAGCGGCGAAGAGTCGGGCACAGAAACGAGAGGACAACCTGGTGCCGGTGCTTCCTTGGGCAGCACCACATCTACCAAACGCAAGTACAGGCGGCATCCCAAAGTTAGTTCATTCCGCCTACATCTGTGTCCATTTTCATTCTCGTTTGGTCTCGGATACCTGGCTCTCCCCTCTTTGGAACCGATTTTCTGACTTTTCAAGCCCGATGAGAATGCCCCGGAGCGTCCCCCCTCTGCTTACGTCATTTTCTCCAACCGTAAGTTCCACGCACACCACTGATTGCCCATCCAACAATCGCTGACCACAACAGAGGTACGCGAAACCTTGAAAGGCCAAGATTTGTCCTTCACGGAAATCGCAAAAGTGGTAGGCGAACGATGGCAGGTGCTACCAGCTGAAGCGCGAGAGGCTTGCGAAAGTCAAGCGAATGGCGCAAAAGAAAAATACTACACCGAATTGGCAGAGTACAAGAAAACGGTCGAGTACGAAACCTATCAAAAGTATTTAGAGGAGTTCAAAGCCAAACACGCAGCGCCTCAGAAAGGTAAGAGTAAGTCAAGACTTTCCGCTTGATTGCTCTGCGCTTACAGATGTAGAAGGAAAGCGGTCAAAGATAGAGAGCGAAACGGCCGCATCAACTCGAAGTAACAGCCATGAGAATCCCCAAGCACAGGCAGACCGCCACCCCGGCAGGCGGATAAGTTTAGTACCGGAGCGCTCGCTATCTGGAGGCCAACAGTCATCGGAATCAAGCCCTCCTGTAGGTCCTACCCGGCTTCCCCCAGGCCCTTCACATCCTTCAAAATCGGCATCGCCTGCAACACACTCCATGTCCGGCTTCAATTCCCCGCGGATGAACGAATACTCTCCCATGTCCGCATCTCCTCGTTCGGCGACACTACAAAAGGAAAACTCCTTTGAGACATCGTATTCAAGTGCAATGGCAAGAGACGCCCGCGGACAAGCCGACTCCCACATGCCGTATGCGTCATCTTCATATGGCCACCCCTCGTATCAACATTCCAACACCAGTACCTCGCCTCCCACATACAGCTCACATTACCCCCCGATAGACCTCCCGTCCAGGCGTTCACATAGAGAACTATCACGACTTCCTCCCCTCACGCATGAAGACACGACATTATCATCTGACAGCGGCGGTGGACAAGGTGGACAGACCGGGCATGTCGGGTACAGTGGCCCTACCCTCCCTTCCCTCGACGCTCCAAAAAGTCTACGACATCTCCCCGCCCCTGTCCCTAGCATAGCCGCCACACCCTCTCCTCTCGATCGACCACCACCTCCTCCAACCGTACAATCGCAGCAACAGCAAAACCAGGGGCCACAGCCTCCACCCCAAATGGTGCAATTACAGCACCCCCCACCGGATATCCGCAATTCCTCTTCGCTTGCTGCACTGCTTCGAGCGAGCGAGCTGGTCAGCAAGGTCGCTGACGACGAGGAAATGGAAATTGATAAGGAAAGCTCGCCTCCGTGAGCTCGAGGGCACCACTAGACTTCGACACAATGTCTCCTGGACCCTAACCTATCAACCACCTCAATTCCTTCAATTCCGAGACGAATCACACACACGCACATACATACCCCACCTCATTCTACATGTTTCACGCCTCTAGTTTTGGGCGTACTTCGGTTGTTATTTTCCGCGGTCGATTGGTCTCGTCGGCCTTTGATCTGCGTACCTTTGATTCCCCCACCCGCTCCCCATATCCTGTCTGTCTCTAGAGCTTTGAAGCACCAGACATACGGATTCTGGAGTGGAACATCGTTGTTTTAGGTATTTGAATGTGCGGCTCAAGAAAGAGAGGGGCGGAGAGAGAGAGAGAGAGAGAGAGAGAATACATGACAATACATATTTTATCTTTTTCCAAAACAAATCAAGTTTTTCGACAACTAATAAACAGTTGCACTCTTTAATTGTCTGCTACCTTGCTGAATTCTACTTTCGACTAATCAATGTCTCTTCACTACTAGGAAAACTGGGATCTTGTCCTTATTATTCTTGTTTCTTTTCCGCCTGGCTTGAATCGAAACTCTTTTTTTCCATCAAGTACCGCCACTCCCCAACTCCCCCCTTTCTCCTGTTTCTTCTCCTCACCTCTTCATCTCTCTCAATAGCAAGAAAGAAAGAAAGAAAGACATCTATCCATTAGTGTCTACAGCACAACTTAGAAAAGGGGAGGACGCGCAGATTCGCTCTCCGCCCTCCCACTCAGCGCCTGACCCCACGTGGAGACCGCGGGGAGAATTTGGAATGCGAATGTCGCAAGATTTCGGTCAACATGAGCATGGCATTTCGATGTGGATTGCGGTATTTTTCTCGTTGGTTGGGTGGGTCAGGGGTGTGGTCTGGATTGTGGGGTTCGCAGATTGAGGTGGCGAAACTGAAGGGAGGGGTTGGTGGGTTGGTGGGTTAGGGTATGTGTTTGATGATGGTTGGATGGGTGGGATTTATCTTGCCTGTCATTGTAGATGTGTGTGTGTTTGTAGGTTATAGAGGTGAAATTGGGTGGTTGGCAATTGTAGTTTTGCTAGATTTGAGTGTATGAGGTTGGACGGATACATGTAACTACCTACGGTACCCGTGATGCGTAGAGAGATGAGAGATGGAATAGATGGGTACTCGGTAGCGATTCAAGAACCACCGTCCGTCACTCAAAACATGCGAAATCTCGAAACGAGTCAACCAAAGCTCCCTCACCTCGATCCGCCTCTTGATCAGATCAGACCACTTCCTTCTCACGTTGTATGATCGACATGGCAAAGTCCCGAAATGCGACTCCCTGGTATGCGGATGTCGATTGCGGAATATGCATATGCACTCCAATTTCTTCTCCACTTTAGGCCTTGTGCATATGGGATTTGGAGCTAGCTAGCTTGTATACACATTAATTCAACGTCCCCGCCATGTAATGCAGACCCTATCCACTGGACAGGCAGGAAATACGAATTCTCGTTGCTGGCTGGGTGATGGGAAGCATGGGAGTAGCTTCTTGCATATGAGCATGCAGTAAAAAAAAAGAAATACACAAATACATATTTATTGCTATTCATGTAAGCCCTTTCAAGTATCCCATGGTTACCTGTGTCCTGCAGTGATCTTCGAGCGTAGGTATGGGAGCTGCGTGTATATTGCAAGGAGCCCTTTTACACCAGTCCCTCCAAAAGCTAGCCCCCAATTTTCGACGGTAAGATTACCCAGCAAAAATTCATTGTCGAATTGCCTAGAGAATAAATACCGGAATTGAAGAATGGCCATTGTTTCACATATGCAGGAAAAGAGCGGGAAAGTACCGGATTTCTGCGTGTTCTAGAAGGGAGGGGATGAGGGGGAAATCCCCCCCACTCGGGTGGCGAAAAAGTCATGTAGGGTAGAGTACGGGACATGTGCGGTCGGGATTTTATGCCGGGGTGGTGCGGGAGAACTCCATCCCTCCAACTACCTACTCCCAACTTCGCACCTCGTTACGAGAGTTAACCTTCGAGTTTTTGTTGCCATCTTGCCAAAATTGCTTGGCTTGAGTACGATTTGTGGGTCGGTTCCGTTTCGTCGTTGAATCGCTTTGCATTTTGTAACCTGCGTTTAAAGTGTGGGGTAGTCGGAGACCCTGTGTTGGTGGGCTAGGTCCGGCTAAGCAAGCAAGCTCGACTGCGATTCACGTACGTTGCGGGAATGAGTGCGAGTTTGGATGATCCGTTTCAGGGGGACGAGAGAGCGGATAGTGGGCTTGATGAAGCTATTGGGGCCCATCCACCCGTGCATCCTATGATTGCTTCCGGTGTTGAGGCGAGCGGAAACAGCGGGATAGCATCGACGAAGCGATTGATGCTTGAGCCATTGAATGTGCATCAAGTTCCTGCGCATCCTGACCTTGAGGGACTTCAAGAAAATCCGCCTACTATAGAGGAGTTCCTGCGAAGTTTGTTTGTGGAAGCGGATGCTGAAATTGAGAGGCCGAGGAAGAGTATTGGGAAGTTCAAAGACGAGATTAAGGACGGCGAGGGGAATAAGTTTGCGGTTGAGGTGAACAAGTGGAAAAGCGAGGGCGAGGGAAGTTCGCATCATGGGACGTGGTTTGGGAGGTCGAGTGAGCATGTGGAAGGGAGGCCGGTTGTTTTCGATGAGCTGCAGGCTTGCTTGATGAAGGGTCATGAGCGGAAGGAAGCCGAGTACACGCCTGCCATTTATGATGTCAATACGGTTTTGGAGTGGGATATGGAGGGTGAGGTGAGATGGAAAGTTCAAGAGACGTTTGATGTGCGGACAGGGTCGATGAAGGAGATCGAAATGAGGAGTAAGTTGTTGTTATTGATTCCTCATTTCCAGGGGTTTCAACATAGATATATATATACTGACATGTATGTTTGTAGTAACGCAGATGCATCACTCCATGCCAGGCGGCATCCTCGACGATCGTGTCTTTACTGTCCTCATGATCTCTTTTGTCAACACCGACCCTCCTGAGGATGTACTTGCCGAGTCCATCAACATGCAAATCCCAGTAGATCTATTCTCCTTTCCTCCTCTTGTAGTATCGCGAAGCCATGTCCATCGTGATCCTTCGTCGAAGAAATTGAGCTACAGGAATGCTCGCACCGACACATCAGAGCAGTTGTCCAAGTCGAAGCAAGGCAAAAGTGTGGTCGAGGGCAGATACGTCAGCGTCGAGAGGGTCCAGAAGATTGAGAAGAAAGACGACGATAACATCGACGTAATCGTAACGCAGTGGGACATGAAAACAGCTAGTGATGCTGGAGGCAAGCTGCCCATGGCGGTGCAAAAGCTTGGGGTACCTGGAGCTATATCAAAAGACGTCCCGTTAGCTTTACAGTTTGTGGTTTCGAGGAGAGGGGCAAGTGGGTAGGTCATCGCGGTTTGTTTGGCTGTTCTTGACGGGTGTGCTTTAGTCAGGTCCAGGCAAGTGTTTGCTTCAAAATGAGTAGTATATATTTTCACCGGGAGCGCACACTACTACATATTTTTACCGCAGATACCGTTGCTCCCTTACCTTATCTTCCAACAACCGGGCCTGCCTATACTCTCTTGTTCGCTCTATCCCCCTCTGCGTCCACGGCGTCGCTTGCTGTCCCAGCTTCGCTCGCTGTGTAGCCATGGCAACAAGTGACGCGAAACAACACAAGCAACAATACCCGTCCCTCGGCGCCTTCCTGCGGGATATTCTTGAGAAAGACATACCGGCAGCCATTGTTCAGTCAGTCAAGTTCAATCTGCCTGACGACGAGCTGTCAACGCCAAGCCTTGTTGCTCTGCTGGCTCCCCTGGTTCCTCGAGGTAAGTCCCCTTGCCGGAAGTCACCTCACTTTCCTCAATATTGTGAGTCACGGGACAGATTTTGCTGACTGATCACGCGATAAACACAGGGCAGCTGCCTCCACAAACAGCCCACCCCCCTCTCACTCTCGCCGCCCTTCACCTTTGGAACTTGCAGCAACAATACCGCAGCCCCATTTCCTCCTCCTCTCCCTCACTCCCTCCATATCCATCTACCTGTCCCTTCTCATACCCATCAATTGTGCCTCTCTATTCACGACCCCCATCCTCCTCTCTGGCTCTGCCTGTCTTGCCATCCTCTTCTTCTCTGCCCCGCCATCCCACTCTGCCCTCTGGCTCTGCACTCTCAGTAGACGGGCTTGCCAAAGTACCACGAAAATTCCTCATTCAAGTCTACACTGAGCTCCTCATCGGTTTGTGCAAGAACCTCGAGTTCATCGAGTACCCTGCAGCCTGGGAAGGCAACCTGTCACGCACGTACGAACGTATTAAGCGTCGTGACAAGTGGTATGCGCGGCTGCTCGACGACGGGACCATCAGATTCGTCAAGCTAGTCAGTCTCAGCAGCTCATCGACTTCTGTCGTGCTGGCTCCCGCCTCTCAGTAAGGGGCCTCACAAAAGGCGCCGGCAACTCGACTAGTAATTGTTTCTGTACGATGCCTCCTTCAGTAAGTATTTGCTCTTCTCATCGTGTCATTGTGCACTTACTAACGTTGGCCGCCCAGTCTGCCGGACGATACCCAAGCCAGAGAGCGTCTTCACCGTCTCTAATGCCGGCCACTGCAGAGGTGAGATGGTTACCCGTCTCGAGCAAATTTCAACGCGGCGTGCCTTCCCTGGACGTGGACCTCAGCCAAGCATCCGATAAGCTCATAGACTGCCTTGTTTCTCAGGCTTTCCGACACTATACCATGCCAGCAGCTCATCGCTCGCAACCGTCAACTTCAATTCACCTGACAGCCAAAGAACATGCTTTGTACAAGGCGTGTGGAATCCACGCTGAGAGAATCTCACGCAAGCGTTTCGAAGCTTGTCATGTTGCAAGACCAGTCTCTTTGCCGACCGCACCCATTCCTCATGTGTCAGAAGACAGTCTCCATCATTCGGATGAGACTCGCCTCCAGGAGAAGGGGACCTCGTAAGTCACCTTGCTGCAGCTTCAAATTAGGATCATTTACTGACATACTGCCCAGCGTATTCACTTCGACAAGCAATGTCCCTACACCTGAATGTTCGCCGTTAGATTAAATCCAACATATTCAGCTGGTCGCAGACCGTCTGGGTGACTTCAAGATATTCAGCCAAACAGGAGGGCTTTGCGACCCTTTATCTTGGAGTCGCCCGGATGGTCTGTGGTTAGTGGCATGTTGCAGAGCTCCCAACCCACCACACCGTCCCTGGAGCTCCCCCAGCAGACACGGCTGGCCACAGACGAGGAAGACAAGGTCAAACACAACATTGCTGTCGTCTTTTCCTCTCAGCATTCCCCGGTTAAAGATTGCAATATTCGCTATAATTGTGGGTTTAACAAGGGAAGTACGGGATTCTTATTCAATTATGATCGTGTAAATTAGAATCACCGGCGGCACTCTTGTCTGGAAATAAAGAAAATGCAATATCTCCTTTAAGCTTTTTTGTACGGTTTCAAGATTTACTTGAAGCTGCACTCTCTCAGGAAGACATATTGCTGCGAGGTTAATGGAACTGCATCAAAGAGAGAATGAAGTCATTTCCTGTAAAAGGCAAGACTAGCCCATCTCCGTCTCCCACCCAACAACCCCCATGGCGCGCTCAAGCAGAGCTCAGCCATACAAGTACGAAGGACGGAAAAGGAGCGGGGCTACTCGAAGATAAGAATCACGCCATATAAACGAAACTTCATTCCTGTCCCTAGCTGGCATGGATGCCATGCCCACACTTACCGCTGCATTCAACAATCTTATCACCAGAAATAAGGGCATCCTGGTAGACCATGCGACCAAATATACAGTGTTTGGGGCACCATCCGGCAGTCTTGTCAAGTTTTACTGCATGGAGACTGCAGAGACGCCCGAATTCCGTCCGGATGTCGAGACTGGCACGGAAGCTCGAAAATCATTCCCCAATCAGCATATAGACATCGACTGTTTCTTCAAGACTCAGTTCTTGCAGCAGCACTATTCAAACCATGTCGCAAGACATGTTCGTGGAGATTGCAGAGACGCCCGGATTCCGTCCGCCCAATATCCCATCCCCCAACCAGCATACAGACATCGACTGTTTCTTTGCGAACAGGCGTCTTTTTCGAGCTCAGCATACCCAGTATGTCGGCGACTGACCCCGACCAAAGTCCGCTTCCTCACCAAGAGCTACCCCCCCTCAACATCGAATATGCGTCAACGGACGAGACTCCTCACAGTGTCTTCGTACTTACGTTGTGCCGTCCCCCTGCTCCACATCTTTGGATTCCACCCTAGATCTGCTTCCTAATCAAGATCTATCACCCCAAAATCGACGGCTGGGGCTTCCTAGGAAGATTAAATGGGCACACCCCCTATACTAAGCACGGTAGTAAATCATCGCATTTCTATGCGGCACAAACACTTGGTATCATAAAACAAGATGAATCTGCCTTCAAGCTCCAGGCAGGACACACATGATCCCTCCTATACACGAAAGCAGGTTCTCGTCAGTCGTTTGCCCCCGAACTGGAATCCGACAGTCTGATTCGACTGTGACTCGACGCAGTAACACGACACAAGCTTGTGTGTCTACTTGACACAGGACTCGCGATACTTCACCTAAATACGAGCATCTTACAAGTCAGCTTCGTATCAACCAACCATTATCCTCTCTTTTATCGATGAATACATCGATCATCAACGATAATGGCGTCCGGAAGTCCGGACAGAGATAATTAATCAGGCTCTATGGTCCGCGACTTCTTCTTTCTCTATCTCAGCAATGTAATGGTAGCGAATATGCTACAAAGCAATACAAGATAGCGTCTATGAGGACGATTCGGCTATCACCAACACTCATAAACCTTGGAGTGCACACAAATAAAGACTTCATAAGAATCGATGGATCTCTCGGAAAGCTCTTTATTTGTACGATTGCCCCAAGTTGATCACCAGTAATTATCGAAAACTTGAGATGTGCTGGGCACCATCTCCAATTCTCTAACGCGGTATCGGAACTCGACATAAAGGAAGTAACTTGTCAAAGTAGGACTAGTTATGATCAAAACATCCAGTGCATTAGTTGCAACACAAAAACTCGAGATACCCAAACAAAGAAAGCTGTGTGGAAGCTTTAAGCAGGGATTTAAGTACGACAAAAACATCAAGCAACGTTAGCGGGGGAGTGAATGACAGACGTCCGCTATGATCATGTCTGGTGTTCCTGCCTCAACCAAACACACACTCCAACCCAGTTTTAATCAACGTTACAACACCAAAGGGAAATAAAGAGCAAACTTGGGCGATAATCGATGATTGTTGCTCCTTTTTGGATCCGAATCGGCGCTACAACATGGCGTGGCTAACAGACACCCGCTATGATCAATGTTGGTTGTCTCTTTTCGGATTGGAACAAGCGTTACGACGTGTTAATAACAGACGCCCGCTATGATCAATGGCTGTTGTTCTTTTTCGGATTCGAATCAACATTACAAAACCGTGTGGAAAACAGACATCCGCTATGATCAATGTCTGTTGCTTCCTTTTTAACCCAATCAGCGCTACAACATGTGTGGGAAAACAGACATCCGCTATGATCAATGTCCGCTGTCTCTTCCTTCGGGTCTAAGATGAATGGAATGTTTCTGAGGTTGTTAAGATGAAGGTCTGTTAGAATGAGCTATTCGAGTGGGGAAGTGATAGATCAGAGCCTTTATGGCTACATGTGGATTGTCAAGGTTCTTTTGGTAGTTTTACTTCCCATGTATTACATCTCAAAATGAGAACTTTATTCTAAATCATCTGCTGTACTGTTCGGCTCAAACTACGGTGCATGTCCTAGATACAGTGGTGATACTTCAATCTGTCATAGTCAAGCCTCTTGACACAAGCACTTCAAAATGTGGAAATTACCAAGTTCTCTTCGGCAACTTGGTTTCTTCATCCAATGCGGTGACACGGTCAATCATGGGAGGAGCATTAGGGTTGCTGCTACGGAGGTTAAACACAGTCAAGCGAACTAAAACCAAGGCGGAGAAGGTACGCGGGAACGAGTGGAGGGACGCGGCGCTTTGCCCTTTGGAGCGAGCAGCTGGCACATCAGGCCTCCTCAGCCTCAGCTAAAAATGCTGTAGGCGTTACGGAAGAGGGGACACGCGGCGCTTGTTATTTGTATCTATAGCTCATGCTACAGCTTCTCCTTCATTAATATTCGTACATACACCGTGGTTTAATTCCTCTGCTCGCCGTTCTATGCTCGTTCGTTGTAATAGTACCAACGCTGATTCTATTAATACTCATACACGTCACTCACAGCTAGGTAGAGCACCCTAGCCACACCTCCACCAGTTCATCTCAGGACATTCAGGGCCTTTTGCGACAACTACGCAGAACGGTCCTGAAAGGCAGAGAAAGGTGTTACGCGATGCAGAACTACGGACAGCAGCCCCCTGCGGCATATCAGAGGCCAGGGAGCACCACCAGTTTCGCGAGCGCGCCGGCACCACCGCCAGTACCCCCAGCGTATGGTAGTAAGTCACTGCACCGTCTTGAAAAGCCTCTGTCTCAGATATTCACAAGTACAACAGCTCCTCAATCACAGAATCAATGGGCCGCCCCCGCACCGAGTCACGGTCAGAACCAGAGTCAGAATCAGGGACAACAATGGGGACAACAAGCACAACAGACCGGAGGATACAATCCAAACATCTACGGTGCGATGCCTGGAGGATACTCGCAAGCGCAAGCGGTATGATACACACACACACACACACATGGAATCACTCGAAAGAAGGCACATATGCTGATCGTGACGATTACGATAGGCTCCATCGTATAATGCGCCTGCGTATCCTCCCCAACAAGACGCGCCGCCACCTCCGCCCCCGAAACCTGCCAGCTTCGCTGCTTCAGTCGCCCAGCAACAAAATTCGCAAGGTTATCCGCAGCAATCTACGTATAGTACGCAACCGCCCCAGCACAATAGTGGATACGATCAGGGGATAGGGGGATATACTTCACAAGGGGTTTACCAAGCCCAGGCCATACCGCAGCCATACAACAATGCTGCTCCTCCTCCACCGTCACAGACACCAGGAGGATCATATCCCCCATCGTCTCAAGGTCCCCCACTGCCTGCGCGGCCTGGGTCGATATATGGTGCTGCCCAGGCTGGAACTCCTTCGACGCCGGTTTCTGCCGGATCGCATCCTCTGCAACAACACCCAGACCCATCGGCGACTGCGAGCTATACACAAAGCACATACAGCCAGCCGCCGTCATACACTTATGGATACGCTGCCGGTCAAAACCAATCTTCAACGCCAGTTTCTGCTGTGTCTCAGCCTCCCATACAACAGCAGTCGGGGCCATCAGCGGCCTCAAACTATACGCAAAGCCTTCCGCCAACGTTTTCACACGGCCAGCAGTACCAGGCCAGCCAATCCAGCCACCCAGCTCAGCAAGGGCAATATGAACAGAATACCCAAAATCAATACGCCCCTCCAGCGCCGATACAGCCACAGGGCCACTATGCGCAACAAGAGAGCACACATTATCCTGCACAACATAACCCGTATGGCCACAATGTGCAGCCGCAGCAAAATCAAACGGCACAATCACCAGCCCATTTTCAGCAACAAAACAACCAGTCTTACAATCAGTACCCTCCGCAGAGTCAAACTCCACAACAAATCAATCAGCAGCCCAGTCAGTGGGGACCTCCAGAAAACCAACAATATGGGCAGCAGCAACAGCCTACACAGCAGCCTGTTCATCAACAAGGTTGGCAACAAGGTCATCAAACTCAGAATTCCTACTCGAATCAGCAACAGCAACAGAATCATCACCAACAAGGACAAACTGCAGGGATTCAGGCACCCCAGCCTATGAATGGCAATGTAGGTACTGCATCCCAAGGTTTTGTCAACGAACCAAGTCCGCAGAGCCAGCCAGTGTCTCCCCTGGCCCATCGACAGACTATGAGTTTTGGATCACAACACGACATCGGCAGAACAGACTCGATCAGCTCCATCGCACTCGGCTCTATTCATGCACAAAGGGTTGAAAACAGGACAGAATCACCTAGGCCAGCACCTAGCAATGCTCCACCTCCACGCGACACCCCTTCACAATTCAGCGCGCTTGGAATGGGAGGGCCTTCTGACTGGGAGCACTTTGGTGGGGAAGGTGACATCGATGATGAAGAGCTCCTGAGCAAGAAAGAAAACGACAAAGCCTCAACTACTGTAGAGTTACCTGCAGTAGTTCCTGCATCCTCGGTTTCCAGCAATTTTCCAAGTCCTCCTGACCAACCACTTCAGCTTCATCAACAAAGACCTGATGATTTCCAGCCTACGCCTGATTTGAGCGAGAGGGGGACGCCGACGCAAAAACCTCCACACGTCCAACAGAGTTTCGCTGTTCACGATGGAGGAAGGCATACCCCCGTGCACGGAACCCCTGCCCAACAGCAAAACTTTGTAATGAGCGATGGAGGATGGTCAGCTTCGGCCGCGACCCCACAAAATCTTTCCCAGGCATACACGACTGCTGAGCGATCGAGAGATCCGGTCGCGCAAGGGATTAGTCAAAATGAAAATGACGCGCGAATGCAGCAAGCTAATCAAGAGCTTGAGCACAAAGTTCAACAGCTGGAGTCCGCGATTCAATCAAAGGATAATGACTTTGAGGCCTTGAATCGCGATATTGAACAGCAGCAGGCTGACTCTCGCCGAGAAATTGATGAGCTCAGTGTTGTTCTTGAAACAGTGAAGAAGCACGCAGAGCAAGAGAGGAAGGCACTGGACGACCAGCTCAAGGTTTTGAAGGCTACAGTCGAGCAAGGCAATACTGACAGAGAGGCTCTACTGAAAGAGAAAGACAACGAGATCGAAAGATGGAAGGAGGACGGTGAAGGCAAGGACAATAGCGTCAAAGAAAAGGAAGGCATAATTGCCGACCTCAACAAGCAACTGAGGGATCAAAACACTGCAATCGAAGAATTGAAGAAAGAACTCGAGACTGAAAAGTCAAAGGTACCGCCCCAGCCTACTGCCGCAGCCTTGATTCCGGATATTGATCCGTGGTATGCTGGATCGTTGGAGCGCTACATTGCCATGTTGAGAGGGGAAGCCAGTGAAGCTAAAGTCGAGGATAAAATCAAGACGTTTACGGCCTTTATGAAAAACGAGTCGGGAATTCGAGGACTCGAGTACTACAACACTCCCCCACCGGCTCCGGCAGTACGGGAGCTTGTGAAACAGCCGACACCCCCTGCCGCCCAGAGGAAAAGCGACTTGAACGTTCAAGTCCCTCAGCCAGCGGAATCACCTACCGATGACATACAGTATAGCCCGGGTGGAAGGCCGGTGATGTTGCGTCGAGGCACAATTCCTGCCTCCGTTCAACCTGCGAGCGGACCTAGTGAACCCTTCACTCAATCCGGGACTATCCTCACTCCGACAAGCTCACAGGATGACGATTATGCTAGGAACCCCGTGTCAATACAATCGCCTCCAGAACAGCAATCCCAACCACAATACAAAGCTTACGTACCTCCGGGAGGAAGTCAGGCAGATCCTACGAAACCGCTACTCAACCAATCAATGTCTTTCGCAAATTCGGCTCCAGTTGCACCGCTGCAGACGCCAGGATCTGGAAAAGTTAAAGACGATATGTTCTTCGGTGGTTCCTCGTCACAGACATCATCCAGGCCAGGAAGTAGGCCGACAACTGGCACCCCGTCAGAAGTCCCATTGCCGCTCCCTCTTTCCACACCAAAGCCTCTGGGTGTCTCGAGACCTAAATCAACGGAACAAAAGGACCCACTACAATCATTAAAGACCCTGATCCCATCCAAGATAACCCCATCCAAGGCCAGTCCTCAGCTCGAAAGAGTACGCCAGAAGATGTCCACGATCTCTTCCGACACGACCTTCATCACAACCCTCACGACATCCTGGGACAAAACGGTGACGAAAACACGCAAAGAGAACGCCGACGCCCGACACAAACGCCAAGAAGAGTCGGAAGCACATACAGACCAGCTCTTCAACGACCATGAAATCTCCTACGCAGACATCGGCGACATCGAAGATGAATTCAAAGAAAAGGAACGCGAGCTCAAAGCCCAAGAAGACCGGGCCGAGTACGCGTCGTACAATGCCATGGTATTCGAAAAAGTCTACTCAACGCTACAGGAACAAATCAAGAGTCTGACAGATATCTCCATCGACGCCGAGAGCCTCCTCCAAACCTCGGCCTCGGGCGTCAAAACCCTCGATGGAGGCGATGGCCCTACCACCGAAGAATCTCTCAAAATCTTCCACGAGGTACACCAACAGATTGAGAAGCGCCACGAAGACGTCGCTGCTGCGGTCTCGGAGCGCGACAAGCGATACAAAAAGACGGAGGTCCAACCCCTGTACGCAGCAGGCAACATCGTCAAGATGAAAACCGTTGAGAAGCACTTCGAAAACGCAGAAAAGCAAGGAGTGGCGCGCGCCAAAGCAGAGAAGGCACAGCGTGCGAAGGATTTTTATAGCGTCGTAGAAGATATCGTCATCGAAGCTATCAGCGTCGAGCAGCGCGAGATTGAGGGTATCGCAAATACCCTCCAACACCTCTCTTCTTCCTCCCCAGAGGACGATGATGTAAAGGATACTGCATCCCGCGCGCGCGAAACCATCGCCGCGCTCAAAACCTCGTCTAAATCCCTCCTCGCACACCTGCACGCCCTCGAAATCGACCTCCACGCATCCGAAGCAGACGCCGCGCTCGCCCACGCAAAAGCTAGCAACTCTCCTCCCGAGGAAATCGCCGAGCTTGAAAAAGAGAAGACTCGGAAAGAAGGAGAGCTCAAGGAAGAGTTTGAGAGGAAGATCAAGGTCGTTGAGCAGGATGATGGGGAAGGGATTGGGGGTACGACGACACAGTGGAAAGGAGGGAAGAAGGACGGTGGTAGTTCGCCTCGTGGAGGAAGAGGGCCTAGCAGTGGCAGTGTCGTTCAAGCACCGACGCAACCACAGGTGCAGGTGCAGATACAGACACAAGCGCAGAGGAACGAGACGCCGCCGCTGAGACTCAGTGAAGAAGAAGAGAAGAGAATCAGGTTAGAGAAGGCGTTGGAAGCCGCCAAGAGGCGGAATGGCGATCTGTGATGATCCCGTGTTCTCCGCTTACCTATCTACCTCTCTTTCTTCTGGTTGATTCCCCGTTTACTGGCGATGGTGTTTTGGAGCTTCGGCTTTTCCTGCTTGTTCAATTCCCCTGGTCATGGTCTTGTTTTGTGTTGTTTTGTATTCATGTTATGTCAAGTATGAATATTATGGCAATTGAGCGTTCTGTATCTATTCGTTCGTCTATCCATTCATGTTCAATATCTTTTTTTTCCCTCTCTTCTTCATGTACTACGCGTGGAATGAGTGTATCCATATAACAAGAGCCACGATCCTCTTTCGTCAAACCAACCACTTCGTTATACCAACCACTAAAACACTGGATGATGTGAGAGCATCGCAAGCACTAAATCTAGCACAATATTAAAAGTGATAATGATTCATCGCATATTAGCACAATATAAGCATCGAGTTGTTGGGTCATGGTCTTTTCATGCTGAAGCGCACGGTATCCACTCAGTAAACTACTACGCAAGTATAGTAAAACCCAATTAGGTTGTGTGTAGGTACACATTCCTTGGACAGGTTCCTCAATCCAACACGCAGCGTAGCTCTCATATATCTTCCTTGACCTTAGTTCATACAAATTCAAAGAGGAACCTTCGCATATATTTTTTCCAGACTGCCACAGGCGCGCAGCATCAATCGGTTCTCACTAGAAACCGATCAACTCGACTACGACATTCGTTTGATACTAGTTGTCCACCTCTCCCTCTCTGTCTCCCCTTCCTATCCTCCTCCTTTCTCCACTTCTTGCAAATAGCTTAACGCGAGTATCAAGACACCACTCACAGCTTCCAGATCAGTGGGTCAGGCCAGTCACAAAAAACCCCTGCAGCGAACCAACAACCTCCGCATTGGCTACAGTGAGAAATGAGTCGAGAAGCAAGAAAGCAGTGAATAGTCACTCATTCACACTTAAGCTCATTCACAGCACACACACACATACTTCACAAGAGTCAACAAGACACAGTTGCTAGTAGCAAAGTTTTCCATATTCATACATGAGATAAGATATATAGACATGTAGGTATGTAGAAGCATGCATGAAAAGGGCAGGAGAATGGATGCGAGTACGCTGATAGCTGCAGCTGCAGCACAACACATGCTCTCTTTGCAGATGGAACCTCAGAACCCACAGATCTGATTTACGCCATCTTTCCCATTTCCCCGAAATCGTGTCCCTCCTGGATCCATATGAGAAAACGCTAGACACAATCTTCACATACACCTGGGTCTCTCCCTCTTTCCCCACTATAATGGAGGAAAGCTGTGGGAAAGATGAGGGGAAAAAACAATACAAGTTAAAATCTACACATTTTATGCTCTTTTCATCATCCAGTCTGATCGATCGGGATTGGAGGGGAAAAAAAGGAAAGTGCTTTGTAAAATAAAAAGGAAGGAGAAAAAGGAGGAGTTGGTCTCCTCGCTACTCCACCCAGCATGAAGAAGATAAAAGAAGAGGAAAGATGATAGAGTAAGAAGTAAGGCCGAGGAAGACTACCTCTTAACCATCTTCTCTCTTCATCTCCCACGCCGATGAATTGGCGCCCGAATCGACCGCCGATGATGATGATGATGTCGATGCATATAGAATAGAATGATAGGATGCGCGAACAAAGTAGAGTGAAACTTTGACCGAGTTTCAATGTTTGATGATGGTGGAAAGGTGAAGGAAAACGCCAAATAAAATGCTTCAGTACAGCTATGCGCCGTGTCTCGATTGACGGAATGATTGGGAAAAGAAAGAATTTCATGTTCGTATCAGTCATGTCATCCCGAACTCGTTGTATTTGTACTGGCCGGGTCTCGAAATCCATTGGTTTGTAGCCCGGGCGAGAAAACAAGTAGTGTCGGGAAATGCATTGTTGTTACAGCCCATCGTGCTCTGGGACGTGTTTATGAATGTAGTGGTAATAGATGCGTGAGCGAATATAATGTTGAGTGTTGAGTGTTGAGCGTATGCGACGGCATGGAACCGAAGCCATCACCGTCGTACTATTGGTCGTTTTGAAAAGGAGTGATGATTGCCAATCAATGATGGCTAGCCTTCTCTTCTGTGTTCGGATCCAGATTACGAGCTTTTTCCGGCTTCGTACACCTTGCCCATGAACTCATCAGGAGTCTCGCGGATTGCCTTTTCTTTCAGTGTCTTGACCACATCGTCTACGTCGCTGCCCACGCACGAGGTCTCCATGGTGGTCAGAAGTGCCACCGCAACACGAGGCGGGATCTTATCTCCTTCAATCGTGTATACGTCCATCAGCCTTGCAGTGTGTTCAACAGAAAAGCGGTCGCAGAACAGCGAGCTGAACATTCCGAGAAGGTAAGCGTGAGGCTCCGCGCGGAGTTCTGCGAGGCGAGTGGCGAACGACGACGTCTTTTTGGAAAGAGCGTGGAGAGTGGTATCGTATGCCGCCGTCATTGCGGAAGGATCGCGGACGAGGAACGATAGCGGAAGCGGGCGGTTAAGAAGGTTCGAGAGGGTAATGAAGGAATCAGCCGCGCTCATGTTGAGCAAGAAGAGAGCCGCGATGTGGTGAATTCCATTGGTCGTGTCAACGTCCGAGCGGTATACACTGTAGGCGATGCAGATGTTGACTAGCTCCTGATGAAGCGGCTGCTCCGGCAGCTCATCCGTCTTGGGTGCAAACATCTTGAGCTCCGGGAAAACCGACTTTGTGTTCTCGATGATCTGTGCATAGCGACCACCGAGGGCCGCTTCAGCATTATTTCTAATCTCCATCTCGGCTTTCTTCAATGCTACATTGAAGGTAGTCCCGGTTACTTCCAACTCATTAGCGATAGCCCTGCTCCAGACCACACCGCGCAGCTTGGGCGGAACCCCATTCCACCACATCTTGCGGTGCGAGCCTTTGAGCTCCGGGTTGACCATCTCCGTATCCCAGTTGGGAAGAAGCAGGGTAGACCAGTATTCAGCTTTGATGCGTTCGGCCTTCTCGCGAGATTCGGCCTCTTTTGCCTGACGCTCGGCCTCGAGGCGTTCTGGAGCTTGTTAGCGGGGGTGTCATCGCCATTGTGAAACTCGAGGAACTTACCGGCTTCCGCGATACGAGCCAACATTCGCTGATATTCCTTGAGGTGCTTCTTCTCCTCTTTGGGATCCTTGGGTGGCAGCCAGGAGGGCCTCGTGCGCGAAAGGTACTTGGTCTTCTCGATTGAAGGTTGGAAAGGATCAATCAAAGGATCGCTCTTGCGGATGGGCGGAAGCGATACGGCCTTTCGCTTTGACTCAACAGGGTGGTCGACCGAGGACGAGCGTGAGAGACCCGTCTGCTGTCGCTTGACCTCCTCCTGCTGATCGATCTCGGTCTGGTACTCCTCTAGAGCCTCGGTGAGCTTTTTTGCATCGGCATCCAGCGTTGTATAGGTAGTCTGCCAGGTGTGTGTTCGTTGACGACTGAGCGGCTGCGGTGCAGGCGACTCCTCCTTATCTTCAGGGATCGGAGGCGGTTGGGAAGAGGCACGGCGTTCAGACGGAGCGGGCGAAGTCTTTGCCGAAAGCGTAGGGCCTCTCGATGAACTTGGACGGCTCACAGCAGGGCTAGGGCTGGTATCGGGCGGGCTTCCACAGAACGAGCCAGCAGGGGAGCGATCCTGCACAGGGCGGGGCGAGATGGGAACATTCCATATGATGGCATCGTCAGGGAGGTCGTCATCTCCTTCATCATCGCACTCGGCCTCGCGCTCTTTGGCGGTCTTGCGGGCTGCCGTCTGCCATGATTGCCTTCTGGGATTCATGGGTGTGCTGGAGGGCGAGACTTCCTGGGCGCGAGAGCTCTTGCGGGACAGGGACCTCGGAGCAGAAGTGAATGACCTCTGAGAGTTGGCAGGAGAAGGCGAGCGTGAACGTCGACCGGGTGCAGCCAGGTTGGTGATGTTGGAGAGCATGGGGGCGGAGGGAGAGGAGAATCCCCGTCTCAACTGGCCAGGAGCATTTAATTGGGCCTGAGATCGGGCGGGGTTCTTGACCGAGGCAGCCAAAGCAAGATGCCGTGACTTCTTGCCTCCGGTGAGGTCGCGGAACGAGTGAGGTGCCGACTGCGGAGCACTGCTCCTGCTCATGGGGGCCGGGCGCGAGCTTTCGAAGAGCACGCGGTGACTAGGGGAGATGGGAATGGGAAAAGCACCGGGACCCTGGATGTCGTCCAAGTTGATGTCCTCGAAGTGAGAGAGATCGGCAGGGCCCATGGCATCTGATATGTTGGAAGAGTGAAGGCTCGACGACTTGCTCGACTTGGAGTTGGTCAGGTCTGGCGGACTGCCGGGAGGCGCGGCAGCGAGGGCCATATTGGCGGCGGACGAGTAGGAAAAAGTGGTCATGAGGGGTCGTGGCTGCCTCTTGGGCGGGAGTGGTGCAGCAGCTCGAGCGTCGCGGGAGGGGTGGTGGACGGGACGGATAAGTTGGTGGTGTTGATAAGGCGGGAGTTGTTGCGGTGAAGCAGGAGGAGGTTTGGCGCTGGCGACGCGCTCCGAGTGGATCAGCGAGTGGACATAGTCGTGCTCCGAAATTATGTAGAGTTGCTTGGAGTAGGAGGAATGGATATAGTGCACGTCGCCGTCTTCGCCGTGTGCCTGGCGAAAAGCGTGGTGTTGTTGATGTGCAAAGAGTGATGTGGGCATCTCGACGGTTGGGGGAGAAGCAATTTCGGGCAAGTAAATGAGCTAAGCCCCTGACTGGAGGCGAGCATGCCCCTGTCCCTGCTCGATGTGCGGGTTAAGCTGGCTGGCAGTGACGACGGCGGAGCCTGGAATACTTGGAAGAAGAATGGGTTTGTGCAAGGCAGAGAGGATAGGAGGTGGGGGGATTTGGTGTTTGTGCGGCGGAGGAGGAAGTTGGTGGTTTTGTTCGCTCGCCCGGTCACGCACGCACGCGATTGCTTGATGGATGATGATACAGGCAAGAGCGGGAGGGGGGAAGGAAGTAAGGGTGCAAGTCAAGTCAAGCAGGCAGGCACGCAGGCATGTATGAATCAAATCAGTCTCGATGCAGCAGCGACGAACATGGGCAACAGATTTCAGAAGGTCCTCAGGCTGGCCGGGGGAGCCGGTCTTGATGAATTGAAGGGATCATAAGCCTGCGTCCTCTGCGTTGGAGAGTTGAAACCCAAAGGCTAGTGTGGCTGGATCATCCCGCTGCTGTACAGTCCAACGGCCTTTTGACATCAGCAACCACCCCGGCCTCGAGATCCCAGGCCAATCAGCCGGCCTCTTTCGCGGCTTTACTGCACCTGTGTCGAGCCGGAGGACCTGCTAGAGAGCCTCTACTGCCGGACTACGGTGCCTACGGCTATCAATGAGGCTTCTCTACATAATTCAGCCGCTGTCAATTGAGGCAAAAGCCTCATAAAAGTGCGCGGTGATGGTGTTGGTCTGTCATCGACGTCAATCCCTCGTCTGATAGGATGACAGCTGGCTCCTGCATATGTATGTACAAAGTGTGTATCCATCTATCGTTCCCTCCCGCCACCCTGCCACTCCCATTGACACATGCCTGCCGTACCAGAGATTCAACAAGCTCAAACGCACACAAACACGGGTTCGGTTCCCTATCTGAGTGGAGGAACATCTCTGCTTTCTGGTACGGATGGGGCCATGATCTGGATCGCTAAGCTACATGCGTACCGACAAAACCTGTCACCGAACTGTTACTCTGTCGACGGCTGCCTCGAGCATGTCCCTCTCCACACCTTTGGACAGGCGGACCGCTGCTAGCGAGCCCCGAAGCCACTCCAGCAGCGCTCGGTGCTGCGTCTGTCGCTGCTGAAACACAGCGTCGAAGGCCTTGCAGGCCAGCCTATCGTGGGTTTGATTGCATCAGCACTGCCTACTAGTTACAAAAGAAAAGTAGGACATCAGGCCATATGCATGCACTTTTCTCTCGGATATTTCACTTACCATTGCACTTGCCTACGAGTAATGACACTCCGCATCTGCTCCGCTACTCGTTGTGCTTTGTTGCGTGTCCGTCGTCGAAGCATCACAAACGCAAGTGCAATTGTGCTCTCCACAGTTCCTGCTTCCAGATAACAAAAAAGTTCGTCAGTCAATCAGTACTGGGAGAGCGGGTGGGTTATTGATGCTCGACAGGGTTAACTTTGGGGCGGCGCGTGATCGACGCTGCAGCCCCAGATGTGTGCAGATACCTGAGGCGCTTGTCGATTCAGAATTGATACAAAGCAGTACATGGGACAGTACTCTGCATCTACCTGAACAATGGGAGCCAGGGGGTGGGTGAACCAACGTACCGATAAGCAACCTGGGGTGTAGTGGTCTGCTCTTGGCCAGGCTACGAGCATATTCAAAGGACCTCACCGCCGCCTCGTGAAAGCTTTGGTACAGGTTGGCCAGCACCGTCGGCACGCTATTGAACGACGTGTCAATAAACATGGCTTGCAGCTGGATTTTGAATGCACTTTTCCACGACAATCTGTTAGCCATATGCAAAACTTGCTTTTTTTTTTGCCGTGGTCGTGGATGCCCCGTCAATCAAGACTAGTAGCCTAGTCGCCCACCTGCTATCGTATCGCTACAATGGTGGAAAGACTGATCATCATCATCGTCATCATCGACTACATGTACTTACTTGAGTGCTTTCCGGTGGAAGGACTGTCCCGCCACCTTTCCCAAATCCACTGTCAGGCTGTCCGAAGTATCTGTCACACTTCTTAGCATGGTGGGTCCTCGTATACACGTACATTTGCGCAATCCGATGCTATGTGCAATGTAGTAATACAAATCGGACTTACTAGTCAGTGCTGCCCGCTCCGCGTCTTTGCTGACGTCCAGGGTGCGCATGTCGATGAGAACGCCACAGTAAGGAAACCTTACACCCGAGCCGCATCTGGCGATGCGCTTTCCGTCTTCCGTCGTCACATCGAAGTTGGCCAGCGACTTCGAAGCCTTGATCACAACGCCGTACTCGGGCTGCCCGCGGTGCATCACCTGTACAAACCTCTCCGCTTTCTCTCGGCTCGTCGTGATCAAGCAAAAATCATCGAGCAGCCGGAGTAACACACAGTCGCTGCCGCGCGCAAAACCCAAAACATCCTGTTCGAGTTGCGCGTAAAAGAAATTGCAAAGGATGGTCGAGAGCACCGAACCCTGCGGAATGCCATTCTTTTGCCGGTAAAACTTCTTGCCGATTTTCACGACATTGCGTTCCACGTGCTCGCGAAGGAGCTGCATCAGGTCATCTTTTGTCTCAACATGTTGTGCAGCCGTATGCACGAATATCGTGTTCGCCTTCTCTCCGACAAACTTCTCCTCCACCAAGCGATCAAAGGACATTGACTCGTCTGCGGCTGCTCCACGCGCGACATATCGCTTGAAGGGCAGAGGGTTCACATACTGCCCGTCGATTCGCTGCAATCGGCCAAGTGGGCTGATCTCTACGTGCTTCTCCGTCTGGTACTGCTGCATGGACAATAGGCTTTCAATCATGCTGAGGAGGCGCTTTTGGGGAATGCTGTCGAAACACGATTGCACATCAACCTTTGCAAAATACATGGGCTGCCCCAACAGACCTTGCTCTCGCAACACCTGCTTGAAGGCAGTCAATCTGGGACGCATGTCGCCAATAGAGAAAAGCGAACCACCAAACTTGTCGGGTTGCAGCGACTTTTCGAATGTTATGATGTTGAATGCTGGGGTCATGACCGAATTGATACTTCGGCCAAGTACCGTCGTACCGTTTCGTGTGATTTGCTGTCTTCTTTTAAGGTTTGTGATAAGCCGCACTCCCTTTTGTTTGGGCAACAGCCGAATCTTACTGAACCCAAGGGGTCGCACCGATAGCAGCCTCGTCGCACGCTCGGTATCCATCTCCTCATACACATTGAGCCTGAGATCCGAGAGCGTCGGTTCCGCAAGCATTTTCCACACATCGTGCCGAAAGTAGAAGAGCCGATGGCGATGCGCGCTGGACTCGGTCACGTGAAAGTTGGAGCGCACCAGCGGGATCAGAAAGGAGTCGAAAATCCAGTACACAAACTCCAAGAAGATTCCAAGGCGCTTATCAGAATCGGATTTGGCCATATTGGCCGTGGTGGTGTCTTGACCGGGTGGTCGGAGCCAGGCTAAAGTCGAAATCTGCAAGGCCATAAGCACAACACCCTTGCCAATATGTCAGGAACAGCGTCCTACCTGGAGCTTCTGCGTAACCTGGTGCAGATTGAGACTTTCAAACTTTCGCAGGCAAATAAATTGGTCAACCCAGTATGTGATAATGCGCCTGTTGTGATCGCATCCCCAGAACCCATGCGGTATGACTTTGGCCATCACTGCTCGACAGAACGCCGAAACCTGCGCTGTGGGACATGCCAGATCTGTGAAACAGGTTTGCTCTATTGATTGGTTTTTGTTGGGCGGACGGGATGTAATTTCCCTCTGGCCATCGTCTGCATCGTTTGCGCCCTGGGGAGGAATCGCCATCGGCTGCAGCATGCTTTTTCTCCACCCCGGCCTGGATGATAAGGGCACACCCTGCATTTTGTCAGTATGGGCTGGCTGTTAATATCGCACACCCCGGGGTGGTTACCTCGATAGGACAGTAATGGCGCAGCAATTCCACGTACGAGCACCGCTTGTTGAGTTTGCGCATCTTCTCAACAAGCGCAACTGCTTCTCCTCGAAGCCTTTTAGGTACATGCGATTTCCATCTAGCCATGTGAACCGGGTCACTTGCTTTTTCTCCCAACTTCTTGCACTTGGCTTTTTGTATTTCCTTTTCGCGTAGGGTGTAATCCTGGAATGGCATAGACGTCTCTTTCTTATCCACTTTTGAAGTGAATACGTTGTGGAGGCCGTACTGCCGGGGGAAAATGTATCGCATGATATGTACTGTTTGCTCCTTGTTCTCAAGGTCTGGGCATCGATTTAACACGTCTGATACTGGTCAGCATTGCGATGGTTTCTCTTGAATGATCGCACTCGACTCACGTATATGCCGCATCCCAAATCGAACGCCCCCTTTCCCATTGAGCGCTGCACGCGCATAGAGCATACGGATGCGAACAAAGCTGATCGAGCTTGGGCTCCGGACCTCGTTACTCGGATCCGATGTCTTCGTTGTAGAGGTTCCTTCGTTGGGTATGGGTACGAAATCAAGCTCAGATTGCACTTCAGAAAGAGGTAACCCACTCAATTGAAAGTAGTTGCCATGGCCGCCATCCAAAGGTGAGAAGATGCCGCAATCAGTAAGCAAATCCATCATGATGCGCTCGCCGCTCTTGCCCAGCACAGCATGTAGGCGACGCCATACCGGGCTCTTCAAGGTCTCTACGTTGGCATTTCTTTGATACGAATGCATACCGGGTATGACATGATTGGTTTTCTCAGGACCGCGGCCGCCGGAGCGTTGAAATCCACGGCAAAGAAGATGAGACGGCTTGTATGAAGTGCATCTGCGGAAGAGGCGCCATATGACGAAATCCACAATCTGCTTGTACTTAGCAACTGATACCCCAGATTTGCGCGACGTGAGCTTCTACGAAGCGAGCGGAGGAAGACACTGGTGATGATGGCTTAGGTAATGCAATAGCTCACCTCTGCCTGTAAAAAATACCCCGGCTTAAAGGTGCCGCCTGTGGAACCAGAGGATAGTTGCTGCGAAAAGGTCTGGAGATCCTGGTCGTGTTCTTTCGCAATGTCGGTGACAATGGTAGCATCAGTGACGTGTTTGGAGGCCACACCGACTAAAATCGAATCGAGCAGCTTGGCGACTTCAGTGTCAATGGCGCTTGTTGAGATATCGACGCTGTTGTCATTCTTGTCGTCCCCGTTGTCAGGGACCTGCTGTACGCCCAGATGAGCAATCTTTCGTCGTCTGTTTTTGGATGACGTTGGTAGTTGTGACAGCAGATAGTGGCGTAGGGAAACCACTTTGGGGTAAAGGCGGGCGAGCACAGGATGTTGGATGCATGAAGTTGTGGCGGTGGGAGATTGGTTGGCGGCTTGCCGAGGCCTCTTTGAAGGTCTGCTCCCGACGTTGGCGCTGCCTTTTCTCTTCATGTTGGGTAGGGGATCATTGCGGGTGGTATCGGAGTGGCGCGCTGGCGGAGAAGGGACTCAGTCGATTGAAGCGAAGGAGTCGAGTGAGATTACACCGAAGGGTAAGTGTGGATGGGTAGAAGCAAATCGCTATCGTGAAAGGGCTGGCGGAGAGGAGTTGTTTTGGTGTTTGGTGGTGTGCTTGTTGGTTGGTGCATATCCAAATAGGGCAACGCCAGGGATGAGGGGAGGGGGAACTTGGTCCAATGTGCCGGCTGGCAGGACATCCAGGATATCAACCTGTCACATCTACGGGGCTGTGGCACAGCTCATTTCATGTCGTGCGTGCTGTCTGGATGCACTTGAAATGAGGTTGACATTCAATTGTGCTTTCTTTTCTTTTCACCTGCCAGCTGTCTTTCTTGATGGAACTGCTCTGGGGAGCGAAGCTCACGCTGCTTACAGGTGGAAGACTAGGGTACTATGGCACGCCAATACAAGGTATGCATGTGTGAAATGAATGGAACCAAGAGCGTCCGGCTGCGGCTGATGGGCTGCCTGGTGCATATGACTCGCGCCTCCACAGAAGGAGGCCTGTAAATCATCATTGTTGGTGTATTGCTTTGTACCTAAGCTTGTTGCCACTGCCAGACAAAATCAAAGATGGAGGGAAACAAGAAAACAAAACAAAAAATAAATAAACAAGCCCGAGGGGGATCCCTTAACGATAAGGGGACGCGGTATCCCTTTTTTTTTTTGGCGAAACCGTGCTACCTGAGTAGTAGATAAATGTGCCAGTCGGTGAAGAAATCATAATAACATTGATTGATTGACTTGACATGTGGTTCCGTTACTCTTTCGTCGTCTCCTCTTCTCACTGTCACTTTCACTGCTACTCCCACCACGCATCCACCCTTTCGTCCCAACAACGCAACATCGTCAACGCACTAATCGCAACTTGGATATTGGCAATATCAACGCAGACTACGGCAGCAGCTTGCACAATCCGTACAAGCATACATACAATAAATAGTTTCTCCAAGTTAGTCCCCGCCAATTGAGCCGGGGGAGGTTCGGAAGAGCAACGGTCGACGGCCCACGGCCAACAACTTGGAGCTTGGCCTCCCATCATCTCCATACCATACCAGGCCACCCACCCATCGTTACCGAATTGCACCACAGCCGTGGGGTGGGTTCTCGCTCTCGCTCTCTCTCGCTCTACCATTCTCTCTCGTTCGACTCACCCTTCCCGTGTCCCCGCAGATCCCTAGCTCGCGCACTTCTCTCCACCGCGAGCGAACTGTGCTTTGCTTTGGTGACTCGTGCTGTGCCTCGCCCACACACCCACGCCCGCTTACTCCCTGCCCACACTTCCCTAGTACACCTCTTGTTGACGGCCCGCGGCTGCTCACACGCCGCACCTACAACCGCCAGTGCCCCTTCACTCTCGTTCATTTCTCTACCCCACGCCCAAGACCGTCGTCGTCCGTCTGGTGTTGCGTCCGCTGTTTGCCCACTCGCTCCTCTCATACGCGTGAGCCCGTTCAGGCTGAAACCACCGCCAGGGTCGTAGACTTAGGCCCTTACCCGCTTCCCGTACTTGTTATTGGTCCGTTTGGGGACTTTGGGTAGACGTCCTTCGTGGTGTGAGTTGTCTCCTGCCACCCTTGCCGCCTCGATTGAAGTGTATTGAAGCTCTCCCCAAGCTTTTCTCCACTACTCCCGGGCTGATTGGCCTGTCCGTTTCCCCTTGACGGTATTTTTTGCTTTGCTGCCCTGATTCGCGTCGCCGGTTGGAGCAGCCCTCTCGCAATTAGAACGACCATGTTCGGGTAGGGGTCGACATGGCGGAGCCAGACCATACTTCTATGCACAACTTTGCATACCACCCCAGTGTTGCCAGTTGGGTACAGTCCACCGCGTTGGCACAGCTCGACAGCGCCTCTGATGAAGCCGCTGGACAGCCTGCTGCCGCTGCTCCTGATGACTTTTACAAACCAGTACCCGTATCCACGCCCTCTGCTGCCGCCTCGACCGATTTCGAACCGCTGCCATCTTCTTCCTCTCCCGCCGATATGACGACTGTACGCCCACGCCAGCAGACGCCCAACGGGGCTACGCGCACCACTCCAAGACTCTCAGTGCGATCCGTCTCCGGCTCTGTGACCTCGACGACCTCTACACCTCGATCAGCTCCTCAGATACCGGCCAACCGACCGACGGTGAGAAGTCTCGCCCAAAAATTCAACCAGCCCACCTCGGCCGATTCGTCTCCGTCGAGCTCGCGTGCTCATCCCGTTCGACAACCGGCCGCGGCAGCGGCGAAAGATGCTCCTTCATATGGGGGGTACAAATTCAATAATCTGAAGGCGAGGGAATCGACGTCGACGTCGGCATCAAACGGTCGGCGTACAGCAAACGGAGCGAGATCTAGCTTGGGTCAGCAGCAGCAGCCCGCCCCTTCACCTTCGCCAGCGCGAAAGCCAGTCACCTCACCAACGCGGGGCCCCGGGAAAAAACCGTTTTTCGGTGAAGTCGTGGGCAACCACGATTCCACAACGCCAGGGTTCGGGATATCAGAGAATATGGAAGAGGCGCGGCGTGAGAGCAACTCATATTTCCCCGCGCCCACTGAATCGTCTTCGACAATTAAGCTTGTAACAGAGGACGTGCACCCACCCCCAGAAGCTTCTCAGGCAGAAACTTTGTCGCCTCGTCGCCGGCGACCTACCAACGAATTACACTCCCAAACACCACAAGCGGAACCAATGACGCCGCAACCAACGCCGCCAGATGGTGGTACGCCACGCAAGAACGCTCCACCCTCACGGATCCCCGTGGCATCAAGACGCATGAGCGCATCCTCCAACTCCAGCTCCTCGACGAGATCTTCCAAGTTCGCCGGCGTGCGCCCTGCCGGCCACAACATGAAATCCCCCTCCAAAATGACAAGAGTCCCCGTCGGTAGAACAGCTATTGCGTCTCGATCCACCTCCAAACCCACCGCCGCCGACACCCAGCAAATGCTGCCAGCGATATCATACCGCGGCTACCGTGAACGCGGCAAGTCTCCCCAGGCTGCAAACACCGGTCCCAGCGTCTCCGCCGTCATTACTGCCCCACCACCACCCACGTCGCCGCGTCTGCGCAATTCACGAGAACGCCAGCTTCTTCAAGAATCCCCAGGACCTGGAGGCTCATCCGCCAAAACCACCGACCCTTACGCTACTCAGGACTACTTCACCAACGGCGACACCCCGATCACGCAAACATTGCAAATGATCAATACAGAGCCTGTGGTGAGCAAGCCATCTGTGAAGCTTGTTTACTCAGATCCAGAAAGCCAAAATGTGACAAATAATATGCCTTCCCAGCAGGATGTGCCAGTGATTGATTCGGGTCAAGATGCCGTCCCGCAGGGATCGCTCAGTCTTTCCACAGCTGGGTTGCCACTGCCTCCTGCTGGGCAGTCATTGTCCACTGCAACGAGCTTTGAATACGACGACTCTCCTATCCTTGGAATGCCAGGAAGCTTTTTGACTACACCTCCCTTGGCTCAGCATACCCCGCCGACGAACTCGAATCAATCCAACGTACAGAAAGAGCAGGTTACAGTTGTGCCCCCGCAAGGCCATGAACTATTACAGGCACGAGCCTTCCAGCCGCCTTCCGCTCAAAATGAGCAGACCCAGAAGATACGTGAGGCGCAAACACACACACCAGAACCGCCTTCAGAGATTGGATTCAGGGAATCGATACCGATCATGCTTGGAGTTGATGGAGCGAACGATGCCTGGGATCCACTGCCGAGCCCCCCAAAGATTTCGCCGCGAATAGATACGGCCAAGTACAATCGGTCGTCGGATTCAACACCACATGCAGAAGAGGAGTCCCCAATAGACCCATTCAGGAACCGTGATTCAATCAGACCTGAAGATTCTGCAAGCATGGTTGCGTACCCATGGCAAAGTGGTCCGCCGCGGCAATGGGACCACCCCAATGTGGCCGACCCTCTAGCAGTACCTTTGGGCAGTGAAGCCCATAATGCCATCAAAAACGTGCTCAATACATACCATTCGTCAGAGGCCATTACCCCAGAGGTAGCGCAGGATGCAAAAATGCAGATAAATAAAGTATCGCCCTTGCTCGCACAGCATCAAAGCTGGGATACCAAAGAAGCTACTGAAACATACCTCGCAAGACTGCTCAGCGATGTTGAGGCTAACGCCCAGAGGAAACCCGTCGAGAGGCCTCGCCGGCAATACGACCGTGCGATTTCAAGGCCGGCGTCAAGAACTTCCCCTTTTATGAGCCCCTTCATGAATTCCAGCATTCGGGCCTTGACGGCCGAGCCAGAAGAGCCGTCCACTGGTGGTACGGCTATTATTTTCCCCACTGAATCCAAACGATACTCGCGCGGCTCACGCACCTCCAACGCTTCAACAACAACCACAATCTGGGAAGGGACAAGCCGACCTGACAGCTCTTCGGGTGTCTCCTTACGGGGGCCATCAGGTACCAGCCCTGGGGTAATGCCGAGCAATCTAGGTCACTCGAGAGAGGATATCCATAGCCATGAAGAACAGAAGCAAAGGGGGAGCAGTGCTCCGCTGACTTCGACGGTTGAATCCAGTAGCGGATTAAGTTTGCCGATGCCCGCATCCCAGCACCAATTCCAATCTCCAGCAGAACCACCGCAGCATACTCCACCACGGCCACCCTATTCCCCTCCACCACCTCCCGGCGCGCCAAAAACAGTGGATCGCCTGCTTGGAGAGACTTTGCAGGAATTTGCACAGCAAGGACCACGAATTAGACCCCCGATCCCCGTCACTCAACTCTCTTCGCAGTTTCAGAGTGGTGCAGAAGTGCTTCCATCAGAGACTGTACCCTCTCCTGCTTCCTTCGACCCTACTCAGTCTGAAGAGCGTGCCAGCTTGGCTGAAGAACCGCAATTCGATAAAGCCACCTTATTGGTTAGGAAGCGTTATCGTGTCATCGAAGAATTGACAAAAACCGAGCACAGTTTTTGCGTCGACATGATGGTCGCGCACCAGATTTTCGAGGGCACCTCCAAAGACGTTCTCACTGACGCGGAACGGCGCCTTCTGTTCAGCAACTGCAGAGATCTTGAAGCATTCTCTCACGACTTATGGAAACGGCTGAAAGACGCAATCAGGCCTGTGGTCAATCAAACCCCACCTAGCGAGAACTCGAGCGAGCCATATGACGAATTCATCTGCTGTACCCCTGACAACGACCGACAAGTAAGGATTGGCGAGATCATGCTGCAAGCCACACAGAAGATGGAGCGGGTGTACACAACCTACTATCTCAACTACAGCGACGCTTCTGACTTCATAAAAAAGAATCAGGACAACCCGGAGCTTCTTGGATGGGTCATGGCCTGCTTTCAACATTGTCCAAATCTTACCACCGCGTGGGATCTGGATTCTCTCCTTGTCAAACCGTGTCAACGCATGTTGAAGTATCCGATCCTCCTTGACGATCTGATTGCGAAGACTGACCCCGATCATCCTGATCTTTCAAATCTCAAAAAGGCAAACGAGAACATCAAGGCCATTGCATTACGCATAGAAGACGCCAAATCACGCCAACAAACGTTACGTGCTGCCACGTCTGAGGGCAAAAAGGCAAAGAAGAAGGGCCGGTTCAGCAACAACATTGTCAAGTCACTCATATCTAACAAAGACCGAGCAAAGAACTTGCAAGAAGCTGCACTCGTTTTTGAGGACCAGGAATACAACCAGATCACACAGAAATTTGGTGGGCATTTCTTTCAGATACAGATTGTCATTCGTGACTTTGATCAGTATCTTGATGCTATCAGTGAGCAGATGCTGCATCTCAACAGAATGATGCATGACTTCATTGACGTGGCTGAAGTTGGCCCTTCCGCTAGTCCCGAACAGGAGAGTACGTGGCGTGTCTGGACTATGGCACATCTGGAGCTTCAGAACAAAGCTCTTGCTGCTCATGTATGTTGTTCTTTCCCAATAGTCTTTTTCCACTACTAACGTGAATTCAGAAAGTCAATATTCGCGAACGTGCAATGAAGCCTATCAGCGAGGTCTGGGATCAATGGGTGCAACCCCAGAAGCTCATGGAGCAACGCAAGAAACTGTTGCTCAGCTATGCCAAATACAAACAGATGGTAGAACGCAAGGAAAAGATAGATCCCAAACTCGAAGAAGCTGCCAAGGACTTCTTGACCATCAACGACTCCTTGAAGCTGGAATTACCAAGGCTTTACGAACTCACCAAGAAAGTCATCCGAGTGACAGAGATAATCTTCCTGGGTATCCAGAAAGATTGGTACAAGATATGCTCGAAGAAGATTCTCCCACTCTTGGAAAAAGAGCCGCAACACACGACATCAATCACTTTTGACTTGAAAACATACACCGAGCAGTTCAATTCCGACTATCGCCAAGTAGAAACCAAGGCTCAGAACATGCATATCATCAACCACGAATTACTCCCAAACCATGCCTCTCCAGCTCATACCTTCTACTCTGATGATGGGTCATCTCGCAAGTCTTCGTCTCGACGCACAGAATCTATCGGAAGCGAATACTCGTCGTTGGAAAAGCAACGGAATCGCAGCAGCGGAGGTTACGCCAGTATGCGATCCAACGTCCGATCCTATGATGGTCACCCGCCACGTTCATCCCCTGCAGCACCTTACACCGGTGGCTCCGCCTTACCCAGCCCAACCACACCTGGCCCTGCCAATCCATATAGCCGTGCCGCCGAGCGAGCCATCAGCCCATCGTACTCGCAGGCCAGCGAGAGCACCGTCACTTCCCGAGGTCGTTCCTCCAGCGGCCGGCAACCCCCCGCCTGGGGTCTGGACGGCGCATTGGATAATATGCAATTCGCCCAACCTCCCTCAGCCGGGCCCTCTTTCCTCAACACCGCCGGCTTTCCAACCAGCAACTCCAACACCCTCGTCTCCTCCACACCGGGCTCAACACGCACTTCAGGTGTGTTTAATTCTGCGCTTCCCATGTCCGATGCCCCTGCCGAGCTTTCAGCCACATCGACCAACGACCCAGATGCTGAGGTCGAGGTGCTCTTCTTGGCTGCTAGTCTATTTGAGTTCAACATTGCGCACGATCGCCGCGAGGGCGGCATCCCATATTTGGTCTATGTACCTGGCGAGATCTTTGACGTCATTGGTATGAAGGGCGAGTTGTGGTTGGCGAGAAACCAGGACGATCCTACCAAGACGGTGGGTTGGATTTGGGAGAAGCACTTTGCGAGGATCTTGCCGGATGAAGCTTGAGGCATTGGAATTGGAAAGAAGTTTGACGATGCTGGACAACTTTCATGAGTCTTTGGGTTTTGGTTTTGGCGCTCTTGCTTTGCTCTCCTGCCTTTTTTTTTCTTTCTCCTCGGTCGAAATTTGGACAAAAAAGATAAGGGAATGGGTTGGGATATGTGTCTTTGGATTCCTAATCCCTGATCCCTGGTTCTTGTTTTTTTCACTTCTTCTCTCTTCTCGGTCTGGCTTACTTCTTCTTCCCCTTGGTTTACTTGCCTAGGGAACTTTCTAGGGGCCTTTTGAATTTGCCCCTTCTTTTGTTCCTTTTCTTCCTTCGCGCTAGCCCAGCGAGTACAGCCAGCGTCGTATGCGTGCGTATGATAGTACGGGAGTTTTCAGTTTTTTTTTATTTGGCGGTTTACGTGGGACACGACGCGGGGGGTTTGGATCTACCCCCCTCCTTTCTAGTTTCTTTTTTTCACTTTCTTCTTCCTTGCTTCTTCTTTTGCTTACAACTTCCTTTTTGAACTACTGAAAGCCAGCCAGCTGAACGAACGAAAGCCCCTACCCCACATATCTTCTGTAGTTTTTTCTTCTTCTTTCTCTCTCACACTCTCACAATGATTCCCCAAGCCTTATCACTTTCTTCTGACTCTTCTTGATTCTGAAAACAAAAACACTTCTTCTGATCCTTCTTCTTTCTTGGACTGGACTTGTTGACTACATGTCACTACTCCTTTTTTTGCGAATCATGTGGTGTGAATGTACGTGTGGTGTTGTGAGAGTATGGGAACATGGATGGGGGCTGTGTGTTTGTGTATCGTAGATTGTGTGCACTGCAGGTGTTGGTATGTGTTGTGTTGTGCGTGACTAACCGACTGTTCAAAGACGCAACTACATAGATAGATTTAAGAAGGAATGCTGGATTTGTTCCTTTGCTCTCGTCTTCCTGTTGCTCTGGAGTGGGTGAGAGATGGGGAGTGTAGTGTAGTGCAATCTACCGAGAAAAAGATTGTGTGGGCGTGCCTGTGTGGGTAGGATTGTACAATACATCAATCAATCAACGGGTGAAAACTTTGCACTTTATACTGATCGCTACATGGAACACAACACTTGAACATTATGGAAATTACTAATGCGTATAGTTGCTTGGACGAAAACAAGCAGCTTCTACGGAGAAATAACATGTACGATTATCTGTTAGTGATGTATGCATATCGAAATAGGGTGAGCAGAGAAGCATTACAAGAGAAATGGATATTAGGCCATTCGCAAAGGAAGACTTACTGTCGTCCTTCATTATCTTTCATATGTTGCCTAGTTCAGATTTCCTGAAACGCAATGTACGCTATCGTTACCGATGCCATCACTGAGAATGTGCGAGTCTTGTAGACTGAGCGTGTTTCTGATACGGCTGCTGCTGTTCAGGAAGGGAGTTGTTGTAGGGTCGAGTACTCTCTCTTTGGTGACTTAGGTGCCGTCGCTGGCCGTTGGCTTTGTGTATATCGTAGGCACTGGGAAGCAAGGCGATTAATTGGGTAGTGGGATCCACGCAATGGAATGCACAGCACGAATGATAATTAGCAGTCTTTCGGACATAACAGACCTGTCGTTGTTGTGCAAAGGCAGTTGTGGTGTTGCTGGGCGCTCACTTAGCGTATGTCATAACTAAGAAGGTCACTACTCCCGCCGTGGGTATTCCCACAAGAATATAACATGGTAGCGATATCTATGAGTAGCCTTTGACTCAGATCCGATGCATTATACAAACGAATGGCCGAGCAGAGTACCATAGCTGCTGTGGGTGTGAGTGTGCAGCACGGTCTTTCTTCCACAGTAAGTTACCAAGTCCACGCTCACACAAAAACCTCTCCCTCTCCATCACCCCAGCATAAAAACAAAAATAAACGCCAATCAATGCCAGCGATCCCAAGTTTCGAACCCAAGCCCTTTTCCCCATAAGAAAAAAAACGCAAAAAAGAAAGGGGCCACTTACCGGCTTGACCATTTCCTCCTCATTGCATCTTGGGCCTTCAGTACCCAAGACAGTGAGATCTCCGCCGAAACATCTTATATAGACCTCAATTAAATGATATCGAGAAGTCATATTAGGCGAAGTGAGGGTGTTGTGGTGGCGTGGCGTGGCACTGACTACGCGAGGTTATTGTTGTTGTGAGGTCACTAGCACGAGCTTTCGCGTGTGAGGAGGCAGGAACGCAGACTTAGTGGGATTTCCCTGATTAGGGCTCACTCAGGTGGATAACAGGCTTCTAAGGCTACGATGTGAACTTGGGGATCTGCAGATGGCCACGGGGGCATTGGATTTGGGAAGTGTCTGCAGGCTACGTAGGATTGGAAAAGGTGATGTCGATCAGAGACTTATTCTTGTGCACGGCAGGTATCCCATGAGTCATACACTGGCAAATATTCATGTCTCTCTTCTGGTAAGATAATTAAGGACCGAAGAAGTTACGGGTAATGCTTTTGGGTCGGGTCGTCGAAGGCAGTGGGGACGAAGCTGCCAACGGTTTTCAACTTCGATGCAGACTGTCTGGAGCCATATCCACTACTTCGAGACTGAAAAGCTATGCCACACTTTTATGATTTGATTACAAGTCTATCAAATGCCTCACATGCTTGAGGTGAGCGGGGTCTCGTTGGGGGGGACTGTGTTGACGCTCAGTGCAGCTGTCCCATCTCTTGAGGTGCCATCGGCAGCTACACCAAAACACCACAAAGATGTGCTATATTGGCACTTACACTGCAGGCTACAATATGAAATGCTTCATAGAACTATCGAGAATCTCAGTGAAGTGACTAAGCCGTATTGTAACGTATGAGGGTGCACCTGGTGACTGCGCTGCTGCCTCCCGTCGCCGACCTCGCAAACGCCAAGACCACGACGAGTAAAATTGGCCGATTTACGCTCGGTTTGCCCCTCTCACTTATAAAGAGTCTCGCCTCCGTCGCTCCTTCCTTCTCTCCTCCGCGCCCCTTCCTACCCTACCTCGCGTCGAGATGGGTGTGACCTTCCTACCCCCCAGCCATCTCTCTGGGATGCTGGGACTGGCTGTGCCCTTATAAGCACATGTCTAGTTTGGGAACGGACTGGAAAAGTCTTGTGGGAGGTCGGGGGTGCCTTTTGGTATCGTGGAAAGGACTTAGGTCTTAGATTGGGAGTGTGTGTAAGTGAAGCCCGCCGCACAAACTACTTGGTCGCCCTCACTGACAGCCACATGGCAACAGTTTGATCTCCCTTTATAGACGCGCCGGGTGCTGAGGCACCCGGAACGTGCCTTCGAGCGATTACGCCGTGGATGAGCACGAAGAAAACGATCGCTTTTCCGAAAATTCGGGTAGGTAAGACCTCCACATACTCCTCGATCGCCTGACTGACCGCTCCATTGCAACAGCTCGGGTTTTCAGGGCAGATACAGTGAGGCATGGGCCTCTCTGAAAAGACTGCCGGGCGCGCGGCGCTCTTGAAGAAGCCTTCGGGCGACTACGCCGTGGATGAACACGAAGATAATGATAGCTTTTCCGAAAATGCTATGTCCGGCGTGGGGGGAGGCCTGGGTAGATACAGTGAGGCATGTCTGCTTTTGACATGCTCGGGGTGTCTCGACAATCGCTTTCCCGAAAATGCTATGTCGTCTCTTGTCGGGCCTTTAAGGCAGAGACAATGAGGCATCGCGCCTCCCCCAGCATTCCTGGATTCGTCCAGGGATTCAGCTGAGATGAGCACGAAGACAATGATCACTTCTCCGAAAATGCTAGGCCGGCCTGGCATTTTCGGGGCCATGAAGCATAAAAGAGAACGATCGCTTCTCCGAAAACGGTTCTCGATCCCCCCCTCTGGCTTTCGGGCAGATACAATGAGGCATTGCGCCTTCCTCATATCCTGAGGCCCGGTTCCCTTCGGGGATACCAGCGCCCATGACCGCGGCACTCCTCGCGACCTGGTTCACACCATGAATGCGTACCGCCAGCAGGGTGACGGCATGGCTCCTATTTCTCAGTATGATCGCATGCAGTGCGAGGCATGGTACGCGAGCAAGTCCGGCCTTGGTCGCAAAGTGGCGGCAACAACAACAGTCGTACTACTGGCAGTCCTAGTCTTCTCGCGCCACCTCGCGTGGTTCGTATCTGCCTCTTCTTGGGAAATTGGTATTGGGATGGTGGGATGGTGTTTGGACTTGTCCAGCTATCTACGATACATATGGGTCTACGGTGGAGAAAGAAGAGGAGGAACATAGTCGGGCGGTTGGGCTTCGGCAAGATTACAGTGAAATCACATATTTAAAACAACCTTTTTATAAAATAAAAAAAACAATTGAAGCTCGAATATTGATGCAACTGCCACAGTGATGTTCTGAGATCTGGCAAGAGAGAGGAGGAAAATGATAGGATCTTTGTATACCACACGTGCTAACCATGTCTGATTCTGATACCTTAGCTCTTGACCTATAGCATGATCGTATACTCTTCTCCACTCTAATCTACCATGCCACACTGCAGGCACTACGAAATGAAGAAGCCGATTATCCCTCCATCTCCTCGTCCTCGTCGTCATCCTCATCCTCCTCATCCTCATCTTCATCAGTGACCTCTTCCTCCTCGCCTTCAAGCCCATACGCTTCCTGGAAATCCGCAAGCTGTTTGACCTGGACCTTGAATCCCGCTTCTCCGAAGTTCTTCTTCAGATCCTATAAACAACAAACGTTAGCAAAAAGCCGTTACCATCCACACACTCAAACATCTCAAAATGAAATGAACGTGAGGTAGGAAGGAAAAGAAAGGAGACTTACATCAGTCATAGTACTACCACACGTGACGACCAAGTCCGCAGAAGCAGGCTCAAACACAGCAGCAAGGACATCAGTCATGATGCTCCGCACCTGCTGCTCATCGACCTTGCGCACCTCAGCGAGCATCCACTCGCTCCACCCGGCGCCGACGCTCTTGATAGTAAGATCGATAAAGCTTTGCCGCGCCGCATCCACAATATCCGCCTTCTTATCCACAAACTCGCGCACGATGGAGCTGATGGCGCCCTCGAGAGCGAGTTGCTCGAGCGGCTTGGTGCCGTCGCCATACTCGCGGACCTGGCGCTTCGCAGCCTCGAACGCGGAGAAAGCATTTGGAGATTTGTAGATGTGGAACTTGAGAAGCCCGCACTCGAAGTCGCGGAAGAAGTTTGTGCCGTATGCGAGACCCGTGCCGCGAATGGCTGTCCACATGGGGCCCTCAACAGCGTCGAGATACGCGATGGCGACCATGAGGGCTGGGAGCTGTGGGTGGCGGAAGGAATCTGGGCCTCGGGCTGTGAGGACCGCGAAGGAGGAGTCAATGGACATAGGTACGACGTAGGAGGAGCCACCGGGCTGTCTTCCGAGATCAGACAGGACATTCTTGCGCTCGTCGATGGGATTGATGGTTGGTTCGGGGCCGGGCTTGATGGCGTCGGTGAGGATTTTGAAGGTCGAGACGGGAGATTGGAGGGTTTCGAAATTGGCGATGGCAAGAATGCGGAGATTGGAGAAGGTGATGATGCTCTTGCGAAGCGTCTCTAGTTTGTCTATGACGGTTTGAGGTTCGGTTTTGAGGAGTTTGAGGATGCGCTTGAGGTAGGAGGCTTTGACGAGAGTCGTGGTTGCGCGGACGGATGAAGCAGCATCGTAGTGGATCATGCGATCTACAGCAAATGCCATGCTATCGCCATCTCGCTTCTCATCTGGAACGTCAGCAAGCATCTTCTTCACGGTAGCGATAAGGCGCTCCGTATCAAAGATTGAATTGACAAGCAAGTCTGCAAGCCATTGAACAACTGTAGCGAATTTCTCAACTTCGACCACGAAGTGAGTATAGACCATTTCCGAGTTGCCAATATCAGTGCCGCGATCCAGAGAGTATTGAATAGTATCCTGTTCCAGACTAGTAATCACTTGCTCAAACTCGATTCTCTTGCCGTTCCTCATGATGGGTGTTGTGAAAAAGTTGCTGAGATAGACTCCCAAAAGAGGCTTGAGCTCCGTTGGCACTGCAGCGGTTCCCAGTGCTACACCAAAATGCACGAACGAGGTTGGGATGTGCTCATAGTGGACGAAGAGGGGAAGGCCGTTCTCGTCTTTGTCGATGATTTGTTGGATCTTGTTCTCCACGCTTCCAAGTTTCTTCGCAAGACCTGAACGTGCGGTTTCTGTCTTGAAGAAGTGAATCGACTCGGTGCCGGGAACCTTTAGTCGGGACAGGATGTCATTCGGTATCGGCTTGTCATTCTCATCGGTTGCTTTCTTGAGCTGCTCCGCCTTTTCCTTTAATCCGGCTTCACCAAGCTTCTCTTGTTGCGCCTTGACACGAGCAACTTCGTCAGCCTTCTGCTTCTCCGCGAGTTCAACCGACGGCTTGCCAAGAATAGAGACATGGTGAGCATCTACAATCCACTTCTTGAGGAATGTGCGCCAGTCCTCTTCCGACCACTCTTCCAGTTCGTCGAAAACACTCAAAGATTCAAGCGAGCTTTTGAGGTCGGATCCGTCGCGATTGCCATAGTTGTGATCCTTGATGATAGGATCTTTGTATTCGTCGTTGCCAATTTCGGCCACAAACCTACACTGGCGCTTGAATCGGCGCAAGCAATCTTTCATGTAGTCGATATCAAGTGGCTTGGATGTGTGCTCTTTGAGAATCTCGAAGAATCGCTTTTCTGTTGTCTCCAACTTACTCGTCGCTATGCTGGTTAGAGTGAACGTGATCAACTGGTGATAATGATTTTGGGCAGAGCCGTAAACCATGCTGGTGAGATGCTCCTTCTCAACCAAAGTATTCACGAGCACAGATACAGATGATCCCGAGAGATACATCATGAGCGTATTTAATGCTGTCTCGAGCTTCTCGTCAACAGAAGGCGGGCCAAGGAAACCGATCTGAATTTCGCCAGTAGAGTCGTCGTCCTCAGGAAATTCGACGACCTTGATTGTGCTCTTTCCCAGCGGAGGTGTGATTGGCGAATCGACCCATGGTCGCTTGAAGGGAGCATCGTAAGCTGGGACTTTATCCACAATATCATCCTCGAACTTGTCAAGTACATCAAGGAGATTGGCGTGATCCACCTCTCCTATCAGCACGAGCCGGAGGTTTTTGGGCTGGTACATGTCCCTGTGAAACTGTCGAATCCGCTCGGGGGTCAGGATTCGCAGATTCTCCATGAGCCCTCCAGTCTCTGCGCGGAAACCACTGCCTTCTGGATAGAGAAGCCGGCGCATCTCAAGATCCATGAGGTCCATGGGGAGGTTCTGACGACCTTGCATCTCCGAGTAAACTACACTACAATGGTTGTTCAGTCTGCATCCCTGGGTGATTCAACGTCGCTACGTACCCTGCATCGTGGCCTGACCCATCCACATGGTGCACCTCTGTGTAGCATCCCTCATCAGTCAACGTAGGAACTACTAGATGATCCAAATAGACGGGCACTGCGACATTGTTAATGACATATAAGCGGATGAATAGCAGGTAAACATACGAATCTGAGCAAATCCTTCCCAGCCGGCTGTCGTCAAAGTATACACTGTTTCGGCAGTATCGGTCCAAGCATTTGTATCTGAGTAGGCTCTGGTGGCGAATTTGTCGAGAACACCTTTGTAAGGATACTTCCGTGAGCCCTGTCTTGTTGTGAGCATGATTTCCGCAGGGGTATTATGGATGCGGGTTTATACCATGAAGCATAGATGCTCGAGTGTGTGAGCTGGATTTGAAAATCAGTGATTTGGCTTTGGCACCTCGACGGGGAAGAAAAGACTTACGCGATCCAGAGTCATCGTGGATCTCGGTAGCTACAGCGAAGTATCCGTATACCTGAGAAAAAGCCAGTCAGATGGGAGGATTGTTTGGTTCAGATCAATTGGTAACCGACTTTGGGACCTTTCCTGTCAACTGTCACCACTCTCATGCCCGTGCGCTGAGATTCATATTGGGTGAATTCTGCATCGGCGTAGTCGGCCTTGAAATTCTGGATCTTCTTGAAGTGCGACTGTTGCTCCGTGGGACCCATTCTGTCGTAGGTAAATGAGGAGAATGGGTTTTCGGAGAAAAGATGATGGCTGCAAAGAGAAGCTGGGTCGCTGAATTTGGGTGACGACAATGAAGCGGAACTAGCATTGTTCGTTAGTGTGTGCAAGGACAATCAAGGGTTCGAGCAAATGCTCGCTGAAAGGTGCTTGCACTGCATTCCTTTGCCATCTGTCTTTGACTCACCCGTGTAAGGTCCAATTGAGAAGCACGCCGATGAGGAAGCTCCAGCCGATTAGGGCAGCCAGCGAACTGATTTCAGCCTCTTTGGGGCAGTCGGTGCCACCGGCAACAGCGACAAGTTGCAAGCTATTTATTCGACCAAAGATCAGCAATCAAACTCTTGGGAAGTATCGGTGATCAGTTACGCAGTGTGAATACTCTGGTATGCTGCGAAGATTCAGTATATCGAATATTTTAGGCGGGGTAGAGGTGTTGTTTACTCAGGTACTTTTAATGGTGGGGGTGAATTGCTTGCTTGCTTGCTGGCGGCAGGGTACATGACATGGTTGGAGGACAGGACAGGGCTGAACGGCAAGCACAGGCCACTTTGCATTGCCATGATTCAATGAAGACTTGCCTTGTCAACTTTCTTAACTGCTCGATCACTCCATACTTTTTGCGCAGACATGGTCGAGGCGCATTAGACACAACCCTTTTTACTCGACATGTCGGACCAAGTCTCGGACCAGCAGCTGGGGGACGCCGTGCTCGAGTCCGTTCAACATGGCTCGTTCCCGCAGAGCGAACATGTGGCCTCTGCCGAACTCTCCCCCGCAACGCTGCCGAAGCTGCTGGATATCGTAGGCAAGGCCAGAGAGGAGAAGAAAGTGAGTATTGGGGATATATTTATTCTCATTCTTAAATTCCGAATACCCAAGAAGCAATGCGTGCTGACTGCTTTGCTTCTCATGTAGACCCAAATCCGCCAGATATCCAGAGAAGCTGCCTCCGACGTCGATGGCTGGATAGCCCAGGCTCGCCAACTCCAATCCGATATCCAACGCTCGCAGGAAACAGCACAAGAAATCATCAAGCAAGCTGAGTCTGGCAAAGAGAAGACTGCCCACGTGCAAGACGCAGTGAGCAAAGTCGGCTTTCTACATTCCGAGATCGCGTACAATGAAAGCTTGGTGAATGTGGTGGAACAACTCAAGGACATATCGACCCTCCTCGAATCCGCGCAAGAAGCTGCCGTAAACAGCCATATTATACATGCTCTCGAGAGATTGGAAGATGCTGGTGCTGCCTTCAAACGACTTGGGCCCTTTGAAAATGCGCGGGTCGCAGGCCTGCTCAAGACGAGATCATCCGAGTTGAGGACAGCTATTGCTGAGACTGTGACTGAGGCCTGGAATGGCCTGGTTATTGTTGACACTACGGACAGGAGCATATCGCTGAAGGAAGAGGTCGTCACAGGCACTACAATCCACATCGACACCGTGGTGGAAGCGCTGATCAAACTGGGTACCTTCGACAAATTCGTTACACGCCTTAGCCGAGACATGGACAGTGTTATTATCTCACCGCGCTTGACTATAAACACCGAGCAGCTAGTGTCCGCACTGGTTATTGAAGGAGACAACGCCCAGGTCGATGGTCATGTCAGCGATATGAGCGTCAAAGCAACACTGGAAGATCTGCAGGCAATCGCAGAGTACATCAGCACAAGACTTCCTCCCTCCGTCGCGACACCCTTGTCCGAGAAGCTTGTCCCAACGATTGCCACCCGCTTGATCAACAACTGGCTTCTCCCAGCCGTGCCGCTATCCACTACTGATGTGCCGAGCTTCCAAGAAATCCTCTCGCTGGTGCTTGGGATTGTCGAGTATTTCGATGAGCTGGGCTGGTCGGGTCAGAATCGCCTGTCAGATTGGGTGGACAAATCTGCAGACATTTGGCTCGCGAGACAAAAGGAGGTCGCTATAGCCAGGGTGCAGCGTCTCTTCCCACGGCGCGTACAAGACAAGAAGACAGTGGAGCGGGTTGAGACTCAAACTATCACAAAAGGGGACGCTCTCCATACAGAACACACAGAAAACCAGCATGTACCGGAAAAGGAAGAAGAAGCCGATGATTGGGGTGCTGATTGGGGTGAAGAAGAGCCGGCGAAAGAGGAGGCCAAACAACCTGCCGAAGATTTGGAAGAAGAAGACATGAGTGCCTGGGGCATGGAAGAAGAGGAAAATCAAGAGGATAAAAAGTCGGAGCCAAATGCTGCGCCAGCAGAGGAGGATGCAGAAGACTGGGGAGCCGACTGGGACGATGAAGACACAAAACCTGCCACTGCAGAGCCGCCATCTAAACAACCCTCGCAACCCTCGCAAAATCCGCTCGGAAAAGCAAAACCACCCAAACCCACAAGCGCCGAGGAAGTCATCACCCTACGAGAAAAGTACACTGTGACTGCAATCCCCGACTCCATCATCGAAATTATCCTCCAAGTCATCACCGATATCACCACCCTCAACTCGACCGACCTAGCCTCCGCTGCCATCACACCCGCCAGCAGCGGGCTTTACGCAATCCCCAGCCTCCTCCTCGCCATGTACCGCGCCACAGCAGCGACCCACTACTCCCGGGACATCGCCGCCAACATGCTCATCTACAACGACTGCACGCGTCTCTGCGACCGCCTCCGCACCCTTCTCCACTCCCTCTCCTCCTCCTCTGCCCTCCCGCTACATCTCCACCCAGCAACCCACCTCACAAACCCGCTTACCGCCGACATAAAAGCCATCGAAACCTTCGCCAACCGCGCCTACGGCCGCGAAATGGAATCCCAACGCACCATCATCCGCGACCTCCTCGATGCCGCCCAAGGCTTCGAAAAATGTACCACCGCCCCCTTCTCCTCTGAATGCGACAACGCCGTCGCTATGACCATCGATCGCATCGCAGACGTCAAGAAAGCCTGGCAACCTGTTCTCTCACCCTCGGTCCTCCTACAGAGTCTCGGCTCCCTCTCCGCGACCGCCCTCGGCAAATTTATCACCGATGTCGAAAACATGGACGATATCTCCGTCGATGAAAGTGGCAAGTTGCATTCCTTTACCGTTTCCTTGTCGACGCTTTCACAGCTGTTCATACAGCCTCATTCCAGCGAGGAAGAGGACGAGTCGGAGCCGAGAGATCTCGCGCACCTCTACATCCCCAATTGGCTCAAATTCCAATACCTGGGCGAGATTCTCGATAGCAGTCTTGCGGATATCAAGTTCTTCTGGACGGATGGGGAACTCAGTCTTGAGATGGAGCCTGAGGAGGTTGTGGATTTGGTCAAGGCGCTTTTCGCGGAGAGCGATTTCAGGAGGAAGGCTGTGGCTGAGATTAGGAGGGGGAAGTGAGGATGGGGAAACGAGGCAGGAAGACTAGGTGGTGGGAAAGAGGAGGTATCATAAGCAAGGATTCGCGGAACTGAGACTACGGATTGTAGGATGATGGAGGCGATGCACTGTCTCCCATAAATATATATTGGGACGGTCAAGGGACGATATACATGAGTGTGATGATGGACGTTCTAACGCACCACTACGTTTACAATGCAATACATACATAACATGATTATATTACCACGTTCTTTTTGTTCGATTCTGAGTAGGATTCTTTTCTTGCTCATCTCTGAGATATGTATAAGTGAGGTAGAGAAGTATACATTCACATCCAACAACAAGTAAGTAGGTAGGATGGATACAGGGGAAGTGGGGAAAAAGGAAAAAGTATTCTCCACAGTAGAGTTTTGAGAGAAGCAAGATGTTTGAGTAAGTAAGTACTAACGCCCATCAACCCAATTCATACAGTCCAATTCGTCCATAAACAAAGTCAGATATCGTCGAGTCCTGCTACGGTCCTTGTGCACAATGCAATCAAGATATTCCAAGCGTCGACACATCTCTCTCCTCTCTCCTTCTTATGCAACAAGCTTACAACTCAATCCCCCGATTAATCTGCACCCTCTTATCCTCACCCGCACTAACAATCCCAACACTCTTATCCCACCTAACCCCGAACACCTTCGTCCCTTCGCCGTGCGCATGCGTCTTACTGCCACCCTTAATGCTCTCCCGTTCGATGCTATAAACACACTCCCCGACTCTACCCTCGGCATCAACACCTGCAGCACCACTCCTCACACTGCGAACATCCCACACCATAGCCGTGCCATCGTGGGAGCCGGAAAGAAGGTGGAATTCAGACGAAGGGTCGGAATCGAGGGAGACGACTGCGTTTTTGTGTCCGCGAAGCGTCATGGCGCTGATTTGGGTCGCGGAAGCGCGCGGGTCGATAAGTGTGATGTGTCGTGCTGACGTTCCTGTTGCGAGGAGGTTAAGTTGCGGGAGTGCGGTTAGTGAGAGGAGGGCGTGGCCGGTGGTGCGGGTATCTACGCATGAAGCGGTTGTGAGATCCCATGTTTTGAGCGTGTGATCGTGCGAGGTCGAGTATGCGACAGTAGGGTCGGAGGGTTTGAAAATGGTGGATGAGACGGGCGCGGTGTGAGCGGCGAGGGTGGCAAGAGCGCCGCGCGAGGGGACGGTGCGGTCAGGTTTGGAAAGCTTTTGACGCTTGTTGGAGGCGGTTGTTGAGGTTGGGAGGAGGGTTGTGGGTGCGGCGGGGTTGTCTTTGGGGTTGGTGGAGAAGAGGGAGATGGTTGTGTCGGAGGAAGCAGAGAGGAGGCGAGAGGAGGAGGCTGAGACGGCGATGTCTTCGACGCCCCATCTGTGATTGTAAAGTTCGAGCGTCGTAGTGAGCGTTCGGCTTTCATCGTCGTATTTGTAGACACGGACTGTGTTGTCCAGGCCGGCTGCTGCGATCTTCTTGTCGGAGATCCAGCGCGCGGTTTTCAAGCTCGTGATGCGCCCGCCGTTGTTAGGTGCGGTTGATGTCGCCAGAACATCGCCGGATGTGTTCCATACTCTTAAAAGGCCGTCGTAGCTGGCGCTGAGAATTCGTTCCTGTCCGCTTTGCACGTCCTGCGACCATACATCGACCGCAGACACCCAGTCATCGTGCTCGAAGCTGCTGACATTGAGCGGTGGAACGAAGGCGCGCGCATACTCGACGTCTAGGGTTGTTTCTGAAGAGATTCCATTCTGGGTAAGGAACTCATCAATCGTAGTCCGGAGGAATTGCCCATTGATCAGAATGTCGAAGGGAATCGGTTGCGCATCCGGCCGCAGAAGGTTGTTCACGAGAGCCGAGAGCTGAGGTCGTTTAAGAGCTATTAATTCAGGTCAGTATATCAATCATAGCCGTGAAGTTGTTCGTATCTGGCTCTTCTCGTAGCGAGTGTGCGCTTTGCGCAATGCAAGCAGAAGAGAAGAAGTAATTGAAAAGTGGAAGACTTACTGGTCTGAACGAGCAACACTCCAGCGTCTTGTTCCAGGCGAATTGATTGATCGCGCGTGCTGAGCCGTATAGGCACTTTGACCTCGGTTTGTGCTGCCATGACGACGTTGTATGAAGAGAGTTATGGTGTTCGTACTTGGATACTTGAAGCTTCGAAATTTTGGTGGAGCTCGAAATTTTTCGGAATAGGTTTAGCGCGGGGAATTCTCGGCCATGGACGATTTCCCGCCGAATGGCAGGTTCACATGCTTTGAAAAATGGTTGAATAATTCAAATGTCTGGTCAGAGCGTGCTTTTTTGGTGTAAAGATCATGTCTTTAACTTTATTCAATACAGCTATGCCAATGGTAGTCTTTACTACTCCATCGGGACTCAAAATGTTCAGTCCTCCCAATCGCTAGTACGTCAGTACTATACATCTAGGTACGCTTTGAGTGAAGCTCCATGCTGAGTCTACCTAGTATGCTCCCATTTTCCCTGATAATGTGACAAAAACGCCATGCTTATGCTTGCTTACGAGCAAGTACAGTAAGATGAGTAAAAAAGGGTATCATCGCCAGCTTCACAACTCGCTGAGCACTCCCCCTCTTCCCGTCTATCCCGTATCCTCCTTGCCCAGTTTTCTTGCTTTCCTCTTCAATTTCACCTCGAGTATTCCCTCCATCCTCCATCTTGAATTTCCTCATACCCGCAATCACGTTGATTAGGGTTAGGGTTAGGGTGTATACCCCCCCCCCCCCCCCCCCTCAATTTTCAACAGGCATCCCACCTTACACCAAATGTCCCGGAAGCAAGAAATTGGCAACTCCTTCCATAACCTTGTATTCATGCGCGCAGTTTCCACATACGAGCTTTCCTTCCTTGATACCTGTCTCGAGAAGGATGCGGTGTAGGTCCTTTGCTGTTTGACTAGGAACTTCCTCCACTTCGGCTACGGCTTCACCCTCCGCTTGTTCGGTGGCTTGCGCTTGGGAGGCGCCCTCGACTAGATCTTCGCGCGTTGGGGGTGTGGTAGGAAGGGAGGGAAGGCCGAGCTTTTGGTTTACGTCAATAAATGATTTCAATTGATGTGCTGGCCATTGACTTGTAGAGGAGGAAGGGATGGCAGCGAGGGGACAATGTCAGTGCTGGGGAGACTGGGAAGCAAACAACGCATACCTCGGAAGCAATGACCCTTATCTCCTCCCACATCAAGCGCGGCAAGATATTCCTGAGGAAAGGTAGGTTGATCTCTGATTCGATGATTTCGAGCTCTGCGTCGCGCGGGTGCAAGGGGAAGGATGCCGGACTCGTTTTGCAGGTTTTGATAGCGCAGGTCAGGAAATTTAGGGTAAGGAGCTTCATTTTTGGTTGCGTGTGGTTCTGATTCGGAGCCTTCGTGTGGGTGTTTGGTTTCGTGGTTTGTTGGGGATTTGATCTTCGAGGGACGCTGAAAGGAGGGTCTCGTTCGGCAGCTCCTTCGTCTTATTGGATGAGGCAAACGTGGATCTCGTCGTAAGTGGATACGAAAGTTCAGTCGGAGCGTGCTTGATTTGAGGATTTATAGTGTGGTCGTAGTGGTCGGGGCAGAAGCTCGAGATCAGTGGGTGCGGGGATTTCAATGCTGGAAATTTTTGGCGGTTAGGTTGGCTGGTGGGGTAATGAGCTAGCTAGCCAAAAGACGCGGCTCAAAATTTAAGCTTATTCCTATAGGTATACGGGTGAACGGCTTTGATATTGCACAGTAGCAGTGGTAGTAAGCTTATGGTTCGGTGATCATCTTATTCTGCACGCTGTGCTTATTCGCAAGTGCTCGCGCGGCATAAAAGCGCATATGAACTGCCTACGAGAATGCATACTTCTCTCGTCCGCGCAATGCAAAATGCGCTGTCCTGTGTTCCATATACGCCCATGCCCAACCCTGGTGGTATCCATAAATATCGTACAAATGTCTGTCCAACGCCACGCTCCTACCAAGCCCAAGGCGAAAGAAAAACACATCCTCCAAATGTTAATCCTAATATCTGCGTTGGCGAATCGACTTCGCAAAGACTTTCGAAAACTGTTCCTTTCATTTGAGATATACATCGATCGTGTCATTATCCTCGATTTCGTAGTCGCTGATAACATCCATGGGCTTCAGCCTTTCGTCGTCAATCATCAAGGTGATGGGTTGCTCAGCTGGAATATCGCGTGATTGCTTGTACCCGTCCATCAGATGTGAAATCGTAGTGTCCTGATCAAATTAGTAGGGGAACCAGGTAGAGTGGGTGGAGTAGCATGCATACCGGCTTGACAATTATTTTCCATATAGTCTTGTTCTTCGCTCTCAAATGCAAATGGATCTGAGGGACCTGCTCCGGTTCAGGCTCCGGTTCCGGCTGTTCCAGGGAAGAGAGCTGCTCGCAAGCTTTCCCTGCAGCCGCTTCTTCTGCCTCTCTCTTCTTATATTCCTCAAAGAGTTCCCTCGTCCAAAGTTGCACCTGAGGTCTCGCCAAATTGGTTTCATCGTAGTACGTTTCGTCGCCCTTCATTCTGACAGTACCGTTCCCCACATGCGTAAGATCAAGACGTTCAATCTTCGTGGTATCATATATCTCCCTCATCTTGAATGTGATAAAGACGTCTCGAGACTGTGCGGGTGTGAAGCCTTGTCGCTGACACCAAGCAGTCCGTGGCCTTTCCAGCGTGGTATTCAGTCGTACCTTAACTATCAGTGGCACCGTATTGGGGATTTCCGATGTCATGAGTAGCTGCACGGCCGGGGACTGTGCCTGTTCGTCTTGTTTTTCAGGTGTTTCTGAAGTTTTAGATGCTCGTGCAGCCCTCTCTGCGGCCCTGGCTCTAGCTTTGGAGCGCAGTTCAACCAATGCGGGATCCTCACCCTCCTCAATATCCGATGGAGATGCGGACGGTACAGTGTGTATGGGCATCGTGCTTCGCGTGGGTGAAAATGGCCTCTGGGAATAGACCTGGGAAGAATCTTCGCCGTCAGAATCGTCCAAGGTGATCGTATTGGACTGCTGCTGAGATGATTTGGAGGAACTGATATTGGAGGATCTCGTAAAGGATTCATAACGCGTTGCAAGCGTATCCAAGGGAGACTTGGAGCGCACGGGGGATTGGGGAGCGGGACTTCGCCTGAGATTCAGTCAACAAAATGCTCTAGTATTTTACATAGTACGCATACGTACAAGTTCGATCCTGTTTGACATTGTGAAGAACCTCCAGATGCTTTACGCGCAACATGACCTTCCGCTTCCTCTGAAGCTTTCCTCTTTGCACGACTTCGTAATTCATCTGCTTTGCGCTTCCGAGCAGCCTCAGCTTTCTTTTTCGCCTCGAGTTTCTGCCTAGCTTCCTCGGCGATGATGTCCTCGAAATCGTTCGAATGGCTGAAGATATCGACCTCTGGTTCGTCCTCTGCTTTGGGGGCCTGTGTTTGCCATTTTGCCCTATTGAAAGTGAACTTCTTCTTCTTGGGCGGCGGAGCCGCTGTCGCGCCAGCGTCACCGTCCATCATTCTGCGTTGCGAACATACAGACTGTGAATAGTGGGTCAAGTCTGAACGACGTGTAGATGGAGACGGCGGGGGTTCGCGCGGTCACGCTTTTTGGTTGCTGGGGCGGTGAAAGTAGTGTACATGCTAGCGGCCCGTGCTTTCCCTTACCCTTTGGCGACTTCGTATGTGCATACACAATACACTGCCAGTTCGACCCTCCGCCCATATTTGCAAACAACTGCTATAAAACAGCATCCTCCGTGAGTCCTCCTACGCATATCATCGACGAGCTCGTTGCTCATTTACTTAGTCACTTCAAGCCTGAAAACCCCGCAAATATGTCCACCAACGGCGAGAGCCCTGAGGCTGAAGTGAAGGGCGACTCCAGAGATCCCAGCGGTTTCTTAAGTGAGATCATCGGCCACGCTGTCACAGTGAAGCTGAACTCCGGCATTGTCTACAAAGGTATTGATTTTTCATAATCTTTATATGAACTTCGGTACTAACTTGCTCAGGTGACCTCCAGTCTGTCGATGGCTACATGAACATCTCCTTGGAAGGCTGCAGAGAGGTCGCTGAGGGCCGAGTGATTCGCAGCTGGGGCGATGCTTTCGTTCGTGGAAACAACGGTACGCTTTCACTGAAAGATGATTTTTACCTTGATTACAAGATCTGATACAGCCCATAGTTACATACATTGCTTCAGACAAAGCATGAGTACCTACTCATCTTCGTTTGTATGTCACTTGAGAGTCTACGAGGCTAGGAGCCTGAAAGAGATAGAAATTTGGCACATTTGGGCTGTCGACTGTGACGCCAGATCACATGTGGTTGGCACAGCGGTTGTTTTGACAAACATGATAACCACCACGAGTCGCTACGGGGCATAAACACCACTCCAAATAGATTATGTGGAAAGCCTCCTGACTTTGAATTCTTTGGTTGGCAATTTCAAAGGGATCACTCGAATTGCAAGTGGTAAACAATTTCATTTGTGGGCTGTTTGGCTGTCCAATGTGCCACTGTCTTGACTCTCGTTGCCTTTACGTGTTTCCTCATTTTACAGTCTATCTAATCTCTTTTTCTTCTTCACCCTGTTTTCCAATGGCCTTACTGGACAATTTCTCTTACCCGGCCCGTCCAGCTCGCTTGCCTTAACTACCTCATTGCAAACGCACAACGCTCTCCTCTCCCCCACACCACCACCTTCCTTTACAGTTTGTCTGCACAAAGCAACCAACATCTCCTTGCTCTCCTCCCCCACTGCTATACCAGCACTTCTTCTTTCCTTACCTGCCACGGCAAATTCGTACAAGTCACTCCTCCAGCTGAACCCGCACACAAATCGGCCAGCGTGACAGAAAGCCGCAAACACAAGCTCTACTCCCACCGCATCACACGGTCCGGTCCAGCTTGTCCACACGCTCTCTACATCACTGCCCTATCACGCACGCACACAGCGTCCAATTCCTACCCCAATCCCCTAGCAAACCTTCTCAGCAAAAACCGCCCGTATCACTTCGCAATGGCACCCCGCCGTTTCAACCTCAAGAAGCTCGGCCGCGGCAGGAAGGTCGTCGAGGACGTCGCCATTGAGAGCGACTCTGAGATCGAGGCTGGACCCAGCAACTACCAAGGTCGCCGCAACTATGGTGAGCCTGGCGTGCCAGATGACGCTCCCCAAGGTACATTCACTCGCCCATCTTTTGCATAGCAAGACGTCACTGAACTAACTCCCCCAGGCTCTCTGATCTCCCGCGTGTTCCACCGCCAGCAACATGCCAACCCCCCTCACGATTCCCCAAACCCACCTTCTCAAGCTCTCCCCCCTCCCCCCTTGACTCAGCATCACGAGTCTCAAATTCACCACGGGCAGCCGCATATCCAAGCTCCGCCCGCCGCCAACGTACTCGAGGATGCCGACGCATCCCCCCCAGCCTCTCTCTTGGTGGAGATGAACTCATCCCCTGGTTCCCCTCGGCCAGGACCTCAACGCGGCTGGCGGGCCAGGATGGCGCACTGGTTCGCCGGTCGTCGTCGAGGCACCCGTCGACCTCGCCGTGCCTCCTCTCCTCCCCCTTCCTCCCCCGCTCCCCCTTCCCTCCGCCCCTCTTCCACCGCTCTCCAATTCTACATCCCTCCTCCGGTTAGAGCATCGCGGGGCGCTAGAGACCCTGATCTTCCCGCCCCTTCCGCCCCCATCGACATCCCCGGACGGGTGACACCTTCGGGAGATGTGCCGATGCTCGCGGGGGCACGGTTCGCGCTCGAGGGGCGTCCAGAGCAGCGCGGTGTCATCTACGCTGGCCCCGATGAGGTCGTGAGGCCTCTCCCGTTCTATCAAGCACAGCATCTCCTTCGCATGGAGGATCCCAATGAGGTCAACTACTTCGCAAACTCCAAGGTCTGGCCCGCGACCAAGGAGACGGAGGGTGCGGAGGTGATCGAGGGGTTCTCCGTGGGTGAGCCGAGTGGTTCGCGGGCTGCGGAGCAGCAGCAGCAGCAGCAGCAAGAGCCCGAGCAGTCTGGGCGTCGTTTTGGAGACTGGGCTGTGGGGAGCAGCGAGCAGCGTCGGTTCGTCGACATGACGACCGGACGGCACGTTGGAGATCGCTGGGAGACGCGCTGGCCAGCATTCTGGGAGGATCCGTTCTACCAGGAGATGTTCCAGCCGCGCAAGAGGAACGACGAGGAGGAGAAGAAAGAGGAGGAGGAGGAGGACAAGCCCAAGTATGAGGGCAAGGGAAAGGGAAGAGCGGAGGATTGAAGACCTTTTGGTCTTCATCTTTGTGTTATTTTTTTTTGTTTTTTTCGTTTTTTCGATTTTTCGATTTTTGTTTTTTGGTCTTTTTTTTTTGTTTTTTCGTTTTTCTTTTTCATCACATCATGGGGTTTTAGGGTCACATCACGACTTTCACGAATTCCCTATGATACCCCTCTCTGCGGCATTGCCGCTCTCACTATCATGCATTTGGATTTCAAAAGTTTTGTGTTTTTGTTTTTTGTTTTTTGTTTTCCCTTGCATTTTTGGGTTTGGATCGGGGATTTTGATGAACATCACGATACCACGAGCGACACGACTTTGACACCCACATAATACCCTAATGAAATGGCAGCATGCACTATGTACTATAGATAAATTGACTTCTTCTCGGCTTCACCCTGATCCAAATGTGCAGTGAAAGTAGTCAACATCTCTCAGTGTATAATCATGAATTAACATCAGTGAAACAAGTACAGCAATATGGTATTCCGGGCTAATATATCACAAACTCATCATCCAACCAAGTAAATCCTTCCCTCGAACGCGCCAAACTTCTCTTCATTCCCATCACCGCCAGAAGAGCTAACAAGTAATTCCCTCTTCCCCCCAACGATCTCCCCAAACCTCCCATACTTGACCTCTTGTCCTTCCCCGAAATGGCAAATGGCAACAACTTTCTTTCCTCCCCACGTCTTCTCAAAGACGAAAAAATCCTCATCACTTGGATCCAGATCCTCAAATTGACCATGAACAAGCAAATCTTTATACTCTCTCCTCACACTCAACATCTTCTTCCAGAACGCGAGCACAGAGTTCGGATCTTTCTGTTGTTGGGCGGCGTTGCACGTCGCTGCATCATCGAGGGCTCGCATCCAGGGTTTTGCGGTAGATGAAGGAGGCGAGAAACCGTTGTAAGGCGCGGTAGACCATGAGAAGGGGACACGGGCGTGATCGCGGGCAAGGTGTTGGAGGGACGCTTTCGCAGAGACAAGAGCGGATGGGGAGGAGGATGAGCGTTGATCTACCATCTTATACTGTTGCAGCGAATTAGTATCGATATCTATACTCCAAGAGAGAAAGGAAAAAGAGGAAGTGAATTGCAGCAAGATGGAAGGGCTTACATAGTTTGAAGAGTCGACGTCTTTATACTCGCTCATGTCCCAATCAAGTCCAAAATTTGTCATGCCGATCTCCTGACCTTGATATATGAAGAGAGTCCCCGAAAGCGCGCACATCATGAGCGCCAGCATCTTCCCGCCTGCGACTCTATGTTCGGGTTTATCAGACGTAAAGCGCGTGATCGACCTGGCCTGGTCGTGGTTCTCTAGGAAAACGGTAGTCCAAGCATCCGTTCCCTTGATGAGACTCTGCGTCCTGTCAATCGCGGCCTTGAACTCTGACAGTTTGTAGTTCTTGGGTGTGGTTTGGAACTTGTAAGGCCCCTGTCCGATGTCCACGACGTCGAATTGAAACACCATGTTGAGTTGCTTTTCCTTGGCAGATACGTATTGAATGACGCGGGATGTGTCTGGGGTATTGGGACACTCGCCGACAGTCATGGCATCGTACTTCTCGAGAACCTGGTTCATCTCGCCCAAAAACTCCGCCATGCGAGGACCGTTGCAGTACTGTAGTCCCGCAAACTGCCACTCACTCCCCTCGTCCGTGATAGGTGCGTCCCGCATATCGCCCTTACTATACATGTTCACGGTATCAACGCGGAAGCCGTCCACACCACGCTCCAGCCAGAACTCCATGGCGGATTTGTAGATTGCAGCGCGGGTTTCCGGGTTTTCCCAGTTGAGGTCGGGTTGTTCAGGGCAGAAGAGGTGGAGGTAGTATTCTTCGGTCAAGGGATCCCATTGCCAGACGCTGCCGCCGAAATTGCCGAGCCAGTTGTTGGGGGGTTTGCGCTCGCCGTTGACATAGCGGGCGGGACGCCAGATGTACCAGTCGCGCTTGGGGTTGGTCTTTGAGGAGCGGGATTCTTTGAACCAGGCGTGCTGGATGATTATGTTAGTTCAGCGATTGTGAGTGTGAGGGAGTAGGAGATCAAATAAGTACCTGGTCCGAAGTGTGGTTGACTACCAAGTCGAGGACCATGCGCATTCCTCTCTTGTGTGTCTCTGCGATGAGGTTCTCCATGTCTTGGACTGTGCCGTATGGGGGGTACACTTTCTCGTAATCGCTGATGTCGTATCCCATGTCTACCTGGGGAGAGTCGTACATGGGGCAAATCCACTATAAGGACGAGGTGTTAGCACTGCTTTCTCGAGTTTGGATACATGGTTGATAGAAGTGAGAAATGCGTACTATGGTGTCAACGCCAATTGATTTGATGTAGTCGAGTTCCTCGAGGATGCCGTTCAAGTCTCCGATTCCGTCACCGTTGGTGTCTTTGAAGCTGGCGGGGTAGATCTGGTAGACAACGCCATCTTTCCACCATTTGCGCTCGGGGACTGTCATGATTGCTGTGGTGGATGTGGCAATTGATGCGGAGATGTTTTGTTTGGGCGGGTGCAGAGCCGGAGGTGGAATTGGTCGCAAACAGCAAAGAATGGAGAGAAATCACGAATCGTGCAAAACAGCAAGTGGACAGTTCACGTTTGGCTCACCAAGAAGGCGCTACGTAGTCGTCTTTTATACCAGCAGCAGGTACCTAGGTACGTCTGATCTTCGGTCTTGAACCATGTTTACAGTGGGGAAGCAGCAGATGTGTAAACAACGGAGGGGCAACAAGGAGTGTGGGGGTAATAAAGAGGGGAAGGCAGTTCCATCATCCGTTCATTCGGGAGTTATTGGATTCCCCTCTCTCATGCACCGTCGCGATGATAATGAGGTGGTGGGGAGGAGATGGAGAGACGACCCGACACGCTGATTCGCCTGTAGTCGGCCGACCAAGAGAATCGATATCGAAGCACGAGTAAGGCTCCTGTATGGACAGGAAGTCGGATGCAGAGGGAGCGAGTCAAATGGAATGCCTAGAGATGTCACGGTCCGTCGACTGGTGATGATCCCCGCCAGCGTCTCTCCACCCTGCAGCAGCCGTTGACAAGATTCGAAAGGATCGTGGACGAAGTCTGTCGGGCCGACACTGAACCACTCACGATGCCTGTCCGCCTGTGCACATCCTCGCTCGAATTCTCGGGGCGTTTACTCTTCACGGCTTCCACCCTGGTCCCTGGCTGTCGCTGTCACGAGCATCAGGAAACTTGTATTTGAGACTTGTCGGTCGTCTCTTCGCCATCTTTCACCACGGCAAAGTCGCTTTGCTCGACCCAGTGTTTCTCGGTGGTGCCATGGGAAAAGCCTCGTCCCCATCTTGGAGTGCAGGTGACCAAGTCTCGCTCTTCTGGCCCTTGGCGATCCAGCAGCGTGCTAGCTCTCACGAACATTCGAAGTCTTGCAATCTGTTGGGTTCCTTTCATGCACGATGAAAACCACCTTGGTTCATACATATCTACCTCGTGTTGGTGCGTTCGCCGCTCGTCGGACCGAAGCCTCACCAATGATGAATTGCCCGACCATGCGAACGCCATCAGAGACCAGAGCAGATCCCGCTCGGAGGCTGAACACTCGATAGGTCGCTAAACCGCCCTTCATCGTCTACCCCAGACTGATTCTGGGGTTGGTCGCCTCTTCCCCGCGCCATTTTCCCCCATCCGCCCCCGGACACTCTGCGAAGGGCCTAGTCGACCACACCACACCCTTACCCTTGCTTGGCGCAAAGTATAGACATTGGGACGCACGAGCTTGCAAAATGGGGAGCGTCCTCTTGTATAAGTACGACGGCCGCAGACGCCTTGGACGTGGAGGATCAGGACTTCAAGTCTCCCGTCTTCTTCTGTTCTCCAGAACGAACAACAGCAGCGGCCTACCCATCGGCTAGCCACCTTCTTCTGATCAATCTTCGTTTGGGCAATTGCACTTCACCATGTCTCGACGCAATAGCAATGTTGTCGCCGTTGACCCTGAGCAGGTCAGGCGCATGTCTCTCAACAACGCCGACATCGCCCAGCTCACGGGCGATGCCGCCAAAGCCACAAAAGCCGAGCAAAAGATGTCGCTGCGCGAAGGTATACGCCTGTATCCCAAAGCCATAGCATGGTCTATTCTTCTTAGCACCGCAATTGTCATGGAAGGGTACGTATTGGTTCCTATTCTCCCCTCCTGGATATCAAACTAAATCTTGGCTGTTAGTTTCGACAAGAACCTGATCACGAATATCATCGTCGTTCCTGGATTCCGCCGCAAGTTTGGCGAACTGCAGCCGGACGGCAGCTACGAAGTCACTGCTGCATGGCAATCGGGTCTCAACAACGGAGCAGCTGTTGGTGAAATCCTCGGTCTCTTCATCAACGGTATTGTCGCGGAAAAATTCGGATACAAGAAAACCATGCTCGGAGCTCTGGTAGCAGTCACACTCCTCATCTTCATCGTCTTCTTCGTCCAGAGTCTCCCTATGCTGGTAACCGGTCTGATCCTCATGGGTGTCCCCTGGGGAGTTTTCCAAACCCTGACCTGCACCTACGCCGCTGAAGTCACGCCTGTGCCCCTCCGACCGATCCTGACCACCTACGTCAACCTCTGCTGGGTGATGGGTCAATTCGTAGCCTCAGGTGTCCTCAAGGGAGTCTCAACACGCGAAGATCAATGGGCCTACCGCATTCCCTACGCGCTGCAGTGGCTCTGGCCCATCCCCCTCATCGTCGGCATCTGCTTTGCACCCGAATCCCCCTGGTGGCTCGTCCGCCAACAACGCTACGACGACGCACGCAAATCGCTCCTTCGTCTCGCCTCCCCAGACAAGAACCCATCATTCAACGCCGACGAAACAATCGCCATGTACAAGCACACGGACGAAATGGAAAAAGCCGAATGCAGCGGAACCTCGTACTGGGACTGCTTCAAGGGCACCGATCTCCGCCGCACAGAAATCGCCTGCATGACATGGTTCGTGCAATCCTTCTGCGGATCCAGCTTCATGGGCTTCTCCACCTACTTCTTCGAGCAAGCCGGCCTCGCCACCTCAAACGCCTTCAGCATGTCGCTAGGACAGTACGCCCTCGGCGCCGTGGGAGTCATAATCTCGTGGTTCCTTATGCCCAAAGTCGGACGCCGCACGCTCTACGTCTACGGCCAAGTCGCGCTCTGCTGCATCCTCCTCATCATCGGCTTCCTGGGCATTGCGCCAGAAGACCACGCAGGCGCTGCCTGGGGCTGCGGCGCCATGCTGCTCATCTTCACCTTCGTTTACGACTTCACCGTCGGCCCCGTGTGCTACTGCCTCGTCGCCGAACTCCCCTCGACCCGCCTCCGCCAAAAGACGGTCGTGCTCGCGCGAAACTTCTACAACATGGCCTCCATCATCGGCAACATCATCACCCCGCGCATGCTCAACCCCACGGCGTGGAAATGGGGCGCCAAATCCGCTTTCTTCTGGGCCGGAACGTGTTTCCTGTGTCTGGTGTGGACGTACTTCCGTCTCCCCGAGCCCAAGGGCCGCACGTACGGAGAACTCGATATCCTATTCGAGAGACGCATCAGCGCGAGGAAGTTCGCGGGCACCGTCGTCGAGGAGTACGAAGTCGCTGTTCGGGAGAAGGGCAGCAGCATCGATGTTGTTGCGGACGAGAAGGAGGGTGGGGTCAGCGCGCACCTTGAGCAGGTCAACTCGAAGATCTGAGGGTTCGGGGATGCTTGTATGATTTGATGTAGTTTTTGTCTCGCTCTCTCTTTTTCTCTTTCTGTCTTTCTTGCTGTTTGCTCAGTTGGTTAGACATGAATCTCTCTCTCTATACAGATGATTTGAACGAGAAAATTTTATGAGGAGTTGTTTAGTTTTATATGCATGACTTTTTTTTCTTATTATCTGCGTGAAAACATCTTAATCGTGTCGTCGTTATAACTATCTCTTATGACCCTTCTGTACCAGACTCCAAGAAACCCTTCTAGTAACTTTCGCAACTGAACGCCGGTAGAAATGCACCCCCTGATTACAAAGCTTATTATTCTATCGGCACTTTACATATCGTGAGAATCACGACGTCCCGATAACTACGACACACCTGAGGAGGCAAAATATATCAAATTTCCCAGAATCTAAGACGTTATAGTATCAAGTTATCTTTAGCGATTTTCCTTTCTTTCTTCTTCTTTCTTATTGATCCTGAGTTAGAGTTGGAGTGATCCTACACACAGCAAAGGGTTACGACAATGAATAGACTGTCAAAAAATCACACGAAAAATGCCTTTATCACAAGCTTGTTGCAACACAGTTGTTATGCAAAAGTAGGATCGGGGGCACCTCTTCTTCTTTCTAATCTATATTAACTCCTTGAATATCTCTGACCTTACATCCCTAGCATAAACTAGCTGTCTTAGAAGCTGTCTATTAGACGGCTAAATGTATCAAGGAATTATAGCCAGAAAATTTTCAAGAGTTTGGCATAAACAGAAGGCTATAGCTAAATCCATTAGTAGATTCAGAACTTTCAAAGCTGCTAGAGTAGTAAAAGGAGTTATACTTACATCGCCTCGCTTCTTATATCCCTTTTTTTTGTCTTAATGCTAGGCAGGCAGTTAGTTAGCTAGTTATAAAATGTTTATTGTTATTACAGAACATGTCTTTGTTTAATGTGAAGGGAACGGAAACACAATAAGAGAGAGAGAGAGAGAGAAAGAGAGGAAGAAAAAGCAACAGACAGAAAAGAAGTGTGATGAAGAAAGGGTGGAATGTAATTTGATGCATATTTGGTATATTTTGCCACAGCAGGGAACAATGTTGTAGAGTGGACAGATAACAGAGAGAGATATTGTGTTTGCGTGTATACATTTGTAGATGCTATATAGTATTTTGTGTGTACAAATAGACAGAGAGAGATATGTGAGCCGCTTAAAAAGCAAGGACAGAAACGAACAAGAGACGATAAAGTTACGAGTATGCCGAGGAAAGGGAAAAACAGAAAGAGATGTGTCGAATAGGGAAGCGTACATGACCTTTGTACAAAAGTGAGAAGAAACAGCCGAGTATATTGTGGTTCGTGACAAGGAGGATGATGTTTTCCCGATTTCCGCTGTGGGAAATCAAAAAGATGGAGAGATGGGGTTTTTTTTTCTTCTTCTTCTTGGAGCAGGCACGCATTTGTGTACAGGATTGCAATGTAAAAAAAAAAGCTTGTTCATGAAACAGCAAATGTAGCCATAGATAACCTTCTCGAGATGTGATTCCAAGTAGCTTGCCGCTCGTCTTTCAACATCTGTTCTTCTTCCTGCTGCCGCTGCAATGCTTGTTGTTGCTGCTGCTGTTGCTGCGACGAAGAAGACTGCTGCTGCCCCTCCTGATCAAACGAAGAAGAAACAATCGAAAGCCCCTCAACAGGCGACACCAGCGAAGGCGGCAGCGCACTCTCTCCCTCGCCCTCCGCACTTCCCCCATAATTCGCGGCGATCTTGGAATGCGCGACTTGGTACCAGGGATCGGTCGACGGACTCTGCGCGTCAAACGGCATATTGGGCGACGAAGCTGAACTGCAAACTTCCGGGAACATACTCTGCAGTCGCTCCAACTTCTCCAGTAGGATCCCACGACGCGTGTTATCGAGGGTTGGGAACTTGAGCACAAAATCTAGGATGAAGAGGAAATCGTCGATGCGGAGAGCGATTTCAGCTAGAGTGGTTGCAGGGACGTGAAGCAGAACGTCTGCGATTGTGTCTGTGATTTCAAAGAGTTTTTGAGTGATGGAGGAGCCGTGGACTTCAATGTCGTGGCGGGACATGTTATATATTTGGGAGCGCAGGTTTTGGGAGAGGCGGACAGGGAAGAGGAGGGAGAGGCATTGTTTTGAGGAGCGCGAGGAGAGGAGGGTTTGGGACATTGCGAGACGCCAGACGAGGGTTCGGAGCCACTCGCGTGTGATGGCGAGGTCGGCGCGTTGCATGGTGGTTAGTTGGGAGAATTGGAGCGCTGTGTCTTCCGATGACAGCTCGAGTTCGCGCGACTTGGCTTCGATCCAGGTACTGGTCACTCGTCCGCCTTGACTCCCGAGCCAGTTTTTGAGGAAGTCGCCGTCGAGGAGACGGAAGAGTTTGATGATTTGATTGAAGCCTTCGTGGATTTGTATGGGGATTGTGGAGTCGTCTTCTGGAAGGGTTTCGAGGGGTGGGAGGATGGCGTCTCGGTAGTCGAGAATGGCGACGAAGCGTTCATGGATGAAGGCTTGCCAGTACAGTCTTTGGCGTCGCGAGCGTTCAGCTGGTGGTAGGTGTGACATGACTTCGGCGTTGTCGATTCTCAAGAGCTGTATGGCGGATATGGAATCGCGCATGTAGTAGAAAGCTGCATCGCTTGCCGACATGGACATGAGGCAATTGTGAATAAACATTGTCTGCATTGCTCTCATGACTGACGAGTGGAACGACTTGTAAGGCGGCTTCATAGTCTGAATTGAGTAATTCATCAACGTTTCGATGGTGTGCCGGATTTCCTCTGTGCGTTCAGCGCCCTGGCGGGTCAAGTTGAGCGTGCATGCACCAAAGGCGAAGACAAATGATCGCACTTCTGCATCGACGTGCATAACCTGAATGTAGTCATGGAGCTCCTTCTCAGGGATGACTGGCTGCACGGGATATACACCTTCAACGTAGGCCGGCAGCAAGTCGAGAAAGAAACCCGGGCCATACTGAGGTTCCGACTCAGTTGGAGACGACACTACATGGTATCAGTCCAGGCCGATTTAATTGCCCAATCCGCCGTTCCAACAGCCACCGGTTGAGGTGTTGTCATTTTCAGGCGGTCTGTGGCTACTCACCTACATTACGATCCAGTGTAAATGGAAGAATCGCATGAGGTGATGGCAGCCCATTCAGAGGGGTACCAGCAGGAAGAATAGGAGGCGAAGTCAGGCTCAGATTTGTCGTCTTGCTCTTGTACTCTGATATGATGCGGCCGCGTTTACCCTGAGACCGCGTCTTGTTGGTAGCCGAGTAGACGCATCGCAGCCCAAGATGAGAACACTGCTGGCAGCGCTCTTGGCCGTTGCATTTGACTTTGCGAAGCTTGCAAGCATCGCAGGCTTTGGAGACTCTCTTGGGGGTCGAAGATTCCATGCATACAACGGGGATCCAGGTCGGGAGGTGACATCCGCGGGTGTGGTCTAGTTAGAGCATTTTCACAGAGTTCCAGAGGGATGGAATGCGGAGAAGCGACGCGGGTAAACTCAAGCCAGCCTAGCGCCGCGTGCATCCGCCACATGCCTGTGAATGGTCATTGTGGAGTGCATCGACTACGGCATTGGCATGTTGGCACGAAGATCATGGGCGTCATCGCCGGCCTCGTCTCCGCGTTGAATGCGTGTGTTGTGCAGCTCGACGCTCACATGCTATGCAGGCTCAACGACATGCAGCCTTCGTCACCCGCAATAGCGAACGCACCCCAGATAAATCTGCCGCCCGCCTAGAAGCATACATACCTATGCAGTGAACCGATAGTATCTGTATGCTACATTTGAATAATAGACATGCATGCGTATATATAAAAATTAGATGACAGCAAACAGTCTCTCGCGTACGATTCGTTCGGATTCCAAAACAACTAGTGAGAAATACACATGTACATACAAAATCCTCGCCAGAAAGAAGGGAACAAGACAACATCCGCCTTCCACACTCATGCTACGCCACGGCCAACCGCAATTTTCCCACCAGCAAACGCAAGCCCAATTTTGTCTACCCCGAGTCCATTCCTTTGCAAGCTTAGGTGAAGGCCATACTCTTCTTGATTTCAGTGATGGCCAAGGCGGGGTTCAATCCCTTCGGGCATGTCCTCGAGCAGTTGAGAATAGTGTGGCAGCGGTACAAGCTCATGCTGTTGTTGAGGGCATCCTGTCGCTCGGCCTTCTTCTCGTCTCGCGAATCAGCGATCCAGCGGTACGATTGGAGAAGAACGGCAGGTCCAAGGTACTCCTCCTGGTTCCACCAGTACGAGGGGCACGATGTAGAGCAGCAGGCGCAGAGAATGCACTCGTAAAGGCCGTCAAGCTTCTTACGGTCTTCCTTGGTCTGACGGTACTCACGACCCTGATATCAAGTTAGTACGATGAGTTGAGAACTACCATGAAGGATAAACTTACGTCCGGTGAAGGTGTAGTACGCTGGAGGTATGGCTTGACGGAGCGGTATTGCTTGTAGAAGAGCGTCATGTCGGGCACCAAGTCCTTGACAACGTACATGTGCGGGAGAGGGTAGATGCGTGATTCCTTAGCGGTGTCTGTGGGAATTCGGCCTAGAAACAACAGCCATCAGTTCATGATCCATAGTAAACGGAAACGAACAAGTACATACAGAGACAGGCAAGAGTGTTGACACCATCAATGTTCATCGCACAGCTTCCACAAATGCCCTCACGGCAACTTCTCCGGAAAGTCAAGGTAGGGTCGGTCTCGTTCTTGATGCGGATCAGAGCATCCAGCATCATGGGGCCAGTCTTGTTCAGGTCGAGGGTATACGACTGCATGCGAGGCTTGGAGGTGGGCTCATCGGGGTTCCATCGGTAGATGTGGAAGGTCTTGAGCTTGGAGCCCTTCTCCGGCTCGGGCTCCTTGATGTTGGAGGTCTGACTCTCGGGCACGACCTTGCGGGCAGGATCCGGGTTGATGGCTTCGCCGACCTTGGAGAGGGGGTCGCGGGTGGTGGTATCGCTCACAGAGGCAAAACCGCGAGTGAAGACGGGAGTTCGAATGGCGGCGGCGGCTGCGGATTTGCAGGTTAGTACGAGGTCGCAGAAGCAGGCGAGAGGCCCAATTGGCGTGACTTTGGGATGGTGAAGGGAGCCATACCTGACCGCTGCGTAGCCAGACGAGCGAGAATGCGCGTGGATGCCATTGCGGGAGGTGTTTGCTGGGGGTCGCTGGGATCGTGTGTGGATGGCAAACTGAAAGGTGGAAGAGTGGTTGCGTTCACAACGCAGCAAGACCTCGGGAAAGAGCAGTGGCCAATCAGCCGTGGCCTTTAGTAAGTTGGCATGTGCGTTTCTTTCGGATTAATTCGGGCACATGGCACGCTAACCCCAATCCACGTCAACCATCACATCATAGACGACGCCGTCACCATCGGTTGCGGTTGCGCACTCAAGCATTGCTTTATCGACACTGTTTTCTTTACGACTGCTACTGATGTGTCCAATATTTTCTTCAAAAGAAAGTTGATTGTTGTTTTGCTGCACAGTAGGTCCAAATTCTTTCCAAAGTGTATGCGGCATGTCTGTGTGTATTTGATACATGAATGCATTGATAACCGTGTGCTCATCATGAATGAACAAAACTTGACACCAACTGGAGAGACATAAACACTCCGAGAGCCAAATGGACATGGTCCCTGAAAATAAAATAAAAAAGACAAAAAATTCAAACCCCTCCCAGAACCCCCTCCTAAGCAAGCAAGTTCCCAAAGTTATGTCCTACACTGACTTACACGCTACACCATGAACTACCTACGCTGTTGTTCCCTTGGGCAATACATAATCTCGTGAACACGTATATAAGAGAGAAACAGGTACCGCTTCCAAAAAACAATGTCCCATAAAAAACAAGCCCTGTCTGATATCTCCGTATCAAGCACAATCTCGAAACTCGGACATGAAACAAGAAACAAGAAGAATGCCATCTCCTCAAGATTCGTACAACGCGAGAGCTTCCGGTATTAGATTTCTTTTCTCTCGTCAGAAAGGACAAGGTGCATGGTCGCGTTTTCCAAAGAGGTTGAAAGTTTGGCAATGGCGGCTACTAGTCATCCATTGGCTTATCTTCCAGCGTAACGCCTCTCGAGCTGTCCTCCGTAACGCCCCTCAGACTACCAGTCGAGTCCCGATTGCTCCTTGCCAAGCTACCGGCGTGCTTGCGGGGAAGGGGGACCCGAGTGCTTGATGGAGCGGGGTGCTCAGTGCTAGCTGGCTCCGCAGTAGTGGCGCCATTGGTAACATTTCCCTCGACAACAGGGCTATCAATGTTGCCGGGAACTTCGAGAGAATTGCGGGTGTTGCGACGGGTTTCGGTTGGAGAGGATGTGTTGACGGGGAATCTCGTTTGACTGCGATCGCGGCGATGCGATCCCATCGAGTTCCGGGCACCGGGTGCAGGAGAAGAAGCTCGAGGGGAACGTTGGGCAGCGATGGCGCGGTTACGCTCTTCGTAGTTGGCACGCCTGTTGCTCTCATCCGTCGAGATGGCACGAGGTCGCTGAGCACCCGACGATGAATGTGTCAAAGAGCTTGCTCGCTTCAATTCACCAAAAATAGCATCCTTGTGGGCAAAGAGATCCCTAATCAGGCGGTAGCTGTAGCGCTCATTCATAGTCAAGCTGTTTTCCTGCTTGGGACGAAGCACGCAGGGCGCCAAAGCAGTGGCAAGAGAGGCGACATAGGCTTCGTCGGCTGATGTGAGTTCAATCAGGCGTGTGAAATGGGTGCAGAGGGCATCGAGGGACGCAATGTTGGCTAGACGAAGTTGGCCGAGCGTCGACTGGATGACAGCAATGCGCTGACTTTCGGAAGTGTCAGGGGCCGTGGTGCTGTAGATAGTCTTGATAATTTCGTATACATGGGAAGATACAAGCGAGTCTGTTCTTCTGTTAGTTGAGTGCCGCGATGCAGACCATGAATAGACTTACCGGGCAGTTCGAGCAAGTACAGCTTGAGAACGCTCGCAACAATGGGTATATCGTACTTCTCAAGAGCATCTTGAGGAAATGTCTTGCCCGTGTTGATGGCTGAGCGTAGATCGTGGATCTGTGCCATGGGCACATCGACAAGCCAGATTCCACGGCGGGCTTCGTCACCCTCAAGATCAGGGTAGTGGTTGTCCAGGAACGTGAGAATGGTCGTGATGATGATAGGCACACGCTTGCGGTCAGAGCGAGCCCTCGCCTCGAGATCCACACCAAAAGTTTGTTCATCAACAGAATTGTAGTAGTTTTCGTACGTAGTGACTCTAGGGATGAATTGGCCCGTCCTGTAGTTCTCCAACAGGTACCGGAGATCGCCCAGTGGCTGAACAGTCTCCTGGAAGAGCATCATCTTGTCCACAGTACTCTGCAGACTAGGAATCACGTTGCTGATGGCGCCAGAGAAGTCAAGAATGACAGCCTTGATCGCCTTCAGCCTGTCAAGCTCGCAGCGCTCCATGAACTTCAAGTGGTCAATCATGGCCTCCTCAAGGTTGCATCGCAGCGAGTCGAGCTTCTTCACCGACTGCTTGTATCGCTCGTCGGACTCACGTGCCTCCCTGCGAAGTCTCTCGGAAGGTGTTTCGTTGGGATGTTGGTTGTTGAGTGGATTCCATCCTTGCAGATATTCTTGAACGGCGCCCGCAGGAGAATCGACGTTGAAGCTATCGGTAGACATTGTGGTGGATGAACGTGCCAGACCCTGCTTCTTCTCCGGTATGTCGGTCAGTTGAAAGACCTTGGTCTTCCATTGGTAATTCATCCGGGAGCTGTTGGCGAAGGTGTTGCCCACGTTTCCAATGAGACGAAGAAAGCCGTTCTCGATCATGTCCTGGCCAATACGCTCGGCGTAGCTGACGCTGGTTGCGTTCAAGTGTTTTTGGATGTAGTCTGTGATGTCGGCGCCATTGGAGCAGTTTTGATATGTTCCTAGGATAGGGACCTTGACCTCGCCGAGCTTGATCACCTCCAACATGTGGGTCAGAATCTTCTTGACTTGCTCCGGCGCATACGTCTCATCACCGAGGTCAATGGGTTCGTCCTCGTTGTCCTCGTGCTCGGTCATTTTGATCGTGGGCACCTTGACTTTTGGGCTCTGGGAAACCTCGCTCAGAGGGTCCTGGAAAGCCAGTTTGTCCTCCTCGTCGAGATCCTCCACGAGCCGGCACTTGTTGTAATACTGCGACCGGAACTTGCTGACTGCATCGGCCTGGCGGTCGTGGAGCTTGATGCGGGATTGCAGGTCATCTTGCGAATTTTGGACACGCACCGCATGCGCCTCGCACCAGCGGCCAAAAGGGTTCACGACCAGCTCGCGGATATTGGATGCGATCTTGCGATGGTTCTCGGCGGCGGTTTCCATTTCGGTGCGCACGCCTTCGTATGCCTAAAGAAATATGACTGGTAAGCGACAATTACCAGCGGATTCGGGTCTCTTTTTTCCTGTCCAGGGCTCACCTTTCTCACGCTGGCACCCTCATCTCTGGAAAAGCCGCCCGACACGCGCTCTGTGGCAGGGGTAATGGCAGCGAGGCTAGTTCCATACTGCTCTTCGGCGTCGGCACGCAGCCGAGCGATGGTGAGGATCTGCTGGTTTTCCTGAACACCCTGTTGCAATTTTCCAAACAGGACGCCCAGACCTAGCGCAGTTAGCATTTATTTGTACATGGGTGTATGGACAGACGTATGCGCAGCAGAAGCGCTGGCAAGGGGAGTCGTACCACCTGCGTAGTCGCTGGACCAGAAAGAGCCGGCAAAGCCTGACGCCATTGGAGAAGAAGATGGGTGCTCGGGTCGGTACAAAACGTGGAAGAAGGGCGAGTTGTGGGGTGCAGAGACGTGGGAACAGAGCCGGGTGGGCTATAGCGAATGTTGGGGGGGAGGAAGACTGGGAACTGGAGGTCGCAGTGACGCAGGGCAGCAGCAGAGACACGTCTGTCTGTCGGGTAGTGGTGCTGCTTTAGGGCTGGCTGGTTGGCTGGTCGGTCGCAACGGGGGAGCGGGCAGCGCGTGCGAACAGGTAGATGGGGGCCCAGTCGCTGATGGAAAGAAGAAGAGAAGACAAAAAAAGCAAATAGAGAGGAGAGAGGGCCTCAGGGGAGTCGGGGGGGATTTTGGCAGTGGTGTGGTGTGTTGTTGTGGAAAAGAGAGCTTCCTTCGTTTCCAGCTGAGGTTGCGTTGCGGCGCCAGGGCAGCCGGGGCAGGCAGGGGTTGTTTCTGGCTCTGGCTCAGCCTACACAATTAGTTACTTGGGTGCTTGGGTACCTAAAGTTGGGGGCTCTTTGGGAAGAAAATGCCTTAGTCACCCGCCCGGCCGTTGGTCGCAGTGGCCGCATGGAACCCGCCGCAATGGCATCAACCACCCCGAGATCAGTTCCCAAGCAAGCGTAGCCCTTTTCGTCAAACACGTCACCGTCCTAGCCCTTCCATCCATTCACGGCCCACGCTCCCTGGCCCTGTAGCGCTCACACTTCGGTCACTCATCGCATCTGTTCACTCATTGCTTGTTTCAATCGCTCCAGCAGCACCGGCAAGGGCGCGAAGATCCATTCTCGGCTGCCTGCATGCAACAGGGAAGGTCCAATATCACAAGCATCGGGGTGGCCCAAAACATTTATCAACATCTTCACTTGAACACAAAAAACCCGCAATAGCATAAGCAAGCCGTCGATAGCCTGAGCGTACCATCTACTCGCCCGAGTAAAGTACCTAGGCAGGCAGGATGAGCCCTGTCGTGCCCGTTGCTGGTGACGAGGAACAGAAGCTCAACTATTCCGCCCACATCAGGTATTGGCGAAGAAACCTCAAGACTTTCCTACCGCACCACTACACCGGCAATGATGCCAATCGCATGATCTTGGGCCTTTTCATCCTGTCCGCTCTCGACATCCTAGGTGATCTCCCTTCGGCCCTCTCTGCAGAAGAACGTCAAGGCTATATAGACTGGGTGTACCTTTGCCAACTTCCAGAAGGAGGCTTCAGACCGGCTCCTGCCACCCATCTTGGAGACGCCAGAAACGACGACAACGGGATATGGGATCCTGCCCACGTGCCCGGTACCTTTTTCGCTCTCTCTACTTTGGCCATCCTCGGCGATGATCTCGAAAGAGTCAAAAGGAGAGAAATATTAATATGGCTCAACACGGTGCAGAAACCAGAAGGGGGCTTTGGTGAGACGCTGGGAGAGGGTGATCGGATTGAGGGCGGCGACGACTCCAGATTTGGCTACATGGCCACCGCCATCCGATGGATTCTACGAGGCACTCGCGAAGGTCCATTGGATGGTGTGCCTGACATCCGCGTCGATCATCTTGTACAGTGCATTCGAGATGCCGAAGCATATGATGGTGGGCTCTCCGAAGCGGCATACCACGAGGCTCACGCTGGCTTCACGTCATGCGCTGTATCCACGCTGGCCCTCGTTGACCGCCTGCCTGTTTCCAAACCAGATGGACGCCTACGAGGTATCACTAATCTTCCCATGACCCTGCACTGGCTCGTTTCCCGTCAGACTTTGACCATTGACGAGACCGATGCCATGGATACCTTGATGGACGAGACAGATTCTGCAGCAACGTGCCACGATTCCCATTCTTTTGTCAAGATGCAGACATATCCCTCTTTGCGTGGGCAAAAGTCCTTCGAAGATAAGCTCCACTTGCCGTTCGCCGACACCGACCTCAAGTGGGTAGGTATCAATGGACGACTGAATAAAATTGGCGACACCTGCTACGCCTACTACGTGACGGCACCGCTCTTTACTCTTGGTCATCAAGACGCTATTGACAAACGACCCATTCGGAGGTGGCTAGTCGAGAAAACAGCACACATGATTGGTGGTTTCGGGAAAGGACCTGGCGACCCCCCAGACATATATCATTCCTTTCTAGGTCTGATGGTGTTGTCAATGTTTGGCGAAGCAGGACTTCAAGATGTTGATGTTGTGCTGTGCATCACGAATAGAGCGAAGCGACACGTAGAGTCTCTTCCGTGGAGAAAAGCAGCTGTGGGCGCTGAGGATCATGTATAAATGGATGGAAAACTACAGTGCAGCGCCTGGTAGCGAGGATATAATGACAATGATTGAATGACTACATTTCAAGAGGAAGACCATAGGCTATACGGTAGTCGGTGGACATCAATAACATTCATTGATGCTCTGCGCTGTGACTGGTTGAGTCTTGCGCCACACTAGCACCGCCACTTTTACCTTACATAATCATTTCTTTTTGCGGCACACTCGAATATTGTCGACGAGGATCGACCCCACCACGAAGAAACGCAACCACCCAACATGTCTACCGCATACGATAACCTCCCTATGGAGGACGACGAATTTGACGAGTCACAAGTCGATTTTACTGATCTCGAAGAACAATATCAGGTGCGGCTAGACGAGGGGTTGGACGCTTTCGTTGTTATCGATGGCTTGCCCGTTGTTCCCGAGGACAGCAAGGGCAAATTGGTCAAGTTCATCCTGAGAAAATTGAACACAGTCGGCCGGGTCAAGGATGACGGAGTGCACATGCCTGTGGGCGAGGACGGAAAGACTGAAGGGTATGTCGCACCGGCAATGCGCGTTTAGGGAAGACAGACACTTATAGATCGGCTCAGATATGCTTTCGTCGAATACAACGCCCCAAGCGAGGCTATCGCCGCTGCAAAGCAGCTTCACCTTACCGCGCTAGACAAGAAGCACACTATGCTTGTGAACAAGCTTACCGACATTGACCGCTTTGGAAAGGAAGGTCGTGTTGACGAGGAATACACCCCACCCCAAATCGAGCCTTTCCAGCAGAACGAGCACTTGCGATCATGGCTCGGTGACAGCGAGGGCCGTGACCAGATGGTCATGTTCCGCGGCGAGAAAGTCGGTGTCTTCTGGAACAACAAGGACGATGCGCCCGAGCCTGTCGTCGATCGTGAGAACTGGACCGAGTCGTTCGTGCAATGGTCACCGCAGGGAACTTTCCTTTGCTCGATACACGCTCAAGGTGTGCAACTTTGGGGTGGCAAGCAATGGAACAGGCAAAAACGTTTCGCACACCCTGGTGTCAACCTGGTCGATTTCTCGCCCGGCGAGAACTACTTCACCACCTGGTCACATCGGCCGCTCCAGGTCGACGAAAACCACCCCGTCCCGACCTTGTCGCTCGAGGAGGACGGCAAGAACTACATCATCTGGGACATCGCAACTGGCAAGCCTCTCCGTTCTTTCGCCACTCTGGATGTGCCCACATCGACCGACGCTGAAGGCAACCCTGTGAAGAAGAAGATGCAGTGGCCTACGTTCAAATGGTCAGCCGACGACAAATATGTTGCTCGCATGACCCAAGGCCAATCCATCTCCGTCTACGAACTCCCCCGCATGAACCTCTTGGAAAAGACCTCTGTGAAGATTGAAGGTGTGATGGACTTTGAATGGGCGCCCGCCACCCCCAAGCGTGAAGGTATCAAGACTTACGAACAACTCTTCTGCTACTGGACTCCCGAGCTCGGCAGCAACCCTGCCAAGGTCGGTCTCATGTCTATCCCCTCCAAGGAGATTGTGCGTACGCGAAACCTGTTCAATGTCTCTGACGCCAAGCTCCACTGGCAATCGGAAGCCGCATACGTGTGCGTGAAGGTCGACCGTCACTCCAAGTCCAAGAAGTCCATGGCGACCAACCTCGAGATTTTCCGCGTCAAGGAGAAGGGCGTCCCCGTTGAAGTCGTCGACTCTATTAAGGACACCGTCATTAACTTCGCTTGGGAACCCAAGGGCAACCGTTTCGTGCTCATCACCACCGGAGAGATCCCTGCGCAAACCGCAGTGCCTCCCAAGACTGCCGTCTCCTTCTTTGCGCCCGAGAAGATCAAGGGTGGAGGTGTAGGTAACTTCCGTCACATCCGCACTGCCGACAAGAAGAACAGCAATGCCATCTACTGGTCACCCAAGGGCCGTTTCGTCGTAGTAGCCACCCTCCAGTCCCAGCAATCCTTCGACCTCGACTTTTGGGACCTGAGCTTCGACAAGCCCAAGGATGAGGCCGAGAAGGGCGAGAAGGAGCTCCACGCCAACCTTCAGCTCATGGCCACGGCAGACCACTACGGTGTTAGTGACATTGAGTGGGACCCGTCAGGTCGTTACGTCGCCACCGTTGCGTCTGCATTCCGACACCATGTACGTAACCCTTTCTTTTTTATCTCTAGATATATTCACGTCACCAAAAAAAACCTACATCAGCTAACATGAGATCCCTCTATAGATGGAAAACGGTTACCACCTCTACGATTTCAAGGGCACGCTTCTCCGCGAAGAAGCCATCGACCGCTTCAAACAACTCATCTGGCGCCCCCGTCCCCCGACCCTCCTCACAAAGGAAGAACAAGCCGAGATCCGCAAGAACCTCCGCAACTACAGCAAAGTCTTCGACGAGCAAGACACGGCCAAGAAGAACACGGCAGACAAGGCCGTCATCGAAGCCCGCCGCCGTCTCCTCGAGGAATGGAACGCGTGGCGCGATAGCATGCGGCTTATGCTCGAAGAAGAGGGCGCGGAGATTGAGCTCAACGATGGCAAGGTACTGCGTGATGTCGATGGCGAGGTCGAGGAGATTGAGGAGATTGTCGAGGAGATTATCGAGGAGAGCGAGGAAGTGATTTCCTAGATAGACCAAGATATCGTTGTTAGCTCGTATTTGCTGCTTGCTGCTGTGGAGAAATCAAAGTTTCGGGTTTGAAGCCTTGTGGTTGTTTTGCTTGAATCGGGAGGAACTTGAGAAGAAAAACAAAAGTAGACACTTTTATTAATGTCTTCATCCCACTCGATTCAACTTCCCTCTCGACCACGTCACGTTCACTTTCACTTTCACTTTTCACACACAGAACTGCACACACACGCACGCATGAAATAACCTCAATCAAAGGAATTACAAGACATAATGTCAATCGCAACGAGGACAAGAAAAAGGCCACACTGATCATTATTTCTTTCCGTGTTAATACCCCATAAATCCATCATTCCCGTCTAATTTTTGGGGGGAAAAAGGGAGGGAAAGAAGTTCCTCATGTGATTCCCCAATGCCAATTCTCCCTCCTATCCCATCCCATTCTATCCCATCCCGTCCCCAAGATGTCGACAACGTTTCCCAACGTCTCATATTAACCCGGATCAGCCCAAGTTCGCTCAATCAGTCGCTCAATCAGTCACTCAATCAGTGATTCATCCATTATCCAAAGAAAAACGACAACATCCAAGTTCATATCCATATCCTCCATTTGAACCAAATCCCTCATGTCCAATCATTTCCAACACAGCAAAAGAAAGGAAGAAGAAGAAAGGGTCGCTACACACGAAATGAAGACAAGCAAGACCCATTCCAGTTTACCCCACCGGTCTCAAAACCTCCCAGCCCTTTAGTCCATCCAAATCCTCTCTACTAACATCATCGCCGTCCATTAGGTTTCTACTCGCGTTCGCGTTCGCGTTCCCAACACGCGGCGGAAGCTGCGGCGGCCGTTCCACGTTATCGAACTCGTCGTCGTCGAGCAGATTCACCGGCGGCGGGGCCATGACTCTGCGGCCCGAGGGCTGCTGAGCCGAGGACGAGGACCGCGGGAGTGGTTTCCTGTCGATTGGCGTGGCGGAAGGAGTTGAAGAAGAGGAGGAGATGGAGTACTGTTGGGCGGGTGGGGGCGCAGCCATACTGCGTCTTGGAGGCGGGGGGTTGGGACGGTTTGAAGGTGGTGGAGGGGATGGGTCGTCGCGGTAGCGCTGCTGCTGCTGCTGCTGTTGGGCGGAAGAGGGAGTGGATTGGAGAGCGGGTTTTTTGTTTGGAATTGGGGGAGCGGGTTTGCGGTGGAGTTCTTTAGAGAGATTCGAAGGTGGGTTATGCTGCTGCTGGGAGAGAGGCGGAAGCGGGTGACGAGGAGGAAGACGGTGGAGGTTCGGTGGTAGAGAGTGTGTGGAAGCGCTCGAGGTGGTGCGTTTGAGCCCGTTGTTGTAGTTGCTATCGTCGAGGGCGGAGGTCGTCGGAGAGTTGTTGGTGCTGGGCATGAAGGGGGGTGCGGCGAGTTTGCGCGCTTGACGATGTGGTTGGGTTGGGTTTGTGAGGGAGGATGGGGTGTTGAAGTCGACTGTGCGTGCTCTTGCTGTTCCTCTTGTGGGTGGAGGGTCGGGCCTTTGGGATCCCATTCGCTTGATTTCGACCCAGTCAGGCTCCGGAGATGGGGCAAATGGGTTTCCTTGCTTTTGCGGGTTGGGGATGTGGTCGTTGGATGGCGGTTGGACGCGCGATCGGGCAGGTAATCCGTTATCTAGCCACCATTTCCTTCGGTCTGAACTTGCGGGTGGTAATCCAGGCTCTACACTCTCGTAGCCGAGCAAGTCTTCGTCGTCACTCTCGTCTTGCCCGTCGCCCACCCTGACCTCTCCTACATACTCTCTCCTCTTCTCGTAGAGCTCCTGACTGAGCACTTCCTTCTTCTTTTCATCGACCTTGCTGATGCGGCACTGGAATGTAGCATAGACAGGACGGTGGTCTGAGAACCGGAGCGGTGCAGCATCGTAGTTGATCTGCCGTATGTTATCGCCTTTTCGGAGGACTCGATCACACCAGGCAGGAATTCGCGCTTTCTCTGAAGTATCGTATGTATCTGTGCCGAGGTCATACTTGTAGGTCGGAAGAAAGGTTATACGGGCCTCGCTATAAAATGGAAAGGTCAAACCGGCAACCATCTGCAGATTGAGCTGGACCAATATTAGTCTATTAAAAATACTAGAATCAAACCAAACGTACCTGATCGTTCTCGTATAGCGTCTCAAGGTCACCAACATGACAGAGTTTTTGCACTTTATCATTGCTCAATCCAATGCGGTAGTTGAAATCGCCCAACCACACCACCGTATCGTGGTCTTCAATGGAGCGGTTTCGCTGGAACCTCAAACCATGGCTGATGGTTCGATAGTCACGATTTCGCTCTTCATAGTTGGCAAATCCAGCCGCAAGATGGGCCGTGACAAAACAGATCGAAGTGTTTGCATACTCCATACGAATGGCCACTGCACCTTTGTTTCCAGCTATACCCGACATACCAGTCTGCAACCGTCAGTATTCTACCCTCATGAATCAGAAAGAGGCCGTAGACTTACCTTCTTCAAGCTTCCCTCGACGTTTTTGATCAACTTCAACGAGCCTGCTCTCACGAAAACAGACAAGCTCGCACCCACCAGCTGACCACCTCTCAACAAAACATACTCGTCCTTGCCGTGCTTCGCCGCATTTTCGTTGAGACAGTTCTTGACTGCAGTTTCCCAAGCCTGCCGTCTAGCAGGGTCCGTAGACATGATCTGCTGTGGACTGAGCTCCACAATCTCCTGGAAGCCAACGGCCACAATCTCCGGGCACTGCTGGGAGGGATCGACATCAGGGCATAGCCATGGCGAGAGATCATCGTGAAGACCATTTGTCTTGCCGTTCAAGTTGAATGTGCCTACAAGCATATGAATGACCTCTGCCTCGGTGTATTCGCCGGACCGTCTGGTGAGCTCTGCCATGACGAAGTCATTGATTGGGTCGTAGAGGTGAACGGGGGCTTGGCCCATCAAACGACCTAACAGCATGTCTATGGTGTTCTGACGCCCCTTGTCGGCGAAGTTGTTGATGTACATCCTCGTTGCGCTCTTCCTTGCATCGGCCAGTGCTCCTGCAAGCGACATCTTTCCATGTCGAGTAAATGATGATTTGAGGGCGCCAGTTCCAGCGTAGATTCTGGACAAAGCGTCGCCGTTGTCTGCCCACATACTAGAATGCCTCGCCCAGAAATCCTGACTAGCACGCAGACCCCGGTGGCTCAAGAACAGCTCCAAGGCCATTTTACTGATAATAGTCTGAACTAAATTCGTTCGGTCCAGACAGTCCAAACAGTTTGTCCTAAAGACGCCTTCCTGCTGTAGAATCGTAGCGGGACGCTTGACGAGATAATCTTGACCATTCGATCTCACGTTGTCTTCCACTTCCTCCAAGAGAGTGTATGCAAAGCTGTCTGCGGAACCCTGTATCCACTGCGAAATCATGCTCGCCATCTCATAACCTCCAGGCCCTCTAGTTTCAGCGTGGAAGTCGTACTCGGTGAGAGTGATGAGCTCGTGCTCTCTCGAACTCTTACCCGCACTATCGTTCAGTGGACTATGTCTAACATGGTGTCGGTATCGCGTCGAGAGATCAATCTCATTTTGCTTCTCGTTGCTCAGCAGGTTAACTACATGGATCGCGCCATAGCTCAATTCCAGATTTTCGAAATGCTTGTCGAATGCTGGCTGTGTGGCTTCGGGCGACCTCGTGATTGTAATCTTCTGCTGCCCCGGCAGTAGGCCCGTTGCTTGCTCCCAGAATAGCGGCACACTGCCTCGTACTTGGGTGTATGAAAAGCACAATCCGGTAGGTGCCCAAAAGACGGTCTCCGTCTCGACAAAATTGGCGACGTTGCCGTCGTCGTCTATGCCTCGCGCATTGAATCGAGTCCCGGCTCTCCTGCAGGATAACCTCGAAATGAGTGTCATGGTCGCTGGCAAGCCCGACCGAGACGAACGAACCGGACTCGATGAGCCCGGCACGGTAACCGTCAATGCAAACCCTCTGATTGCACTCGTGAGAATCCCCGAATGATCCAGCGCCTGCTTTTCCCTCGGTGCCAGCCTGGACCTGAAATCCACCAACGGCTGGATCATGTACGAGTTCCACAGGAAGCCAGCATCCAGACTATCGATGGACACTGTGGCCGCATCCGTAGACCTCTCCTGCAACCGCCGCGTAAGGTCAAAGTCCCCGCTGTAATAAAAAGTACCGCCGCTCAGCAGCTTCTTGAGCGCCAAACACGGATGCTCCAGCACACCCCCCGCACCCTCGCTCTTGCCCTTGCCGAAGCCCATTTCATAGCCCTCCTCGTCCACGGTGTCGGTCGGGTATGGGTTCACTTCGTCATTCAGCAGGCTGTCGTAGCTAGCTGAGTTGAGGCAATAGAAGCCGACTGAATGTATGCGCTGTATAGTTTCGCCGGGTCGCACGTCTGCGACTTTCCGTGAGCCGTTGACCACGACGAGGAAGACATCGCCGTTGACGGTGATCAGGCCAAGGGTGCCGTGTGCGGTGACGCTGGGGATTGGACGGTAGCTAGAGAGGTCGGTGGAGGAGATGTCGACGAAGGAGACCATGCAGCGGGAGGCAGCGGAGCCGTTGGAGGCCAGGCTCGTGCTGGAGCCATTGTGCGACGGGTCGGTGGAAGTGGACGAGTGTCGGAGGATCAAGGCATGGGTTGGTGTCGTGAGCGCAATGGCACGGTGCGGATAGTCCTTGATTAACACACGGATAGACATTGTCGGCAGCTGTTGCGGACAAGGTGGTGGGAGGGAGACGACGGGGGCAGTTCAGGCATGACCAAACCGGCGCCCAAGCAGCAGGACAGATGAGTCTCGGGGAGGTCGGGCAGCGACAGGTGTGGGTGGGTGTCTTGTCCAAGAATAGGTGAGTGTATGTATAAGTGTAGGTATGGATATGTGCACGCACGTGCGGGATCAGATTTGTGCGGTGTGTGGTATGTGTATGTAAGAGCTGATCAGCATTGCATGTGGGAAAGCAAGCCTAGTTCACAGTCGCACTGGAGAGATCTACATACAGTGCGTTATTACTTGGTACTTAGTTATTGGTGCCTGTTTCTAGCCCAGGGTACCTGACAGCTGGCTGTTCGCACTTGAGTATCTTGTACTGCGTCTGAATTCCCTTCTCAAGAATCTTGCGTTGTGCTCAGTAAACGTTTTATGCCGCATTTGGGCCCCTCGCGTACTTTTTCGTGGCTACGGCTGTAGGGGATGCTTTAGTTGAGCCGCAAAAGGCGGTGCAGGAACATTGAAAAGACTGATGTCATACACGGGCTAGCTATGTTTCTTTTGTTTACACTGAGTTGCCGGGAGAGATATAAACATACTGCCACTCAATCCTTCATCAAACTAGAGAATATAGAAGTCAAGGATAATAAAAAGCCCTCGTTCAGACGGGATACGATCAAAGAAGATATCCCATCAATCCACAGAGAAGGAGAAAAAACATGCCTCATAATCATACCCATACGCCACGCTCAAGGCCAAACAAAACAAAACTCATCAAAACGTAACAGACAGAAAAGAAAAGAAAAGAAAAGAAACCCCCCCATTCCTCCAAAAACTCCTTCTGAATGAACAACTCCCACCCTCACCGATAATAATCCCCCCTGTAATCTCTACTCCTCCTCCCTTCCCCAACATGCACACTAACCCTCTCCCTCGTAACCCTCTCCCCATAATCCGCCGACGAAGGCGGTCCCCGACTCACACTCCTAACGCGACTCCTACTCCTCCTCCTCTCATACCGCTCGTTCTCAGGCCCCTCTACATACCGAAAATGCTCATACCGTGGACTCCTCTCCTCGGGGCTATAATCTCTGCGCTGCTGCCTCCGATACTCGCGCTCATGCACCACGTAGTCGCTCGCGCGACTCGGCGAGTGACTGCTATACGAGCTGCGGGGGCTATGCGGCGTGACTTCGACGTAGTGCGCGCGGTCCTGGTGATGGTGGTGAGAGACTGACGGAGGAGGTGGAGGCGCGGGCTGTTCGTAGAAGACGGGCGCGGGCTGCGGAGCGGGGATGGGGAGGGGTTTCGGGGCGGGCACTGCGATGTAGGATGCGGATGGACGGGGGGATTCGTGCTCGCGGATCACTTCTGTGCGGGAGATGCGGCGGACAGATTGGTGCGAGTGTCGTCTTGGGGAGGGGTCGCGCCGGACTACGCGCCGGTAGGGGACTACGTCGACTTCTTCTTCTTTGCGCACTTTGACGAGACACATGGTGAGGGTTTGTCGGGAGTGCGCTGGGGCTGGATTGGGGGAGTTGGTTGTGGGTTTGGACTGGTGGTTTGCGATCAGGCTGTGATTCGTGCGCCGATCCGTCTGGTCTGGTGGGTGGGGGGTTTGGGAGGATATATATAGTTGGATAGACAGGTACAGTAGATGAGGGAGCAAACAGCAAGAGACGGTTTCGAGCAGCACCCAAGGAAAACGTGTCCAACAGCAAACTGGCGCAATACGAATGGACAACCAGCTGAGATATATGAGTCCAGGACGAAGCTGACAGAAGGTTGTTGAGGCGTGAGTGTGTGCCCATGTTGGCCCCCAGCCACCGCGGCCCGGCCTTGCTTGGTCTTCTGCCTTGGAACCAGGGCCTGTCTGTCGTGACGGCATTACGTTTCTCAGTTGGGAACTGTAGGGTTCTGTCCCGGGGCTGTATCCATTTTTGCCTTTGGGCGTAGTCTAATGTGAACAATTAGGGTGGCAGGCAGGCAAGTCTTGTAGCTACTCTTTCTATCCCAGCCCCATCTTTTTTCTTCTTCACGGTATGGGTTTGCAGGCTACACAATACCTACTATTTCTCATGTTGCTTTCCATACCAAGCATACACACAAGGATAAGATGGTTGAAATCGATTTAGGTTTGAGTTTGACAGCAACATTCGGACCGTCTCCTTCCAAAACAAAGGCACAAGAACTGAGATTATCCACGCTCCTAATTAGCATCGAACTCGTACCAGGAACTCGCTCTGCGCATCGCTAAATAGCCCAACAAAATCAAACAGCAGCGACAATCATCAGTTTCACAGAACGAGCAAGAACGCAGACATGATAGGGAAAGAAAACAACAGAAGAAACACAGAAGAACGATATCAATACCCCCCTTTCCTCCTCCCCTCCCCCTCCTCCAAGTGCGTAGTCCGATCGATATCCAACCTTCTCTGGAAATACTCCCCAACAACAAATCCCTCATACTCCCTCCCCTCCTCTCTGAACTTCTCCAAAACACTGACAGTAGCATCCTCATCTGGGCTGAAGAAAAACGGTAGACTATACCTCTCTTCCATCTGTCCACTACCTTCCCTATCATGACCGTCACACTCACCCCCATTTTCGGGGGACTGAGTAGGCGACGCGAGGTTTCGGACTCGATGGACAGTACTAGCCCACCGACCACCTGTAATGAGTTTCAAGAAATCGGCAATGTTGACGACGAAGGAATGAGGGTGATGGTGCACGGGAACCCAGATCCCGTTGGCGTTTAGGACTTCGAGGGCTGGGTTTACGGTATGCGATTGGCAGACGAGTGTGAACCAGCAGAAGTCTGTGTGTGCGCCTATACCGACGTCTTTGGGGGAAGTTTGTGGTGGGTAGCTGTATCATTGCAGAGTGCCTTGTGTTAGAGACTAGAGGGATTGGATTTTGAGAGGGGGTGAGGGGAAGAAGGGGGACATACTGCACAGCTCGAACATTCGTCATGGGGTGTTTCGTGATTGTATCGAAGTAGTCTTCTGGTAACTCAAGTGCGAGTGCGAAGATTCCGAGAAGTCGCCTCGAGAAAGAGAGCATGGCGTTGTAGTACTCGTATATGGCTGGTCGGAAGAAAGCAGCGGAAGGGTGGGAAGGCCATTGGTTTCGTGAGTGTTGTGTGTCTGGGAGATGAGGGAGCGGAGTGAGGTTTTGCTCTGGCTCGGTGAAGTCTTCCCCCATTAGGAATCCTTCTTTAAGATCTGTAGGAATGGTCAGCATGGTTTTTGAAACTTCGGTCTTTTGGGAATTCTTGGTCTGTTCTTGTGGAACTGTTCTGGGTTTGAGAGGAGAATGAGGATGTAATGACTGGAGTAGCAACCTTCGACTCGTAGCCTCTCCAACCCCCTTGATCAATATGCAAACATAGAACAAGACACCAAATACACCAGTGAAAAGCACTGGAAGAGACTTACCTCCTCTAGTCCCCGGATCCAGCTTCCCTTCAAGCACTCCCTCATATCCCCTGAACCTCTCCGTCTTTTGGTTATGACACTCCATCTTCACATCCTCTTCTAACCCAAAAAACCTTTTCACGGCATCAAATGTACGATCCAACAACTCCTCATCAATGCCGTGATTCACAGCGTAGAAGAACCCAACGTCTCTGCACGCAGCGCCAACATCGTTGGCGAGAGATTGCCGATCAGAAAGATGCGGCGAGTAGATGCGGCGCATGTCGATTTTCGGGACGCTTTCGAAGGTTGGTTTCGCGGATGAACCGGTCAGGATGGGGCGGCGGCCTGGTTTGCCTCCATCGTGGTAGTGAACGTATTGCGTAGTTGTTGTTGTTGTTGTGGACATGGTGGTAATGTGTGTTGGTCATTAGAGGATATGGGTGATGGTGGTGACGAGTTCCCGCGGAAATATGAGATTTTTACTCTTGTCTGTCTCCTTGCTCTTTACCTCGTTCTCGCCTTTCTGCCTGAGGTAATATTGTCGAGTTCGAATTGAAGTCGAGGCTGTCCTTACATACTCTTCATCTTGTTATCATACCATGCAGCAAACTTGGACAAAAGTGGCGAATCTCACTCCACCACCATGTACAAATTCCCTGCTTATCACCTCGTTATGTGAGCTGTCGTCATGCACGTTGTGCCGTGCCGTAGTTACACATGTACACATGTATGCACATAATCCCGCATGTGTTCTTTGCCCACGGATATGCCCGACCACTAACGTTGAGCGGCTATCACGACGATCGCGGGGGGTAAACGCGGTAGATGGACGACGGATCATGTTCCTGTTATGCACGCACGTTGCCGCAATTATGGTTCCGTGTTAAGAAACACTGCTAAGCGCCAGCGAATTCGTCCTATCACCTACTGTATATACCAATATAACGCTATCCCTAGTGTTTTCTTCCCTCGGATATGCGCGTTCACTAACAAGACGGGAGCGGATATAACGACGATCGGCGGGGGATGTGCGGTAGTTCAAAGAATGTCGGAGTAGACCGCAGACTTGTAGCAAAAGCGTGAATAATCGTGAGTTTGACGCTCGGCTTGCATGATTAATGGAGAATTCCATTGACATCCAATTTAATTCACACTTTGCGCAATCAGGAGTGTGGAAGAGACTGAAGTGAGGGACTCGTTCTTCTTATTGATTGGTCAATTTCTGTGTTTCATGAATTCCTGCGGCATCCGGGGTATTATATGTATTCCAGACAGAGAAGAAGAGAAGATCAAGCATTTCTACCTCATGAGCAAGTGTAAGAGAAACTCCCAAACCCCGTCGAAAATGAGAAAAGAGGACTGATGTGTAAGAAAGAGCAAAGAAGGCTTGCACCAGGTTGTGGGGGTATCATAGCCGGCATGCTCTGTACTGAAACCGTAAGAAAGGAAGGAAAGGAGGAAAGAAAACCCGATGGGTCCGGAGCAGCTGAAAGAATCCATCGATGACACCAGCGCAAAAAACCGCATGATTGAGAACACGTCGAAACAAAAGCTTCTCTCTCTTCGTTGTCGCAGGAGTACGCGCTTCATGAAGCTGCGTAGCCTAGAACAAGAAGCGAAGCAAGGGTGCACCCATTGCCGTTCACCAACTCATTTCTTGCCAAACTTGTTGAGCAATTCCTTGCCCTTGTCAACCAAGCCCTTGCCAGCAGCACCCTCCTCGCGCTTCCGCTCCTCGCTCTTCCTACGATTCGCCTCAGCAGCGGCGCGCTTCTCCTCCTCGGAGGGGTGTGCGACGTTCGCAGCACCACCGCGGCCGTAGTGATGGGGACCCTCGGGCTCGCGGTGCACAGGAGCTTCGACGTCTTGCGAGGCGCGAGCGATTTCAGGGAAGTTGGGATCGTTGCGGGCCATGTTTCCTGTGCCGCCGCGGCCAGTGGTGTAGTGATCCGACTTGAGGGTTGGAGTCGCGAGGTCAGCGGTGGTGGTTTGACCGTTGGGGTCGTCTCTTGTGATGTTTCCTATGGGGTTTTAGAGAATGCAGTTAGGAAGGGGAGAAGACAAGTGTAGACTAACCGGCACCACCACGTCCGTAAGAATAAGCGCGCTCTGTCGCCATTGTGTTGGGTTTGTGTGTATGGAGGTTGTAGGTTGCAGAGCGGCAGAGCGGCAGAGCAGCAGAGCAGCAGAGGAACTCTGGTGCTTTTGGGCGGTGTAGTGTAATGTGAGTGAGTGATGGATGGTTCGGAGTTGACGAGGTGGGCGCAGAAGCTTTATCCCACTCGAAGAAGGAGCCAAGGAGAGAGGGAAACAGGGAAATGGCAAGAGGGCGGTCAGAGAGAGGGTGAAAAAGAGGAATGGGCCAAGCCAAAAAATTATGGACAAAGACGCCTAGAGGATGACGCGAGTGAGGACTTCCCAGCGAAAAGGAACAAACCCGTACTATGTACACGCAAGACCCTTCACTAGCTTTTTATTGTCGCGGGACGGGGGCCTTGGCTTATTTAGGCTGCAAACAGACAACAGGTTGGGGTCGATTTGGTGACAGACAAACGGGAAGACAGTGGACTGTCCTATGTCGTGCCTAGCCGTGAAGGCGTGGAGCCACGGTACCAAGTTAAGTACCCATAAGGCTTTTTAGTCCAGCGTGATCATCGTGGCTAGCTCCAAAAAACCCTTTCAATCCTGCTGTAGTGCCCGTCCGGTGGCTCGCTTGGTTGGAGAAACGAGGTGGAAAGGGGAAATCCTATTGAATCCCCTGGTCGTTGGTGTCATATGCAGATGTTGCTGCGTGCGGAATATCCATTAGCTAATGTGAATGCGGCGGAGAGCGGGGTTGTGTCCTGTTCCGAGACTCATGGAATGAGAATGCGCGGGAGCTGGGGCGTCATGTGCTGATGGCGAGATTGGGGTCTTATAATTCATCATAAAACCGACGCAGTGGTGACTCGTACTGGAGGGAAAAGGAGAGAGAAGGAGGAATGGAGAGGAACCTGCAACGACGTCTTGTTTGCATCGACATGGGCAGAAAAAGCAAAGAAGAGCAAAGGCCCCCCCCGTTGGACAAATCAGAAGGGAGCGGAGGTGCCAAGGAGGATGCAAGGCACAGACAGCAGATGGATGGATCGTCATGTCATGGTGGGGTACCGAAGAGTTGCGTAAATAACATACATGTTCTATGTTCACTGCAGTCAAGGTTTGTGGTTGTGACTCTTCATTGTTTGTTCTACATACAATTGAATCCTCGACTGGCTGACTGATTCCTCTAGTGTACAAGTCCCAATGATCCATCCCGTGGTTACCATTAATCCAATCGCAAGCCGGGTGCTGCCGTTGCCTGGAGGAGGTGGGGGTTTGGTTCCGAACCAAGCATCCCATCCAATCTATGCGTATGCCTGTCTATCATGACCCCATGCTGAGAAAAAAAAACTCCGTCGCAAAAAGAAAAAGAAGCAAGAAAACAGACCCAGTATTCATGACAATGCCATACCCAAATCTATCCCGTGGTGCATCCTCGAAAAAAAAGATGAAGAGGAAGAGGAAAAGAAAACAAGAGAATCCTTCATCGGAAATCGAATCCCGATGGTCGATCCAGAACGCCAACGCTGTCTAATGTTCCCCAAGATCAAATTGATTCTCAAGCAATTCCCGCACTGAAAAATAACCAAGCAAAAGAAAGAACGATTCCAAAGAAAACCGCGCCAAATGTCCATGGAGGAACAAAGTCGAAAATGTTGCAATTTGCCAGTGGAGCGCCATTGAAGCACGCCGTCCACAACTGTTCATCGTCGGTTCGTTGGAGAACCGGATTGATTGTATTCGATGACCACCCATGAAGAGTCGCAGGGTGTAAAAAAGAGACATCGTGTGCGTGTGTCTCAACCGCCGCAGCGGGGTTGGGGTTCGTCGCCCATCCTCAAGAGCATCGAGGACGAAGTCATTGATTGGGATTGCCGGCTTCTTGCGCGTGCGCCGCCGTCTCGAGGGTTGCTGTCGCCGGAGCGGAGTCTGATGCTGAGGCTTGAGGTCATGCACATCATGATTGGATTGGGTGTTGATGTGAAGGTGTGTGTCTTGATGTGGAAGGTGTTCTGGAAGGATTGGGTTCAAAGATATATGGTTTGTGTCTTGTAGGTGGATGGATGTATGTGTGTGTGTAGGTGTTGTGTGAAGGAAGGAAGAAATGTCTTAGAAGTCAGGAAAGCCTTAGCTATATAGGAAGTACCTGAGGCCTGCAACAGGCACCACTTGTATAGCTGAATGGCGTTGGAGGCATGTTTGGGCATCGTGGAAGGCTTGCCTTTTTCCAGGCCCTGACGTCGGTGAAAGCTTCACGATTGAGTGTCTGGGTTGTAGACTGCGCCCCGGCAAGGGAAAAACAGCAGAATAATTGGCCTTGGGCATGGGGAAGAGGGAGTCACAATGACCTCCTAGCCCCTTCTGTCGACATCTGGAGGGCCAGGGGAGCCGGGTGACTGAAGGAGTCACCGCCCAAAAGGCCTTGGTGAAAGCCCATCGGGACGTCAAAGCCACAACAAGATACGAGACAGGCCAACTTGAAGGCCACAACAGGCAGAACTGGTGTTTGGTGCCTTGTGACTGGTTTGAGGATGGTGTTTCGATGTTCGTTGCCTAAGCACAGCCGCCGAGCTGTGGCTTTGTGGGTCCATGGGGCGGTCTTCAAGGCTGCCTCCAACCGGGGGTTTAGCGGAGGGCACCGGCTGCAAAGCCAACGAAGGATCAATTGAGGGAGAATAAGAAGCGCAGAACGTCTTTCGACGTCGATTGACTTCTTCCTCAGTCGTCCACGTTCTTTGCTGCGTGCAGCCCCAGCGTTGATTGATGCTGACCGGAAACAAGCACAGCCGCCCTCGTCCAGAGCCCTCGGCCCTCAGCGCAGCAGCGTATCGCAGATGCGCAATCTTGGTGCCAACACACACGCCCTCGGTCGTATTCCCACATATTGGAAATCGAAACGGTGTTGCAGATGACTCGCCCAGCGTCGTCGGGAAAGGGGCGGATGGAATTGACCTGTCGTCCACTTCTTCGCGTGGCTGACGCTGCGCCCTTCGTATCGTGGGCAATTGAGGTTTGCGCCGAAGCGGTTAGCCGGCCCAGCGCTGATTGGGGCCAGCCTTCAGGCTTCCGCTCTAGGAAGGGAAATGAATCTGGGTGGGACTTGGTCGAACCTGCGACGGATGGTGGTTTGACGCTGGAGGGAGAGAAGAGGAAAAAAGAAAACTAATAGGGGGGAAATGAGATCTATGTCGATGGATGGAAAAGTCGAAATCTAGGGTATAACGTATGACGATACGAGGTTAGGAAAGCGTTGCAATGTTGGCGTCGTCGTCGATGCTGGTGGTGGTCATAATGGTCGTGAGAGATGGATGATGAATTTGCTTCTGAATAGTCCCGTTAGCCATGTTTGGTTGGGATGTAAGTATGTATGCTGTTACACACAAGCATACAAGAGACTTACAGTATCCATCTCTAGAGGGGTGATCTGGGTCCCCGGGCTTAGGAGTGTTGTTGAATTTGAGTACGGCCATCGTATTGGATTGAGCAGTGTACATGTTGCTTATTGTTGAACAGAGTAATACCGAGTGGAGAGGGGGGGGAGTTTTTTTTTTTCTTTCTGGTGATATACAGGCGAATAGGTGAGACTCTGTTTTGCAGCTGAGTTGGACGATGGGCAGGTTTTACAAAAAGAAGCGATGTTTCAATATTGACAAACAGTTGACAAGCAGTGTTTAAGTAGGTAGGTAGGCTGATTGATTGATAGATTTGGAATCGGATGTGAGGAGGGAGTGACCTTGAAATATGTAGATTGCGGGTTATATTTGTACATGATATTCAATCGGGACTTGGAGTACACTATGCGCGTATGCCACATTTCCACAGGGCAACGCATAGGTAAGAGGGCAATCCAAGAGGGCCTCTAGCTCGTCCCAGTGCGCCCGCCCTGGGTGGTTAGTGAAGCCCTTCCCAACTACCCACGGTGACTTTGTTCGGCAGGACTGCCTGGAGTCCCGCACACCCCGTATACCCTGAATAGGGCCAATCATGCCTGACCGCGTCGGTGCTTCATTTTCGGTGTCTCGAAAAGACGCCTGGGAAGGACCTTGTCTCTTTGTCGACACAGCTGTCGGGTTGTCCTGGGCGTCGTTAAAGGGCAAAAGTGCCTATTTTGGTCGCCTCACCATTTTGATAGGCTCGCCTGTCATGGCGGATGGACGGCTCCCTCGCTGACACGGCCACGCTCTAGTCCAGCAGTAAACGACAAGCATCACCCTTCACGGCCCAGAGCGTTGTGTCTAGAGGATTATCCGCGCGCATGCTCCAGTGAGTGTCAGTTTGACAGCGTCATACTAAGAATGGCAGACAGGTGTAGGAACAAGGACCCTTTGGCTGCTCGGCCCACCACCGTCCCATGCCAATGCCATGCGCTGTCAGGACTCATCAGGACAAGCCAGCCCTATGGGAGATGGTCTGTTTCGATCAACAAAGAATACACGCCCACGACTCGGCGAAACAGCTGTCTCATCAGGCCGACTGCCAGGCACGCGGAGATCCCTATAGGACGGCTCTGGAGCTCTGGAGTCGTTTGTCCATGTCAGAATCCACTCTTCATCTGTCGACCAATGGCCGCTGTTTCACCCCCTTTTGTTTCGACAGCCAAACGCAGTCTCCTGTTTCGCCCAAATTCGCTCTACACGTTGCCCTTCTTTCGCCTCTTCGCACGCACATGAGCACATGCTGCGCCTTGACGCCCTTCCTGCTTGATGTATCCCTCGCGTTGGCGTCGTCATTTTTGTCAGCCCGAGGCTAAGTAGGAGAAGCCCTATCTCACTAACTTCCCCGTTGCCGTTACCCAGAAACGCCTGGCAGATAGCCTCGCTCGCAGCCGCACACGATTGTACTGCCCCAGCCTTGTCGATTATCTTCTTGCTTATTCTCCTTTCTTCCTGCGTACGCACATGTACCCAGTATTGTGCATGTCTGTTGCACACGGGGCGCCTCGGGCTTGTGCGCGTCGAAACCTAGATTTGTCTTTCCACAGGCCTGGCTAGGGCCTTGCCAACAAAGAATGGTCTTCTGATGATGTACCAGCGAGGGAGACAGGAGGTGGCAATCTTGCACTGACATGTGTTGAAACTCGGCGAAGAGTCATTTCTTGATGTTGTTTTCAGGTTGTTGGTCAAAGACACGGCCCGGCGCTCACGGTGGCACTGCTCCATTAAGCTCCCGCACCGTGCATGTGCGTCAAGATCCTCTATGCCCCGGCCCTCAGATCATGATTGCCTTGTGGGCGGCGGTGCACGGCTTGTTTACACCTCGACTCGTCCAGACACTCACAAATTCATCGGCGTTTTAAACATCCACGAGGGTGATTGCCATTGATTGTTGGCATGCTGATGACAAATATGGACATAGTGTAGGTCCGACGGATCGGCATGCAGGGCCAATACATTGGGAATGCATACATATGTAGGTACAGGTGTAAAGTTAGCCACTGTGGGGAAGCTGGTAAAACTACCATCATCTATTCCCATTTACACACGGTGCTGATTCCATTCGCTCTTACTAGGTAGCTCCTATCATGAAATGCAAGAACTGAATTTCAGTATATCTGATACCTGCGTCCCACCATCTATTTCTGTCTCTCATACACTATCGTCATCATCTTCAACTATTATTATCTCCATCAGTCTCCCAGAACAAACCACGTCTATTTCCTTTCGCTGTCCTGCAATAACACCATACCACATACCACTACGACCAGTTGTCCAACGGCATCCGCGCCAACTTTCCTACTCAAACTCTGCGATGCCTGAAGATAGAGAAGTCGAAGACCAGCCCTGATAAGCCAAAGAGTGAGGTCGAGCAGGCTGTCGAACCAGCTTTCTTACAGCAGACGTACCATGAGTGTCTGTACCAGAACACACAGCTATCCCAATGAGTCCGCATACAGGCTTATCGAATCGAGCGGCTAGAGCGATCAGTCAAGTGGAATGTGATCAAGATCATCTTGGGTGGGGCTGGGACAGTAGTTTTGAAATGCACCCTTGACAGGAATTGATAGAACTAATGAATTTGAGATGCTCTACGGAAAACCGACCGGTCGGAGAAGAGCAGAGGAGCACACAAGAGACATGGGGCACTGCATCATAATGAGAGTTTGCAGCGACGGACCGGCATGCAGGGCAGCACATTGGAAATATGTACAGACATAGGTTTGGCTATGGGAATGGCCGGGATGTGAGAGTTCTGGGTACAGCTGCTCAGAACAGAATATAGGAGTTGGGTACCTAGGAGCTTGGTCAGCTGTGCAACGAATATGCATATGTACATTTAAAGTCTTACAGATACCCTCGTCATCAGTGTAACCAAATGATTTATACCTTCACACGTACATTCGCGTTGGTTAGTCAATTATGACGGCAGCGACCCGTTTGTGCTACAAGCAAGTCCCCAGCGGGCCATCTTGTCGACTTCAAGAGGCGTGGTAGTGCTGGTCATTCACAAAGAGAAAAAAAAGATTGAATAAAATAAACGATGCGGTCTCTTTAGGTCGACGTTAGAACAAGGGTGAGAGGACGCTGGAAGCTTGACCCACTGATGCTCGCCCGGTCTTACAGGGCACCTCCTACTAAGACCATCCCATCCCGCTACGCTTCGCGACATGCAGCCCAGGCCCGCACACCTCACCTCCGACGCCCATATTGTTTGGTGATCACGCGTCCACCCGAAAAATGTCTGGACGGTATTGGAATTGATTAAAAACTTTCTGGCAACCTCCGTCTCAAACATGGCAACACGCTCCAACTTCAAGCGGGCAATGGCTCCCCCGCAACCCAATGTCATTGCCTCGCTACGCAATGCATCGATGCTGGAGGATTCCAAAGCCGTGCTGCCAGCAGGTATACCCGTCCCTTCCCCGATGCATGTTCGAGTTGGAGATGAGCTGCTAACAAGACAATGCAGAGCTCATCAACACCATCCTCGATTATCTGCCCGTCCCCGACATGTTCAGATTCGCACGGACCTCGAAACGCATGCAAGAAATGGTGTACGATGACACCCGATGGATACAGAGACTCAAAAGTATGGACTGCTGGAACGAAGCCGAGGCGAGGAAGAGATTCGAGGAAGCTATGCGGAGAAAACAAGAGGCACAGCGAGCAGAGGAAGCGCGTAGGGCAGGTGTCGCTCCGCCTGGCGGTGTGAACGGCCTTCAACCACACGATCCCCAGGGGAGGACGAGTACCACGCTGTTTGATATTGGAATTGAAGAAGAGAAACAGCGGAGGTCTGTGGACGATAGGTCTAAAGAGGGGACATTGGGACAGGGACTCAACGACTTGACGCTACAACCATCGCATCCAGTGCCCTCTCCGACCGTGCAAGCATATACAATCGATCCGCATCTGGCCTTGAAAGTGATATCACGGGCCAAGTCTATTAGAGGAATGGCACGACAAGAGTATGGGAAAATCTACGGAGCTTTGGCGCCCTACTACTTCGACCTCGCCCGGTCACAGAGCCATACCGATCCTATACTATTCCGGACATATCGCGATCCTGAACAACAAGCTGTCATGCTGGCCCAGATGAAGATTTTTGCAAGGAGCGATTTCTCTCAAGGCTGGTATCAGCGTGAGCAAAAGCTGGACACGATGATGGGCATTTTCGAGAATGCCGCCTTGCGTGAGTTCGAGCAAGGGTACGATACCAAGGATTTTGATGGCAAGATGAAGAGATACACCCAGGTCCTCGTCTCTCTGAACGGGGGTGCAGCTGCGATCGACTCCTTCATTCATAACCACCCGTTAATGCTGGAAAAAGAAAAGCTGGGCAATCCTGCCGACTGTATGCGAGTAGCAGGTCATGGCAGCATCTCTCTTCAACCTTCGCTTGATTTCTTCAAGGGACTAGCAGTCACTTTGAGCGAAGAAGCTAGTCTAATCGACCGTGTGTTCCCTCCGACTGTCGACATCATGCTGCCTTTTCTTGAACGTGTCGCAGAAGACGTCATCTCCGAGTACATTACACCCCTGTTTGATGAAGCCCATGACGCGAGTATAGAGGTCTATCTGAAAGCCGTATCTGGAGTGTTTGACCAGGCGTCCCAGCTTGCCATATCCATACAGCCCACGCGAGCCTCACGCCCGGATTTCAGGGAAGAAGCGATGCAAATCATCTACCGATGTTTCGAGCAGCATGTCGATCTGTACTTGCAGGAAGAAACAGAGCACTTCAAACGAGGAACCTCTGCCGAGGTAGAAGCATGGGAGAAGCGTTTGATTGACGAAGAGCAGAGCGCCGAATCTTTCTTCATGTCGAATGTCAGTCGTCAAGCTGCGAAACGCGACTTCATGTCTTCATTCAAGAAGGTGGTGATGGCGCCTGTAAATGTGCTTCCCACGTTTGGAACAACCAGCTCCTCGAAACCTGCCTCCACGGGCCCATCTTTAAATGGCAGCACTCTGGACCTGCCGTCGCGATCTACCACTCCCAATCCATTGGAACGTTCAGCGTCCCCACAATCCCTCGAAGCACCCACTTCGGAGCTTGCCGCCAAAGCAGCCATCATGAATTCGCGGCTTGAAGGCATCCGCAGTTTGTTCAGCATCGAAGTTGCGTTGAACCTAACCCACACATGCAAGTCGAGTTTGGAGAGAGCAGCGCGGTTCGTCAGGCTCGGTGGGCAATCGGGTGAAGAGGCCAAAGAGCAGTGCGAGCATATGTTCATCAGCTTGCTTCAAACGTTGGGCGGTCGGCACATGAAGCCTGGGTTCGACAAAGCTGTCAACCACATGGCTGCTTACAAGCCCAGAGAGGTCACTGATCACAGCAAAGAGGGGGTGGCACCGCTTGTTGCTTTTCTTGAATTGGTGAACGTTGGAGATTTGATCCAACAGATGGTTGAGGTATTCTACTTGCAGGAACTGGTGGCAGCCAAGTTGACGGACCAAGACGATTTCCTGAGTCCAGCTGCCAAGGAAAAGAAGCGCTTCGAGCAGATGTTGGACGAGCGAGTTGCGGCCGGATTGAACAAAGGCATTGACGTGCTCATGGACGAGGTGGAGTACATATGTGGCAGCATGCAGCTACCCACCGATTTCAACCCTGCAGCAGGGCCCAACGGCGTGGCGCAGGTCTTTGACATTGGGCCCAGCCACGCGGCCAGGAGGATCATCGACATGGTGTCGTCCCACACGAGCATGCTGGTAGGTAGCACGGAGAAGACGGTGCTGGATGTGTTCAACCAGGAAGTCGGGTTGCGCCTGTTCACGGCGCTATGCAAGCACCTCAAGCGGCAGAGAATCAGCGTGGAGGGCGCAATCAAGTTGATCAGGTACGTAAAAGCAGAGAACTGTCAGTGAGATGGACCCACGCCACGATTCATGTTATTTTTTTTACTGTCTAGGACTTGGGCTGACCAGTGCAACGACAACAGCGACATGAATGCGTACAACAGCTACATTGTCTCGCTCCGCAACAAATCTCTGACGCAGTACTTTGCGGCGCTGCGCGAGATGTCGCAAATCTACCTCATCGACCCGAAGAACGCAAAGGAGATTGCCACCATCATCGCCGACTCGGATCGGTACCACGGCATCTTCAGAGCGGAGGAGGTGTATGAGTTCGCGGAGAGGAGGGCTGACTGGTACCAGATCCGCAGTGCGGTCGAGAAGCAAATGTACGGGGTTGGATGCAGCGTTATGTAATCACATGGGATGTCATCTGAATTGGATATGTTTTTCTTCTGGGTGCTAGTTTGTTGGGACACGCAGACAAATGATGGTGCTGTGATTGCTATACACATGGAGAGATGAATGTACACATGTATATATGTGGCTGGGGATACGGCGCTCGGACCGCCCGGTACAGTACAGTGCAGTGCAGTGCAGTGTAGTGCTTAGGCTTGACTTTCACCTTACACCTTGTTGCGTCTTATTTACCACTCTTCCTCCCCGTCAAACCGTTGTCTCTGGATCAAGCCAGTTTGCCCCGTGGAAGAGGTTTTTCTTTGATCCCATCGTTGGCCCATCAGTCTCTTCGTCTCCCTCATCTCTGCCCTGGGCTTCCCCTGCACATGACAGCACTGTTTCTGTGGCTAGCAGTAGACGAGCGAGCATCCGGATAGCCTACCCTACCCTACCCTGCAACAAAGGCCCCCAGGTACCTCTCATTCACTCACTCGCTCACCCACTCTCGCTCTACGGAACATTGGGAGGGGTCCCCACTAAAAGTGCTGCAACACGCGCGCACCGTGTCTGAGACCACCATCCACCCATCGTCACCACCCTGCATCTGTCTCGCTGACGGCTCTCTTTCACTTTGTTCTCTTTCTTTTCAAGTTTCCCCCCCGCGCCTTTTTGTTCATCTTCTGCTTCTCCTGCTTCTGCTCCTCCTCCGTTCCTGGTCCTCAAGCAGTGGACGCAGTGGACAGTACCTAGCAAGCAGCTCTCCCCACAAATACGACACACCCTGTCAGTCGGTAAGCTACTTACACGGCATACCTACATCTATACGAAAGTAGCACCCGTTAACGATTCACTTGGTGCGTATGTCAAGACATGACGTCTGCTGCATGCGTTTGTTGTCCATCTGACGCGCTGCTGACCCTTCTATAGCTACAATCGCAGACGTCCCAGACCGTGACTGCACTTACCTGCGCAACCATCGTGCGCTTCGGCGACCTCAGCACTCCCGCCCACACCTGAGCCATTGCCAGCAGTCATGGCTGCCCGTGAGTGTGCATCCCCGCTTGCAGCTTGCCCGCCTGCTAACAGCTACCCCAGCTCTATCCCCGCAAGCCTCGAGCATGTATGCTGCCATCATTGACGGCATTCTTGCCAACAGCGACCTCAATACAATCTCCGCCAAGCGCATACGGAAAGGTCTCCAGGAACGCCTCGATCATGACATCTCGGAGCACAAGAATGCCATCACCGACCTGATCATGGCTCGGTTCGACAGGTTCAATGCTGCTCAGAATGGCATGGCAGACTCCGGACCTCCGCTTCCCAGCGTCGAAGCGGCCCCGCCCAAGACCAATGGCAACTATGCCTCTCCCTCCCGAAAGCGCGGTACTACCGAAGACGATGACGAGAATACCCCTCCCGCGAAGAAACATAGGAAGGTCAAGAGCGCAGAGGATGAGGATGCTGCCTATGCCGCCAAACTGCAGGCTGAGGAGAATCTGAGGAGCAGGGCGCGGTCGACGAGGGGTGGCAATACCAAGAAGAAAGCAGCGCCGCAGAAGAAGACCAAGACGAAGAAGAAGAGCTCGAATCGCGTCAAGGACGAAGATGACAGTGACTTGGGAAGCGGAAGTGGTGCGGAGAAGAAGAGCCCTAGCAGGAAGGGAGGCTTCCATGTATATTCATCACATACCGATTCTGGCGGAGATTGCATGCTGACAATGTGACGCAGAAACCAATGGCACTTTCCGAGCCCCTCTCTGAGTTACTAGGAGAAACACAGGTGAGTTTGATCTTTGAATTCGAGCAACAATTCGGCCTTTGTAATTGACCTGATTCTATCCGCAGCTCTCCCGCCCACAAACCGTCAAGAAGATCTGGGAATACGTCAAAGCCCGCGACCTCCAAGACCCCAACGACAAGCGCCAGATCCGCTGTGACGATGCCATGCGTGCCGTGTTCAAGACTGATCGCGTCCACATGTTTACCATGAACAAGATCCTAAACCAGAACCTCTACGCCGTAGACGAGATTGTCGACCAGAGCTAGTAGCACAATCGGTGATGCTCGTCGTCACTGCCCCCCTATTGGCTTACCTCATCACGAACTTTTTCACCATCATGATCATCTTCATCATCATCACCGTTTACTATCAGGCTTTGGGTTTATTGGATGCACGCATTGATTGGCTCACGCACATACACCCACGGCCCCTTTAGCAAATCATATCGGTTCTCTTCCTCGCCTTCCATCATCTACAGCAACGGCAATCTGCGGTTTCTTTTTTTTTCTTTTGCTTCTACCTCACTCCTGCATAGCCTGAGCTATGAACAATTCCCTTGTCTTGCTGCTTGCTTCTCCATGCTTCCTCATACCGCCTACCCATTCTACCTACCTCCCTACCTTACTTAGGCAACGAAAAGCAAAGCAAAGCAAAAGCAAATCAGACCAGACTCTTTGCTTGACATGGATGAATATAATCGCCTTTACTACCACCACTACTACCACTACATAACATTAAGCATGGAAAACCCCCCCGGCGTTACACTTGATCTTGTCCTCTTGTCCTCTTTTCTTCTTCTCTTTTTCTTCTCCCTCTCATCATGTGTGTGTGTGTGTGCCCTGCTTAGTTCTTCCATCATCACCTTTCCCCCATCCGTCTCTCTCTCTCCTCTCTTTCCCTCGTATATGCTGAACACACTCCTGCAAAAGAGCATTCCACAATCCCACGTTTTGTCTCCACGCAGCAGAAGAGAGAGAGAGAGAGAGAGAGAGAGGAAGAAAGGAACGGATAAGAAGAGCAAGACTGAATATAAAAGTTTATCTATCCATATATGTTCTGTGACTTGCATGCAGCAACAGCAACAACAACAACAACCTCAACAGTGATGGATAAACAAACAAAGAAAAATATGTGAGAAACCAAACCGTCAGAGACACCTTACTTGTAAACTGCTTTCAGAGAACGTGATGCAATTACCCCTATTCAATGAAGAAGAATTTTTTTTATCACCACTACACCAGATGTATTCATTTCATTCTTCCTCTTCTCCGTTTTCTGCCGCGATGAAACAAATCACTTGCAATAATAACTAAAGAAAAAAAAAACTAGACTCAACCCCCAGCCTTCGACCACTAGAACGGGGAGGGCAGCGGGGTGGGTGAGACAAGGGGTACCCAGAACAAAACAAAAAAGAAAATGACGGCAAAGAATGAGTATGCGCCAGCAATCCCACGTTTTCAAGTCGATAATCCCCAGGGTGGATATTCCAAAAAAGACACTCCAAACACACAGCAAACCAACAAAAAGGAGACAAAAGGCCGGGGAGAGACAGCCTCTTCCCTACGCAGAGAGAGGGAAGGGCCACCGACAGTAACAGCAATCAGCTATCGGCTCTATCCAAATAATAACACTCATCTCTCCATCCCTTCCCCTTCACCAAGGATCAAAGACAAACAATCCCATCTCATCTACAACCCCTCAGGCAGCTGCATCTGGAACCCCTCCAAGTCCTCCTCAAACGGGTCCACACCACCAAGCTGCTCTGAAAAGCTATTCGCCCATGCATCCGCTTCTTCTCCCTCCGAATCTTCCAGAAACAAGCGCTCCATCTCGCGCTCCACATCCTCGGCCGTGCGCACCGGCTGCGGCTCTTCCTGGGGCGGCGCGACCAGCGTATCCTGGGTGGAGGTGGAGCTCGAGCGCGAGAAGGCGGTGCGAGGCCTAGGGACGGAGGCACCTGTAGATGCCACGGTAGAGGTGCTCGGAGCTCGGGTACGTGAGGTGGTCGTGCTGGGGGCGGTAGATGTAGGACGACGGGTGACGGCGGAGAAGGGAGCTGGTTTGGTGACATTGGAAAGGGGCTTGCGGGGTGCAGCGTTGGTGGCGGTTGCACGACCTTTGGCGTAGCCGATTGTACTTTTTGAGGCAGCTGTTGCGGCGGCATGGCGGGTGGTCGATGGAGAAGCGACTGGCTTGGGAGCCTTCTTCATAGGGTTCAGGTCTCCGGCAGTTCGTGACTTGTTGGCTACTCTAGACGCGGCGAAATCGGGCTTCGAAGTATCTGATAGAGCAGCAACGGCAGAGCGAGCCTTGATGGTGGAAGGGCCAGTTGCGTGTTTCTTCTTGGGGTCTCCGGGCTTGAGTGAGGGTTGAGGAGCTACTTTCTTCAGCGGCTCTACACCAAAGTACCTGCTTGTTTCCTCTTGATCTTTCTCCCATTGCGCATTGAATAGCTTGTCAAATTCTTCGTCCCGCTGCTTCTTGTCGCGTTCTAGGCCTTCTTCAAATTCGCGTTGACCTCGCGTACGACCATCATCTTCAATTGGGTTGTGATACACTTCCCACATGCCACGAGTAGCATTCTTCCCCTCGAACATGGGATACTTCAGGTCCGAAGGAACATAGTCATCCATGTCGTCTGGAAGTGGGACTTCCTTGGGCGGCATGTACTCGATCTCAGGAACATCATCTTCCTCCTCATTTTCCAATTCTGGCTGGTGGACTTTGACTTTGGGACGGCGGAGACGGGGACTGGCTTTCTGGGTCTTGGCAGATGAGACGGCACCTGGGGTCTGGAAGGCGGCAGCTTTGGCATTCGTAGTTTTCATTCCAAGAGGAGCACGCGACCGGGGGCCTAGGTATTGAATTAGATGTGCTCACGGTCTAGTTTTCATGGCGAAGTTCGCGGTGGACTTACCAGCCGGGGTAACGAAGGAGTTTGTGTCGAGCTTCCCATTTTTCTTCACGGTCATGGGGATGTTTCCTTTCCCATTGGTCTTGAGAACGGATTTTCCGGGCATGCCAACAGCATTTTCGTCATTGAGCGGCACCTTGAAGGGTGTCTTGGGAGCTTTGTTTGCTGGTGTTTTGGCGCCCAAAGCCTTCATACCGGCCTTTCCAGCGGCGGCGGCGTGCATGCGATGCACTTGATTCTCCTGATCACGGGCTGCTAAGAGATCCATGATTGCGACGTTCACGGATTTCACATTGAGCGAGTTGTGGGTTCCAGGTGGTGAGGAAGTTGGAGCTTTGGCCCGGCGAACGGGTGTGTTTACATCGGTTGCTAGGTGCCAGTGGTCGGCGGTCGGGGTTTCCAGACTAGCAGGGCTAGCGCGGGCTGACCCCTGTTTGGCAGAAGGCACGAACCACGACCGCCTCAGCCCGCATTTATCAACCTAGCTAGGGACGACTGACTTATTCCAACACATCCCCTTCTGCCTCCACCATCACCACCCATATAACCTTCTGCATTCTGCAAATCCCATACCCGCAGTCTCTTGCCCACCCCAAACCCTCTTTTTCTACACAGATACCCCCGCCAAACCGCACAAATGGATCAGATCAAGAAGGTAAGTTGTTTCCGCTTACCCCACCATGTCCCCTGCGGCAGGCTGCAAGCCACGCAAAGGCCTCACATGCTTCCACGCAGGGCAGCCGAAACTTTCACCACGTCATGAACTCTGGCTAATCCATGTCCCTGAATAGCGTATGGAAGCCCTCCGCGTCGAGGCCGACGAGAGCTCCTCCAAAGCCGAGGAGTACAAGGCCAAGGTCAAGGCCCTGGAAGCCGAGACAACACAGAAGGAGCAGGAGATCACCTCCTTGACGCACAAGAACCAGGTTCTAGAGTCCGAGGTGGAAAAGCTCGAAGGGTCAGTAAAGACGTACAAGGACGAAGCTGCCGGTGGTGCGGCAGCAGGCACCCAAGCCGAATCGATGCAACGCAAGATCCAGGTGCTCGAGGATGAGGCTGAGGAGTCTGACAGACAAATTCGCGAACTCAACGAGAAGTACGTACCGCGCTTTGCCCTCCCGCCGGCCTAAACCTATGGGATGTACGAATGACCGTAACTTGCTTGCATACTGATACCTCATCTAGGCTCCGCCAAACCGACGTCAAATCCGGTCATTATGAACGCAAGGTGCAGGCTCTCGAGCAGTCTCGCGATCAATGGGAAACCAAGTACGAGGAGATGGCCCAGAAATACGAGGCAACCAAGAAGGAGCTTGATGACTTTGTCAAGGAGATTGGTAACATCTAAATCTTCCCAGCACTAAGTCTCTCTCCTTTTTGGCTGTTTTTAACACGCAAGCCAAGTGTTATCCTGAGCGTTACCATCCGACGGCCGCGGCGCATGAATATAGGGGTCTGAAATGGAATGTGGGAATCCATCAAATATGGCGCCAAGGAATCGAAGTCTGCTACTACTGCTACTACAACTACATCCCCTACATGCATTTGTTTTCCGGTCTCTTCCTATTTGTGTGGCTGTTTGGAGCACGGGGTGGCGGCTGCGATTGTACGCCTTAGATAATCTCTGAGCGTGACAATACATTGTGTTGTTCTGTGCAAGCATGCTCGTCTAATGAAACCATATCGAGGTTTTTATACATTCATATCATTCGATCACTAATGAAGTGTCGACACAGCGGCTGTTATGCGTCGATACATAGTAACAGAATCACATCATACGGGTATCTTTCCTCGGCCCCTTTTTTACCTATATCGCTCCCCTGTCCGTGGTCTCGAACACGGACCCAAGGCCATCCTCCAAAATCCCAGACAGCCAACAAACACATAACCCCCTCCTCAATCAGCCATTCTCTTTTCCCTCAACTTCTTCTTCTTGACACCCTGCTTAACCCTCTCTGCCTTACGCTCAGCCTTGGTTTCATACCTAAACTTAATCTTCTTCTTCTTCGGCCTCGCCGTCTTCGGTTTTTCCTTGGTCCACACCTTCTTCTCCCTCTCCGCCCTCTCCTCCTCTTCTTTCTGTTGTGCCTTTGTCTCGAAACCGTGCCGTGAGATGCCCACAGATTCTATAGTCACAGTCGTGTATTTGTCGTCGTCTTCGTAGTTTTCTTGCTCGTCGATACTTGGGTCTGCATTGGGATCTTGGGTATTGGAGGCGTCGGCCTCCTCCTCCTCCTCGTCATCGTCGTTGTCATCGGAGTCGTCGTCGTCCTCGGCGGAGGAAAGGTCTGGGTTTGCCTGCTTGACTAGCCGGTTTACTTCATTGACGTGCTTCTCTAGGTCTTCTTTGCGTTGTTTGCGGAGCTGTGATTTTTTTATGTCGTGTTAGCGCGTGCGAACTTTCAATATATATTTTGCAAAAATTCTTGATTCTTTCATTTCTCGTCTGCTTTTCACTCTGATGATTCTTGCCCAGTCTGTCCCTTCCAACACCTCTGTGCAAATAAGAGACGCGGTGGAAGCGAGAAGATGGACTGAAGGCAGAGAGCAACGAGAGAATCAAGTAATATGAGAATGAAGGAAAAAAAAAAACATACCTCAGCTCTCATACGAATCCGCTCCTCCCTCTCCTTCCGCGCATTCTCCTCCTGCGCAAGTTTAGCCCGCGCTACCTTGCGCTTGTGGAACCCCGTCAAGAACTCCTCGCGCGCGGCGATGTCGAAGGAGATGGTTTCGGGCGCCGGTGCGAGTTTGCGCTTTTTCGACGCTGGCGGTGGCATTGTTGCGGTGGGAATTTTCTATACTCTCTGGCTAGCTGCAAGGGCGCTTGAGTTACAGAGTAATTGATGTGTATGTATCCTCAGAGGAGCGGAGGAAGTGCAATTGTTTCTCGGTGGTGATGCGAGTGGTGGTGTAGGGAAATGGATGGGGTTGGACTTTTTTACTGGGATTATATGGGCTAGGGAAGGGAAGGTTTACCCGAGTGCGGCTGGCGGGGGTCTACCGTGGTGCAGTGCAGTGGGCTGTATTCAATCTACTCAACGTACAGTTCGAGAGTGTAAATTCTCGCAGGAATTATCTTCCTCTTTTTCTTTGGGGAAAAAAAGAAGACAGTGGCAGTAAGTCTACACTACTAACCGTGACAGCGGCGGTATATTCTTCAAATGTTTATGCAAAAGCGCTAGCGACTCTATGTTCCCAGCAACTATCTGTAGTCAACATTCGCTGTGCAAAATGATCATCTAGTTGACTTTGAATTGCCATGAAGGCTATGTTTTCGCCTGTGCAGCAAACTTTTGTTTGAAGGACTGTAGCTGTTAGAAGAACACCAAACAGTGTCAACTTGGTAATATTATCGGAACTCACCTGGCAGCTAATCCGAAAAGCCTCAGGCAATCCAACCCTGGGCTCATATCCGAGAATCTGTCTCGCCTTCGTGATATTAACATATCGATCTTTGGTCGCATCTAATATGACGCCCCTGCTGAAGTTGCCTTTCGATCCACTGATCCAGTTCCACCATTCGGACCCCAGACCAACCCACCAAGCAAAGTTCTCTGGGATGCGAAGCTGGAAAAACGGCGTGTGATCGAACTCTCGCCAAATAGCAAGGCAAAGATCGCGAGGGGAAACAGGTTCGCCGTTGGTGATGAAAATGGCCTCGCCTGCTGCTGTTGCCGAGTTGAGAAGGTTTCGTACAGCTAGGACATGCGCATCAGCTACGTTCCCGACGTATGTGTAGTCTTGAAGATTCTCATTCCCTCCCAAAATGAATGGAGTCTCCCCGTTGGCGATGCAGCCATGTATTGTGGGTATAGCTAAATAGGAAAGTAACACATGTTAGCGGATCTCGGCCGTAGTAGAAGATTTGAGACTCTTTCGTTCTGCAGCTTCAAAATAGATAAAATTCAGCTGGCCGGAAGGCTCACGTACTGACTGGATCGTTGGGTCCAAACAGGGCAGATGGCCGTAAAGCACACGTAAGAAAATCCGGTTTGTTCGCATCGAGCACGAGGTTCTCGGCAATAGTCTGTTGTGTGTTGCGTGAGAAGGCAGCGGCATATGGGAGGTAAATTTTCTAAGGTCGACGAAAGAAATTCATGAGAAGGATTGACACGCACTTTTGATGCTCCGTAACATGTGGTTGCTCTGCCAGTACTCCAGGTTTCATCCACATTTCTAAAGTCTTTGTCGAGCTCGTCAAGTAACACTGTCACACTACTTGTGTGTACCTGAAGCCAACAATCAGAAAGACGTAAGGATTACAAAACGTAGGATCATAGAGACTTACTAAAGCTTTGACTCCTGCTTCCTCGGCGACTTCGACAACATTTCTCGTGCCTTCAATGTTGATCTCAAAGACTGTGTCCCATACTCTCTTACTCTTCTTTCCGTACGGGGCATATCTATCAGGCCCTATCGGAGATACGGCAACAGTGTGCACTACCACATCTGGCCTGGCCTCCTCAAACACTTTCTTGAGTTCTTCCCGCTGCAGTATATTGCTGCGGACATAACGAACCTGAGAAAACGATTGTGTGCCGAGAGACGGTGGGTTGATATCGAGTGCTGTGATAGCATAAAGAGAAGGATCAGGGAGTGCTAGGAAAGCCTGTATGATGGCTGTTCCCAAAAACCCTGTGCCACCAGTGATCAACACTTTGATTGGTGCCATAGTCACTTGAGGTGTATGTTGGTGTGACAAGCGTAAGACGTGAGAGCTTTCCCGAAAACGGAACTTTTCTGGCTATGCACTATTTCCGTACATTCCTCTGGCACTTTTCAAACGTGGGTTTTTGAGAAAGTGTCTCTAAAGTACCATCTGATCGAGTTGCTACAAGGAAGAGGTGACCAGATGATGAAAGTTGGTTGGTGATGGAGGTGCTGGTGTTAATATCCCCTGCCGATTCCAGTTAAGCGCCATCTAAGCAGCTAATTCTAGCCTAGGCATCGGAATCCTAACATTCACACCACGACCAATTCTGGCAACAGTACTCTCTCATTTTACTTGCAAAATTTACTCGTATTCTCGTTGTGTCGGAACAATCACGATTTTGTAGGTCTCTGCCCCATGTATTTGAGATACATATACCGACTGTAACACAGAGTTTTACGAGACGGGCTGTAAATTGACCAGATTCTTTCCCGAAAGCCAAAAACATCAAAATATCATCAACCAAAAGATCATATTAGGACAACAAACTTGACACCCAAAGATGAAACTCAACGAGCATGAAGGTTCATCTTCTGTCACCCTTCCTCAAGATATTAACTAATCCCACCAAGCATTATTGACACCCAAAGTGCTCCTTGTCCCCTACTCAGAACACCACGTCCTAGCCTACCACGACTGGATGCAAGATCCTGTAAGTGACCACAGTATTCTCATGTTGTCGAATCCTACCCTTGTTCATATTCCACGATACTTTCGGCCGCGTGCTCATAACCTACCTAGGAACTCCAAACCTTGACTGCTTCCGAACCCCTCACTCTGCCCGAGGAATACGCTATGCAGAGATCATGGCGCACCGACGCCGACAAACTCACATTCATTGTCTGTGCCGCTCCTTCTCCGATCGCAAACAATCCTATAAAGGCTATCACTGCTACCAAGGAAGACGCACCAGAATCTATGATCGGCGATGTTAACCTCTTCTTGTCACCTTCCGATGACGACGACGAACTTGGTGAAGACAACGACGAGAGCAAAGAGCAAAGAGCCCCAATAGCGAAATCAGTCATCGGTGAAATGGAGATCATGATCGCTTCAAAAACGCATCGCGGGTGTGGATTGGGGAAAGAAGTGTTGAATGCTTTTCTGTGGTATGTTATTCAGTCGCTCGATGATATCATGAATGAGTACCAGAGCGGCAATGCTGTTGGGAGTGAGAAAATGCGCATGCAATATCTACGGGTCAAGATTGACAAAGATAATGCGCGAAGCATCAAGTTGTTTGAAAGTGTCGGGTTTAAAAGGGTCACTGAGCAACCAAATTATTTTGGCGAGTTGGAATTGAGATGGGCCATTGAAGAGTCGTCATTCAAAGATTTACGCGGGAGACTGGGAGAAGGGGTGCAAAGATTGCCGTTCAGTTGATAAAAAATACTCCGGAAGCTTATACCAATATACAAGAGACACAAGTCGATATGCATGATAAGCTGGGGATGTGTAATTGAAGTTGAAGACATTGTGCTGCGGATCATGTTGGAATATCATACATGACGCTCATCGTCTATTATGCTTGCCTACCAGCCACTGTGAACCGGCTGATGCTGAAGATATTTCTCACTTTAAAGTTTTTGGTACTCCAACTTGCCCTCCAGCTTCTTCGACTCGGCCATCTTTCGTACTGCCTTGTTGAAATCGTCTTGGTTGATGGCGTCTCGGTAATCCTTGATGGCGAATAGACCGCTGTAACAAGTCAGCACTGAGCGATCAAAAGGGAAAGCTATACTTACGCTTCTGTGACAACGTTACGCAAATCAGCCCCGTTGAACTGATCACTCATCTTAACGATGCTCTCAAAATCGATCTCACCCTCGGTCTGCACACCGCTAGCGTGGATCTTCAGAATCTCTAGACGGCCGACCTCGTTGGGCAGCGCAATCTCAATCTTCCTGTCCAATCGTCCGGCACGGAGAAGAGCAGGGTCTAGAGTATCCGGTCGGTTTGTTGCCATGATGATCTTGGTCTGTCCCAGGTAGTCGAAACCGTCGAGCTGGTTTAGCAGTTCCATCAGCGTTCGCTGGATCTCTCGATCTGCTGAAGTACCCTCGGAAAATCTTCGTCCACCGATAGCGTCGATTTCGTCCATAAATATGATGCAAGGCTCGTGCTCTTTTGCATAGCCGAACATCTCCCTGATCAGCCGCGCTGACTCTCCAATGTACTTGTCGACGATAGCCGAAGAGACAACTTTCAGAAAGTTGGTTTCCAAGCTACTTGCTACAGCACGCGCAAGGAGGGTCTTTCCGGTACCTGGTGGGCCATAAAGCAGCACACCTTTAGGTGGTTTGATTCCAACTCGCACGAACAGCTCCGGATTCTTCAGCGGCAGCTCGATAACTTCGCGGAGCTCTCGAATTTGCTCATTCAATCCACCGATACCGCCGAAGCTGACTTGCCCTGGATCCTCCAATGACATGTTGTAGACGAGCGGGTCGACTTCGCGGGGTAGCATTCGCATGATTGTGAGAGTCGTCATATCTAACGCGACTCGAGTGCCTTGTTTGAGCTTCACCTTGTCGACTTTTGACCGGCAGCCGACAACATATCGAGGTCCTGACGAGGCCTTTACGATGACTGTCATGTGTTAGCCAGTCATGTCTCAACATGACCCCATGTCTTGAGAGAGGCAACGTACATCGCTCTTCATCCAGCTGTTTCAACACCTCGCCTATTATTTGGCCCACGCTCTGCAGAGCCTTGATGTTGTCCTCCGATACGTCGAAATCATGTTGAAGGCCCTTGATTTCTAACCGCAGCGCCTTCAGCTTTGCCTCCCACTCCCTCGATTCTAGTAGCTTCCCTTTGTACTCTTCGAGAGCATGCTCACGCTCCGGATCGCTGCTACCGCTCATGTTGAAAGGCTGAAGTTGTGTCTAAGTGAGAATTGTAACTCCCGGGCGGCGGGCAACAGTAGACGATGACGAACGCAGGCGTAAACAGTTGTGATGATGATGATGATATGGGGTATGGAGCGAGCGATGGGGGTTGATCAAGTATCGTCCGGTATGATTTGTCGGAGTGAGAGCTCGAAAACGGGATTGGGCGAGAGATCTGGATGATGGGACATGGGGGGGAGGAAGCTTCTCGTTCACGTTGCGGCCGGAGCTCTGATGAGGCAAGCGCGGCGGCGCAGAGCGGATAAACGACGGACCGCGAGGCTCGTCGGCGTTTGAGAAAAGTTCGCCGATCGTTTTGGAACTTTTTTTTCGCAGACAACGCTGAGGAGCTTTTTGTTCTTCGACTTCGACCAGCACACAATGTCCTCTTTTTTTACGGTCCCCGCCTCTCAGCGCAAGAGAAAAAGAGCGGAAAACGCCAATTCGACTTCGAAGAAACGCAATGTAGGCACGGACAGCGCTCCATCCGCCAAAGCACCTCGCCGCGCACAACGGGATGAATCGATATCTGGGAGCGACGACTCAGACGATGATGGCGAAGCAGGTTTTTTTGAGGATCCCGATGAGTCCTCAGAAGATTCTGAAGATGAGAACGAAACTGCGGCGGAAAAGCGCTTGAGACTTGCCGAACGATATCTCGAGAATATCCGAAATGAAGTCGAAGATGACGGTGGCTTCGATGCTGCAGATATTGATAAAGATTTGATTGCAGAAAGGCTGAAGGAGGATGTCGCAGAGACGAAAGGAAAGATTTACAGAAACATTGCCAATAAACTGGATTTCGACAATGCACCTCACGTCATGGGAAAATCTGGTTTACAGAAGGCGATAACAGGATGTGCATTGCGATTGCCATATGCGTGGACTATTAGCAAAGATATAGTTGTGGAGAAATGGGAGGTTGCAGACCCAAAGATGTACAACTCCACGGACCCTGGCCGACCGACCAACATAACGCCACGACGGACGCCTAAACGACTATTCTGGCGGAAAGGAAACGTGCACAAGAAAGGTGACCGAGACTTTCTTGGCCATACTGGCGAAATTATATCCATTGCTGTATCGGATTCTGGACGCTTCCTGGCTACTGGAGACAGACATGCCCGCTTGATCATCTGGGATGCTGAAACTCTGACCCCCCGTAAATTATTTACAAGACATCGCGATGCCGTCACCTCCCTTTCTTTTCGCAGAGGTACCGAACAACTTTTTTCTGGGGGAGCGGATCGTGCTGTCTTAGTGTGGAGCGCTGCAGAATCTGCCTATGTCGAAACGCTACATGGACACGAAGACGCAGTCGCAGGGGTTGCAGGTGGTCTCGAAGTGAATCAAGAAACTTGCGTCAGTGTTGGCTCGCGAGATCGCTCAGCCAGGTTATGGAAGGTGGTTGACGAGAACCAACTAGTCTTCCGTAGTGGTGGCACTGCAAGACAAAAAGGTATGGATAAACTGCGTCGGGACCGCTTTGGAGACAGGGGCAAGAAAGATGAGTCCCGCACGCAAAATGAAGCGACAGATGCACAGGACCAAGAGGAGGAGATCATCAATTACGCGGAGGGCTCTATGGACTGCGTTGCTCTACTGGATGCCGGACTATTTGTTACTGGATCTGACAACGGCGCACTATCGTTGTGGTCTATAAACAGGAAGAAGCCTGTATTTGTTTTACCTCTTGCCCATGGACGCGATCCCTCGTTGCTGCCCGAAGAAATGTCCGCAAACCACGATGCCGCAGTCTCTGGACAGAAAGGGCCACGGCTGGCAAGATACATTACTGCAATCGCTACTGTGCCGTTTGCAGACTTGATTCTAACAGCAAGCTGGGACGGTTGGGTGAGGGCTTGGCGTGTGAGCGACGACAAGCGCGCAATCGAGCCTGTGGGTAAGGTTGGAAGGGTTCCTCTCGAAAATGATGAGGATGGAATGGCCAACGGTAATGGTCATGATGGAGAGAACGGTGTTCTTATCCGAGGAATCGTAAACGGACTCTCTGTACAAGAAAGAGGTGACCGTGGCCAAGATGGACTTTGTGTCGTAGCTGCTGTGGGCAAGGAGCCTCGACTAGGACGATGGATGGCTGGTAAAGTGCCCAACGGCATCTACATCTTTGAGATTTCGAAGAAAGCTGTTGCCAATGGTTTATCAGAGGACGAGGAGGATGAGGATTAAGCAAAGTTGCTGGGCTCGAGTAAGATATTTTTGATGATACCAAAACATGCATAAAGCGACCACATATCACAATTCCTGTTTTGATCTGATTTCCCACAATGATAACAAGTCTGTATTTGCTTTGCATTCATTCAAACCCGCTTGCCAAAATCTCCACATTTGTCCACGGAAGTTTAGGAGGCGTGCGGACATCTGGAGTGGTGGAGGGAACACGTGATCAGGCGCCATAGCTCGACTGTAGTCCCGGCGCAGCCTACTTCGAATCTTGACTTTTGCGCCGCGAGCTATAGATTTGTCCCACAATACAACATCTTCAGTAACGTTTGCGAAGATGCAGAGCGAGCCAATGGAGCACCAATCTCCCGCGAAAAGATCGCGCGCAGAGATGGAGGGGAAGAATGGAAATGCGGCAGAAGCTGCAGTGGACACAGATGAAGGTATACGGGACACACAACGCGATGCGCGCAAAGCTAGCTAACATTTACACAGATGATTCCTCCTCCGATGATGACTTTGGACCAGCACTGCCCTCTTCCGCACCCAAGAAAAAGAAAAGAAAGCTCCCTTATGAGAAACTATACGTTGCTGCTCTACCGACCGCAAGCCGCTACTTCAAATCGTTGATGCACCGCGAGCAACTCAGCTTCACAACCTTTACCCCGTTCACGGATTTCCTGATCACAAGTTCGATCGATGGCGTTGTCAAGTTTTGGAAAAAGGATTTTGGTGGTATTGAGTTCGTGAAAGAATTCAGGGCACACGATGGCGAGATTCGAAATGTGAGCGTCAGCGCAGATGGGAGGAGTTTCGCTACTGCAGGAACCGACAAATCTGTGAAGATATTTGATGTCGACACATTCGATCTGCTAGCAATGCTCAGCCTGGATTATACACCAAAAGCACTGTGCTGGGTCCATGGCAGAGGCGCGTCATTTCCTCAATTGGCAGTGTCTTCCGAAGAGAACTCCTGGATCCGCATATACGATGGCAGAGGAGAGAACACTGAACCTTTACACACACTCAAAAAAGTCCACCGACAACCTGTGGCCCTTATGGTATATAACAATAACTTCGATTGCGTGGTTTCAGTAGATGAAGGCGGCATGATAGAGTACTGGCAGCCGAACGGGACTTTCGAAAAGCCGGACCACGTTTTCGCTGCAAAGAGTTCTACCGATCTGTTTGCATTCAAGAAAGCGAAATCAGTGCCTTCAACATTGACAATCTCCCCTGACGGAAAACAATTCGCAACGTTTTCCTTCCCGGATCGACATATTCGCGTGTTCCACTTCGCTTCCGGGAAGCTACATAGGGAATACGACGAATCGATCGCAAGCATAGAAGCATCACATCAGGCTGGTACTGCCGTGCAAACATTGGAAGACATGGAATTTGGTCGCCGACTGGGTATCGAACGCGAGTTGGACCAGCCAGCCTTGCGCTCACGCATGAACGTTATCTTTGATGAGACTGGAAATTTCATCCTGTATGGATCTATGTACGGCGTCAAGGTCTTGAACACGTTCTCCAACTCCCGTGTGAAGCTTTACGGTCAAGAAGAATCGTTCCGTCCGCTCTGGTTATCCCTCTACCAAGGCCAACCAGAAAAGAAGGGCGTCGTGACCGTTGAAATGGCTGCTTCTGAGAACCCTTTACTCCAAGAAGCCGAGGCTCGTGATGCTATGTTGGTTTCCACGGGCTCCGGGAAAGTACGCTTCTACATGTTCACCAACGACAACAACGTCACCAAATCGCAACGAGACGTGCAGAACGAGAAACCAACCAACCTCGCGACGAAGAAGAAAGTCCAGGACAAGCCCGCCGCCACTGGTACGTCTGCAACAATCCACACAACTTATGGTGATATCATGGTCCGTCTGTTCCCCGAAGCGGCACCAAAAGCCGTGGAGAACTTTGTCACGCATGCTCGGAACGGATACTACAATAACGTCATTTTCCACCGAGTGATCAGGAAATTCATGATTCAAACGGGAGATCCGATGGGCGATGGTACCGGCGGCGAGAGTATATGGGGGAAAGAGTTTGCGGACGAGTTCTCAACGCTCAAGCATGACAAGCCGTATACATTGAGCATGGCAAACGCTGGGCCAAACACCAATGGATCGCAATTCTTCATCACGACGGAGAAAACGGTAAGTCTTTCATCAGTATTTCCCGTAAACTTGAATTTCACTGACACGTGCGCAGCCATGGCTTGACAACAAACACACAGTGTTTGGTAGGGGCGTTGGAGGCTTGGACGTGGTGCATAAGATCGAGAACACGAAAGTGTATAAAGAGAAGCCGGAAGAAGACATCAAGATCGTCAGCATCTCGGTATCTTGAGTGCCAGTATAAAGATGTTGTATATAGTTGATTCTACGATGATCTTTACATGCTTGTTTGACATGCCTAATTTTCGTGTGCTCGACGTTCCTGGATGCAAGAATTTTCAGCCAATCTCCAATAATGACACCTCTCGCTATCGACATACGTCGTTACGTGGTGGCTCGTTGGGTAACTGTAGATGTTACTACTTAGTACATATGACCCCAACGACGACTTGCATGTACGAGAGCGTGCCAGCGTGAGAGCATAAGGCAGCCCCGGGCGACTTGTCTGTCAACAATTCACGATGGCAAAGATCTGTACAAGGTAATCACAGATTTACATATTTCAATCCCAAGAAAGACAAAATTGATGCTCTCGCAGGAAGAATGTACGACCAATCATTGCGCTCTCTCCCACTGCCCGAGAGCAGAGAGAAACCGCACCCAAGATCAGCCAAACTCGTTCTCCACTCCACATGACGGTTTTCGTTCTCATGGAACCTCACACTGCCCGAGGGCAGCGGGTGTCTCGATTGAAAATGCTTTTTAGTGGGTGTGATAAATTTGCGTTGTTCATGAAGAGGAGAAGGTTGGGACGGGCGAAGAAACTTTTGAAGGGGCGCGGCTCGGAGGTCGGCGAAACCTTTGGCCGCGCCCCGCACCAACTGCCAGCCAGCCAGCTGCTCGTTACTGTGGCCGTGTCTGCCCCGCCAAAAAAAAGCGTGGAAGAAGGTTACGACTTGGCGCTTGCCTCGCCAGACCCAATTGAGTCATATTTCTTTCCCATCACACCGCGTGCGTCCATCAACTCAACACCCCGTGACTTGAGCCTTTCCAATTCCCCGATCCGTTTGCCCGACCTCGACTTGTTCAGTATCAGCACAAAGAACAGGCTTACCGATCACCACCCAATATGGCGTCCAACCCCGAGGCAGAGCACGAGCAAGAGCACCGCGAGGAGGAGAGTGGATCCGAGTCTCAGGTGGAAGACTCCAAGCCAAAGTCTGCTTTGAAGAAGACGAGGGATGTGCTACCTCCAGCTCAGCGTCCAGAATTGCCGTACGCCACCACCATCACCCTTCCTCGCAACGATTTTCGAACATGTACTGACACATGGCAGTGTACAACCAGATCCGTCAACGACCGACTTCTCCAAACTCACACCTATTTCCCCCGAGATCATCTCCCACCAAGCCACAATTAACATCGGAACCATCGGTCACGTAGCTCACGGCAAGAGTTCCGTCGTCAAGGCCATCTCTGGTGTACAAACGGTCCGCTTTAAGAACGAACAGGAGCGCAACATCACTATCAAGCTCGGTTATGCAAACGCAAAGATCTACCAGTGCGATAGTGCCGATTGCCCCCGCCCGACATGCTACAAGTCTTACGAGAGCCAGAAGGAGGTGGATCCGCCTTGTGAGCGCGAGGGGTGTGGAGGAACGTATCGGTTGAAGCGACATGTCTCCTTTGTGGACTGCCCAGGCCACGATATTCTGATGAGCACGATGTTGTCGGGAGCCGCCGTTATGGATGCCGCACTGCTTTTGATCGCTGGAAATGAAACCTGCCCGCAACCGCAGACTAGCGAGCATCTTGCTGCTATCGAAATCATGAAACTCAACCACATCATCATTCTTGCCAATAAGATGGATCTGATGCAGCCAGAGAGTGCTGCCGCGCATTACGAGTCAATCCTCAAGTTCATTCGAGGCACCGTCGCCGACAATTCTCCCGTCATCCCCATTTCGGCCCAGCTCAAGATTAACATCGACGCTGTCAATGAGCAACTCATGAATATTCCCGTTCCAGTGCGAAACTTCACCGCGAAACCTCAGATGATCATCATTCGATCTTTCGATGTCAACAGGCCCGGTGCTGGGATCGATGAGCTCAAGGGTGGTATTGCCGGTGGCAGTATTTTGACTGGTGTCCTGCGGGTGGGCGACGAGATCGAAATCCGCCCTGGTATCAAGATAAAAGACAGCGCAGGAAAGATCCAGTGCAAACCCATCTTCTCTCGGGTAGTGTCGTTGTTGGCTGAAAACAACGACCTCAAATTTGCCGTGCCTGGTGGTCTTGTTGGTGTTGGTACCACCATCGACCCCACTCTGTGCCGTGCGGATCGTCTCGTCGGTTGCGTCTTGGGTCTGCGCGGAAATCTTCCCGACATATATACCGAGCTGGAGGTCAACTACTTTTTGCTCCGCCGATTGCTTGGTGTGCAGACTGCAGACGGAAAGCAAGCAAAGGTCGCTAAACTCGCAAAGAACGAGGTTCTGATGGTAAACATTGGAGCTGCGACTACTGGCGCCAAGGTCATCGCTGTCAAGGCTGATGCTGCCCGTCTATCACTCACGTCGCCCGCTTGTACCGAGATTGGCGAGAAGGTCGCTCTCTCAAGACGTATCGAAAAGCACTGGCGACTAATCGGATGGGCCAACATTGTGGCGTAAGTAATACACATTTCCAGTCATGACAAAATTGCTAACATTTGACAGTGGCGATGTCCTTGAACCCCTCCAGGATTAGGAAGAGCCTGGCACGGGAATCAACGATAGCAGCCCATAAAGCACTACGACGGTTACGATGACAAGACTGCGATGTTTGTGGGGTTCTCACGGGGAAATCTGTATCACTTTCAATGCTCGCATTTTGGGCATTTCCCTCTTCAGCATGGATGGATGCATGGGCTCGACACTACGTATAGACGGTAGCAGAGGGCTGATGGACAGCGCTAAAAGGTCATTTTTGGAACAGGGCTCGTTGCGGGTGAATGTGTTAGTAGGGGTTGATGGACAGGATCTATGTCAAAATAGCAATGGAAGAGTTGAAACACCAACCTGGGATGCTGTTACAACATTCACATGGCGACACGCGACCAAATTGTTATGAAAAATACATGGAAGCAGGAGTACGGATGGTGTAGTAGATGTCGCGGACCTGCCGTGTCTCGTAGTATGCATGCGGACACGATGCGAGAGAAGGAGATAAGAGTACACAAAGTACCCACATGCGGCACTATGCCCGATCTGCCAGCGGAGCATTCATGTGCGACGTTTTGGTAATGAACATGTGGTTATTGGAGAAAATGGCGCAAGTGGCAGCGGAAGGAAAGAGTAGGATAGATGGCGAGCTGCTACATACAACTTTTGCCGACTTGCTGCGGTGCTTAAGTAGACGTCCAGCGCCAACCTCACACTCGTGCTTGTCCATCCCAACTGCCTCGTTGCTGTACATGATGACTTCGGTTTGTTTGTCCCAGCGTTTGGCTTATGATCACGAGCCCTGGAGGCAAACCCCGCTAACGTGCTGGCCACCGCCCCCAGCCGCCGCCTGTTCGTGTATGGCAGGTTAACACGAATGTTTTCGTAAAGCACAGGATTAGGCTTCTCGCGGTCCTTGAGGATGAAAAATTTATAACGCCAGCATCTCTCAACCGAGGATCATCTTTCCGCTTGTCTTCTACCTGTCCTTCTTAAATCCAAGACAAAGCCACCCTTGCCCCGCCATCCACCCAGTACATACCCCTCACGCAACTATCTACTGTACCTCAGGTACTCTCACATATAACAACACCACGTTTCGTGCCTGGATCTGAATTCAAAACATCACCCACCATGTCTCCTGGCGCTATTCAGTCCGATTCACCTACAGCGGGCAACGGCACGACCCTCAAGCCCACTGCCCGTGCTTTCCATCCAACTGGCACTCCCGACCCTACCAAATACCACGCTTCATCTTCGAATGAGGCCATCAATGCCGAAGCCGAGTTCGCTGCTCACAACTACCACCCGCTACCAATTGGTATATTCTGCCCATGATGCCACTCACACATACGCCCCCGATTAATATGATGATGCAGTCTTCTCACGAGCAAGCGGCAGCTCCGTCTGGGACCCCGAAGGCAAGCACTATCTCGACTTCCTCTCCGCCTACAGCGCTGTGAACCAGGGACATTGCCACCCCGAGCTTGTCAAGGCCCTAGTAGAACAGGCCTCGCGATTGACGCTCAGCAGCCGTGCTTTTTACAATGACGTCTTTCCCCGGTTCGCTGAATACGCCACCAAGCTGTTCGGCTTCGACATGATTCTGCCCATGAACACTGGCGCTGAAGCTGTCGAAACCGCAGTCAAGGTTGCGCGCAAGTGGGGTTACAAGGTCAAGGGAATACCGCAAGATGAAGCGTTGGTGTTTGCCGTGGAAGAGAATTTCCACGGACGGACGTTTGCCGCCATCACCATGTCGAGTGATCCCGAATCCCGAGACAACTACGGCCCGTACCTACCTAACATCGGCAGCATCAACCCCAAGACCAAGAAGCCAATTAGATATAACAACGTTGAAGACGTTCGAGATGTATTGGAAACATACGGAAAGACAACGGCTGCGTTCCTGGTCGAGCCCATCCAGGGTGAAGCTGGCATTGTAGTGCCAGATGACAGCTATCTCAAAGAGGTCAAGGAACTTTGCGTCAAGCACAACGTCTTGCTCATCGTCGACGAAATTCAGACCGGCATTGCGCGAACAGGAAAGCTTCTGTGCCATGAATGGAGCGGCATCAAACCAGATCTGGTACTCCTAGGCAAGGCCATCTCGGGTGGCATGTATCCTGTATCAGCAGTGTTAGGTTCCAAAGAAGTCATGCTTACAGTCGAGCCTGGTACACACGGCTCCACTTACGGCGGTAATCCATTGGGGTCTGCTGTTGCCATCCGTGCTTTGGAAGTGATTCAAGAGGAGAATCTGACTGAGCGCGCCGAAAAGCTTGGTCACCGCTTCCGGGACGGCCTGGCCAACCTCAAGAGCCCCATGATCAAGCTCATCCGAGGTAAAGGACTGTTGAACGCCATCGTCATCGATGAAAGCAAGACCAACGGCCACAGTGCATGGGATCTGTGTATGCTCTTCAAAGAGAAGGGATTGTTGGTAGGAAGAGCCCTCAAGATTATGCACGTACAAGACAGACAAGAAACTAATATCGATGGACAGGCGAAACCCACTCACCAGAACATCATTCGTCTGGCACCGCCACTGGTCATCACAGAGGAAGAGATTGATTCTGCGCTCAAGATCATCCAGGAGGCCATGGAAGAACTACCCAACCTCAAGGGTAAGAGGGAGGAGGAGGTGATACCCCCAGGCGAGAAGAACGTTCACATCGGTGTTGACAATTAAGTTCTTCTCTTTTCGATAAGAAACTGTTGACTCGCTGCATTATCGGACTGCATGACAAGACGTAAATTTCCAAATGTTTCTCCGCAGGTGTAATTAGAAGCATACAGGGACGGAAGAACTTGGCCGCACGCGAGTGAGTGGTCTTATGGAAAACACGCAGGCTCGTGTCTTTATACCCTTCATACCAAAATAAATCTCCAGGCCCACAGGGCGTTCAAAATCCAAGCCATATACATTGCTTTCATTTTCACTTATGAGCTAAACGTGAACTATCCAAGCATCGTTTGGAGTTATGCCCACGGAGTTGGACAAGGGAATAAATACAACAAACACACCGAGAAAACACTTGCAAATACAACGGAATGAAAGCATTCAATATTTTCTCTGATCATCGACTTTATTGCCATTCTGTTCCCAAAGATTACATTATGTGAAAAGCGCTCGCACGGTGATACTTCACTTGTCTAATGACAAATTCTTACCTAGTGGCAGACACCTAACAACAGTGCATGAATATGTACCCATATACTCAACATCAAGTCTCAGGCGTAGTAGAACTATTCGTGTATAGTTATCTGCGCTACCAGTAATATGTGCACATAACGATTGTAGACCTGTAGACTAGGCTTTCAGTGTGGAGCCCGAAGCGGAAGGCGCAGCCGAGGTCAGCGCGCGGGTGCCTTCGTGTGAGGGCTTAACTTTTTACGCACACAAGCCTATCACCTTCGTCTCAACACCGCCCAGCACATCGTTTTATCGGTATAACCTTCCAGTTGTGCCGCCATTTGGGAGCCAACATTCTGGCAGTCTGATGTTACAATAAAGTCGAGTGCATAATTTGGCGGGGCGCCACACAAACATCATGGCCTTCAATTGGGACAAACTCACCAGAGCCCAACGAGACTTTCCAAAACCGAAATTCGCCCTCGATGCCATAAGCAGACATTTGAAGAAGAGGCCGGCTGATCCGTATGTGCTGGTGAGTGAAGCATGAATAACGCCGAAAATAATCGATAGATACTGAACAGATCTTCGCAAGGCGTGGAAAGCAGCTGTTCTGCTCCAGGTGGATAAAGATGGCGATGCTAAAGTGGCGCTCGACCTACTACAAACTCTGTGTCAACGACAGCCACCAATCACGGATGTGCCACTGCTATGCCTCATTTATAGCAAGCTGAGTGAAGCTTTGCGAAGACGGAACTCTCAGCCCATCCTAGCCTCGATCGGTGAACTTGGGCTCAAGGCATGGCAGAATGCAGCAAAAGCTCTGCCAACACAGGCTCAGCGATTGAGTCTGTGGTCCGAACTGTTTATATCTGCGATGCAAGAAGAGTGCTGGGAGGATGTTCGAATTGTACGTCGTTCCCCTTTCTGGACGGATATGTGCTGACTCGCTATAGGCAGTTGTTCATGCCAATAAAGAAGGGCCCAAGTCCAAAAAGACTGTGTACTATACATCAATTCTGTCTAATCAATTGGCGGCAGAAAGAAAGATTGAGGCGAGCAAGAAGTCTGGAAAAGCTGACCCAAGCAGTCAAATCCAATTGATGATCGCTCTTAAACAAATGAAGGAAGCGTTCGACAATTCACCCAAACCAACGGTAGGCTCGGACGTATTTACACCACACATCAGGCTTACTCTTCCAGGACGAAACACTGCGCGTGAAAGATATGCGAGATTTACGATTCATGGCACAAATCTATAGCCGTCAAAATCGATCTGCCGAACTGGAACAGCTTTGGTCTACGCCATCTTCGCACATGAACGACCTCAGATATAAATATGAGGCAGACATCAGACTTCTCCTCATTGAAAGCATACGTAAATGTGAAAATTGGGCATTGCTGGAAAGCGTTTGCGAAAAGACAATCTCCGCTGTATTCGAGCGCATGGAGACCGAAGGGTCGTCTCAAGAGTTTGTGCAAATGTGCACGGCAGAATGGTCAATTTGGACTGCTGTGATAGACGCCATAACTCATCTATATCCCGATCAAGAGTAGGTGCGATTGATCCATGAAGAAATTAGCCATTCTCTAACTATGGTAGGGCCAAAGAAAAGATAGGAGCCATGCATTCGCGTCTAATGAGATCACAACCAAATTTAGAAGTTCGAGCTGTCGCGGTCACGCTCGTGAATCTGGCATGGCATTCTGGCAATTCCGTCCTGCAGGCTTGCAAAGCATATTGGAGTAAGCATTCAGCTGGCCGTAGCTGCTTCAAGGACCTTCGGCGTCCTGTCGCCCAACTACCAGAAGATCTGCGGAATGAGTTCTACGCTCATATCAAAAAGACATCACAATCCCTGGAGTCGCAATCCGAAGAGGGGGGGCCTAAATCCGCCTGGATACGTACCGAGAACAATGTCTTAGCATTCGAATATCTGTTAAAGATTTCAATGTCTAGTGGGACCGACGTGGAAGTAATTGAAGAGTTTGTGGCTAGAGCTCTCAAGTTCCATCATCTTGCACCGTCATCTGAGATTGATGTGCGTGTTGATGCCGCTCTTTTAGCCATCGTCGGTCTTCTCCGCCTCCACAAGGCTGATGGCAAGAGCTCAATGCGCTATCTGATTCAGGCTGCTATATTTCTGCAACGTCTCCTGGAACACGAGGAATTTCGGAACTTCCGCGCACTGGTAGTGGTTTCCGCCCGCTTACACTTGAACCTGGGTCTAGGAACTATCGCCATCGGGCATTATCGCGATGCAAAAGTCAAGGAGATGCTGCTTGATACTGTCTCTTGGGTCTTACTATCCCGCATATCGCAGACGCATCCCTTCGATACACCTGGACACGAGGGGTTTAGTGCTACAACCGAGTTAGACAAAGTCATCGATACGATGACGCGGATGGAAGGTAGGACGGATGACCACCTGTATCAAGACATGCAACAATTTTTCTACGATACCGCTTTGGAAATGCTTGATCTTAAGCAAAAGTTCTCCTCTAGCATCACAAAACGGCTCTGCGTTATCGAAAAGAATCGCATCGCTGGCCTGCACTCACAGGACTCTAACGGCGAAGTAGCAGCAGACAGCATATCTGAAGGTCAGTTCACATATGTACACATTCAGATTTGTCGCTAACCAGAGATAGCTCTATCGAAAATATCAGACAATCGTGATTTGAACATATTGCCCAACTATGGATCTGGAGACCAGAACGAGACCATGTCGCTGATGTTGCAGCATAAGCCAGCTTCGATTGGATGGCTGTACAACTACTATCTTTGCCGGGAATCCGTCTTGGGGCATTTATACAACACAAGGTCGAACACAACACTCCAGCGTGATTTGAAAACGCTATTCGTCGACGAATCAAAAGAGGAGCTTGAAAAAGATGTCTTCACCGAAGTCGAAAAGACATTGAACAAGCTCTGGCATCCAGTTCGTCACATCCTCTTCCAAGGGGAAGCTCCTCCAGTTACTTCTGATACCACACCTGCCAAATCGATGGACCAGGCATTCGACCAACTGTCTAGCGAACTCGAATCATTGATCGAGAGCTTAGGCAAACCCGCTGGGGATATTCCACCCTTGTTCAACGAGGAGCATCTCATGTATCGATATGGCTTGCTCGAAACATTGCGCATGCTACAACAGTTGGACAAAGTTCTTCAACAAGGCATCAAGAGCAAGAATCCCGCGTACACCAAAGTCCCAAAACCAAAACTCCAGAACGTCAATGCCAAGGTCAAGAAATGCTTCGAGGCGCTTCGTCAAGCGACCAACAAAGACATTGAGCAATTGAACTCTCGTGGCGCGGCATTGATTCGAGATGTAACGCTTCAGGGCAGCACTGGTGAAGCTCTTGCTACTATCGTTTCTGCGGACGATGCTCGGGCTTACGCCTTGAAGTACGTCGAGTCGGACCGAGTTGCTTTGAAAGCCATTTTGCAGGTGAAGCTGAATTAACTATGCTTGGCCGGGTATTTCTGGTAAAGGTGCCACACGTTTTCCTCTCCTACGTGAAGAGAATATGGTTAGGAATTGTATATCATGCATGGGCATTCACGTGGAAATTTGGGAAATATCAATCGGCTTACAATCACCTTGCATATTAGCTATGAGACAGTCTCTAGCTTAAATTCTATATACCAAAGCGATGCATCCTATCAATCTGATTTAATGATCATATATCATTGACCAGCATCTACCCATTACCCCACACTGCAATGAGAAGCTAGCCTAACCCCAGCACCACGTCAACAACCGCTCACGTCCACCGTCCCCCCAAGCTCATACACAACTACATATGTAGCATCATCAGGGCTCAATCACCTCCACGTGACCCTTATGAGCAGAAAGAAATTGAAACTGAAAACACTGCCATTTAAGCCCCATCGATTTCCCATGTTCTCGTCCCCCCTCCACCAAGCCTCCCGCCCAAGATTTCTCTCATCGCTGATCACCACTCACATCCGCACCAAGATGCTCAAATCCAAAATGGCCACCATCCTCAACAATAATACTGGACGACAATTTCTGAAAGCACCACGTATTCACTGGATTCTGGACTGGGACTCGACAATCACAACACACGACACATTATCCACACTCGTCAACATCGCCGCTACATCCTCCTCCCCCTCCTCTTCCTCGTCATCACCACCACCACCACACCAGCCAACCACAATTCCAAAACAACAGCGCATCGAAACCCAATGGCAAAACCTCTCAAAAGCCTACATGCAAGACCTGAAAAGCAGCACCACGGACCAACATACCGAGAACAAAAACGACGACGACGACGACAAGGGAACCACGCCCTTGGAAAAGGAAATCCAAACCCTCATCCACCAAGAATCCATCGAAGCAAGATCGCTGCAGCGCGTCATCTCCTCGCGCATCTTCGCGGGGCTGACGGACCGCGATATCTGCCACGGCGCCGCGAGAGCCGTCAGGGACGGCCGCGTCGAGATCAGGAAAGGGTTTTGGGAGTTTTATTCGAGATTTTCGCATTCTGGCTCGGGCGTGGAAGGGGGAAGGGAGGAAAAGAAGGCGAAGGAGGGAGAGGGGGGAGATGGTGCGGAGGTGACGGTGTTGAGCGTGAATTGGAGTCGCACGTTTATTCTGGCGTGTCTACGGGCGTATCTTGCTTCTCCCTTCGCTGCTGCTTCGAGGTCTGCTGGGCCGGAGTCGGTACGGAGTGAGCATGGGGGCAGTGGTGAGGGAGGAGGGTTTGATGTCAGTGTCGATATCGATGTCGTATCCAACGAACTCTCCAACCTCCAACCCCAACCCCAGAACTCCAGCCTACCAACTCATGAAGGTAGTAAGACTAGTGGTACATCAACAGGATCCATCCACTCCACCTTCGCCACCACCACCAACCCTTCTCCGTCGCTTATCCTGAGTTCACGACATAAACTCGCAATCCTTAATTCCCTTGCTCCCCCAAAAGACAAACAACAAGGTTTGAGAATCTACATTGGCGATAGTCCGACGGATTTCGAGTGCTTGTTAGCTGCGGATATAGGGATCTGCATGCGGGCTTTGCGAACTTCCCGTTCAAACTCAGATAAGAGTGCCGAGGAAGACGAAGATGAGAATGATGGTGGAGAGTTAAGTCGGATGATGGATAGAGTAGGGGTGAAGTGTGTGCGGTTGAGGGATTTTGACGCCAGAGGTTTGGAGAGAGAGATGGAGGGAGATCAGGGGAGCGAGAAGGTCGTTGCGTGGGTGAGGGATTTTGAGGAAGTTTGTGAGTGGGTTGATCGGATGGGTTGGGGAAGGGAAGGAACTGAGGGAGGGTTGTCTGGGTCAGGCCGATGAAGCTTGCGCTGTTTGCTTTGTTGGTGAGGGTGGACGACGGTGCAAAGTTATCAGGTGGTAGAATAATGATTTTCATCATGGTACTATTGGTTGCTATGTAAGGCGTCAACGAGGCTTGATGGGAAAGGAAACAGATAGACTGCCCGCACTGTAATATGTATACTAGGTGGAATAGAAATAGCATAATTCCAATCCCATGAAAGACATTTTCTCGTTTTGCTTCGCTCGAACATCTAATGCAGGTATAACAGTTAACTCTCAAGCTTAAGAGTTGTCTTATAGTAATGCAAAGCTCTGTATAGTAGCGGGTGCACGAGCTTTGGATCATTAACAAACGTAATTGTATTAAAGCATAGGGGTGCCCCCCGATCCCTGATTTTGTCTCAAGAAGCTTGTGTGAAGGCTTTTTTCGATCGAATTTTTAGTTTGATATGATTTCTGAGGTGGAGTTTAGGTGATCCTACACACAGCGAAGAGTTACAACGATGAATAAACCATTATTCATCGTTGTAACTCTTCGCTGTGTGTAGGATCACCTAAACTCCACCCTAGAATAAATAAATAATACAATTACTTATCTTTCTCAACAGCCCTTTTGAATGTAAGAAACACTTCAACTTCCAGTCCAAGAAAAAAACCATACGAGTACTCTTGTTAATGATTTAATTACCCCTAATGTACGAACTCATTCACAATTCATCAATCGTACTCTGCACATCATCCTCATCATTCCCATGCTTAGGATATTTCCTATACCAATCCTTCGGGTCGCCGCCGGGGACGCACAATCCTATTCTCCAAAAGTAGTCGCGGTGCGCGAAGAACAGTTCCCAAAATTTGAAGCGCGTGGGGATTCCCCAGCTGGGTGGATTCGAGGGATCGGCGTCGGCGATACATGTAGGGTCCTCGTCGCCATCGCAATGACGGATATCTTCCTGAGAATAAGGTAGAGAGTCTGCAGAGATGAAAAGCTCTTCGCTGTGCATTGTGTAGCCCCACTCGGCAAGTGGAAGGAGGGGTACAGGATCGTTGGCGTGTGTCACACGATGGAACTTGTTGGTTGCGGTAGTGGTGCTATTACTGATGTTGAAGCGCTCGTTGACGTAGGCCGCGAGTTCCTTGTTGCCGATGCGCGGTTCACCAAATGTAGTCACGTACGGATCCCAACCGCGAGCCTGGAGGTCAAGTCCAGCGATGGTGGCCACAGCACCGCCCAGTGAATGTCCGACAAGCACGAGCTTGTAACCGGGATACTTTTCGATAGCGGCGGTCAGGTCTGGGAGGATGGCCTTGCGCGTGTTGAGCCACGAGGAGTAGAAACCTGTATGTACCGTGCAGTTGGCACACTTGGGGGGATCGGCGGGCGGTGGATCCTGTTGGTCCTCTTCGTTTTTGTCGTCTTTCACTGTGCTCTCTGCGGGGTGCGTGCCGAGAGGCCCAAGAATAGGGCTGAGGAAATCGGAATGTGTGTCATCACCGCCCTCGTCATCGCCAGGATAGGGTACGTATTCCTGCGGGACGGTGGAAAGGTCGACGATAGTGTTGGTGATGGAGTATGTGCCGCGAAAGGCGAGAATAATGCGTGGAGACGAGGGAGGGTGAGATACGGCAATATAGCCGCAGGAGTCAGACAGGAGCGGGCCTGTGTTCCACGCGGTGACCAGCTCAAAGTCCTTGAAGGCTTCATCGCCGCAGTGGCTGGCGCATTCGAAGGGTTTCTTGATACCGAGTCCGGCAGTTCCCACACAATAGGATATATCGACTATCCTGGCCAGCTCTTCAAGCTCGAAGAAGAGTTCGCGGGAGATGGGGTTGGTGCTGTTGGGAGTGAGGCTGAGGGTGGTGGCCGCCAGGGCCAAGAGGGCGTAGAGGAGCAGTGGTAGGCCGCGGGTGGTGGCCATGGCTGAGGTTATCACATATTCTACAGACTGCATGCAGTGGCAGGATGTGAGGATGGTAGGATCGAGAGATGGATGGTGATGTGTGTCTGAATGAGGATAGTGGTGAGGAGAGAGTAAGGGTCATAAGATTGGGGGGCTGCTGATTCAGAAGATCGGCCATAGAGTCGTCGTCATGCGAATTCCCAACGTTCCGCCGGCTTGGCGCCAACCGCTCGCCCGGCAGCGGAATGGCCCAAACACAAAGGGATGACGGGAGCCCAGCAATCATGACATCATTGTGCGAAAACAACATGCCTTTCTACTCGGCCGATCCCTCCAGGCCATGCAAGACTCTGCCGTTGTCCTGTATCCTGTGCTTATCCACCCATTCTGGCCCGCTTACTCTGCACAAGCTCTCTCCCATAAGACCCCAAGCCATCCGCCTCCGTCCGGCACCGACCTTCTTATCGGTGTTTTTTTGGCTTCGTCACGACTAGCTTCCCTTACCTTTGTTCGCCTGTCGAGTGCACGTCCACCAACTACTGCTGCTAACTCCTGGACTGTACCAACACTCTGTGCCACCCTCATACACTCATACACACACGCACGCCGCCATCATGGCCGTCACAAACACCCAAACATCTTCAGCGGAGCCTCTGCGGCCCCCGTCCCCAACGTACCGGCCCGATCCGGAAAAGGATGAAATAGCTGTCACCGACCACTCCACACAACCTCCAGCTCACCCCGACCTCCAAATCCCAGATATTGCCGTCCACAACGCGCCGGACGACGACGATGAACGGAGCCCGCGACCCGAAGCACGTACTTCAGCCAATGCGAGTCTCGCTGCGACGCAACCCAGTCGAGCAGCCTCTCCCAACCCATCCGCCGTCTACCCCCATACCCAGATCGTATTTGATGACCCTGAGTTCACACGCCCGCCTCCGCTGAACTACTCGCTACGGCCTCGCAAGAAGGCCATCTTCTGGTTCTGGACCCTCATTTTCCTCGACTGCGTCTGCATGCCCATCGGACTGTACTTTGGCATGTGGTTTGGCCTGACGCGTGAGCAACTGAGTGCGAATGCCGTCTTCAGTATCAGCACTGCGCTGCTGGGTACCGTATCTATCGTGGAATACATCATTCGATTCCTGAGACTATGGAGGGTGAATTCCACATGCAGGGTCATTGGCGCTGAGAGGCATTATGTAGGTTATATTCCCTCCCGCCCCTTAAAACCACAATAAAGTCGTCTGCTATGATACTAACTACTTTCCCGTAGCTCGATTGGTTCCATTGGAATTTGTCCGTTGGCTGGTTCTTCGTCATGATCGAGCTCATCGCCGGTACCTGCCCACACGACCCACCCATCCGAGTCCTCGCCATTCCCGCCTCCACCATGCTCTTCGCCATCGGCGTCGAGCTCCTCCTCGTCGACGCCCTCCGTATCGCCGGTGTCCCCGCCCCCTGCCGTATCTCCTCCCTCCCCATGGGTGCTCCCCTCCGCCCAGGTATCTACGCTTACATCGAAGATATCTGCGCTGTAGACGGATCCGGTGGTACCGAGTTCAGACAGCGCTTGAACCTGCGGTATCAGGCCAGCAAGGCGTTTCGTGAGATGCTGCACCGTCTGACGCTTTTCTGGGCGATTGGCGCTATTGTATGCAGTGCTGTTACCGTTGCTATCGTCTTTACTATCCAGAGGGATGCCGCCTACGTTGTAAGTTGCTACTCATCCTCCCTCTTCACCCCCCATTGCTGCTTTTTCTCCAGCCGAATACGAAAACAGAGTGCTAATATACACCTTTTTTTTAGGTTGGCTGGACACTTCCTTTCCTCTGGGCTGGCGTGTGGACCGCCATTACCATTCCCTGGGTTCAACGCAGTCTAGCACACGAGTACGAGCAGTGGACACAAGCTAGATGGAAGGCCTAGCTCTATCCCCTCTCCTTTACTCCTCGTTTCCCTTGTTCTTTCCTTTGAAATCCTGTATTCCATATATACCTGATGATGATTCTAAATCAAGCTGAGCTTCTTCTCTTTCCCTCTTGCTTTTTCCCTTCCCTCCCTGGTTATCTTTTTCGCCTTTTGCTAGATGGGTAGGGAAACCCCGTCTTGGATGTTGTATATACATATGTAACAGTATAACGAGAACATGGGACGGATCCGACTTCTGACTCTTTGGGTCTTTTTGGTCTTTTTTTCATCTTTGCGATTGGGAATTGGGGTTCTCTTCTTCTTGTGATTAAATATACATGTGGATATTTCCAGGATTGTGTGTTTACGCGCGTATTTTGTATACGTGAATACATGAAAATGTAACAATCAATACCGCCATCTTGACCAAGAAACGCTTTCTCGCATAATGGAATCAGTCCTTCATCCATCCATCTCTCTATCAACCCGTACGTTCACTCACTGAAATCTCAACATAAGGCGAGTGAGATAGTCGAAGTCACATTTATACCAAGAAATACATACTGCACTAAAACACAGCATTGAAGAGAATAACAGCTACCACTCATGCAGTGAACAAGATAGTCGGACAAAGTCGGTACTCCCTGCACGACCGAGAGACAATTAAATCAATTTGGATAAGGGAATCCTTTTTTCTCAGCTTTGTGTGTCCTATAAATCTCACGCCTTCCCCCCCTCTGTTATTATTCTCTGTTACTCATTAGAAGAAGAGAAGAAGAAGAAAAAGGAATATCGTTATATATAAGAGGGAAGATGACAGATGAAAGGGCAATTCCCTTAGTCGTGTCCTCCGAAAGGCAGAAAGAGACGGAGAGAGATACAGAAGATTAATGACGAGATTGTGGAAAGGGTGGGAGCTTTGAAGAGAGGGTAAAAAGCGAGCGAGAAACAGGGACACGAACAAAACAATAGAATAGAAATCCAATCCCCCACCCCGGTATAACGACCTGGGTAATGGGGCTGAAGACGAGTAAGAAAGGTATATCAACAGACAAAACAAGAGGGCGGAATGGACAGTGAGAGATTCCGAGCCCTCTTCGTCGCTCATTTTCCCTTGTTCACCCACCGACGCACAACAATGAAGTAGATAGGAAACAAGAATACACGCCCAAAGCTCCGCATACGTAACGAAGTGCAATATCCAAATGACATCGAGGTCTGACCCTCGAAACAGGGGTGACCAAACAAAACCGTGCCTCAGTCCAAAAAGGGAAGACGCCGCCTCTAAACCGCAATTACCGACAACTCCTAGCCTTCTGATGCCCAGAGGAAGAGGGCACCGCAAGCCGTCCAAGGAAGATATGCACTGTGAAAAAAACAATTCCCATGAGGGAGAAAGTGTAAGCAGAAGCAAGTACTACGGGCCTCGCCTACTTTCGGGAGAGGACGAGGAGGGGTGGGACAGGGAGGAGCCGTCAGAGATGTTCTTGACCAACCTTCCGCTCGCGCTGACGCGCTTCTGCAGCTTGGCTTCTCGATCTCGGGCTCGCTCACCTGGTGTGCTCCCGTTTCCTGCCATAATCTGCGGTAGAGCCGTCAACGTGTCGTCTCTGGGGTTGGGTTGATTCCCCATGACCGTAGTTCTCTTGATGCCGGCACGTTGATCGGCTTTGTGATCGAGATACATGCGTGCAGAAACACTGAGCGGGATAGGAGCGGGTTGCGTCGGGAGATCTGCCCCGTTCTGTAGCAGTAACTCTGCCACAGGAAACGACTTGCGAGCACTCGCGTTGGAGGATGTCGTAGGACGCATTCCAGGAGAAGTTGCTGGCGACACAGAGGCTGATGGGGAAGCGGGGTCTGCTGCAGCTAGAGCTAAGAATACCGAATGTGTTCCGCGGGATCGATCTTTTGCGTTTGGATCTGCTCTTAATGCCAAAGCATATAAGACGTTATGGATTTCGTTCTTCTTAATCGACGCCAATAGAGTCTCATCTGGTGACCCGTAATGCGATAGGGTTGGATGAATAGGCTCAACATAAGCGCGCTCCGAGTATTTGGCGGTAATAAAATGGAGTCTCTGCTCGCGAGTGGAGCTGGCCACGGGCTTTATGGTGTTTCCCAGGTTCGCCTCCCAGACTTTATTGCTGGCACGGTTGCCAATCTTGAGTAATACTTCGATCGTGTCAGGGGTGAAAGAGGTCGTATCAAGTGTCAACGAGCGGACTTTGCTGATATGCGTCCCGAGAGATCTGTGTATTCCACTGCATTCGATGCATATGATGATGCCGAGATTAATCGAAACCCAGTCAACCTTGCTGTCGGAACCACAGTCTGCACACAGCCGGTTGCCCGAATCTGCATCACGCACTTGCTGTAGCAACTTGCCATCATCGCCAACACTCTCCTCTCTCCTGTATCCGGGGCGATCGCCAACAGTGGCGTGCCGGGCTGGGGTTTTGGAGCTGTAGTTGTTTTTGTGGCTGGACAGCGAAGGACTTTTTCCAGTAAGAACGGATGCAATGTCGCGTCGTGTCTGTCCTGGCAGGGACTCTGTAGAAGGCCGATCGTCTCGTTTCCCGACTGATTCCACGGCTGTCTGCAACGCATTGTTCACCGCAGCAATCCAGTTCTTCATATCGTCTTCGTTTGTCGCTTGATAAACACGCGTGAATTGCGGCGTGATTACCTCGAAACAAAATCGTCGGTCTGCATTCCGAGCTTCTCGAACAGAAGCTACCCGTAGGTCAATGGGATCCATATGAAGCTCCAGGTTCTGTTTCCAGTTTGTGTATTCTGACATTTTGCCCTGATCAAGCACGATCCAAAACCTGGACAGGATTAATATTCGCAAAGCATTGAGAAAGACGGAAAACTTACTTATGCCATGCCTGTTTGTTGAGCCCTTTAGGATCTGCATGGCTGCCTGGCCGGCTAAGAGCCCACAAAAGACCTTCCTTCCTGTGCGCAGTGGAATTTGGATCAGAACTAACAAGAGCGCTAGGATCCTTATCCTCAAGATCGCGTATGCCTTTGAACTTGCTTGGCTGTGGACTACCAGTACCCATGTAGCTCTGCGCAGTATCTGGACTCAGAGGAGACGCAATCGAAGGAACGCTTGTTGTGCTCGTGCCGGGGGGTGGTGGGCTCAAAGTGCTATGGAAAACAGGTGTGATGCTCGGTTTTCGCCCAGGCAAACTCGAATCGACCGATGTTGAGACTACTCTGGAGCCAGTTCCATTCGCAGGGGTCGTCGGCGGAGGCTGCGTTATCGGAGGCTCGTCAAAGTGTTTCTTGTTCTTTTCCAAAACACGTCTCTTTTCTTCTCTCTCAGTCCTTTGGAGTTGGTATTCTTTGTCAGCCTGTTTGACTTCGAAACTCAAGGCCTCCAACTGGGGCAGCATGGTTTCAATCTTCTTGGCTGTTTCCAGATAGTACTTGGCTTGTGTATCAGCGTAACGGGTAAGATGGGATAATATCTCTTGATCCTTTCGTCCTCCATGAAGATCCTGCATGAAAGATGAGTAATCAAAACGCCGGAGCTCGAAAATGCGACGTTTCGATTGATATTTGGAGTCTGATTCAGCCCGCTTCTTTTCTTTCAGAGTGTCCTGGCGTTGTCCCAGGTAGCGCCCGAGATATTGGTAGTACTCCTTGCTCTCATCCTCGAAATCCTTGCGCTTCGTCTCGGCTTGTTTGATATCGATGTTGTAAAGTTTCTGGATTGGATCAATGATGAGTTTTTGGATGTTGGTCGTATTTGATCGCTCATATGCCAGTATCTCCTTGGCTATCTTGTCAAAATAATGGTCGATCGCCGGCTGTACCGCGTTGGCATTAGACATTGAGGCTTCTCGCAGAGCTTCCATTAAGTCAGACGTGGCATTGTTGCAGGCGGCTTGAGCTTCCAACGTCGACTCCGCTCTCTTGAGGACTTTCTTCCACCTAGTGCGCATATTGCCCGTCTTCTGCTCCAGCGACTTCATTGTTGCACGGAATAACGGACCGTCCTCGGTCTGACTCAAATCTTCACCCGGTCGCGCACAATTCACATCGAGCTTGATGCTGTTGTTTGTTAACGTCGTAGCGTGGCTGGGCACCATACCAAGACTGTACTCTGGGGTCGTTTCGAAGGTTGGTGATTTCGGCGCGACTGGTTCAAGAGATTCCCCTCTCATATCGTCAGAATCGCTCACGCGGGATTCGATCGACTGGTTCGAGGGTACACGAAGGCGAGGTGGTACACCAAGCTCCAAGCGTGGAGAAGGCGAGGTGGGACTTTGGACAAGTTTTGGTGCGCTCTGAACCCAGAATGTGAATGTTGCCAATGTTTCCAACTTGTGTGCGCGCTGATCATACTCGACGAACGTGCAGCTTGTGCGCCATCCGCCGCCTCGATCCTCACTCGGTTTTGGAGGCTTCCATTTCCAGCTCCACTGGAATTGTACAGAAGAGCTCCCTGCAGTTGAAATATCACCGACAAGCTCGACGTGTGGATCTTTATGCAGGTTTGGGTTTGCATGGAATTCTCTTGTGACCAAATGGTCCACTTCTCTTGAATTTGAAGCAAACACAAACGTCAGACCATTTATGATAGTATCAACGGGGGTTGGCGGGGCGGTCGAGGATGCGGCATCAGCGCTGTAGGGTGTCAATGCAGATTGGGCTTGTCGAACGACAAATGTGAAGTTGAGTGTCAGTTCTTCGTCGGCGGGCAAACGCAGGAGAAAAGCGGGCGGTGCACCGGTCAGTGCTGATTCAGGGTCCTATATAGCTATCAGCATAGAAATGAAGGAGGCAGGTCCACGCAACGGACCTGAACATATTCTACGACACTCTCATCTCCCATCTCCCTCTTCGCGGCGTATCTCGAGGCGGGGAAGGCATTGGGGGAGACATTGAGAAGTGTGCGGTTCCGGTTATTTGATATTTTGAGAGCAGAAATGGAAACTAGAACTGGTGAGTCGCGTAGCTGTAAGATGTTCTGAAGAAATGCCTACATCTATTCTGGTCGCGAAGGAAGAGGGCACCCTCCTCGGGGATGCTATTGACGATGCCCATGGCCGTGGCAGCCTAGGTTCGGCCGCTTGAACAAAAGCGCGACCAAGGTGTAGGTGGATGCGGGTGTGGCAATGTGCAAAGGGGAAGATTCGCTGGCCAACAGGCACACTCACATGCCTGGTCGGTAGGGCGCCGTGTTGGGTTGAGTGGCCGGGGTTGAGGAAGTGGAATTAATATACGGCGGTCGTCGGGGTGAGGTAGCTAGGAGGCCGAAATGCGATGGTGGTGGGGACGGGGTAGCACCGAGGGTAACCAACAGCCACAGCGAATCGGCGCAAGTCGATAAAGCGCGCGCTTCTTTGCTGGGAAGATGGGGATAAGGGGCAGCAAAGGGGATGTGTGCGGACGAGTTGAGATGCCTGGCGGGGGGGTAATAAAGCCTTTGTTGGAAACACCGAAGGTGTGGGGGAGGGGGAGAGCAAGAAGGTAAGGCTGAGGGGTGGTTGATATGGGGCTGCTGTTTGAATATTCTGTCGTTGCGCGGTTGATCTATGGGAGGCGGTGGATTGGTAAGGTAGTGGTGAAGACGAAGGGGAGCAGTGGTTAATAACTAAAGCGTGGTGAGTAGTCACCGAGTAGAAGCAGAGGGTATGTAGGGTACATTAGGTAGGTAGGGCAGCAGGGTAGAGTAGGGCAAAGAGCGGGCAGTTACGAGGCACTCTACCTACCTGAATTACCTCGCGGGTGGTGGCTTGAAGAGCTCCATCAGGACCTAGTCAATGTCGATCATACGTCAGACGCGCCGGAGTGTCATGAAATCGGCTCCGTGCCCTGTGGGTAACTCATTACTGCCCATGAAGCGAGCCTTCACACGTTGGTCATCACCGAATACAAGAATGGCTCAAGAGTCAGAGTCTGTCACCGCATACAAAAGCCATGGTGAGTATGTAGTCCATGTGTCTGCGGAGAAGAGCACTGATCGAACAGCACAGATTCCATCGCCGCCCGCTGATCATCACCCTTTGTGTCAAATGAGCTTCTGGTAGTTCAACGAGTGAATACATCTCCCATCGTGACCCACAGTCGCCTTCCCGTGTTCTTTTCGATCTCGTTCAGTCACGCACGGCACAGTCAGCGCGTACCCTGGCGGCACTATTGCTGCCCCCCCTCTACCAGCCACCACCATGAGCTCTATCTTGAAACAGCCCATGACCAGCGTCCATGTGCCCGGAGGAGCGTACGTATGTGTGTGTACGTACATAAGAGGTTCGATGAGTGAGAAGCCAGAGCGAGTTCAACACAAGATCATGTAGGGCAAGACATGGCGTGGTATGCATGCGTGCTCACACCCGTATATTACCTACAGAACGATTAACGTTCCCGTATTGCTTGTCTCTCTGCCTAGCCGTGTCTACCATGGTCTATATATGCTTACGTATGCCTTGTTCGACGCAGGAACCACGCGCCCAGAGAAATGAGATGTGATCTAGCTGATCCGGCCAGGCACCTCGAGACATGTATCCATGCCATGTCAAGCACGCGATGGAAGACTGCAGACGCGCAAGTCTTCTCCGGGAACAAGAAAGGAGAAAACAACGGCGTTGACGACCGCGCGGGAGCAAAAAGCAACGATGCATGCACTTGGATTTGGTGCCCGCTTGACAGCAGACGCCATTATCAAACATGTGATAGCTCCCGGCGATGCTTCGGTACTATCTCGGTAGATCTCTACCAAATCTAATCTCACCATCCAAGCAAGTTTGTTGCGACTTCACCCGCGACATCGTCGACGTCCCTGTGTACAAGCATCTGGGATACACAACTCATCATCCCCCTACATCATGGCTGCTTACCGCATACCCACATTCCGGACCCTCCTCCGCCAACCACTCGCAAACCCACGCACCTGCCAACGTCGCTGGGCCCGTGTCCTCGATGTCCGCTATCTCGCAACCCACAGCGACCCAGACGAGCGCGTACTCACCAAGTACAAAGCAAAGCTCGAGTCCAAGGCACAAGAAAAGGGTCTAAAAGATGTATCAGAGCTCAAGCAAGCCTACAAAGACAAGATCGAAAAACTGCGAAACGAAGCCGCAGTACCAGGCGCAACAGCACCACTAACACCACCGCCCACGCCCTCCCCATCACCCTCCCCACCATCCTCGAATCCCTCCTCGCCCACGAAAACCACGCCTCCCAAATCCCCATGGCCAGCACCTCCCTCTGCCCCGTCCCCAACAAACAACCCCTCCGATCCCCCACCACCCCCCGGCGTAAAAACCCTCTCCTCCTTCCTCGACGTGCCCAAAGTCTCCACCCTCCCAAACCCAGAAATCGAAACCCTCTGGCGCCTCCGCCACGCACACAATCAGCAATCGCTGCACTTCACCCTTCCCTCGGCAACCTTCACCACGCTCCTCTCAACCGCAAAACAGCACCCTTCTTTTGTCCTGCCGCTCCCCCGCACTGTCCCCGACGCGCAGACAGAAGTCTCCAAATCCCCGGCCTCCCACCAAGCTGCTGAACTCCACTACCTCCAATTCACGCACCCGCATCCCAATACCACAACATTGCTCTTCACCACGCTTGCGGAGTTTAAGCTCAGGGGCGAGTTCGCGGCGCCGCATACCACGATTACGTTCCATGCTGAGCTTGCGGAGAGTCATGGGTTGGTGCTCGGTCAGGGGGAGGTGATGGAGAACAAGGGCGTTAGTGTGGACGATGCGAGGTGGTTGGTTATGTGTATGCAGAAGTTTTATGTGGTGGGAGGCGAGGAAGGGATTAAGAGGGGAGAGCTGTTGAGGCTGTTTTCAAAGGGCGATCAGGGATTCAAGGTTGAGCAGTTGTTGGAGGAGGCGGAGAAGATTCTGTAGTACACGGGAGAGTGTGCAATACCTGTCTGCGCTACAGAAATGCTGGCGGTTGGGGATTGTATGGATTTATAGATATTGTACGATTGTATTAGTATGCTCAATAGAGCAGTAGAAGAAGATGGTGATGATGCAGTAGGAGCATGAGATGCAATTCCCTGTATAACAAGAAGAACAAAAATGTAGTAACCTACCAACGTAATTATATATAAAACTCTGTACATTGCTTTCCGTCCTATACTCCAATCCAACATTCTCTCGATCAAGTGCACCTCCATCTATATCACCGTCATTGGTAGCTTAATGTTGCCCTCATTCATTCATTCATTCATTCATCCATCTATCCATCCATATCATCCATCCATGCATCACAACCCCCTCTCTAACAAGTCCAACCACCAACAAATAAACAACACGTACTTAAACACAGCACTAACGAAACGCATTCGTATTCGCATTCAAATCGAATCCACACAAAAAAATGTCCAATCATTCCAATCAGCTTGCCAAAGAATATTGTCGAAGAATCAAGTATCCATATACACATTATTAGATTACATATGTATGTAGACTCGTTTGATCCCACAGGAGTACCCACGGAAGAATATAATGTACATGTATACATATTCCAGAGGACAAATGATGCAATGCACTGGAAACTATGCCTCGTCTTTAGCACACAAGCATACACACACCTACACACACACATTCAAAGAGAGGAAGAGAGGAAAAGGCAATATGTTAAGCCAGCAAGCAAAAGATGTAAATAAAAGTTTGATTTCTCTTCCCTTGGGTATAAAAGGATGATGAATGGGAAACAATGCATATATGATGCGGGAGTTTTAACAGCTCTCGCAGGGTCAAAGGAAAAAAAAGAAGAAGAGAAACAGCAGCAGCAGTATGCGCAGAAGAAGAAGAAGAAGAAAAGAGTAAAAAACCCCCCCTTATCCCTGAAACCGAGCCATGATATGATAAAACGCCCTGGAAGGAAGAGAGAGAGGAAGAAGAAAGCATAAGCCGTATGATCAAGGTATAAGAAGGCCGCCGCCGTTATTTTGCATGTGTGTATACGTGTTATGTGTCTCTAGAGAGAGAGAAAATGTGTGTTTGGGCCGGATCTGTTCTGCAACAGCGACGACGACGGATAATGATGACAACAGCAGCAGCGATAACAGCAGAGGAAGATGTAATCGTGATATAAGCGCTTGAGCAATATGCGAAAGAGAAGAAGGAAAAAACCGGTCGAGAGAAACGTTACTACAACGACGTATTAGTATTTGCAGGTAGCGGATGGAGGGGAAGAGATCATAGACTCACCAGCTCAATCAATCAATCATTCATTCATACAATCTCCTGCGTATGTCCTTTGCTCTTCCAGATACCACCACCGACCGCTCTCGAGATACCCACGCCGAGACCAACCGCAGCCGCTATGACCAGCGCCGCGATGAGTATCTTAGCCCAAAGCCTCTGCTTGCTATTGAGATTTCGGAACTGTTTGCAGCCGCGGGCGCGCTTGTTCATCTTCTTGTTCTCCATGATGGTTTGCCTCGACGGCCACATGGTGCACTCCTTGACCCGTCCGTCGACGCTGACTTTGGGATTTTGTGTGGTGGCGGCCGACAGCGGTAGACTGCCGGCTTCGAGGTCCCGCACGTCGACTTCGAGGTGCGTCTTGGATTGCAGGGCGGAGGAGGCTTCGAGCGACCGGCGTGCTTCGGGGTGTTTGTAGAAAGCGGAGTAGGGGTTCGTGGAATCGATGCCGGCGGCGTCGTTGGGTGTGGAGGCATTGAGGCTAGAACTTGCGGAGGGTTGTGGACGGAGGGGGATATCTGAAGTGGAATTTATGGGAGCATCCTGTACGACGGCGCCGAAGGTGATGGGCTTCTCGTCCATGTTGTTTGTTGGTGTTGCCATTGTAGTGGATGGAGTTGGCAGGGCGTGCTGGTTGGGTAGTTTGCTCGCAAACCCCGTTGAGGGAGTGTGTGTGAAGGGCCCGTGGGCGAGGAAGGAGTGTGAAGTTTGGGTGTTTGGGGTAGAGAATTGTTGAAAGCGGTGACCCCTTTCGCTTTAATGCGTCGTCGGTGGTACAAACAGAGCGACGGTGCACAGGCGAGGAAGCTGAGGCAGATGCAAGCCGCACAAGTGAACCGGACAGGATCGAAGGTTTGTTCAGGAGCAGCAAACGGAAAAGCAAGCAGAGCAAGCGAGCAATGGCCGGGGAGCGGAGGGCAATTGGCGATCAAGTAGGGCAGGACTCTGACGTCGGGGTTGGGGGTTACTCAGAGTGGTCCGCGCGTGGTGGTGATGAAAGTATTGGAAAAGGACTCAGAGGGCGAAACAAGCGCGGTCTTTGTCTCCGCCTTGGTAGTTTTGAGTGGATCGACCAGGTTATGTAGTAATGCAGGAAGCAGAAGCAGAAGAAGCAAAGCTGCTAAGACGGAGGGATGCTGGGACGCGGTGGGGAGATTTTGTGAAATGCGCAGCAGTAGCCGTTGGACCAGCAAGAGCCACCGTCGGTCAGTCAAGCTTCCCCCTGGGTAGGTCGAGCAATAACACGGGGTTGATTGGCGATCCAAAGAAGCAAAAGAGCCGGAGCCACGTTCATGCAATCAATAATGATTCAACACAATATGCACACAGAGAAGAGAAATCCCGGAGTGGAAAGCAGACTGGAGAAGAGAGAGCGAGAGAGAGAGGTGAAGGAGCAGAGCAGCAGGCGAGCAACGACGAAAGACGAAGACAGCGATTGGATTGCCGGCAAACGAGAAGCGAGCAGAGCAGAGCAGAGCAGAACAGAGCAGAGAGCAGAGATTGCGGATAGCTGGCTAGCAAGCAGCAGGATTCAAAGGGGGCAGGGGGAGCGATAGAGCAATGTATCGGGCCATAACTCTTGTATAGCTGATTGTGCTAAGGGTTAATTGGACACGGGGGATGCGAGAGGGCAGAGAGCAGAGAGCTCACGTCCCCCTTCCCGCCCGCGGTCGGGCCATGCGCCCGCTACTCCTATCGAATCCACCCGTCCGCCCGCCTGTGAATGAATCCAGGATTCATGATCAGCCCATGATCCCTGGCGCGCCCGCTAGCCTCGTCGCCCAAGAGCCTTGTTACTTGGGATGGTTCCTTTTCGACTGCTCCAACACGTCTAGTATGAACTAGTCTGCTGCCAAACACCCCAAGACCAAGGCCAAGCACACGCAACGGAGAGCCTAGTCGCGTAGCCAAAACCATACCTCGTCTTAGTCAAGCGTCAAGCGTCAAGTGAGTGGGCGATTGATTGATTGATGGACTGATTTGACTGATGCCATGGATTGATTGCTTCCAATGAATCAATGAATGACTGACTAGGTGACCGAGTGACGGAATGAATGAATGAATGAATGAATGAATGATCCATCTACTCATCCATGGCCACGGGACCTGGACAGGAGACTGCCATCGTTTGACCTGCTTCTCACAATCAATCAACCAGTGTCTTGGTTGTTGTCTCTCCATTACACGGCTGCTCATCATCAACCACACCGTGTCGCCGTCGCCGCCGCTCCTGTGCTTCCATGTATACGTAGAACGAACCATGCACGTATGCAATGTACGCGCGCACGTCCTCTTTCTCTCGCATACGCTGTACAGTGCCTACTGCACCCGTTCCCGCCTCGCTGTCACTTCAGCTGTCTGCCAAACTCATTTTTCTTCCACCTGTAACTCGACTCATTTATTGAGTGGTACAACTCTCCATCCCCTTTCCCTTTGACCCAAGTAAACAAGTTGCAGGTGAGAAGGGTGAATGGAAGGGCAGAGGAGGGGGCAAAAAACCATGTTCCAAGGAAACACACCATGGACCCCTAAATCCAACAAAACCATAGATACCAAGAGAACAAGCTCACGGAACGAACAAGAGTGGCGAAAAACACGACGAGAGACAAGAGAAAAGAAGAGTCCAAGCGCCGCCGGCCTCTCTTGTCTCCTAGAGCCTAACTCAAAAGAGAAGAGCGAAAGCAGGAGGAGAGCGAGGCGAGATTGATTGACTTCGTCTGAGATGCGCGTAATAACGCCAATGCATTGATGAGGATGTTTAAAAAAGGTTGATGGAAAACACGTGCGTTTTGAGGCGCTCTGGCAGGGGGTGAAGCGTTCGTATGCACGCAGGACTTGCATGACAGGGCGCGAAGGCCAGCCTCTCAAGGGCCAAACGAGATCAGATACGAGCGATTGTCTTGTTTTGTTTGGTTGGAGAGAGAGACTGTGCGGCTGCGCTGTTGTTGAGTCTTTTTTTGGGCCCGGTCTGGATCTGGCGGTGGTTACGGGGTGTTGGGTGTTGGGTATGGGGTAGTAGCTCTCCACATCTTTTTTTTTTGGTGTCGTTTTTTTCAATTGATTCGTTGGGGACCCGAGTTTGGTGGGATAGATAGTAGGTGGGTAGGTTGGCGATGGTATCGTTTATCCAACATCCAACATCCAATATACAATATCTGAAAATGCTGCTTGGATACTTGTCCCCCCCCCCCTTGTTTCTCACATACTTTACATGGCAACATCACTCATTCGTCAAACTTGCCGCCTTGCTCATCCTATCCCCTCTCCCCCCCATCTACATACATACCTCCTCTCCACCCCCAGTAAAATGCCCACTCCCATCTCCCTTCTCCCCTCGCCCCCAAACAAACCCACCAATTGATTCCAACCGAGGCCCATCCCATCACATCACATCAACCCACATACATACATACCTACCCACCTATACCTATCTCCAACCCCATCCCATCCCAGAATCGCAGCAAGCGCCGACAAATCCCCCCCTCGGGCGCTGTTTCCACACTACACTACACTGCATTGCATTACATTGACATGGTACACTGCACCACTAATCCTAAAGCACGCTCTCGCTCTCTCTTTTTGCGCAAGATAAAAAATAAAAGCTGCGATAAGAGGGACGCCGAGTTGCATGAACACAAGAGAGTCTAAGAAGTTGGTCTCCCGTGTCTGTGTCTGTGTCTGCTTTAAGGCGCGAGGCGCAAGGCGCGCTTGGGCTCCGGGGAGAGCTAAGAAGGATGGATGGATGGATTGCGGTCCCGCGTTTGCGAGCGCGTTTCGCGGGTCCCGGGGTTCGCGATGAGGCAGGGAGGGGAGTGGACTTGGCTTGCTTACTTGGTTGCTTGCGTGCTTTGGTTGAGGAGGATACATATGAGGGGGAGAGGGGATTTGATGTGTGTGAGAGATGTTGTTTAGTTGTATTTCGCACACAACTCAAGCAAAGAATAAACTTAAGTAACAACCAACAACCATGTTTTTGCAGATTAGCCAATCGAGAGCAGATATGTATATATGTATATGAGTGAGTATAGTTATTTCATACATGTGATTTTCTATTCAACGCACACACACACACGCATAGCTACTACCATTAATGAAAAGTATTTTTGATCAAGAAGATGTCTGGAAGAAGTCCTCCCTCCGAATCCCACTCCTATCGCACATGCTCCGAAAAATACCACCGGCCTCGTACAAGCGAAGCGGGCTATCCAACTCCGCAATGCGCCCGGCATCCATGACACAGATGCGATCGTACCCAATAATCGTCTTGAGCCGGTGCGCAATGCACAGCAGCGTCTTGCCCTTGAACCCTTCGAGGATCGTCTTCTGGATCTTCTGGTCGGTTTCAAAGTCGACTGATGAAGTCGCCTCGTCGCAGACAATGATTTGGGAGCCGCGGACAAGCGCGCGCGCGAGGGCCATGAGTTGGCGCTGGCCCAGAGAGAAGTTGAGCCCTTCTTCCTCCACGACCGAGTCGAGGTGGATGCGGCCCGATTTGGCGTCGTCGAGGCTCGCTTCGCTCGACACGAGGTCCGCTTGTCGCAGCGCCGACCACAGTTCTAGATCGCTGTGCTCGCTGAACGGGTCTAGGTTGGAGCGGATCGTGCCTTTGAAGAGGGTGGGGTCTTGGGGGATGATGGCCAGTTTGGACCGGAGGTCGTGCAGCCCGATGGTGCTGATGTCCACGCCGTCAATGGCAATGGAGCCGCCTGACAGCTCAATGAGTCGGAACAGCGTGCTCATGATGCTGGATTTGCCTGCTCCTGTGCGGCCTACCACTCCGATGCGCTCGCCTGCTGCGACGTGCATGGTGAGACCCTTGAGGACCAGAGGGAGCCCGTCACGGTATCGCATCTCGACATTGTTGAAGGTGATTTCGCCGTGTTCCGGCCATGTCTTACGCACCTCGCCCATGTGGATTGGCGCTTCCTCTTCCAACATGGTGCCGTAGTGGTGGATACGCTCTGTCGCGTTCATATTGTTCTCCACCTCGGCGAGCTGTCTCACCGTGAATTGGATCATCTGCACAATGGTAAGAATGTAGGACAGCACTAGACCAGCGATGCTAGGGTCGACTGAGAAGCGCGACGTCACCACCAGAATACCAGTCGTGAAGACAAGCAGGATACCAATCACGTCTAGTCGCACGCTGAGCCAGCGCTGGTTGGCAAAGGTCAAGTAGTACGCGCTGTTCATGTCGTCGATGGAATCGCGCACCGATTTGGAAAACTGCTGCTGTAGCCCGTACGCCCGAATGGTCGGTGTGCCCTGGACGGCTTCGCTGAACCTCGCGAATACGCTACTGCGTAGCACCGACTCATGTCTCTTGACTTCGCGAGCGGACGCTCGGTAGTACGCAGCTGAAAACATGAAGACGAGGAACAGCGGCCCGAGCGCTATCGCATAGTAGTAATAGTACGAAATGATCAGGATGAAGACGGAGATGATCATGGCCAGCGTCATAAAGTACATGCGAATCGCATCGGTGAGGGTGTTGTCCATGACATCAATATCCTTTGAGAAACGGTTTGTGATCCGGCCAAGCGGTGTGGTGTCGAAAAAGGACATGGGAGCGCGGAGCACACGGTAGATGGCACGATGAAGCATGACTTTGCCGGCTTCTGTGCCAAATACCGATACAGCAATGGAGAACATGAACATCATGAGCGCCTGCGAGAAGCCTAGACAAGCGTAGACAGCGATCTGGGTAAATTGTTAGCACGGATTCCCTAGCATGTAGTCATGACTCGATGAAAAACGTGGGTACTCACGTATACGCCCTCACTGTACCCAAATTTGTCCGATGTCCACCACGACAGCCACAGACTGGTACTGATATTGGCACCCTGCGAGAGGATCAAGAGAAGAAGCACAAACGGCCCAATCCACAATCCACCTCCAGCTTTGAGGTACGCGATCCAGACATCCCATTCCACACTCTTCACCGCGCGGTCTTCCTCCTGCATCAGAGCGGCCGCAGGCTTCTTCTTTTTCTTCTTTGTCTTCTGCGCTGATTTCTTCTCGGTCTCACGCTCATCCTCGTCGACGCCATCTTCCTCTTTCTTGTCTTCCTCGGATGCAGTCATAGTCATGAGCTGCTGGAAATCTGCATTGTGCGCCATCAGGTTGTCGAATGTGTCAATGGCCTTTACCTCACCATCGTCTACCAAGATGATCCTATCGCAACGATTTAGAACATGGAGTTGATGCGTAGCCAAGATGCGGCACTTGTCTTTTAGGAGGCCGCAAATAGCGTTGTCCATGATATGACGGCCGACGTGAGCGTCGACGGCGGAAAGCGGGTCGTCCATAAGCACAATATCGGCGTCGAAATAGATAGCACGGGCGATGTTCATGCGCTGCTTCTGCCCACCAGATACCGTGATACCGCGCTCGCCAATCTCAGTGCCGTCGCCGTTGGGCAACATTTCAAGGTCCGGCCGCAGCGCGCAGGCCTCTACGACTTGGCTGTACCACTCCGGTCTAAACTCCTTGCCGAAGACAATGTTCTCTCGTACTGTTGCATTTTGAATCCAAGCGTACTGCGGACAGAATGCTCGAGAGGCACCAATCGTGACGTCTCCCTGTGTCTTCCTCATATCGCCTGCGAGCGCCGCCAAAAACGAACTCTTTCCAGATCCCACACTCCCGATGACAGCGACCAGCTCTTTGCGGCCTATCGAGATATCCAGTCCCTTCATTTTAAATGGCTCTTCCTCCTCCCCCCCTTTCATCTCAGGTACAGTGGAGTTCACGCTCGCACGCTTATCCTCCTTCTCCTTCTTCTTCTGCTCTTTCTTGTCTTTGCGAGTTGGTTTCTTTGCACGGGGACCACCGCCGGGGCCTTTCTTTGGAGCGTCATCTTCGTCCCTCGTGGGATGTCGTTCCCATGTGAAATCTGCATTCTTCATCGTGACGGCGTCCTTGGCGTTGTAGTCCCATTCCGCGGTCTCTTGAGCCTCCTCGGCCAGCAAGAACTCCTGGATGCGCTTCACCGATGCATTCGCATCAATGACCTGGCCAATGACCAATGGGAGGAAGTTGAGCGGTATACGCAGCGAGTTGAAAAGCGCAAGCGAGGAGAAGATGGGCGCTGGGTTAAGACCGTGGTCGGTCAAAGAATACGTGATGAAGGACAACATGGAGGCGAAGACGGGCATCGACATGCCAACGGACATGATGCCGTTTCGAATGGCGAGTAACACCTGAACGCCCTTGATCTCGCGCTTTCGAATATCGTTGACGCGTTCCAGAAAACTGTTCTCCCAGCCGAAATACTTGACGAAGCGAACGGCTTGGATGATTTCCTGAGTTAGACTTACACGTTGATCCGTGATCTTGTTGATGGCCATTCGTCGGCGGAAAAGCGATCGCACTGCGCGACCTAGTAGGGGCATCGTCAGGATGAGGAGACCGAGACCGGGGAGAGCGCTGTATGTCAGATTTACCAGAAGCAGCGCTGTGGTAACGAGGATGGCGATTGGTGAGGTCCATATCATGTGGAAAAATCCAGAAGCTTGATCGACTCGGTAGGTATCGACAGACATCAAGTTGATGATCCTTCCGTTACCCCAACCTTGACCATCTCCGGATACATCGCCCTGCGTCTTAGGCGCCTGTGCCTCTTTCTGTTTCTTCTTGAGTATCTTTTTGTACCATTTCTTTTCCGCCTCGCTGCCTGGCTGAATATCCGGGGGAGGGGCTTCCAAGACGGCTTGTCCGCCCGCTTTCGCTCGGCCTGAGAGTTTCATAGCTTTGTCGAAAATGATGGAGATCAGAACCGCTCTCGCCTGTCCACCCACCATCATACCGCGATACATGAAATGATTCGTCATGAGACTTTGCGTGAACTGCATGGCCGTAATCCCAATGACTATGCCAATTCCCTCGCCGATAGGTGGTCCCGGTTGTCCAGTGCGTTGCGCAAGCCACGCCCTTAATGCGAAGTCGATGAGGTAGCGGAGAACGTAGGGGGCGACGGACTGGATTATGCTGGCAATAAGCTGGAAGAGACCGCCGAGGAGAAATTCGACCTTGAACGTGTCGTAAAGTGCACCCAGGAGCGGGCGGGGATATCCCGCATCTCTCCGCCTCTTGAATGATGCTTGTAACCGTTCGACCATGGCATCGCAGCTTCTGTCTGGATTGACGGTCCATAAATCGTTATGTTCGAGTGGTCGCTTGTATCCAACCTGCATGAACCGCAAATGTCAGCTCCGTATATCCAAGGCAAACTCGATGACACAATGGAATTGGAAAAGTATTTACGTACCACCATCAAAGGTGCCATCCATTGAAAGGTGAGCCGACTCATAAACCCAGCTCTGTACTCAGCCGACACCCCCCTCGTTTCTGGAACGGGTGGTTTAGCGCCCCATTTGAGCGGATTCGCTCTCTTGTACCATTTCTTCCGGATGACCGCGGTACTCTTGGAGCTAGAAAGCTCGTCGCTGAACTCTGTAACCCCGCTCGTGGTGCTCTGCAATCTTGAAAGATGACCTCTTGAGTTGATAGTCTGCAACTTATCATTGCCGGTGATTCTGTCCGCGTGTGCTTGCTGGAGGTCCTCTTCCACTTTAGCGGTCTCCGCGGGCTCGCTCACAATAGGCTCGTACTCTTTTGGCTCTTGGGCCGCCACCTCTTGATCCTGCAACCGCCAGTCCTCATTCTTTTCTGAGATAGATGAATCTGTTGACATGGCGCTTTTCGACATGACGAGCTGATTTGGTAGGTGCGCTTAAGGAGTTGGGTCCCGCGGGTAGGGGAAAAGAACAGGTTTGCTCCAATTGTGGTTGATTGCCGTCCTGCCGTGGAAACTGGACTACAGGTCTTGCGAGATAGCTCTATGTATTATAATGAATAAGAGTAATGCCGGTGGTAGTGGTAGTCAGTCGAACAGAATCGCCATGGAAAATGATGGCGAACTTTTTTTTTGTTTCGTCAGCAAAGACCAACGGGCGAAAAAGGAAAAGAAGAGTTTGGACGCAGAGCGAACACGCGCAAGCGGGAGGGGAGGTCGGAAGGAATATATAGCGGCAGGGCGGTGGCTCGGAAGTTAAAAGCAAAAGGAAGAGTGACAGGCAGCACAGCGAGTATGTAAGAAAGTCGGGCGAGTGATCCAAAGTCGTGAGGTCACTAGGCCAACGAGCGAATGGCCTCGGTCGGCCGCAACGGAGATAATATACGAGGGAGACAAACCGAGATGGAGAAAAGAAGAAAGCGAAAATCGATAGACGACGGTACACGTCGGCATGCCAATCACGTTGCGGAGTTGCGAGCCGGGATGTGTATCATCAACCATGCACGCCCCACCAATTCCCGTGAATGAATGAATGAATGACTGAATGACTGACTGACTCTTTTGCGTCTCAATTCTTTGTTCGCATTGTATTCGGCCGGGCCTTGATCTTGTCCGAGCCTCCGGCAGTTGGCCTCATCAATCCATTCAACGTTAACCGCGTAGAGTTTAGCACCCATGACACTTTGATCGTATTATTCATCATCCATCGGAAGGAGGAGAACAGGCGGTGATGGAATGGATGGCCATGGATGACGCCTGGTGCTGAATCCACTAACCGTGGGAGCCTGTGGGCTGCCACTCGGTACCTTTTTCGGGGCTCCCTCACGACTCTCTGCTCCTTGGATGTGTGGTGTTGAATGCCTGAGACGGGTTGACAGCTGCTGTTGAACCCAAATGCGAGGGATCGCGTGCGAACTCGCGACGAACACATGTGAAGTGTGTGACTGACATGTTCCTCTACCACGGATCGATTCCGTCGCTACGGCCAATACCCACAATTACCCAGTCAAGCTTTTGGGTACCCACCAATCGTGGCGCACCCGATGTAATCACCATTGCATGCTTCCGTATAACCTCTATCCGCTCCTGTGTCGTGCACGGTAGGGATTCGGGATTCCATGCAGCTGCATGTCGCTCTCTCTCTCTCTCTCTCTTTTTACTTCATCCGTAAAGTTTGGCTCGGCAGTGTCCGGCTCCGAGGAGTGAGGAATGAGTACCATGCCAGTGAACAAGTACAATTCCTTCATCATCACCTCACCGAATCTCAACAAGTTGCTCGACAGAAGTGGTGGACAAAAAAACACATACCGTCTCTTTCTCCTTCACCACCCAGAATGCTCCACAAATGCACAGTCAGCTTTGTCGCTTTTCCCTCTTGTAGTCCTCTCATGCTTCAACCTCCCCATCGTCTGGATCCCGTGCTGACCAACACCGCTCATCTCACTAGCCCACGCGTCCCTTCCCGCACAACAAGATCCAGAGGGACATCGGGACTCGGCGTCGGCGTCAGCATTCGTATACATGCCCAAAAATCACCCTGTAGATTCCAGCCGAGGTCCGTAGTCTTGTCCAAAACATCGCCCAAGAAGTCCCAAACATCCAGATACAGGTACAAATCAGGTAACGGTAATGGAAGAGTCTGCAAGTCAATCCTCGTTTCCATACTCGTGGTGTTGAATCATGGCTGTAGGGTAGTATATGGCACCAGGTAGGTGAAAATATTGAATGTTTGAATCAATTGATGTTTGGGGGTGCGGCACGTGACGCCATGTTGGTCAGGCTGATCGCACTTGCTTCATTAAGCTTCAGTACGGGGCAGCACATGTACGAAACCATCAAAGAAGAGACGAGGGTTTCTTTCACAGCTCGAGTTTCTAATGCACTTGATATATACTCGCATCCGAAAATAGCTCGCTGCTTAGAAACCGTTATCACAGTACCGGTACATCCGCCTAAATGATCAAGGAAAACATGCAATTTGCCTAGCATCTTGCGTTATTCGCATACACAAGTTTTGTACAATAAGTGCATTGAAGGACAAAGCACCGGATTCCTCTCCCATCACCCATAATACCGTAACTTACAGTGTATATGTTTACAAAATAATACAATATGCGAGGCAACCACTTCGCAATAATACAAATTAATCTCAAATCCATATGGTACAGAGCGCCGTCCCTCTACCGCATGTCGCCTGCGTACATTCATTCGTAGCTAAACAGCGGAGGGAACAAAGTGCCTTTGCTTTTGCTACCGAGAGAGACCAAAGGTGTACCATAGTGCAGATCAGCACCTGGCTTGCAATACCAGTAGGTCCGACGCGACTTATCAACGCCCAGCTGATCGAGAAGCATCTTGGCTTTTGTGGGCATATATGGCATCAGCAAGATGCCCACCATGCGGAGAGCTTCCGCGGCAAGATATACAATACGATCCACCTCGTCCCCGGGTTCTTTCGGGCCGAATGGGATTATCTTATCCCACGGTTCGGACATTTGGAAGAATTGGTTTGACTGTCATAGTGTCAGATCCACATCTAAACTTATTGGGGCCATATCCGTCACTCACCCTACGCGCGAATTCTGCAATCTCCTCCAAGGCTTTTTTGGGGTCATTTGCATCGAGCGCTTGAGCAACCTTCGACGGTGCTTTTGACAAAGTGTTCATATAGAAACGTTGACCTGGAGCTCCTGGCAATGGTCGATCGTCTTCATCTTGTTCAACCTCCTGGATACCTGCAAGCGGAATGGGATGTCCAGATTCAGTGCTTCGTATGAACGAATCCATCTGCTTGGCCCGTTTGAGCTCAGCTTGTTCCGCTTGTTCACTTTCGATGCATGCGGCTTCCCATTCTTCGAATCCCAAAGTCCCGGCTCGCAGTACTGCTCCCCGGACGCTCCAGGATTTTCCTCTCATAACACGGGAGGCCAGGTTTCCTATGACGTTGCTAAGGACCTTGTGGTACATGCCGATGATGCGATTGCTATCGTAGTCAGAGTCATTTCGTATACCACCATCGTGAGCCAAATAGTATCGCATTACATCAGGCCCGAACCGGTCAAGTGCGAGGAAGGGATCAACCACCCGTCCGGTAGACTTTGACATCTTGTAGCCGCCAATTGTCCAGTGTGCGTGGGTGAGGATCTTCTTAGGAAGGGGGAGGCCGAGTGCCATGAGAAAAGCTGGCCAGTAGATACAATGGAACCGAACGATATCCTTGCCAATAACATGGCAATCGGCAGGCCAGCCGCCAGCGTAATCTTGGCCAGGTGTCCATGGATATCCCGCTTTTGTCGCATAGTTCATCAGCGCATCCAGCCAAACGTAGATTGTCTGCGACGAATCTCCTGGCACACGAATTCCCCACTTTAGTCGATCTGACGGACGCGATATAGACAAGTCCTCGAGGCCGGACTCCACGGCTTGAACAACCTCCTTCATACGATGCTCTGGTGTGATCCAGTCTGGATGGGCCCGGTAAAAGTCCAATAGGCGGCTGCGGAAGGACGAAAGGCGGAAATGATAATTGGTCTCGGACGACCATTCTACTTCACTTTCTGTCTCAATTGACACCTTTGATATGTCAGTATACTGTTCCTTATGCACAGACAGTGTTGCTCACCATCATCTTGCGACCAGTGGGCGGATCGATAAAGGGCTTTACTCCTGATTGGGGGTAGAATGCTTCATCGGTGACAGAGTACCAGCCCTCATGCTTCTCGGTATATATGTAGCCCTTCTCTTTCAGCAACAACTGCCTGACAGTCAGCCGCTGCTGGTGCAATTGCGTGCTATTATCTCATACCCACGCGTACTCGACGGCGTCCTTGTGTTCTCTATCTGTTGTGCGTACGAAATGATCGTTGGTGAGAAGAGCGTTTTGCGCAAGCTTCTTGAAAATGGCAGCGCCGTCGTCACAAAAGAGCTTCGGTTCGATGTCAGCTTTTGCGGAGGCTCGTTGGACCTGAAACAATGTCAGCTTCGCAAAAACATTCCGGCACATCACTTGTGACCTTTAACCCATGCTCATCCGTGCCAGTACATAGCAATGCTTGTTGTCCCTTCAGTACTCTCCATCGCTTGATGATGTCCGCGAGGACCATGGTATAGAGGTGGCCAACATGGGGAGCTTTTCATCGTGTCAGCTGATTCTGAGCTATTGATTCTCGATTGTTTATGTCTAACCAGCATTGACGTAGAATATCGGCGTGGTGATGTAGTATGGTTTCTGAGCCGCTGAAACTTTTTCGGTGGAAAGATGTCGAGTGCTACTCGGGCTAAAAACCCAGGGAGACGTCCGAGGCAGAGCCCAATGAAGGCGCTGCGCAGCCGGAGCTGCCAAATTGTGGATGCGTAAAGGCATTCTTCCGGCTCGACTCGACTTCAAAGCTCCTATGCCGTTGCGGAGAGCTTGCCTTCCCCGAACTTTTCGCACGGACCATCTTCGATATGCTTACTAAACACGTCCCTCGATTCACTTCCGACTTCATCTCTTGGCAAGTACTGCACCACTATGTTCATCTGTTGCGCAACAACGCCTCCGTTCAATATGAACTCAAACATGGTAGGGCATTGGCTATTTCGAACAGGCGGAATGGCTTGCGGCAACGACTTCGAGGCCTATGCCGCTGGCTAATACCAGAAGGTGTTTACGTCCTTGGACTCCCCAAAGCATTCATCATCCTTTGGCGCCACTGACCCTCAACACTTACCCTTCTTCGTAGGATAATAACCTTACGACCTTCATGGAAGAATCTAGAATGCCTCTATTACCAGGCGGATGATCTTCAGCCGTTGTATGGGTATCATGAGGCGCCCGACTAGTCTGACTTTCCAACGTCCTATTCAGAACCAAAAACGGCAATTCCCCCATCACTTGTCGCCTTCACACCCTTATCCACATTACCGTCCACCCCGATGAAACTTCAAAGCCATGCCAACACTCTTTGTGCCGCGGGTACCTCACAGCCCTGCGCCTTTATCGAGAATTCTGGAGTGTTGCTAGCTCTTTGGCATTGGCCCGATGCTCTCTCCTCCGAGTGGCCAATGTCTTAGGTCAAATGCCGTCTATTGAGTCTATTATTGGAGAAGTCGAGCCCCTTCAATGGCTTAATCCTATTGAGTCTATTGACGACTATTTGTCGAATCGTTCCTTTATTCTCTCTATTGACACTTCTTCCGCCAGTTTATGTCATTCATGTCTCGGTTTTCCACAGTCCTCCATCAAACATATAAACTCTGTCCGGGTCCTCTTCAAAGTCTCTTTCCCTGACATCGACAACCGTATCCTATCATTCAATCCCCAAGTCGACAGTTTCCAACTACTATCTTACCACTCTTTGAGACCTTACCTTCAATACATCCAACATGAAGTTCACCTCCGCCATCGCTGTCGCTATCCTTAGCGCCACTTCCCTTGCCGCCGCCGTTCCCGAACCCGAGGCCCGCTTCCACGGTGGCCAGCGTAAGTTCGTTGGCCAGCCCGTCAAGCGTGAGGCTGAACCAGGTGCGTTCCCGGATGCTCGTTTCCACGGCCGCCAGCGCAAGTTCGTTGGTCAACCTGTGAAGCGTGAGGCCGATGCTGAACCTGAGGCTCGCTTCCACGGCCGCCAGCGCAAGTTCGTCGGTCAGCCTGTCAAGCGTGAAGCTGAGGCTGAGGCCGAGGCTGACCCTGAGGCCCGTTTCCATGGTCGCCAGCGCAAATTCGTCGGTCAACCCGTCAAGCGCGAAGCTGAGCCTGAAGCCGAAGCCGAAGCCGATCCTGAGGCTCGCTTTCACGGTCGCCAGCGCAAGTTCGTCGGTCAACCCGTCAAGCGCGAAGCTGAAGCCGACGCAGAGGCTGACCCTGAGGCTCGTTTCCACGGTCGCCAGCGCAAGTTCGTCGGCCAGCCTGTCAAGCGTGAGGCTGAGGCCGACGCAGAGGCTGACCCTGAGGCTCGTTTCCATGGTCGCCAGCGCAAGTTCGTTGGCCAACCCGTCTAAACGTCTCGCTTCCTGCGGAATACAGTCACGCATGACCCTTGTCTGGATATTTCATCAATTCAAGCTTGTTGTATATCCTGCTAAGCTATGATACAGAAGCCGCCATCTACAAGCGCGATCCCAAGGCCGAGGCCGAGGCCTTCGCAAAGGCCTGGTGCCGCTTCGTCGGCCAGCCCTGCTAAATGACTCTCCGAGGATCCATCATAGTCACGCAGGTGACTTCAACGTGGTTGAGACAGTATTACCTGATCTTTCCGTCCATTCGCTTCTCTGAACATACTTCTTTATCCCACGCATCGAAACCTGTTCAGTATGCCGTTGACGCTATTTGACAACACCTTTGATTACTGGATGTTTCTCTCGGATTGCAGTGGGCTCCTTTTTTATTCTCTGAAAAAATCATATTTCCGACAATGTATATTAGACCTTAGCTCGATCACATCTACCCGGCAGCCGGGAGTTGCATTTTTGAGCCGGCCAGTTCCTTCACCTGCACCGGATGCATTGACATACCGCAGAAGGTCTTCTCGTTGTATATCGGAGCAAACGAACACAGCTTTGGATACTCAGTTGGAGGTTATCATACCGGCCTTTTAATCAAAATAATCCATGTATATTAAATATACATACTTTGCTACGACCGGTATAATTCTTTGTGACCTACCTACTTGCTATGTTCCCTTTTCTCATGCGACACCTTCCGATGCCCCAATACGTGCGTATATTGGCTTACACTGTCTTTTACGGTTTGGTCAAATATGAACACACATGTTACTGTCCTGGTCTTGAGGAACAAATCCCAAATTTATTTGCTTATATGCATATAACTTAACCCCTATCACAAGATAATCTTGAATACGTACATAGACACTACTGAGTCGCTCGCAATGGGAATCGTGTTATGTACTCACCCATGTCTCTACTATATCTTTCCTTGAGCAGACAGTGCTGTAGGTAAGATACTACTTTTTTAGGGTAAGAGAAAGACGCTATGAGAGTACCTGCACGCGTATGCGTACATAGGTGTACGTAAGTTAATAGATGTATGCATTCATAGACACAAATTGTTATATAGACGTATGCTGCATGTATATAAGTTTGTGTAGGTTCGTAGGCGAGTATATTGGAGGGAAAGGAGCATCCATGACATGTAGGAAGGAGTCTTTCAGCTAATTAGGAAAGACTTTTTACTAACTAGAGAAGCTGCTGCGGATTCAATGTGATTATGAGGAAACGACTGATAAACGTAGTATTTGTTATCGACTTGTCGCTGCAAATATTGATTGTTTAAGGTAGGCCCACTCACGATCAAGATGTTTTCAATCGAGCAGTACCCGAGTTGAATACTCCATCTTAGCACATACTTTGAATATAAAAGACCCCTCCCTTTCACTACTACCACTATATCCAGAGCACAATTCAACCCTCCATCACCAACTCCACCCAACTCAACTACCTCGACTCTTATCTACCTTCTCGCCTCACCAAACCATCACCAAACCCCCACTAAAGCGAAAATGACCCGGTTCACAAACATCCTCGGTCAAAAAGCCAAGCCAGAATGTCGCCGCCTGGACAATAAAACGGCATCGCCCGCCGACGGCGAAGAATCGCCTCACCGCTCCCCGCAATCAAACACCTTGGAAGCGAAAGACTGGCCAGCAGAAAGGGCACACGAGCACCACATCAAAGTCATCACAGAAGCGACCTGGCGATGCTGCGATGAGTGCATGAGATCCATTCCTTCATCCTCTCCTCCTTCTCCTGTCCCTCCTACCCGTGAAGCAGGAGCGGGAGCAGGAGCGGAAGCGGAGAAGCCAGAAGAAGAGACGATAGAGTCACTCGACAAAAAGGTCCAGGAGTTGGAGATGAGGTTCCGTGACCTGGGTGATAAGATCAGCGATTTGGGGGCTAATGTTCAGAGGTTGGATGATGCCGTTAAGAGATTTGAGCGGACAATGAAAAACGCGGTGAAGGATTTGAAGAAAAAGGATCCGGAAAAGGTGGAGGAACATGGCCATATGACAAGGGAAGAGTGGCTGGAGAAGAGGGTGGGCTTGGGATTGCGCGGGTGAAGGGGATGAAGGCGTGATGATGAGGGTTTGTTCGAGGGCACTGTTTTCTCTTCTCTTCTACTGTTGTTTTCGTCTTTCATGCCTGGTTCTAAAAGCTTTTCTTCCATCTTCAATGGGAGGAGTTTGTTTTTTTACTACTTGGATGATTAGCTGTCATGTTCTTTTTTCTAGCTACATGTATGGTTACTCACTCGTGTATTCACTAAGCCTATAGATGAACAGATAGGGAAAAGAAGTATGCATAACAATATCATAGCTATCAAACCTAAGAAGCTACACAAAAGAGCGGATAGTGCATCAAAGCATATAACAAAACATCAACATGCCTAAATCTTTAGCCACAATAACGTATCATGCAACGCTACATCGAAAAATCGCTATGTCATCAGAAAAGCAATGACGTAGGCACACCCAGACAAACTGTACCAAATAGGAGCCCTCTTTCTCTATGCAGTGGAATGTTGTGGTGCATTCCAACTCCAAAATCCAGCCAACAATATCCATAGATCAAACACAATTGCATACACCTCGTCCAGACACTAAGCGTTCTCAATATGCAGTGTATCAATCAGAAATTGCTGCCCAACATCTCGCACTTCCAGTCAAATACTACCCAACTCATCCATCTACCCAACGAAAAAAAACTCTTAAATTGTCGCTATCGCTAGCCCTCAGTATACATATATAACACTGCTACACCACCACTACAAACATGATCATTGTTCATTTGTGTAACTTTAACATTACCACGATCGTCATCGTCATCATCGCCATTGTGTACAAGGCTAAATGGATGCCCCCACCCATCGGTCCATTGCACAACAGCGCTCCTAAAGCTAAGAGCTGTCTTGTACCGTACTTTTCTTTAGTGCTAAGACGCCATGTAACGAGAAGTAACATGCCACATAAACCAAGGATTTTATAGTAGTACGTACACATTCTGTGTAAAGCAAAGGACGAGTGAGGTTACAAGTTCTGTACCTCGCCGCTGTCAGATGGGCGGCTATCCGAGCTAAGCTGTGCTTTTTGTGTGGTTTTAGCTTTGTGCGATAGAAGGAATTGGAATAAAGTAGAGAAGCTGTTGTGTTACAATTCTTTTGTCTTACGCTAGAATTGTACGGGGGGGTAAGTGTGTTGTGTGAGTTTTTCTGAACAAAGGATTCTGCGAACATGTAAAATAATTTATTGATTTGTTTCTTGTTCAATACGTTTTTATTTTTTATTTTCCCGTTTCTTTTGAATATGACTTGGTTTTCAGGTAAACTTGGATATTGCTCCCCCTACACTCGCTCGTCCTCTCTCCGTCAACCATCCATCCACCACAGAATTCCAAATCCCCAAACAACACCACATTCATGCAAACAACAACCAGCTACTAAAAACTTACCATCTCATCTCCCCCCTATTTTCTCCGTTCGACCCCTAACACCGAATAAATAAATAAACCCATCAACTTACATGCTTACTCCAAAAGCAACTACTTCCATCATCACGTACGCTTGATTGATTGAATCTCCATCTTAATTTACCGACACTGCGTCTCTCATCACACATACACACGCATACACAGCATGTCCTGCCTGAATCCTCAGCATTGGGGATATATTTGTCGCCATCACAGTATGTAGTGTGATGAGATGTGAGTGTGTAAGTGTGTGAGTGGCGTTTCTTATGCTAATGCTATAGGATCGGGATCGGGACAGGGGACAGGGGAGAAGGAGGGGGGAAACGAGTCAGTCATGTTTTAGTGCAGAAGAGGAAGAAGCAAGAAAAGAAAAGGAGGTAAATTTGCGGCGAATTTTTTTTTTTTTGGTTTGTTTGTTTGGGTTGAGTGAGGTGATTGGTTTGGGGGCTCGATGTTGGTTTATTCGTTTTGTGTTTGAGCGGACGGGGGGGAGGGGTTTGTTTTGTTTTGGCTTGCGCTGAGTTGGTGACTGATATAGATGAGAGAAGGAAGGCTGGTTATGAAGAGAGGTAAGTGTGTTTGTTTGTTTGAAGGAAGAAGAGGTAGGAATCAAGTCTCGAACGCAAAGTTAAGAGGACAATCCACACCGTGTTTATGGGATACGAGTATACGCGTGTACTTTGTTTATTTTTTTGCAATCATTCTCATCTAGCTAGCTAGAGTTGTTCTTCGTACTGTGTTCTCATATTTTGGAGTACCTGTTCAATAAAATTCAATTTTCCCATTTCCTCCCAACAGCTTCTTTACCCTTTTCGTCCTCCAACGACGTCGCAGCACACCTCTCCAAGCAAGGAAAGGAAAGGAGAAGAAAAGAAACTGGAAAAATGATCAAGACAAGAAAATAGTCGTTACCCGTATCCAACCCTATACTGCCTTTACCCAGTGGTGTATATCTCTTCCCATTGACGACCTTGCGGTCGCTCGAATCCAAGTCTTTGATGGTATTGATAATAAAACGTATATATGCTCGTGATGTAACGGTAGTAGAGTGAGAGGAGAGAGAATCGAACAACAGGAACACGGACGAACGGAAAAGCAATACGAGAGTGGGAAAATCGCTAGAGGGTATAAAGGAAACAAGAAAAAAAAGGTCATAACAGGGTATCCCGAGGGATGTTGATGTCGTAAATAAGCGAACTCGGGCCGGGTATTGATGGAAAAAAACATAAACGATGGGAATTAGACGAGATTGGACAGCGAGGAGACGAAGAAGAAAAACATGATGTGCAAGACGCTCGCTCGCTCGCTCGTAGGAAAAACCAAGTAACAAGAATGCGGAACGGCGGACAACGAGATGAAAGAGCAACAAAGATGGACAAAACCATGTAGGAAGGAATTTGGAAATCTCGTAGAAGCATTCTGGATCGCTCAACAGTCCTTACTGTTTGGTTCCGTTGATATTAACCTCGTACCCATCGTTCTTGGCCCGCAACGCTTTGGCAAGCATGAGCTCGCGCATCCAGTCAATGCGCTCGTCGCGCGATTTAACCGCAAAGTGGTGCACTTTGCCGCTGGGAAGAACCTTCTTGATGTCACCCTTACCAGGGGCTGTGGGCACGAGCTGGAACTCAAAGGCCATGGGCACACCGTTCTTCTCCTTCTGACCCGAGGACAGCTTGAGAGCACGAAGCTTGGCGGAGAGCTTGTTGGATGCTAGGGAGGAGCATGCGACGGCATAGTCGTCGACGTCGATGGTGGATAGCGCCGAAGAGGATGGAAGTTCGTTCGGGTGCATGGCTAGCGTTGTGCCTTGGAGACGGAAATGCTGGTCCTGCCATTCGTGACGTAGAAGCTTTGTGCGGCGCTTCTTCATCCATCCGTGGTGGTTGACACTGTTGTACACGAATCCTCCCTTGGGTGCTACCTTGTGCTGCGTGATAGTGGTAGACCGGATGGGGTCGTCCGAGAGAGGGCTGTCGTCTCCAGAGAATTGCGTCTCGTGTAGAGTGTCGTCGTCACCATCCGACGGGCCGGTTGGGCTGAAGACCTGGTCTTCGTTGAGCACGGGGAGAGGTAGCGATGGGCGGCGCCAATCCACGCGCGATCCAGATCGCTGTACCGGGTCGCGGTATTGCATGTTTGGTGGAACCGATTGGCTTGTGTCGCGTGAGACAGGCCCGGATGGGACTGCTGTAACTGGAGCGTCCATTTCCGAGAACGGTGTACCGAATCGGTAGACGCCGCCAGGGCTTGCTGTGCGACAGGGCGAAAAAGCGGTGTCTGGGGCTACCTGAGGGCTGGCGGTCGCACTGCGTGGGTTGGTGTGGAGAGGGGCAGCCGACATGGAGCGTGGTGGGGGGATGCTCAGTTTTGGTAGAGACTTGAGGTTGGGCAGAGGAGCTGGTGTGAACTCTGCGGGGTGAAGCATGGGTCGCGAGAAGTTGGCCGACTCGAATGTTGTCGAAGTGTGGGCAGATGATGTAGATGCGGAGAAGGCCGATGGGTGCTGATAGTATGGCTCATACGGTTGCATGACAGATGGCCGAGAGGGAAACATCTCCACTGGAGGGGTCGGAGGAGCTTCGATCGGGGTAGCTGTCGAGTAAGGCTGCTCGACGCCCTGAAGACTAAGGAATTGACGCACATTATCTTGGGGATCGCGCAAGTCCAGCTTTTGCAGTGCATCCTCTTGGAGAGTGAAGTCTGGGAGTTGTCCTGGACCTAGCAAATCGGACGATGCCACTACCGATGGGATGGCATCTGACGTAGGGCGATGAACGTTCTCTACGGCTCGGTTGGCTACTTGTGCATTTCCTGGATCTCCGGCGATGAATATCTGACCTCCCTTCTCAGGCGATATAGGGAAGCCAAGCTGGAGACCATGCTCCTCTTGGAGTCGTGTGAGCTGTCGTTGCTGCTTTCGCCATTTCGCGCATCGTTCTCCCTTTGCACACTTATGTGGCTTTGGAAGAAGTTGCTCAATGGCTACAATAGATATAGACTCGGCAGGGGTAATGATGTCGTCTGCTGGGTTCCGGTTACGGCGGCCCCTTCGTTTTCGGCCGCCTCCTGGCGTGATGGGTGTCTTTGCATCATCGACTTCACAGTCAGCACCCCTCGATTTGTCACGGTGACGGCGTTCCCTGTTTTTGCTCTTGGATCGCTGTCTTGCCTCGGTGCAGGGCCGGTCGATATCCGCGAATGGAGTTGGGGCTGGTGCAACTGGGGAGATGAGACCATCTGCAGTGCGAAGAGAATCGATTTGGTTCCACAGCTGATGTCGCTTCCCAAACGATACGATTTCCAGTTCCTTCAGGTCGTCGAATTGCAGGTCCAACAATACGGCACCGGTGATGTCGTGAGCTTGAAAGCGCTCAATGACATCGCTCTCGAAGCCGTTCTGACGCATCCAGATGGCGACCTGAGACGATGTCCAAGCACGAACTTCTGCATTATCGAGGTGGGCGACAGCAGAAGCGATATTGTTGTATTCGTGGCGGGGAACAATGGTCTCTGGAGTGTCTTCCCGGAAAGAAGTCTGGAGGCGGAATGGAGGCTCCTTGGGGAACAGCGGGGACATCTGCAGGGCAGTATCGAACTGGAAGTCGTTTGAGGACTGGGAAAAACGAAACAGATGGGGCCCCCTGGGCCCTTGCACAGGCTTTGGCAAGTACCATTCGGCGAATTGAGGTCTCACTTCGTCCCTGGGGGTCTGAACTTCTTCGAAAGTCGAGATGGTAGTCTGGCTTCGGCGATTGTCGCTCTACGAACAAAGTTAGAAGAGCAGATAACGATACTCTGTCAATTCAACTTACAGAAGACCCCAAACTGAATTCTTCGAATTCGCTCGAATCGTCCTCGATATCGGTAAAGGTGTCGCTGACTACGGACAGAGGTCGCTCCAGCGATGTTCGCGCGGAGATGGCCCCCATGAAGAGTGACTGAGTCTTGCCTCTCTCGAACATTTCCACGCCGGGCTCCAACGGGGTAATGGGGGTCATGGCCTGCTGCGAGTGTGTCAGTCTTGAACATCCACTATCAAGTGAAGTGTCAGCATCCATCACTCACCATGATGACAAGTATGGGTGCGCCCAAGCGCAATGCTGGATGGGTTGCTTCTTTTGCGTGCTTCAGTAAGGGCTTCGCGGGTGGGTATTGCTAGTCTGGTAGACGATGTAGGGCAGCACGATGAGCGAAAAACGGGGAAAAGACCCTTCGGGTAGAGGGCGCTTCCCAGTGCTTTTGTACAAGGTCACGACGGGCAGCTTGGAGGAGCGGAGACGATGGTCGGGCGATTGTGACGGTCGGAGGGCTGCAAAGCCAGCACAGTGCTGGCTTCATCCGGCCAGTGAGGGCGCTCGAGTGCAGGACATGGATGGGGGACAGCAGCCAATGCATGAGGGGGTTTCCCGCCCACATGCAGAGAGGTGAATTGCGGGCGCTTACACAGAGTGGAGAGCAGCATAGACGGCCTCGATTCGCTGGGGGCGCGCTGGGCAAAGTCCGCAAATTAGGCCGCATCGGGCGGGTGGAGTCGATTAATACCACTAATAAGGCCGCGAGCGGACTAGCACGGCTCAACAGGCTGGGCTCGCTTCGGCACGAGGCTGCAGCGGGTAGACGACGACGGTACTGACTCTCACTCAGTTGCTTGGTGGCGTTGGCGTGGCGGCAGCGTGGCCCTTGTTTCCCTTGATGTTTCCCTCGACCGACACAACCGCTGCTGATCATCGTGGCCTTCCCGCCGCCTGCCACCCCGAGGTACACGGAAACCTGTACTCTACACCGCAGATCTGCTCCTCCGTCACCGCCAGATGCTGTGGCCTGTCAGCTGTGGTACATCCAAGCAGGTATCGCACGAGGCCGAACGCGCGCCATTGGCTGCCCATGACGCTCACATGACCTGCCCCGGTCAAGTGACTTTGGGCCTCAATGCTGCGCTGGGCGTCGTGGTTGGAGCGCGCACGACGACGAGCAATAAGCATCGAGAGCGTTGACCGCTGTTGGAGTGGATGGGACTGTGAGGCTGACATGGGGTTGGGGTGCATGGCATGGCTGGTCAATTAGATCAATGGATAGATTGCAACGGATGCATGGTGGATATGATTGATGGAGAGATGGCTGGCCTCGACTGCGCATCAATGTGATGATGTGCGCGGAAAGGCCGGGTACGAGAGTGGGAGCAGTCTGATTGATTCCTCCTACCCATACCATGCTGTGCTATCAATTGATGCTATGCTATGCTACGCTACCTACCGAGGTCTGCATGGCTGGCAGGCTGGCAGGCAGGCAGGGGTTGGAACAACGACGCGGGTGCTTGCAGCAATCCATGGTACGTTGCGATACGCCACAGACACGGGAGTGTATATTGCGAACAATACAAAGGAATATGGAATCGAGCATTTTCGTCATCTACTGTAGCCAATTCTCAACCGGTGCGCCTTGACTCGACTCTGGGATCAGGCCGAGACACGGATATCTGCCATTCGTCAATCAGCCCCACCCGGCTGTGTGCAACCAACCCTGCCCTTTTTTCCTTTTTTTTTTCTCTTTATCTTCTTCTTTTCCTTTTCCTTCGCCTTCGGATACCTGCTTGTGTACTTGTGTACCCGAAACCCAAATCTTGAATCGTGCATATGGGCAGCATTGACTCATCTGCTCCGGCGCTATCGGCATGCCATGACAGTCGGACTAAACACCATCTCGCTCGCTCGCTTCCGACGCCCCACCACACACCACGGCCCTGTAGTCCCGTAGACTAGACCGTCCTTCTCCATCCGCCACACCATCTTCTGTAACCCTTCCTGGGGATGCTTGTATCCAGCAATACCACCATCGTATACCCGCCAGCCAATCGTATCCCAGAACAGCGCCAACACCAACCTCACATGACTGAAAACCTATGCGGGTGGGACCCTTCTCGCCCATTTGTACGCACCCACCATCGTAGACGGCGCATGCCCAAAGGGACATGTTATCCACTCGACGAGATCAAGAGGCAAATGCAAATACCGCAAATTTATCTCCTACATGTGTCATGGTCGACTGTCTAGAGTCTGCGGCTATACCCCGGGTGTGGAGTCGTCATCGGTCGAGGCACTACCCCATCGCAGCGGATCAAAATATCGATGGTGAACTAGCTCTAGCATTCCTGGCTGCATTCAACACATTCTACCCATCTATATCCGCAGACGCACATCACACTCAATCACAATTTATACCGTGTGAAGACCCAGTGTGAACAACAGCAAACATGCTGGGGACTAACTACTACCTCAAGTGGTCCTCTAGACCATCTATTAGCCTTCTCCACAGTTGGTGGGCTGTTCGTCCCAACGGCCAGTAGCACCATGGTGTCATTAGTCCAGCAACCAACCTCGACATGGAACCAATGCCTTCAAAATCCGTCTTCACCATACACATCTTTTTCTGAAAACTTGCATGCTCCCTTACTGACTCAACATTACACAAACTATGGCCTCAAAGTTGAGGCTTGGAATATTAGTCTGCTAGCTGTCATTGGAATATGGGCGTCGGTTCATATATTGCTGTACTGGAAATCGATACGATCTCGATGCATCCACGACAACTTGTTAGGTAGGTGTCCCCTACTTTGGAGTGCAATCGTCATCACAAGCTCGAGAGAATGAGCCGCTCGCTGGTTTCCAACGTGCCCACGCAAGTAAAATAAAATAACGTGTAAGAAATGGTGTTGTGTAAGAAAGAAAACAACAATTCTCAAGTGAATCGAGATGTCTGATTACGAAAGAAAGATCACGAGCGAAAACGCCATCCAATCAGAATCACGGGTAAGTCGTGGTACAATCACCCTATTTCGATTTCGATCAACGGCCCAACCGCCGGCCTCGGAGCTGTATAGCTGTAGTTAGACAAAAAGGGCATCTTGTCGCGCACTCATAAAAAGGGTGAATTTCTTCTTCTTTCTTTTTTGCCAGTTTCTCTTCCTTTCATATTGCCCAACCAATCATTCTATCGACCTGGTTCTTACCCATCGATAACCACCCTTCCGACTTTGCCCTTACTATTATTCAATTGAAAAACCACAACGTCATTCACATGACACCAACATGCGATGCCGAATCTGTTACCACCACACTCAATTCTTTGAGTGAAAAGCGCACTGAAAACACTCGCGCCCCCAGGTGACTTCCAGCCCCATACCATCGCTAACATCAACGCGCAGACAACTATGCCAAAATACGAATATTATAGGCTGTTCCAAAAAATGGGAGGCCTTCTCGTTATGCCAATCAAGCAGCTTCGAGCTGAAAACAGGTCGAGCACAAAAACCCTGATTGATCACATCTCGCCGCCCGGGTAGTCAATGGAAGTGCCAGGCACGTTTGCGCGGGGTTCTCATGGTGCTCCACCCACGCTTTGATCGTCCACCCGATGTTGACTGCAGGTGGAAACGAGGTTGACTGCATGTGGAAGTGGAAGGACATAACGAACAGCCAAACCAAAAAAATCTCAGCAGCGTTGCCCCAGGTTGGGTACGGCGGATCGTCCGTGGACATGCTCCCCGAGTACCACCAGGTGTTCGAATGGCGGTGTGCAGGAGTTGCGGCAGAACGCCGGAAGGATACGGCGTGTTGTTGTTCCCATAAAATATACTAAGCATGTTGTTAAATCATTTCATTCCCAGAAAACAGAGATTGGTGATGGTGCCCTTATCCATGTGATGTTCAAAAACACCAATTCATGTTGTATTTCGGTGTACAAGGGGAATAGAGGAACGGATTGTCGAAGGAAGCGGGAAAGGAACTCGAATGAACCGCGACGTCGTATGGGTAGTAGTAAAGAATCCCACAGAAAAAAATCGGGCATCAAAAGAAGTAGAAGTAAGAGGATTTGTCGATTATGAGGTAGACAGAGAGGAAAAGGAAGAGGAAAAGACATAGAACGAGGAAGAAGAGAGAGAAGACATCTTATACCGGGAGCACGCTCATATAAGCGTCACGGCGAGGTTGTGGGCGTTTGGACACTGACATCATAGTTGGTCGATAGTATTTCTTTCTCTTTTTCTTCCGTTGATTGGAAGTTGAAGTGTACAGAAGAACCAGTGCTAACAGACCAGAGAAGATAATACTATAGACTCGAAAGCCCTCAAATGGCGAAGATTGTGAAAGTCGAGGTGGGTGTGGGCCAGGCGTCATTGGAAGGACAGGGAAATGGAGCCCAAAGTCGCACAACCAGCACCCGAAGATGGGAAAGTCGATGTCCAGAGCATGCCAGAGCCAAAAAAGATTGACATGTATTGTACCATGGCTTTGAGCATTGAGTGATGTCATGAGTGGCATTTTCGCCCGTGATTTTTTCGCCATCAGGTTGTTCCACCTTTTTTTTAAAAAGAGAAATAGCATTCTTTGAAACAAATTTCACTTCAGTGCGCAGCACGTAAAACTCGTCAGGAGCCAAAAGAAATCATGGCTTCGGAAGACGACGAAAAGAACTCGTTGTGCTCTGCAGAGATATAGTTGACGCTACCGAAGTCTGGGAAATGAAATAAGCCACCAAAGCTGCAATGACGGGACGGGTGTATGTAAAGTATGTTAATTATCGTGACGATAATTACCAAGACCCTTCAAACTGAATTTTCGGGACGATGATGATGATGATGAATGTTCTCCATTTTGAAGTTGCGTTCGGATACAGGATATAGTGGTGCATAACTACCCAGGCACGCAGCCGCTGACCTGTCGCATATCACCATCAACTCCCGACGAGCCAACAGCATCGCAAAACAGTGCCAACATTGAACTCACATGACTGGAATGATATGCGAGTGGGACGCCTACATGACGATGGATGGTCGCTCAAGCAAGATGAACGAGGCGAATCACATTTGAAGTCTTGTGTTTGGATTGAAGCGATGCTGTCACCGCATAAGCTCACGAGGCACGAGAGCGCACACCTCCGTTTACGGCCGTTGCGCCAAGCAGAGGGCGGGATGGCGGCATGCTCGATGACTGATCGGTCGGGCCTCAACAACCATCAGAAGCAGTCGAAGCTGCATCCTACGGAAGTACGTCGACACCAATGGAGAAGGGTAGATGGGACCAAAGCAGAGATGGGTTAAGCGAGGGGCCACGAGAAGCGGTTCAACAGGCGAGCATCTCAAATTCGCCATCCAGGAGTGGCATCGTCTCTCCAGATGCTCATCATATGGGTAGCGAATCCAGTATCCGGGTTGTCCTTGACAAGCTTCCCGCAATGTGCACGCCGTCGAAAAAAAAAGTCGACACCAGTTGACGGCCCGTCCAGTCATCAGCAGACTAGTGCGGGTAGCAGCGGAGAGCAAGACCCTGAAAGGAGTGGATGAGGTGCTGTGGAGGTCGACACCACACGCGGTCAGGTGAAAGTGCTCCGCGTACGTGTAGTCTAGGCTGGTTGGCAAGTGTGTAATGCACACACGGACCTGCTCCTTGGGGATTACCTCGCCAAAGCTAATTGTATTGACTATCAAAGCCGGTAACCAATCGCCGTGCTCAGCGGCTGGACGTCGTGGCTCGGGGAAACAGTCCAGCCGTGCAGACGACCACGCTATCGTGGCTATTATGGGCACCAGCATGACGACGGTGCGGTGAGGTTAATTAAGGGCATTTGCCGTCGAGAACAGGAAAACATCACGAAGCCCCATATGCAAGGACAGGCTTCCCCCTGTCTAAAACCCGCCCCATCCGCGATAAGCCCTACGATTGGATGCCGGGGCCAACCTAGAGCCTGTCAACCGTCTCCACCAAGCACTTCCCGTGCCCTGTAGCACCTCGAGTCCACCGTCCGTCCTACTGTCAGATGCAGACAGACTCACTCCCTCTCGCTTCTGCATGTCCCACCCTAGCAGCCCGCTCCCTCCCACACTAGGCCCGCACACGGTGCGTCTTCTACACAGAGCGTGAGGAGAAGCTCATCCACCCTCAACCTGCCGTGTTGAGTTGAGGGGTAGGACAATCTGGTCTTGTCCAACCACTGGGCTTTCTGGGTTCCGCGGCGGAAATGATGGCGACTTCCATTGACCATGAGCGAGTCAATGGTACGACGGTTGGATCTCTGGACCTCATCCAAGAGCCTCATTGGTTTGGCATCACCATCACACGAGCACTGTGTACTGTGTACTGTGTACATGTTGCGGCAGAAAGCACGTTGTCAGCTTCCATACACGCATAGACGCATCCCCAGGTACTGGATCTCTGTCACCACAGTACGAATGGTACGGTGAAGCTTCTCGGTTCAATGTTCCCTGATTGATTTGCAATGCAACTTGAACCCAACCCAGGTCTGATGGAAATCATACCGTCACACAGAATCATCCCTCCATCCATTCTTCCGCATAAACCAAGCGAGAGGAGGTGATGAGCCTTTTTTCTCGCTTTCCCCTCCTTCACTCATTCATGCTAAGCTCGCATCGTAGTCATCACCTCCCAGGAGACTGGAAAACCTCACAAATGAGGACTTGGCAATATTTCCAGCCTCAACATCAAGGATCTGCACAATTGGTGGTCCATGCCTCACGCCTCCAGCCAACAACCAACGTTCGGGCCGGCCAGTTATCGCATCCGCTGCAAGTGTTTTTCGATCTCTCAATCCTACTCCCGTTTCTGGACGCACACGCTTGGCTCCTGCGCGACCCGAGCTGGGGTGGCTGGGGGTTCAAAGGTCCAAATGGCACGGCAGAGACGTGATGTGTTCCCAGAATGGCATGTATTACTGCTAAAAACACCCGTTGTGTACGTGCTCTGCGTGCGGGGGGGAGATGAGCGCACTATAACTCCATGACCCGTTTGCCAGGGGGGTTGGTAGGCGCACGGACGGTCCCTCGGTCTAAGCTGGGCGGTAAAAGGTCGCAAAAATAGCTTGCGAGCTAGCCCGTTTGGCGAAAAAGGCCCCAAATTGTCTGCACCATGTGCTATCAATCTGCAGGGTAATCTATACCTGGCCAATCACAGCCGCCAGCCTGCTCTTTTACAGCAAAACCGTCCAATGTACATGTACACGACAGGTTATGGACGCGGCTCCAAGAATAGAAACCCGTCATGGAGTTTTTAGCCATCATTGAGGTGTGGGTGTGATCCATTCCTGGCACTTATAAGGTACATATCTACATAAACCTTGGACACCTATATCTTCCTAGAAAGGCAGAGCAGGAAACCTTTCCTCCATAATTTGTTTCCTTTCCCACCTCCCCCCAGTCCTGTCTCTCATCTTTCCTTTGCCATCGAGGTCCCGCAGGTCAGGCTTCGAACGAAAAAAATTATTGTACCAGTCTTTTTAATTTAAGAGCCGTAACCCAGTCAAAGCCTGTCCCTTACGATCCCTCCCCCCGCCCGTGGGTCCCCCCGCTTGCTGTGTTTAGTCGCAATTGTCTGGCTGGCTAGTCTGTTCATAAAAGTCGACCCTTGATCACCTGAACCAGGGTCCGTGGGAAAAGGAACACAGTGAAGAGCAAAAGGTACATGAGCTGTCCATGTCCTCCTCTTCGGTACCGTTATCATCATCTTCTGCCGCTGCCGCTGGTAAACATTCTACTGCTGCCGCAACCATGGTGGGAACTACAACAAGTGCTTCTGTTGCCGCATCGGCTAAGCAAGCTGCAAAGATGCACCGCCGCTCACGGACTGGTATGTGGGCTTTGTTTCTCTCTCCATCTGCTCCTCTCACCCTACCGTCTTCTACGGCAGACAGGGATCTTCATCTTCTTCCCCCACACACTTCCCAGCTACTCTATTCAACTCCCGTGCCCTTTGAGGATCGCTACTAACAACACACTGTTCGCGTGACTGCAGGGTGCTTCACATGCCGATTAAGAAGAAAGAAGTGCGACGAGGGAAAGCCATCATGCCGCGCCTGCAAACACCTCGGTCTCAAGTGCGAGTACAAGAGACCAATGTGGTGGAGCAACACTCACCAACGGAAAGAACAAAAAGAAATGATCAAGAACATCATCAAGCGCACAAAGCTCCAGGAAAAGAACACACAGGGCATGTCCATGAGCGCCAACACGCCTCCCGGTCTCTGCCACCCTACTTCAGACACATACTCGGATTCATTCGGCTGCACGCGCGCACCGTCAGTCGACTCGCAACTCTCCTTGGAAAACTACACTTTCAACCCTGTTCCGACGCCAGACATTTTCGACCCGTCTTCGATGCCACCGCCCATGTTCAATCCCTCTTTCCAGCACCCTGGGCAATACACTCCCTACGAAGTGGATATCAAGACCGAAAGTCAGATGTACATAAACGATGTCCCTACCCGCCGTGATTCCACGATATCTACTTTTAGCACGTACCAGGCGCCGCCAGTCACTGGCCAGCCATTTCCCACCGAGAACTGGATCCAACAAGACTACTACGAGAGCCGTAGGGAGTCATACGCGGAAGAGCCGCTGGACTTCCAAGTCTTCGACTTTCCCCATGGTTCCTTCAGCCCATCGCATCAATCTACTATCCAGGTGGACGAATGCGATCAGCACCTCCTCAACCACTTCATCGAGAACGTCGTTCGATTGATCTTCCCCATCCTGGAAGTCAACCAACACGGTTCGGCACGCTCTGATGTCATTCTCCCTGCGCTGGAGTCCAACAAGACCTACCTTCACTGCTGCTTGAGTATTGCCGCCATTCACCTCAAGGCGACTGAAAGGATACAGGGCGAGCAGATCGACCAGGACATTCTGCGCCACAGATTTGCCACCATCTCGGAGCTTTGCGAAGCACTGAACCGCGACACCGACCACGCACACATTCTCGAAGCCACCCTGGGCATGATCTTCTTCCAATGCTCTGTCGGCCGCCCCGACGACTGCCTTCCCGATATTCCATGGCACCAGCACTTCCAAGCTGCCACCAGCCTTGTTCACAAACTCGAATACCCGGCGCACCTCGTTGCATTGAACGGGCAACCAGGCTCACAACCACCATTCAATATGACGCTTGCGTCGTGGATCGATATCCTGGGCGCCACCATGCTCGGCCGCACACCTGCATTCGCAGACACATACCGCGAGAAGCTCATCGGCGATGCACCATCCGGTCTCGCTGAACTCATGGGCTGCGAGGACAGGATCATGTACCTCATCTCCGAGATTGCATGCCTGGAGGCGCTGAAGCTCGACAACATGGATGAAGTTCAGCTTTGCGCACACATCCGCGTGCTCGGCGAGCAAATCAGCATGACGGAGCCACCACCGGGTAGCGTCGCCAATGCCTACTCGTCGACTGGCGCGATCCGACCCAAGCAGCTCAGCAGAAACATGTCGGCCGTCTTCCGCCTGGCAGCTCGCATCCACCTCTGCAGTCTCGTGCCAGACTTCGACCGCACGCAAGCCAGCATCGCCAACCTCGTCAAGGCCCTAAGCGATGCCATGGACTTCATCCCCGCCGGTCCCGAGGGCTTCGACCGTTCTCTCGTCTGGCCTCTCCTCATCGCTGGGTCCGTCTCGCTGCCCGACTCGCCGTTCCGCAAGATGTTCACAGACCGCGCGAACCGCATGGGCGAGGCGTCCGACTTTGGCTCCTTTGGCAGAATCAAGGAGCTCCTCAAGGATGTGTGGCGCATCAACGACGATGCGCTCGCTACGGGCGACAAACAGAGTGTCCACTGGCGGGACACGATGCGTCAGAAGAACTGGGATTTCCTATTGATCTAGGTCATCTTCGGGTTTCTTTCTGCTGGATCTCAACGCATCCTGGTCTGTTTTGTCTTTTCATGCCCTGACGCGACATGGCATTTCCTCATTCGTTTCTACAACCACTTTTTTTTTTGGTTTCAAATCCTTTTGCATGTTGTTGCATTTTGAACACCAGCATTACTTGGACAACGCGGATTTACCAATCTTTTCTAGCATAGCACTTTTTTTCCTTTTTTCTACATGACGCTATATACCCATTACCTGTAATTTTTGATACAAGGACGCATGGACGGATGGACAACTGGCTGGATTCTAGAAGGACATGCATACTATGGGAAACGTATTTTCTCATAACACACACATTGGATCGTTGGAGCCATCAGAGGAATGGTGTTTGTTAGTTTGTTTGTTTGCCATTTTGGAGTGGCGTGGAGCGCGGAGCAACTGGTCATGTATGCAGGTGACGAATCTAACGAACTTGGGCTGGGAGCGTGGTGAGCAGGGAAGAGATGGAGGCACAGGAAAGGAAGAAGGAGTGTACAGTAGACGGAAGGTAGCAAGCGGAAGAAATCAATCGCAACCATGACATTTCCAACCACGGCTCATAGTGAGTGATGATTGACTGCCTGTTTGAGCAGTTTGCAAGCGGTGTTTGTTGTATTTGCCACCCCGTTGATGGCGTTGGCTGCGCTGGGGCAGGGCGGCGACGTGATTGGACACCGGTTTTGACAGGTTTCTGGAGCTGCGTGGGCATCTATTTATAGGCGGCTGTGGATCAAAGACGGAATAGGCCCCGAGTGCATACGGGCGGCGGGTGAGGGGGGGAAATGTCTCTTCCAGAACCCAAAGTCTCGACTTGGTTGACGATCGGACAAGTGCATTGATTCCTCTGGGCACCTCGCCGTCGCTCTGCTCTGCTCTGCTCTGTTCTGTTCTGCACGACACCACTCCGCGCGGCCTCTGCATCTCAGCTACATGTTGTTTATTTATTCCCGCCCACAACTCTGTTGCTGCCTCGCATTGTAGACACCGAATACGAGTACTCCCCCGGCTTCATCTACCCAAGACATAAAGCCGCCGTATTCGCCCCCACCATTAAATACCGAAGCCTCTTCTGGAACGCGCCAGTCTGTCTGTCTGTTTCTTCGACGGGTCGTTTTTTTCTCCACTCCTTCGACTCGTACCGTACGCCCCGATAGAAAGCAAGAGAAAAAGAAAGAAAAGACAAAAGTACACACAGTGCCAGCGCAACCCCAAATGGCCTCCGCTACCGCTGCATCATACCCGGCCTTCACCCCCGTAGATGCCACACAGCACCCGCCCAAGGACGAGGTCGAAAGCCCCAGCATATCGTCCGCGAACGCCCTCGCGCGGTTCGAGTTCGAGGCCGGGCATGGAAGGGAGGGCACCAAGATACTGATGGTCGAGTGGGAGGACGACGACACCACAAGGGGCGTTCGCGGCGAATGGCACATCAGCTGGGAGGGCAAGGGCAAGACAACCGTCCTAACGGCCGAGGACCAGCCCAGCAACGACGTAAACCGCATCTACTTCATGCTGGCGCCCGGCGTGGCCGTCCCCTCCAGCCTCACCCTCACACACCGACCCCAAGACCCCGACCGCAAAACCGTTGTATGGCATACCAATCCGCTGCCTGCCATTTTCCCACCCGAGCTGGGTGCCTCGGCGCGCGCCGCCGGCAAAAAGGGTATCCTGCACACCATCTGGGCCAAGAAACGCCTACAAGTCCTGCAAAAGGAAGTAGACGCCGAGTCCAAGAACAACGTCGAGGGCATCGGTTTCCTCATGGCGGTGCAGGAAAAGGAGTGGATCGAGCAAACCTTCGGCATCAGCACGAGACCAGCAGGCCTGAGCATCTCGCTCGCCGAACCCTCCGTCGCTCAGCTCGGAGGCCCCACGAGCCCCCGCTCCCCTGGCGGCGGCCGCCTCATGGAGAAGCTCCGTGGCCTCAAGCTCGGCACGAGCGATAAGGACCTCTCCGCCAAACCCTCGGACGCGAACGAAGCTCCCTTCCCGAACCCGCTGTCTCCAGAATCGTCAGACGTCGCCGTCTCCTCGTTCGCCGCCTTCAAAGGCGCAAGCCCCGCCGTCCTCGCTGCGAAGCCCCCGCAACCCCCCGAACCTCTGCAGACACAGCAGCAACAGCAACCGCCCGCTGCTGCCGCTCCTGCGCCCAGGAAATTCGCAGCGATCAGCCCGCCCTCGTTCCCCGCGGCACAGCAGCAGCAGGTACCCGATGGCACCGGCATGGCGTCATTGAACGCGTTCGCGTCGACCACGGAGCCGCTGTTTCAATCCAGAGGCGCGCCTCTACCCGAAGACGACAAGGACGATGGCCTCTTTGCGTTGCCGATAAGTCCGAGGAGTCCGGAAATGGGCAAGAGTCCCTTTTCGTTTGCGACGAGCGAGACGGCAAAGTATGCTGCGTAGTAGCAACAGCAGGCTTGTGAGACTATGCGGTGGGGAGATTATAGATCCTGGCGGTTCATCTACGAATGCTGTTTTCAGCCTTCTCTTTCTCTTCTCCATGTTCTAATGACGGGGCGGGGAGTGACATGGGAATTGGGAAGGGAAGTGAAGGACCTCGGGTTGGGACTGGTGTGGCCTTTTGTTGTTGTGCAAATGAATGATCTAAGCGTAGCGTAGCGTACCTAGCTAAAGATGATACCTTTTTTGATTGTAGTAGAGCGTAGCGTCATCAGCAGCTGCAGCAGCAGAGAAAGAAGAAAACAAAAAGAGATGATTTCGTTGGTTGGTTGGTTGGTTGGCTGGCTGGTGGGCAAAGTACATAGCGATGTTGAACGATTGATTGAATGAATGAATGTTTACAACTGAGTCGTTGGCTTTCTTTTTACCATCTTTTGAAGGGAGATGGGAAGGTTTGGGCGAGAACCATGGGAATGGAAGATTGTTCAGATGTCTTCAACATGTTTTTATCAATGTTGCATGTGACGCACATCGTGATTCACTTCGAGTGCTCAAGCGTTTACTGTCAAGCTTCATCCCTTCACAGGGGGATATATATACCACGACCTATAAAGACTGCCTCAAAACAAGAAGACAGATATCCCTACTCGAGCTATATATATATATACCAACATAAGTATCTTTTAAACACTTAAAAGAGAAAAACATTATTGCAAGGTGTAAGACTACGAATCTATCCTGACACATTGGGAGCACTTGAGACTACTCAAGTAGTTAATTAGTTCCAAGGGTATCCAAGTACTCCACTATTAGCTCAAACATATCTCTGTATATAAAATAGCATACTACTATTATCACAGTGAAAATAAAACGGAAATACCCAACGGTGAGCAGCAACCCTTGAGCGTAACGAAGTAAAGTGCACATGTCGAGGGTGAGTGCTCAGCTACCTAGCTTGTTTCCTGCAGTCTAATGTCTTGGCAAGCGCAAACCCTCGCGGCAGCTCAAAGCTGGCAGCCGCACCTCAACATCTACCTATCCCGCCGCGAGATTGCATCCACCTTTGACATCTCTCCGCAACTACTGCTCTCCTCCTCCCCCAGGAGACAGTTTCTCATTTAATCTTGTGCTCACCAGAAATAACTCTAGTACTCGCGATCCCCCTCAACGTAACCACCATGTTGGTCTCCGGCCGCGGCAGCATTGCGCATGTCCAGTACACGGGCGAAGAGGCGCCAGCAGAGATTAAGAAATTCCTCGACGACGTGGTACGTTGCGTGCATCGCCCATCCAGTGACACGCGCGCCTGCTGACCAGACCATAGGCTGCACACGAAGATGAATTCGAGAAATGGGAGGCTCTGCTCAATCGCGCCATGGAGCTCGAGGGAGGTGTTATGCGCAACTCCAGCCCCTCATCCATCGAGCTTGTCCGCAACGTCTACGACTGCTTCCTAGCCAAATTCCCTCTCTTCTTTGGATACTGGAAAAAGTATGCTGATTTCGAGTTCGCCATCGGTGGCACGGAAACCGCTGAAATGGTATGTTGACAGCGCTCGCTTTTGGCTTATCTTCCGCTAACGCGCCCGGCTAGGTCTACGAGCGCGGTGTCTCCAGCGTATCGAGCTCGGTCGACCTCTGGACCCACTACTGCTCCTTCAAGCTCGATACCAGCCATGACAATGATGTTCTAAGAGCGTAAGTCCTTCCTTCCTTGGCCTGTAAACTCAATCGCACCGATAGCCGACGATGAATCTGCTGCAGAGAGTCTTAGCACACTCATATGCATGCCCATCACTTTTGGTGCCGCTCGCGCGCGTATTGCCCTTTGCCCTTATACACTCAGCACGGCGACTTTGAAGAAGATTTCTCTTGGCCCTGGGAAGATTGCTGCCGTTTTGCTAGACGGTTTTGCTTTTCTCTACTGCAAGCTCACCCCTTCCGCCCCCATCCTCTCCGCATCTCATCGTATCAAACTAACTTCTCAGTCTCTTCGAGCGTGGCGCAGAGTTCGTCGGTCTAGATTACCAAAGTCATCCTTTCTGGGACAAATATATCGAGTTCGAGGAGCGGATCAACGAGCCTTCCAACGTCACTGCACTCCAGCGCCGCGTTTTCCAGTTGACGCTCTACCAGTCTAGTAGATACTACGAGAAGTTCCGCGGCCACATATCAACCCGACCCATCGAAGAACTTGGCGATGCAGAGTTACTGGAAACGGTGAAGACTGCGGTCGACAGAGAGAACGCTGGCTACGACCGCCCAGCCGCGGAGCTTGATCGCCAGTTCAGGGCAAAGCTGGATGCCCATTACTACGAGATTTACGGAGTTGTGCAGCAGGCCGTCACCGCGCGCTGGACATACGAGAACGCTATCAAGCGGGCCTATTTCCACGTGACGGAGCTGGAGGAAGCTGACTTGGACAACTGGCGCAAATACCTGGATTTCGAGGAGAAGCAAGGCAACTTTCAGCGCGTCCAGTTCTTGTACGAGCGATGCTTGGTGGCTTGCGCGCTCTACGAGGAGTTCTGGCTACGCTATGCGCGTTGGCTGTTCGCCCAGGGCAAGGACGAGGACTGCCGTTTGGTCTACATGCGAGCGAGCTGTATCTTCGTCCCCATCTCCCAGCCGGCAATCCGCTTAAACTGGGCCCGTTTCGAGGAAAAGCTTGGCCGTGTACAGGTCGCCCACGACATCCACTTGGCAATTCTGGCTCAACTACCTGACCACGTCGAGACCATCATCTCTCTGGCCGGCGTCGATCGTCGGAATGAGGGCAACGATGCCGCTGTTGCCACGCTGGAGACCTACATCAGCCATTCCAACGCTCAAGTTGGTGGCATCCTTGCGGCGGAGCAAGCCCGAATTCTCTGGCAATGCAAAGGTTCAGTTGACGAAGCCCGGGCTTTGTTCAAGGCCAAGCATGCGCAGTTCCTAGAGTCGAAACATTTTTGGCTCAAGTATCTGGAATTCGAGGCAGCACAACCTGCCGTGGATCAAGAGGAAGCTCATGGCCGTGTCAAGGAAGTCCATGAGTTGGTGCGTGCAAAAGGGCAGTTCTCTCCTGAAGCTTCCAAAGAGCTGTCATACTACTACATGGAGTATCTGCTCAATCGTGGAGGCAAGAAGGCCGCCGAGGAATTTATGCTTCTTGATAAGGACGTCAACGGGTATGTTAGCTCCGAATCCTCTCCCCCAGCCCCCGTCGGCTCTATACCTCACTCGGCAGCGATGAAGAGCAGCAACAACAGACCGCACTGGTAGTAGCGACACCTCAGATCGTCCTTTAAGGCATCTAGGTTGCATGTCGTTTGCCATGTGCACGGGCTACTGTTACCCATGCTAGCGTCTGCCCTTTACACTCATATCCTAGTTCTTCCTTCTACATTTCATGGTAGAAAGTAAATGTAATCATCCTCGAACGCTTCATAGCCTGCAGCATTTGCTGACTTTATCTCGTTCACAGCAGGCATTCCAATACGGAAGTCATCCCTTCAGGACTGTCCGTCAAGATGGCGTAAGATTGATTGAAGTCAATGTTGCGTGTTGCAACTTAGATTTCGAAAGTAGATACCACCTGGAACCCCCTCTCAACGGTAGTGTTCAACTCCTTTCACGGTCTGGACCTTTCGAGGTATAATACCCTCCAGGCAAGCTAGAGAAGAGTTTGTACCACACTTATTCCCCTTTTAATCCATGTTCCTTTCCGGAGAAGGACGAGAGGGTTGATGAGCTACTCCACCTGGGGGGAAATAGGAAAGCGAGGTACAAGTGAAGAGGGCATTCTCATGATGAACCGAGACCCATTATCTTGGTTAGTTGGTTGTGTACCTCCTCTCTTGTTCCCTGGTATCCTTCCTCCCTTGTGTTTATGCACTCGTTTGCAGATTCTTTATTTCGCTCCTCCCTTTCCCTTCTACCCCTTTCCCCCTGTATATCTGTAGTTCTATAAAGAAAGTGAAATGTGTGTATTTACACCTCTGAAATCGGGGTTTTGATAATGATGTGTGTGTCTTTCTCGCGGATCCTCGTCTTCGATGTGGAGGATTCAAGCTGGTGTTCCTGACGCCGAATTCCAAACTACCCAAGAATCTGATAAATCAACCCATGAGATATAACATTGAAAACGACCTTTCCCATTAGAACAAAAAGAAGCATGAACCTGATAGCCCTTATCTGCGTAGGTAACCAATTCTCTTACAGGTACGTATATAACAACCACACACTCCCCGAGGGAGCTAGCACTCAATCAGGCAGGTGGCTCATCCAACATACATATGTTCGTACCTAACACGATAACGATGATGCGATTGGACCGTGCGGAATCGTGATTCATGTTTGGTCGTGAAGCTGTGCCATGATATCATTGCTTGATTCTCGTGTTGCACTTATGTCCTGCATTTTCTAGCTAAGAGCTACTAGATGGGAAGAGCTTAGATGGATAGAAAGAGGCTGGGAGGGAAGGAAGGAAGGAAGGAAGCGGAGGCGGGGGTGGAGGAATATCATTACCCCAATAGATGTATGCAAACCTAACTAACGGAGGCACGGTTTGCTTGTTCGGACTTTATCTTTTTTGTGATTCCTTGCTTTTTCTTCTTTCCCTTTCTAAAGTTGTTACATCACGGTCGTATTTTTTGGATTGTTCTTCGGGGTGGTTTAAAGATCGGCTTTTATTCCCTCCTCTTCCTCCCCTCTCTCTTTCCCGTTTTCCTTCTTTCTCTGCTTTTTGTTCGCTCGCCGCGTGCAAGACATTGACAAGAAGAACAGCCATGGTGTCTACGCAATTAAGTCTTTTCCTCGTCGCCAACGCCGCAGCAGCAGCGTTGGCGAGTCCTATTGCTGCTGCTGCTTCTGGCAACTTTCTGCATAAGAAGACGGTCGAGGCTGGGCGTTTGGGCGCCGTTGCGTCCGAAAGCGACATCTGCAGCGCTGTTGGGGCGGAGTTGTTGAAAGATGGTGGGAATGCAGCGGATGCGATGGTGGGGACGGTCGCTTGTGTGGGCGTCGTTGGCATGTATCACTCTGGTGAGTTATTTTTTTTTCTTGTTTCAACCTGGAGTCGTTGGATATGGATGTTGGAGAGAGACTAGGTTTGAGATGGAGAGGGTTGCGAGTAGATGAAGCACCGCAAACATGCTGACTTTATGTGATTAGGTATTGGAGGCGGAGGATTCATGATCGTTCGATCGGCGAATGGGTCGTATGAGTTTATTGACTTCCGCGAGAGCGCGCCTGCTGCTGCGTTCGAGAATATGTATAAGAACAACGTGCAAGCGAGTATCACGGGGGGTCTTGCATCCGGTGTGCCCGGCGAACTGCGAGGTCTCCAGCGTCTGCACGAGAGATATGGGAGTTTGAGTTGGTCTGAGGTTCTTACGCCCGCGGTCAAGATTGCAAGAGAAGGGTGGGAGGTCAATCAGGATCTCGTCGATTACATGGTTTCGGCGACTGGGAGCGACAACTTCCTTGTCAACGATTACGAGTGGGCTTTGGATTTTGCTCCGCGCGGGAAGCTGTTGGCGTTGAACGAGACTATTACGAGGAAGAGGTATGCGGATACTCTGGAGACTATTGCGCAGCTGGGCCCGGATGCGTTCTATGAAGGTCCGATCGCTGAAGCTACGATCCGAGCTCTGCAAGCCAAAAACGGCACGATGACTTTGGAGGATTTGAAGAATTACACCGTCGCTATTCGCGAGCCTTCTACCATTAACTATAGAGACTACAAACTCACTGCTTGTAGCGCTCCATCTGGCGGCGAGGTCGCCTTGACTGTTCTCAAAATCATGGAAGGCTACGAAAAAGTCGGAGACGCTTCCAATATCAACCTCACAACCCACCGTCTTGATGAAGCCATGAAATTCGCATACGGTATGCGTTCCAATCTCGGCGACCCTCTCTTCCTCACCGGCATCGACGAATACCAGAACTCCATGATCTCCGCATCCACCGCCGCAGAAGTCCGATCCAAAATCAGCGACACGCGCACTTTCAACACCTCCTACTACGACCCTGCTGGTCTAGAATCTCTAGAAACCCCAGGAACCTCACACATTGTAACAGCCGATCACACGGGCCTCTCCATCAGTCTGACCACGACTGTCAACCTCCTCTTCGGCTCGCGCCTCGTAGTCCCTGAAACAGGCGTCATCATGAACAACGAAATGAACGACTTCTCCATCCCAAACGTCACAAACGCCTTCGGATATATCCCATCCCCTGCCAACTTTGTCCGTCCTGGAAAACGACCCCTTTCCTCCATCTCCCCCGTCATCGTCGAACACCTCAACGCTACTTCCCTCGCCGACGCCTTCTACATCGCTGTCGGCGCCGCGGGCGGCTCGCGAATCATAACCTCTACGATCCAGAATCTGATCAATATGTTGGATCGTGGGGATGATGTTAAAACAGCGCTTGCGAGGCCCAGGTTGCATGATCAGCTTGTGCCTGAGGTCGTTAGTGTTGAAAGCTCGTTTAACAATGGCACAGTGGCGTTTTTGAAGGGGTTGGGGAAGAATGTGACGGTTGCTGCTGCGGGGAGTGCGGCGCAGGGGTTGAGGAGGTTGACTGGGGGGATGTTTGAGGCTGCTGGGGAGCCTAGACAGGTTAACAGTGGTGGGTTGGCCGTGTGAGTGTGTTGGTAAGATGGTCTGATACGTGTTCCTGTTGTCTTTTTTTTTTCCTGTGAGAAGAGGGAAATCAATGTGGTCAAGGTAAGATAGTGACTACATATTATCCTAGTAAATATTGATTTGGAAGATATTGTGTATAACTTCATTGTACTCATTCGATCGTCTATAATAAACCTATAGTCCAGGTCCCATATACATACCTTCTCCTCTTACGCCTCCGAACGCATCCCCACGCCGTGACCAAACGAAGCGGGAATAAGCATTAATCCCCAGGAAGTCGCTCTTTGGCGGATAAGAATCCGAGAAATTTCCGCTTTGGAAATTGGCTTGTGAAACGGTGTTCACGGTTCACGGTTCACGGGTGAGTACGGTAAGCTACTACTTGAGCTTATTGCAATAGCCGCGGAGATGCGCCATCTTCATATGCTAGCTTCCGCACTACAACTTGCTCTTCGACCTTGCGTATGACCAATCCACGCGTGGGCTTAACCATCAACTCCTGTTCTACAATATATACAGTCTTTCCAAACCTCTCTGACTCAATATTACTCTACACATTGCAAACTCTCACACAATCATATGAAGATCATTGGATATTAAAAGTCGAGCATTTAGGCTCTTCTCGCGTCGTTGTTGGACTACCTACCAGGTACACTGTATCTTTTTTCAAGTCACGTCCGATCACGAAGGTCCGCAGCAACACGCTGAAATCCACGTACAGGGAATACAAAGAGATAGCAAAAGGCGAGACGAGAAAAAGGGGAAAGATATGGAAGACGAACGAGCACTCCGCGCTGACTACCCATGGATCCGCACACCCCTCGTCATAGGCGCGCCGATGCGACTCATTGCGCTTGCGGAACTGGCGACTGAGATCTCGAAAGCGGGTATGTTGATTAGTTATTTTCGTATATGGTGCTGTGCGTTATGCGTTATGCGATCTGTCATGTTTTTTTTCTTCTCCCATACGGGTACATGCGATCTTATGTGCATGTTTTCTTTTTGCTTTTCACTGCTTCTAGATCGTTGATTGATCGAGGAATCTTTATCAATGCTCGTCTACGCCATGGCTATTATCAAAGTTTTTTTCTCTTTTATCGAATCTCTCTCTATCCCTCGAAAACATATATTAGATTTCCCAGCATGTGACGTGGAGAGAGAATGCATCACGGCTAATATTCGTGGCCCTTTGTAAAACAGGAGGCATAGGATTCATCGGCGCGGGGACGGACGTGTCTGATCTCTCCGCACATCTGACGAAAGCGAAGAAGCTGCTAGAAAACTCCGGTCTAGAATCTATAGAGGGGACGTTACCTGTTGGAGTTGGTTTCATAAGGTGAGTCCGTCGTTATCATTCCCTTCCTTTCCTGAAGGGTTTGTCGCTATGAGTGAGCGTCTGACTGATGTTGCAAGGTAGTGAGTTCGAAAGATTTTTGTTATATCTGTCTTTACATTGAGAAGAACCCACCGGGCACACAAACATTACACTCGAACACAATACCAACCCATTCCATCCAACTCCCTATACCCCTTAAAACCCCCCTCCCCAACCCATCTTAGCCACTCCCCTCCTAATCCCTAACTAGACTGGGGAGCATCCCTCCCCCAAGCCCTCCCAGTCCTCAAAACCTTCAAACCAGCCGCAGCATGGCTCTTCGCCCCCACAGACCTCTCATCGCTCTCGACCTGGACAGCCAGCATCCGCACCGCGTCCCCGCACACCAAGATCTGGCTGCAAATTGGCAGCGTCGCAGAAGCGCGCGAGGTGTTTACATCGAACATTGCCATCGACGTCCTTGTTGTCCAGGGCACTGACGCTGGGGGTCATGGGTTGGCTAGAGGCGCGTCGATTGTAACCCTCGTCCCTGAAGTTTCGGATCTCGTTACCGAGGTGATCAGTAATGGTAGCAGCAATGGGGACGTGAAGGAAGTGAGTAAGAAACCGGTATTGGTGGCCGCAGGCGGGATCAGCGAACCACGAAGTGCAGCAGCGGCGTTGATGTTAGGCGCTGCTGGATTGGTGCTAGGGACGCGGTTCCTCGCGTCGCATGAAGCGGTTTTGTCAAAAGGGTATCGCGATGAAGTGGTGAGGGCTAGTGATGGGGGACAGACAACTGCGAGGACAAAGGTATATGATCATGCAAGGGGTACGGTGGGGTGGGCGGACTCTCACAATGCAAGGGGGATTTTGAATCGCACGTTTTGGGATGAGCAGGAGGGAAAGGTGAGTAGGGAGGAGAATCGGCGGTTGTATGAGGTGGAGATGGGGAAGGGGGATGAGGGGTGGGGAGTTGATGGTAGGATGACTGCATATGCAGGGAGTGGAGTTGGGTTGGTCAAGGAGGTGAAGAGCGCGAGGGATATTGTCGAGGAGATCAGAGAGGGGGCTAGAGGATTGTTGGGTGATGTGGCGGGTAGATGGTAGGGTTTCGGATGTGAGCATGATATCATGACGATGCTGTTCGTACAAAGATCTTTTACAAAGTGTGTCTTTACATACAGGCTTGTTGTACAAAATCTTAACTCTCCCCTCTATATCTTGACAGTGTAATCATGGTACAATGGCATTTACAACCTTAATCTCACACTCGCCCTCTCCAATTCACCAACATTTCCCATTCCAGCCAAACTCCACTTCTCTGCCACAAGGCGGTCATCAACTGTATGCCTCAGCATACCGCTATGAGCATAGTACTCCATCATAGCCTTGGCCTCCGGCTTGCTCACGCCACCCAAGCGCAATACGTCAAAGTCCTTTTGTTTGGGATCTTCCAAGCCTTGCAAGGCGTCCACAACGCGCTGGTCCACACCCAGGTACGGATTCCACTTGGGAACATTGTCCGGGTCAGACTGGAGAGCTTCAGCGACCTTGATGAAGTGATCAAGCGCCGGAGTGGCAGGTTTGTTCGACTGAGATGTGCCGCCGAGGATGATTCCGCCATTAGCGAGCGTCTTTTGCCCCGAGAGATGGTCAACGAATTGTCGGATCAGAGTGAGGTCGAAACCGTGGATCGGCTTGACTTCCGCACTAAGGTAATCGGAATTACGCATAACGTGTGCTATAGCGTCGAGTGCGAACATGATGGGCGGACGACCAGGCTGAGAGAGTTCCTGCCACAGGGTCGTGAACACAGCCCACGAAAATTCAGAGTTGACCATGCCTTGCTCGACAAGGACCTTTAGTGTAGAGTTTGCGGGCAGAGGGAATGGGAGATCGGGTTTGGTGACCATGCGAGTCTCTTCGAGGAAGGCCCGGTTACCTTTGAGTATTTGGCGCAAGAGATCGGCAGTGTAGGTGTCCTGGGTGTACTGCAGAGGATCCGATCCAGCCAGGGGGGCATAGTCTGTGCGGGCAAAGGCGATCTCTTGGGCTGTAGCATTACATCAGTCATCAAGTATGTTCATGATGGTGCTGCTACCGCATGTTTCAACGTACCGTTGGGCAAGTTAATTACGAACCATCCCCTCAGATGAGCCATGGCCAAACCCTGGAGCAGCAGTGTGCTCTTTCCGCTCATCAAGTCCCCAGTCACAAGCCGCCGTATCGTCCTGGGCTGCTTCTCGGCTTTGGCATCCTCGACAGCTTTTATCAACGTAGCCAATTGCGCTGTCTCCTTGCGTACCAATGCCGCCGGCCTCCTAAACAAGCCCCATCCCTGGGATGGCTTGAAAGCCTCCTCGGCCCTCAAAGCGTCGACGATTTCTTCAGGGAAACCCATCACCTTGCCCTCAATTGAAGGGTCCAGTACATTTTTGGGGCTTAGGTCTTGCAGCGACGCGACAGCGAGGGCATTGTTGTTGCTCAAGACGATCCGTTTGCGCTGTGCCTTGCGCTCACCCGGGTTAGGTCTCTTGCCCATATCGTAGTTTGGCGCCTTCTTCCCTTTCTTGACATTTAACGTCTTCTCACCTCGCCTGGGTGCTACCGGCTTCTTCGCTTTCGAAGTCACCTGGGCGCGATATCCGGTCGAAGTGGAGAAGCATGCGGTTTGGGGTGCGAACAGCGTGCGTGAAGTGAGTGAAGCATGGGCGGTGCGGTCCAGGGAAAGCTTAGAGAAGCTGCGCAGGCACGTGGAAGAATTCATCATGGCGGGAGTCAGGCTGAGGCTTCCACGCCGCAGACGACGGTGGTCTGGATGGAATTGGGCGAGGGAAGGACGAGATGGATCACAGTTATTTGGATCGGGTTGTCGTTGTCGTTGTCCCAATCATGAAAAGAAAGCTCGGGGGTCCGCTAAACCGCTAGTACCAACCCGGCATGGCTCGTTCCCGCTCGCAGCCAAAAAATATCTGAGCACTTCTCATTCTGCGACCACAACTATCCCAACTATCAAAAGTAATTCGCGAAATCAGTTTCCCCCATAACAAAAAATAACAAAAATGTCTGACGTGGAAATGGATGGCGGTGTCGCGCTCGGTGACCAACTCGTCGATCAAACCAACGCAATGGATATCCAGTCGCCGCCCACAACCTCAAAAACCGCAGCATCCATGACAGAATCCACCCTCTCGAGCAGACGGTACACCCTCCCTTCTCTACACCTTACCATTCACCAACTAACCAGCCCGGATTTAGACCCGTCAACGTCGAGAAACCCACCCCTTACACCTTCGATCTCGGCAACCTCCTCGCCAACGACCCCAACCCCGTCGAACTGACCAGCACCTCGAACTTGGAAGAAACCCTCTCAGCCAACGCGCGCGACGCCGCACAAGCTCTCATAAACCAGCTTCTTTCCACTTGCGAGCTCAAATCCACAACCGAAGGCGTGCACCTCGTCCTCCCACAGGCCTCGACCCCACTGCCCCGCGAGAAACCTATCCCTGCTGAAAAGGCGCCCACGAAATGGGAGCTATTCGCCAAGAAGAAGGGCATCGAGAACAAGAAGCGCGATACGAAGCTTGTGTACGATGAGGCGACGGGCGAATGGGTGCCCAAGTGGGGTTACAAAGGAAAGAACAAGGAGGGCGAGAACGAGTGGCTTGTTGAGGTCGACGAGAAGAAGGAGAAAGAGACGGGCGTTGCGCACGATGCCAGATCGGAGAGCAGGGCCGCGAGGAAGGAGAGGGTGAGGAGGAATGACCGGAAGCAGCGATCGAATGAGAGGAATGCTAGGAAGACTACCTAGAAGAGAGGGATTACATACAGATTCGATGCCGATGTTATGATTGGTTCATATCTGCCTCTTCTCTTCTTTTTTCGGCTTTTTTATATTCGAATCTATAGTCGGGTTTCTCTACTGCAGCTCTTTGGAATCGACTAAGAGATGTATGTATGTATGCATTGGGCGGCGTTTTGCGGCGTGGGGAACCAAAAAAGTGGGAGATGTTCTTACCCTTGATCTTTTAGATTCGGATGAACCATAATCTGCGGTCGATAATTCAATTTCCAAGAAAATAAGGAATCCTTTTAAACTCGGTTCATGGCTCGGAATCACTTGTATGTTCGAAGTAGGGAATGCAATCACCCATAGTTCTACGTCTACAGATGCTGTAGAGAGGGTGACGAAGATACGAGCAGTCACATCTCCGATCCGAGGGCGAGAAGTCCGTTTTATGTCGCTTCCCAATGAAGTTAGCGAAAGGTATCCGGAGAAAGTACGTCATTGGGATATGTGCCGTTCCGAACATTGTTGTATTGCTATATAGTCTTCCCATCTATGAGGCTAAGAAGCAGATGAGTGTATCTGAACATTCGTGCAGTAGTCTGGGTTCTAGGGAACCAAATCTAAGGCGTAGGTTCTTGAGAACTAATAACAACATGTCTCAAGCACGAAAATCACATCCATGGTGCCAAAATCCTGACAGGATACATACAACTAGTAGTAGCAAAAGGGTATCAAAGACCCTCAGTATAACTGAACACGGCCATGCGCCAACTTGGTAGTGGATTGCTCTTCATGACATTGAGAGCCCCATCTAAGACCCGTCGCTCCATAAACGCCTTTTCAAATGCAGATTGTTCCCAGGCGACCGTGTAATCACAGAATGTATCTGTTTCCCCCCAAAATTTCCTAAAAGTCACGCTCGCGGGCGGCCCGCTCCGCATCACCTTCAGAGACGATGCGCTTGCCGAGCCACTCCGTGGTGAAGCTCCGGTTCAGAGTCTCCAGGTCGGTAATGATGTCGCGGCAGCACTTGACAACAGCATCCTTGGGAGTGATACTGCCGTCGGTGGAGACGCGGAGCTCGAATGTAGCGAACAGAGGGTGAGGTACCTTGTAGGCGGAGAAGGTAATGTATGGGTACTTGAGGAGGCGCTGGGACAGCATGTTCGCGAGGGTGTGGTCCTCCTTGTTGAAGGTGAAGACGGAGGTATTGGGGACCTCTGCGCTAGAGTTAGCAAAGCCCGGCGTGTGCACTGTGTGCGATTTGGGTACGTACGGGTCTCGTCCTTGGTTTCAACCTTCTTCTCGTTGTCACCGAGCAGGAACAGTTCGAAACTGGTTTGATGTTCAGCATCAGGCTTGAACTTGATGGGGCGATCTTTCTTGCTGTCGCCGCGCAAGTAACGTTCGTCCCCAATGAGCTTCTCTGCCGAATTGATGTTGTTGTAAGGGCTGTTGTGGCGTGGGCTCGTCATGGTAGCAGCAGACAACCGACAGTTTCCGTGGGTGATTGGGGTGGCGAGTATAAAGGTATAATTTGTGATCGCTCTTGATTGCTGTGCAATTCCATTCCATATACACCCGCGTTTGCGCATGCGCCATGCCGCTGGCGGACGCGCACGCGGGGTAACAGACGCGACGTCATATGGGTGCTGGAGGGAGAGGCGCACGGATACGGTAGATAGAAGACCGAAAGCTGATCGGATGGAAGGCTGAAGGGTGCATTGTCTGCCATGACTGCGGAAAAGCTCATTGGGGAGGACCTGTACTCTGCGCGCGACACAAGTCAGAAGGCAAAGGGAAGAGAGAGCACCTACCGATCTGGGGCGTTCATTTTGAGCTCTAGAATGAAAATTAGATAGTAAACGAGGGCAGGTCTCTCTCGTGACAGGTATATATGGTGGAAATTAGTCTATGGAACGTAGGTGGTGGTTGAAATGATCAATCGAGATGTTGCGATAATCAAGCGACCGAGTTGAGCAAGAGCTTGAGGGTAGAGTGACAAGAGCAGACTCGGAGGTAGAGGAGAGGTTATTTCGAGTGGTCAGAGGTAGGGGAGAAAGGTCGAAAGTTCAAGGTAAGAGAAGAAGGGTGGAGTGGTAGCTGCCACTGAGTGAATGGAGTTCTTTATGCACCACCGATTACCTCAGCACGGACCATCCGCAGCGTCCCTCACCAGAACGCATCCGTTCGTGAGTATTAAAGTGCTTTTGCACTGAAATTACTTTTGGAAGTCAACATACTGATGAATTCTATATTACTCTACGGAATAGGGAGAAAGTGCGCAAATCTTACTCGGAGACACATGGTATGCATAGTGTTAAATGCCACTGCTCGAAGAAACATTGGCCACTGGGGGAAAGTGATGCTTCCACTGCTAAATAGGCGAGCGCAGCTATAGATACATAGTGATTTGCCTCTACACGCTTTGCCTTCTCGGCGATAGATGCGAATTTGAGGTGGCAAGATTACAAATTTTAGCAGACTATTCAATATATTCAAGGGCTACAAGTACATATAGCTTTGTGACAACCTCCGGTTACTCTACAAAACGCGCCCAGCAGTCGAAGACTGGCTCCTATCTTTAGTCTCAACCTTCCTCAAGCCCTTGCCCAATTGAATCTGGCTCAACAAAGCACCACGATCTGCTGGTCCCGCAGGCGCTCTAGCTGCAGGCATCGGCGGAGGAGGAGGCCCTCCCTCAGGGGGCGGTGGTGGTCCGGGGGGGGGTGGCGGTGCACCGCTTGTGGGCATGGGAGGAGGGGGTGGAATTCCAGCAGGAGGAGAGGAGATGGCAGGGCTTTCTGGCTGAGGACTCTTGTTGTCCATGGCAGACAGTGGTCGCGGTGGAGCCATAGTACCGAACAGAAGCGAAGCCAACTGCTTGGCTCCTCCTTGAGGGGCATCCTCATCGTCGGAAGACGAATCGTCTGAATCGACCACAGACCAGTCATCATCTTCCTGTTTGGGTCGTAGACGGGCAGGAGGACCCGCATTTTCATTATATGTGGACTTGTTGGCGTTCTCCTGGGTTAGACGGTGGAACGGGTTGGTAGACACCTCACTGGTGTTGCTTGGTGGAGGTGGGGGTGTAGCAACAGGCTGACTGTTCTCTTGGTTGGACAGCGCCATCTTCTTCAAGAATGGGTTTTTGGTTTCGGTATCACCCAGACCAGGGTGAGGACTTGTGAGTGAAGATGCCGGAGGGCTTGCCACTGAAGGTGGAGTGCTGGCCTGGTGAGGCATGGGTGGAGCAGGCGGGGGTGCCGCTGGCGCTGTTTCTCTGGGAAGCTCTTGACTGGCAGCCGGAGTGGTTCCCTGGGGTGTAATGTTTTGGGGGCCCTCATCATCCGAGTCGGAGGACGAGTCGTCGTCATTAAGACTCTCCAGTTGCAACTGAAGTCGGCGTTCTTCCTCGCGTATAGCTTCAATCCTGGCGCGTTCTGCAGCAAGCTTCGATTCTTTTTCCTTTGCTTCCTGTTGTGCTGCCTCTCTACGCTTCTTGGCCTCTTGCTTCTTCAGCTTACCCTGCCGAACTTGCTCCTCAAGGGCACGAACTCGGGCTTGAGCCTCCTCCTCGTCCTTGGCAATATCTGCTTCTTGTCGTTTGGACTCTTCCCTAAACGTTATGTCAGTTGATATGCCAGAACCCTAAGTAGACGAAACATACTCTAGACGATGACGCTCTGCGGTCTGGGCCTCCTGCTGTTCGCGGAGAGCTTTCTCGGCCATCTCATTCTCGACTCTCTTGGCTTCGAACTCTGCTTGCTTATTATCGTGCTGAACCACATCCTTGTTCTTTCTTGAAGCAGGCGGTGGAGGCGGCTTCTTCCCACTCGCTTTGTTCGGAACTGGTGGAGCGGATGATTCCTCGTTCAACCGTTTCTGCCTCTCCTCTTCTCGGCGTGCATCCTCTTCTTCTGCTTGTCGGCGCTTGTCCTCCATCTCTTTCTTCTCCCTCTCCTGGCGCTGCTGCGGAGTCTCGCCTCCTTTGACTGGCGGGCGCAAGCCAAGTGCAGCCAGCCTCTCGGCCATTCGTGCTTCCGCTTGCTGTTTGATGAAAGCGGCACGGTCCTCGGGGGTTTTGTGAGAGGATGCTGATGTGGTGGAAGATGGACGAGGGGTGGTTTCAGCACTGCGTGCGGGGCTTTCGTAGCGAGACGAAGCAGCGGGACGACCGCTATCTCCAGCGCGAGACGTAGAATAACTGTCAGAACGAGAGGTATCTTCCTTGCGAACGCGGCTCGAGCGACTGCTTCGCTGGAGGTCGAAAATGAAATCTTTCACTTCATCTTCAACACCCAAACCATCTTCCCATCTTCGTCGCTCATGTTCGCTTGTGTTGTCGTGTCCACCCTCCTTGAGACTTGCTTCAAGTCCCTTGGTGTACTCCCTGACACTATCCTCTACGTCGCGAATCATATGTTCATTGTTCTCCCGTTCAGATCTAATACGGGAGCTCTCCTTTTCCAGGCGTTCTGCTGCTGCGCCAGTGTCGTCAGCAACCGGTGCGGGTTTGCCTGTAAGAGCAGCAGAGCGGGCCTGCATCATGGCTTTCGCGCGAGCCTTGAGCCTGTCTGACTCGGTGATGGATCCGCCCGGCCCAGTGCCTACGATAGAAGAAGCCGATCCCGGGTGTGCCTTGGCATCTTTGAGCCTGAATAACTCGAGTTGGGCGTCGGCAATTTCCCGTTCCGTCCTGCGAACATTGGAAGCGAGCTCAGGTAGACGGTCTGTTAGGTTCTGGAGTTGGCGCTTCAATGCACGTCGTTCAGCGTCGGAGTCATTGCCTCTCAATGACGCTTGAGGGTGAGCGTCGATGTCTTCTTGAAGCCTTCGAATGCGACGATACAAATCATCCGCTTCGCGTCTATCTCTACGATCTAACGCATCGTCTTCATCGGCAGCATTCTCATCACGGGTATCCATAGCATCAAGCAAGATCTGTTTCTCCTTCACCATCTTCCTGAGTTGATCCAGGGATAACTCGTCAGAGCGCTCAGATGTGGCAGATGCAGGAGAGGGCGAGCGCCCGCCGGCACCGACCCGATGGCGAGCACTGGAACGATAGCCAGCGTTGTCGTCATTGTTGCGGAAGACAGTTGCATCTTTGCGGCCGCCGGCTGCTGGACTACTCCCACGGAAGGAATGCGATTTCAAGTAGCTCACACCAGTCCGCTGGGGCTGGAGAAAGGCCCCAGTATTCTTCCTCTCTTCTGCATCGCGTGATAGCAGAGATTTCATGGTACCAATGGAAGCATTCAAATTGCGCGTAGATGGGGGTATCAACTCGGCAGGCAAACGATTTGGCACAGGGTATCCGTTCAATGCTCGGTAGATGAGATGCATAGCAACAGCGAATTCATCCAGATTCAAGCGGCCACGATCAGCAGAGTCGGCGAGTGTCCATACTCGTTCGAGATCAGGCTTGGGAAGTCCACTCTGGCCAAAAATCTCGAGTGCTTGCTCACCGCTAATATAACCCTTACCCAAACCATCCCAAGCTTTGAAAGTATCGTCATAAAGCTTCTTTTCACCTTTGGTGATGGCCCAAGGAATTGTGGCATTACCACTCAGCCCAGCCGTGGTGAAGTTACTTCCAGCATCCCGGCCTGTCTGTGGCATCATGCGTTGCGCAAGAGCTTCAATGTTTGGAAGGCCTGTTGAAGGATTGTTGACCAAGCCCCATTGGCCTGCGACACCAGTGGGTTGTGCGTTTAATGGAGCAAAGCCAGTCGGATTGGGTTGCAGACCGCCGGAACCACCAAAACCTGTAGGCATAGGGGGCATAGGGGGTCTTGGGCCAGTGTAACCCCCGGGAGCCTGTCCAAAACCTGTGGGCTGAGACTGTAAACCCATAGGCTGGCCGAATCCTGTTGGCTGGGCACTCAACGAGCTGAGAAGCTGGCTGTTTGATTGCTGAGGCTGCGGTTGCTGGATGGTGGGCACATTTTGCGAGCTCTGATTCATGGACTCGTCGAACTTGGGCGCGTTGCTGGCTGGAGGTGGGCGGCTGGGCTGGTCATCGGGAATGCCAAAGGAGATGATGTCGACCATGCTCGACACCTCGTTTTTAACGCGATCGGGAAGACTGGGGGGTAGATCTTTGCCCGTCATCTTGAGGTTGCAGAGATACATGGCGAGGGCAAACTCGGGGAAAAGGAGCTGACCGGATTTGGTGGTGTCAGCGAGTGACCTGTCCATGTTAGCCTATTTGCGCCCAACTCTTTTCCTTTTCTCGCACTTGAAAAGGTGACTGTGCAAGCATACCAGATATGTGACAGGGCATCACCCGGAAGGTTGGAGCGCATCAGGATATCGCGAGCTTGGTCGCCAGACATTGCCTGGGCAGTTCCCACAGCGGATTTGAAGAGCTGCTCGAACTTGGCCTGATCGGTGGCTGTGATGAAGGAGAGTCTAATGTTGGGGATCTTGTTGCTCGTCTTAGCCGGGGGCGGAGGAGGGAGCTGGGAAGAGCTCGAGGACACGAACGAGTTGGCCATCTGGGCCGAGGTCATGCCCGTAGGCTGAGGTCTCTGAGGTTGCGGAGGCGCGGGCTGCTGCTGCTGCTGAGGGGCTTGTTGGAACGATTGAGGCTGCTGGCCGGGAAACCCAGTGAACTGCGGTTGTTGCTGCTGCTGCTGAAAATTGCCCTGCTGTTGACCCGGGAAGCCGGTGAATTGAGGTTGCATAGGACCGCCGCCGAAGCCAGTGGGTTGAGGCCCCAATGGAGCTCCCCCAAAACCCGTAGGCTGGGGACCCAGCTGCTGGCCATATTGCTGCTGCTGCTGCTGCTGCTGCTGCGGTTGGCCATATTGAGGTTGACCCGGACGAGCGCTGTTGCCGCCCCCTAGGTACGAGTTGGAGCCAGAGAACATGGCGGGCGAGAGGTCGCAAGGGGGGCCGGCTCGCAATCAGCGGGTTCGCATGAAGCGAGGAAAGGAGGACGAGTGGTGGGCACGAGGGTGCCTGAGTAGGCCGTCGGGCTGTGGAGATGGGATGGGGAAGCGGGGGATCGAGAGATGGGCAATGGTTGGTGTAGGGTAGATGGAATAATGCAAGTATTGGGCAGATATGCTGGCTTGCTGCTGCTGGCTGACTACGGTGCTGGCGGGTACCTGCCAATGGAGGATCCACGTAATGTGTCTATGCGGTATAGCGACGCCTTTGCGCCGCTAGCTTGGTCCGCCCACCCCGATGTCATCGACATCCACCAACATCGCCAACATACCTACATGGTAGTATTCACTCGCCATCCACCCGATTACAGCGCTGCCTACCATGACGAGCGGTGACAAGCAAGACAACGCCAGTGCAACTGCTGAGCCAGACTTTGCCAAGGTGAGCATTTCCCTTCGCCTTCTTCACGCCTCATCTTATTGACGCCTTTCGCAGGCCTTCCAGGAACTAGCACGCGGTGAACGCGCCGCCGCCGCTCTGGAGAACCATCTTGATTCACTAGAGAGAAAGATCGAGGACCTCCTTGCTAAAGCCGATGCGGATGAGAAAAATCTTGGAACGCAGGCTCAGTCACAATCCAAACCATCCTCTGCCAACCCTCCATCCGCAGAGAAGGAACCTCGCCCGTCTTGAACACCGTCTGAACACATCGCGATGCTCGGATTTCATCTTGCACATCTCTTGCATGACCATTCATGCTTTATTCACGATCCCAACATAAGCGGGGAGGTATGGACAGGCAGGGGCGAGGCCAGGATATCTGCCCCTCCTTTGGATATATGGGGAAGTCTGTTATCTCTGGAGGGCGTAGAACGGTCTAGCAGTTATGTACTTCACCAACCGTGGATGGTTCGACTTGGTACAAAGTGAATTCAATCACTCCAACCGTCGGTCACACATTGCTCTGCGCTTCGTGGCTAGCTATATCCCTCCAATTGTCGACGGCTTGTTCTTCCCCGCCTCTGCTTCGAAGACATGTTTCAAATGGAAGACTCCACTGCCATCCTTCTCAACCACCCCCACCTCCGTGATTATACCGTCAATCAAATCTGCCGGTGTCACATCGAAAGCTGGATTCCAGACGCCGATGCCGTTCGCTGCGATACTCACCGTCTCTACAACAGCAAGATCCAACGTCACACCGTCGTGTCTCGGTCCCTTAACCAGTGTAACCTCCTTACCAGGTCGTTCCTCAATGACAATATCGGCACCCGACTTGGTGCTAAGATCGATGGTTGTTCGCGGTGCAGCAACGAGAAATTTGATGCCGTGGTGCTTGGCCAAGATGGCCAGTGAATAGGTCCCGATCTTGTTCGCCGTATCTCCATTAGCTGCCACTCTATCTGCACCCACGACGATGCCCGCGATATTCTCGCTTTCTCCTTTGAGTCTGATGAGAGCAGCTGCCATGGAGTCCGTCACCAGAGTTGCTGGTATTTGATCGTGGACCAGCTCGAATGCTGTCAAGCGGGATCCTTGATTATAGGGCCTTGTTTCTGAACAGAAGGCATGCTTCAACGAGCCTTGAGCATGCAGTGATCTTATCACGCCCAGAGCTGTACCGTATCCCGCTGTGGCCAGAGATCTGTACATGTTAATTTGGGCTTACTCGAGGCAGTGAGGTGGTGGTATCTCACCCGGTATTGCAATGCGTCAGCATGCTAACCTTGCCCTTTTTGCCCGCATTTGTATTACTCATAATCCATTCCGCTCCGTGCTTTCCAATGTTTTCGTTGTCATTCACATCATCAATCAACATCTTCTCCGCTGCTGCTACGTACGCCTCCCTCACGCTCTCTCCATTTGCGCCACCAGCAACTGCGGCATCTTCTGTTACTTTTCTCAGTTTGCGCGCTGCATCCGCCAGGTTGACAGCAGTAGGGCGGCTGGTCACCAGATAGTCCAATTTTTCGAGGATGAAAACCCTGACCTCCTCTGCTACTGGAGTGAGTTTCATGTTGACGAGCTCTACTGCTAGGGCTAGGGCAGCTACGATGGCGATTGCTGGCGCTCCTCGGGTTCGCATCTCCTTGATAGCATGCCACGCATCCGTACTCGAGTAGACATGGTCGTATTCTTCTTGGTGTGGCAGTTTGAGTTGGTCCAGGATCTCCAGCTGGCCTCTGGAGTATTTGATGGCCTGCAACACCATTGCGGTCCTCGGAGATTCTGATGTCGGTATAAGCGGAACAACGGCAAAATGTGGAATATGGTTGGATGTATGCCCAAACAGTCAATTAATTGAGAGCTCTGACGCCAGCGCACGTGAAAGCGGGACACTGGAAATGTTTTGTCTGTAGGACAAGGATGGCACGGTGCAAAGTGTTAGCGCCGGCATGAGGGGTGGTGGTGGTCCCCTCTCCTCTACCAAAATTGGATCATGCCTGTCACCCAATTGGAGGTTTCCTCTTAGACAAGCACCATCATGAAAGTACACATGTACATACAGCTCGAATGCGTGATGATACTTCAGCTTTGGCCAAAAAAAAAGCCGCTAGCAGTTGATTCATACAGTCATCGCCAATTGATATGCAAGCTTCAAAGTCCCCGCTCTCATCCCGAGTAGACCATGGGCGGCTTGGAATGGCTGGACTCGAAAAATGCATACTGACATCACGACAAAAGCACGACGGGTAGCTTTGGTATGCATCTCACCACCACAACTTCCTCCCTCTTCAACCTGACTTTTTGTCCTTCATGAAACATACCCAAATCCCACAATGTCACCACAACTCAGCATCTCCTCGGCACTCTCCCTAGCAAACTCCAAACACAAAATTCCCCAAATAGGCTTCGGAGTCTACCTATCACCGGCCTCGACCTGCGTATCCTCATGCATCACTGCGCTACAAGCTGGCTACCGTCACATCGACACGGCAATCTACTATGGTAACGAAACCGAAGTAGGTCGCGCCCTACTCTCTTCCAAGATTCCGCGCTCTGAAGTCTTCGTCACCACCAAAATTCTCTCGCCCGGGAAAGATGTCGAATCTACATACGCGATGGTGGAGGAGAGTGTGAAGAAGCTGGGCGGGGAGGATGGGTACGTGGATTTATTTCTTATCCACAGTCCAAATGGAGGGAAGGAGGGAAGACGGTTGATGTGGCTTGCGCTGGAGAAGGCGAGAGAGGCGGGCAAAGTGAGGGATATCGGTGTCTCCAATTATGGGATTGGGCATATTGAGGAAATCAAGAAGATTGGAAAGGTTTGGCCGCCGAGTGTGAACCAGATCGAGGTATGCAAGACCTGCCATCCCGAACCCATCTCCAACTCCCACCTTGATGTAAGAACAAATTGGAGCCCCGCTAATAGTGATTTTTTTACTGTAGCTTCACCCGTGGTGTCAGCAAAGAGAGATAGTGCAGTACTGCAACGACAACAACATTGTCATCGAAGCCTACTGCCCCCTCGTTCGCAACCAAAAGGCCGAGGACAAAACTCTGAAAAGCATCGCCGAGAAACACGGCAAGGAGCCGAATCAGGTTCTTGTGAGATACTGTCTGCAAAAGGGATGGGTGCCACTGCCCAAGAGTGATACCCCGTCGCGCATTGAAGGTAATGCGGATGTATATGGGTTTGAGTTGGACGGAGGGGATATGGAAAAGTTGGATGGGCTAGATCAGGGCAAAGAGGGCGCGATTGTACAGGCTGTCAACAACTCTAATGCTTGAAACGGAGAGTGGTATCGGCGTGCATACTGGTCCTGGAATGACCGTCTACCATGACTGTGGCAGAGACAGAGTGAAAAAGCACGGATGCATGAGGCCCCAAAGTCAATTTGAATAGAGATAAGTGCAATCTACCCCTGAAGGCAGGCGGCAAACAAAGAATGGTGTTCTAAAAAGCGTTGATTTGAAATCAACGAGCAAAAAAAGGCCCCAAAGTCAATCACAACCAAAAGAACCGTTCAGATATCTCGTGATTGTCTCCACATCATCGTTTTACTTGGAGCACTCGATACTTGGAGGCCCGTCACGGTCATCGATGTCGACCAGTCGTTTCTATTTCTCTAGCTGCATGTCTATGTTACCGTTTCTCCGGATGGTATATACGGCAACTCAATAAGGAGTCTGACGAAAGAATGGCAGTACCGGCCTCAACACGTCCCCGCCCATCACTTTCTGTCCTCGGAGTTTATATTGTTATTCTTGGTCTCCACCGTATATCCCCATCAAAATAGCCTGCATATTCATTTTGCGAACATTCCGGGCCGAGCAAGAGCAGGTAATATGTTCGTCAAAACGAACCATCCGGGTTACAGCTCCGGGACGAGTCGCCCAACGGCCGCAAGGACTGCTGGCTTATCACTAGCCTGAGGTAAACGCGACAGGAAGAGAAAACAAAAGAGCGGAAGCGAAGGCGGCCAAGAAAGACGGGATTAGCAAGATTAGGAGGCTGACTGATGATCGTTTTCCTCCGACAATCTTCGCAGTAAGCGATGTGCGAAGAAAGATCTGCGAGTTGCTGAATAATGTCTTCCAGTTCCGTGGAGCACCCCCCACGCGTGCCAAACGAGGCTTTGGTTGGGAGGCTGCTTTTTCCCATCTATACACGACATTTTCTCTTTTGCGTGGAGTCGGACTTAGGATAGATGTTCATGATAGCTTGGTCAAAAGGAACCTGTGAAGGATGAGATGACCAGAAGCAGCCAATCATAGGCATTAGAGTCTGGTCAACCTCGATGGAATTTCAACACCTGTGTGGCTTTTCTCCCTCAACAACACGGCCTTGTTCGTTCGTCTCCACAAGCCAACAACGCACTTCATCATTGTCCATCGCCGAATCGCGGCATCTGACTCACGTAGGTGCTCGTAATTGCAGATCTGGCGCTAGCGGGTGCGCGATGCATCGCTAAAGGGTTTCAACTTTTTGTTTGGCTTGACTATCCGCTTGCGGTGCTAAAATTCTCGATATGACGAAATCACGGGTTAAATCCGTTGACCCCGAGCCCTACATTTCGCATTTGTCAACATGGCGATTGCGCAGGGCCTTAGATAATCCTCCCAGTATGCCTGCCTCGAAACTCTTGTCTTGCACCTCCTCTGACCCAATCGTCCATCCTCGCCATTCTTCTTTCTGCTCTGTTCCCTCCTGTCTACTGTCACACGCATACATTCCACGTGTGCATAGGTAGGTAAATCAGCCTCAACATGTGGGGATCCAACCTTCCTCAGTCGCAAGACGACGAGAGACCGCGCAACCCTTGGCACAATGAAGCTGAGCGTCCTGAGCATTTGCCACTTGAGCCAGAAGTCCCTCTGAGCGCGGTGGGAAGTGAGAGTGATGGCAGCCGGGAAAGTCCAGACAGAAGCGGTACATGGGGGGAAAGAGATGCCGGTAACTTCAACGCCCAAGCTGCACTTCAAGACTTTGAAGTTCTACGGCAGACGCTGAGCACCATGTCGAGAACCAAATCTCATGCTCCCGAGGAACGTCCTGAAGGCCTGAGGAAAGTCGCCAGCCGGAAAAGCACAAGAAGAAGTGTGGATCGACGAGCATCTGTTGCCCAGACAGAAGACGGAGCTGATGATGTTGAAGCTACTGCTGTCGAAAAGGAAGACGATTTTGAACTGAGCGAATTTATGAAGGAAGGCCATTTCGAGAAGAGGACTGCTGGTCAATCAGCAAAGAAAGTTGGTGTCGTCTGGAGGAACCTCACTGTCAAAGGCGTGGGCTCGACTGCCATGTTCGTGCGAACACTCCCTGATGCTATATTGGGAACCTTCGGTCCCGACTTATACAAAATCGTCTCCGGATTCATACCTGCGTTGAGACTAGGACGGCACTCGCAAACGCGGACTCTGATACATGACTATTCGGGTCTTTTGAAAGATGGCCAGATGATGCTTGTTCTCGGGCGACCTGGATCTGGGTGCAGTACCTTCCTGAAAACTATCGCCAACGATCGCGAAAGCTATGCCTCGGTCGATGGGCATGTGTCCTATGGTGGCATCCTCGCTGATAAGCAGAAGAAGAGGTTCCGTGGCGAAGTCAATTACAATCCCGAGGACGATACTCATTTCGCGAACCTGAACGTATGGCAGACACTGTACTTTGCCCTGTTGAATAAGACAAAGAAGAAAGAGAAGGATGAGATACCGGTTATATTGAATGCTTTACTGAAGATATTCGGCATTTCGCACACAAAGTATACGCCAGTCGGCGACGCGTTCGTTCGTGGCGTGAGTGGCGGAGAGCGCAAGCGGGTTTCAATTGCCGAAACTCTGGCCACGAAGTCCACAGTAGTTTGCTGGGACAACTCAACGCGTGGGTTGGATGCATCCACGGCGCTCGACTACGCGAAGAGTCTTAGGATCATGACAGATATAAGCAACCGGACCACGTTCGTCACGCTTTACCAAGCCGGTGAAGGGATATACGAGCTTATGGACAAGGTCATGGTCATTGACCAGGGACGTTGCGTGTACGAAGGTCCCGCAGACGAGGCAAAAGATTACTTTGTTCAATTAGGTTTTCACTGTCCTGACCGGCAAACCACCGCCGACTTCCTCACTGCCGTCACGGACCCTACGGAAAGGCAGTTTCGGGAGGGCTGTGAAGCTTCTGCGCCGAAAACGCCAGAGGAGCTTGAAGCAGCATTCAGACGCTCCGAGATCTACAAGCGCGTACAAAACGAAATCACACAATACGAAGAGGACCTCAAAAGAAGCGACTACGAGAATGCCAAAGAATTCGAGGGGGCAGTGCACGAAAGCAAATCAAAGACTGTGTCGAAGAAGTCTCCTTTCACTGTCAGTTTTATTCGTCAAGTGTGGGCTTGCACTCAGCGCGAGTTCTGGTTGACCTGGGGTGACAAGACCACTCTTTACACAAAGTTCTTCATCATAATCAGTAACGGTTTGATTGTCGGCAGTCTGTTTTATGGCGAGAGCTTGAACACGTCTGGCGCTTTCAGTAGAGGTGGCGCTGTTTTCTTTTCGATTCTTTTCTTGGGCTGGCTCCAACTGAGTGAGTTGATGAAGGCGGTATCTGGACGAGCTGTTGTCAAGAGGCATAAAGAGTATGCATTCTACAGGCCGAGCGCTGTCGTGGTTGCAAGAGTCGTCCAGGATTTCCCACTTCTTCTGGCTCAAGTCATTCCCTTTTGCCTCATCATGTACTTCATGACTGAGCTCGATATCAACGTCTCGAAATTCTGGATCTACTTGCTCTTCGTCTTCACAACAACTTTCTCTATCACTTCACTCTACCGCATGTTCGCATCGCTATCTCCAAACATCGACGACGCCGTTCGGTTCTCGGGTATAGCCCTCAACCTGTTGATCATCTACGTGGGCTATGTCATTCCCAAACCACAACTGCTTTCCGATTACATATGGTTCGGTTGGCTCTACTGGGTCAATCCAATCTCTTATTCGTTTGAAGGCGTATTGTCCAATGAGTTCTCGGACAGGACTATGGAATGCGACGCAAGTCAGCTCGTACCCCAGGGGCCTGGAATCGATCCAGCTTTTCAAGGGTGCAGTTTGACGGGCGCTGCTCCAAATGCGCAAACAGTCACCGGTGCCGCGTATCTCCAGACAAGCTTCAACTACTCTAGAAGCAACCTCTGGAGAAACTTTGGCGTTGTGATTGCTTTTACAGTATTATACCTGCTGGTGACTGTATTTGCCACAGAGATGTTCTCATTCTCTGCCGAAGGCGGAGGTGCTCTCATTTTCAAGAAGTCGAAACAAGCCAAGAAAGCCGTAGAGCAAGCTCCTGCCGATGAGGAGAAAGGCGCGGAAAGCGGTCTCAATCCTAGCGATTCATCATCGTCGGCTCCTCAAGAAGAAGACAAGGCATTGGCCGGAATCTCCAGTAGCAAAAGCATCTTCACATGGCAAGATGTCGAATATACAGTCCCTTACCAAGGTGGCGAGAAAAGAATCCTGAACAAAGTCAACGGTTATGCTAAACCCGGAGTAATGGTCGCCCTGATGGGTGCTTCTGGAGCTGGAAAGACTACGCTTCTTAACACGCTATCACAACGTCAGACTACTGGCGTTGTGTCAGGCTCCATGCTCGTCGATGGCAAAGCCTTGGGCCGAGACTTTCAGCGTGGGACCGGGTTCTGTGAACAAATGGATCTCCACGATGGTACGGCCACGATTCGTGAAGCGCTCGAGTTCTCCGCCATTCTCCGTCAAGACAAGGACATCCCACGCCAGGAGAAGATCGATTACGTTGACACCATAATTGACCTGTTGGAGCTGCATTCTATCCAGGATGCGTTGGTTGGAAGCCTTGGGGTGGAACAAAAGAAGAGGCTGACCATCGGAGTGGAACTGGCCGCTAAGCCATCGTTACTACTCTTTTTGGATGAGCCGACCAGTGGTCTGGACAGCAACAGCGCTTATTCCATTGTTCGTTTCCTGAAAAAGCTCTCCGCTGCCGGCCAAGCGATTGTCTGTACCATTCACCAGCCCTCCTCCGTCCTGATCCAGCAATTCGATATGATACTGGCCTTGAATCCAGGAGGCAACACCTTCTACTTTGGACCGGTCGGAGATAACGGCAAAGACGTCATCAAATACTTCGCGGACAGAGGTGCGAAGTGTCCACCAAGAAAGAATGTCGCTGAATTCATACTCGAAACTGCTGCCAAACCTATCAAGCGCAACGGAAAGAAGATCAACTGGGATGAAGAGTGGAAAACATCCTCCAACAACAGCGAGCTCATCAAGGAAATTGAGAGGATAAAGTCGAGTCGCAGCCAAGAGACGCCTGAATCACACCATGAGGAGCGCGAGTTCGCGGCACCGGTTTGGCTGCAAACTACAATGTTAACGAAGAGAGTGTTCACGCAGTACTGGCGCGATCCCTCCTACCTATACGGAAAACTCTTCGTTGCAGTTATCGTGGGAATTTTCAACGGGTTTACGTTCTACCAGCTCGGCAACACGATCGGGGATATGCAAAATCGCATGTTCACAGCCTTCTTGATTCTCCTCATCCCTCCCACCATTGTCAACGCCGTGGTGCCCAAATTCTACCAGAATCTGTCGCTCTGGCAATCCCGTGAATTACCCTCGCGCATTTACGGCTTCTTTGCGTTCACCACCGCTCAAGTCGTCGCCGAGATCCCCATCGCTATCGTGTCATCGGTCATATACTGGCTCCTTTGGTACTATCCCACGGGTCTACCTACAGATAGCAGTACCGCTGGCTATGTGTTCCTCATGACGATGCTATTCTACCTGTTCATCTCGAGCTGGGGACAGTGGATCTGCGCGTTCGCACCGAGTTTCACAGTCATCTCGAACGTGCTGCCATTCTTCTTTGTCATGTTCTCGCTGTTCAACGGCGTTGTGCGCTCTTACAACGAGATGCCCGTTTTTTGGTACGTAACTCCCAAGCATCGATTCCAAGATTGCCACAATCCTTGAGACAGCATCGCTAACACTGTAAACTAGGAGATACTGGATGTACTACGTCAACCCTTCCACGTACTGGATCGGCGGTGTCCTCGCCGCGACCCTCCGCTCGCAACCCGTCCAATGCCAACCCACCGAAACAGCGCAATTCGACGTCCCCGCCGGCGAAACGTGCGCCTCATACGCAGGCGCATTCGTCTCGCAGGCCCCGGGCTACCTCCTCAACCCGGACGCCACCGCTGGCTGCATGTACTGCCCGTACTCGACCGGCGACGATTACCTCACCACGCTCAACATCAACCCCGGCGACAAGTGGCGCGACTTTGGCATCTTCCTCGCCTTCTGCGTGAGCAACTGGGCGCTTGTGTATTTCTTTGTTTGGAGTGTGAGGATCAAGGGGTGGAGCTTTGGGTTTGGGGCTGTGGGGAGGGCCGTTGGCAAAGTCGTCAGGAGGGGAAAAGGGAAAGGGAAGGCTGGGAATAACGACGAGTGATGAGGACCTGTTTGTCTAAGGAGGCCAAACAAAAAAAACTAAAAGTTTCTCCGGCTTGTCTGGTTCTTTTGCATCATCCCCCCTGTTCAGCGTTACGCTGGAGTTATTATTAGAGATTCGGATGGCGCTGTAGCTGTAATCATATATGTGAGAGGAGGGGGGTCGGAGGGAAATAAGGGATACATAACTATTGTTCCGGAGACGTCGGATTCTATACAAGAAATTTAATTGAGAAAAAACTTTTCAAATCGAAAGAAAGAAGGGATATTGTTGATATACCGGTATACGCAATCCACAATCCATGCCCAGTGATAACCACTTCCCACCCTCATCCCATATGTCTAGGAAAGTGTGTTTGTTCCTCATAATTCAACGCGATTCTAATCACCGAGTTTATAACTGAACTGAGGGATGGGGGAAGTACCGGTATGGTCCGGTTTCAATTCAGATTGTAATAACGCAGCGCAAGGAAGTGAGGAAAGACGAGGGTGGTGAACGACGTGGACGGAAACCATTTTCTCTCTCTGTGACAAACTTTGTTGCTTTTCTTTCGGAGTTACACGTGTAGGTGGGTGTCAAGGTGGGACGGACTGTGGAAGAATGTTGCTTTTTCGTTTCTTCATAAAAAGATAAAAAATAAATCCCAAGTCTCCGGGGGAGGGGGGTTTTTTTTTTCTCGGGTGACTGAGGGCTCGTTTACATGTATGACTCAGAAAGAAGAAGAAGAAAAAAGAAGAAGCAAAAGAAAAAAGAAAGGAGCGGGGGAGATGTAGTAAGGGGCGTGGTCAGGAGGCACATCACGATGCTAAAGCATACATGTTGATATGTGGGCAGAAGAGGAAAGAGGACTTTTAAGAGCATTTAAAGATCACTGGCACGTACATGCAACGGATATTTGTGGGTTTGCATGCAGAGAAGGAAAAGGTATGATGGTCGGATGTGATTAGGTTGAATTTGGCCTTCCGTGGGTATCATCTATCTATTGTTATCTTTTTTTTTACAATCTATTAAATGTTATGTATTTTTCTTTTTCCCTCGGCCCTTTGATAGGGACACCTGATCCTTTTGCCTAGAACCCGTGTGTACAGAGAAAAAAAAGATTTCTAGCCTCGACTTCAAACAAGAAAGACAGGAAGGAGGTTGATGTGGAATGAATGCATGCGAGAACGCTTCGAAAATATGTAGAATGCCAGATAGAAACACAAAAAAGCCTGAATGGGGCAATATCTCGCAAGAGAAAGGGAAAGAGAAGGAGGGAGGACTAGAACTTCGTAGTAAACCTCGGATTCGTCCGTATCCTCTCGCCGTAAAACCGAAAAGCAACGGGGACAGGCAAAAGCGCCAACGCGATGAACGCAAGCAGTGAGTTCCCCCAGCCCAGTCCCAGTTTATCGAAGAGAGCTAAACCGGACAATGGCAAGAAAGCCCCGAAGATTGATCTTAGGACTGTATTCGCCGCCACAGCTGACGCGGCGTGGATCGTGAAGGCGTCGATGAGGTACGTCTGAATAGTCATGAGCGCGGTCAAGTTTCCGTATCCCACAAACGCGGTAGCGAGGATAGGCACGATCCAGTGGATCTGGTATTGGGTAGTCCAGCCGTAGATGAAGACGCCCGCGGGGAGGAGAATAGCACCGGGCACCGAGAGGAGGAGGTCGAGACGGTGTTCTGGTTTCATGTCTCCGACTGCTTGTTGCCTCTTTACGATTTTGTCGGACATGACGCCCAGGAAACCCATGCCGACGAGGAGACCGCCACCGAGGCCGAGATACGAAAGCCCGACCATGCCAGAAGAGAAGTGGTACTGGCCTTCGAAAACAAAGGTGAGGGTTGTAAAGAACTGGTACATGATGCCGTAGTAGATGGCAACATAAGTAGAGGTGAGGAGAACGATAGGGGAGAGGAAGAGCATTTTCATGGGGCGCACAATGCTGCGGGTGAAGATTGCGCGCGGGGGGATGTCAAGGGCGAGTTTAGAACGTAAGTTTTGGTTCCCCGTCTCTTTGCGGAGGCGTGCAGCTTTGGCGGCGAGGATAGTCGGGTGGTACGTTTCACTGCCGACAAAGTAGAAGAGGATGGTGAAGAGTCCGGCAGCAATGACGAGGACCCAGTACACCCATCGCCATCCTTCGGCTTCGACCAGGAATCCGCCGGCAACGGGTCCCAGGACAGGTCCGAGGAGCGGACCGACTGACCAGATAGCCATGGCGCCTGCACGTTCGGCGGGAGGGAAGATGTCTGCGACGGTTCCGCCTCCGATGGTTAATGGAGCGGCGCCGGCCGCGCCAGCTAGTAATCGAAACGCGATGAGCATGCCCATGCTGTTACTGACTCCGCAACAGACGCTGAAGATGACGAAAAGGACATTGCAGGCATTGTAGATCCAGAACCTGCCATACAGCTCGGACATGGGGGCGATGATGAGGGGGCCAATGGCGAATCCGAAGATGTAGATGGACACGACCAGACTGGCGATGATGTTTGAAGATTCGTGGAAATCAGCCATGACTTGCGGCACCCCGGGCGCGAAGAAGGAGGAACCGAGAGGCGTCACCAGGGTCACCAAGCCAAGGATGGCAATCAAACGCCATTTCTTCGCCTTGGTCCAGTTTTGAGGGTTCTCTGGGTCGTCAGGTCCATCCCAATCTACCAGGTCGGGATCGAGTTCAGGTGACTGTTGGGCCTGTGGTTGCTGTTGTTCTGATGGCGGTTCTGCATGTCCAAGGGTGCGCTCGTCGCTGTGGGTGGATACAGCGGTGCTGGCAGGGGCCTTTTCGCTATCATATGTGTTTGTGGTGGACATGGTGGGAGGCGCAACGGTTGGGATACCCTACGCCGTACATGTACCTTGAGTGTGCGTAGCTGGTATGTACTGTGCAGATGTCGAGGGCTTGTGGAGAGAGAGAGATAGATGGAGAGAAAGTAAAAACCGAGACAAGCAATCTGGGCAGGGCTTGGGACCGCGGTGTCTCTTATTTAGGATAAACTGGCGGGAAGGGCTCAAGGGAGCTTCTTATGTCCGATGCTCCGCGTTCGCATCCTTCGCTCCAAGCCCGCTAGGGAAGGAGGAGGACTCGCTTTGCCAGGCTCCGAGGAAGGTAAGGGAAGGGGAAAAAAGTGGCGTCCATGGTCCAAGATAGCGTTTGTTCTCGTTTCTATGGGCCAAGCACGATGCCACTGGATGGGGTCGCGATGGGTCTCAATGGGTGGATGGATGGAGGGTGGTGGTGATGCATATCCGATCCTCCGTGGTTGGCCATGGCATCGGACGGGTGCATTTCGCAAGCATACCTGCCCTGCTACTTACTGCTGCATGGGCTTTGAGGCGCGCGGCTGACTGACCAGGGTTCGGTTTTTCGTCCGGTCCTGCGATTGTTCTTCCATGGCTGAATGGCTGATCGGTCATGATGGCATCAACTTTTGGACGTGGTCCTATGAGGCTGGGTTAACAAGACACCATGACGATCATGTACTGCACACATCACTTCCCGGGCATGCATCCACTGATGCTCGAGACAGACGGCCTGGAGTTGTCACCCATCAATCTGCGCGGCCAGAACTGCAACCATTCTTCCCAAGAACCAGGCCCTGATTGATGGATTGACTGTACGGCCAAGGCTAAGCCGCGTGTACGGTCAATACGGCAGATCAGGCTCGTGCGTCCCAACGCCTCCACGTTGGCATTGCGTTAGCCGGCACTAGCCTTAGCCTGGTCCTCCCGGTCATCAATATAGACAGCTCCAGTCGAGACAAAAACAACATTCGAATCAAATAAACACCATCAAAACATCTCGCAAACGCAATGCACACACATTCCCAGAAACAAAGTGGTATTCCGTCTTCCTCCAGACACCCGCTAACAAATTTACACAATGCGCCCTGCCCTCGTGCCAGAGAATCGCTGAACAATGCCCCCATGGTATATCGTCTCCTGAGAATAGAGAAAAAGAGAGAGAGAAACGTGAGGAAGAAACGCCCTTTGAATGCTCCTGTTCATTCCGCTTTTGCCGTCATAAATGCCATATCGTAACCCTCCTCGCCAAATAAAGAAACACACGTCATCAGTGACAGGCCTCCTGTTCCACTGAAACCAAATGCAAAGTGGAATCAATCGTCAGCCCACCCGGCACAGTGCTGCATCTCGCTGATTCCCGAGACACCGTGCTACTCAGATAAGAGATGTGACCATCATGGGGTTCATACCGCGCGCATTCGCATCCAGTGGTACATCGAAGCCCGCTGACCCCATCGAGTTCTGTCTACCTCGGAAGTAACTGTTGCTGTACGCTGACGGAGGAGCTTGATAAGCCCCTAGAGGCTGACCTACTACTCCAGGTGAAGCCGCCGCCATCTGCCGATTGCTTCGCCGCCGTGACAGCCCGGGCGATGGAACCGCCGTTACATGCGACGAGCCCGATTGATTCGACTCGTTCGAGCTGCTTCTTGCATGCTGCGGACCCGCTACAGTTGCTGCCTCCACCGGCGATCCTGGTGCAGCACCGGATCGCCTGAAACCCTGGATAAAGGGATTGTTGCGCGAGGGTGCCGCATTGGATTGTCCCAGAGCTTGTCGTCTATTGTTGACCAGCTCCCGTGCTCGAGCCGTTGTTTCTTCCTGCGTGAGTCTGCTAGGACGTGGTGCGGAAGAATTCGTGGGGGGTGTCGCTGAGGTGGGCGACTGTGGTGGCCGAGCTTGCTCGCTTGCTCTCAACGTACGTGTTGAACTTTGCGAGTTTAGCCGTCGACGAGAGGGTTGTGCTCGTAGCTCACTTCGTGAAGACTGAGGTCTGACGCCTTGCGGTGATGTCAACGCGTCCCGCAGATTCACTCGAGAGACAGGAGCACGGAGCGTGGCAGTTGAAGATTGTTCCCGTAGCACCTGGCGCGAGTTCCGAGCCCTGACACCCCTCGGCTGCACGAACGCACCCCAAGGGTTTCCCATGACTTGTTGTGGAAAAATTCGACCTTGAATGTTCAATCCAACATTGGTGTGGGGGAAATTGGCATACACAGGCGAGAATCCCGCTGAATTGCGTCGCCCCGCAGCTGAAGTTGGTCGTGCGCTCACTCGGCTTGGCGGGCGATCTCCCACCTCCATTGGACTCACGGTGCTTGATCGTTCAGATGCCGATGATGTGCTGGGGGTTGGAATCCCTGAGCCACTGCTCGTCGATGAAGCTGTAGATGGGCGCTGGGCGTTGGGGTTGGCGTTGGCATCTGCAATAGTCTCCAACAAGCTGGTCGGTGGTGCATTTCGCCTGGGAGGGGAAGCAGGGGAACGAAAGTTGATGGGTGCGTTTGATGAATTGTTCATGTTTGGTGTGCGTAGACGAGTAGGAGCCATGAAGGGTGAATAGGCTTGTGCTGGGCTGGGCCGATTGCGGTTGGCTGTGCGTGGGCGAGTGATGATGGGAGTAATAGAGCGAGGCTCGAGATCCAGAAGGGGCCCTCCTCCTTGAAGCTCCATGAGAGCACGCTGATGGTCAGCAAACAGCCTGCTAATGCGAGGATTGTATTCCTGGTGAGGTCTACGGAGATCTCCCGAATCCGAAGTGTCTGAATGATCATCTGCATCTGTGCCAGCTGAAGCACCCTGAGGTAGATCACGGGGGGTTGGACGATAATCGGAGGCTCGAAACGCCGCGGCGTTGCGCATCTGCACGCCGGAGCGGCGACTACGGAGATTACGTATGGCTGCTCTAGTGATGTCGCCGTCAAGGTCGGAGTCGTCATCATCAGCTTCTCCATCTTCATAATTCATCGTCGGAGACGGTAAAAGGGAAGGTCGTTGTCGCAAAGGATTCCCTACACGCGAGGGCGGACGTATCGTGGGATTAAGCCGGGGTCGATCTGCAGTAGGTGTTAGAGAACCGCCCATTCGTACTCTGTCATTGGAAATCGCGGTCGCATCCCACCCGACTGTCGTTCGCCCCCCATCACTACTGCCATCATCTTCTTCGTCATCCTCCCCCTGGTCATCCATCCCATTGTGTTGGAGCATCCAACCCTCTGCTTGCAATAGTGCCTGCGTATCCTCATCCAATTCATCTATCGAGACATCAGTCGATGTCGACGACGGAGGGCCGTTGGGCTCTTGTGAACCGTTTGCGCGGTTCAATATGCGGGTTTGTGCCCGATTTCTTTGGCCTCGCCGAATAGGACCTTGATCCTCTTCGTCTTCGTCCTCCTCGGCGACGCTAGAAATAGTAGAAGACGACTCTGATTCGACCACACGCCTGTTTCTTGCCTGGAATCCGGCCCTCGCAGAAGAAGGCTGTGGAGTTTGGCTAGCAGCGGATGAGCCACCCGGAGAACTGACTGACTCTCTCCCATCTTCGTCGTCTATGAAGTCATTCATGGAAGAATCCTCATCGATGGCTTCCTCGTCTTCCTCCTGTACGGTGTCCATGTCATCCGTGTACATGTCAGAAATGATACTCGGCGAATACAATCGGCGACTACCAGCTTCGCTGTGGCTCAGCGGTCGACGGCGTGCAAATGCTGCTTGAGGGGGGAATCCCTGCCCCAAAAATCGCTCCATGGTGAAGTTGACTTCGTCGGGATAATAATCGCCCCAACCCTCCGGCCCATAACCATCGTAGCCGTCAAAGTCAGCGTCGTCCATTTCCATTTCCGCGTCCAAGTCTTCTCCGGACATGTCCCGTTCCGATAATTCGTCCATATCACTGAAGCCAGTGAAACTATCGGTCCAGGTCAACTCGCCATTATCGTCAAACAGAAGGCCACACTGGATGCATTCGCCATCCTCAAGCTCCCAAGAACAGACGGGGCAGCGATCCACACCATCATCCTGGTCCCGGATTGCGTGAAGCGGCGGGGGCCGGGCCACCTGAGGTCTGAAGCAGCCTTTGAACAGACCGCCGTGGCGGTGGTCGGTGTTGTCCTTATCTTGCTGCACGACATCGGCCTCCTCTTTCGACCATTTGGTGTGCTGCTCAATGGTCTCGCCAGTGGGCAACAGCTCTGCTCGAGCGATGAACATGGTGGTCATGTCGCGGATCTGAATCATGTAAGCAATGGATCCATGTTGGAACAAGGGATGCATACAATGTAGGCCGGAGCTGGCGCTTGGCTTACGGCGGTACGACAGTCGGGGCATGTTTTGCGGGCCTTGTTGTTGACAAACCAGGTACATAGGCACTGCATGCGTCAGTTGAGGAAGAATGCAGCAGATGGGGGGGAGTTACGCTGTAGCAATATGTGTGGCCGCATGCTATTGTGTAAGGCTGGTATAGCAGACGGTCGCATATCTTGCACGTGAGGTGTGAGCGCAGACTGTCAAAGTCGGATTTCAGCACCTTGAGTTGCTGTGACACATGGGTTAGCGGGTTTTGTCTTGTTGCTACATTCATGTATTCCTTGCTGCACTGTTTGTGTGCATGGTTTCTCTGTTTCGCTCCGAGGCTTTGCGTGGGGTGCAGCTCACCTCTTCCGACTTGCTCGGCTGCTGCTGCTGCTGTTGCTTGAGAGCATCATCGGGCTTCTTGGGCATCTTCTGCTTCAAACTATCCTTGCTACCAGCGCGCGTGGGACGGTCAGACTCTGCGAGGCCTGCTTTGAGGGAGGTTCGGCTGGCCGAGGGCGTGGAGCCACGGGATTTTGGGTTGCTGGAGCCGGAGGGCATGTGCGAGGATGTGACGGATGAGGCGATGGATGACGAGGAATTCTTGGGACGGGCCGACGGCGGCATGGCCATGGTCGCTGGCGTGAGGTGGGATGTGGGTGTGGATGTAGGCGCAGCTGTAGAGGGCGCTGGAGGTGCGGCTGCTGCTCCCCTGGGAGGGGAAGGTGAGAGCGTCGTGTTCATCGTCACCGTCACCGCGCGGCGTCAACGTCCGCCACAGGCGGGCTGGTGCAACAACAGAAAATACGTCGAACAGCCAAGTTGAGTAGAAGAAACGAAACAGAAGGATGGGAGATTTTGTCCCGCAAATTCGTGACGGTAGAATGCACGCTTTTGGGATGAAAGCGGCAGCTCCCAGTGGGTGGGTAGGGTAGAGTTGAGTCGTGAGGCTAGAGCAGCAAAGTTGACAAGATGCGGAGTAACAGCAGCAGCCCAGTCACTGACAGTCAGGCAGTCAGGCAGTCTACACCACTTACCCCGTCCCTCTGGTAAGCGCTGTTGTCGTGCCGCCACTTTTCGCGCCCGGCCTGACTGGCCATTGGCCCGTCACCACTCAACCACCTGTGCCCGGGCAACCATCACCCATCATTCATCCATCATTCATCATAGCTATTGTGCAACGATAAAAAAAGAACACCAAATGATAACAAGCACTTCGATCCTAGTCTTCGTATCTGCTCTATATCATACGTAGGTACATACTAACTATCAATTTTATGTATCGTCTGGGCTTGTAGTACACCATCCATACACATGTACCATCATCTTGAATCTATATCCAGAACGCCAATACCCATCTTGCACATAGCGCCCAATCTGACAGTGCCGCTAGGAGCATGAACAATTTCGGGGCAGCCTAGCCAAGCCAACCTACTTTCCCAGTGGAGATCAACTCAACCCTCTGAAGCTTTCGTTCGAGTGGCCGTCACCAGTATACCCAGCACATTGCCATCCGCCTCCTAGACAATGTACCCCTTTTGAACTTTTCCCTCTTCTACCAGTTCACGGTCGCTCTGCTCTGCGAAACGTACCATCTTCCCGAGGAACTCCTTGTGTTCCAGCGTGTCCATGGCATCACCTCTCACCCGGTGAGCCCGCATCTTCTCGCGCTCGGCTTCCACACGCTCCTCCATCATCTTGAGTCGATACTCTGCGAAATCGTAGTACAGCTCAGAGAGATTAGACACTGGTCGAACCGTCCGTAACTCCGTGTCGTCGGGAGCCAAAGCTGATTTCGGACGGAAGCTAGTCACGGACGTGATGCGCTCTTGGGCGCCGCGAGCGCGCATGGCTTGGTGAAGAATGTATCGCCCCTGCAGCATGACTGCGCACCCTTGAGTCGGACCTCGAATCTTTATGATTCTGCCATCGGCTGTTCGCACTGCGGTTTCGCCTCCTACCATGCCAGTGCAGTCGCTCATCATGAGCACGCAAACGAATGGGTAGCTGTCAGTGTGCCATCCAACGATGGGTTTTTCATCATCATCCTCATCTGTCTTATTGTTGGACAAAGACTCTCTACTTGCGGATTGGTCTTTGCTTGCCGTCGTGACCTTCACCGAGTGGTTGATGTGGGCAATTTCGTAATCCATGGCTGGGACAATGTCAATGCCAGCAATGCTTGACATGAACTTTAGGGTATCGGGATGGTTCCAAGCTTCATAGGTAAATGGTGCGTGATCTTTAGCATAGCCCCTGAGTTGGCAAGCCGCAATATTGCTGCTAAAGCTGTGGTTCTTGTGGACTTGAGGCTTCTGAATCTCCTTCCGCATAATCTGGATGGCTTCAGGGGTGAAGAGTTGGAAGGCTTCCGAGGCAGCCATGGGGGATACGCCAATGTCTTTCTTGTATCCAAGGTCTGTCAGCAGGTGGACCTTCGAGGGTTGTTTTGCAACCAAGTGCAGCTTCGGATCGAATCGGTACATTCTTTTCACTGCTTTGCCCTTGGCTATCCGTGGGAGACTTTATAACCGCAATCTTTTGGCGAGCATCGTGGTCAGTCTAGGATACCTGGTATACTATGATGCTGGCGTATTTGATCTTGTACTCGGTTTTTGAGATTTGGTAGGCTGGCAATCGATTTGAGGCGGAGTGCTGTTGGTGATATCGGTGAATATCAAGAGTTGGAATTAGATTGTTGCTACCAGCAAATATAAGCTTCTACTTCGTTGTCGAGATGTGGTAGGTTGTCGAAAAGTTCGCGATTCTGTGCTGGCGATGTAAAGGGCTCTTGGTTGACTCGATGGTCCACAGCCCGGTGAGTCGTTTGAACTGGACATAAATGTGGCTGCACAGAGTCATACCTATGTAAACTTTTGGTATGATTAGGCGGCGTGGGGTATGCAGGCTGTTAATGGGTAGTACATACACAATGTGAGTGAAAGACTCAGACTTAGTGCGTGGTCATTACTCCATGCTTGAACCTCAATACATTGTATACGATTGAATTTTATGCAGGCAGCCAGGGCTTTTTCGACGGAAGACCTCTGGCCGTCCTCCCTTTATATCATAGTAGTACCATCCACGCGTTGATTAGACGCGAATGGCCAAGCACGCACAATCCGGATCAAGTCAGATCGGGTTCCGTGCAAATGCAACGGCGTGCATGCATCGTCGAATCGTATCACTCAGCCTATGTCACCAGTTGCCAGCAAAATCGTCTCAAATGACCTGATCATATGAAGACCGTCAGCACCAGGGAGTGTTTGCTCACTCCACTATCCTTCGTAATCGAAACGCCTAGCCTGGCCGCTCGTATAGAGTTACCATCAGTGACATCTCGAATGGATTGATGGTCGGATTAGCCCGGATGTCTCCGCACTGGGGAGTCTTCTTTCATTCCCAGCCCTACGGAGTTGCTCGGTTAATTGGTTCCAGCTTGAGTACTTTGGCCTTTCGACGGAAACCGGTCCATGGAGTCATCTCGTGCTCAGGCGACTCTGTAATAATCCCTCTGTTCACGGAAGCACAAGCCAGTACCGCGACACTACCCCGGATTCCATAAAACACGAAGTAGCTACCTTTGTTGAACGTTTCCAACAAAGCCTACTTATGAAGGGTTGGGGACTAGACCGTTCCATTCTTATGTTCGCGAAGAGTCTGGTTGGCGGATAGATATGTGCTCCCTGGCCGACGTCTGGACAGTCATAGGCTGGATGAGGTTTGTACGTTCATCATATAATGATTGAGGGTAAGCGGGTGCGGCGTTTTTCCAGTCATGATATCCTCAAATGGGACCTGCGGTATGGGAGAGTGGGAACAAAGAGCGCGCATTTGTGTATGATCAGTCCGCAGGATCTCACGTTTGAGGCTGAAAAGTTCGATACTGGACACTATCAACGGAGTGTGTTGATCATCGGGTCACTGATATTCTAGTATTGAAGCAGTTCACATTGTTCTCTGACAGTAGACATGTTGGTGCTGCATCTCATCAATTGATTGATCGCTATGCAACACGTGAACTTCATGTATACTAGGAAGGGCACTTGTTATTCGTCAGAATGTCTTGTTGGATGTGGAATCTTACATTCCCAAAGGATCAGTAGTGACAACGCGATTGTTCAGCTGCAAGTTGTTTCCCGTCAGCAACCATGAGTCCCAATCTCCTGGTGCTCTCGTGCGGCCTGTCAAGGCTGGAGAGCGACATATCGAAGGGGCTGAGTCAATGGCAGGAAGACACTTGAAAAGCACATGCTCATAGAAAACAAAGAAAAATCCTCAATCCAACGCGGATGCTGACAACCGCTCGGTACACGTCCGCCTGCAGTTAACAAAGTCAAGTTCAAGTCATCAATGTCCGCGCCCGAGGATACCCCGAGGATACCCCCGATCAATCTCCATGTCCGATAAGAAAGATCGACGTTAAACCCTCGTCACTTACCTACAAGCTTGCCAGTCCACCTACTCCCGCCCTAAAGCTCCGCAAAAGCAACACTCCGCACCTCGAAACCACACACGCACATACAATGTCTAATAAGGACTCCCCTTCAACCGACGCCCAATGGACCGGCGCAAATGCGACCAAATTCGAAAAGTACGTCCATCCGTTGTCGCGCGCAGAAACCTCTCCCGAGCAGCACCCCCGAAACAAAGCGGCGCATTCTCGAGAAGATGCTTGAAGAGAAATTTTTGGATTGTTCGCGTCATGATCTGACATTTGGATGTGTGATATAGTAAAGCATACTCGGAGTACTTTGATCCGTGTCAAGAGGCGGCGCAGAAGAGCATACGATGCCTGCACCGCAACGGAGGCGACAGAGAGATGTGTACGGATTTCTTCCAGTGAGGATACCCCCGACTCTTGTTCACGGTGGAGGAAGAAGACATAACCTGCAGGGGAGGGCTGGTGATTATACAGATCGGCTAAACGATGTACAGGGCATATCGGGATTGTAAGCTACAATGGGTACGTTGAAGGCTGATGAAATTGTTCGGATTTGTGGTAGATAATGTCATACTGACTTATTGTGGGACAGACGGCTGCGCGGAAGGAGGCTAGGAAGAAGAGTAGTTGGTTTGGGTGATTGATGTTTGGTTTTGGGAAGGTTATGGGGAAGCAACGACGTCTCTTTTCACATGTTATATACTCTCTACTCTACATATTGTACAGCGTCTGCCTTTTTTTTACGGGAGATGTACCCGAATTCTCATGAACACGCAGTTTTCTGATTGCCGAAAAATTGGTCGCAAAACGTTGTTCCACGAGAGAGTAAACACGCACAACAGCAAACTGCTCTGCCTTGAACACCAACTCGAAAGATAGAAGGCTGAAGATTGGTACGTTGATATATGTACCATATGTCTGTACCAATGCATTTTATACATGTAATTTTACAACCAGCAGTGCCCTATGCTTCGCTCAGACATGATCGGCGTACGTAAACTTCCTAGCGCCGCCTTGCTGGAATTGGGAGGAAGAATCGCGAGTAACGTTTGTGAACTGTAACGCCTTGTTCCAGTCAATCTTGTTCCACCAGTTCTCGAGATAATCCACTTTGCCCCTGACTCCGTAATCGTGCAGCCAAACATGTTCCCAGGTGTTGACGCAAAGGATCGGGGTAACATCGACACCGCCCAGAGGGCTTGCGGGCTTCTTGTCCGATTTCTGGGCACTGGAGTATTGACCAAAAGTACCGGCGGGATTGAGGCCTAAGTAGGAGTCGGCATTCTCCGTGTTCAGATCGTGTGACTGCTTCCTGTAATGGGCGCCACTCAACGGGCTTCCGGCCAGGTAGGTTGTCAGGATCTTCATCTTCGCGCCTTCGGAGGATTTGGTCTGGACCAACCACACGAAGCCCGGGCCAAACATGGCTTCAGCGGTGCCGATGAAGTCATCCTTGAATGTGTCCATGGAGTTGCTAAAGTGCTTTTTTATTTCCTTGACGAGATCTTGGCTAGGTATGGAATCGACACCGGGTGTGGCGTTTATGCCGGAGAAGAAGAAGTGGTTATTGAAAGCCATCGAGGCCAGATTGAACTGGTATGCCTTTGTGGGATCGCGGGCATAATTGACTGCGAGGGATTTGACATCCTGATTTTCGTCGGGGGTGCCTATAGATTGAGGTCAACAATTGGTCGTGGATGGATGCATGCATGCATCTATGAATGAGCGGACGAGTGGGTATCAGGGGCATTGTACCGTCCGTTATTATATTCAATTCATCGAGAATGTGCTGGTGGTATTGAGTGTATGCAATGTCGAAACCCCGAGGAGACAGGAGAGAGGGTATTCCGTTGGCCTGCAGCTCCGCATGGTTATCGAGGGCAGGGACTTTGTGGTGGCTGCGTGCAAGCAGTGGTGCAAAGGAGGATGCTGGTGTTGCAAAAGGCGAGGGCCTCGCTACGTGACGGGCGGCGAACAGTGAGGTGGGGATGGCATTGGGGCGGCGAGCCAGGGAGCGTATTATCATGATGGCGGAGGAGTGGTGGTGGGTTGGTGATGCGATTGACTGCCGTGCTGCGCTGTACTCAAGTGCCTTCTCTCTGAGCTACCGCGCGATTGCTTGGACGCTATCCTCTCGACTTTTTGTTAGCGCCACTTCGCCCGAGCGCCGCCAGCCAATCGTTTTGAGCCGCACCCTAGATCGTCAAAACCTCCAAACGCCGCTCGTGTGCAGCCGCCCTACCGATTCCCCAAGACTGGCCTGCATGTTTCAACCAGCCTATTCACCGCTCTGCATTCTTCTTCTTCCATCCGCCATGCTGGCATAGCCACTCATCGCCCTCGCTCATGTGCCACTGCTACGCGGGTTGCTGGCCCACTCCAATTCGGTGCCTGCTGTCCAGTCGGCGCCTCCTCTTCGCACACCATGGGCCGGTAGCGCCAGACCGCCTGGATGGGCATCGCACCCGTTTATAAATAAATCCTATATCAAAACATGCTCCCTTGACTGTTGTTTCTCTGCTCACTTGCGTTTCCTGGTTGTTTCCTCCTTTTGTTTCTTTCAACTGATTCCCCTTTTGCACTGTTTCCATTCTTGCTCTTCTCCATCTTGGATACCCATCCAGCATTCTTTCTTGTATTCTCGTCTTCAGATTACAAAATGGGTCCGCTGGCGGGCCGCAGATGGTCTCGCATACCATCACTCCTCCTCCTCGCCTCTACAATCCTACCCTCCATTCAGGCTTCCGCCATCTTCTCTCGCCAATCCAGTCAATGTGGTGGCAAGCCGGACCTTCAACAGTGTGGTGGAGACTTTCCCTCGGAATTTTGCTGCAGTGCCGACTCTACATGTACCAGGTTGAACTCTACCGACATCCAATCGGTCATATGCTGTCCCAAAGGCGAGAACTGCGACGCCATCCAGCCTCTTGATTGTGACGCCTCTCTCTACAACGCAACTCTACATCCCGAAAACCAGATTCACATCTCGGATACCGACGTCAAACTCCAAAAATGCGGCGCTTCGTGCTGCCCACCCGGCTACACTTGCAATGGAAACATCTGTATTGCTAGCAAACAAAAACCTTCTTCGTCCAGTTCCGCAACGCCCTCAGCCACCAAGCCGGCCTCTGCCTCTCAAACCGATGAGTGTCCGCCTGTCCCAACAGCACATGCAGCTCCGTCCTTTGACGGTAAAGCTTTCGCTGCCGGTTTCTTCCCAGGCATAGTCGTCGGTGCTCTCGGGGTAATCGGACTCATGTGGATCATCAAAAAACGCAAAAAGACCGATGAGAAACGCTATTCTGGAGACTTCGGCCATGTAGCGCGTACTATCAGTGATCCAATATATAATCCCATGTACAGTGACCGTACCGACTTCATCAGACGCCCATCACACTCCACCACCAACACCGCTCCGAGTGTCCAGAAGAACATCGGTACGCGTGCTGCGGGAGGCGGTGCAGTCGAAGGCTTCACACCCAGAATCAAGAGCATGTGGGACCGCACACCGAAGCTCGGCATAGGCGTCTGGAGTGGCCTCCCGACTACACCACAACCCACAGCACATAACGGGGATAGGGACCCATATAGAACCCCAGTCGCAGTACAGGAGCCCACACCCGAGCGAACTCGTTCCAAGCGGAGAAGGAAGAAGTCGAAGCGTACCACAGACGCCCTTAGCACGAGCTCCGAGACCATCGAAGTGTTGATGCCTCCTGCTGCGTCACTGGCTCCCGCTCCAGCTTTCCTGCAACCCCCCAAAGCACCTGGTATGCGCGAGAACCGCTTCACGCAGGATTCAGGTCATACCACTTTCACAAAACTGATGGAACGTGCTGGATATGGCGACGACACAACAAACGATGTCAGGAACTTCAGTTCTGGTCAGCAACGCAACTACTAGTTTGGCCACTAAACCCCAACGATGACGATCGGAGAAGTCGTTGCTGTCACTAAACTTCCTCCCTCATGTATATCTCATTTTTCTCTTCTTCACATCTAGACTGTGCCACTGGGAGGCTATGGTTGATATTGTTTATACTCTTAGCGCTGGATGTCCGCACTCTTTATACCTTTTGTAATCAAGTTTAATTCATGACACTCTTCAACAACGTCCAACTGTCTTTGCTTTCGTGTTGCTGCGTGAATTTTCTGCTCAGCAATGTAGGTTAACAAAATCCTTGGATTAAAAATAGATTTGTCATGCTGCAAGATGCTGATGAATTGGGAGATTTGCGAGAAACTTACTACGGACTTTGGGCCTTTGCTCTTCTTCCTTGACATGTACTCCTGAACAGCACAGCTTGTTTCTCATCCTTTAGATCCTTCTTTTCAATGGTTGCAACAGCTTGTGGTAAAATGCTTACCACTTCTGGAGATGAATCTTTTTGATATCGCCTAATTTTCTGTACTCAGACTTTTGTAGATACTATGTGAAAAAATCGTTTAACCTACTGTATCGTACCCTGCACGTATCTTTGCGTGAATGTTTTGTAATTCACTGTGTTTTTATACTGTGTTGTGCTAGATCTCATCGATCCCCATAGCCTCAAATCAATGCAAGTATCGCAAAAACTCCGCGTGAATACTCTTATGGAGGTGCCGTATGTTCAAACAACGGCGGAAATTAAATAAGTTCATCATGTTTCCTAATTTGACATCTACAGAAGAGGGATATCACCATATTTGGCTAGATCTCGCGAATGGGGCTGGGGACGATGGATTGCTATTTTCCGGCCCCAACACAGTACATTGCAGTCTCGCATGTATCCCAATGTAGAAATTAAGCTTGCGTTGCTCCCTCCAGAATGCTTACGTTTGACTACAATTACGCGGGGTTTACCTGCATCATGTGTAGATTGGTTGCAAATCCTTAATTCGTAGTGCAGCTCGGCAAATCTTATTCACACGAAGCTTGTCTTAGGGTACGATGAAAAACAAAACTATTTGCTTGCTTACTTTGATCCGTGTATACCTGGTGTTACCGTGAGGCGGAGTGAACATGACATGCAACTACTCGACCTATGTAACGAATGCGCGGGCCGAAAGCATTTGAGCGACAGTGGCAGATCTGCCAGATGTGTGGATTTTGACCACAACTCATATTTTCGTTGAACCAATCTGTGTGTCACTAAAAAATAAAGTACAAGGAAATACAGCTATTTTCACGGCTACTGGGACTGCCCCATAATTCGTCCCCCCATGAAGTACTCGAGAGTTATCGTTAAGCGCTACAGCTGAGTGAGACTCGCGGAGCTGTGACACATTCTCTTTCGGTCTAGAGCAGGGTCTCGGTGTTTTCCTTGTCAAGAATTTGGTCAGCGTGCATAGTGGGGCTGCACATGAGTTCTGGCTATGTACGAACCGAACCTTTTCGGGACCCGCGTGAACGTGTCGGATGTGACATGAGACATATGATGGCATCAAGAATAGCTCACTCTCGGCGGATAGATGACTGACAAGAGATATCCCCTGGAGCGGAGATTTCACTCAGCTCTTCCACTGCGCTGAACTATACTAACCGGATATTAAAAATTTCGTATTCACCTAATCGACCGCAGGGATCTGGACAACGTTTCATCATATCCAAGAATCATACGGAGCAGTATCATGTGCTCATTCCGAGTACAAAGTAATCATGGAGGGTATATATATGACCGTAGGCATATCCTTAAAAAACATCGCTTCAACTTCTCTTCAATCATTACATTCATTCGCTCATTATCGCCATTATTTTACATTCATTCACCAGACACTTTCCACTCCTCGACGACACATTCATTCAATCACTATCCCACTAATCGTCCTGAATCTATTTTTTATTGATAATCAAAGCAAAGCAAACAATCACCATGCTCTCCACCTTGAGGACCACATCCACGGCCATCGCCATTCTCTCGATTCTGGGCTTTGCCAGCGCCAAAGCTGATACGAGTAAGTGCCATAGTACCCGAGTAGAAAATCAACAACACTACGTTAAAACGCCTCGACTATAGGTCTTTGTGATGACGGTCCATTCGACAAGACCAAATCGTACGGCAAAGGGAACCCTGATCTAGTCTTCTGCGACACCAAATGGGACAAGGGTATCACCGTGACTGGAATCGAAGCCTGGGCATCCGAATTCCAGACCAAAGCCATTCAACTGTCCTATTCCGATGGCTCGAAAGGTCCCATCCACGGTGATGCCCAAAACACCGGAGAAAAGAATGGAGTTTGGTATAGCCACGAATCAGCCGGCTGGAAACAGTCGGATCCCGTCAAGAGCGTGAGCTTGGGTGCCAACAAATACGGAAACGGTGATGGTGTGGGAGTGGTCAGGATGGAAACGGGTGGAGGATCCGTGAACGTCAGGTCTGACGTCGGAACCTTCATGGGAGAACCACAACTAGTGAGCAGTGGAATCCTTATCGGCGCCACTGGGAGCTCTGGGACATGGCTGGATAGCCTTAGTCTCATGTTTTTGAAGTCGACGGTTGGAAAAGCGGAGATCGTTGAGATCAAGTTCCCTCAAACTCTGGATGAACTCAACAATAAGCAAGAGTAAGTACAAACCCAGCAATGCAACAGAGTAACACATCCTAACACATTCCATAGGGGCGTCGAAGAGATTACGGTGAAGACTGCGCAATACAAGAACAGTGGCGAGGAAGGTTCTGGGGACCAGGACTTTACCTTTGAAAACACAGTCACACAGGAGACTTCAACTTCCATCCAGCAGACCGAAGCCACCACCTTTGGAGCCGAAGTCTCCGTATCTGCCAGCGCCTCGGTCGGTGTTCCCATCTTCGCCCAAGCCACAATTGAAACCAAAGTCAGTGCCGGTTTCGAGAACACAAAGGTGTCCACGACCGGCGAAACAAAGAAAAGCGCCGACAGCTTGAAGTTCAGCCAGAAAGGTGTTATACCTCCTGGTAAGGGAGCAGAATGCACGGCAACAGCGCAGAGGGGTACCTACGAATCGGACTACACCAGCAAAGTCAGGATTACTTTGGATGGTGGCCAGGAGTTCTTTTTGACTCAAACTGGTCACGCTAAGAGCGTTGGATTCTCAGATGCTCAGACCGAGTGCAAAGTCGTTGATCTTAAGCATCTTGACCCAGAGGTTGAAGTGACCGAGGTGGCTGCGGAGACTAAGCGGGCCATTCGCTTCAGGGCTTAAAAGAAACGCAACTCAGTTGCGTTTCCGAGAGTACATATTGTTCATGATTGCGTTCAATATTTACGCAATTCCTTTAGGGCTCGATGCCTACTTCTTTGCCGTTATGCTTTTACTATTGTGTTTTATAGTTGCTAGATACTAAGGAATGGATGATCAAATCTGGCTTCGATGGATCTTCCTTTGCAGCTGGCAACCCACAGCAGTTTTCCGAAACTAACTACAGACCCGCAGATGCATTATGACAGCTTTGGCAAGAAGACCGGGAAATCTACTCTGCTTCCAGACCATGTCACATGTTCAGAAACAATTACACATATGTATGTACCTATGTACCTTGGCGTATAGGCAATTCTTGAGCCGTTAGCCTCCGGTCCCACTTGCTCCCCATCCAAGCCATGCCGACACGAACGTTTGTTTATATAACCAGGGTTCCGGGCTTGGAAAAGCTACGAGAAGCCCCAAAAGGAGGGGTCGACATGGATCTGCAAGATCACCAATTCTTCCGCCCCAGGAACACCAGATTCCCTCCAATTAACCGATATCATTATCCGTCACTTCACGCGTTAGTGACGCGCATCAACCCGGGGTTCTCACTCAATGTATGCAGTTTAACCGGGGACTCGGGCGCATGATGGCGAGATTTGTGGCGATCCAGGAAATCAATTACCTCTCGCCAAGTTGGCTCGGGGTTAATTAACGGCTCGCGTGGAATGGTTCTAGAAGTATAAATCGAAGAGCATGGAATCTTAATTGAGGGGTAGAGACAGGTCCGTTTGCTTCAATTGATACTGGCACCATGACTCGCTTTGGGGGATTGCTCGTTGCGGCTTCGTGCCTCACTTCGGCTCTTGCTGTCGATGTCCTTGTGAAATCATCGGGAGGCAACGAGACTGGCAAATTCGGTCACTCTTTCGGATACGGTTTCCTTCATGAGGCATGTTTTTCGACTCTCAACTTTCCAAATCGTAACTAATTGGGTCATAGGACATCAACAATTCCGGTGATGGTGGAATCTATGCAGAGTTGATCCAGAATCGTGCTTTCCAGTTCTCGCAGAAATACCCTGTTTCGACGGCACACTACTTCCCCATTAACCATGCAAACTTGAGCATCCAACAATTGGACCAGCCGCTATCCAAGGCACTGCCTGCATCTATGCGGGTGTCTGGAGGCAATGGCACTGGCAAGATTGGTTTCAAGAACGAAGGATACTGGGGTATGGATGTCAAGCAGCACACGTACACCGGCTCTTTCTGGGTCAAGGGCGCCTACAATGGATCCTTCACTGCCTCTCTTGAATCCAACTTGACCTCCGATGTTTTTGGAGAGGTCAAAGTGCCATCAAAGTCCGTTGCGGATGAGTGGACTGAGCACGAGTTCGAGCTCATCCCCACCAAGGATGCACCCAACTCCAACAACACTTTCTCCATTACCTTCGATCCAAAGAATGCGGTCGATGGCTCGCTGGACTTCAACCTCATCAGCTTGTTCCCACCGACGTACAAAGGCAGGAAGAACGGTCTTCGTGTTGACCTTGCCGAGGCTCTTGCTGATATGAACCCCGTAAGTTTCCGATATTTCTCAATTGAATTCAGATAGCTTCCACTAACATGTTATTATAGCATTTCCTTCGCTTCCCAGGTGGCAACATGCTTGAGGGTAACACCAATGCCACATGGTGGGACTGGAAAGACACGCTCGGCCCTCTAAAGGACCGTCCAGGTTTCGAAGGTGTGTGGAACTACCAGCAGACACACGGTCTTGGTATGATGGAGTACTTGGAGTGGGCCGAGGACATGGATTTGCAAATCAGTATGTAAACCTCCTTTCCCGTTCTAGATGCCGACGCATCGGAACTAACAATTATCCACTAGTCATCGGTGTGTGGGCGGGTCTTGCCCTCAACGGAGATGTCACTCCAGAATCTGATCTTCAACCATTCATCGACGATGCTTTGGACGAGATCGAATTCGTCGTTGGATCCGTAGACACACCCTGGGGTAAGCGTCGTGCTGAGCTTGGTCACCCCGAGCCCTTCGAGCTCAACTACGTCGAGATCGGCAACGAGGACTGGCTCGCTGGGTTCCCCGGAGGTTGGGAGTCGTACCGTGAATACCGCTTCCACATGTTCCACGATGCCATCAAGGCCAAGTACCCCGACATGCAAATCATCGCCTCTTCAGCCAGCAGTGACCCAGGCGATGACAAGGGTGAGCCACTCGACTACCCTGAGGACGCAATCGGCGATTACCACCCTTACCGCCAGCCCGACGAACTCGTGGAGGAGTTCGACCGCTTCGACAACGACATCGGCCACATCATCGGTGAAGTCGCCGCCACGCACGTCAACGGAGGAGAGGAGCCCCGTTGGGACGGTCCACTGTACATTTACCCATGGTGGATCGGTGCCGTTGGTGAAGCCGTCTCACTGATCGGCTACGAGCGTAACTCGGACCGTATCCCAGGAACGTTCTACGCACCAGTACTCAAGAACGAGAACAGGTTCCAGTGGGCCATTACGCTTATCCAGTTCGCCGCCGACCCCAAGATGACTACAAAGGCGGTTACCTGGTACTGCTGGTCACTATTTGCCCACCACCCTATCTCGCACACTCTGCCTACGTCTTCCAACAGCTCTTATGGCCCCGTCTACTGGGGTGCTGGCAAGGACGAGAACAGAGACGGCGCAATGGTCTGGAAGGGCGCAGCATACAACACGACTGATGGAGAGCCTGTGCCTGTTTCGGTGCACTTCGAGGGGGTAACCGCCGGCACCAAGGCGAAGCTGACCGTGTTGACCAATAAGGTGGCTGACCCTTACATGTACAACGACCCGCAGACCGGCATCAACATTGTGAATGTGACGGATAGCATCCTCGAGGCTGGTGCTGGAGGTGCCTTCCAATTCAGCTTGCCGCAATTGAGCGTTGCTGTTCTGGATACAGATGTCACCGCTGCTGGACCATAGAGAACTTGGTAGATACTTGATCACTTCACTGGAAGTCTACCAGACTGTATCATATATAAATTGTATACGAGAAACGATACGAAAAAGATCTAATGATACCTCTGGCTTGATTTGCTCTTTGATATGACCGTGTGAAGACTATTCCTAATGCCGTATTTTGCCTGAAGTTGAGATTGTCCGAAATAGTATCTCACTTAACATTCGCTTGTACCCAGTCCCAGATCGTGTAAATATATGTCTCATTGAGAGATCGAATGTCACGCAGAACCGGAACCTGCTTTTGAGTCTGCGTGATGGAGAACAATGATGGCGGCAGCTTCGCTTCAGGCGATGGATTAGCATACGAGCTTTTCCAGAGTCCAACTAGCTTCATTGCCGAATGATCCGCATGGCCGCTTTGCTCAAGACGGCGAACCCACTCAGAAGGATCAACGATATCGAAGTCTTCCTTCCTTTTGAGCCACTGCAACATGTCCTGCCAAGCCGGTTGTTGGTGTGGGTTCAAGACATGATACACGGCCAATTCTCCAGAATCTGTGCTCAGACTCTCCGCAGCCTGAATGAAAGCTTCTGCAGCGATATTGACGGGGAGCCAATCGACCGGTTCATCTTTTAGATCCGGAAGACAGCCGATGAGTCTCGCTGTGCTCAGCATCATCGGCCATGCTTCCTTTGTGTTCCAGATACCTGTATTGGAATCACCCGATAGTTGACCAACCCGAACTATACCTATCTTTCCTCGAAGCGGCGTTCGACGATGCGCTTCTGCGCATATCTGCTCTGCCACCCATTTGGATTGTGAGTAGCCGAGCGGAGAAGAATCGGAAGGATCCTGCGATATGACTTCCATCAGCCTTCCCGACTCTCCAACTTTACCGTTCATGATTGCGGCGGTCGAAGAGCAATATGCGAAGCGCGGGGGTTGCGCCCGTTTAGCTGCAAGCGCAAGGTTGATGAGATTCTGCACGCCTGCGATGTTATCTTTCGCGAAGCTTTCGAGTTTGAGTCGGAAGTTGACGGTCCAGCCAATGTGCAGTATTGAATCGACTTCTGCGGCCAGATACTCGTACATGTCGTCAGTGAGTCCAAGCTTGGATTCACCTAATTTTGTTTGCACAATCCTGATTTTGCTGTTGGATGGCGTCTCTGGTGATAGGCCGGCAAACCCTCTTTCCTCGAGCGCTTTGTGAACCCGCTCTTTCGCAGCAGTTGGGTCTGCTCCGCGAACGAGACAGTATATTGTAGAAACAGCGTCTGTTTCTCGAAGTAGATTCAAGATGTGCGCTCCCAAAGCACCAGTTGCACCAGTAAGCACAACAGTTTGGCCAGAGTGGCTTCTAGAACTCTTAATGCTGGGTACTATTTGTGCAGGGGGCTCAAAAGAACTGTATTGCTTCGCCATATCAAGCATCAGCTGACCAACGTCCTCCACTTTGGCCTCAGGTGCTCCACGACGTTTTCTTAGGATATAGTCACTCAATCTTCGAACCGTCCCGCTGTCTTCCACAACACTGAAAGGTAGGTCTTGGTCTTGCGCTGGACTTAATTGACGCAAGCTGTTTCTCAGGCACATGCTAACGATGGAATCCACGCCGTACGAGAACAAATCAGTATCCATGTCAAGTGTGGCAGAATCCGGTATCATAGATTGGATGAGCTCTAAAAGGAAGCTTGGGACATCCTCATCCTCAATGTGGCCTATCCTAATGTCCGAATCGACATCATAGGCGGAATCGATCAAGTCTGAAAGTCTTGCCTCGGCTGCTTTTCGCATGAGTGTTCCTTTGCTGCTCTTTTCCAGAGGTTTTTCTAGATGCAAAGCTGGAATGAGCATATCCCGGGATAATTTGGCATGGACTTGACTGCCTTTATTCATTTCTTCGATCATCGGCCATATCTCCTTCAAAATTTCTTCGTCTGACAGGTCCTTTGACGCTTCGGAGCGAAGAAGAACCGCGCCAGGGTAAGGCCGGTTGTTTCCGAAGATCAAAACATCATCAACATGCCGTGAAGTGGCGATCTCTGCCTCGAGAGGCGCTGGATCGAACTTCTTGCCGGTTAACAGTGTGAGTTGGGAGTCAGCCCTGGAATGATATAGCCAGGCGTTTTCGATGTCTTTGTGTCTCAGAAATAGATCTGCTGTGGCAAGAGATCCATCATCTTGGTTGGTTTTTGCCTTATGTGATGATTAGTATATTTAACTATTCTTCGCTTTGTGCTGTTCTTACCATATGTGGCCACCCCTGCTTGACGACAAGCTCCGCCAAACCATCGTCTCTGGTCTTAAACTCAAGGACCTCTGCGGAGCTATAGTTCCGCAAATACTGCCACTCCTTATCGACATCAAAGTTTCTAAACGAAGAAAGCAGGAACCCGCATTCGGCACTTCCGAATCTCGAGATAAGGTTCACACCCCGGTCTACTAAACGATTCCCAACTTCTGCTGGCAAAGCCGCGCCACCTACACCCACAATATCCATACTCCGCAACTGAGCTAGGCCCTCATCGTCCGCTTCCATCATTTGGAGGACATATGGGACGGAAGAGAAATATTTTACAGATGACGCTTGCTCTATGGCAGCATACTGTTTGGCCACTTGCAGACATTTCACGATATTACGAGCCGTGATGGGAACATCTTTGCCCGGGAACAGACATATGAGCGAGTCGCTTGCCCAAGACCGAAAAGCATCAGCGATACCCCCGTGATAAAGCGGTGTAGTCGTGAAAGTTGCCTTGGACGGATTATTGGGTAGATGTGGAAGCACCCCGATTGCCGCCCGATGAGTTTGGGGAATGGGTTTTGGTAGACCAGAAGATGTACCCGAAGTATGATGAAGATACGCTACATCTAATTCTTGCACTTTGTGGGCGATCAAATTGCCATCGAAGGACTTTTCGATCACTTGGAATATGTCTTCTTCTTCCTGTAGTGGTATGCGACCGTCCAAGAAGCCCGAATGACCACCGTGTCTGCCAATCTCTACAGACTTGGCAGCCTGTTCAGAATGTGCGATATCATGCACAAGCAAAGTAGCTTTGCATGACAGACAAAGGTGAGCAATGGCTTCTGGCGGGCATTGCGGAGCGATTAGCAACACGGAGTGTCCAAGCATCATCAGCCCAAGCCAAGTAAATAGAAACTCCGGGGAACTATGGGATAATAAAGCAACCGTCTGCTGACTTTGGATATCGAAACTCTTGGAAAGCCTGCCGGCAAAAACAGAAGCTCCATTGTACAGGTCACCAAAAGTGAGAACACGATAGTCCCAATCACTCTTGTGACCAGGAATTGGAAATCCAACCGCGGGTTTGTCTCCATGGTGTTTTGATTGATGTAATAGGAACTCGTTGACGGTGCGGTATGGCTTTGGTTCTCCACGTAGCGCAGCCGCCTGACCCCTACGAATCACTGTCAGAGCTAAGTCAACCAAAAAAAAGCCATACAGTGCATGATCTTACAGAGTGCAACAAAAGTAGTCTGTATCCATCATGGATACTGAAATTTAAAAAATGGGATGGAACGCACGTCGAAATTTTTGGAATCCAATCAACAATGAATGGATGGCTAGAGTTAGCTCCTTTGCAGAAACGAACAAAAAAGTCGTGACATCATCGCGACCAAAAGGAATGCATTTCAGAGGTGACTTGCAGATAGCACTAGCTCTTTCATGAGGGAATCAGATTGGATTATTTTCTTCGCTGAAACAGCTTCACTTTCGCAGTGTATACTGAATAGCCAATGCGAGTACAACGACACCTGTAGGATGACCATGCATCTGAGTCGACACCAAATCAGGCTAGCGCGTCCCCGTTCAGGTCACTGCATGTAGTTGCATATAAGACATCTGCGACCAAATCCAAGGTGAAGATTTCCAAATTACTACCACACTGCCAGAGATGATCCATCGAATATGTGCATATGTGCGGTACGCAATACCTTAATTCAGTTGAGATACATTCACGAGACACAAAAGAACACCACCTGGGCAGAACGCCATGTGCTCACATGACTCTCATCAAATTGATGCCATCACTACAACGAATTCCAAGAAATGTTTGGATCAAACATCTTCCGGGCCCGCCAACCCCAATGCCTGTCGCCTCGTCGGTGCATCTTTCTGAAAATACGGCTTCTCAGCCAGTGCCGTAACCCTAGTCCCATGCCTGGGCTCATTCCCCTCGTAGTCCCAACTCGCATTGTGAATGGTAAGTCTGTTATCCCACAAAGCCGACGTCCTGGGCGTCCACTTGAACCGAACCTGAATATCGACGTTCTTCTCGTACACATCGAACAAGTACCCGAGGATCACATCGCTCTCGGGTTTGTCGAGACCCAGGATGCGGACTGTATAGGCGCGGTTTACCCACAATGCTTTCCAGCCTGTTGCAGGGTGCACTCGCACAATCGGGTGGACGCGCTCGATGAATTTGGGGCCAGCTTCTGGATTCTCGCGGGAGAGGTAGCCATGTGCGCTTCGGTAAATGGCTTCTCTGCCGTCGATGATTTTGCGGAATTCAGGGGAGAGTTTCTCGTATGCGGCGTAACCGGAGGCCCAAAGCGTGTCTCCGCCGATCTTGGGTACAACGTCGTTGTGGAGATGTGTCACACTGTGTTTTTCAATCAGTTGCAGTCTCGACAGCTTTACTGGGCGAATTCGACTTACCCTGCTGGTTGGCGTTCGTGTACCAAGTCGGTATGCCATCTGGACGCTCCACCGGTCTGGCGGAAGCTTGCGGTGACTTCTGTAGCTTGCAATGCAGGCCAGATCACCGTCGTTCCTGGTACGCCAGGAACACAGGGTGCTTGAGGCTGGTAGATTGATACGTAAGCAGACTGTTCCATCCGACGAGCTTTGCTGTTTTTCAGCTTACATGCACCTCCACTTCTCCGTACCACTCGCCCAATTTCTTCTGCTCCTGGGGGCTGATATCTTGATCCCGGAAAAACACCACGCTTCTCTCAGCAATCAACAGTCCTAGCTCGTCTTTCTGCTGATCCGTGAGATCCTTCAATTGTAACCCTACAATCTCCGTTCCAATGTGGCTCGTCAAGTGCTTGACCTCTTTCGCTGCAGAGAACAAGGCAGTCTTATCTTTATCAGCTCGTGATCCTGCGTCTACGTAGGGACGGTCCGTATCTCTGATATTGTATACATCGTCCAAGTATAAAGGCTTTGCGGGGCGATAAGGATATCCGTTGGACAGATCAATGTTGGCCTTTTCAAAGCGGGCTCGAACTGCGTCTGGGAGAGGCAGAGTATCTTTCTTCGGCTGCACGGTATCTACGATGCTCTCGGTGATCGGTACTGCAATTGGCGCCATGATTCGGGTTGATTTGGCAGAATGTTATATACTTCGTCTAATCCCCTGAACGTTGCTCTGTTTGCCGACGAATGACCCCGAGTACTTATATTCTCTTCCCACTAGCCCAAACAACCACTGATAAGCACCCAGTACCCTTTTCACGCTTATATATACAAGTTTATTGATGAGGGTTAACTGCGGGGTAGTCTCGTGTGCTTTTATGCATCACATCATCTGTTGGCAAGATGGCGTTTCCCCAAGTCCACAACCAATGTTGTCTACAGAACATCAAAGTAATCCTTGTTTCACCCCCACGACCTTCCCACCTTCAACATCTGCCCGACGCATGCCCGTTGGCAGCGCGCTTTCTTACCAATACTAACTAATCGATAGTCGAGTTGCGACCTGTCGACATTGATGGTGCCATTGCGGTGCAGATAGCGCGTTTTGTGGGGAGGTTTGCGCCATTGGGTTCGTATCGACTATGGTGAGGAAATGCGAACGCGTGATATTTACGATGGGGACTGGAAGTATATTGGGTCTGGTGGGATTCGAGAAGAGAGGAGATGCAGATACTGGCTTCTTTGCGAATCACGGATGGGCTCATGACGTTATCTCGTACACAGATTCGGTGATTGGCGTAAGTCGCTTTGTGTACTTCAACGGTACGACCTCGTCAGACACAGCATCATCATGACTCTATCCTCTCATCATCGCTGCGTTATATCATGAGCTTTTCGGATCATGAGATTGATGGACGGCCGAAGAAGGTGGCGGTGATAGGCGCAGGTATAAGCGGTGTTGTAGCGGCTGCTCATCTGCTGAGAGAAGGTATTGAAGTTACTGTATTTGAGCGCTCGAGTGTAAGCGGGGGAGTATGGTGAGTTGAAGAGAACTACGGTGCAGTGGGTGGCTAACTGATTGTATGTATCCAGGACATACGACGAGCGGGTCCCCGTCGAACCAGACTACACTTCCGTACATGCCACAGATGACGATCCAGCAGACAGTGACGAAGTACTTCAACATTCAGATCTCCACCACGCACCGCCAGGGTAAGTTTGTCATTATTTCAAGACCAGATCAAAGACTCGGCCTGATTCCAACCACAGTCCATGCTACGAAGGTCTCCACAACAACGTATACACGCGAATGCTCGAAACGACACTTCACCCTTTCGCACCAGGAACTCCAGACGTCGTTCGCCATAGCGTATTGGCAGACTACATACGAGATACCTCGGTCAAGACAGGCGTCCACGCTATCACAACCTACAACACCAAAGTCAGCAGCGTGAGGCAAATAAGTCATCAACCTCCGCTATGGAGCGTATCAAGCACCACACTGCAAGCCTCCCCCTCAGGAACTCGCACGCTCGAGAAAAGCACTTCCGTACGCTCACCCCCCTCTTCCCCTCTCGTCCAACCCAGCAAAGGTAGACGAGGAAGGAAAAAAAAAGGAAGTTGTTAATGAGCAGCAGCAATACACACACGTGGTCGTGGCATCAGGGCACTACCACACCCCACGCATCCCGCGAATCCCATCCCTCGCATTCTTCAAATCAGCCTACCCAACGCGTATCTTGCACTCAAAAGCGTACCGCAGTCCCTCCAAGTTTGCGCACAAAACGGTCCTTTTGATCGGCGCGAGCGTTTCTTCGACAGATATCGCACGGGAACTGGGACCGGTAGCCAAGACGATCTACCAGAGCCATCGCGGAGGAGCGTTCGATCTTCCCGCGTCGATGCTTCCAGAGAACGGGGTGCGTGTGGAGGAGGTTATAGGATTTGAAGGAGTGGAAGGGAAGGAATGGAAAGAGGAGTTGAAAGAGGAGGATGCTTTGCCTGTGAGGGTTCGGTTGAAAGATGGCAAGACGATTTGCGGGGTGGATTTTGTGGTGCTGTGTACGGGGTATCACATGACGCTGCCGTTTCTGCGGGATTACTACTACAACGCTCCCATCCCCACTTATTGTTCTTCTGATTCGTCTTCGGAAGATAGCAGTAGTGGTAGGAGCGATACTGGAACTGCTTCGCCTACTTCATCATTATCACGGACAGAAGATGGAGAGGAGGGAACGAGTAAGACGACACTGTTAACGACGGGCCATCAGATTCATAACCTCCACAAACACATGTTCTATATCCCGTGCCCGTCGCTTCTCTTTATAGGAATCCCATATTACACGGCGACGTTTACGCTTTTCGAGTTTCAGGCACAGTTTGCGGCAAAAGTGGTGGCGGGGAAAGTGTCACTGCCATCTACAAACGCCATGCGGGAAGAGTACGAGGAGCTGGTCAAGGCAAAGGGATCAGGAAAAGGGTTTCATAGTTTGAAGGGTGAGGAGGAGGTGTATGTGACGGAGTTGGTTGGGTATGCGAATAGACAGTTGAAAGGGGAAGAGAGGCTGGTGGGGCATGGGAAGGTGTGGAAGGAGGCGAGGCTGGAGTTGATTGAGAAGATGAAGGAGATGGCTGAGGGGAAAGGTGGAGGAGGAAGAGAGATTGAGGTCAGTTGCTAGAATGTGGTAAGAGGTGGATTTTTGTTCGTCTTGGACAGATGTATAGTCGTAGGGGATGATTACTAAGAGTTGGAGCGCAGTGCTGGGTCAAATGTTACAGCGCTCACGATATGGAATTATTGACAGAAGAAAACCTGGAGAAGATGTCGGGGACGGATACGTCTATGTATATACCGATACGAGACAGGTTTGACAGAGCATGAATGGCGTGGGCGACAGGTGTGAAGTGGTTGTTCTTTTTTCTTGTTTCCGGGGCACCCCCTTGGGTTTCCTCTGGCGGTTTCGTGTATGACATGAGCAGAGGATGGATTCGAGACGTGGTGCGACGAGAGGGAACGGAGCAAGAGGGTGGCACAAGCAGAGTGGGTCCGTACAATGCAAATGCAGATGCAATGCACAACGACGACGACGACGGCGACGAGGGGCAGCAGCGGTCGGCCTGCCAGCGGAGGTACCTGTGGTGTTTGGTTGGATCATTCATCATGGGTGCACCTGATGCTATGACGGGTTCATAAGTGATGGTTGTTATATCCGCGGATGTGGACATGGCATGTAGTGGCCATGTTGGCGGGTGCAGTTGGCCAGCGTCTGGCAAAGTTCCGAGGGTTTTAGTCGGCCCACACCCGGCGTTGCTGGGGCAATTTGGGAGGCGCTAGCCCGAAGTGGAGTAGCCGAGGCTGGACTAACGATGGCAAGGTCGGACCTTGGTCACGACACCCATGAAGAGTTTGGAATCGATGAATGCACATGAATGCGACAAAAAAAAGGCGCAAACCGGAGCCGATGAGTATTGTGTGAGCAACGGCGAGAGAACTATGTATCCATCCATGCCAGACCATCAGTTTGTACAAGGGAGCGATGGCAAAAGTGCTTGCGCGTCGCTGCATGCACCCGCGCATGCATGTCGAGGTGGTAAGTAGTAGTCATCGTAGACATACGACAGCAGACACACGCGCAGGAAGTCCAACTCGGAGGAGGACTGTGGCTGAGCGGAGTGGACAAGCAACGGGTGGCGACTGAAGACTTCCAAGACGCGCGATCATGGGTTTGGATGCCACGATGAGCGGCGCAACAGGTAGCACGAGGACGGATAGGTTTGTGTGGGTTGGTGTTGAAAAACCATCGCGATCTAGCAAAAAGTCGATGGGTAATGATACGAGGGCGTGTGGCTATCAGCATCGTCGGATGAGGAAAGGCTCCATTTGATCCATGGCTGACGGCGCGACGCGGCCATGGCGCGCGTTGGCACTGGGGGCAAACGATGGAGAGACGACGACCGACATGCCATCAGCCACCAACAGGAGCACCCGGTGTGCCGGCTAACAATACCAATGCTTTACAGCGTGACGCTTTCTTCTTACCTTTTCCCTTCTTCTTTGATGATTTTTTTTACTTTTCCCGTGCATGCATGGGTTCGTTGCGGCAAGACAGGCCGAGAGTTTGTGGTTGTGGTTGTGGTTGCGGCTTGGTGCGACTCAACTGCCACGGGCGGCTCACAGGGGTCCGATTCAGATTTAGTGCAGTGTTTGACCATGACTTGCATGGAACAAATAAGTTATCAATCCCAGCCAAGGCGATCGTGAGATTGTTATCGGCATCATCGTCATCTTGACACCGCAACAAGATTGGCAAGATATCAAAAAAGAGCAAACGAGATTGGAACGAGCAGAAAAGCCGGAAACGAGATTGGCTGCAATCTCACGTTCCCTGATGGCCGTGGTTTCTGCCGACGAGCAGTGTCGCTAGTAGAGTAGAGCGGTGGCCTGTGCTCGCATGCTAGCGCGCGGGCGGAATGGAGCACAGTGGCCCAAACAGGCAGTAGCGTCGTGTGTGTGGGCTTCCCACCGAGGGAGGAGCACCCGGGCAATGACTTCCAATTGAGGCCCCGGCGCGGTCGGGGGGTGTGGCTAATTCATCGTAGCAGATGCCCTAGTCGCATTGCCTTTGACTTTTGGCCGCTGCTTGGGCCAATTCGCCTGCCAGTCGCCGCTATCAATCAATACCAACCAAGTGAATCAAATCCCTCCCTCTCCCGCCTGCCCGTCGCGCCTGCAGCCAGTTTCGCCCAGCCAGTCTGTGCCTGCCCTGTCTGTTTGCAACTAACCAAGCCAAGCGGACCTGCACCCGCCGCTTTTCCCTTCCCTTCCTTCTCTCTTCCTCCCCATAAAGCCGTGCACGCCCGCATCTCCCACGCCTCGTCCGCCTTGCTCTCCACCCAACCACCCCCAGCCAAGCTGCTTTACTCTGCTGTACCACCGTACTCTCCAGCATCATCCACTCTGTAAGCTCTTCCTTCCTCTCTACTTGCACCATTCCGCTAACATCCTCTCCCTCTCCCCCAGACATTGATACTCGTCCGTCTCTGCACCAATCTCGCCATGCAGTACTCCACCCTCCTCCTCGCCGCTGCGGCCACCTTCGGTTTCGTTGCCGCCCAAAACTCCTCGTTGCCTTTGCCATCCGGCATCCAGCCCTGCTGCAATGTCAACGTCGGCTTGGTCGATGAGGACCTTAGGAGCGAATGGTGCCGCGCTTCCCAGAACACCTGCCCCGAGATCTGCGGTGGACAGGGCAACATCGCCAGCGGAGGCAACAACTGCGACACCGTAAGTCTACCATCAACACTTGCTACCCGTTGATTCCCCACTGCTTCGCATGGCTAATCCTCTTGCTTCCAGAAAACCCTTGAGCACACCTGCGAGTGCCGCAACGGAACCAAGCCCGATCTCGCCTTGTACCAGCAGACGGTCGAAGGCCAAATGTGCCGCTTCTGGCACGGCCAGTGTATCGACGCTACCAACGAGGACGCTTCCCTCCAGTTCAGCTGCGACACCATTCGCGACAACACGTGCGGCAACATGACCACCAAGCCCGAGTCCGCGTCGACGACGTCGTCCAGCGCCATTACCTCTCGCACTAGCAGCGCTGGCGGCAACGGCGGCGGCTCTGAGCCCACCGGAACCGGAGGCTCTGCTGCATCCACCAACAGCCCTGCTGCTGCCCCCGCTCTCGATGCCGCTCGCAACTACGGAACTCCTCTCTTCATGGGTGCTGTCGCTGCCGTTTTCGGTCTGGCTCTATAGACGGATCGGAGCGAGCAGTTGGACAAGAACAAACTGGGTGTATGAGCGCAAAAGAGCAGCAATGGGCCGGTTCCATGATTACGGATGGTATGTAATGAGAATGAATATGGGGGTATACAGCATGGCTACAAATGACATGCTGCGTACAAGTGCTTCGCCTCTCTCAAGCGTTTCTCGAGCATTGGCGTCGGGTGGCCCTTTGTGGTAGCGCGTCGATTCATGTTGGTGTGGCTTATGGGCAAGCAACTTTTTTTTTAATACGAGGTAACGACTTTAGGTCATGCAGAGGTAGCCAACTCCCAACAAACCAATTAGTTAATTCTTGAACGTGCTTGTGCCTTGGCTGTCTCTTGGTGATGTTGAACCGGTATGTGTACGTGGGGGCTCGGGTGATTCTGCGAGTCGGATGGAAGAACCGCAAAGTGAAGCGGAATGGAAGAGAGGTGTGTGTGCATGTATGTCGACGGTGGACCAGCCTACCTCTTACATGTTGATGTGCATGGGGTGCATACAATGATGGAGGAACAAGTGGGGTCTGCTAACTCGAGGTACATGCACTACGTATGTCATATATGTAACTTGGGGTACATAGATGCAGCTCTGGTGTCCAGCAGGCAGGCGGGCCATCGTACAAGAACGAACTGGTCATCACTATGCTGTTCAATGCTAACAACGATTTGCAGCGACTGGCTATAGGGGAGGGCATGCAGACTCAGAAAGTTAATATAAACATCTTGAAGAAAGGGACAGAAAAAAAAAAGATTAGAGTTTCCAGACCCTGGTTTGCCTGATCTGCCCTTGTTGGCGCATATGTACCCCCCGCATGGCCCCATGTCAGCACATGCATCATGGCTGCCGTAGTCGTGAGAATTAATTCGTCCCTCTCACACGAGCTTCCAGCAAGCTTGTTCAACAACATTCTTGTCCCCATCACCACTGTCGACTTCGCTCGCTGCCATTCACTCTCCACCACCAATTTTCCCCTCTCATCTCCCCTGTAAGTCTGACGATGCTCCTTTCTCGGCTTTGCATGTGCTGTGCCCACTGGAGGCCGAGGCCGTGGCGGTGACCTCCGTTCGCCATCCTTGCTCGAGCTGCCTCGGCCGGCGTGCGCGCCACAGGGCGAGCGCTGCGTGCAGAAAGAGAAGCACATGAAGAAACCGCAGACTGACTGACTGGCTGGCAATTGCTGCTACATAGGCCATCCATCCATACCGGCACTTCTCTGCGTGTCACTCGAGCTATAAAGTGGCTCTCCACCGCCTTCTTCGTCTGCCATCGCGCTTGCCCTGCTACCCCTCATCCACGACATCCAGACTCGCGCCCGCGAATCCCTCCCTCACACGCACACGCCTTTCTCTCGAACCCGTTGCCCCTTCGTCCAGAACCATGGCGACTCTAAACCCCCAGAAGAAACACAAGGTGACAATCGTGGGCTCCGGTAATTGGTAAGTGTACCATGGGCTTTGTTCACCCCTCCAGAGAAGCTGCTGATGAATGCTTGTGTTCAGGGGCACCACCATGTCCAAACTGGTGGCTGAGAACGTCAGAGCTCACCCGCAGCTCTTCGAAGAAACGGTCAACATGTGGGTGTACGAAGAGGACGTCACCATCCCCAAAGACTCGCGTCACTACGACCCGTCTTCCGACTTGGCCTCCAAGCCCCAGAAGCTCTCTGAGCTGTTCAACAAGCTGCACGAAAACATCAAATACCTGCCCAACATCACCGTTCCATCCAACGTGGTGGCAAACCCCGATGTTGTCGATTCGTGCAAGAACTCGACCATATTGATCTTCGTCCTTCCCCACCAGTTCATCCCCAGGGTCTGTGATCAGCTAGCGGGCAAGATTGTTCCACATGCGAGGGCTATATGCTGCACCAAGGGCATAGATGTCGGTGAGAAAGGCGTGAGGCTCATGTCGGAAGCCATTGGAATGAGGCTCAACATTTACTGCGGCGCGCTGTCTGGAGCCAACATTGCTTCAGAAATCGCCCAGGAGAAATACTCGGAGACCACCGTGGCATACGATCCTCCTCCCATGGACTCGCGCGCCCCCACTCCGTCAGGCTCCCCAACCTCTTCGCAAGTCGACCTCATTTCCCCTAGCAAGCCCGTACCCAGTGCTCGCTCCGCGCAACTCAAGGCTCTCCCCAACGAGTACCCCCCCTTATCTCATGAGAATGTCCGCAAGCTCTTCCACCGGCCATACTTCCACGTACGCATCGTCGACGACGTAGCTGGTGTCTCCCTCGGTGGTGCGCTCAAGAACATCATCGCGCTGGGTGCTGGGTTCGTAGACGGACTTGGCTGGGGCGACAACGCCAAAGCTGCGGTGATGCGTGTCGGTATCCTCGAGATGGTCAAGTTTGGCAAATACTTCTTCCCAGACAGCTCCAAATCTACCACGTTCACCGAGGAGAGCTGCGGTGTCGCCGACGTTGTGACGAGCTGCATGGGGGGCCGCAACTTCCGCTGCGCCAAAATGGCCATTGAGCAAGGCAAGACTGTGTTCGAGATCGAACAAGAGGTGCTGAACGGGCAGAAGCTGCAGGGTACCAGCACCGCCTATGAAGTCAACAGCTTCCTCACCCAGGAGGGCAAGGTGGATGAGTTCCCCCTCTTCACGGCCGTGTACAACATTCTGGAGAAGAAGGCCAAGCCAGAAGATATCCCTCAGTTGATTGAGCCCAGGGACTAGGGGACTTTGTTAGTTTGGAAAGTTTTATCTTGCCTCTCGGGAGAATGCTATGACACAGCTGGCTCGTTTTCAGACCAGCGATGGCAGGTTTCTGGATCGAGAAATATATTTCTGGTGCATCAAGGATAGAGTTTCCCCTCCAGGGGTTGTCACTATTGCCAGGAATGTGGATCATTGCGGCATTAGGTGGCGTGTACAGGGCAGGGCGTATATCCGGAAAGATACACGAGTAGAAGGATAGAAAATATATCGAATAATAATAACAGTGACATTTTTGTTTTTTTTTTATGGCTTCCTTGCCTTTTCAACAATATCTAAAAGTCTAGCAGCGAAAGTGGATGTCACGCATACTACTCGCGGCTGCTTGAAACTGCCTTCTACTCATTGGGAAATGCATGGTAGAGATTTAGATAAAGCTTGTGAAGGATGGCCCAGATACACAACTAGAAAGACAGGAGGAAGAGCCCGTTGCAAGGTGATTTAACTGAATGTATTATGATGTTATGCCATGATATGCTGTGCTATGCTATACGCTCTACTATGCTACGCAACAGATGCAGAAGCAATGACAGTAAGGGGTGAATGGGTGGGTATCTAAACGCTATCTAAATCTAATGCAACGTAACTGATATACGTATCCATATGATTTTGTTAAAAAATAAGAAAACAGGTCGAAACAAATCATTAACAGCGAAAACGACGAAGAAATCGAGGTGGGTAGAGTGTAGAGTGGCAAAAGTCGGTAAATAAATAGATAAAAAAAAAGGGGGGAAAGAGATTAAACTTTTGTGTTGAATGGCGAGAATGGGAAAAGAAAGGAAGGAGACGGGTGAGAGAACGGGATCTAAGCAGCACCCATCTGGATCTCCTTGCCCTTCATGCTCTTCCACTGCACAAACGCGGCGCCGACGATTGACAGCGTAGCCGTGGCGACACTGACGTACATGGTCTGGGTAAGGGCCTCGTTATACGCAATCAGCACGCCCTTGAGAAACTTTTCTTCAACGACCTGCTTCAGGGCCGTGGCACCGACATGCGTGACGATGCTGGGGTTGAGATCGGGGACGGCGGAGGCGAGGTTCTTTGCGAGCTGGTTGGTGAAGACGTTCTGGCCGACGGAGATGAAAAGGGCGCCGCCGAGGGTCTGGGAAAACATGATGATGGCGGTGCCGATGGCGATGTCGTTTTTGGCCAGGACCGTCTGCACGGCGACGAGGGGCTGCTGCATGCCGAAGCCCACGCCGGCACCGAAGATGAACTGGTACCCGATCCACTTGGAGTGGTGCGTGTCGACGGTGAAGGTGGTCAGGAGCCCTGCGCCCACGGCCATGAGGATGGATGAGGTAAGCATAAAGGGGGTGTAGTAGCCGATGGCCGAGACGGCGGCGCCGCCCAGCATGGAGATGATGACGAGGCCCAGGATCGCGGGGAGGTTCATGATGCCGGATTTGGTGGCCGAGGCGCCTTTGATGGCTTGGAACCAGAGCGGGAGGTAGTAGACTACGACGAAGAAGGCGGCGCCCAGCATGGAGATAAAGAGCGCAGAGCCCCACACGTTGCGGTTGAGGAAGACTCTAGGGGGTACCGTGGCGTTTTCCTGCTTCCAGACTTGGACGGCGATGAAACCTGCGATGAGGACGGCGAAGAGGACGAGGCAGGCGATGATGCGGCCGTCGTTCCATGCGTAGGTGGTGCCGCCCCATTGGAGCGCGAGGAGGAGGCAGATGATGGCGGGGAGGAAGAGGGCGGTTCCGTAGAGATCGAATTTGGCGACTTGCTCCCTCCAGGTGGCTTGCTGCTTGGGTCCTTTGCGCTTGATGTTGAAGAAGGGGATGATGAAGGCTGCGGTCACGGCTCCGAATGGCAGGTTAATGTAGAAGCACCAGCGCCAAGTCAGCTTGTCAGTGAAGACTCCGCCAAGTCTGAGTCGATCATGTTAGTGAAAAGCTTGGTGTGGAGTTCAGGTAGCAAATACTTACAGAGGTCCAGCAACAGAAGCGATACCGTACATGCCACCGATCAATCCCATGTAGGTTGGGCGTTGGCGTAACGGAACAGCCGATGCGACGATTAGAATTGCGCCGCTGAAAATGCCAGCAGAGCCGACACCCGCGATGGCACGTCCAATGATCAGAGTGGTGGAGTTGGGAGCAACACCGCAAATCAGCGAACCAACCTCGAAGATGAATAGGGCCGAAACGTAGACCCATTTAATGGAGTAGAAGGTGTAGAATTTTCCGTAGATGAGCTGAGTCGCGCACGTGGTGAGCAAATACGAGCTACCATACCAGCCGACGTCGTTTAGAGCCTTGAACTGATCGGTGATACGAGGGATGGCGGTGGCTATGATGGTGTTGTCGAGAGCCATGCAAAAGACGGAAAGACACAAGGCGATGGTGATGACGGCAAGTTTCCAAGCCGTGGGATATTCGTGGTCGTCGACCTCGTCTGCGTCGCTGTGGCTGGCTGTTTGCTTCTCCGATGCCTGGGCGTTGGCGTCGACGGAGACGGCGCGGTCTGAAGGTGCGGCCGAAACGACATTGCTATCTGCGGGTTGCTTCTCGGCGGAGATGGTAGAGTTGTTGTTTGGCATGGCGATGGTGGTTGCATCTGAATTCGCCGTACTCACTGGCCGAGTATCCCTGGTTTCGTTCATTGTTGTGCGTGGTATTGTGTGTTGATTGGCCGGGTAGATGGAGAGGAATGCGAGGGTTTGAGGATTAAACAAAGAAAGTCTGGACCTGGCTGTGGTGATGGACTGGGGGAGCATAGGGGGATTATAAGTAGTACCAGGCCCCAGTGTCATGAGCAGGGAGGGATGGCAATGGGAACAGGAGCTAAGGAGAAAAGGCTGACTGATGGAGTCATCCATAGCTGAATGCTTGTTCACATCTTCCGTCGTCCGTTGAAGTCTAGGTAGTTTGCAGTCAAGGCTGGAAAAATCGGGGAGTCGTTGGGCCGACGAGGGATGACAAGGGCGGACGCTTGGTTGTCGACTAGCGGATAGGGTACCGAGCGCTGTACTTGGTGTATAGTGGATGGAGAGCATCTGTCACCACATGGTGGGAGTAACAAGTGCTTGCGGCATGACACAGACATGCATGGCATGGATGCATGCAGCACGTTTTTCGTCCGGGTTGGGTCGACGGACCCTTGACCCCTTTCGTGTCGACTGGGTTGATCTGAACGGACCATCATTCACCGTGAGGATCGGACAGAGCATGAGAAGCTTTTGGAGCATCTTTAGTTTTCCTTTTTTCTTTCTTCCTCGTCGTCCCTCCCCCTTCCTCGCTCTTGTTTCTTCGTTCCATAGCACATGAATGGATGCCCACCCCCCTTTGACGTCGATTCACTGCCGTCTCGCGCGCTTACGTGCAAACTAAGCGAGCCCGACAGGACGGGTCTCATAGGGACGCAAATCTAATCTAATCTCCATCCATCGCATCCATCTCCGCGGTCTAGAAGCCAGCAAAGAAACAAACAACAAATATACTCAGTGTATTCGTCCGGGTCTGCTACTGGAAGGAAGCCACATCTCCGTCTGACTCGATAACAGGGGATAAAAAAAAAAGTGCTGCCTGAAATCCAACAGAGGCTCAGAGTGGGGACCCATTAATCAACACCCATGCCCATGCCGGCCCATTTTCGTACAACGCGGACAAACCGTGTCTTTTCGTACTTGTCGGCTTCTCGGGGTCAACCTACCTTCCGATCCGTCAACGACATCTTCACCTTCTTTCTCGCTATCGCTTGCTGCATCCATCCTCATCTTCATCTGATAAGCTAACAAGTCCCCGGCAATGTCACCGACACATAACACCTCCTCGTGACATCACCACTTTCTCGCAGCTCTCCGACCTCTTCTCGCGCGTATACGTCCACGTAATTCTCCCCGTTGATACGTCCATGCACATGTCTAAACTTGCCTTGCCCGTGGCTGTGGTGCACAAATGACACGCTGTCATCGCCGTCCGTCACTCGCACAATGGTATGGTTATGCAAAGCCGTTTGAGACGACCAAGAAACAAGACAGTACGTGACTGCCTACTTCATCGTTGCTACCGGCTCATCTTTCCGCCGTCTACACAAAATTCTCGCAATCAATCCTTTGCCCACATTGTTGTAGCTGAGGTCCAGACCCAAATGCTCCCCCTCCTTGCAAACTGAACGTGGAGAATTGCCATCCCCTCTCTTGCTTATTTTCCCCAGCGCCAACGTCATGACACCCAGCTCAAATTCTTTCCCTTCCATGTCACATATTCAAGACGACGACGCCGAAGATAACCCCTCCATCGCCGCCTCGAGAGCCCTGGTCTCCGCTGCTACACCCCGAAGATGCCGCCCAACCTCCTTGCCCAAAGCCTCGCTCTTTCCATCTCTGACCTTGCCCTTCTTCCCAAACAAGCACCCCCACAAATCATCCGACCCCACCACTTCTCCGTCTCCCGCCCTGCGTAGCAATTGCTTCACTGGCGTGCTCTCTAGCTCTGCCGAGTTGGCCTTGTCAATCATCTTTTCGTGCAGCATCGGACTCGTGCTTCCAGAAGCACTGGCTGGAGAGCTCAGCATGCTGCGATCCACGTGTTCCATCCGACGCGCCACCGAGATGTCGTAGATGGCTTCCTCGACCGTGTTGCTCACCAGGTACATGATGACGGTCGTCGGCCGCTGCTGTCCTATGCGATGCACCCGTGCAATCGCCTGCAGTTCAATGGCAGGGTTGATGAGCGGCTCGCAGAGGAAGACATACGTCGCATTCACCAGGTTGAGTCCCGACGAGTCCGATTTGGCATCCAGCAGGAAGCACCCCTTGCTCGGGTCCTGCTTGAACTTTTGGATGCCGTCCTTGTCGTGGATGCTGCTCGTGCCGATTTTCCACTGCTTGCAAGCCGTGCGCAGCACCTGGAGGAAGTCGCCAAACTGTGAGAAGATGATTGTTTTGGCGCCCGGATCGTTGTTTCGGATCCAAAGAAGGTGCCTAGCGATCATGTCAATCTTCGATCCGTACGATCCTGCCAAGTCAATCATCTTGATTTCTCGCATCGTCGTCTCGCTCATATCGGAATAGATGGAAGACGTCGTGGACGAGGGGCTGGACGCGTGCGACGCGCTACCGTTCCCGTGCATCTCCTCCTGTGCTGTGACTTCGCTTGGCTTGAAGGTGATTTGTTTGAAGTCTCGCGAATGCAGCTTTTGTTTGCACAGCGGGCATGTGCGGTGCTCTTGCCACCATTGGTTGATGCAGTCTGTGCAGTACTTTACACGGGTCAGCGATACACATGATACAGACGTGGGACTTCACTTACCCGATGTCCACAGGAAGTGAATACACCCTGTTCAAATACATCTTGACAGATGATACACTCCTGCTTCATCTCCTGTTCTTCGCCCTCGTGCCGAAGGTTCGTCAGGTACGCTTGCTTGGTCTTCAGTCCCGCCAGAGTCTTCTGCCTTGCCTCCTGGGCGTGTTTCTGCCTTTCATACTCCAGGTAATCAAACACGGGATCAAGCTCCTCCTTCCAAGGTGCAACTGTATCGGAGATATGTTGAAGTTGCCGGTAATACTCCAAACGAGAGTTCATCGTAGTACGGAACATGTCCAATTCCTTCTCCAAATCCGCGATCAACTTGGACTGCTCGGACACAAGTTTTTGTAAGCGCCCAAGGTATTTCTCTGCGATGGCTAACTCTGCAGACGCTCGGTCATCTCCTGTACCAGATCGCCGTTGCAGCGAACTGACGAGAGAACGCAAGGCAGATACTCCACCTTTCAGAGAACCGATATTGGACGTTGGTTGAAGAGTGCGGCGCGTCTGTGCGAGTTGGAGAAAGAGCTCTGGTGCATGCCCGCGCGATTTGTTTGGATCTGCACCCTTGGCATCTCTCTCTGCTGTTTTCATCTCAAGGTCAACAAGGGGATCGTGTAGACCCGATACGACCCTGTTTCGATCCGCTATAAGTGCGCGTACAGCCATCATGTAGACATACAATTGATCCTGGGAATTGGTAGAATCTGCGTACTCGTTTCCGGTGATCTCTTGGTCTTCATCTTGGTCCACGAGTGGTGCGGCCAGGATGTCTACAATTTTCTTTCGCCAATCTTCAAGATGTGTGACTTGGGAGTTCATGTTGTCTGTCACCTCATCGATCGTTTCTAAAACTCTTCGACTTTCAATACCTCCAAGATCGAGAAATTCAGGTATTTTTTGTAGAGGCGTAGATGCTTTTAGATTAGCAAGCGCCATGTGGCGCTGAGCGCGAGTCTGCGACTCTTTCAACAGCTCCTTTCGGACCGCCTTGGCCTTTCCATACCACTCATCTTCTTGGCTCTGCAACGCATTAAACTGTGCAGAATCAGGCGTCGTCAGATTTTCGTCCATCTTCCTCTGATAAAGAACGGTTCCAATGTAGAAAAAGCAGGCATGTTCCAGTTCCAGGGCCGATCGTAACATTCGGCGCTTGACTACTAATCGTCCGTTTGTCTCGTCGTGCTCGATTTCTTCGTGGTCGAGAAACATGTCGTCCGAGGGCAGTACATTGCGACCGAGCTTTCTCTTTTCCTCGATAATTTCATTCTGGCATACTTTCCTATAATCTTGTGCTTCTGTTAGCGCTCGATGATAATATTTTAACGCAGTATCGACTCGATCTCGGTCATCATTTGCATGAGCTCGTATATGTCCGCGCTTTAGTTCCAGTAGAATTGATTCGCGAATCTCAACTTTCAAGGAGGCATCATTTTGGTCAATCATAGCTTCGAGGACTTCGCCCACTGTCCGCAGTGGTCCGTTCCTGGCACCCATCGCTCGTCGATTGCGCTTGCCAACATTTGCGTGAAGACAAGTCTGGCGTAGTCGCATCAGCCACTCGCGCATGCGTTCAATCACCTCCGGATGATCAATGCTCCGATCTTCCCGAGTTGGCTCGCCGTCGGGCGTTAGCCAGCAGGCGTTGCACATCTGTCGCACCAGGTCGCTGTAGTTCTGTTCTTCGACTACTGTGAAAGGTACGGTGATGACGACGCGTTTTTGTGGTGGGAGTTGCAGCTCGTCGCGGATCCTGTCTTTTGTATGTCGCAATGAAATCCGGTTAAAGATTTCTCGGAATGAAGCTTTGTCTAGGCGGTCCCACAATGGCCTGGAACTTGCAAACGGTTCGTACCATAGAAACGCTAATAGTCCACGAAGATCTTGTATGTCCTTGCGCAGGGGAGTGCCAGATACTGCCCAAGCGTTAACTCGTGGGATGATTCTTGCGACTTGTGCGGCCTGGCTCACGCCACTCTCAATCATCTGCGCTTCGTCCAGACATACCCTCCACCATTCAATTTGCACGAGTGGACTCATTTTTCGCTCGTGCTTCGGTGCTTGCCGAAGGGAACGATCTGGGGCCGGAGTTGCGAAATGTATTTCTTTAGACAGAACGTTGTATGTTGTGAGGACTACGTCGTAATTGAGGAGGTTGTTCACTGTAGCCACTTGGTGCTCCTTGCTTGGCGCCGATGCAGGCGGCAATCCTTGGTAGTGTAACACTTTCAATTCGGGCGCATGTGTGTTGATTTCCTTCTTCCATTGCTCCAGTATGGAGGGAGGGGTAATGATGAGGGTCGCCGCAGAAGGTATCAAACTGTTTGGTGGGTTCGGGCTGGGTGGGCTGTCTTTAGGCATCCTGCGTTTATTAAGACACATCAAGGCGATTAGCTCGACCGTCTTCCCAAGGCCCATTTCCTCTGCCAGTATACCACCGCGAAGTTGTTTTGCAGCATCCCAAACAGTGTTGGGATCTATCACGACCATTGCACGCAGGTGGCTAACGTAACATGCTCGACCAGCAGCATCTTTAATAGGTTTGAAGGATACTGGCGCCCAGGCGGACGGCGACGCAATTTCCTTCAAGTCTCCCAGCTCCGACAGCTCGAAGCCCTCACGCCGTATGAGCCAATTTACAGCTCGTTGTTGAAAAGGGTATAACTCTGTCTCGACCAAGCTTTGTTGAATACGTGGAGACACTGACTCGTTGGTCGGAGGAACATGGACCGCAGAAAAGAAATCAGAGAGGGCCCAGGGGGTTCTCTCTGCGGCGGTCGCATCAGGAAGATAATTTTCTAGTATGGCCAAATCCTCGCGAACGCCGGCCCTTAAACTTTGCGTTTCGACTGCAGATAAGCCCACACGCCATCTCAGTTCGATGCACAATTTAACCGACTGACAATTTACCCCAGGCACGATTAAGACTGTGCGACAAAAAGGTATCCTTGTCCGGTTTATTCTCTTCTTGCCTTCCTTCGTTATAGCGACAAGGGTGGCAAAATCTAGGTGTGGGCCAATCTTATCGAGGATCGCGGAAGTGCTTGTCGCATGTAATTCAAGCACGGTGGATGCAGTCGCGTCCCACAACGTGATGGCGAGCATGTCTGGCTCCGGTCGCTTGTAGGACTCTAGGGATAGATCGATAGAAGGGCGTGACGAGCCGTGCGTTTTCAAGGACTCGATTTGAGCGTCAGGGAAGTTCTACGATCATGTCAGCTACAGCCCATACGAACCGCAGAGGCGCATGGGGAGGCGTACCAGATCCAGATCAATGCGCGAAAGCACAATGCTATGATTTGAATCAGATCCATGGCTGCTATCCGTTGCCGCGCTTTGATCATGGTTGGTTTTCCTCCGCTTGATCGCCCTCTGCTCGTTGGACGGTCCGCCAGTGGAGAATCGTAACGCCTCCGCGATTGTTTGGGGTTTGCTGGGAGCTGTTGGCTCTGGGGAACTCCCAGGGCGACGTGTTGTAAGGAACGTGATATCGAGACTTTCGAATATTGAAGCCATGGCTGTGACACAGCTGGAGTCGATGCCAGCTGTCCCAGTAAGGCGAGAATGATGTCAAGAGGTGGATCGGAGCGTAGAGCTGCGAGGCCGGATAGCACCTTGCCAAGACGCTAGACACAGGCACCCACGCTAGTATCCCGCGCTTCAGCTCGGGCCAACAGTTATTTATCTCCGAGTGACTCCACAAGCTGTGGGGGACCACACGTGCATGAAATCATTGAACTGGGTACATGTACTTGTCTCCAGCCTCGTATCATTGCTTTGCATATCGGACTATAACCTCTCCAGTAAAATTTTGCCCCAATCGTAATTCTTCGTAATACCAGACCAATGTATGTCGCGCACAATTCACTCTATGATCGAGGAATGGCACCCATCATTAGAATTCATTCTCTCTCTCTCTCTCCCATGCACCGCCACAGCCAAGTGATCGCGTACCTTTCTTCAGCCACAGATCATCTCGTGGTTGCATATCAGCAACCATATTTGTCCAAAAAGACATCTCGTGTCGAGCATGCGCTCCTGACACCATTGCGAGTCTGACACATTGCGCGGTGAATTGTGGTGCTGACGATCGCGTCCAACTTGCCATATCTTCCTCAATACCCAATGTCGATAGCGAGGCTCAATGATCGCTTGCAGATTTCAAGGCGAAACTGTAATCTCATATGATCATATGATTTGAGGATCCCAAAGGAACGATGATGCAAAAGGCCTTATTCATCATTCGCCAATACCTTTCGAATCGGCGCCATAGCCTCCTCAATCTTGTCGTACATGCTGTCCAAATTCGTGAGGTTTTCCTTGCTCTTCTTCACCTCAGCAATGAGCTTTTGTTTTTGCTTGAGCTTCTCCTGCCGACGCTCTTCTAGCTTCACACGGTCTTGGTGCTCGTGTTCGATCCGCGCAATCATGAGGTCATGCTCCGAGGTTGAACGATGGTCGGGGAATTGATCGAGGAACTCATTCACCGGGATGAGAGGGAGTTTCGTATATTTGTGGCTATATAATCCGTAAGTAAGCGCAAGTAAGAAATGAAGTTGGCGTTCGCAGGTACTAACTCGTAATTCTCAGCCGCCGCGATTTCGCTCCTTAGACTTTGTTCTTCGTATTTCAGATTGCTTAGTCCTAAGATTAAAGTGTCGTTGACAGCTTTATCATCGGCTGTTTTTGCCTTCTCTTCACGCACTTTCATGACACTCTGTCTGTAGTATGTCTTGACCGCCGAAAGCTGCGACTTGATCGCCCTATCCTTCTTCTGAATTTCATGTTCAATTTTCCTCTCACTCTCGATCTCTTCCCGCGTGGTAGGATGGGGTATCTTGGGGTTTGCGAGCTGGTATTCAACAAGGTCGCTAGCGCTCATTTTCAGGGCTTGTATCGCATCGTAAAGACGTCTGCAATGCTCGGTATCCATCAGGTCGGCAACAACGAGTTCCGTGGGATCAAAATCGGCAGGCAAATGGTCCAGGGTGTTGTCCGAGGCCGCGATTTTCATCAGTGCATTTTCTTGTGCCGCGCCCATGTTTTCAGTGGTTGGTGTACAGTGGCAAATGTCGGGGTTTGTGCGTGTTGTGGGTTCTTGAAGTTAGATGTAGCTACGATGATTGCCAACATTTGAACCAATCGAGTTCCACCTCTCGTCCGACGGTCTGTGCACCATCACGTGGTCACATACCTGTCACGCAACTTCCAAGGTTCTGAACATTCAGCCTTGGAAGGTGGACCACAATCAATTGATGTGTTAGTGTTGGATAGAGATTTTTTGTTTAAAAAAAAGAAAATCGGTTTTCAATCGAACGAGACATTCAATCAATCGTAAAGCGGGGGGTTTCAAATGTTGAGAATTGAGAATGTGAGTATACTCCACTTTCGAAAACTACATGTATCTGCTCAAAACGAGATTCTGATGAATAGGTGCGTACATAGGTAATTTTATGGACAGCTAGGACAGTGAATTATGGGCTGCGCTGACCCCCTTGCCTTTTGTTTGCGACTTTGCCTATCACTCGCCCACCAACAACTTCGTCGCATCAATACTCCTCTAGGGTTTACGCTCTACTGTTGTGAGAAACCAGGATCACATCCCCGTTCTGTTGGTACCATGCATCATGACCCCGGACATCGAGATAGCTGATCCCATCGTCGTTTTCCACTGAGAGTGCTCTTGGTATTGTGTGGGGTGGTAGGTGAATGCCTGTGCGTTTGCTTTTGCGCACCGAAAGTATTTCTGGACAATGTCCATCGAGACCACCCAGATGCTCACTTGTAGACTCATATTTTGAGTGTGGCATAGACGGAGGCGAAGCATGTGGTGGAGGAGATAAGGTATGATGGTCCTTGTGGTTGCCAGCCCTACCAACTGTGCGAGCCCTGTGCACCAACCCGTTCTGACAGACGTAATGATTCCAGCTCATGGCGGAATCGACTGAATTTCGTAGTTGCCATACCTCACATTTTGCGTCCATAGTGAATGCCCATATGGTAAGGTCGGGGTCGGTATGAATTGCCAGTTCACAGATGTCGCGCAGTGTAGCAATCTTCGTACCATGCATAGCGATGGGCCATACAGGATGGCTCCCTTCATCACCCGTCATACGTGGCTCTTCCAACCAGTTGAGCCAATGATCCAATGGTCGACCTTCTCGACTGAATGGTGGGTTGGAGTATATATCTGGAGACTCTGCTTTCTGCTCTTTACGCGACAGGCTGCAGACATCTGGCGGTATACTGTAGAGAAAAATAGCATCGCCGAACGCTACCACAACCCTGGCACCCCGTGACATGTCAAATGCAGAGTTGTAAAGACGGGGTGTCTGGGTGTTTGCCAATGGTGGGATGAACAGAACTTTTGGCATCAATTTCGTCGGTCCATCAAATGGTGCATCGCAGCTAACGAATAGTGAGCCAGTTCGAGGATCCGTAAAAAGAACATGATGCCCATCGCTTAAGGGCACAGCACGGTAGTGGTCGCAACTTGGTAAGTAGTTGCGGTACAGGTTGAAATCGAATTTGAAGTAACTTCCAAAGGAGCCGCTCGTAGGCCGATTGGAAAAGAAACTTTGTCTGATAGCAGGCCGATGGTCTGGATGGGCGGCACTGGAGATCAAACGCAATTTCTTTGCAGACTCAAACCCCGGGCGTGGAGCAAGGAAGTACAGATAGTCGGAAGGAGCAGTGAGTGGGAACCAGCGACTCAAGCTCTGTCCGGTCAGTGCATCAACCCAGTGGAGTTCAACGCCAGCTGAGCAGCCGAAAGCTACACAAAGACGTTGGGGGCATATAGATACACTGCGTGGTGGATCCTCTTCGGAGCACAAATGGCGATAAAAGGTCGAGGTACTGGTTTCCATCGGAATCGTTCCTGAACACATGTGCGCAGCTGGGGAATGGGATCCGACCGAGGATCCCCGTCTCAGTCCACGAAGGCGCATGTTCCATGTATGGTTAATGTAGTTTTGCTCGTGAGTTTGGGGATTGTTGGTTGCTTGTAATGTGAGAGCGTGTCGATTTGATTGGACTTTGATGGACTCGAATACATCCTCGTCATCAACAGTTGAGTGAGAGCCGTTCTCGCGAGAGACGTGAATGGAGTTGAAAACTTTGCTTGTCTCGGATTGGAGCCCGTTTGCCTCGCGAGTATCGCTGGGTATGCCAGTCCGAGGCTGGCATTGATCTCGTAGACTCTCTACATTGGTATCACATAATGATTCGACCTGCTGCGCATCATCTAGTTGCAGCTCACAGATCATACCCATCCTGCATTCCAGTAGAGCGGCGACTGCGTTACGGCCAGACGATGCATCCATGGCCATGGATAGAACTCTCCTCGGGCACATGATGGTGGACAGAGCGACCATATCACTGCCTCGCAGTTTGTAGACGTAAATCATCGTATCTCTTGCGACAAGCAAGTATTTTCCGCAAACACTGATGCTGAAAAGTAAGCCCGCACTTTTACCACCGGCAGGATGGCGAAATTTGCCCATGGCCCCATTTCCCAGTTCGGTGAAATCTACATTGAACCTATTCACAAACAAGGGTGCTGACTGTATGAGCCCATCTGGGATCCTATTGGAGAGCATCGCACATTCCCTCGTTAACCGTCGACTAAGAGACCATGTCCCTGGAACTGACTTTGTGAGAATGCTTTCGGATCCTGGAAAATCTTGGTGGCCTGGTTCCGAATTCTCACTATCCGCCCATCCTCCTCTGTGTAACATTTTCAGCAAAATCTTTCTGTCCAGACTGGCTTCTAACCAAATATGACAGGTATGACGCGCCGAATTGAAATCCCGGGGGCCCAGGTTCTCATATATGAGCATTAGTATTTCATGCGGGATCCGATGGGAGACGGGAAAATTGGGCGAAGGCGGCCGACTCGGCGCTCGCGACACTATCCGTGAAGTGTTATTCAAACCCAACTTGAACCCATCGACCCCTCTTGTATCAAATGCAGTGCTTCGAGCGAATTTGTTAGTATTTTCCTCGCAAGGCACTGATTGTAGGTTCTGGTCTTTAGTGCGCAGCATATAGAAGCTCGATTCTTCCGAAGTTGTGTCCGTGCTCGAGAGCATATCTGATATGTTACAGAAACGGCTGCTATCGACAGAAGGCTCTAGAATGGCATCGCCTAATAAGCTGTTCTTGGCTGAGACTGATTCCGAACGTACGCCGTAGTTCGACCCACTGTCACTTCCGTTTTTCGTAACGCAAGGTTGACGAGACATGGAAGTGTCCACAGAAACAGAAAGAGATCCCAAACTTGGTCCGCTGAAACAGAATGCATCGGGTGACACCAGGTCCAAGCTCGGAAAGGATCCACGAATGGATTCCGGATCGCCTATAGATTGATAGCTGGAAGCACTGGAACGAGCGACAAGAGGCACCAAACGTGATGTGCCATCTCGCGAATGGGTGCCGTGGAAAAAAGAAGTGATGGCTTTGTGAAAGACTTCCCGTCGTTTAGGTGACGCATCCGATGGAACAGGACCTGTGTTCGGGTTCCGACTTCTTGCAGTCGACGCGATGGATTGCGATGCGGAAGATACGTGACGAGAACGAGGAAACACGTGCCGAAAGACTTCTGTTCGTCTTGATATTGTCGATGGATACCCTGATAGAGTACATGCTTGTTCCCGGTAACTCCCACTGTGTGATGGTAAAAGAGCGCGTTCAAGCTTTATTGGACTATGCGAATCACGCACGGAATCACCAGAAGGGTCCAACATGGTGCCTCCGGTCGAGAGTAAAAGGTGCGACTGGGAATCTAAGGAGAGACGGCGTAATGACTGGGAGCACGTAGCAGTCGTGCGAGATTGGTGAGCAAGTATTGGAAGTGTTAGCGAAGAACCTGTACCGGCTACTCCCCCAGAAAGATATATTTGCGAAGACGTCGTTGCAGCACCCCCTAAAACAGGAGATGCAGATGGTGTAGCGTGAGCTCAAAGGTTGGTAGGGTATCAAATCGTCTGCTAGGCAATTGAGTAGGGCATAGAGGGTCATCGATATGAGCAGAAGAATGACTAGAATGGTGGAGACAAGATGCGAGGATAGAGAATGACGACGAAGACGACAAAGTCGGTGAGAAAGACAGTACAGTAGCGATAGGTATTATTCATGTACTCGCTAACAGCAAGGGTATCAAGAATGGTGTAAGCAGAAGAAGAGAGAATAACAAGTGATGCAAAAGTCGGTAACGTGCGACGGAAGGAGCAAAGACAAAAAGGTTGGCAACGCGTTGTCACTGCTGAACTTCGCCTTCCTGTTCATGCTCAACGGAAACCATTCTCCGATCGTACATACTTATCAGCAATCCAGACGTCATCCAGACTAGGCAATAAAAGTCAGTTGCACGTTTTCAGATATTCAAGGTGCGGTGCCACTTACTTTACGACCAAGCTTGGATGCTCAAAGCGGAGACCGCTTTCCCGAACCTCATCCACAGTTTGACGGCCCCCAGTGGCGATGCCTTCGTTTGTTTCCGCATCTTCTTGGACTGCCCGACCGACGTCTGAATTTTGGCGAAGACTCCGCAAAGCAATGTATTTCATCAGAGGCCTGTACGTGCGGCCATATACATACGCGAACCATATTGTTGCGATGAAAAGGGGAGCAATCAGCACGGCTCGCCTGAATGCTTTGCGCAAGGCCAGTTGGCCGGCCAGAGTCAATTGGAAGAGTCCGACGCCCAATATGGCTCGATCACACATCATCGTCCAACCTTTGCCGGTAGAATGTTGTCGGTGCTCCATTGCATAGAGCAATTGGTATTTGTGCACGAAATGGCCGATCATGAAATATGCTATTCCGCTTAACAGCACCTGCCAGGAGTCTCGCAACACACTGTACACCAAGCAGATTATGAAGATGAGTATCGTTTGCGGCAAGAAGAACCCATAGCTGAAAACGGGTGGTTGAACCAGCTCTGCATAGTCTGCAGATGCATTAGTAGCGTGCATGTAGTGTGCAGGTTTGAACTCACCTCGAGGCGTTTTTGCTCCAATTAGATTGATCGGGTACAAAGACAGAGCACCAAATTCCATCAACCGTAGCGGGAACAGACCAAAACCTTGAAGAAGGATGAGGTTGGTGTAAAATCCCAACAACCGAGCCAGTGATTTGGCGAGAGTATTGGCTATGGTTGTCGCGTCCGAAAACCTCTCTCCAAATCGTTCGAGCATGTCCAACAGATTGGAAGCAGTACCGAGTGTAGTGAAAACCACGAAGAAATTGAAGAATGTAAAGAAGAAATTCTTTGATATGACGGAGAGCTCTACATCGCCTTGCGAGATCATCCCTTGTTGATTGGCTAGCCCTAGTATGGTGTCAGCTTATGCAACTTGGTGGAAAGGAACCAGACATACAATCGTAGAAGAATGGAACCAAGACGTTGAGCAGTGTTGCCGCCAGCGTAGGCAACTGAGTCATCACCAGCGATGATAGAAGAGGGTGATCAGCTATTGCACTAGCTAGTCGGGGAAACACCTCGTTGATCGTGCAGGTATTCAAAGCACCCGCGATTGGTACTAATAACACAGTCCAGAAGACACTGAGAATGCCAATGAAGAAAGTGATGGACCAAGCTCGCATCATCCTCTTACCGCGGGGGAGATAGGTGTTGACCCAGACAACATCAGAGGGAGCCGGGCTGCTATTAGCCAGCAACTGCAGGGGTGAAGGGTCCAGGACAGCTTGAATTGCCATTTGAGCAGTAGCCACGCTATCCATGGTCACAAAAGCCAGCGGGGTAGGTTCAAAATCCTTTTTCCTCAAGGTTTTGATTTCTGCATCCAGTCTGTGAAGCTTTTCTTCATAGTAATCGATGGCGTCCACGTTCTTGAACCTGAGCTTGAAGCGACCGTACCAGATTTTCGCCATTGGCCGCGGGCGCGTGTCGCGCAGTGCATCATCTGGATCGCCGTCACCGTCGCTCAGTAGACGGGCAGTCTCGGCCTCACTACTCTCCCCCATCTCTACATCCGACGCCGGCGGTGTTGGTTGAACGACCGGGAGTGTCTCGAGACTGCGGCCTATCCTTCTGCTACCGAGGTGTACGGTCCAAGCTTCTTCGAGTTTTCGAAGCACAACATGTCTCTGTGATATGCGTTTGTCCAACTCCCCCCAGTTTTTACACAGGGTAACACTTTCCACTTTTCCGATTTCCAGACCTTCGATGAATGCACGAATCTTGTCCTCGGACCTCAGCTCGAGTGGAATCCCAGACAATCGAATGGTGCGGTCTGTTATGGTAGTTTGACTGCCCAAGTATTTCTGCCTGACTTCGATGATCTTCCTTGTTTCCGCCACGATCAGATACAGGATCAAGGCTGTAAACAGATAGGCAAAGACCAGATACATCCACAGGTAGTCGGTGTAGTATTCGTAGTCTGTGGCCATGGCTGTCCAAGTAGCATAGGGGGCGCGCTCGGCTTTGTCACCATCGGCCGGTATCTTCTTTTCCGGATGGGTATCATGGACGGGTTTGATGACGGCGAGAGCGAAGAATAGGGCAACGACGAGGAACTTGAGAGCCATCTTGAAGAAGGTCAAGTAGACGTATGCGTCGAGGCCAGCAGAGGCCAGCACTTGGTCGTCGGTGATGCGCCATAAGGGCAATATCCAGCCAAAGAAGGTGTTTGGTAGATCTGGGAGAGCAGTTGCACGGTTGTTTTGCTTTTTGCGAGCAGCGTATAAGCCTTGCCATCGTGGGCGAAGCCACTGCAAAAGTTGGTCAGCATGGGAGCGGGGGTGGAGGGGGCATGGGATGTACGAACGCAGAAGGTCAAGAAGGCGGTCAAGCCGAGGGCGAGAGAGAGGTAAATCTGGATGCGTGTGTCGCGTGGGTTGATGACACCCCAGATGTCGTCGTCACCGTGGCCAGCTTTGCATTTATCGCCATCAGGTTCATTTCTCATCGCTGACGGGTCGAGACTACATGCAGCTCTCGTAGAGGTGGCAGAGGGATGGATAGGTTGTGTAGTGATGATACAAGCATGTAGGCGGTTGGCACTCTTCGCTCGGCGGAGCTTCGGCTTCTTCGGGGATAGCTGGATGCCAAGTACTTGAGCAGGTAACTAAGACGAGAGGTATATGTGGGAGACGGGGACTGCCATGACTGTACGTGCACCTCATCAAGATGGGGCAACGAGTGGTGAGTAGCAAAAAGAAGACGGGGGAGAAGGCGGGCACCATCACGTCACGTCAGTTTCTCAGGCATGCGAGGTGGTACAATGGCAGATGCTAACATGCATGGCGCAAGGAAGAGGAAGTAGTGTAGATAAGCAGCTGCAGTGCTTCAGGGAGGCTAGCAGAATCGTTCTGCGTTTGGATACATGTTTATGTTGTTGGGTAATCGGACCGTCGCCGTACGTCGCAAGAGTCTTGTAGTGTGGCAGGATGAAGAAGGACATGGATGCATGGATACATTGGTTCAGGCAGAGACAAGCCTTTTTGACCATGGCTTGGCAATGCTTGACCGCTAGCTTGCAGCCGGAACTCGACTTGTTCCACCCTGCACAGTACAGACCCTGTACAGAGTATGTACAGTACACGGCCGACGCGGGATGCGATGGATGATGAATGGTAGCATGGATGCATGGACTGATTAGTCCAACAGCTCTGAATGGACTCTCTCCCTCTCCCTCCTTCTCTCGCGCGCATGCGTGCATGCATGTGCATACATACCATACCTATGTACCTAGGTATGTATGTAGAAACGCACATGCTTTTTCCCCTTCGTATCTGGCACTGCCTGGCCACCTGAAGTGGTTGACGGGCCGCCGTCTGAAGCTCGCCTCCGTTCCTCGTTCTGGCTCGACTCGACACCCACACGGCGCTGCAATTTAGTGCTGCTGTTGCCCTCCTTCTGGTTACGGCTGGAGCAAGTGTAGAAATACAAGTCTTGACTTGCATCCATCGTCTCTCCTCTCTCCTCTCCTCTCCCACATCTACCCGCTCCCGTCCCTCCAGACACTTCCCTCGTCCTTCCTTCCCCCTTGCCTCTCGATACCTCCTTCATCTGCCTGCTCTCCTCTCTTATTCCACTCTCCACGACCCACCCGATAACCCAGCCATACGTGCTACTTGGTAGCCGTGCAGCAGCCCCCAACGTCTTTCCTTCGCCCGTTGGTTTTAACTTTGCCGGGCCAAGACGTGATCGCTTTCTGGGCAGCCTTGCACTCGCTGGTATGTTGTTTGTTCTTTGATTTGCCGCTCCTCATGTTTGCCCCGCTGGACAACAAGCACCGCACCCGCCATGCATCCCTCTTCCGCCAACACGGCTTCCGAGACCCAAGCCATGATGCTGCACCACGGTCCCGGTCAGTCATGCGCTTCCATGGTTCCGTGATTTCGTCCCTGCCTGTCGTCGCCTCGCCCATGTGCACTGTCCTGTACATGCTGCTGCTTGCACAGCCCCACTGCACACATACTCTTACCCGCCAGTCCAGTCCGGTGCCACTTGTCCATCCCGTCTCCCGCTTCCAACCTCGACGCGATGCTGACTGCCTTCTTGTGCGCTGTAGATTATCATCTTGGCCTAGGATCGTTGTCGTTGGCCCACTTTCCTGCCCCCCTGTCCCACTTGAGACCGGTTGCGCGTCCTGCGTCACCTTCTCGAGAGGCGCTTCAAACATCTAGCCCGTGCTAGACCGACCCCCCAAGTTCGACGCACCAAGTATCCACACCCCGTGTGGCGGCAGGTCAATCGCCAGCTTGAACTCTGTCTGTTTGTTCCGTTTTGTATCCCAAGCCCTCCGTTCGTCTCCATCTCCGTCCTTTGCGCCGCCTGCACCATCCGCTCTTCCCTGCCTTCCAATCCATCCTCAACCCTCTGCCCGGCCCTGCTTCCGCGTTCCGAATCTCTCCACCTCCATCGGCCATCGTTGCGACGTCATCGTACCCCCGTGTCAACACCCATTGGCGCGCGTGCATCCCTTCCTAATCTCGGTGCGGGTATCCGCAGGATGTCTGCGGAACACAGAGCATGACTTCCAGTCCCGCACGCGGTACCGCCACCACTTCGTCCTTGCTATCGACCAAATCGCTACTATCTCGACTCCGAGCACCTCTACAATCCAAATCGCGCAACTTTACCGACTTCTACATACAGCCTGATGATCCCCACCGCCAGTATGCCCCCGGCGACATCATCAGCGGCAGTGTCATAGTCAAGGTCGTGAAGCCTTTGCGCATCACTCATCTGGTCATATCATTGCACGGATTCGCCCAAGTTTACAAGACCCCGAATTCACCCGGCGACGCCTACAAAAGCTACACCGCCACCGTTGGGAATGGCAAAGGAAAAAAGACTGGCGGCTATTTTGGAAATGGTTTCGTCTCTCTTTTTGAGGATGAGGCGGTTCTTTGTGGTGAAGGCCGGTTGGGAGAGGGCGTATATCATTTCAACTTCGAGCTCGAGTTCCCTGCAAAGGGCTTGCCTAGCAGCATCGACGTCAGTTCCCCTCTGCCCCTTCATCCGCTGTGTGTGTTGGCTAACTTCAAACTCTAGTTCGAGCGCGGCACCATCTCTTATATGCTGACATCTACTTTGACGCGGCCAACAACCATGTCACCCACCACGTCGGATAACAAAAAAGTGCATGTCGTAGATGTCATCGACATTGCGCCCATCCCAGAACCTAAACCCAGAATCATTTCACTCGAACCCATTTCCCGAAGAACGCGGACGAAGCCCCCGCGAAAACGGCCCCAACATCAAGAAGGAGGACAGCAAACAGAAAGCTCCGAATCAATCCGTCACGGGAAAAGTTCGGAACTGAACAGCGTCGCCGAGGAAGGCACAGTCCCGGAAAGTCCCGCACCCAGTGACGATAGTTTCGAAAGCCGCATGAGCAGTGGCAATGCCTCGGGGACCGAGTATGGTGTTCGCTCAATTAATACCACATTGGAAACATCGTCAACCAAGGACACTCGACCAGCATCGAAAGGCAAGACCATTACAGCCACCATCGAACTAGGTAAAGGCGGGTTTCTGCGTGGTGATCAGATCCCGATAAGGATAGTAGTCGATCATACAAAGCACGTCAGAAGCTTGAAAGGAATCATCATCACTCTGTATAGGCAAGCAAGAGTCGATATGCATCCCGCTTTGCCAGTAGCGCCGAATTCGAAAGGCGATAAAACAAAGTCTGAAGATTACTATCCAAAATCGCGGACCGGGCTGGGAGGATTGTCCCTTTCCTCTGCTGGATCTAGCCATCTGTTCCGCAAGGATCTCTCTCAGTCCTTTGCTCCCCTCTTTGTTGATCCTCGAACCCTCGCTGCGGATGTGAAATGTGCGGTACGGGTTCCCGACGAGGCATTTCCTTCAATAACCAATGTTCCGGGAGCAATGATAAGCTTCAAATACTTTGTTGAAGTTGTGGTTGATATCCAAGGCAAGTTGTCGGGTCTGGATCGTATGGTCCCTAGCGCAAATACTGCCCTCGTCCCACTGGCTTCAACTATGAACCAAGGGCGCCCTGATGATACCAACATGTTTTCGACTTGGGGAGGGAATTTCGCCGATACAGATGCTATTAGGCGCGAGAAAGGAGTCATCTCTTGTCTCTTTGAAATCGTGATCGGCACAAAGGACAGTGAACGCAACGGCAAGCGAAAAGAGCAACCGCCAGAACCCATTCAAGACACCCGATCAAATGCCCACGAATTTTCGCAGGACGAACAAAACGAGGCGTATGGTCCTGGTGATTACGGAGATTACTATGGCTATGACCAACATGGTCAATATTACGACGAGTACGGCTACGATAATGCCTACTGGAATACACCGGAATATCAAACCGCAGCTGGCAACTACCCGCAACCGTCCTACAATCAGCCGCCCCCACATCTGGAAGTTGAAGAAGGTATATCCGAAAAAGAGAGAATAAGGCGAGCGGAAACAAGACTACTACCGTCACAACCCCCGGTGGACGGTGACCCATCTGCCTCTACTGCCATGCAAAGCATGCCACCTTCCGCGCCCGTGCTACCGGACGACGACCACCCTAGAAGGCACGATGTCGTGGCTGCTGGGACGGGAGCCTCTTCTTCCACTGCAGCATCGCAACCGTCCCTTCCTTCCTTCGCTGCAGCATCTTCATCTTCACGTCCCCCAACCGCAGTACAAGCTCCACACAATGCTGCGAATCACAATAGCCGGACAATACCACCCGCCAGCTCGTCGTCGGCGATCCAAGCAAATGAACAACAGCCACCGCCGTCTTTTGCCGACGACTCCAATGCCACGAGATCGCTTCCAGACTACTTCCCTTCATCATCCTCACGCGTCCAACCCACAGACGACAAGCAGGAGCTGCAGAGGAGACGCTTGGAAATGGAGACCAGCGCTCCACCTACGGATACGCACGATCATAGCGAGGAGCAGAATGTCTCTCAAGGTGGTCCCTCAGCACCCCCGACAGAAGGCATACTCAACCTTATGTTGGAGCCATCAGCGCCAGTGCTAGACGAAGACGACGAAGGGCTCGTTGATGCGGTGCGACCGGGTCAGGAGCGACAGTCTGGCGCGAGTGGTGGTAGAGAGGCGTTGCCAGAATATCATAGATAAACCTGTTGGGGCGTTTGGCGTTGTATTTTTTAGGGGTGTGATCTATTTGTCTGTTCTTGTTACTCGACATGGGACGATTTGAAGATTCGACCATCTTTCTTTGCCTTGCATTTTGCGGTCGGCGGTTTGTCCCTCTCATCTCGTTATCATTTGTTTCACTGTGTGGAAGTGAGAAATGTCTTCGGGCTTGCTTCCCAACTGTAGTAGCGCTAGAAGTCGAGTCCGTTGTTATACTTTTTTTTTGCCCATGTTGTATGGCCATGATACCTTTTCCGGGCACGGAAGAATTGAAGATGATCAATAAGCTTTTTTAGTTTGAAAGAAACATGTGATACAAGTGCTCTGCCCTCTCTAGTTGGGAGATTTTCGACTATTGATTGAGAACTGAGACGTTTCCGACGCCGGACACACCCTCCGTGATTACATGTAAGTGATTCTTCGATCGGTATCATTCAATGACGGGCATATCGCGCCAGTGCAGATGCATGGCGGTTTGCCTTGCCAAGCATAACCTTTGCGGTTCTCACTTGAATAGGGCCAGGGGGGTAGCATATCGGAGGTGTCTCTGGGTGTGCCGAACTCATCCTCCTCCACTACCTGGGTACGCAACTCAACGGAGTTCTTTGCACCGAAACTCAACAACCTTCTTCAACGCATCCACTTGCACCAGATAATCGCGACGAACGGCCTCGAGCCTCTCCTTCATGGTCTGTTCAATCTCGACTTTTTGCTCGAAAAGACTCTTCAGTCGCGAGATGTGGGCTTCGTACACTTCATCACTGTTCCAATTCACGATTAGCCAAGTCGTACGACGCACAGCGGGCGCACCCATATACGCATGCATTTTGAGGGAAGGGGTTAAGGGTAGAAGTACGCGTTCTTTTGGTGCGTATCAAACAGCGTGGTGATGGATACACGGGTACTGGTTTGGACGGTGATGTAGGCTTTTGACACGCGTTGTTTGTTTGCTGCGCGGCGTTTGCGTTGCTATATCTCACACAAATCCTCATATTAGTTCCACTCGTCGAATTGAACATTCGAAATCGTTCCAGGTTCCTGAGGGCATGAATCCGGAGACAGTATGTGCTTGATGTGGACAGGAAGGGAGAAAGGTATGTTGTTGGTGTTTGCTTTTGCGTTTGATTAAACACATACAGCACCTTCCATATCCTCCATCAGCTGCTGCATCTTGGATTTTGGCGACCTTTGAGATTCCTCGACAATATCATTTTCTTGTTGTGAGAATTCGTTCCTGTTCGGAGAAGAAGAACCCGGGCTGGACTGGCTGGGGTCTCGATTCGGAGTGTGGATGTTAGCGACGGTGCTGCTACGAAGTTTGGGCGCCATAGTTGCGAGGATGCAGACGGGATAGCTATTGATATGTGGTTGAAAATTGACACGATTCAACAGATGATCTCTCTGGAGTGTACAGTCATAGATTCGCAAGATTGTGTTCAGAAGATGGCGGTGGACCCTTCGTGACTTCTTATAAAGAGAGGTTCCGATAGTGGGGTCGAACTTTCCCCACACCCACCCTTTGCCAAGATTTTGGGCAGTCAAAGCGTCCGCCGGCGTGCAGCCACCAAATTTTTGGACGGAACAGCCTATCTTTAATTTTTTTTTTCTCCTCTTCTTCCGGGGTTCGAAATTCGGTGCGACCCTCAGACACACCCACGGTATATAATCGATAGAGATCTACACCTTCACAATGGGTCTCGCAGCGCCGAAAAAGTGAATAATCATCTCCCGCCTGTTGCTTTGCACCGCATTCTAATATTATCATCTACAGTCGCTCTCGCATCTCCAACGACCCTCAAAATACAACCTGGGCGAACAATACCAACCGTTTTGGCCACAAGATCCTCGCCGCTCAGGGCTGGACCCCCGGGTCTTCCCTCGGCGCTGCCAATGCTGCGCACGCCGCCCACTATACTGCCGCCTCTGCATCTCACATTCGCGTCCTGTTGAAAGATGACACTCTCGGCCTTGGCGCGAAACGAGGTAGCGAAAGTGCAGAGAATTTTGGGCTCGCTGGCCTCGCCAGTATACTGGGCAGACTGAACGGGAATGAGGCGGATGTGAAGAAAGAAGAAGAAAGGCGGGAAAAGGTGGAGCAGAGAGCATACGTGTATCGCAAGTATGGCCTCATGAACTTCGTCAGTGGTGGATTTTTGGTCGGTGGGGAGATTAAGGCCAAGAACGAGATTGAGGTCAAGAAGGAAGTCGAAGTGAAGCAGGAAATCAAAAGCGAAAGCGAAGGAGACGAGCCAAAATCCAAGAAGCGGAAGCGGTCTTCGGGGGATACGAAGGGAGAGAAAGAGGAGACTGGCGAAAACCAACCGAAGCTCAAGAGAAAGAAGAAGAGCATCAACCTCCGAGAAGGAGCTGGAGACGACGACGACGATGAAGAGGATGAGGATGAGGCAGTTAATGACTCGTCCTCCAAATCGAAAAAGAGCAAAAAGGACAAAAAAGACAAGAAGGACAAAAAATCAAGAAAGTCCTCTTCGACCGATACCCCCAGCTCCACAGATCCCGCCTCTGACAAAGCCCGGAGAAAAGCGGAAAGACGCGCACGCAAGGAGAAAAAGAAGCTCAAGAAGGCGCTCAAGAAGGCGGCAAAAGAAGCTGCGCAATCGAACCCGACGAGCAACGACCCCTCCAGCTCCTCAAGCGAAGATGATGATGAAGAACAAAGTACACCTTCCAGCTCCACACTCACATCCGGTGTGTCTACACCAGCATCTGGCGCTTCGGGCTTGAACTTCGGCATGAACGGTCGGCATGCCGTCAGACAAAGGTACATCCGCCAAAAGAAGATGGCAGGCATGGATCCTCAGGCTCTGAAAGAGGTATGTTCATCCAGTTGTGATTACTTGTTAATGACGTTGCTCGATGCTGACTGATTCTACGCAGATTTTCATGATCAAGACAACCTCGTGATGCGGAATATCCCCTAATTTCCGTACTGCATAGCAATAAAGGATAGCGAAGGCGTAATATGGACGTTGGTTTATTTTTTGATTTTGATTTTTCGGATATCCTTGCAGATACTTGAGATGGGCATGTGCCGTCACATACTAGCACTATGAGGTCAACCTTTTGGATACTGGCGAACGAGCTATCATGAATTCCCTCTGTGTGACAAATGAAGACAACATAGTCAGGATATGTGCAGGGCGATTTTTATTTTACTATGAAGTTCATAACCGGCTTGTAATGACTTATTCGAGTTTTACTACCGTATAAAATCCAGCCTCTTAACAACAACGCATGCACTCTATTGAATCAATCATGAATAGCTTATGTTTTAGATTTCCCTCCACTATAATGCTTTGAATTAGAAACTGATAAATCGATGAGAAGGTCTAAACCGGGAAGATGTAGCGAAAAGAAGACGGAAACATAATTTACAACAGGCAGGGATTAGGGGAAACTGCGAGAGGGCAGAAAAATTCCAATCAAGCTTAGACTTTGCAGAAGAAAGAAGCATACGGAGCGAAACCAAAGGCCTTTGAACCAGCTACAAGGCACGGGAAGAAGAAGAGGGAGAAGCAGAAAAGGGAGCGAGGATTGTTTTCAATCTTCGTCATCCGCTTCCGTCTCCCACGGCCTCCAAAACTTCCACCCTTCGCGTACGTCCCTCAGCGCATCGACCTTTCTCGCTCGCGCACTCGCCACTCCCACAAGCCGCTCAATACCTTCTGTGCCCTCAGCCCTTAGAAACTTCTCCTGGTCGATTTCTTCGCCGCCTTCTTCCTCGTTGACGTTGTGCAGCACGGCCGGCCACAAGACTCCGACACCATCGCCCGCCAACGTGGTTTCGAACTTGTCGAAGCCCTCGTTACCGAGTTTTACTTCTAGATTGTCGAGGATTCTGTGCTTGAGCTTCGTGCCCGAAGATATGACCGATGCAGCGGCTGTAGCTGGAGAGTCGGAGTCGGAATCAGAAGCTTCGGAGGATGAGGAGTGTTCGTGGTGTACACCGTTGCCGTTGGCGGCTGAGGTGGGTCGAGGTTTGATGATGGTAATGGCGCAGCCACCGCCGCCCGCGCCTGTGAGTTTGGTCCACCCGATGCCCGTGTGATCGATGAGCTCGCGGATTCGTTCGAGTTTTGGATGCGATACGCCCAGCGATACGAGCAGGCCGTGATTTATAGTCACCAGATCTCCAAGGTGTTTGAGGGCCGCAAGCGAAGAAGGGTCAAAGTCTGGGGATGTGAGGAGCTTATATGCGGATTCAGTAACGAGGCCTATGGAATCGAGTATGTTTTCGGTAAGAGCGGGATGGTTCTCTCTTAGTGTTGCGACTTTGGCTACCTCGACGGCGGTGCTGCGCGATTGGCGTGTGTTGACGAGGAGGAGAGGGAGTTCGGGGAAACTGTGGATCGGAACGATGCGTGGAGGCTTTTCTGGGCCTTGCCTTTGGTACAGAACTGCCTTGCCCCCTGCTGCAACCGTGTTGTCGATACCTGAGGGGTTCCCATGTATGCACATCTCGCCGACAAATGCCCAGCGATTGATGCGTTCGATCTGAAGTTCGCATTCTTGTGGTGGTTGATCCTGGTGTGGACCGCTCAAAGCTCGAATCTGAAGTAGCAAAGCAGCACTGATGCATACGGAGATACTGGCGCTGCTTCCGAGGCCCGCTCGTAGAGGGATGGTGGAGCGAAGCGTATAAACACAAGGGGGTGTTTTCCGCGAGGCCAGAGAGCAGAAGAGGTATAGAAAACAGCAGGCAGTCGAATGGTGTATCTTGCGTATTGATTCGGGGGCATTGGGGGAAACCAGTTGGATGGAAGGCTCCAGAGCAGCCTGGAGGTCTGGATCCAGCGATGTGACCGAGTCGTAGTAAAACTTCTTCTTCCCGGGGGCAGCAAAGGCGTCCCAGGGTAGTTTGTCAAGTTCCCAGGTGTGCTCCAACTCTATGTCCGGGAAGCGCATAGTAACGGTGCGGTGTGATTTGGAGAGGAAGGATACGTGCAAGTAGGAGCGAAGTGAGATGGCGGCGGCGATGGCAGGCTATGGGTGTCAGCGGATGATGGGAATGGTACGATGTTGTATCTATGGCATTGGTACCTTGCCGTGCACGACAGCGTGCTCACCGTAGACTATGACTTTGCCCGGGGCCGAGACCATGAAGGGCGGCATCATAGGTGACGAGTGCTTCCGCAGCATGGGGGGTGCTGGAGATTTCCCGTTGGATCGCGCGGTCGAGGGCAATTGAGCAGACATGACGTCGGCGGTGTCGAGCTGGAGGTTCTGGAGAGGGCGCGAAGGAGAGGCGTCGGGGTGGGTGGGGGACGAGGCAGAGGGTGAGATGGATGCGGGCCTTTTGAGGATTCCTTTGATGAGTCCCTGTTGGCCGTTGGCGTTGGATGACATGGTGTGGGGTATGTATTACTATTCCAGAGGGATACAGATGTCGGTCCGATCCTGAAGCGATTATGTATATGCGTGTGCGTGTGTGTGTATGTTGATATCCCTCTGTTCCGATGTCCCCCAGTGGTTGTGGTCCCTAGTCAGGAGTACTTGGTTGGGTCATGGACAGAATGGAATTTATTTGGCCGGCCGGGGCGGGTATTTAGCGCACATGTCCTTGAGATTCACGTATGCGACGAAACCCAAGGCACAAACACCACTGCAAAGGGCGCGACTAATGGGGCAATGCCTTTATCGGCCTCCGAAAACATGACCCTCAAGCGTTGCTTGTCCATATGAAATGTTCCTGCAGGGAGCGCCAGTCCAGGTGTAAACCGAGCCAATGGCCCGGGTTCCCCCATCCCTACACTTCATCTACACTACTTAGCCAGCCAGCCGCATACACATGCATCGACTTCAAAGACTACATCCAACATCACTCTCGAATACTACTATTGCATGTTTCTGTGAAGCTTTTGTGTATTCACAAGTATCTAAGCACTGCCGCGTCCATCCTCTTGTCCGCGTGCGAGCAAATCTACCTAGGTACTTCTCCTATCGCTTCGCTTTCGTCATCATCCATCACTCATGTGGCATGTTTGGCCATGTTTGGAAATCTCCGGAAGACCCTCTTCTTGTCCATTTCCCCATCTCGTGACGCGCATGCCTTGATGGATGCAGCACGCCAGCGAATACCGGTATACACATCAGCCTATGCGCGAATGCATCAGTCACGCAGTCCTGCGTAATGTCTAGACCAATCAGTTTCTGCCCGCTGGGTTGCGAATCTCATCCGAACCTCGACAATCGACCGTAACAGCAAGAAGTGGGTTATCGTGAAAACAATGTGGTAGTAGTGTGGTGTGGTCTTGCGTACTGGGTGCGACCAATCGATCCATTGGCTTGTTCGACTGTCCTTCATGTCGACTTTCCCTCCTTCGCCTGCTCCTTTTCTTTCCGGAGCTGCTTGGCCCTCTGCTTCTTGAGTTGCTTCCTCGTTTCCTTGTCCACTTTCTGTTCGTCTGACTTCCCCACCTCGGGCGCTTCTCCGCCTTCTTGCACCACATTGCTTCTCTCGCCCACCTCCCCAACTTCAATTTGCCCTTCTTCCTTCTCCCATTCCGACATGCTCTGCCAGTCTTCTGTGCCATCTGTAGTTGCCTCTTTTCCTGTCTTGCTCTTCTTGCTGGATCGTGGCTCTTCAGGCTCTGGTGTGGCCTCGGGCTCTAGATATTCGCCGCGGAGGCCAGCAGCTATGCGCCGCAGATTATGCATGACAACGCCGCCCGTGGGGCCGCCGTGTGAGCTGAAGGTAACTCCAGTAGGCGTAATGAGCGCATCGGGGTGCAGGTGAGGGTGGGATTCAGAGTTGAGGATGTATTTCTCCAGTATTTGGGAGGCGTCGGCCTGAGCTATGACTTGAGAGGAGACGGAGACGTATGGCGGGACAGTTTCGGCGTGCATCTTGCGGTGATTTGCGGAGGTGCAGCTGCTGAGGCAAACGGTACGGGGACGAGGTGAAAAGTATTGCGAAACTCAAGATGATTTGAACTTTTTGCGCACGGACCTCCAGCCGATTTTCTTGATCTCCCGTTGCACCCGTCACCTTGTAGACCGCTCGTGACGCTCTGCCGACAACAGCTCCGACACCGCCATCTCGAGTCGGAATAATAATCCAGAGACCTCAATTCTTTGGATGCGCCGTTTATCATGAACGCCTTTCGCTACCTGCAAGTCGCCACACGACCAGCGACGTTGCGGACTTGTCTTCTCCGGCCCACGACAAACCCAAGCACAGCACTACCACCACGGTACTTTCCTTAACAATCACATCACTCAGATTCGACGCCTGGAATTCTAATACGAGTATAGGACTTCAACCTCCGCTACACGTTCCATATCTCTCTTGGCTCCACGCCGTCCCATCCTTCCGCCCTCCTCTTCACCTCTGGCCCTTCCTTCTCCTGGCTCCTCGTCTTCTGGGGTCATTCCTTCTGCTGCCGCTCTCGATCTTGCACCCAAAATCTCTCTCCACCCTGCTTTGGGCTCCACCCAGATTCGTTGCGGCCCGCGTGATACTTACAACCCAAGCCACATCGTAAGGAAGAGGAGACATGGTTTCCTTGCCAGGATACGGACAAAGAAGGGCAGGAAATTGCTTATGAGGAGGTTGAAAAAGGGGCGGTGGAACTTGAGTCACTAGGGGACCACAGAATCTCAGTTCTGGTTCAGAATTATAGGAAAACGCCGATCCACTGGTGGTACTTTTGCGGGGCTAGAAGTGGAAAGTATCGAGCATAAGACATCCACCAGCCGTTTCTCGAAGCAACCATGGTCGATCTTCGCTGAGTTTTGATGCTGGTGCTTTCGGCGGTGCCAAGTACCCAATCCGGTTTGTATTGTACTGTAAAAACATTCTGTATGGTAGTTCCACGCAATCCGTAACCTCATTTCAACATGCACTGTTCGTTGCTATGGTAGGCGATATTAGAGGAAGGGTATACCTCCTATTCTCTCCCGCAATCCTGACCCTCGCACTGGGAATTCCGTGTTACAATCTATCGCCATTGAACTGCCGTAACCACTGCTGCTTTCTTTTTCGTGTGATGAATCGGAAACTCTTCCTTCATACCACGTCTCCAATGCTAGCTGGTCCCATCTCGTGCATTCTAGAGCCCGTCTCCGCGGCTCCGTCGTCATTTTCGAAACCAAATTGATTGGGCGTTGAACCGACATCTGGATATGTTTCGAGTCGGTCATGCGTGGCTTGGTAAGCTCCAAAAGCTTCGACCAAATCATGTGCGTGGGATTAGGGTCGCTGTCGGAGCAAACAACCCATCTGAAATGTGTCAATCGAATAAGGGGAGATACAATGCGTATAGCCTTTCTGTTGCACACAAGCTCAACTTCCTCTGTCTTTTTTGGGCGTGTGGGGCGCATTCTCTGTTGGCTCGGGTCCAATTACTTCGTCGCGTGCGGAATTCTGGGTAGGCTCATCTTCGAGGGCCTCCAGGATCTTCAACTGCTCCTCCACATTGTCGATTTGTTTCAAAATGAACGCGATGGTCGCATCTCGGGCTTTGTCTATTCTTCCCAACGCTTCTGCGGACAATGTCGCATAATCCGGAGGGGGTTTCTGGGGCGTTGGAGGAGCAGGCTCTGACTTGTTCAATCTTGCCTTCTTATCAGCAAGAAGCGTCCGTAACACGAATATATTCAGATCTCTCTCTCTTAAATTCGTTTCCAGGTCCTTGCGTGACTTTTCTTCCTCTAACTTTCGCTTTTTTGCAGTTTGCTCCTTCTCTTCACTTTCTGCTGCAGCTTTCCAGCTCCAAATGGCTTGTTTGGCGGCATTTTCAATATGCGTGAAACGAATGGGGCCAATATTCTGCCCGCCATACCAACGAGCGACTACGATCTCGCCTTGGACTTGGCTGTCATTAAGTACGCTCTGTAGTCTACTTCCGGCATACTTCTCTCCGTCATCATCGTAACCCAAGTCGTATAATATCTTGGTGTCTGGCATCAATGATTTTTGCCGTGATCGTCTTCTCCATGCTGCTATGCGGTGTGTTGCTGAAGCAAACTCAGGCAAGGTTTGAAGCGCTTTCGCTGACACTTCTGTTGAGAAAGCGGCTTCGAATGAGGAAGTGCCTTCGATTATTCTCGATGATCGAAAGTATTTTGGAGGCACTCCGCTTTCGGTGGAAAGGGGTCTCTCACGCTTTAGGCTCATGCTGTTCGTGGTGTGACGATGAGCAATTTGAGGAGTGGGGATGTTTGGGGGAGAATACCGTACCGGTAGTGCTGAGGCTGCAAGTCCAAGCGAAGTCTGCTTCCACGGGCAGGTTTTGCCGTCAAATCCTTTTCTAGACACTAACGACCGATTTCCTACGACATAACTAGAAACACTTTCAAATAACAACCCTTTCAAAACCATCCTCTTGCTTGATTGTAAGGCTCGAGATACATACGGCAAATGACTTCTAACACCGCTCTTCCCTATTTCCCTCGCACGCTGATTGTGCACACATAGTTTGATTCCTACCTACACCCATCGAATGCCTTGAACAATATGCACATATACTTGCGCGTGCTCACTCTTATAGACAGACAATTACAGAAAGGAGCTCAGGGACATCTTCAACTTTCGTCGCGCATTTCTTCTACTGCTGTCTTCGTGTACATATTGATGAATGCGTGACCATATGCACCCTCCTCACCATTAGTCGTGCGGATTGGCATCGAAGCCGTAAAGTGATACACATTGGTCACGATCAGATATACACTGATATCATTTACACACCATTATAGGGCAAAGTCACTCGTACTCCTAGCTGCTAGAAATGAGAGTCTTGAGATCTTTCCACTCACTTACTCCGCACAGCTCAGGACGCAAGCTCAATCTTTATCTCGTCCAGACCTTTTACTTACTGTATCCGGCTATATATCACGACCTAATCTGGTATTAATCCCGACTTTACATCTATAGTGTAGTCTAGTCGCCAAGAACGACTCACTCCGTTTGACTCACCTCATAGGGCAAGGCAGTGGTGCAAACGGAGCCTTTCACTAAGCACAGCCCACATATAGACACCGCGTCTTTCGCCAGGGCTGATCGACACCCACCACATTACCACCCAGAAGCAGCACCTACCTAGGAACTCAGATATCGTAAGTGTCTTTTGATCCCCACAAGCTTCATACTATCGTGACAGCGTCCTATTTTCAGCCTATTTGATGACTGACATCAGTACGGGCAGAAATACATCAGATCCACACTATCCTGCTACGAGATTGCAACAATGGGGCGCTTCGAAACGCTTAACCCTGATACACAAGATCAGGTTGAAGCCATGCTTCCAGCGATAGCGAAGGCGTTCAAGATCGATGATGTCAAGGACATCATCCCGGAGGATATCCGCATGCGCGCCTGGGACTGCGAGCGCCGCGATCACATCAAAGACCAGACTGAAGACGAGCCCCGCAACTGGGGCGTGCAGTTCCTCCGGGATCTTCAGGCTATCGCGCGTCTTACAAAGGGCGATATTCCTAGGCTCCAGGCAGATTTGCGCCGCAAGGTCGAGAAGCATGCCGACAACCACCCTTGGTGCCGGCTTCAAGACATCAAGGACCTGAAGAAGAAATACATGAGCCCTGATGTGCCTAGTGAAGAAGAACCCGATCCGGAGGAGTACGTCACGGAGTACGCTTCTTCTCCGGATTCGTATTTCGAGGAACTCGTTGAGCAGGAAGTTCCGAAAGGCATGCGTCGCCCTCGAAACCACGAGGCGTATGAAGTTCGGCCCCAGCCCAGCCAAAAGAAGCGTAAGCGTAAGTATAATATTACCGTGTCGCTCCAATACATCTCTGACTCGATCGCAGGAGAGAAATCTTCTCGTCTTCGCCGTGACAGTGAAGGTTGGGAGCGACGCCAGAAGACCAACCGTCACTCGGTCTTCCACTCTGTGGAGGATGGTAGCTCTATTCACGGCAACTTCACGGCTGCTAACCCGACTTCTCGTGCGGGATCGTCCATGATCAACTTCGAAGGGTAAGAACCTCAAACTACTCCGAATATGTGCACACTAGGTGTTTAGATAGCTGACAATCCCATTCACGTCCAGTTTCCCTAGCTACTATCAGCCAGATGTTCCGCTTGAATCTCAGAAGCTTCAGGCCGAACTAGAGGTTGCGGAGGCCGAGTTGAACTACGCTCGTCTCAAGGTCAAGTTCTTCGACGCCAAAAAGCGGGAGGAGAGCGCGCTTCAGGGAAGCGCTGATCAATACGATTCTCGACCATCATATCTAGGTTAGGCTCTTAGCGTGGATCTTGCGACATGGGGGACGGAATCAATTATCTCACAAATGTCAAGGAGGAATTTGTGCTCCCTTGTGAGCTCACTGCGGTGGACTACTGCATTGCATGATGCCCGGCACCACCCAAGATCTTCCGACGCATCAAAATGCGTTTCCTAGCGAATGCTTGAAAGATTTGTTCAACTTGGGTGACATTGTTATTTGAGCATCAGGTGTTACTGGTTCCATGCTTTACTCAATTCAAATCCACAATATATCTCCTAACTTCGTTTATGCTTGAGTCCGTGATTACTATGAAACATAGTCTCGCCGCAACCTCATCGAGTCATCGCAAAATCGAATTCCCAAGTTCTTAGTATACACATTAACTCAGGAATGGACGGAGGGCTTGAAAAGCTGCACGAGTATCGGGGGTGGGGAAATCAATCCACAAACCAAGAAATAATTGGGATCAATAGGAAGGTAGCTTTTTTAGATCGAGAGCACTTGGTTGTTGTGAAATGAATCGAAATTAGATACGGTTCTGAGATGGGATCGGATTTACTCCACGTCGTCATTCGGACTTCGAATTGCATGAAAATTGACTACACCACATACTTTGGAAGCATTAGGAGTTGGTTCATTGCTTCATTTGTATATATAAATGCATTCTGTTCATATTCTGTTGGCTGTTTCATCGTGCAACGGTGGCGAGTCGTACCGTCTGGCATTGAGTGTAGTGTACGATCCAGGAATAACAAACATTAGAATCATGAACCCAAGTGTAGAAGATTGTGTTTCGAAAGAATTGTAAATAAGGAAGTCTACATCATCGTGCCGTTTCAATCTGCAACAGGAGTGTCGGCACGCTGTTGGGCCAATTTGGTCAAGGGAACCAAGCCAAGCTGTGCCATTCCGTTTTCGAGCACAATACGTGCGGATTCATAAAGAGATATCTGACCAGGTTTCAGCGTTTTCTCTTCTTTTATCCGTATATTCTCTTCATCTTCGTCTTTCGAGCCTGTATCATCTTCTATTCCTTCTTCTAAACAGTCTGCCAGTTGCTCAGTGACGGTCGACAAGTACGCAACAATGGCAGCTGGCTCAAGAGTTTGATAGCTGAGACGAATGATTTCCGGAAACTGCAATATAATACGGAGCAAGCTTGAAGGCTCGTCGTCCGCAAGCACGTCGACGTCTTCGTCTGAAAGTTCGGAGCTGGCAGTGTGTCCATCGAGAACATGAACGAGCTTCGCGTACCAGTATTGTAGTTCGGGACCCGTACCGGATTTGAAAGTAGTCATTACAATTGAATTGAAGGAGTGAGAAGTTGCTGTACGGGTTGAAAGCTCAGAGATAAGGAGCGCTGAGATGCCCAACGCTTTAATGGCTTCCATGTTGTCTTTGAACAGTACTGTCTTTTCTTCCTCGGCTTCTAGGACTGGTAGCATGGCTGCTTCACAATGCTCAATGATCGCCTCTGGTTTGTACATGGTTCCCAGGGTGTCGGACAGCCGGGTAGTTTCGGTGAATTTGAGATGCTGTATCTTATTCGACAGTTCCTCCATCCCCATCGCGCTTAATATATGATGCACATGCGTGAAGTGAACACTGTTATCACTTCCAGCAACTATGATCATCTTGTCGAAGTCATACTGTCTCGATCTTTCAAGCACAGCCGCGAGATCTCGAAGTAAGTATGTGGTCGCTCCATTCCGATCCCTGATGATGGCAGTACCGGCTTTCAAACCAAAATCTTGCATATGAACCACCCAAGCCCCAGCACTTTCTTTACAGATCTCTTTCTCTTTTAACAAATGCTCCACTTCTGTTATGGTTTCTGGTTTGACCTGAGACTCGCCGGTGTACTCATCAAATCTGACGCCAAGCTGAGCATAGAATTCACTGTAGTTCTCGATGTTTGCGTCTCGAATGAGTTTCCAAAATTCAACTGCCCCCTCTTCTCCATCTTCCAGTCTTTTGGAGGCCGTGTTACGCTCGAAGTAAATGCCACGGCTCTCGATGTCCACTTGGGCCTCCCCCTCATCTTGTCCGTTCTTAGCAGCTTCGTCTCGAGCTTGTCTACTAGCAGCGACTTCAGGTTGAAACAGCTCATCAATCTGATGATACAAATAAAGAAGATGATGAACAGGGTCGTCTTTGTATTCTTCATGACTGCCAAACTTGTCCCAACCCACTTTGAGCAGGGCGATGGGCTTACCCCAATCGCCGAGATAATTGATTCTTGTAACATCCCAACCCATATGTTCATGGATATTGCTAACAAATGCACCAAGAATGGTGCTTCGAAGGTGTTTCGCTTGGAATTCGTTTGCGATGTTGGGTGACGAAAATTCCACCAGAAGCTTTTTGCGCCTTTCTTCGACGTTTTCCGAGTTGAGTCGTCCCAAAGTCGGATTGTTGCCGAAACTGGTTTTCCGTTCGAGTATGTAAGGAATGAACAGCTTTGGTAGCATTTCCGGACTGAGGAAAACTCTCATGTGAACGCCATCGATTATTGGATGGGGGAACAGAGGGTGATCCTTTGGAAACTAAGGTACACATCAGCCACGAAAGGAACATAGTCTCTCAATGCTCATTCTCTGTCAAATGTCTAACCTTCTTCATCAGTTCTGGAACAAACTCGGCGGGTTTCACGCCGGGACGAAGTTTTGGTAGTGTTACAGTCAAATCCCCGTTGAAGATGTTATTCGGCCATTGGATGGCGCGGTAAGCTTCTTCCGGCTCACATCCTAGGATTTCGGCGAGGAGTTGGGCAAGAAGCAAGCGGCATAGGTCAAGCGGGTTGGTCAAAATGTGGCAATCGTGCAGATCTGAGTTCGGTGCATCGAGTGTGAGCCCGAGAAGGATGTCTTGGATGCCCGCAGCACTACTCGTCGTCATGGTCACGATGATCGCGCTGCTCAACTGAAAGGGTTCTTGCTTCCCCGTCTTCTAACAACTTATTTTGTGTAGCTGAATACTGGCTGAATCAATTCCTTTGGAAAGAGTAAGGCTGGATTCAGGACGTTGCTCAAGGTTTCGAGGTTGCTTGTTTTTAGTGTTCACCGTTTAGACTCAGCCTTGTCCAAAAATTGCCACGTTATCCAGCGCATGCCTCGTGGCTGTATTGGATTGGCGGGCAATATACTTGCATCGTGCATATACTCAATGCGCACATATTTTGGATGCACACATAAACTGGTTTTCGTTCGTTGGTCTCGAAAAGTGCCGAGAGTTGATCACTGTCTTCCATCTACTGCCAATGACCCCTGCCATGCACTTCCCGAACAACGCAGCCGGCTTTCAGTGGAAGATATAATGCGCAAATCTGACTGGCGTGAGTGTTGGACGGCCATTAGAATGAAAGGAATGGGGCTGTCACAACCAACTACGCTCGAGCATGATATCTCAGCGACGAATTTGACTTGCAGTGTTCCATACTGAACAGAAAAAAATGATTCCTTCTTATCTTGTTATCCTAGGAAGCGCATGAAGAGTGTTTGCAGAGACTAATCGGGTTCGAAGTGGAATACAACCCGCCCAGAGACAAAAGAAGAAAAGTAAATCCCTAAGGTGTGAAACTTAATCGAACTGCGTCTATTCCGGATCATTCCTACATATAAGTCAGTTTTTTATTCAGTTGAAAATGTGACAGTGACATACCGTATAGCCTGTACAGTCCCGAGACGGTCCAGCTGCCCCGACAGTATTAAGGTAAGCTGATGATCTGATGGAACAAATTTACGAAGCAAGAACGTCACAACGCTTGTGATTCTCATTACCGCATACAAGACAAGCGTAGCTACAACAAATGAGGCTGGGTGTTTCTTGAATCCAAAAATGATCTCTCCTTGTATACTAAATAACGTGGCAACGATCGCAGCGGGTATCATGATCTGGTTTGTCTGGGTTCTGTCAGCCTACTTTGTAAATCAACAGGTATAATCAATAAACCCACAGAAAGCGTTATGGCAGAGTTAAGATTCATGCCACGTGTCAGTTGGTAGCTCTCCAGATTCATCTGGTTAGCTTGAGAGCTGTACTTGTTTGCTTGAGAGCTAAATTTATTCGCTTCCAAGGCGTATCTGATACTTTCTCGGTTCAACTGAACTGCCTCCTGCTTCGAAAACAACTCGATCTGGAGAATTTCAATATCAATTTGTGAACTTGATGGAGTGTCAACAACTTACGACCATGGCAAAGTTCTTGCAGGAATCACACAATGAGTCAATCCTCCGCTCGAGCCTCGAAAGATTGACGAACAATTGCCGAGTCGCATCAAGCGCCAATACTACGTCCCTTTCCCTCAATTCTTCGAAGTAGTTGACGTGACCATTTGGTCCTTTAAAATGTCTCCAAGATTGGTTAGAGGCTGAGAGCTTTTCACGGAGACTGTGCAAGAACGCTAAAGTCATAGCCGTTAAAGGAAGCGATTCTTCAAGTGCCTCGGAAATATCATCTTTGCTGGAAGACCTGAGAACGCCGAGTAGTTTGTCATTCTGTATTGAACTATCAGTATAGCTGATCACCATAAATGTATGTGATATCTACCTTTCGGATAATGCATGGTTCTATTGTATCGACAAGGTAGGTCCATTCTTCCACCACTGTTTCAACTCTTGCCTTGAGGACCCGGATATAGTATTTGAATGGACACCATGTTGGATCCTGAGTTGCAAGAACGAGGCCATCACCATCAGATGCAACCATGTCCTCCAAATCTTGTTCGTCATCTGATCCGCAATCGAATTCTGAACCGTCTTCATCGATAGGGCTTTGGTGTTCGAACGGAGCTTCTTCCCGTACGTTGTTCTCTTCGAGATTATCTCTCAGCGTGGAATTCGTGAAAGCGTATGCAATCCACTTTGTGAAATCCCATACGCATATGATCACTGAACTTCGGACTTCGTGAATGACAGGACTCCGTGTTTCTTGCAGCTCAGAGGAGTTCATTCCAAGGAAAGACAAGTCGGCCCACGGCTTCTCAGCCCCGGTCTCTCGCGTTGCACTTGACCTATCTATGATTGTTTGTCGTAGAGCTAGATAGGGCAGATGTAGCTCCAAGATCGGTATCTTGAACCCAATGTGCTAGAAAGATGCTATGTAAGCTTGGCTCACGAAAAGTGAAGTACAATACTGACGTTGATATGTACTTGAATGGATGTCTGCCCATCCAAATGTTTATGGATTGCATCACGGAGCGCGTTGGCCTGGTGGCACCATGCACTGCGAATCAATGAGCGGATGTACTCTCCATCCAAGCGAGTGATATGTCTAGGAGCTCGAAGATTAATATTAATCCAACCATAGGTGAATGTAACCTGAGTGACAACTGGTCGTCGGGCCTACCAACAAAGCCGACTTGCGAAATTCCACAAGCGTTTCAGTAACATTGATGAAATATTCGAGCGAGTTTGAAAGTAGTTTGGAATTCCGAACTAATGAGCGTTAAGAAATACAGTCTTACATTAGATGGCGGTACGAGCCTGCTGCCGATGGAGATTCAATCTGCTTTTATGATCAGGTTCTTTCATACCACATAGGCAGTTCACCTACCTGACTAGATAAAAATTCGCCAAGTCCAGTGGAGGTCAGCCGGCTGGTGATCCCTTGATCGATTCCAGTATGAAGCGACCAACAATTGACCCAGGCTCTACGTGACGTAGAGTCATAACCCCTGTTATCCAGGCAGAACTTGTTGATGACCTCATTCTGTCTTGATGGTCTTGGGCTGTTGCCTTGATCGATGAAGAAGTCTAAGACATCGATTCGAGGATCGAGATACACTTCTTTGGTGAGGAAGGGTTTGTCGGTGAACTTCCGCTTCGCAAAGGATTGTAAGCTCCACCGCTTGTCATTTAGGCATTTGTGTGACCTGAGTTTCCTGCGAAAAGCCCCCATGAAGTGACAAACTGTTCGTGACGCATTCAGGAGAGGTAAGTACGTTTATGAGTGGGCGTGAGAAATTATGGTGGGACTCGGCAGAAAGTGTTCCAACTTAGAAATTCTAGTATATATGTAACGTCAGCTTGAACTATTGGTGCTGAATGAAGGGACGTACTTCGCTATATAACTTCTGGTCAAGAGAGAAACTATACCATATTGCAATATGGCGCAATTAATTGGGAATCTTATGTGTGGACAGAGACAGGAGGTCAGATTTGCAACGAGAGATCTCGTCTATAAATACGTACGTGCTATTCGGTCTACGACAGTTGTGTTTCATACGTAGCAGGAACGGGAAAAAACGGGACGTGGGTATACATGTGCAATTATGCAGAGAAAAGACTGCGGTTGCAATGTCCCTCTGCCTGGCTCACAGGGCGATGCTCTTGCTTCTTCCCGAAAAACTTTCTTGGCACAACTATGCTCTCTAGTACCATTGATTGCTATCACGAATACGAAACGTGTGGCCAATATCACGTTGTATGCAACCACGTTTCAATCTCTAAACCGCTAGAGACACTTTTGTCCCGGGGTCTTGTGATCAGTGAGTTTCTGAGGCCGTATCTTGGGCGCTATCGTTGCAACCACCAACATCAATCCCGATCTGCGCTAAATGGTGTATACGAGAAGCAAAAAAATTGAGTAGGGGTGTTAATAGGCGGTGAGAATCTTACAGCAGATATTTGAAGCGAGTGCATTCATATCATGCATGGTCCCGTCATTGCTCGAGAGGCTCGAGGCAAGGCAACCAGCAGCCTTATTCGGGCTCCAACACGTTGTCACCACATGCGTCCTGTGCCGGTAAGACAACATAGTATTCGGCACGCGCCGAGGCCCATCGGTTATTGTGTTTTTTTTTATTAGAATTTCCATCACTGGCGTAACCATGTTCATCACTCAATTTGCCTTTCGAGTGTCATGGTATTTAGAGCTCGACGTTTAAAAGTATTGTGGGCCTCCGCAACCGCGAAGGAGCATAGCTAGTCACCGCATTGCCTCAGCCTATTCCGTCGACCAGAGTCAAACTTGATCTCGGGGGTTCTCGAGTGTAAGAACAGATATGGAATCCAATTGCAAACTGACACGTTGACAGCAGATTGATCCTCGGTGGTTGCATCTCTTGTTGCATAGGACCGTGAGGAGTCCTTGACCGGAATTTTGACTACATCAGCGAATGGTCTTGATAGATGAGCCTGAAGATCGTCCCGTAGTAGTTCTAGTAACTGCACACCAGGAAGATCGAGAGCGGTTGATTGAGGACATTTCGACGTGGATCGAGCGCATCGACAAACAACCATATTTTGGTGGTAAATGAATGCCGAATGCCGAATACCTTTTTATTAAAAATGTTACATCTCTAATGATACAATAGCGGGATTCGAAACAACTAGCCTCCTACACAGCTTGAGGTCATGTATACAATCGAAGTGCTGGAGTCTGATCAGTTCAGTCCATTGGCAACGATGATAAAATTGCATGACACACTCTGTCGCAAGTAATTCCCATGAAAGATATCTGCGTGTCCTTGTAGAGTAGATGGTCCATGAACCTGTCAATGATAGCATAGGTGAAGGACAATCTTTGATGCTCTTTTTGTACACACACCCTCCATGCTTGACCGATGCCCCAGTAACGTGTCGCCTGGTGTGCATGATATGCTGCAGGGATTCCTCGAAGAGTGATCGGATAGTCCCACAATTTCGGTGATACCGCTCTCATCTGGCCAATACTTTGCTGATTTGGCACGAATCGCAACGGGCATAGCCACACTGTCTACAGTGGTAGAATGGTTAGCCGGATATCCCTACGCGACGACAACGACGAAGCATAGATGTAAATGTATTCCGTACTGGCTATTGAATATGGCGAGGCGCATTGCACCACAACAACAACCCGACCGTTCAGAATAGGGCATCAACTCACTGCACATGTTTTAGCAAAATATTTCAATGTGCATTCTCTGAGAACAATACCGGGCATCCTCGGTTTTTATACGCTATGTTGGGGCAACCGCAATAACAACATTGCCACACGTATACGTATTTCCTCTTAGCCTGCCCTTGGTCAAAGACTGAACTTCAAGCCATCCCCATAGAGCTTACTGCAGTGTGAATGGGTGCTTGTATAGAAATATTGGACGTGGGCGAGGGTCTAGTCAAACTGCCGGTGATAAATTCGGCGGTGATCGATTCGTCGTCTCGAGTCGTATGCGCCAGAGGTATGGAAGCGCAATTGTGCGATTCCAGCATACCCGTACCAACTCAGAGCAACGATGCTCCTTGTAAACTGGCAAAATCCACACAAGGTTATTCTCTCGATCCTCTATCTCCCTATGTATCCCAAACAAGAGACCGCATTCGTATTCTCAGACTCCGTGTGGCAGTGCTATCCGAAGCAGTATGCTTAATTGAGACGGCGGGAAGAACGAGAGAGGGATCAGAAGCTGATCGGATCAGCAGGCAGAGGTGTCGGTGCCGGTGTCGGTCGCTGATAGTCAGCAGTCAAGCAATCGCGAGAGACATGAGTGAACGCGAGACGCGAACGAGAAGCCGAGTAGGATCTTTTTGGAAAGCAAGGGGGGCCGTGCACCGGTCCCCCACTGCTATTGCCAGTTGGCCTTGAGATTGCATTGATTGAGGAACTTGTGCAATTGTGAAAGAGGTTGCAGAGTCCAGGATTCGAAACACCGATATAGTTCCGCGGTAGCAAAGGTTAGACGTACCAACATAAGCTCCGTGCAAGTAATGCGGCGTCTGACGGTGGCGGTACTGAAGTAACCATGCGGACATTATCCAGCACCAGCGACTGAACTCGAGGGAAAGGAAGAACACGAAGGCGTGATGGAAGAAATTGGTGGGCCATGTCGGGTATTTAAGTTCGTGTCTGTGAGACATGGACCTGCAGCACATGAACTCGGACCTGATGGCTGCCTTCGAGAGCCTGATTGGGCACCGGAGAAGGCTATTATGGTTGCTCAATGTTAACGCGTAACTTAACCACCGCTTTTGTTTTGTTACCGTGCTGCGTACAGTCCCGGAAATGCGTGGGTTGGTCCCCTGGATCTCCTCGTAGTTGCGTATGTACGTGCTCTTCCCATAATCGGTAGGCTCTTTTCGATGGCTTTTGGAAAGGAGCAGCCGGCATCTTCACGAGAAAGTCGAGTTCATAGCCTCTTGCAGCTTTACATGACTAAATCCAATGATGCCGTGCTGCCGGGAAGAGGTCACTGGAGTCTGTTGCAATCACGCGTCACTTGACAGATCGAAGTGATGAATTTCCGGGGCTTGTACCATGTACTACCTGATGACTATGGCGGATCAAGTCACACTCGTATGCAATGATCAACGATATAGATTCACGCGACGTGCACATTGAGTACAGCTCTATTCGTTGATTGGGTAACCGCCTGGATAGTTTCGGGGAAGCAGGGTTTCATTGTATCTACAATGCCCAGATGGCTACACGTCCATCGACACCCGTGGAGCTAACCTTTGTGACGTTTCCGCCGCTCTCCTCGTAGACGCGGATCGTGTTGATGGTGTTTTGATGTACAGTCTTCAACTTGGTGTCGTCTGTGACCTTGCCTTTCAGATCCATCTGCCTAAACATGTTGAGTGCGCTTTCCTCCCGCTGATCCTGCACACCTGGCCGACCCTTGCTCTCCAGACTGCCAGCCAGCTGCCAGCCTTGCTCAGAGCCTTGTAGTCTATATGCCTCGCAGTTATAACCGGCGGCAATAATCTCAGATTCCGAAGACCAAAGAAGTGACATGAACGGCAAGACTTGCGTGCTGACACTGACGACAGCTTTGGGTGGTTGCTCAGGAGCAGAAGGATACACCACCGTGAGGGTGCTATCGTGTGCGGCAAATGCGAGAGCATTTCCTGATGGAGAGAAGGCAACGCTGTGAATCCAGCCTGCGGTATTGTTCAGAAACTCTCCACATACGGTGTTAAATGGCAGCCTCTCGCCCCAAGCGGAGGGCTCCGGCCTCGCATCAACACCCTTGACGAATGCAGACAATACGCGAGCATGTCCATCGGTAGAGCCAGCGGCCATGAGCACAGAGTTCGGGTGCCACGCCACAGAGGTGATGGTGGAACGGATGGGTTTCTTGATGTGCTTGCTGACCCACCAGTTGTCCTCTTCTTCAAAATAGCAGACAGGTACCAGGCGAGCGCCCGAGCCGACAGCGAACTTTGTCTCGGAGGGTGCCCAGCGGACGCATGTAGCAGCCCTATTGATGCGAAGCAGCACGAGGGTGGGTTTCCAGCCTTCTGGGGATGGTTCCCAGACGTATGCGTTGCGATCTTGAGAACATGTTACGATTTTGCCGGAGATTGGGGCAATGTCTACGCCAGTAACTGTTTTGTCGTGACCAGTCAGCTCGTCCTTCAACTGGAATTTGGACCCGGAGCGCTCGAATAGGTCGACATTGTTCTCACGGGCTACAGCCAGAGTTTGGCGATCAGCGGAGAAGGAATGGTCGGCAATAGGGTGGTGGAACAAATGGTTCACTTCGGGAGGAGCCATTATGAAGGTATCTTGTGGCAAGAGAGTGCAATAGGAGACTCTCTACTATCGCGAGGGGATGTGCAGGAGTGGATTGTGTGAGCAGGTGGAGGGGTTGCCGATGATGCTGGTGGTGATGGTTAGCTGCTGGGGTGCACGGGCTTCTGATCTTGGCACTCCCGAAAACCTCCCCGGCCTATTAACAATTTCCTGAACACTTGCAATCGCCATCTCCCCTTCTGGCCCCGAACTTACGAAACAATCGAACATCTAGCAGTCGCCCAACATGGTCCTTCGGAGGCCTCTTCTAAAAGCAACCTCGAACGTTGTCTTCACGCCCAAAGTCTGCGTCAGAAACCTCCAGTACTCGATACCCATCCGGCCCGTACCTAAACCCACACCATTCATCCCCGACCACACTTCTTTTCTGAGCGCCATCGGTCGAGGCCTTTCGGCGCACGCAGCCAAAATTACATCATGGGACGCTCTATTCACTCTCTCGTCGCATCAACTGAAGGAGCTAGGCGTTGAGCCTGCGCGGTCGAGAAAATACCTGTTGCAGTGGCGCGAGAAGTTTCGAAACGGCGAATACGGAATTGGCGGCGACTGCAAACATGTCACAGACGGCATTGCTGAGCTGATGCTTGTGGAGGCTCCCGTGGGCCAACATCCTCTACCGGGTATGCATCCCCGTTCAGCTGTGTCTACAGCGACCCACGAACCCGGAACTAGGAAACTGGTCGTCAACACTCCTGTAAACGCGGAAGCACCCGTCGAACCTCTGGAAGATCTGAAAGCTGTGGACGGTGTTGTGGTCAAGGGAGCCAAAACTATCAAGGGCAGCTACGTGGAGCCTGTCAAGGGAAGCGGTGGTTTGAAGGCACGGATACGTCTGCAGGAAGGCATCTGGGAGGTCAGCAGAGGGCACAAGGTTGATGGTGGTGAGAGGCGGAAGGCTGAAGTCAGAGCAAAACGAAGGGCGGCTGAAAACAAAGACAATCAGAGATAGGCGTACATTTCTCCTGGAAGAAATGTTATATCTGTACCATATTCATGTTCAATTACACATCACCAGCCCGTCCAAATCACCACTGTACGAGTACATTTGCCTGTTTCACTCAGTCGACACATGACCAATGGAGTTATTTCGTATGTTTACATTGATCCCGCATCATGCAAAAGTGGAGGGTCGTTCGCAATTCGGATATCTATACATGTACAAAAGCAAGAAAGTTTTAAGGAGGAAGAGCAAGAACTATCCAAATCCAGAGAATGCTTGTTGAGCAAACATGTCGCTCACCGCTTGATTGTTATTGTTCGCCACGGGGGCACCTCCACCTCCTCCAACGTTCATTCCCCCATCATTCAAGAACCAACTCCAGTCCTGGTCAATATCCATCGGCATGTTCTGCCACGAAAAGTTGTTGGTAGGGAGCGGGAAGTTGCTGAGGGAATCGTTGTTGATTTGTGATCCAGTGGCAGTGCCGGCCTCTGTTACGCTGGGTGTGTCCAGTGCCGTGTCCCAGTTGTAGAACCCGTCGTAAGACACGAATGGATCGCCGAATCCAGATTGCTGGCCTTGCAAAGGCGATGCGCTCGACGTAGGATTTGTGGAGGGTGTGGTCAGGCCGGGGTTCGAAGTGGTAGACCGCGAGAAGAAGTCTACACTGGACGCAGTGTCCGATGCAGGTGTCAGCTGCGGATTGGGGCGGGTTGCTGTTGCGTGTGCGGCAGTAGCTTTCCTAGCCGCTACCTTCTCGGGAGTGTCGTCAAAAGTGGCTGATTTCCCACCTCTCTGGATAGAGATGGTTCCAAAATAAGGGATGACAAACTCCATCTTGTCAGGCCCGTGACAATCTGGGTCATTGTCTATTTGTCCTGCTTGTTCGGCCCGGTATTTTTGTAGCATTTTTTCGAGCACATCACCACTTTGCATTGCAACCTTCCCTCCTTTTTCGGATGAAGCTCGCCGGAAAATGTCGATGCTGATTTCTATCAAGCGGATATCTTCCTCCTTTTCCTTTAGGGAGACAACTGAGCTATGCGCACCGTAATTGAAGATACCGAGCATCACTAGTACCGCGGAGGTGAAGCCGATAAAGTCAACGGCTTTGCATTCGTATAAAGGCTGTACGACTCCAGCCCTCAGGGCTTGATAGAGGCGTAGAACTTCCCGGGAGCCAGAAAGACAAGCGGTTCGAGAGTAACTGAAGCGAGTATTTGTTTGAGACTTCAGCATGAAGGGAAGATGTAGGTGAACGCGAATTTGGTTGTATACCACTTGGGTCATGATCTTTTCGTGAATGTCTGCGGCATTTTTCTCGACATCAGCGAGCAGGGCAGAGTATTCGAGCCATTCTGGATCGAGTTGTTTGTACAGATCTTCTAGTTCTTGATCAATCTGGAGGGCCCATGCAAAAGATTGTTGATGGACACCTTGATTGCGATCAATGACTTTGCCGGCCAGAGTGCTGACACGATTCATGAAGACCAAAGGTGGGATATAGGGTCCGTCTGTAGATATTTCGGGGAGGGTGAGATCACAATGAGCGTCAAGGATCCCGTATGGAAGACCCAAAAGGAGGGAGAGAAACCGATCACCATGGTAAAGGCTCCACCAAATTGACTCGTGAGCTGCCGAGTTGGTCCGCTTGCGATGGAGACCCTGTACGGAGTTATAAGCAGAAGCAAAAAACGCAAAGGAAAAGGTACTATACCATGAGTTGCGTATACATCAGCCCCTTTCTGTACGCCAACCAGGCCCGTCGGGGCTGGCCTACATCGGCGAACCATTTCGCCTTCAAAATCAGGAGTTCCATACCCTCTAGAGTCGCGGCGTATTCATCATCGGCGAGCACCCACCGATCAACAGCGTCTAGGTATTTATCCACTTCACGCTCTTCATCGAAACATATGCCAACCCCAAGAACAACGGTTCCTAGAGCAGCGATGTTCCCTCCATTCAGGGCTTTGCTGGCGAATTGAGCGAGCGTCTCGTTTTGCGCCGAGCACGTGCCGCTACATTTACGCCGCCATGTCGCCCACCAGTCACTATTACTATTCAATATGTTGTTAAGCTGAGGCTGAGGTGGAAGCATGGCGAGGAGTGCCTGACGTGCTTGCTCCTTCTTCGCCATCTGACGTTGTGACGAGCCGTCCATGACATCACTTTCATTCTTGTAGCTTACAGTGAAGCGATCATCTTCTACGTCAGCCGGTTTGGGAGTGGATCCTTGACGAGGAGGCCCCATTCTTGCTTTGATACGCTCTTCCGCATCGTTGAGCTGAGGATATTAGCAAGGGGTAGATGTTTGAGCCATAAGGGGAAGAACAAACATACAGCAGCTTCAAAGACGGACAAGATGGGAACGTGATGCCCCTGGTCGAGTTGCGATCTCTGTGCATCTTGAACTATTGCCGAGGATGCTTTCGACGAGAGGGGAGTGGGTGGATATGCATCTTTGTTGATGGGGTTGGGTGGTTTGGATGATATGGAAGTGACGTCGGAAACACTCTTCTCTGTCTTTTCTTCGAGCAACGAGTCGACAAGAGCCTCGAGCCGGGATACGCGTTCACGAAGATTCTTCCTGTGGTCGACGACTATGTCGGGGTCGGCATTTTCTTGGTCCACGCAGCGACTCCCCCGCGCGAAACATTCAGAACAGACGTCTGAATTGTCCGGTGGGAATATACATCTGATCTTACGACGACGGCCTGGACATATATATCAGAGTGGGTTCATCACCATTTGGCTGTTGGGATGAAGGTGATTCAGCGGCAAGGGGGCGATGCATGCAGGTGCAGTGGGAAGGAAAGGATAGATCTGATTGGAGAATAGGCTGGAAGTGTATCTGTTTGGGAAAAAAAAATACTAGATTGTACGAACAAACATACACTCGAAGCAACTATGAGTCCCCTTGCGCATCTTTTTGCGCGTCGGCAAAGACACTTCCTTGGGCATCGTGACGTCCGAGCAACCCGAGGACGTCGAACCGCTGTTGTGTCTACCGTGTATATGGTGTTTTCGTCCGGAAGAAGGTGGCCTCTCTCCTACTACAAATCTGGTCTCAATCACGGTTTACAACAACGGGCGTTGCCAAATCGTTCGAATCGGGAAATCCTGTTCGGAATAGTGGGTGTACAAGCAAAGGACCAAAGAATATAGCAGTGAAATCAACCAGTACCCAGCAAACCATAGGGAAGAAGATGTTTGGGGCTATCCGTACAAGATAAAGTTCGTCCGCGCTTCTTTGTCCGAAGCGAGCGAGGCTTATTCAGCGAGGAGACGGTACAACAATTGCGCCGGTGAAGGATTGCATTTGACTGGAAGCGATTGGAGGGGTGAGCCATCATGGGCTGTCTGCTGGACTGATTATGTATCTGGGTATGAATACGCAGGCAGCAGAGGCTGCGTATGCCGCGCAGGCGAGGTGTACAAGGTGCTCGGAATTAGCAGTCGGATATAACCCACTCGCACAGATTCGATGAATGAATGAGCCCCAGTACGTACGGGGTCATCTCAATTGTTCAAGACATGTATACCCAGTATACCCACACCATGAGCACTCTCCACACTTCTATCCATTTGCATACATATGTACATACCCACATACCCATGTTCCATCGAGATTCTTGCCCTGATGACGTCGGCTCCAGTCACGAATCGCCGTTCCCAACCCTCCAGACTCCTCTGGCCAACTCAATTGTGACGTCTTTAGTGTCGAAACCGTCTTTCTCGTCATCGGCGCTCTGAAACGGCGACATAGGCACCCAATCCAACTTTCGGCGGTGCGGTTCCGCTTCGCTGATTGATGATTGCACCGATACTCGAGCTGTATCCATCGCTGTCATGCGTCATTCTGTGGGTCAGCTCGCATTACGATAGTCCCTTCAACAACGATAGGTATTAAAAAACATGTCGGTCACGCTTGCTCAAGAGAGCGTAAGTCGCCCTTTCTTGCATTCCTTTGTGAATTGCTATTGTGCTTTGTTCAACGTGGAGCAGTGGATGAATACCTCATCTTTTGCCAACTGGATGCATACATGACCGTTTGCATTTCATAACAAGTTCGAATGCGCTATTTGATTGCTTTCGCTCACAAATCGGGAATAATAAAATATCCTCAAACTTCTTGAACCGGCAGCTACGGAACAGCGATGGAGCCAATGCATCAACAGCAGCAACAACTCCCTCCCTTCTCTCCACCAAGATCACGCCCGTCTCGTACCAAGAAACAGCACGATCGCGACCCGTTTCTCGCCATCGACGACACCTCAAATATCCATGTTACTTCGCCAGCACATACTCACGATGACCCCCACGAAGAATCACTTCTCGTTCGTGTACGTCTAGAACATCTCACCACGTTCCCTTTCTCCCCATCAGCTTCGACTGGTACTTACTGACACCCGGTGCCACCTGTACAGATTATACTGACCCCAATTCTTTTTACTTCTTTCCTCCTCTCTCTCTTCCTCATCAACCGGTCCGACCGCATCCGCCGCACCCACCGATCTGATACCACTACTGCCAAATTCTCGTCATCTTCATGGCCTCTTCTTACTTCCTACCTCTCGCCTTCATCTTGGTTCGACCTAAGCCCAGAGCCTTACCAAGAGGATTTACCCGATAGTAGTATAGACACGCGTGAGCAGCGAAGGGACTCACACCATACGGATTTCCCCATTTCTTACGATGGCGCTGTGTCGGACCGAGAAGCGAAGGAGGTAGAAGAGGATGGTGAAAGAGAAAAGAGGAAGAGGGGCAAGGGGAATGCGAGGCCGTGGCATCTCCGCAAGAAAGTCAGGAAAGTGACCAAACTCGAGATGGAAGATGCGTTTGCGATGCGAAGGCGAGTTATTGCGGGCATGTTGATTGTATGGGTGGTTGCATTATATGCTTGTTGGAGGGCGATAATGTGGCTTGCGACAATGCTTTGATCAAGCTGGACGATGAATACGAGTCCCCCGAATTGATTGCATGTCCCTGTTCACACTTGATACTGGATGGGTGTGTTCCATGTTGACACGAAAATCAGATAGTCTCACATGTTGCGACAGTGCACCGAGGACTGGATTTTCCAGGAGTTGGTATTGAGGACTGTGCCTTCTACCCAGGTAACATGCAGTCAAACGTATGATAGGTAAAGAATAATCTACAAACAAAAAAAAAGGAGGCGGAACAAAGGACGAGGGCAAAAAAATCAGAATCGCCCCACAAAAAGCATTACAAGCCGTACGAAGCCGTTATTAGTTGCGCAGAACATCGGTGATAAGTGTGTCCTGACAAAAGAGAGGTGTATATAGAGTGGGGAGGGAGACAGGCATGCATACGTGAAAGGATGCTAGACAATAATTATGCAATCAGATGGAAAGAATGCACCTCCAAAAAAACAATCCAGAATAACACCAATCCACCCGACAACATTTGACTGGAAATCGGGTATCAACCAAGAAACAGGGCATTTGCGTGAACCTGAAATAAATCCCTCTAGATTCGGCGTTATCTCCACACCGTTGTCGTCCAAAAAAAAAAGATTCTCGTAAAGGGTTGGTGCAAATCTCGATCCTGGACAAACACGCCCTATAGGAGGATCCTAGTCGCGTCACGCGGCCGTCTCTGGGGGAGCAAAGAAAAGCACTATCTCTCCGCGGTCATTGCGCTTCAATCGCATACTTTTCCATAGCTCTTTTTCTTCATCGGCTTTGGATACCCCGCGGTCCCAAGCATCGTAGCGTTCCCGGTGATATCGTTTCAGGGTTTTGTTGATACTCATGCCTCGTTCAGAATCAGGACCTTTGTTCACAAAAGACATGAACATATCAGCACGGGCTTTGTAATCTGTGTTCGACCGCGCCATGTCTGCATTGGGGCGTACGATCAACTGACCACTCTCATCGGGAGCCGGTGAATAGGAACGGGAGGGGTGGTATTCGATAGCCCTGACAGTTTTCCGTTCTCGGGAAGGCGAAAGGGAAGACGAGTACTGACGTCGACGGCGCCGTTCCCCCTCGCGAGGTTTGCGACTATCCCGAGTCGAATCATCCCGCTTCTTGATCTTGGGTCGAATTTTGACCAAGGCATTGCTGACTTTGCGCTCCTTGCGCTCCCGCTCACGGCCTCGTTCCTTGTCCTTCTTCGCTTCAGCTCTGCGTTCCTTCTCTTGCTGATCGTCGAACTGTTTCTGAGCACGAATAAAAGCCTTGGAAGCGCCGCCCTTTGCGCGCTTCATCGGGCTCAGAGGAGAGTTCTCCATGTGGTCGCCCGAATATTCGGGAGAAGGGGGGAACTCGGGGCGAGCTAGCAAGCGGTTCAATCCTCCGGTGAGACCAGAATGAAGCATAGGGGGAGCGTCAGACATGAGAATATCCTTTTCTTGCTGGGCATGGACAAGTGTCATGTCCAGTTCGGCGGGCGAGTTGCGTTTACGCTTACGCTCTTCTTTCCTTATGGTTGTGTCGATATCTTTGTCCCGCGACTTGGTTCTGCTATGTTTGGATTTGGGAGCAGGAGTGACAAAATTCATGTTGGGCTCCCGTTGGCGCGTATCAAAGGAAGAGTCGAAGCGCTCGTTTGTCGGTCGAATAGACTCGGTGCCGTACGCGAAGCCGTTCTGGGCAAAATCGTCGTCATCCGCAACCTGGAAATTCATCACATCCACGTGTGGTTGGGACTGTACATAAGCCGGTGGCTGGCTATCCTCGATCATGCGCGATTCATCGTGTACCTGAGGGCGGGGGCGATTGGGAGTTTCGGTGGTATCGAGAAAATCGAAGACATTGACAGGCGGCAATGCAGCACGCTCTTGATAACCCAACGCATTGGCAGCAGGCGGAGGAGTAGGAGCGCGTGGCGGGGCATCGACAAGAGCGACAGCGTGGGAGTCATGGTCATGGACATGCTCGACGTAGGCGTTGTGAGGAACGAGAGCGTTGTCCTGCTGGGCGCTATCTCTCTTCTGATGCTGGGGTTTCTTCTTTTCCTTGTAGAGTTTGCCCTGATACTTTTGGTCCTCGGTGATGCATGATGTGTGAGCGCGATAGGCGGTGCCGTCGAAATGGACCATGCAGTCTAAACAGGTGAAGGATGCTCCATAGCACTGGTTGCGATGGGGGTCGAGTTTCTTCTTGGTGAGGACATCTCCACAGTTCTGCGGCAGGTGTCAGCCGGTGATGGAGAGTGAAGAAGGGGATGGTTGATGGGGGACCAATGGGGCGGAGGGATGGAGTAAACAGAGGGACAACAACAACAAAGACGTACCTCGCAGGAAAACGAGACCATGGCGACGAAGGGACGGAACTGGCGGTGTAGCGTGCTGTAGTATGAGGTGGCAGTGGGGACTTTTGGTATGGAGAAGAGTCGGTGAGGGATCAGAACGGCATGGTGGAATGAGGGGGGGAGGGGGTAGGAGAAGAAGGATGCTGATGAGGTATCAGTCAATCCATGGGGTTTCACGTCGAGCGCATCAAACACGGCGAAAAAGCATTTGGCGCTGGGGCCCCTGACAGCCGCCATGCTGTAACCGGCAAGGTGACGCCGACCCGGGCGGATCCCCAGAAAACAAAGGGAGCCTTGCAGGAAGAGAGGATCCAACTGTTCGTTCATCCATCAGAGAGAGTCCAGAGAAGACCCCATCGCCGTCGCATTGTTGCACCTAAAATTAAATCACACGCACGCACGCACTCGCAAGCCAAGGCCACCACCCACAGCCATGTACACACTCCTTGCAACTTACCACGGTGCTTGCGACCCTTTTCCAACATGGACGCTCCCTCGACCACTGGACAAAACTCTCTTCTCCCTGGGATGCCGTCTTCACCTGGTTGATCCCCTCCCAACAAACGCGCCTCTGATCATCCTCATCGTCCGCTTCTACTCGACCTATGCACATACAATGTCCTCATGAACCGAACCCCTGGAGGGCTGAGCGCGTGAGCTCCCATTTGCCGCCTCGAGTCCGACACTAATCTTGCACACACCACCACCACCCCTTCGCAGATACCACACATCTCTGTGAAACATGCCGCCGTGACCTTGCCACATCCCCGCACCGCACCCCCCTTACCGTGCAGAGTACATACATACATGTCTACACTTGCTGTACCGAGTGACTTTTCATCATTGCGAGTGCTACCTGATGCCGTCACGACTTGAGTCGTCAGCCATGATCCATGCCACGCTGCCATGCCATGCGCGCAGTCAGGTCATGAATTCTGCTTTGCTTTTGCGCATATCCCTCCCCCGGCGGCACCCATACCAGGACACTGCCATCACGACGCCCCCAACATTCTTTTGCCTCTGGTCTGCGGTTTGGTTTGCCATGCTAGCCCGTATCCATCAATAGGCTTGCTATACGTCGACGCCTTCACTTCTGCCCGTGTCCTTCGTGTCTTCGTCTCCACACCCGCAATCGTATGCGTCGCCAATGTCTTCGCAGTTGAACTCTGGTTTATGGAGGCGCTTGTTGACAATATTGTGAACCATACAGCCCCACATGGCTGCTGCTGTCCGGGAAGATACCTGGGGGGGATACTTGGCCAACACCTTCCCAAAGTGCTCGGCACACTCTCCACTGCGCCATTGTTAGCAAGAGTCTGGCACATGTACAATGCATGTAGGTATGGATCAAGATGAATATGCGTGGAGCGCAGCGCAGCGTACCATGGGTATAATCGCTGGAAGAGGTGTACGTAGGATCGGAGTGCCTCTTTCTCGTCCGGGGTAGGCTTCTCGGGGAAGCGTGCAAAGGTCGTGTGCAGCACTTTCCATGCTGCGCGACCGAGTTCGGCCCTGTGGGACAAAGCAGTTGCCGTCAGTCACGTCATGTCCGTATGGCATCTAGTTCGGTGTAGGCCATGGGTCCATGGTATATCATGTAGTTGGCTCCGTATCTAGGTACGTACTTGACTGTCGCATTTCCCAACTTGGGGGCAATTGCGTGACCCGTCAGCGAGGGACCGCTGGAAACCTTGTTCGAAGTGCCAGCCTTCGCTTGCTGGATGGGCGACAACTGCCCCGACGGTGCTCGATAGCCCTCCAGCCGGACAAACAAGAACAGAGCGATTACAAGTAGAGCAAAGAGGACGAAGCGGCCTTTGATGCCGGGCGGGGCCATGTTGCTTGGTTGCCCGCTCGAGTTCGTTGAATGATGGATTGACTGTTTAATGGATGGATGGGTGTGGTGGTGGTGGCAGGTATCACCGGCGTCATGTAGCAATGCACGCGCAGTGTTTGACAAGAAGCATTGTCGGGAGATTGAAGATGCACATGTGGTGGTGTGGACAAATAATCAATCAATCTTACAAACATCCCTGGGCCGCCGCAACACCACGCCGCCAAGCCTCATTGATGCTCGTCCGGCTGCTCACCCAGCTACCTGAGTAAGCACTCAAGCACTTGCTAACTAAGTAAACAACCCTGGTCTACGTGCATGTAGCCGCTGCAGGAACAGTCATACATTGCCCAGATGCATCCAACGCGCGTATATTGTCTTCTATTGTATCTGCATGTTGAATACAAGCCCAGAAAAAGTCATCAACCATGACATCTGGGGTGAACATGGTTTGCGGGTAGATGTGCATACCTAGGTAGTTATTTAGTACACACACACACATGTATGTAGGTACGGTTGCTTGCCGACGTAATACGCCGATATCGCTACCTCGTCATCATGCAGCTCTCGCGGCCCCAAATAATAAACTCTCATTTTGAACTTTTTCTGCTTCGTGTGCACATTGCAAGTACAACCCGCAAACTCCTCAACAACTCCAGCCCGCTGCCATGTCCGATTTCCCCCCTTCCCCAGTCAACACCATTGGTACGTACTTAGTACGTTTTGCTCAACATGCGTAGTCACCTTGTTCCACGACTCCCAGCAGCCACCTGAAGGGAAGCTAACAGACGGTTAGATTGGAGCAATGTTGGCTTCAAAATTCGAGAAGGTGAGCCCATCCAATTTCGCCCTTCCAATTCGTCACTCATGTGTTTACACAGTTGCCGGCCATGTCGAATCCCACTACTCGGTCAAAGACGGAAAGTGGACACCGCCACAATTCATCGAGGACCCCTACCTCAGGATACATGGCATGGCACCCGGCCTGAATTACGGCCAGCAATGCTACGAGGGCCTGAAAGCCTTTCGAGACCCAAGTGGGAACATCAACATCTTTCGACCCAACAAGAACGCGGAGCGCATGCAACACTCTGCTTCGTACATCTCCATTCCCGATGTCCCTACCCAACACTTCCTCGACTGCTGCAAGCTCGCCGTGGGGATGAACGCTGCCTATGTTCCTCCGCACGAGACGGGCGCGGCCATGTACGTACGGCCTCTACTGTTCGGAAGCTCGGCGCAATTAGGCCTGAACCCACCCGAGGAGTACACATTCGTCGTCTACACTATTCCCACAGGAGTTTATCACGGTGTCAATCCCGTCGATGCTCTCATCTTGGAAAGCTTCGATCGTGCAGCGCCAGAGGGCACCGGGTCTGCAAAAATTGGAGGCAACTACGCACCGGTCCTGCGGTGGAGCGAGAAGGCGCACAAGGCTGGATACGGAATCACCCTTCATTTGGATAGCAAGACACGGACGGTCATTGACGAATTTTCCACATCGGCCTTCATTGGCGTGAAGAAGATCGGAGACAAGTACAAGCTCGTTTCGTCGAACAGCAAAAACGTCATCAAGAGTGTAACGGGGGATAGCGTCTTGAAGATTGGAGAATCGTTTGGGTGGGAGACGGAATCGCGAGAGGTACATGATCACCCCCCCCCCCCCCCCCCCCCCCCCCCCCCCTTATACTTCTTCTCAAGGGCGGGGCAGAGGCGCTGACACGACACAGATTGCTTATGAAGAGCTCAAAGAATTCGATGAGGTTCTTGCTGCTGGTACCGCCGCAGCGCTGGTGCCCATCAAATCGATTAGTCTCGAATCTCAAAATGACAAGTTCACATATCTGAGCGGATCGGAGCCGGGCCCAGTGTGTATGAAGCTACTCTCGACACTGAAGGGCATCCAGCAAGGCAAGCTCGAGGATAAACAAGGGTGGTTGTTCAAGGTTGAGAGGCCGGAGATTTGGAACGCGAAGACGGAAAATGCAGAAAAGGAAACGGTGGACCAACTGCCTTAGAATCGAAAGGCACGATAGTGCACGGAGGCGACTCTTGTGAGCATGTATTTGGTGGTCTTGTACGCGCATACAAAGATGCATGGCTACACAGGTATTCAGCGAGGCGCAACAAGATCAAAAATCACCAAAGACCTACCTCTCTGTTCTCATAAACATCGCTCCACTGTCCATAGCATTCAAGATGATACGGCCGTTCCAACAGCCGACGAACCGCCCGATTGAATGCACATGAAACCCACCTGAACGTTGATATCGACTTGAAGTTCACTTTCGTGTTGGTCACGTCTCATCGCGCCCATTGGCCAATGATGTTTGGGTTGGAAGATTGCCGCAAGTACTAACGTCATCCGCCTGCCGCCTGCCCGCCGCGATGCCCCGCGCGTACACAGATGCCTGGGTACTGACTGTACCATCCCGTCTACATACCCACCTGCCGGCATAATCTAGTCGACAGAGACAGGCATCAACCCAAACGACATCTCCTCCAGTCAAGGTGGATTCTTCAGAAGAAGAAGCACATATCGAGTGTGTGTAACCATGCCGAGCCTGTCAAGGATAGTGGATGGGGCGCGGAAGCATTTTGGAGACAGCTTGAGTCCTGACGATGCCTATCTCTCCTGTGAGTTTCGCAGCAAAGGAGGGCAGGCACAATAACGAATATCCCGGTACTGACTTGCTGCAGATTATGACGTTCGGTGTGAGTCGGCCGTAGTCGTTCCCGCTTTGCTTGCGCGTGCCCAAGGCAGAATGAAGAGCAGAACTAATCACACCGAACGCAGTGATGAAAGCAGACGTCGATTCTATCAAGAACGACTGGCTCACCGATAACGTTAGTTTTCCTTTCAAGCTGTTACTGTCCGCTGGCTAACACCGAGCTGCCCGTCAGGCCATCGCATTCTGGCAAGAGTACTTGCCCATTTCCCCGTTACTTCTCAGCGCCCATTAGTACTCATCTGCCGTTTAGATACATCGAACGAGAGGAGCTCGGCAGCTACCCGAAAGCGCACATCGTTCTACTACGCCCAAGCATGTCCTACCTTCTCCAGCACACCCCCGACCCTATGTCTCTCAAAAGCGCCCTCCCCGATTTCCGTCACACTTCCCACATCTTCCTCCCCATAAACGACAACACCGATCCCACACATGCCGAAGGCGGCTCGCATTGGTCCCTGTTGCTTGTTAGCATCACCGACGGTGTGAGCTTTCACTATGACTCGCTTTCACCTAGCAATCACAGGGAGGCGTATAACACGAGCGTCAAGCTCGAGCAGCTATTGCAGAAGCGCTTCAAATTCATCCACATGGACGATGCGCCGCAGCAAGAAAATGGAAGCGACTGCGGGGTTTTCGTCTGTATATTGACCAAGCACCTGCTCCTCAAGAGGTTGTTGCAAGCCGATGCAACACGCAAAGTCTCTATGTCAATGCAAGGGCAAAAGATCAACGCACAAGATGGGCGGAAAGCTATGCTGAAGATGATCGAATCGAGAAAGAAAGAGGCCGAAAGGAGGCGATCGTGAGTTTCCTGTTTGTCTGGGCATTCGCCAAACTAGATGAGATAAGATCAGTGGCTGACCCACACTAGTCGAAGCGTCTCTCCATTCAGACCCAAGTCCTCGAATTCCAAGAGTCCACCGCGGATAGGGGAGGAGAATGATAATTTAGCGAAGACATGAGAACCAGAGCTCAGCCATACGATATTGCTCGTGGAGACTCATTCAAGATGATTGATGGCGCTGCGCCCTCATGTTTCACGATCTTACCGTGTATGAGAATCGGTACCTGCACTGCCCTTCATCGATCACAGCTGGTCTCAGTCCCATTATATCGCCCCGCGGCCCCTAAGTAGGCGTTCGACAACACCCAACAGCATTCAAAGGACTTTGAGTATTTTGCAACAAATACCCCATTCGTGCTGTGTCCTTGAAACTGCGTTCCGTGAAGTCGGTGGACATCATTGCGGCATATCTACGATAAAACAATTGAATATGGGCATAGTAAGGAGTCCCGAAGAACACGAAATGGTCGTGATGATCATGTGTTTTCCTGGTACAAAAAGGCATGTGCGCTTTGTGTTATCATGTCATTATGTCGTTTATCGTAGCGTGTACCTGCTCATCAATTAAACTAAGCTCATGTATTGATGATATCATTCCCATTTCCCGTTTTTGCATGATCCGTAATGCCAATGCCTCCCCGTATGATACACCGTAGATACTACTCGTGTGGCATTTGGCATACCCTAGAAAGTCATATCGACGCCGCAGAGGTGGACCATAGAGTGCCCCTCGTTTGCTGAGTCTAGTTGGCCACTGCCCGCCATAAGTTACCCTTCCATAGTCATGTTCTGCACCACTTCCCCATCGCGAGTGAGATGCTTCAAGACCTGGTCGCAAGACCTCTTCATCTGGCCAGCCTTGTTGTCCATCTCCTTGGACAAGGTATCGATTTCCGCCGAGCGACGATCAACCAGTGATTGCAACAAGCTCTCGCCATCCTCGTGGTATGTTTCGGCAATGTCTTCGATGATAGCCTCATTATCTACGATACAATGCATTACGCGATTTGAGACCCGAAAAAGCCGATCTCGTAGGGTGCGTTGATGTGGCTGGAGACTGGCTTCCCAATCTAGCCCTTCTATATCGGAGGCGGATGCTGGAGTAGAGGTTTTGGGCTCCGTATCACCAAAGGAAGAAGAGCCTGGGGTGCTAGGAGAGTCGTGGTATAAAGGTGGTGGGGATGAGCGTAGGTGTACTGGCGTTTGTTTTATGGTAGGCAGGGGCTCTTCGTCCACCAATTTATCTCCATCAAAGTGCATGCCGTTCACGTCTTGATTGTTCAACTTGTTATTTGTGCTATCGGCGGCACCAATGGCTTTACTTAATCGTCGTGTGAATGCAGTGGCCCGAGTCTTTCGAGGCACTGTTTCCTTGAATGGATCTGACAGTAAGGCAGATTCGTCAGCTACGCTCATCTTACTGGACATTGTGACTTCGTCTCATCGAATGTGCATTACGTACCTGTACGCCTTATATCGCTGTCGGCCATTTCCTTTTCCATTCTCACCCGGCGTGGATCAGCATGTCCAGATATTGCCGTAGATTCTGCATGAGGTGATGCCGGGGTAGGCTTACTATTGCTAGACAAAAGCTCTATATTCGATTCGTCGAAGTTGCTTCGTTCTGTGTGGTGTATAGGCGTTCTTCTGTTGTCCAGTACACGGCTGGACTTGCTGATGTTCATTTTGTGGAGCCTGGGAGTGGTAGCTAGTGCAGTATCGTTGTTTGTCGGGTGTAAAGGAGGCCGCATATCATGTTTGCCCTTTCGAGGTGGAGTTGATCGTGGGCGGATCCGCTGTCCGCATGGGCTAAGAGGATCTTCAAGGACCCTATCGCGCCTATTGCTCAATGGAACATGAGCTGAGCCCTGACATATAGAATCCAAGCTTTGTATATTATGTCCCCGCACTCGTTTGGAGGGAGGTGTCGACGGCGCTTGAATACTGGGAGAACGTTTCCCCAGCACCTCCTTCGTCACGTGCAAAAATTTGTGGGGGGTAGTATAATCGTCCTTACTACCCTCTTCTGGATCTATGCCCCTAATCGTCGTGGCTTCCGACCGCTTTGTGGATGAGCGGGAAATTGCTTCTTTGGCCGACGGACTGACTTGTTTGGCATCGGGGGTACCCTTTTGTTGGCAGGACGCAAGGAGATCTGTCTGCCCTGAGTTCACCAAAAGCCCCGTCGTTCGCGTCTTGAGGGATAAGATACAATGGGCCGCATTCGCTGCTTTGCTTGAGCAGCCCTCCGGTAATTTACTGGGTTTTGGGTCTGTGATCATCTCTGTCCCCAAGGAAGGTGAGCTTGGACTGCCTTGTGCCAACAGACGCGAGCTCCGTACGCTCTTCTTCTCGTCATTTGTAAGCATATATTCTACATCCGTATGTTTATTTTCTGTGTAGCCATGCGGTTCTTTGACTTTCTGTCTAGAGCGCAGCTTGCTCTCATTGTCATCCATATGCCCGGTTCCCCCGACCCACGAAACATGATCCAGCTCTGCGATAGGTTCGGAACTTGCAGTTTCCGCCTTCGTCTTTGCATATTTTCCTTTTTGGCTGATGATATTTGCATGACCCGGACCATGAGAAGCGGTTTTACTCTTGTGGTTAGAAGGTCGGACGAATCTCTCCTGCTGCTCTGGGAAACCGAATGCATCTCTGCCTCTCGTTGCGCGGGCAGACGTCTTTCGCAGTGGAGAAAGACTTGCAATTTTTGTCAGGCGTTTTGCAAGTCGTTCGGCTTCCGCTTTTGTCGGGAATGTGATGGTGAGTTCCTTGCTGTGGCGCTCGGTATGATTGACCTGGTAGACCCCTGTTTGAGGGTTAAATTCAAGAATCAGATCCCATGCATCAGATTGTCTCTTCGATGCTCGATCATGCTGAAGTGTTGACAATCTGCAATCGAGGCCTGTAATGTGGTTCAATGGAACATCTACAAATGTCATGTTACTTGTACTGCCGTCTAGGTTGACTATAATGAGTGTATCGTCCCCCGCAAAAAGGCACGGCTCCATTTCGCCAGGCCAAGCGTCTTCCTCGGGCATTGTAAGAGACCGCGCGGGAAACATGTCCGTACAGAGCGACTCTTCATGACCCAGCAAATTGCGTAGGACATGGACGAAACTGTGTAATTCTTTCAACCACCTCGGAGACGTTTTGCGAGGAAACGTGGTGAACAGACCAAGAACGGCATCATTATCCCAGAAGTTTTGGAAGGTCAAGCTGTTCTCCAAGCACACCTGTACTATGAGACCGGCAACGGTGCTCACGTCTCCTGTGATAGATGAGCTCGAAAGAGTGTTGCCGATGTGCTTGAGTCCCGGTTGGAGATGGGCCAATTTTTTGGCTAGCTCGGGCGAAGCTCTGATGATATTCCTCAGCACGAGGCCGATCCATCTCTTTCTGGTTGAGGACTGCGCATTGCTACAGAACGCAGCAAGGTATGCTGCCGCTGCATCGAACAGGGTGGGACTGACGACGGGTTCTTTTGAGGCCAGTGATTGTAGTTGGCTATGATCCGGAGCTTCCAAGGCAGCCACGAAGTCGCGCGCAGACATGGCAGCACGCACAGGCGACGCGGGACTGTAGACGCGTCGAAGGCACGACGTCAGAGTAGCGCGACGGCACTTGGTGACAAGAAGATGTAAAGGAGCGGACAGACGGACAGGAAAAGGAAAGAAGAAGAAGAAGAAGAAGAAGGGAATAAATAGGTGGATGGAAGTGAAGTGACGGCGGAAAAGAAAAGAAAAGACAAGACAAGAAAAGAAGAGGTATAGGCAGAGGTTAAGGAAAAGGCGATGGTTCTAAATAATAATATATGGAGGGAAGGCGCGAACGGTGAAGCGGTGGAAGGCGCGGTAGTCGGACTGCGCGCGACAGCGTAGGGTGAAGTAATCGAGTACATATATACCTAGGTAGCTAAGTATCCAAGTGCAGGAAGTGTGAAACAGTGCACATGGTGTAATTGCGATGATGCAACAAGCACGCATGCACGTGCACTCAGCAAGTACATGCCCAGGTGTACATATACAGTAGCAGAGACGCGTCCACACGCGTCCACGGGGGCCACCCTGGCCCGCCATCGACTTAGCGGGCCGCCAGGCACATCAAACACATCAAAGTGTCGACTACTGTTAGATTGGAGCGCATCGTCAAGATCGATCGGCCAAGCTCGACTGCGTGATCAACTTGGGAAAGGGGCTGGCCGTGTCTGCAGCATGTAGGTACATGTACTATTGCTGTTCAAACAATACCTAGGTATCCATTCATGCCCATGCACATGACTACATATATGTACATACCCATGTACCTACATATGTAGGTATACAACTTTGAACATCAGCAAAACTGCTGCCCCATGTTCGAATTACTTGGGTACTTGCAAGCAAATGGCATGGCCAGCCAATGTCAACCATGTACATATCTACTCACTCCAGTACTTATTGCTGCACAAGTAAATCAGCCAATCCCGACTCCCGTTCGCGAATCCTTCCACTCGCAGCTTACGCGTTGCTGGCAATTTACATATCTTGACAGATCGGACCATGCTGAACCCACCCAACAACACCTGCTATCCACCCAACCGACATGGCCGACCAACCGTCCAATTCCGCCTCGGTCGTGCTCAACATGAGCGCTACTAAGCTGCACCTCATTATAGCTGGGTACGTATGCGGCTTTCCGCTACCCATCGTCTTGAATTGACCTCGCCAGGCTGTGGCTATCCCTGTTCGTCTCCGCCATGGATACAACCATCATCACCACCGGCCTCATCAAGATTTCCAGTGAATTCCAAGCACTCGACCAGGCCGCATGGCTGGTTACCGCTTACCTGCTGACCTACAACTCTTTTCTGATCATCACTGCGAAATCGAGCGATATTTGGGGCTTAAAGGCCACCATACTAAGCTTCAGCGCCTTCTTTCTCGTTTTCTCAATGGCCTGTTCCGCCGCCCAAACCATGACCCAGCTGTACGATTGATCTTCCACCATACATGCCCTCGGCCTTGACTAACTCCATCAGCATCGTTTTCCGCGCATTGCAAGGCATAGGAGGGTCCGCCTTGTATTCTCTCGTGTTTGTGGCCATTGTCAAACTGGTCGATCCAAGCAAGATTGCATTTTACTCGGGCGTCGTGAGCTCCGTCTTTGCACTGGCCAACTTGCTTGGCCCCGTATTGGGAGGTGTCATCACTGACCGTACAAATTGGAGGGTATGTACCCATCTAGCTCTCGGGCGTGTTTGACTACCCAACGCTGACCGCGTTGCCAGTGGATATTTTGGATGAAGTGAGTCGAATGAACACTTGGTCGACTAGATAGATATACGAGTGCTAACGGTCAGCAGCGGTCCCATAGTGGGGACGGCCATCGCCCTCCTCTTGTATGCCATGCCAGGCCTGAGCAATGGGAAATCCAGCAAAGAGCGATTTCGTGACTTCGACGTCGTTGGAGGCGCCCTCAGTGTCTCATGGCCAATCCCACTCCTCTTCGGTCTTCAGGAAGCTGGCGTTCATTATGAATGGGATAGTGCGATAATCATAGGTACAATGGTCACTGGCGTCGTCTTGTTGGCAGTCTTCGGCCTGTACGAGACCTGGGCTACATACAGGACGAAACTCGACGCGTTGTTCCCTGTCAGACTTCTCGAGAATCCTACAACCGTTGCCACCTTGATCAGCATGTTTCTTCTAGGGATGCCCTTTTACACCATGTTTATCCAGCTACCACAGCGCTTCCAAAGCGTTAATTTCACGACGGCGGAACGAGCCGGTATACTTCTCCTTCCAGTGACGCTCATGACGCCAGTTGGCGCTGTGGTTGCGGGTGTCATGGATAGATGGATTGCCGCCGAGTACGTGCTTATATTGGCCACCTCAACCATCAGTATTGGGATAGGCCTTTTGAGTAGCCTGCCAGTTGACGCTCATATCAGCAATGCCACGTATGCGTATGAGGTTGTGACGGGTTTTGGATTAGGCCTCGCAAGCCCCCCGTACTTCATTTTCCTCTACACGAGTATTCATGAAAGGGACGCATCGGTCGGCACAGGCTCCCTGAACATGGTGCGCACACTAGGAGGGGCTGTTGCTGTCGCCATCTGTACCGCCTTGCATCATAGCCTTTTGCAGACAGGCCTAGCGGACTTTCTTAGCCCCGAGCAAATTTCTTCCGTGAAAGAGTCGAATGGTTTGGTTTCAAGTCTTCCCGCCGAGAGTCGATTACGGCTAGGACGCGTGTTTGGTAGCAGCTACAAAAAGCAGCTCCAGGTTGTGTTGGGACTCTCGCTATTGAATTGTGTAGTTGCGATCATCATTGCGGGTATTCGGAAACGGGCGGGGACGTTTGGGAAGCGGCCCGTGAGAACGGAGGAGAATGAGTTCATGAAGACAGCGGAGAAAGGAGGAGGAGGAGGAGGAGAACAAGTGGTTGGTGCGAAAGGCTCGAGCGGATAATGCAATCCCATCCGAGGACGTTGGTGGATGCATGTACATACAGCAAAGTGCAGACGCCTGTCACATCATAGTCACATGCGATTCCAGAATGGCCACATGTGCACTGGTGTTTTGCTTCGCTATCATCATTGTCATTTGTTGATGGATGGATACATTGGCAACTTTGAATGAGATATTGCCGCCCTCTTCTCCGCCACACTCGCTGGTAACGTCAGCGGAACGTGCGTGACATCAATTGCATGTATGAGTACTCAAGCATGTATGTAGTAATTAACCAGATACATGGTCTTGGACTGTGTAGGGAAAAGGCTCCCGCGGCGCGGAAAGGCTAACGAAGTTAACCATGTCGGCTTGGCGATCCCGATCCCAGCCAGCCAGCTCTTCTTACCTTAGCCGTACCGCACCGACCCATGCGTCCCTACCTGCTCAGAGGCAACAACCTCGTTTCGGTCTTGTGTTGCTCCCCTCCACCCCTACAGACTCCACCATTTCTACACAAAGCGATGCTTGGTGCAAGCTGTCTGGCTCTCTGATCGAGCTCCGCCGTCGACACTCCGCATCAACTACAGCTGCTGTTCTCCCGGACGACGTTCCCCATGCCACCGACCGAAAAGAGCCATCTCAAGCGAGGCCGGGTAGGTCAACAGCTGCCTGCATCTACTACCTATGTATAGGCACCAGTGAGCTGACACTCTCATCCCCACAGCCTAGTCAAGGCGAACAGCTTGAGCCCAAGAAGCCTCGCCGCACCGAGCCTAACCTTCAGCCGCACGATCAACATGGTCTCTTGAAGCAGGGCCCGCTACCTTCTCCCATCACCCAAAAGGGCTCCACCGCAACCGAGGATTTCAAAGAAGGCACCGTGACACCTCCCACCGAACACTCCAGTACGGGCAACCACTCCCAGGCCGTCCGCAGCCCAAGGCGAGGCGCTGGTGGTCTCTCCTCTCCGCCCCAAGACACGCAGCCGTTCTCGCAATTCATATACCCTCCCAACAGCCGCGCATACGCAGTAGACGATGAAGAGGGAGAAGGCGTCTGGGGGTATCTGGTGCCGCTAGACACTCGCTCCGGCGATGTCCTGGTCCTCCGTCGGCGCGCCGCTTGCCCGGTTCCTTCCAGCAAGATCGGCAGCACGTCTGGACGCGAGAAAGTGGACCCCAAGACCTTCAAGAAAGAAGAGGAGACCTACGAGAGCGAGAAAGCTGATCACGGTGTAACATCCGGTGGCTATCTTATCGGACGTCACCCTGAATGTGGTAAGTTGAGCCCGTTTGTGGTGTTGCCTGTGGCGACTCTAATCGATGGCCAGATCGCCAACTTTCATCTCCCACCGTTTCAAACCGGCATTGTCTCCTTTTTCCCGAGAACAAGGGTGGCGATGCAATCGCCGTGCTGGAGGATCTGTCAGGCAATGGCACTTTTGTCAACGAGTCGATAGTTGGTCGGAACAAACGTCGTGAACTACACGAGGGTGACGAGATTAGTATTCTGGACGAGGCGCGCTACGTCTTCAGGTACCCTCTTTTCCGCGACACAAATGGCTTCCGACAACAGTACACCATCCAGAGACAGTTGGGCAAAGGCCATTTTGCCTCGGTGTATCTGTGCGTGGAAAAGAACAGCGGTATCAGGTACGCCGTGAAGAAGTTCGAAAAGCGATCGGGGCCTGGAGAAAAGTCAAAAATGGATGGTCTACAGCAGGAAATTGCCGTTCTGATGGGTGTAAGCCATCCTGCATTACTTTGTCTCAAGGACACTTTCAACGAAGATGATGGGGTTTATCTCGTCCTGGAACTAGCCGCCGAAGGCGAGCTGTTCAATGCTATCGTACTGAAACAGAAATTGACGGAGACGGAAGCCCGCAAGATATTCATCCAGCTGTTTCAAGGGGTTAAGTACCTCGTAAGCCGCAAACCCCCTCCCTCGTTGCACCTAAGCTTACACGCTGTAGCATGAACGAAACATTGTTCACCGAGACATTAAACCCGAGAATATCCTGCTCACAGACAAGGAGCTTCATGTCAAGCTCGCGGATTTTGGCCTCGCCAAGATCATAGGTGAAGAGTCCTTCACAACCACACTGTATGTTGCATGACGAAGCTGGTGAAGCACGTAGCTAACCTTGATGTAGATGCGGAACACCTTCCTGTAAGCTATCACGATGGGCGTTGACGGAAACAGTGACTAATCTTAGCAGACGTTGCGCCTGAAATATTGGAAAGCTCCAATCATCGGCGATATACAAGAGCGGTGGACGTATGGTCACTTGGTGTGGTTTTATACATATGTTTGTGCGGTTTCCCTCCATTTTCAGACGAGCTCTACAGCACAGAGAATCCGTATACGCTATCGCAGCAGATCAAGATGGGACGCTTCGACTATCCATCGCCGTATTGGGACTCGGTTGGGGATCCGGCGCTCGATCTCATAGACCGGATGCTTACCGTGGACGTGGACGCTCGCATCTCCATCGACGAGTGTCTGGAGCATCCTTGGACTACTCAAGCCAAGATCAACCCCAACGACAGCACCGACGGCTTGACGGGTGCGATTGCCAGTCTCGATTTTGCGAAGCGCAAGATTCACCGCGAACGCACTCTGCTCAGCAGCATCAACGACATCGCTGTAGCTCGTGTGATCGAGGGCGAAGGTGGGCAACCGGCAGTCAAAGTATACGAGAAGAACAAGGGCAAGAATGGAGTCAAGAGCAGCAAGGACGCGGCTGTCAAGGAGGCAACTCCAGCTGCGAATCGCAATCCGGACGAGTTCATCGAGATGGGGGGTAAAGGGGACGAGCAGCTATTCGATACGGAGGATGGATCGCACTATCCTGCAGACCAGACAGTAGCAGCAAGAGAGACGGGGTGAGGAGAATTGCGATGTTTTCAATTGTCACAGGCGTCTTGGGTGGTGATGGTGGGGGCGTTCTCGTACGCACGGTTGTGTGATTGGTTTACGGGAGGGTTCCAGGGATTCGGTCCTAGCCCTAGTCCTAGTGGGTTGAAATATGATTCTGGTTTTCACTCAAGCAGAGATGATTTGGAGCGTGATGGAGAGCGCCAACAAAAATTGCAACCATGCACACACACTCACTATACTAGAGAAGCACGCACGGTCTCTGGCGAAGATTGATCGAAGCCGTTGGCCAATGGTGTCATGGTCTGTACGCGAACAGCCGCTAGAGGCGGTGAGGCTGTCAGTCCATGGGGTGATGGTCGTACACGACTTTCCCGTTGCCGAATGAAATGTACATAGGTAGCAATTGGACGGTGGAATGGATGAGGACTAGTGCCGCCAAGAGCGAGGGGCCCTGGTAGGCAAATCGGAAAGAAAGGAGGTCTTAGCGGGCCATGGTCGGAAATTCATCGTTACCTACTTTACCTACTTACCTACCTACCTACCTATATAGCATCTTCGACCCCCCCTTCACAATTATTCAAACGTCTGCCTCCCCACGCACGAGCTGCTGCTGCACATCTACCCATTCTCCCTAAAACGCCATGGGCCTCCTCGCTCAGGTCGCCGGCCCCATAGGCGACTTCACCTCCACCGCATCCCTCCCCGTCCTCGTCGCCGCTGGCCTCTCCTCCTTCATTGTCCTCGCCGTGGTGCTGAACGTACTGAAGCAACTCCTGTTCAAAAACCCCAATGAGCCGCCTTTGGTCTTCCACTGGTTCCCCGTCATCGGTAACACCGTGACCTATGGCATGGACCCCTTCAAGTTCTTTTTCCAAAACAAGCAAAAGGTGAGCGTCTGCCATGCACCATCCACAGCAACCGTTGACACTCAGCCTAGTATGGCGACGTATTCACCTTTGTTTTGCTTGGCAAAAAGATGACCGTATGCCTGGATACCCGCGGGAACAATTTCATCTTGAACGGCAAAATCAAGGACGTCAACGCCGAGGAAATCTACAACCCGCTTACCGGCCCGGTGTTTGGCAAGGATGTGGTCTACGACTGTCCCAACTCGAAGCTTATGGAGCAGAAAAAGGTACCAATGCCCACTTTTTCGGGTGCTTTCGAAATGCTGACTTGCTTCACAGTTTGTCAAGTTTGGCCTTACCCAAGATGCTCTCCGTTCCTACGTTACCCTCATCACGGCCGAGGTGGAAGACTTTGTCAAGCGCCACAAGTCATTCAAGGGTCAGAAGGGCACCTTCGACGTCCCCAAGGTCATGGCTGAGCTCACCATCTATACTGCGTCCCGCTCCCTTCAAGGCGAAGAGGTTCGCAAAATGTTCGATTCTCAATTCGCCGACCTGTACCATGATCTCGACATGGGCTTCTCTCCCATCAACTTCTCCTTCTCCTGGGCTCCACTCCCACACAATCGCGCTCGCGACAACGCCCGCGAGACCATGATCAAGCTCTACTCTGAAATCGTTCGACAGAGGAGGGCTGGTAATGTCAAGAAAGATAGCCACGATATGATTTGGCACTTGATGGATTGCAAATACAAAGACGGCACTCAAGTTCCTGAACACGAAATTGCTGGTATCATGATTGCGCTTCTGATGGCCGGTCAGCACTCTTCCTCTTCCACAATCTCCTGGATCCTGCTCCGCCTTGCCACCAAACCCGAGCTTGTTGAGGAACTTCTTGCCGAACAAAAACAGGTCGTTGGCGAAGACCTACCTGCGCTCACTCATGATGACTTGTCCAGACTTCCTCTCCATGCCCAGGTTGTTAAAGAGACCCTCCGTCTCCACGCCCCCATTCATTCCATCATGCGCAAAGTGAAGCAACCTCTCGTTATCGAAGGTACCAATTATGTCGTTCCAACCGGTCGTACTTTGATGTCATCGCCAGGTGTCACCGCACAAATGGATAGCTATTTTCCCAACTCCTCGGTATGGGATCCCCATCGATGGGATGAGGGCGCAAACAATTACGAGGACGATGAGGATGACGAAAAGATTGACTACGGTTGGGGAACAGTCTCCAAGGGCACAAAGTCACCATATTTGCCTTTTGGTGCAGGGCGACACAGGTGCATCGGCGAACAATTTGCCTATGTGCAGTTGCAAACCATTCTGGCAGCCTTCGTTCGCGAGTTCAAATTGAGGAATGTGGGTGGTAGCCAGGAGATTGTGGGTACAGACTACGCATCGCTCTTCTCAAGGCCGCTGGCCCCTGGTATCGTTGAATGGGAGCGAAGATCGAAGGCTTAATGTAGTCCTGAATAATGATGTGGATGTGATGCGACGCATCAGCAAAAGACACTGTGCAAGTTCACAGCAATAGCGGATCATGACCTATGCTGTTGCGGGAACTTTGCCCTCAGCACTCCCTATCGAACTGTACTTTAATAATAGACTCGTAGTAATTGATACATTCTTAGCCATCCAACGACTCTATACTTCTTGCCTCACGCGTCCACGCCTACAAAGTGTATAGAAAACTTGGTCTCCGATCGCCAAGTGCCTCAACTTCTTCATTCCCCTTCCCTTCCACCCAAACATCCCTCTCACCCGCCAATCTCTTTTTGTTTTCCCTAGCCAGCAATAACCTAGTGATGACACTTCCCCCCAACAGCCACAAAACAAGATAAGCCAGTACGACGCCGTGGCCCAAGAAGTATCTAGGCTTGTCCTGCCCCCTGTAGATGTTCGAGCTCACTACTCCATTCAAATTCCCCCACCCAATCACAAATCCAAGGGTAACGCCACGTTTGTACACCCCCTCGACGTTGTTACTGGCCCAAGAGATTGTGTTAGCTATGCAAGGGTAAATTCCAATCGCACCAAGAAAGGTCCCCGCGTATTGCACGCCGGGTTTGGCGGAGCCAAGTAGCATAGCGAACCCAACAACCCCAAACAAAGATATGAAGATATTGCACAATCCTCTCTGCTGCGTACGGTCGGCAACCCATCCAATGAGCACGGTAATGATAGCAGCGGCGGCATAGGGGGGCACAGAGAGAAGATTTGCCGTTGTCGAAGCGTACCCCAATCCAGAGATGATGGTAGGCAAGAATAGGGAGAAGGCATAGAGTGCTCCATCTGCTCCCATGTAAATTATAGCAAAGGCCCAGGTTTTCCAATCTTTTACTGATGCCCAAAAGTAGACCATTTTGAAGTCTTCATGGGAAGCTGAGGCTTGATTGTCGGCGCGGAGTCGGCGCAGGACGCGCGCACGATCGTCGGGTGTAAGACTGCAACACCTAGCATAAGATATATGCGTTCTATGAAGGTGGAGTTTGCGAGCGATATGGTGAACTTACAACTTCGCCTCATCTGGGAAATCATGTACCATCCAATAGCTCGCGATGCCCACAAGTATTGTGGCGAGGCCTTCGAGAATAAAAATCCACGCCCATCCAGGTTTGCCCCCTACTCCACCCATCTGGGCAATGCCAGCAGCGAGAAGTCCTCCGAAAGAGCCTGCCAGTGCTGCAGCCGAAAAAAAGATGGCCGCGCGGATGCCCAACTCAGATCTTCTGTACCAACATCTGTTGGGTTTCACGTGTTTAGATGAGGCTTCAGATGCATACAGTGAAGGAGAGTCATTGCCTACTTACGAAAGATAGTAATTTACGCCAGGAAAAAGGCCAGCTTCAGCGACACCTAGCCTGGGATAAAGTCAGCTCGGCCTAATTAACATAATCGACAGTGAATTATGTAGGTATCCATCGCTGTTGATCGTGTGCTTCCATTCGCCATCACTTGGCATCTGCCTCGTACGTACCACCATCGCTAAGTTTCGAATGTTAGTCTTGCTTTTTTTTTCATCTGGGTGGGGAGAAAGGTAGATTTACAGACGCCATCAGACCTTGGAAGTTATGCACCAGTCCCATACACGTCATGCAAATACCCCACCAGACCATGATAATGGGCAGGAAAATGCTTGGCCTCAATTTCTTGAGCAAGATATTTGTGAGTGGCTCAAAAAGCGCATACGAGACAAAGAATATTGTCAATGTGGCGTTGTATTGGCTGTCGGATAAACCGAGGTCTTCCTGAAGGCCGTCAACCTTTGCATTGCCTATTTCGCATCAGACCGGCTTTAGTTAACAACCTGGCAGTGGGCAACGAAGCATTCTCACCGATGTTGGTTCGATCCAAGAATGATATCAGATACAAAAACGACAGCCACGGAATCAACTTGATATCTAATTTCCGCAACAACTTTTTGTCCTAGGGGCTAGTTTAGCATTGAACCTCTTCCGGACTCGAACGATAGTAGACTTACGGCAGCAGCACACTCCTCTTCGTTTAATCCTGCGTCGGGATTAGGGAGGTAGCTAACGTCAGGCGCATGCTCCTGGTTCTGAACCTCGTCGGCAATGCCCTTCTTTTCCAGCGTCTCAGCCATGATCCCAGTAAACGCCGTGTTTCTGGCTCAAGATTCGGTACGCTGTATGACCAGAACACTATCGCTGAGAAACACTCGGGCGATAGTATGGTATGATGGAAACCTCTTGAAATCGACAAGACAAATGATGTAGATGGGCTGGAAAGTGGTGTGAACACTTGCTGTTCAGAGCCGCCGTGTGGAGGAATGCTGGGAGATGGCACTACTGCATGGTAGGGGGAACATATATACTGTAGAGGCGATCCGCCTCTATTTGTTTTCTGATAACGTCAGTCACTGGTCATTGTTCGGCTTGATAAGACAGACTGCTCATGACGATCTTGAGGCCCGCTAGTTGATATGCAGCAACGACCAGGGTATTGTAAGCAAATCATGACCTTTAGCTCTTTAATCAATAACAAAGACACTTGTATATTACAAGCAGATGACCCACAGCGATACGTACTAGCACACTAGAGAGTTATAGTTGTGTTATCTGCTCATAATACATCTGTTGGGTGGAGTCTAACGTAGTGTACGGCTTGGGCCTACAGAAATTACTGCAGTCACGTAACGAACATACTACCTGCATCTTTATAGATGGGGCCTTCTCATGCAATAGTTGCAGATTGCATGTCCCTTGAATACCAGGTCGTTGCATGTGATAAGACCAACAAAACACAGGGTTCATGATGGGTGTTCAATTGAGGAAGGTAGATAAGTACGATATGGTGCTGAGCAGCAATATTTCTCAGTCGATTATAATCCACCGTCTTTATTGCACATGTTCCGGAGAAAGCATAAAGTGCCGCATTGATCGAGGCAACTTAGTCCGACAAGGGAGAAATATTGCCAGCATCGCTATCACTCTACCCCCTCATATAGCTCCCATACATTCGGGACACACCGGAATTACTGTCACGTGCATGCATTTGCCAAGCTCTCAAGTGCTCCAAGAAAGCTCCGCCTTGCTTGCTTGACTCCCGACTTCTCTATGAGAGCCATAGTGCGGTCTGAACAGGGGTTTGTTGTGAGAAACAAAGAATGCTGGTAATCAGAAGGATGAGGGTCTATGTGGCAGCTGCCCTGGGTGGGGTACGAGTATGTGCTAGCTGAGTAACCCCACTTTCGTCTACGTGGATCCATTTGTTTTTAACCAGACGAATATCGCTCTCTTAACTTCGTCCCGCGACCATCATGGACAAGGCCCATAGTTCTCGCAACAAGAACAAACGACCTTTACGCCCGCTTCTTCCAGCCAACGGCGAGGCTCCCAAGGTCGACCCTGCACCGCCAACACCCAAGAGATCCCGAGTCTCAAACGCATGCTCCGCTTGTAGGACTCGAAAAACTAAGGTATACCTAGTAACAAAGATCCGCAGGTTTCCTTCTAGTCATCTGCTAACTCATCCCTAGTGTAGCGGTGAACGCCCAAAATGTAGCAAATGTATCCTTTACAGTACGACGTGCGAATATCCAGACACTGAGCGGCAATTACTACATGAGCGATACAACAATTTTCGCAGCCAGCAAACTGCATACGCAGAGCTGTTCAACCAGCTCGTAACGCTGCCTGAGAACGAGTCACTCAACATGCTTCGCCGCATTAGAGCAAGTCACGACCCAAGTCGTTCACCAATTCGCCCACCTTATCCACATCCTGACCACGGCGCCTCGTCCGAAGCCGGTGTTGGCAAGGCTCACCATGACCAGTTGAAGCGCAAGGCTGAGCAGTTGGATCAAATGTCAGACAACATAACAAATGTCTATGGCTTACTGCAGCACGCTTCTGAGCATGGAGCTAATGAGCTATTTCGGCACATACGTCAAGGCATGTCGCCAAAGAATGTGCCTGCATTTACAGGAGAGCTTCTCACCCGTAGATCTCCTTCTCCAAACCAGATAAACCGAAACATCCTACCTCCAGATAGCACAGCCACTGGATTAGAGTACGAGTTGACAATACTGCACAACCTTCCCTATCCTGTTTTAGAACCGGTCGAATTACCCAAAATCGGTCTCGACCATCTCGCAAAAAGTAATTAGTCCGGGTTGACGACATCAATCGATGATGGACACTTCGCCAATATGGACAGTATGCCAGGAGATTTGACGACGGTTGTCCCATTTCAGTTGGACGCGACTTCACAGACGGCTCTCGCTGGATCACGCAGCAATCTTTCGCTTGTTACCAGTCCATCACCACCATTGCAATTGTGTGACTCACGCCTGAAGCTACTTGATATCAACTACTGGACCAGAGTACCAATCAGTAACGAATTTGCAGCCGGGGCCATATCGACCTATCTTGAAACAGATCATGCTTTGCTTGGCTTCTTTGATGCTGATCTCTTCCTATCAGACCTGGTGGAACAGCACCTTGACTACTGTTCTCCCTTTCTTGTTAGCTCTTTATTATGTATGGCTTGTGTAAGTGAAGCCCATTTATTGAATAATATTTATCTGATGGCCATGGAAGCTTTGCTACACTGGAATTGATGAGAAAGCTACTGCTCTAAGCCACGTCTTCCAACAAGAGGCAGAGCAATTATGGTATGCTTGTCGTGGTTCGGATACTATCGTTAATGTATCAGCAATATCACTATGCTCAATAGCCTGTATTTGGCTTGGTAAGGATAAACTTGGAAAAGATCTTTTGAAAGACGGTCGCGCCATGGCGGAACGACTTCAGTTGTTTGGCTCGCAACAAAGTGATCTATTAGAGACAAAGTTTCTAAGAATGAAGCCAGAACAGATACGTGCTTCATCTTATGCAGCTTGGGGATCTTACGGCTATATCACGTAAGTTGTTTCCAGCAGAAAGCACGCTGACCTAGAATTCTAGTAGACTGTGGCATCATCCGGTCTTAGGTTGATGACGTAGGTTGCTTTGATTCTATGGCTTACCGACCTGACAACTAGTCAAAGACTAATGCTGAGCAGATTTCATGCTACTATGTATGGAGGAGAACCCATCGCATGTCCACCAGTCTTGCCATTGCCAGGCGAAGGCAACAAGGGAAAATCACATCAAAATGACACACAAAGGCCAGTCCATTCGTTGCCAGATTATATGGGCTGCACCTTCACAGCAATGTGTAGGCTCTGGTCCATTGTTCAGGGGGTTTTGATGTTCTATAATTCTTCGCCTAATATAGCTCACGCAAGAAGGACTCCGTTGTCTTTCGCTGAGCAGAAGTATCAAGAGTTATTATCGTGGGCGGACTCACTTTCGAGCAAGCTGGTTCGTAATAGTCGCAGTCCACTTCACGTATATATCTTCCAGTGAGTATCAGCCATCTTTCTTCCCTTCAGATACGCGAATTTTACTGACAGTTCCTTAGTACTATGTTTCATGTGACGGTTCTGAACGTTTTCCGGCCACTGCTGCAGCAATCGGGGAGTTGTCGCTTACGATCATTTGCTTCATCTGATAGCTCTCCAATTTCTGTTTTTCATGCCTCTTTTCAACAGCTAAAGAGGCTTCTGATTGAGGCCATGACACGACCGAGGTACAGCATTCAGAGCGGTCTGCTGAATCCGGCTGTCATGCATATAAGCAACATCATCCTGGCGCATTCAGATTCTCGTGCCTATCGTTACTATTTTCTGCTTTGCATGAGCTTTTGGATCGATGCTACCCCGTCTTTTCCTGTTCTCGCGGATATTGCGCGAGGGTATCTATCACTAGCGTTACGCACTAGGAGCATATCCGCTCAAGATGCGCGGGGCTTGAAGCAAAAGCTGGCACAAATAAGCAGACAGTATAGCAGTAATGAAGTATCATCTGTTATTGTTGACTTTGATCGTGCAACGATCCAGGGGGCTTCATACCGGGCAAACGAGCTAGCAAGAGAGTTTGATGAGCATGCAATGTTTGAAGAGTTTACTCATAATAGTGTTCATTAGAATTTAATGTATTAAGAGAACTAGAGTGTAGAGAAAAAAATAGAAAGCTTTAGCTATTAAGGAAATATTCTTTACAAATACATATATATATAAAGTTTTAAATTATTAAAGTGCTTTTTACATCTTTATTATATTTACTTTTTTTATATATATTTCTTATTCTAAGTTAAAAGTTACATAAATGAATCTAGAGTATAGTATTAGTCTTTTTAGTAATTGCTTATTTTTTTAGTATATTTTTTATTATAAACTTATTGTTGTGTGTAGGATTACCTAAACTCTAACTTAAAAAATAAATAAAAAATAAATAAAGAGTATAGTATCCTTCTAGGGGCTAAGTTTATTTAAATCTTAGAGCTATCTTCTTTTATAATAGTGTAATAGATAATGCAATTTTCAGGTGTAAGGGGGGTGCTGAGGTTGTGAACTATGGTACTAAGGGTTGCTATAATTGTTTTTATAGTTGTTACCAATTTGACTCAACCATAACTACTATCTACATTTTAAAAGATAATGAATATATGTACAATACTGCCAAAACCCATTACCGTTTCTAACGGATGAGAACAGATGGATGCTACACAATCGTTTAGGTGAGAGTACGAGTGCGCTTCCTATCCTTTCTGTATAAAAATCGACTAACCCTATCGATCTGAAGTCGGGTATGGTTCAGACAAAGCCAGACAGCGACATTCAGGGTATAGGACATTTAGAGAAGCGCCTATGCGGCGAACCTCTTAGCGGTACCCTTGGTGGCTCCTGTAGCTTTCTTGGCAGCGGTAGCAGCACCAGCGGTAGTTGCACCGGCAGCTGCTCCAGCATCAGCCATCTGGAAAGCGATAACTCCCCCGAAAGGACCAGCCTTGTTTGCTAGAGAATGTTAGCATCGCTAGTGTGATTTCAACTCAACAGTCAAGGTCAACTTACAGTTGGCAATCTTCATGAAGCAGACATTGGACTGTCCACCTGCGGTGCCGGTGCAGGTCGTTCCGGCTGGGACTTCAATCTTCACTGGGTAATCCTGATTGACGTTGGCTGCACGCGCCACGATGCTACGAGCACGGAGAGCCAGGTAGGAAAGACCGCGAGGGACGGAACCGTTAGGTTTGATGTTTCCCTTGTTACCAGGGACATCTATTAGGGTAAGCGTACTGCTCCGCAAGTTTGAATATATAAATGTCTATGCAAGGACTCACCAGTAACAACATTGGCCTTTACGCCGTTGGCAAACGCGCCGGTAGCTGATGAGTCAATCATGGCCGAAACAGGGCCCGCGCCGTCCGTGGTAACAATGTGGAAAGTACCAGAGATGCTACCTCCGTTGCTGCTGACCTGCGGCAGCGTGGATCCAGACTGGGCCATGGTTCCCGCAATATCAGCGACCTTGTTCTGTCCACCTGCATTGGTTTTACCCAATCCATCCGTGGCAATGTTGGTTTTGCCGAAAACAGTCGTGTCCACCTCAGTCACTTTGTTCTTGCCTGGGCCAGGAACAATACCGCCCATGATGCCTAGGGCAGTTCCGTTGCCGCCTGCGTCTCCAGCAACGGCAGCAACTTTACCGTGGGCTGAAACGAGGACAAAGGGGATGGAGGAAATGAGGATAGAAGAGAAACGCATTTTGTGTGTGTTTTTCGATGGTTCGAGAGAGGTAGAAAGTTGCAAATAAAGAAGAGGATTAAGAATATATCGTCGATGAAAAACGGGAGGCTGAGTTGCAAAATGGATATCAAGCTCACGGAGCGATGTGAAGAGAGACAGTAGACCAGACTGTAGAAGCAAACCGAAGAAGAAGGTGTTGATGATGCAAGGAAAAAAGCTCGCAGTGAGGTACTATCCTTCGTCTTTAAATAGGGCTCTTGCTCACCATGATTGTCGGCGTTCCTTTTGTGCAAGCGGGTACGAACAGCCTCGCATGGCTATCCTCAAACTCATCCACCCGCATCACCATCGCGCAGCACTCCTGATCGCTTGACGCTCACACGCTATAGTTGACTCCGTAGGGTAACCGTAGTGTGAACCGGAATTTGAAACCAAGGTACCCAGGCCAAACGAAAGTATTAGCGGTTTGCTAGATGCGGCCATCTTCGGGCGCGTCTGTTAGCATGATAGGGGCACAGGAATTGGAACGGAGAGTTTTAAAAGAAACGAGCTATTAATAGTTACTAGGACGGTAAATACACAGCCAAACTGCTCTATATTCCGAATCAATCTTGCTCGCAAATATCCAAAACAACGTGCTAGACGCACTGGTTACAGCATCCTATCAAAACATACCTTATATCATTATAATGCAAGGCGGACGTCAAAAAAGCACATTCAAAAATCATATGACCATCAAAACAGTGTGTTTCTCCGCATCCGGGTCAAAGCAGGTAGAGTTAGTACGTATTGGAAGACACAAAAGGGTTTCGTGGGCGCGGGGCCCGAAGCAGTTTCACGCCCAGATCTGAGACTGCTACGATAGGTAGGTTGTCAATGCCCCCACTACTTGACTCTTCCACTACCCCATTTTCCTATCTCATGTGTCGTTCTTAGCTGAATGACCACTCTAATCTTCGGAGACACTCTACTTATGCACACGTGCGCCGTGCCGCACTACAAGCCTGTCGCAGCTGTCACAAGAGTTGGCACATGACGATGATTGGGTACGTCGAGAACCGAGCTCTTTTCATGAGCGAAAGGGCTTCAATAAAGTGGTGAAGGGCTTGGATAGACTGTTGTAGAGATTCACGGCTAACTATAGCGTATAGCGTATCAGCCCCAGGACCGTACCAACGACGCTGGTTTCCATGAGCATTTCCTGTGTTCTCTTTTGTCAACATCTAAACAGCAACAACTCTCCCGATCCCAGGCATCATCGCATTGAACAAACGATAAGAAAAGGCAGGGAAGGAAGGTATAAGAGACGTATAGAAAATCTTGAAACATAGTGACATTCGACAAACCAATGCATCGTGGCTTTTGTGGCAAACAACAATGTTTTCAGTTCCTGTTTAAGGGACTACAACTGCTAGTACTTAAGGTTTAGACATGTCTTACATGTTGCGAAACGCCGGGAGTTAAGAAAAGCTTATGTCTAGTGTTTCCGCATCGTGACACATGTCTGTCAATCAAACGGTCAGGAATTACAGGGGATGAAAATGTGCTTAGGCTAAGATTCTGATGTTCCCGCCTCCCAAGGCTTCAATATCAGCCTCGGCAAAGCTTAGCCTTCATTGCACATTTCGGCCCCACCTAGGCTTGAGAACTCTTGGGTCGTGCTATTCTTGCTGGACTTTGGAGATTGAGTGGTGGTAGAGGTTGGATTAGTCGTATAGCCCGACCAGCCCTTCAGCTTATTGAGTCAGTGCAAAGGAGAAAGTTGTGTCTCTCTTTTTCTGCACTTGTCAAGGAAACGTCGACAGCACCCCTTTGGGAATGCATGGGGCAAATGCGGTGAACAAAGTCATACTAGCTGCTCTTCCAACTTTTCCTTAACGCTAGGAGGAATAACATAAAACCTAACGTTCAGTTCAGTTTCACGCTACACAGTGCCAGCCGCTGTAAGAAGCTCGCGGCAGCAGAGTGCGCACGCACGGTGAAACTGCCGTACTAGTCGCAAGAGCTTCTTTACGTTCAGGATGTCAGGTTTAAGGTTGAGGTACTAAGCGCATGAAATCATCCCTTCCTCATTCCTTAAACCGGTTATTGCTACAACGGCCGCTTAACGCCAGCGACATACCGTTTTTACCCAAGTGGGCACTTGAGAGCACTTGAGATTTCGTGCCGGCAGAATGATGGTCGCGCGGATGGCTGTTTGAATTTCGTACGGCGCCGTGCTCCCTGCAGATCAGGACCTCATACTCGGCCAGGTAGGATAGCAGGTCGCTGACTAGTGAGACCTGCTGTTGGGAAGCGCCTGTTTCGGGGTGGGCTGGGCGCTAGAAGAGGAAGGGCGGGTGTAAAAACTACACCAAGGTATGAATACTCCACCATTAGAGTAAAGCAGCATTGAGATGTGAGTGAGGGTGGTAGCAGCGCATGCGGGAATCGATTTCTGAGGGGTCTGGCTCCAGCGGCGATAACAGTTTCCCGAAAGGGTTTGCACATGTGAGTAGTAGGGTAGAAAGAGTTCAATGTTGGGAACAACCAGTAGTAAATTCCAAGAAGTGGGTTGTAATCTGGAGTGTACCTACGAATATAAACATGAATCTTGCTCCCTCTGCACTCTCTGCTCCATGAGAGGAGCAGACAGAGCAGAAGAGCACATCACCTGATTAGATCTCGTGATTTGGGCGGCGAAGTCGAAATCCCTGCGACAATCATGGCGAGTAACTGCTAACTGCCAAGATATTGCCTGAGGAGGTTCTGTATTTTGGATGCTAGCAATAGGTTTACATGATGTAGCCCAATCAGATTCTTGCACTCTCACCTACCAAATCCATGCCAAGCGTCATGTGATTACACGACAGGGCTTAGACTCTGGCATTCAATTTTTGAACAATCACCACCTCCTTCATCCAGCGCATCGATTGTTCCTACCTCATGCTTGAAATTAGCCAGGAATATCTCTCATCCGTCATTCACGCCGATGACTTTCCGCTCCCATCCCGAGAAATAGAAGTGCAAGACAATAACGAGATTCTTTGACGCAATGCCGGCCACATTCCACCCCCGTTTTGATCCATCCAATCCCGAGCATACGAGCGATCTCCCGGATCTGGATCTGAGCGGTGTCGACTGGAGCAATCCCGAAAGCATCTTCAGCACTCTGGGCGGCACTAACCTGCCAATTCCCAAATCCATATCTCCCTCGCAAGTCAGGAAGCAGGCAAGTGAATACTCCAGCCAAATCTTCGCCAACCAGGCTCTATTAAAGGACATACTCAGTCGCCATGAGTCCACCATCCACAAACGATGGGCCAAGAAAACTCGAAATCAGCGATCAGAGATACTGCTTGCGGCATGGCCTAAAATGTCCGATGCGCACCGACCTGACTTTTTGGCCTTTCGGAAAGAAACGGAGCATGAGCGCGAGGCCGGTACTAGATTTCGCGATGCATTTATGTATCCGTACATCAACCTCGAAGACCTGTCAAAGCCAAAGGCACTCCTGCTCATGCTTCAATCTCGATCTCGCAACGCGCCAGATGTGTTTGCGTTTGCGGATTATGATGCGGCACATCTGGGCCTTGTCTCCAAAGCGATTGTGCCCCCTTTTCTCAATGAGCATACGATGATGCTCACAGGCCGTACGACTCCCACTAGCTATGGAGCACTTGTTTCTTGGGACGAGAATGATAATGCGTTCATGGATATGGTTTCTGGAAAGGCCATGCATCCCGGTCAAGGACTTTTAGTACTCGAAATACAAGAGAGGCTTATGCGTTTCCTCGTGGATTCTTGTAAACGGATTCTTCATGATGTTCCAGCTTCAGACTTGACAAGCGATAAATGGCCTGTCCAACCGCCAGTCGTATTGCCTCAAGAGACCACCGATGGCTTCGCTTCTCAGGCCGCCATGGCAGCGGAGGCCCCGTACAGACATCCAGCAAATATGGACCTACCGCGCCTAGAGTCTCTCTTCGAAGCAAAAAAGACTGCTGCCGAGGATCATATCTGGGCCTTGCGTGAAGATCCAGGGTACTTTGCGGGAGCTGTATTGGACTACAGGGACCAGCGTCAGGAGACACTAAAGGACACGAACGGACGAAGCCATCCACTCATGAGTGTTGGGCGTGAAGATGTCTTTTGGCAGCGTGTCATTGGAAATGTTTTGGCCACTGCTTACTTGAGTTTAGAAGTTTGGAGTGAACTTCATGCGCAAGTCAAAGAGCTCCGGATACTTCAAGGGCGGTATGAGCACCAAATCACCGCGGATGCAGAGTTACCAGAAGAGTATTTGAACGCTCTACTGAGATTCCGACATTACCTGAACCAAACTTCGAAAGGTCCATTAGGCCAGCTGAAGCATTGCGCATACTCATCGCCCCCCCTTCGCCACCTATTTGTTCGCATTCCACCCGTGGACCCGAGCACACCTATGATACAGATCATGCGGAAGCCTGAAGTCAAACCGAATAAGTTGGAGAGAGAACTTATCTGGCTCCTTCAGAGTCTCATAGAGGACGGTGCTACACTGTTTCTCGCTGGTCTCACTAATATAGTCGACGAACTAGAACGTCTTATCCAGAGTGACCCGAAAGCTAAAGCGCTCATCTCTTCACATGTTGCTGACGTCTTCTCCGACCTGTCGGTTATCAGCGAAGCGCTCAGGCAACTGAATATCTACCAACCCTGGGCGCAGACCTTCGAGCACGCACTTGTCGATAAGCAGGAAGACATCGAGAAAGAATTTGCCCAGCAAACGCAAGCCTGGGGCCTGGTCATGAGCGCGATTGGTGGTCCAAATCGGAAGGATATCGTTCGTTTAGGAGAGCCCACAGCAGGTAGGTTCGACTACCCTGTCGACAAGCAGCGGAAAAAGGCCAACGTCGACGCTATGCGATCCGCAGAGCAGAACCTCGACGCGTTCTGGCAGGCTGTTGATGATAGCATGAATGGGAGGGAGATAGGAGATACGGCGCTTTGGCGGCTACTTTCGCAAGAGAAAACCCTACACAGGACGCCCGAGTGGGTTGAGCCGGAGAAGACAACCAAGCAAGACTCGGAGCATTCTATCACGATACCTTTGTCACAGCTATATTTCAGCCTTGAGTGGAGGACTCAGCGCACCATCGACGACACTCCATCCAGAACAAAAACTCCGAAATCCAAGACCAGAGGCACGCCCACAGTGGCAACTGATGTCCCAGAACCTATTTTGACCCCAACGCAGCTAGACATCCAGCCGACTTTCCGCCTCGACGCCCGTGCTCTAAAAGTGTTCCGCACTCTTTTCTATACACCCACATTGAATGCAACCCCAGGAGAGGTTTCCTGGACCGACTTCTTGCACGCTATGGCTGCTACCGGGTTTGCGCCGGAGAAGCTGTATGGCAGTGTTTGGCAATTCAGTCCCAGCGGACTGGACGTTGAGAGGAGTATTCAATTCCATGAACCACATCCTACTGGAAAATTGAGTTATCGAGTCGTGAGGCGGTACGGAAGGAGGCTGAATCGAGCCTATGGGTGGGAGGGCAAAATGTTCTTGCCGAAATAAGATTTTTTAAATAGTGGCGAGCGTACCATGAAATCCACTTGAGTATTCGGTTTGAGGATGGCTTAGCGTACATAGATAATACTATTGATCCTAACATCAATATACCTTCGCTGCTGGAGTTTCCCATGACACTTTAGTAGTGTTTGCTTACTTAACTTTTCTCATTGCTGCTGCTTGGTTATTGGGTGCTGAAGAACCTACCTCTGCCTGTTCTGCCGCAGATGTCCTGCGCTTACGACTTTGTGTTCCCTTCATCGCGGCTACTCTGTTGAGATAAAATAGTTACATTTGACAGCGTCTAGTCTTACCTTCTAACAAGTGCAAGTAGACAGGCCAAGTAAACCTCCAGGAAAAAACTGGCCCTGGTTGTTGTCGGGTGCCATATGTGCATTGATTGAGTCTCGTTGATTAGCTCACCAATCTTGTTGGAAAAAAAAAAACCCCCATTTTTCAACAACACAGTGCGATTATCCAATACAGATTTAATTAATTAAGTTAGAGGCTTTCCTAGCTAATGGAGATAACCTGCAACCTTAACTAGTTAGGTCTAGGTTAAGCTTACGTGAGTAGGGTTGCTATGCTAACATACTCTACAGCATTATATTTATTACGCACCTTAAGTATAAATCTTTATTATTACTCTAGAACTATAATTACTACTACATTTTATTATTATAAAGAAGTTTTTTATGTCTGTCACTATTGCAGCACTTAGTTACTTTTTCTATACTATATATTACGCCTGCAATTGTTAGATTTTAAGCTTAAAAATAATAAATATATTTTATTTTATTTATTTATGTGCCTTAATTAATATTTAATTTTATTATTAATTAAAGCTATTTATTAGCTTAGTAATAAATATTACTTTTTAAGTAAGTTATTTATTTTATTTATTTAGGCTTAATTTTTAAGTAGTTCTTAGCACTTAGTAATAAATATAATCATTTAAACATAAAATTTAAAATTTTATTTCTTTAATAACAAAGATAAGTAATTTTTTAAATAAGTAAATTTTAATAAAAGCTAAATTTAAACTAATAGCTTTTAAAAAAAAATTAAAATTTTATTTTTAAAAGCGTTTAGGTATTTACCTACTATACTATCTTGCCTTAAGTAAGTTATATATACTTTTTTTTAGCTTTTTTTAGCCTAAGCTAATTATAATACTTAAGCTAAAATACTTTAAGTTACTAAGTTTTTTAATTAAAATAAGTTATAAGCTTTTTATATTATATAATACTTTACTTTTTTTTAGTTTAAGTTACTTAAAAAAATTTTACTACTTATTATAAAGTAGTGCTTTAGTAAGCTTATTTATAATTATTTTATTAGTTAAAGTATAAGTAATATTATTATTTTTTTTTTACTATATTTAGTAATTATAGATATTAATATATTAAAATAAATAATAGTTGTAGTTTTTATTGCTTTCTAGCTATAGTTCATAAATAACTTTTAAAGTAAAGAAAATCTAGTTTTTAGTACTAGTACTTAATTAGAATAAGCTTTAAACTATTTTAATTCTACTAGCTTAATAAGCTTAAGTAAAAGTAAAAATTATTTATTTTTTTAGTAATTACTTATTATTTTAGTTTATTTATTATTATAATTTATTGCTGTGTATAGAATTACCTTAACTTTAATTTAAAAAAATAAAATAATAATAATAATAAATAAACTAAAATAATAAGTAATAACTAAAAAAAAAAGCTATTAGTATATTATACTTTTTTTATTATTCTTTTAGTTATTGCCTATTATTTTAGTATTTTTATTATTATAAACTTATTGCTGTGTGTAGGATTACTTTAACTTTAACTTAAAAAAATAAAATAAAATAAACTACTTAATTTATTAGTTATTAATAAGCTTATTAATTTTATTAATATTATTAAATTAGAGCACTAAAAAGAACAACTTTAAAAAAAGTTTTAAAAAAGTAATTACTTTTTAAAAAGTAAAATTAAAGTAGAAAAAAAAACTTTAAAAAAGCTTTTAGATGCATAATAGTTAAGCTAAAAAAAAGCTAAAGAAAGTATATATAACTTACTTAAAAAGTAATATCTTTTACTAAGCTAATAGATAGCTTTAATTAATTAATAATATTTATAATTATTAAAGCCATATAAATAAATAATATAAAAATATATTTATTATTTTTAAACTTAAAACTTAATAACTAAAAGTTTTACTACTTTATTTAAGAAATACTATAAACTATACTGCCTTTAAAAAGTAAAATAGTAATAATAAATTTTTTTTTATAAACTACATTATATTTGAAAAGTAAAATAGTAATAAAAAAATAATAGCTTTACTATAATAATAATATAAAACTAGTTTTAAGTAATACTTTAAAACTTAAATAAGTATATAAAGTAGCTAGCTACTTTCTAGACTTTAGTAATAACTACTAATATATAGTATTTTTTTTAATTTTAAAAAAAAACTAACTTTTTTTTAAACTAACTTTTTTTTAAACTAACTTTTTTTTAAACTAACTTTTTTTTAAACTAACTTTTTTTTAAACTAGTAATACTAAAACTACTATTACTAAGTTAGTTTATTAAAAATAATAAAAATAAGCTTTTAAAAACACATGCTTTTAGTGCTACTTAAAAAAAGCTATAAAATAGTTAAGTTAAATATTATAAACTTAAAGTAAATAATATATAATTTATATTTACCTTATACTGTAACTAGCACTAAGTAATTTAAAAAATTATAAAGTATATATAAAAAATAGTTTATTTATTTATCTTTAGCTTATACTACTTACCTAACTTATTTTTATATTAATTATTAATTTAAACTACTAAAAGAGTAAAAATTAATAAAACAAAAGTAAAGTTATAAGTTAAAAAAAAAAAAAACTATTATAAGTATTTATAAAATAATAAAGTAAAATATTTAGCTTATAAGATATAATAAAGTAGCTATAATTACTAAGTAAAATAATTACTATAAAGTAATAAACTAAGTGTTAGTATATAATAATTTTACTAATATAATTATATTTTTTAATAATATATATACTATAACTTTTAAAAGTTTTAAGTTACTTGTATACCTTTTACTTTATTTTTAATACTTACTTTTTAAATTATATTTTTTTTTTCTATTTATCTATATAATAATTTTTATTTAGCTTTTTTACTTAGTAAGTAATTATTAAACTACTTAAACTAATTAAACTAAGCTTATACAAGTGCTAGCTGCCTAAGTAAAGTATTTTATAGTAATATAGTACTTTATAATAATAATTATTTTTAACATTTTATTTATTACTATTTATTACTATTTATTACTATTTATTACTATTTATTACTATTTATTACTATTTATTACTATTTATTACTATTTATTACTATTTATTACTATTTATTACTATTTATTACTATTTATTACTATTTATTACTATTTATTACTATTTATTGCTGTTTATTGCCTTTGCTATTTAATATTTAACTTTTATTTTTTAGTTATTACTTTATTTTATTTAATATTTACTTAGTATTTTTCTTACTTAACTTTTAGTTTCTTTTAGTTTATTAATATTTACTAGTTTTATCTTACTTAGTTTTTTAATATTTAGTACTTTAGTAGCAATGCCTTATTAAAATATGCTATTTAAAAAAAGATTTATACTTATTATAGCTCTTTTATAATTACTTTTTATTAAAAAGCTTATTTTAAAAAATAAAGGCTTAAATAAAAATAAATTATATTACTAATTCTTTTTATACTATTTAAGTAGGCAACGCCTACTTAGTTTTAGCTTTATTAATAAATATAAAGTAGCTTATTTTTAATTAGGGATATAGTAAAGTTTTTTATTTACTACTAAGTTTCTTTATAATAGTTATTATGTTTAAATATTTAAGCTTTTTAATATTAAAAAAGTATAGTTATTTACTTTTAAAGCTTTAACTGCTTATTATTACTAGTACTAAGTAAAAAAAAATATTAAAAAAGTCTAATTTAATGAAAACAGTTGCTATTTTAATAAAGTTAATAAATTTAATAAATATCTTTTATGTAAGTTAGCTATAGCATAAAAATAAAAGAAAAATAAGTTTTTTATATATATAAGTAGTAGTATTCTTTTTAGAACTTTTATATTATTATAAACTGTAAATTCTTTTATAGTAAAAGTAATATTTATAGTTTAAAATAGTATAATATTTATAGTTTAAGTTACTATCTTAGTAAATAATAGTTATAGTTTTAAAAAAAACTTTTATAGTAGAAAAAAAGCTAGTTTTTAGCACTAGTGCCTAATTAAAATAAGCTTTAAGCTATTTTAATTTAAACTAGCTAGTGCTAAAAAGTGCTTTTTAATTTTTACTTAATAAGCTTTTATGCTTAATAAGCTTAGGTAAAAGTAAGAATTATTTTTTTTTTTAGTAATTACTTATTATTTTAGCTTATTTATTATTGTAACTTATTACTGTATGTAGAATTACTTTAACTCTAAATTAAAGAATAAAAAAATAAATAACCTTTAAAATAAAAATATAAAGTAATAAATATATAAATAAGTAAAATACTATAAAGCTATTTTATAATTATATAAAAAAAATACTATTTAATAAAATTTATATTTAAGTCTATATTTATAGCTAAAGAACTAACTTGAATTACTAAAAAAAAAATACTTTTTATATTAAATAAAAAACTTTATTAGCAACTAAAAGCTTTACTAATAAAAAAAAAACTTATTTAAATAAACTTTTTTAAGTACTTAAAAAAAGCTTAGTTTTTTATACTAAATAGGCAAAATGCTTTTATACTATATAAGTAAAAAAAGTAGTTAAAAGTAAAAAGCTTATACTAATTAAATATAAATAATAATAAAAAGTATTTAGTATATACTATATATTACACATTTATAAACTATTATTATATATTTTTAAATAAAGCTTTAGAAACTAGTAAGTATATAAAAAATAAGTAAACTTTATAAGTTATAAAATTAATAATAACTTTACTTTTTAAAAAGTAATTTAAAAATTAAAAAAAAACTTAATTAGTAACTTTAAAAATAAAGTTATTTTATACTTTAACTTTAAAAGTTTAAAAAAAATTAAATTTAAAGTAAAATAGTTACTAAAGTAAAAGTAGCTTTTATAGCTTTAAAGAAAGTGTACTTTAAAAGCTATATAATAAAAAAGTACTTTTTTTAAAATTTATTTATACTTAACTTAAAAGCAACGCTTTATTTAGTAAATAATAAAGTAAACTTTATTAATTAATAAGCTTTAACGTCTTTTTAGTAATTGCTTATTATTTTAGTAAATCTTTTATTTTAAACTATTGCTGTATGTAAGATTACCTAAACTTTAACTAAATAAATAAAAAAAATAAAAAAATAATAAGCTTTAACTAAAAAAAACTTAGTTTTAGCTAAAAGTAATCTACTCTTAATTATAATATATAAAATAGTTATTTTTTACTTAGCTTTTACTACTTTAAAGCTTAAAAATATAGCTTAGTACTTAAGTTTTTTAAGTAACTTAGTATTACTTTAACTTTTACTTAAAAAACAATATAGTAAAATATAAAAATAAGCTTTATAATATTATAAAAAAATAATAGCTTTATAATTACTTATTTAAAAATTAATATAATTAGTTTATTTTTTTTACTACTAAAATAGTTAGCTTTAATTAAGTAATAGCTATACTACTTTTAAATTATATAAAAGAAAAAAAAATAGTAAAGCTATAGCTACTAGCTACTTTTACTAATATAAAAATATAGTATTATTACTTTAGCTACTTAAAACTAAGCGCGTTAAAACACCTAGTATAATAAACTAAAAAAGTAAAAATAAAAAGTTTTACTACTTTTAAATATAACTTATATAAGCTCTTACTATACTTTATACTAATAACTACTATTTTTATATATAAGCATTATTTATTTATTTTACTAAGCGTTTTATAGTTTTATATAAAACTAATAGATTATTACCTTTAGTATAATATAAAAATGTAACATCGCCGCATAAGAGTTAGTGTTAAAGGGGATTGATATTGCTAAGGCGCTACTAGTTAGCGTAGGCAGCTTAGTAAGAGCGCACAAAAGGCGCACCTAGGGCACTGAATAGGGACAAGTGTCATTCTAAATTATTAGAAGGGGATACCTTCTAAGAAGAGCTATCTTTTACTATTACTAGTAGTGTGAAGCAAGTACTATTGCCTATAACTACGCCTTACAAAAAAGTAATAAAAATACTTTTAAAGCAGCTTATATACTATAGCTTTTTTTAACTTTTATAGTAAAACTTACTTTTAAATTACTATTATTACTAAGCACTAACTTATTATAGTAAAGTTTAATTTAAATTTTTTTTAAACTTATTTAATTTCTATAGTTATAGCTTATAGTATTATTATTATTTAAAAAAAAAGTTATAGCAGTAACAAGTTCTAGCACTAAAAACTAATATAGCTTTTAATTACTAAAAATAAAGATATTACTTTAATACTAAATAATATATTAATATTTTATATTTAGTAATATAATTATAGTTAATAATAACTATATTTTAAAAAAAAATTCTAAAAATTCTATTATAGTAAAGTAAAGTGCTTTTAATTTAGTTAAACTAGCAGCGTAATAGCTATAGATATTTAGTAGTTAATTGCTAGCTAATTAATGCTTAGCTACTAGCACTAATAACTATAAAATATTAACTATACTAGTAAATAAGCGCTTATTAGCTAAGCTTAGTAATTAACTTTAGTAGTAGTATATTAACGTGTTCTGCTTTAGCTTTATATTATTTTATAATTTATATAATATTAGACTAAAGATATAAACATTTTTTAACAGTATTAATAAAATTATTTTAGACTTAAAGAAGCCTGCTCTTTTGACCTACAGCTTGTTTTAACTAACAAATCTAAAGAACAACGCGTAAACTATTATATTGCGGGTGTGCTAATATCTTTATAGCTTTTACTACTACTACCCCCTACTATGTAGCATAGACACAGCTAGCAACGTTTTAGAAGCTAAAAGATGCGCAAAAAACACTCGCGAGCACTTGTAGCTAACTATTTTAGATTGTCTAGGCGCCGTACTCCAGCCTGGTAAAGCGGAGCCATGACGAAGTAACGTTTTTAATCTTTCAACCGTCCACGATGCTTCCTAACATTGCACTCTACTTATTGATGATTCTGCCGACATGTTTAGCATAGCTGCCTTGGGCCATGTTTTTAACTACACACAATATACCAAATTCACTCATTTGACGTGAAGAACCACCCACGCACACCTAAGTGTGACAGGACATCATCTGTGCTGATTGTTGTGGTTGCGGTCCCAAAATAGATCAAGCAGGTCACATGAATCTCCCCGCCTGAGGTCCCCTTTCGCATCGCCTAGCATGTCGTCTATTTCAGAACATCCGACACCGCCCAAAACTACTGCGAACAGGACGAGCACGACGATGACGGTAGCTTCGATACTGCCTACCCCTCCTAACAGTCCGCTTCCTTCAGCTGGCAAGCCACTCGCCATCCCCGTTTCATCCGCTGCGACCTTGCCGACTATACCGTCTTCACAAATCGTTGAGGTTGCTCAAGCCTCATCTCAGCCAAGATCTCCACCAGCAGCAAATGCGACATCGACCACGAATATCATATCAACGCAACAAACCACTGCCACTAAACTTCCGGCAGCAGAGAAACCCCCACCACGCACCCTCGCCGCACTCAAGAGGGACCTGCACATCGATGGCTGGCAATGCGGCGCCCAGACGCTCAGGGGGACAGAATGCAAGCGCTTTGTCATAGACGACAGGAAGGACCTCATCGACGCGCAGCTTGCGTCCATGACGGGCCTGACGCGTGCCTCTCCGAACTTTGAATCCGCTGTGCTTATGCTAGTCATGCTGGTGCACTGCTACCAGCACGATGCAGGTCGTCCAAAGGAGCACCGACTTGAGACGTGGAGGCTTTTATTTCCACCCGGTAGCGCTGAGAGCAGCGTGCCTGAACTTGCTATTGAGCGGCTTATCAGGAAGGCTCTCAAGCCGTTAAGTACCGAATGCATCGCCCATGGCAACGGAGGAGCGTGCGAAAGGAGGATTAGTGGATGGAAAATGCAGAATTGCGAGAGAACAATTCAAGAGCTCATCAGGCAAGAAATATATTCCGACGACGCCAAGCTCGGATTCTTACTCAAGGTGCTAGAGTGGAATAGAACTTGCAATATCCATCAAAGCTCGGAACAATTCATATGGGTCGTGGCGTGGAAGAAGAATATCATGGCAGTACTGCCCTCGCCAATAGCTCGCAGCAATCAGACCCTTGTCAGCAAGGCACCGAACGAGCCTCAAACCTCTTCAAGGGCTGAACCAGGTCCTCTTATCGTCACGAATTCGTTGACGGGCAAGAGGATCGTCCCTGTTGCCCAAGTCTTGCCGGATCTACGAGTCCCACCAGGCCCCACTATTAGCCCAGGCGTCGATCCGGCATTGTACTGGCCAAAAGCCTATGACTCGAGCCGCTTCAACATTCTCCCGCATGCCAACCAAGACGCAAGCCCTACGCGTTCACATAAGTTGATCCGCGCCGAGATCAGCAGACTACTAGATGCTCGAGACCTTCGGGACGGGTATGTTTACTCCTACGAAGTTGAGGGTAACGAAGGCTACGTCAAGGTCGGGTATACCACGCGCCCCTTGAAGGAGCGACATGACGAGTGGTCATTCGACTGCAACAGACAGATGAAGCCGTTATACCCTTCCCCTAATCAAGCAGCTACTGCCCTTTCCATTGCAGAAGGAGCCGCGGTGGCGCCGGCCGTGCTCATTCCGCACGCGCGTCGCGTCGAGGCTCTGTGCCATGCCGAGCTCGATCACCGTCGCGTTAGGATCTACTGCAACGCGTGCTTAAAGCAGCATATCGAGTGGTTCGAAGTATCGGCTATAGAGGTCACGGCCGTCATTCAGAAGTGGTCAAGGTGGATGTCCACGCAGCCGTATGAGCTGCTGCAGCTAAGGAACAAGTCCAAGTGGACTATCAAGGCGAGTGAATTGCAACGGACGTCGAAATTCGAGCAGTTCATGCGAGAGATTGCGATAGTACCCGCCTCATCGTAGAAAGGGCGATAAGGTTGAGTCTGGTCAAATTTCTGACCTTTGTGTCCAAGTTGCTTCTCGATGACCCTGTACGCTTTACAAACTGGACCTTCGGCATCCTCAACTCTGTGCAACAGCATCGAGGATGTATGAGGGGTTTGTGCGAGGGCTTTTTGTAAGGGGTTTTTTGTCAATTCGTGACGTCACCATGGAATCTGTGAAGCTCGAAGTATGCTGTACACTGGCCGTCAATGAATAATTGTGGCCAAGAGATTGGGACAGTTCGATCACCTGAGCACCAGGTGCATTAGTTTACTTCTGGAGCGTACTAGGCGTGCAGCTTATATAAGCTAAGAAACCTCAGACTAATTCTACTTTATCTGGTTTGAATAACAGCCTGCATTGCATATCGGTGAGGTCCTGACCGGCTTTGTCTCACCATCCTCGGTCGGGGGAGCTTCGCATCTGGTGTAGTCTTCAGCCTTCCAGCTCTCGTCCGGTGAATGTGCGAAATTTTCCTGTTCAGGCAAATCGGGTATCAACTTTCCGTGGTGTAAATGAACGAAGAGGAGAGATTCACCGGTTTCCAGCAATGGTTCCGCTTTGTGACCGAACTGGCTCAGTACCTTCTCAGAAAATCAATCGAGTTTTGCGGTTTGTTCTCTCCACAGAATGCCTATCCTATGTTTTTAGCCATGTTTCATTCTCTCTTTTATTTTATTTTCTTCCTCCAACGTAGTGCAAGGTAATGATTCACACAGCATTTACGGATCTTCCATTCACATTATCTTGCACGTTGATATAACATTTATAGTCTTATATCTTCTGATGTAGATAAGCAAGGCAATAATTCGTAACTACTGCATTCACGAAACTAAGCTAGAATTCTATAGCAATGAGCCTTTTTCTTCAGCTTCACACGTAAGCACACAGCCCAATCGTTTAAGGAGTAAAGACTAGGTTGTGCAAGACATATAAATTGGCAACAGTTTGCTATATGTTTTTCAGTAAATTCACTCAGGCTTGTTTCTCATTCATAGCCTCGCCATCTATTTCAACTCTATATTCAAGAAATGTCACAAACTACGCAACCCAATCATTTTTTGCACGCAACCCCTTCTCAATGGGACCCCGCGGAGATACTCAGTCTTAGACCAAAAATTGATGGCCGTTTCAACTGCTCAGGGGTCAAAAAGAAGTCTAATACCCCTTGCCATTGGGAACTCAGCGAAGACAGCGCATTGCATATTGGTTTTCAACTTGAAAGTATGTCAAGGCAACGTCCGCAAGATGCCATTCAACATCTAGACGAACTTGCAGCTAGAGCTTTATGTGACCACCATCGGGATCTTCAACAGCGAGTCAAGACGTTCCAATGGAGAACGGCAATCGGGAACATCCAATTCACCCACGCATCATCGGATATCTCGGAGTTAGAGGATCCTTCAACACCGCAACAACCCGAGACAACCCCAACATCCATCTCATCACTTCCAGCCTACAGTACGATAGCTTCTGGACCTGCTGGCTCATACTTCCAACGTCAAGGGTGTGAGGAGAGTTTTTCTGCTGCAGAATCAAACTTCAACCCACTTCAAAAGCAGATCTGTGATCTAGAGGAGAAGGTCACGCACCAAACGGACCGCATCGATATTCTTGAGTCTATCTGCAACGCCAGATCTTCCGAAAAAACATCTAGTTCGCCTTGGAAACATTTGAAGGCTCGCTTTCTGGCTCTTCTCAAGAGACATGGTTAGGAGCTCGATCCAGTCGTAGAGCACTGTGAGCGCTTGTGAATTCTGGAAATGTTAGGCTATTTTACATACCAATGTCAAGGAATAAGAGTTTGCGGTTTATAGATATTGATACTTTTTTGCCCCATTAAATGTAGTGTAATCGCTCAATCGTCTGTATAAAGCAAGTTATGTGGATTCACTGTGTGAAAATGGCCTACAGGTATGATACATAGCTTGTGCGAAACAGTGCGATGCGTGCCCGTCAGCTACAGAAAAACTAACAGACCCACTCTTGTCATGACCTTATGCTAATGGCAATAAAATATCTGTTTGGTGAAGAAGCGATTCAGACCCACAGCGGGAGCCAAAATTGCTTCTCTGGGGCCCGGAAAAGCTCCTGCTGCCGATCGATTACGTCAGCAGATTTGTCAGCTGTGGAAAGTTGTTGCTGAGTCAACAAGCGCCCCCCTCGCTTTACTGTCGTGGCAACCGTTGTACCACTTCGCAATGCGCTACAATTTGCGGCGATATTAATATTAGAGCCTCCCTAACACAGAACTAGAAGAACATACCGCCTTCAAGTAACAAAAAGCAGCACGCTAAAGTCCTACGAGTCCTCGCACTCTCCAAATACATGAGGCGCGACCGCACGGAAAGCGAGAGCATAATAGCTACAAAAAAATCTTCGTAAACACGATTAATCGTATATCTGCTAGTCCCTGCAGTGTGAGCAAACTAGCGGCTACTGTAAAGCATGCGCATACTTGCCCACTTTGCATGCCAAAGCATTTAGCTGGTAGGGACAGCCCATATGGGTTAACAAAGCATGCAATATCGTCACTTCTCAAGCTACATATGCTGCCTTTATGATAACACGCTTTTGTCAAAAGCGTTTCTAAACGGCTGTGCGCTGAGAATTAAAAGTGGTATGAGGAAATGAGGGAATTAAGCACTGTGATACGCTTGGTTTTTTTAAGAGATTAGTTAGAAGTGAAATATTATCAAGCATAAGCTAGTAATACTAAGGATAGGCGGGGCTGTTAAGGAATAGCGGAACCAAAGGCTGGATTGTTACTTGCTCACATTACAGTTATCTAATCTGTTGTTACCCAAACTTTCTGTGAAACCGAAAAGCGAATTGCCTGTTTAGTATTCCTGTCAAACTAACGAGATACCGCCCTCTTCATCTTCTGTATCGCTGTTTACGTCAAGCATAATGGTACTGGAGGACGAAGCAGTGGCATCGTCTGACTCGATGCCACCATAGTCACTGCTAGCATTGGCTAGCGCGTCAGTGTATCCTTCCTCGTCTTCCATGATTGAGGCAGCATCAACCTCCCGTGTTCCAAATTGAGAAACAGAAATGCCAGTCGTAGAATCAGGGTGAACATTCATTGGACCCGCTCTGTCGATAATTTGTCTTAGTGCGTCTTTGCGGATGTCTCGGATCATGAGATCCAAGATGTCTAGGAACTGGTCTTCTTCTTTAGGTCCTGCGCTATCAGGTACGCCAGGCGGCTGCCAGGCTGTATAGATCTTGTGGTGGGAGTTGGGTTCGACGAATCCACCTGGATGATGGCGGAAATACAGAAGGCAGCAAAAACAGGCAGGCTTGCTGCATGCAATGTACTTGTCACGATTCGCGAATTCTTTATCGTTCTGGTGAAAATGATGAAGTACTTGGACCTCGGCATGGACTCGTGTTGATTTCTTCGCTTCGGTATAATCCTTTCGGAATCTCTCTGAAACTTCGAACAGTCTGCAAAGGTGTGCTAGAGCCTGTTCATAAAGTTCAGAGTCCGGTGATTTCGCAGGTAACATACGTCTTAATGCTCCTTCTACGGTTGTGGCCTTTCGAATCGGTGGGCGGCCGATGGGCAGCTTTGGGGGTATAGGTATAGCTTGTACGCTGTAAGACTCTAGAAACACCGTCACCTTAGGCGTGTATGAAGCGAGAGCTCTTGCAGACCGAGCATGATGACCCAAGCGACCGATGTAATGGCGAGCTGTTGCGCATATTGCCTGCAGGCTATCGCGGCCAGTTCCGTATAGTGGGTCGTACGCCAGTTCTGCTAATCGACGCGTGAACTTGGAATGCCCATTGGTGTGAGCAAATTCAACCAAAGCGTGTGGGTCTAATTCCGCAAGACTCTGGATTTTCTCTTCCCAGATTGCCATAGGATCGGCTAATCAAGGCAAGTTAGTACTGAATCCCTCCATACAAAGAAGGTGCACAACTCACAGATCGCAGGATCCGCCCAATTTGGAAATCTTTTCAAGTCCTCAAAACTTGATAATAAGAACTTCGAGTAGGTCTTGATCTTTGCTTGTGAGAACATTACACTGAGTCTGAAAATATCTGCCGATAAACGTTGAACATCTTCGTGCTCATGCCATTCGCTTAATGTTGCCAGTAGCTTTTCAAGAAATGGAACGATCTTTGTTTGTGGACATCTATTTGCTGCAACCCAATAAATGTGATTTTGAGGTGTTTGTTCAAGACCAATAGCTGTAACTGTATCACCCCCTTTCTCATGGTCACAGAGGAAAGCTAGCTCGTCCAGGAATTTGCGTTGTAGTTGCGAGGCATTCAAAGAGTCGATCTGTTCAGCTGAGGGTGAAGTCTTGCGAGTATGCTTGCCGCGAGCCTTTCCGAGAGCAAAAAGAAGGCTAAGAGGCTCATAGAATCGATGCAAATGTTTGTTTGAGACAACTGGTCGTCTAGCGTTCATCTGTGCGTATATGTTTTCCGTTTGTCCGCGAAAAGGGATATGATGAATCGCAGTTGGGGATTAGGCATTCTATGTTGACCTACTAATAAAAGAGATTTTATTCCGTAATGGCTTAGGGACTTCTTTCAATTGAGTAGTTCTACTGGCTGGATAACGTGCTCGTGTGGAGCTGCGGGCGTTCACAAATAGGACCTCCAATATGCAATACTGCGTCGCAATATTTGACATCAGTCAGCCTTCGGCAAAGACAATGCAGAAATGAGATGCATAGAAAGCGAAGGACCTCTGCGCCATGTGGCAGACCAGAAATGCTTTCATGCAGCAGGACGAGCTAGCTCATTGACTAGTGAACCGCTCGAACGCCTGGTTGAACAGATGATATGTATTGATACCTTACAGTCAGTCATCCAACGAAGTTGCTAGCCCAAAACTCGGGTCTGATGCACCCTCCAAATTGTTGATGCGTTGTGGCCTAATAGGACAGGTGGGGCATGATACCGCGCGTACGCTGAATTAGCGCACCGTAGTGCAGCTCCGGATTCGCATTTACTGGCCTCCCCTAACGACCCCCGCCATAATCTCTCAATCCAGATAGCCATGGGAAAAATGATTAGGCCGATACGTAGCGGCTTGAATGGGATGATTGAGGAGTACAACTATAATTCGAATCGACAAGGCTAAGTTGTACTGGTCACGACCTTGCCCCACCATACCGCTGAGCTGGATGATGCTGTTCGACCTGATGCTTCTCTGCATGCCTGTTCCAGTACTCCAAAATAACTGCAAGAAGGCAATTTTCCCCGCTTGGTCCGGTGAGGTAGCTGCGCATGTAGATCTATTACCTCAACAGACCCTCGTAGTATGTTGAGCCACTGGCAAGCTCTAGGTTTTTTTTTTTTGGGTATCTGCATGCCCAGCCGATTAATTGCATCTGCAGACCACCCTCCATGGCCATTTTTCCGGTCAAGATTGCTGTTGTTCACATATTTAGCTGCGTCAAAGTATTGGTTTCGTATGCGACTCTAGTACATCGAGCATTCGTGGCTGATGCGAATGTGCCTCCAAGTTGCGTCTGATCGCACGACTGAGGCGGAGTGCGCACATATGGCAGTAAGAGTGAGGATCAAAACAGGGCGTTGAAGAGCTGAGGTCGGATCGGTATGCTGTGGTGATTAGCAGCGATGCCTGGCCAAAGGTATCGTAAGTGATGCCGGGAATGCGCATTTGTTCCTGCCCATCTAGACCAGGCAGTATAATATAAGTAATGCCAATCTCGCTATATACTATTATACGTATCTTTCTTTTGATTATGCCCCGTCCTGATCATATGGCGATTGGAAAAGAGATGAAGAGACTGCCGCGAAAAGAAGCATCTACGTCTATGGCCCCTATGGAAACCGAAGCGATTACCGGTACGATATTCATCAAAGAGTCTTCGTGTTTTGCCCTTGCTAATATATTAAGAGGCGTCGACCTAGGCTTGGTCATGGATGGAGTAGCTATGTCCCAAGGTGTGTCACCGTGATGCTTCGACTGGTGCACGACAATCGAAACTCACAAGACTGACAGACTTTGCGTTGTGGTTTGGAAAATCAATTTTCGAGAGCATTCTAGCTGAAGTCATTCAGAAGAAGTATCTTGAACACACAGCTGTCACTCTAGTCGTATGTAAGGTCATATGCAGTCGTATACGGAGCACCAGCCTAACTTTCTATAAGGACGTACTGGAGCTGATGGTAGCTGGGCATTGTCCAGATGCCAAAAGAGATTGTAAGGAGCGAAAGTACCCTCAAAAAGCCTACGAAGGCTTCTACCGTTCCATACACGGTCGTCGTTGCGATATGAGCGACAACGACTGGGAGGCATTCCGCCAACAGCTGTCATTCAATATTGCGACCATTTGTGGGAGGCTGCGGAACGAAAAAGTCCCAGAGCTACATGAAATTTCGTTATCGACACCATCCGAGACCTCCACGGCTCCTGCCCCAACGAGCGATGCTAGAAGTCGGTCATCTTCCTCCTCCTCCTCGACTTCGTCGCTTGTCTATGTGCACCAACAATATTCAGCTGAGAGTCCGACTACAATAGAAGAAACAGCGCAAAATCAGCCAATGTTGCAATCCCAAGCAACGCAGCAGGTGTTGCAGCCTCTGGCGAACGTCGCCCCAGCGCCTCAAACTGCTGTCGAAATGCATCGATACACCTCTGTGTTGAACGAGCATGCTGCTTTTCAGGGAGAGAAGTTGACCTACGAAAAGAGACAATTAAGCTTATCTCCTTCGTCTTGGCGGTGCACCGCTACTTTCGGCGGAATCTCTGGGGAGGGGACAGGGCGTAATACGACACAGGCGAAGCATGCAGCGTCTAAAAAAATCTGCGAACTCATAGATTTGTTGGTTCTCTGATATTTGTCTCTTTATTTCAGTAGTTATGATTCAACGCAAGTTTTCCTTGTATAGGTTTAAGCAATGTACACTCTTTACTTCAATACCTTGGAGACAATGCCTTCGAAGACATCACTCAACAGCTACCGGCTGCGCTTTTACAAAAGAAAAAGGCGGTCATTTATATACTTTTTCATGATGCTTTCATACTAAGTAAGATACGATTGGTTGGATACCAAAAGGGTTCCAAGCGTGGGGCTAGAACGGGGCCCGGAAGAGGAGCGAGACCTGAAACTGACACTGAAAACGGGTCTCACAGCCGGGATCAGAACTGGAGCTATGGCAGGCACACTAAAAGTAGACTTGAGGATTGTTAACCTGATGGAAGGAGTCATAAATGATTGGCAAGTAATCGTCGACTAGATACTACTACTAAGGAAACCAATTAAGCCCAATTGTGATGCCAAAGACTTTCTGCCTGGTAGCTGTTCTCATAGTACACGTTCTGCGGGAAAACGTGGTAGTCCAGAAGAAGGCTATTCTGCTGGTTCTTGAATGATTCAAGCTTCGCGCCAATGACTTTCTGCCGCAACGAAATATATTGAGATGCAATTTGTGGAAGTGATATCTCCTTGAAGCGTTCCAGTACCCTGTTGAATTTTGGCCCGCTTTTCGTTATCAATTTCGTCCAACTTCTACGCATTAGCCTTGGTGATCTCAAGTGTATCCGACCGACTCTCACTTACTAACTTTCTGACAGAGACGTGCCGAGGACGAAGCAGATGCCCTGGTTTACATTCGCTTCCATGTTCTTGTAGTATCCCCCACGTTCGATCATTGTTGCCAATTTCCGCTTCGTTTCAAATTCGTTATCCCGATGGCCGCTTGCCTGGCACATCCTTAAGATAGTGCCTTGGTCTATTTCAGGGTCAAATCCAGCACTAGCTCTGTACTCCACGAAGAGGATGCATAGAAGCCTCATCTTAACACATGACTATGCATGGTCATGCGTCGATTGGAGGAAAGCTTTGTAGATTTGTTCCTGAGGATCAATCGAAACGTCGCAGTCCACGGCTAAGGAGTTGCCCCAGAACTGAAGAGGTTGGTGATACCAATTGCGAGCATAGGTGTCCAAGAGTTCCAGGGTATCGTTGTCGGGACCCGAGTACTCTGCAAACTTCAGGAGCCTATTCTTATCTCCGTGGTTCTTTGGCTGGACTTTGAAACTAAGGCGACGGGCTAACTCCTTGTCACGTTCAAGAAGACGACGTATGTGACTGAGGTGCTCGTCAAGTCGCATCGCCCTCTATGAGGAGTAAGCAAATGGATAGGACCTAGGTAGTGTTCAAGCATACCTCTTCTGGAGTACCACGGGGGCATAATTGTAAGCTTAAATCCTGGTCCATTGCAAGACCGAAGTAATGGCACAACACACAAAGCATTGACTTGAGCGGGAAGTACAAGGTCTTATATGTAGACAGTTACAGCCTTGTGTGTGGATAAAGAGAATGGCTGGACCGTCATAGCGTCCCCACAATCCAAGCACCATACCATAAGCAAAATCTCTTGCGAGAACGTTCTTGGGTGCCAAAAATGCGCAAGTACGGCCAGTCCTTCATTTTGGCTCTGACCACGACAAGCATATTGACAAGGGTAACGAGTAGCCATGGCATGCAGGTAGACCGATAACTGCGAGAAAACTTGTCTACCTTGCGATAGAGTGAGTCAGCTGAGCTGGTGCGGGGCTTTTGCAGGACGCATCGTGCTTACCGAGGCAAAGGTAATTCCGCCAACAAAGTAAAGCATACGGTTTCGTGATAAGAGTTCACCTCCGAGCTGAAGCGCGAAGACTAGACCTGGCTAGTGTGAAGGCGCCTCTCGCCTGGTCTGTGCTTGCCGTGCGCCGATTTAGTGTGTTCTCACCGAGACTGGGTGGGCTCTGATGTGATTGGATCTCAATTTGCTAACTAAGATGCAGGTAACTAAGAGCATAGCAATCACTCAGCGTCTCGTCCTATCGCTAGCGTCTGGACTGCTCTGTGCGAAGCCAGTATTGACGCCTCGTTCCTGTTCTTGCAGCTTTCGGCACTCGCAATCTCTGTTTCATCCACAGTGACTTCACACCTAAAGCTACCATCGCTGCTACGCCGGCTTCGTACTTCGGCCAGAGGAGCAAGCTGTTGTAATGCGCTTCGTGGATGAGCAACGTCATAGCCGAATCTCAACATACGCTGTATGTACGAGGATATCCCTATTGTCTCTAAGAACTGTTGGCATGCGCTGCAGTCTTCTCCAGAATCCACATATATCGCGCCGATGACACTCTGTACAATGTCAGAGTAGAAGCCCTCGGGTTGTAGTTCCGCCAATGTGACCCAAGGATAGGAACGGGCACCGTGCATTTGCTGCTCAAGGCGTCTGCAGAGACAACGGTAGCGCGTGTTGCAAGCTTCGAGCGCTTCGCCCAGTTCTTTGGATTCGTATCGCATATACTTCCAGAGTGGCATAACCTCAACACGCCGAACTTTTCGAAATTGTTTGGGCGTAATTGTTTCGATGCCAAAAACTTCGCGCGAGATGCTGTGCGTCATGCAGATATACCCAAGCATGTTAGAGTTGACAACTGCGGCTCTGATCTCGGTCATTCGACCTTCTGACAGCTCTTCGACATGTTCAAAGAGAGCTTTGGCGACGAGAAATCCGAGAACAGCATCTCCAAGAAACGCCAATCTTTGATAAGACTCCTCGCTCCCATGTGATGCGCAGGATGGATGCGTTAAAGCTTGCAGCAACACTGTAATGTTTCCAAACCGGTGTCCAGTCAGCTGCTGAAGTTCTTCTACTTCACACCCTAGAAAACCAACACCATGAGGCATTTCAAAAGTTGGTCGCTCACATCGGATTTCTGGTATGAAGACTTTTATGCATGACCTGGCAAGACCGTGCCCAGCGTCAAGGTATGCAGCTGCAAAGAGAGCCTGGGAAACATCTGCCAAAGTTTTACTGCTCATTTGACGTTTTCCGGGTGGACAGTTTGCATCCGAGATACGCGGTAATGCCCAATTACTTGTCCTTGGTGCCTTGGTCAGGATGTACTGATCAAGATGGAGGCTCAAAGCTGCATTAGCAAGGCTTGTGTTAGATATAAGGTTATCCCTATATTGGCTAAGCCATCCAGCCGGCCAGCTGACATGGTCAGTGAAAACTTGTGTCGACACCACAATCTTCAAAACCGCGTCCCCGAAAAATTCGTACCGCTCGAAGTTTGAATGTGCATCCGCAGAAGGTGCAGTGAGTGCCGTGACGATGCGTGCGGTGTTGCGAAATTTGCATGTCGGAAGAATTGACATCTGCAATAGACCTGCAACCATGAACTTCTCAATCTGCCCAACGACGCGAGTCATCACTTCGCCTACGTCGATTAACGGAGACTGTGAAAAGAATTCTTGTCCATCGTCGAAGTCGAAGATATACACGAAGTCAATTTTTGCCAGGTCGTCCTTTGCGCTTTCGCTTGGCAAGTATAATGCTGCCATTCTTTGTCTTAGCCTTTTTAGCTCTTCAAAGGTGATTGATAATTTCTTGGTGTCAGATGCGAACGTCTGGTTTACAGCGATGTTTTTGTGCTGCTTCGAGGTAGGCAAAAACATTGCCGGAATAGACATTGGTGTAATGAATGAGATATGAAATGACGAAAGACCATCCGATCGACTGCCGTCTACTTGAATCGTGGTTTTGCAAATTTCGGGTGAAGACCATGCATTTACCATCAGTCTCCACGGCTGCATCTGCTCATCAACCTCTATCATTGAGGGAAGATCTCGGCAGCGCTGTTGTATATTGAGGATGCTGGGCAAAAAATTGTTGTTGACAAGTTCAGCTTCGTGAAGAGCTTTGTAGCATTCGTACGCCGCTGCCTTGGCTGCTGTCCGTTCTGTACGATATTCTCCTTGGGCCAGATAAGATCTAGGGAAGGATCCTACACAATTTGGAAGCGTTACTCTTGCGGTCAAAAGCCCGAGGCTTTTGCTTGAGCTATTCTCATGAATCCAGAAGTTTGGTTTCGTATCGACAAACGGCTGCTTGGGCAAAGTATTGCAGAAATGGTGTAGGTGAACCTTGATCGCTTCTGCAGTCAGAATAGCTCTACTCAACATCAGCAACGTAACTATGAAGTCGACACGTGGATGAGTCATTACCCTGTCAGCCCATCATGAAGAATGAGATCCAAACTTTCGTCCTGATCCTCAATCGAAAGAACTATCTCTCTTTCTCTTTTTTCATCTTGACACAACCGGGTAACTTCTTCTTCAAGTTGGATCCAGCGATCAGTTTTAGTTTTCGTGGATGTACAAAGTTGCATGATAACAAATTGAGACTGTTTCTTACGTGCACGGCCACGCCGCTGTATGAAAGATTTCAAATTCTGGGGTGGATCGAAGCATATGACGAGATTGCACGCGGCAACATCGATACCTTCTTCCAGTACGTCTGTAGCGATTATGATATGCTTCTTCCTGACACGGAAAGCTTCCAGGGATTTGTTTTGCGATTCTAGGTCGAGTAGCTCGTGGATACCGGCTTTTCTCTTCATGCTGTTCGAAAGACCAACAAAAGTCGCGAATTTGAACCGTTCTGCTGTATGCGGATGCGTTGACAAGATCTGGAATAGCACACTGACGACGACGCGTTCTTTCACAAATATGACCCCTGTTGTATCGAGCCCCTGCTTGCCGATGAGATTGATCAACTTGACAGCTTTGTCGGATAGCGCGTCAGGGTGGCCAACCAAGGTCGAAGTTACTGTATGCTTAGAACCTGATTGATCAAAGTATCTCGCTAGAAGCCTGCTCAAGACTTCGTCGCGGTGGGAAGCAGTCTTTATGAAGATGTCAGTGTTGCCAATATATAGTTCGTTTGTTTTCCGGATGAAGTAATCGGTTGCCCATGGTCCAAGCTCGTTATGGATATGTTCTGATTTTCTTCCATATTGCATCACTGTACGAGCCCATCGTTCCTTTTCAGAGCGAGCGAGGGACTTTGGGCTTACTACAGGACCGTGCTTAGATATTACCTCACGTAGGAGGTTTTCTGTATCATTTGCGATCGCTACTTGCAACCTTTGTAAAGTGCATAGCGCAGATTCCGGTCGTACAGGTTGCAGATCTTCCGAAAACTCGAGTCTAACAAACTCGGGCTGATTGACATGAGTTCGCAGCTCCTGGCGATACACCCGCGGTGTTACACAAATGGAGTCGAGGTTTTTCTCGATTTGGCTGCAGAAGTGGTTAAAAGGGTGCGATCAAGACCTTCCAGGACTTACTGAATCTCTTGTATATTTGATCTCCGCACTGGGCTCGCAGAGAGACCTAAGATGTGAGGCACATCTTTCAGCCCTGTCTCCTTCTTTTGATTGTGATAAAATTGTTGCATGATCGAGTTGGCCGCGTGTTTCCCATTGCAATGATGAGCTAGCACTAGGGTAAGCTCAGTCGATTCGAGATAATAAAAACTTTACCTTCGTCAAAAACCAGAAGAGCTAGACTCGATAGTCGCACAAACCCATGCTGCATGGCATCTAGCAGGACGGCATTTGTTGAGATAACGATTCGGTGGTTATGCAACGCAGCGTCCCATATGCTCTGTTCGCTCCAGTAGTCGAGATTGCTAGAGCCAACCAATAGTAGAGGGGATGTATCAGGTAGACGAGATTTGATGTATCTGTGTTGTTGCTCGCATAAAGCAACCGTAGGAGCCAGAAACCACACGCGCTGCTTTTGTGTAAGCATGTGGTAGCAATGATAGAATTCTCCTAACCTTATCGCTAGCACAGCGGTCAAGTTCCGCTCGAATTCTCAGCACGGCTCTGGAGCCTCGGTTAGTCCTAGCTGACCAGATAAAGTTCAAACTGCCTACACTTCAGTCTTGCCACTCCCTGTATCCATCTGCGTCTGGCGTGAGCTTTGCGGGAGCCATGGTTCTCAGATCATCTTACTGCAACAATCACATTCTCCTTGAGGCTTCGGTCCAGCATCTCAAGCTGATAACTCCGAGCTCGAAATTCTTCCATGTTACTCAATTCGACGATCTGACTGCCTTGAAGAGACGTCTTCTTCCCTGGTTCTTCCTGATTCATCGTTGACTCTGTGCATTTCAAGTGATGATATTCTCAATATCTCAGGGAGGAATCGGTTTGTAGACGCTTCTGAGTCTCAATATCCAGAGGCTGCATATAAACGTAGGTTACATGCCATACGAAGTGTTCTCCACTGAACTTGCATGTCAAAACTAGGTATGTATTGCATCATTCAGTTTGAGTCGAAGCCCGTTTGCCCAGAACATTTGACACGCCTTCCTATCTTGGCAAGTCCAAGCGGTGGATGTAGAAGATGGGCGATCATATACGATAGGTAGCTACATGCTACACGCTAATTCAGCGTACGCGCTTCGCCCCACTTCGTCCGTTCCAGTGAGTGCTGGTCCTGCCTTTGAATCATGGTGCACCCAATTTACACGGCATCTCAGGTTGCAGTGGAATTATCTCAATGCAGCATCACACCTACAGTTTTAGAGGCTGTATTGATTGCGATCACATGGTTGATAGTCTCCTTGACCGGCCAACTACGACATGTGCGTACGCACCGCATGTTTAACAAGGGCTCAGAACAGTTCACCGGTCGATTCGCTCGTCGATTCGCCTGTATGTGAACATTCTGGCTCTGGCACACACTGCATACGTCCTTCCATTTTCATTGATTGCACGTTCACCTTGCTTACCCAGAGAGCCAACCAATAACGTCCACCGCATCTAGTAGCCGATCAGGAGAAACAAATCATACACAATCCTACTTTGATAAGGGCGAGTGGCATTTTACAACAAAGATGGTGGAAACGATTAATCCATCTTTTCTCTTAGGAAGAATCAATCATCGTGTATAAGACATTAGATTATAAATTCACTCGCTCTCTCACTGCTTTCAATAACGCACATCTTCCAAGCCAGAGTAAAGCCTGATTGCTAAAATGCACGATCATCAACTTTCCACTCTGACCAGTTTGTCTATCAGGGAGCGCCACGGTCGATTATTGACAGACAATGGCGGAACAAAGTCTAACCGGATGGGATTTTTCACCAATTCACCGCTCTTCTCATTACGATCTATCGCCCTTGACATACAGGCCAAGTCTCAAAAGTCATTCCAGTACGGTCTGTTAGCAAGAATAGCAGCAGAACATAGCCTTACTACGGATTCAGCTGTTTCATATGAAGTCCATCGAGATAAGCGATTGTTCTTCAATACTACAGCTCCTTCCAGCATTTTTATCTGTGGCTCCCAGGGATCCGGCAAGAGCCACACGTTATCCTGTCTTTTGGAGAATTGTTTAGCCCATTCAGACGCTGCAGTGCTGCCCAAGCCGCTTTCCGCCTTACTTTTCCATTATGATACATTCATATCCGACGATGGCGGCTCTCCCTGCGAGGCCGCCTTTCTATCGTCTTTGCCCGGCATTCGCGTACGGGTTGTATGCGCACCAACCAACATAAACACCATCAGGGTAAATGTAAGATACATGGCACAAGATTAAGAAGCTAACGGAAACATAGAAAACATACCAATCACTGAATGTTGATATTGAGCCACTCCAAATCGACAGCGGTGATCTTAACACGAAGCGTATTCTCGATCTTATGGCTGTCAAATCTGAGGAAGGTAGTATCCCTCTGTACATTCATACGGTTACTCGCATCTTGAGGGAGATGCGCATGTCCCAGCAAGCGACTGGTGCACGGTTCGATTACGAGTCCTTCAAATCCGAGGTACTAGCCGCAGACCTTACATCAGCTCAGCTGGCGCCGCTCAACCAACGCCTTTCCACACTCGAGAGTTTTATGCCACGACTAGGAAGCAAAGTCAAGAGTAAAAAGCGACAGGTTTTGAGCGGCACATCTTGGGAGAATCAGGTCATTATGCTCATTTGATAACGCATGCATCGCAGCACGACTGACAAAGGATCAGCCAGGCTTACTGACGATTGTCGACCTCTCTTGCCCTTGCATCTCGCCGGAAACAGCTTGCTCATTGTTCAACATTTGCTTGAGTCTGTTCCTCGAGCAAGACATGACTTGCGGTCGAGTCATAGCTCTGGACGAAGCACATAAGGTGAGTAATCTCGTTCTGACCAAGCTTGCTGTTTGGGTATTGACGTACCTTGAAGTACATGACCGGATCTCCTGAATCTTCGGTGCTTACAAATACGCTTCTGTCGACTGTGAGGCTTCAAAGACATTTGGGAGTGCGCGTGTTTGTGTCCACACAGGAGCCAACCATAGCGCCGTCTTTCCTGGACCTCTGCACCGTTACCATAATCCACCGATTTTCCTCACCAGCATGGTTGCGAGCCCTCGCAGCCCATGTTGCACTCATGCAGCAACAGGAACCAAGTGGAGCTAATTCTCAGGATGGCCTAGCCAACAGCCGCAGAGAGACGCCACAGGAAATTTTTGAGAAAATTGTCCGCCTCAGAACCGGAGAAGCTCTTCTGTTTGCCCCCAGTGCGATGTTAGCTATAGGTAGTCTCAGCCGTTCATTGACAACCGAAACTTCAGGGTCTTATGTCCGAGTCAAAGTGAGGGCAAGGCTATCAGAAGATGGTGGACGTAGCGTTCTTGCTGACTAGGCAAAGAATACGCACCTTGTCGTACCTGCATTGTGACATTCTATCTAATGGAACATTCTCGCAATACGACCTTCAAATATTTTCTTCTTGATCGGCTCTGTCCGAAGGGCGCGTGTCGGGTGCATTTTGCGAACCAATACAATCACAAGCCACAAGAGATACCTTTTCACCCTGTTTATCTTTCGCCTTCTATGCGATTACGTATCAGCGTGGCGAGCTAACGCTTTGTTACTAGTGGCCGCATATGTAGCAGAAATGTGGACGAACACCTTAGATAGCGCTAGCAAGGAGGATAGCCAACCTGTTCCTGCTCTGACCTTGTGCGAGAGGCGTTTTTCCTATGTTAAGCATAGTGTTAAGCAGTGCAAGAGCAGGTCTTATAGTTAGCTTCTAAACTAGAGAGAATGTAGTGTAGTAAGATGTATTAGCTAGCGCGTAGTAACAGCCTATACCCTTAAGGTGCACAGCTATAATAAAATACATATATATACACACATACATACATACACACATACATATATACATATATATACACATACATATATACACACATACATACATACGTATATATATATATACACACGTGCAAGAAGCAATAGAGATGTTTTAAAAATAAGTAGTATTTTATAGTTAATCTGTATACGTGCTATACCCCTTAATTTAGTTTTTATAGTAAAACCTATCTTAAAACAGCAGGCTCCTTTAAGTTTAAAATAATTTTAGTAATATTATTTAAAAATAATTATATTTTTTTATATAATATTATAAAAATTATAAAGTAATATAGTATTAAGTGCTATAGCTAAGTTAGAGCAGAACACGCTGCTAAAGTTAAGTATAAAGTTTAGCTAATAAGCGCTTATTTACTAGTATAGTTAATATTTTATAACTATTTATACTAGTAAATAAATAATAATTAGCTAGTAACTAACTACTAAGTATTTATAAACTACTATGCTATTAGTTTAAGTAGTTTAAGCTTAAATTAAAACTTACTAGTATAAGTAAACTAAGCTAATATTTCTAGCTATAACGTAACTATATAGTTACTTACTTTTAAACTAGTATTAATATATAAAAAGAAATAGCAGCAGAACTACTAATTTTAACTATATATTTTTTTTAAAAAGCTTTACTATAGTAGCTAAAACATAGTAACTTAATAACCTTTAAATAGCTACTATTTAATGCTAAGTAAAAAAGCATCTAGCTATAGTAGTTTACTATTATTATATTAGCTTTTTTTTTAAGTAGTAACTTAACAACTTTTAAATAGCTGCTATTTAATATTAAGTTAAAAGGTATTTAGCTATAGTTGTTAGATACATGCTAAATAGTAAGAGGTTTTATAGTAGTTTATAGTAAATTACTGTAAAATGCTCTAGCTAATAGAAAAGAGTTAGGTGTACCTAACTCTTTCTAATTAGCTAATAGCCAAGGCAACTAGCTACCTACCCTAGGGGTTAGAACTGTCTAATCTCACAGGAGACAAAGAACAACACAATTATTAACTTTATTATTACTACGCATTACTGTAATATCTAACAATTAAGAGTCTTACTGCCTCTACTAACAAGCAATTACTAAAACAACTACAAACTAAAAAAGTAAAGCAATGCTAAAAGACAACTACTAAATTCTTAAAAGCTTAATATAATATGTTAACTAGCTATTAACTCTATAGTTGCAAGCAAAGGCAAGCAGTGTATAAGATTTATTTAACCTAGAAAGCACTGCAGCACTAAGACAGAAACCTAATAAACTCTAGCTACTGTCTATAGAGCAATTTGCATTAGTAGAGGGGATAGTTCTAGCTAGTTCTTATTAACTAGTATTAAAAGTATATAAGAATTTATAGCGTAAGCAAGTTAAATAGTACAAGCTCTAATCTAACTAATACTAAATAATATACACGCGCTACGTAGCAGAGCAGCGCAGTATTAAAGAAATTGTTAATTACCTAAAATTAACTCTACTTACGCATATTTTTAGAAGTTGTTGTCTTCCTAAACATAACTACTATACATAGATTAAATCTATTAGAGATTAAATAGGCGTTAATAGTAAGAAGTTAAAAATTAAAGCAAGACAAAAATACCTATAAGTAATAAACTTAGTTAAGAAATCTATATACTAGAATAACTAGCTTGCAGCATATAATTAGGCCGCATCTTTAGCAGAATACTATAAATGTTTAGAACTTCTAGATCCTACTATTATGTTAGACAATATAGCTAGAGCAATAAGAGTTATTAATAAGACATTTGCAAACTAATTTAAGCAATTTATCTACTGCTAGAAGAAACCTAATAGATAGAAAGTAATAAAAATCTTCTAATAATATATAGACTGCATAAAACCTGCAAAAACTAATAAGGCAGCCTTTACTGTAATAGATGCTGTATAGATTAAAGAGATGTAGTATAAAGAGGACGCCTTTTATACACACTTAGGTTTTAGCAATAAGTTACCTGCAAGCTACAGAAACAATAACACTTATATAACTTTATAAAGAGAAAAATTGCTAACTAGAAGTTATAGAAAGAATTTTTATTTAAACAAGTAACTTATAAGTGTAAGAGACAAAAAAGGGCAATGCCTAGTATGCATAAGTAGGAGACACTCTACTAAATTATATTACTACCTGCTAAACAACACACTAGAATAGTTTTAACTTAAGGACTAGGTAGAGGCAAGCGTTAAAAGACAACTTAAAGAATACTTTAAACTCCTTTAGATAGCTTAAAACTAAAAGAGACTACGCTTATCTAAACAACAGCAAACGCGTTTAAAGTTACATACTTTAAGGCTAAAACAATCTTACACTCTAACACTTAAAGTAACTAAAGATTAACTAGTAGATAGACAGATTACTACAATTTATAATAACTATATAATAAAGGGCACTGCCCTTAACGTAAGCACTAATGCATACCTGCTTAAAAACAAATTTCTTTTAAACTTAGAGGCGACAACCTATATTACAAATTAACTTAGACTACTCTAGAATATTTAGAGACTATTACTAGAAGACTGTATCTAAGCTAGCAGTAATAAACTTTAGATTAAAGCATATAGCACAGTTACTCTTAAGCTATAAAAGAAAGACTAACCTACTTAGCTGCAGCTTTAAAACGTGGCCTAGTGCCTAGAGATTATTACAAACCTAGTGTTCTTTAATATACTTAGGTAATAAAGTATATATTAGGATACACAGAGCAATTCTACTACACTAAAGTATAGTAACTTATTATGTTTTGTAGTGCTCTAAAAAGAACATAGGCAATTTATTATACTTACTATTAAGAAACACTCTGCTTTTGTTACTACAAAACAACACTATAGCTATTAGAAAAGCACTGCCTATAGTAACACGTAGCATTGCTAACTTAGTTACCTAGGACCTAAGGCCCTTAAGTAACTTATATACTAAGCTAAGAGGGTGCAAATTACTTAAAGTATTTATACTATTAATTGCGACGCGTGCAGCACGTTAAAAGCAAAGCAATAGATTTGCTAGACTTTAAAAACAATTACTAAAGGCCTAGGAAAATAAATAGCTATTAACTTTTACAACTTTAAAGATAACTTAATTACTAGCAACAGAAGCGTTATAATTGCTACTAACAGATACTTAGGCTTTTATTAAAGTTTTAATCTTAAAGATTGCACGCAGCCCACTCTACTTTAATTATTAAAATAACTAATTACCTTTCTTAAACAACAATTTAATATTAATGTTAAGGTAGTTAAAAGCAACAATAAAATCTTCTTACACTAGGGCAAGACTACTGCCTATAGAAAATTCTTTAACTTACTAAGCATTAAATTAGAGCTATATGCACTAAACACTTAAGCTTAAAACAAAGGCGCTAAACAATTAGAAGTAGTAATAAAGAAAAAAGCTTGCGCTATGCAAATTAGAGCTTAATTGCTAAAAGATTAATAGCCTAAGATTGTTCCCGCTACTGTCTACCTACACAATTAAACGCTAAATTATTAAAATAGCTAAAAGTTACTCTATAAAGTGTTCTTTACACAAATTGCTAGCTAGAATAGCACACTATTAGGCCCTTGCAAACTAAATCTTGCCTACTTAAAAGCTTATAGCTATAAAGTTTTTGCAATAACTAATAACACTTAGCTTAGACGTTTTAAAACATAAAGGCTTAATCTAAAAGCCTAGATTAGATACCTAGTAGAGTATTAATCCTTAAACATCTATTGCATCTAGATACTATTATTAGAAAAGATTATTAGCACTAGAGATGTAGTATTTAATAAACGTAAGACCTACAATAGCAAGAAAAATAATATTAAGGATAGTTTTCTCTATCGCACTACTAAAGAGATTGCTATTTAGGTAAAGAAGGCAGCACTGCAAAAGCCTGCCTACTAGTCTTTTAAAACTTAATTCTTCTATAAGAATAAACTATATATTAACTTTAGCTACTAACTTAGTTATAGAAATGTTACTACAAATTATAGTAACTTACTATAAAACCTAGACAAGCTAGCTACCTAGACACTAGTTAGAGTATACTTAACACTGCTAAACTTACCGCTACTACTAGCAGTACTATTAACTTAGCTATTTACAGATATAAAGCTAGATAATAAAGGTAACAATTAGCCCTTATTAAAGATAATTCTTTAGAAAGCCGCCTTTATAGCTAGCACCTAAGTAAAAGCACCTAATCTTAAAGATAGATTAGTAAAAGGAGAAAAGGTCTATATTAGAAGTCTACCTAATCTTTCTATAAGCTTTTCTAAACTTAAAAATTACCTACTATATAATAAGTTTAAAGAGGCAGAGCAGAAACACCTGCAAAGCTATTATAATATAAAATTCTAAACAGAGGTTAATACCTTTTTAGTATAATAAGTAGGCTATTAAGTTCTTAACTGCATGTAGGTGTATACCTACAAACTTAATAAAGATTACAACCTACTTTAGTGCAAGGCCTAACTAGTTGTTTATAGTAATTAACAATAAAACA